TTTTTTTGATAAATAAATTTCGGTTCAACTTAAGATAATCAGACATGTTCCTCGAATTTCAGTGGTAGCATTCATCATGATGTCGGAAAAGTTCCTTTAGCTGGTCAACTATATTACTCTGGAATCGAAGCTCAACAATATCGTCTATGCAGTAGAATGTGTCTATTATAGATTGGGGAATCGGCCAAGTTCGGGTCCTGAATCTTTATTGATAGGCTGTGTACACATTGCGCAAAGCTTCGATAGTATCTTAATGACGCGTTGATCTATTGTCATGATCTCATAGCCGTTATCTATGGGCGTTCTATATATCATCCTGATCTACTCGAAGAAGAGGAGATCAGGGATTAGTTTTTTTTTTTTTTTTTTTTTTTTTTTTTTTTTTTAATATCTTGATATAAGATAGAGTGATATTTTCTTCTACTATCCTACTTAGTTGACCGGTTGATCTACCCGGCCAAGTAGAAGTCAGTATTAAGCCATATACTCAATCCACGGCTCCTCTCCTGACCTCCATATCTCGACTGAGCTAGCTCCTTAATAGATAACACGTCAAGGGTTGAACCCAATATATTGTTTAGACATGGCCTTCGCTCCTATAGGGCGCTAGATTTTCGATCAGTCGTCTTGTACCTTTTTTATGGTCAAGTAGTTTTATCTCTACCTGCGCAGAGACAACCAAACCATCACATAACAAGATCGATGATTCCTTTAACAGGCGGACCTCGAATCGTTCAAATAGTCCAGACGTTGATAAGCAGCTAAGAAGGTGAAGCTCCGAGTCTATTGCCCTACTGCCTGCGTTTTCTAAGTCCTACTAATTACGTCTAGATATCCTCTAATATACTAAGTCTATAGTGGATCGCCTTAAAAAAGCTTTAATAATAATACAGCAACAACAGATGCTCTGGACACTTGATTGAAATTATAGAAAAATATCATTCGGCCGCCTAAAAACGCACGGGCTCTGGAAGAGCATTAATTTGGTATCTCGTGTATTTTTCTATGTTGATATGGATTAATAATTGTTTTAGGTACGTGCCATCCTCCAGTGAAGGGCCATATGGAATTAATCAGATTTCTCCGTGGTGCTCTTCCCCTCACTCATTATGCACTTCTTATATTGATCGAATATCAATAAGGGCCGGTTGGTGTAGTTGGTTATCACGTATCGTTAACACCGATAAGGTCGCCGGATCGAGCCCGGCACTGGTCACTTTTATTTTTTGGCTCTTTTATTTTGGTTATCGAGCTTGCCCATTCATTATTTAAAAAAAATGAAAGTTTTCATCTCACAATGGCTGGTTGGTGTAGTTGGTTATCACGTATCGTTAACACCGATAAGGTCGCCGGATCGAGCCCGGCACTGGTCACTCAATTCGATTTTTTGGGCCCTTCGCAAGGGATTCTACGGAGCACTCTGTCAATGCTCTTAGGAGGACTGAAAGTGCGACAAGAAAATGAAGCCGAGTGAAAATTGTTTCGAAGATTTCGCGGCTTTTCCCGATAGGGGATGAGAAGCAGAAGTTGTAGTTGTGTCCTATTTATAGTGCAAAGTATAATAAGTCTAAATTTCGGAAAGATGATGCAACTCAGGCTCTAGGCGGGCAGACAACAGCCTCAATAGTTAGAACGAAGCTCGTATAATCTACGGAGTATGGAGTACTTGCGTCTGCATCTGCCGGTTTGGCAATACATCTATCGCGAGTTTACCATGGACCGGATCGTCGGTGAGGCAAATGAGAGTTATGTCTTGCAGGTATTCAGTCTACTTACCTTTACGCATTGGCAGTTTGTCCTTGTTCATCTTCTAGCCTCGTGGCCGGCTTAATCTGAAGCAGGTCGTACTCAAGTCACAGAGTAAATTGTACGCATATTGTCCAGATCCTCAAAACCTTGTCTTGATAGTTGTCCATAGTTGTCTCGCGCATTAGCGTTCTGATATGTGGATAGCTGAACCGGGCTGGAGAATAAATAGATGACCTTTTGATCTCGTCCGATCGTAGATGCGATAAATGAAGAAGTACTGTAATGGAATGATCTGCTTGAATCGCAATGGCAGAATAGCCCCTTCAGACATATTAACCCACTTTCCCATGTGACAACCACGGAGCGAGTACATAGATCGGATGCATCGTGCAAGTTGTAGGTGTTTACTGTACTTTTGTCTGGGAAACAGAACGTTCCTGGAGAGTATGTCCGATCGGCCGCCCGACCGATCTGGGAGGTGGAACAAACTCCCGGATAGGAGGAATGTGGGGATGTGAGACATCAAGCCCTGTAGAGGATTTTTCAGGGAAAGAAAGAAGAAAGAAGATGCAAGCAAGAAAGGGAAGAATGCTAATGATAGTAGTACTAATAGTCAAAATATAATTAACCACGACGATACGTGATAATACTTTACTTGCATACATACAAGCCAGTCTGTGCCCCAGACCCCGTATCAGCGGGATTGGCAAGGATCACGAGGGGCCGCGAGAATAGCCCGAGACTGTCAATGCATGCATGGGCCGGGAATGGACTATTGTTTCCACCAGTTTGGCGCCGGTGGATTCGTCCGATGGTGAGGGACGCTGGTGTCGCAGGTTGCTTGGTAAGTTTTAGTCGCCACCCGGGGAAATAGTTGAGTGGTGGCAGTTGTTTGGTTGGGTATATTAATAGGTAGGATTGGAAGGTAATTAATTACTGCCGACCTGGGCAATTAATTAATCCTATGACTTTCCGCCCCAAATGAGATGGATATAAGTGAACAAGAATTTATCATTGTAGAGTGAAGAATGGTATTGAAAAGTACAAAAGTACCTACTCTGGACTATTAGAAGTGTCATAGGAGTCTGCTCTTGTATCCAGGTAACTAACTTGGTAACATGGACCACCCCCAACATAGTGGATCACAGATGGGTCGCAAGAAAGTGCCCCTAATTTAAGGTAGTTAATACTACTATTCAGCACGACCATCCCATCATTCATCCTGGGTTATAGAGGAATTAAATACTTGAGACTCTTGAGTACGGACTAGTTATTTAGGTAGCTACTTGAGATGTAGGACTATATAATCTCCCCTTATAACTTCCTCAGGAACCTATGAGAACAATAAAATCTGTTACACGGGAGATTAGCTGGCCAGGATAGGAATCCCCAAACCAGCACTGCATCAGCACTAAAGGGGACCGAGGAGGGCGATTGTCACAAAAGTGTCACATCGTTAGCGGACAGAACCCTGGGCAGAACAAACCATGTCTCAGATGGGGCCAACCATGGCGTGTCGTCTCTCCACTGGGCTCAGGAGTTTATGATTCTCAGACGTCTAATTAATTTTCTATTCGTAGCATTAATTTCTTAATTTCAGCCAAGTAGCCTGATTATTACTGTTGACTAGGTACATTGGCTTCTTTTCCTTCTCCATTCCCTCATCTCGATTCTGTAACTAATGGAAGATAGATAGGTAGGTACCTTTTTTTTTTTAGTTTTTTATTTCCCCCTGACAGCTCTAATCTTAGCCCAAAAATACACTACTGAAGGGCGTTGTGTCTAGTTTTATTGTTTTTTCCCTTTTTTTAAGGCTTCTTGTTGCAAACTATTATTCCTTGACCAACTAGTACTCCCCGCTTGAATTTTATTACCATTTTCAAATTGATTGATTGATCTGTTGTTTTCTTTTTTCACCTGTTATTTTCGTTTCTGTCCTCTTTTCTTTGTCCCACTGGCCAGAGGTACTACACGGTCATACAATATTAGTTAGTCCCTACTAAATAATTAATCCTCCCCTCCACGTCTCCCATCAGCTGTTGATTCTCTTCCCTTCCTCCTGAGTCTCTTTCTCTCTTTGTGTCCTTCCTTTCTTTCTCTTTTCTTTCTTTTTCCTTTCCCCTCTTCTTCTCAGATCACCTGCGTGCCATTGGACCAGACGTGGACAATATCCCGGTCCATTTCCTTCGCTTGTCGCTCTTGGGTCATTACGGCATTCTGACCGACCTCTCAGCGTTGTCACACTGCCGCCTGCCACCTTTAGTTAACCGCCTTCCAAGTATCCGACCACGCCTGGTCGCAGTTGTTTGACCAACTAATTCACTTGGGGTGCCACACTTCTGTTGGTTCCCCTTCTTTCCCTATTTTATTTTTATTTTATTTTTTTCTTCTTCCTCTCTTCCCCCCCTCCCTGGTGTTTTCTAAGACGAGAGGAGAAACCAGGCTGGGGCCCTTACTTGGTCGGGATTTCTCTTTCTAAACTACTGTCCCCTCCCAAGGACGTAGCCGCCCTCCGCCGCCAACCTGTGACTGACCCGCGCGCTTCGATTCGGTATCGTCTTTCCACTCCGACAAGAAGTCTGTCAAAGAGAAGCTTGATACCTGGTCTGTCACAAACTGTTGGGCGTTTGCTGAACCCTCAGGAAGGTTTGGGTGGCACAGTCAGAGAGCGACAAAGGAAGGGACTTATATACCAGGGCTGTGTGAGACACCCCAGCGTAGTGCACACAAGACAACTGCTGGTTTCTTCATCAGTTGTCTCTTGTCAGCTCACTTGGGTAACTACATTGCTCTGTGAGCTGGACATTTTATCAAGGAGCAATTGCTTCGGATATTCTTACATCTTTTTTTTTTCGTTTTCTCCCTCTTTATCCCATATACGCCTTTTTATTTTAATTTTTTTATCTTTTTTACCCTCAGCTGCCAACATGTCGACCGCTGTTGCATCTGCAACAGCTGCTTCGCTAAGCTCATCGCATATAAGTCATGATCGAAGCCCAAAAAATTGTCCAACATTGGCTCCCGCAACGTCTAGCAACCAATCTAGTGCGACCCCGCCGCGGCCATCAGTTGCTTCACGAGACGGATCATCAACAAAGAGCTCGCCATCTGGGAGGAAGCAAACGACGCCTTCGTAAGTCTGGTTTGGAGGTAGGATGTGATGACGAAAGAACTAATGTCGCAATAGTTCGCAGAACGGAAGCATCCCCCCCAAAGTTATCGTCAAGAAAGAACCTCCCTCTTCTCCAGCGATGCAAACACACTCTCGGCCACGGCCACGTAAATTGGATCTTTCTACCAGCCTTCCAACTTCCGGGGGTCTGTCGGCTCGCCCCCCCGGGGGCCCCATGACGGCTCGAGAAGGGGTCACCATGCAAAGTGTCGGTATTGCTTGCTTATCCCCTGGTTTTCAGACACACGACCCTATCATGAGAGAACAACTTCAAAGGAGCCTGTCCGTGCGAGACCAACAGCGATCAATTATTGAGTCGCGACTGAACAAATCCGCCAAGGATGACGGACCAGATGGTGCAAAACCATCAGAGTCCTCGTTTGGTGTTCCTAAGGTTGTATCTTCTAAGAGGAGACCTCCTGGCTTGTCGATTGTTCCCCCGTCTGCGGCACAGTTCGCCAACGAGCGTGTCGTCCAGTCTGCTCCGTTGAACCAAACATTTACTGGACGACATCAAGCTCAGCCGTTAACGCGCCATGTTGTCAACCAAAGTCCTACATTAGGTTCAACTTCTCATATTCATCATGTTCCTGCCAATCAAACGAATAATCGCCTTCCACCACTATCCGACGTTTTCGGGTCTGACGCATTAGGTTCCCGTGACCGAGATGCGAATCGTGCTCAATACTACCAGGGTGCTTCTGGATCGAATTCTTCGCAAACAAATAATTTGCCCCCTATGCCCTCGCCTAGGATACCTGCTAGTGCTACGCAAACATCCAATCGGCCTCGAGAGTATCGTTCTGCAGAAGAAGCCGTCCAAGACTTGTCAGGTGGACGAGAAGAGCTATTGCCGCGGATTGTTCACTATGGGGGCCATCAACCTCCAACCCCGCCGTCGCCCCACGTTGCCAATGGTCCCAAACCAGGAGCCACTCATCCGGATCCTAGGCCTTTGACCAATGCGCACGCTGCCCCAGTATCTCAGCCAACTATATATCATTCGGAGGGGACTGCTCGTCGTCGTCCTAGGAGTGAATATGAACAGGACAACGGAAGTCCCCCCTTAGGTCACGGCCCTGAACCGCACTATCGACCGAACCCGGCCTTGGGATCTAACGCAAATTCTGCTTATGGGCCGTTAGGTGCAGGGAGGGACTCTCCGGAAACCCAGCGAAGAAAGAAGGAAGAGTTTTTGGGTTTATGCGCAAGAGCATGGGATCTATTCCACTCTTGAATTGCGACTGGGTCTTTCCTGTTGTGAATTTGCCCTTTTATTACGAATTGGTATTCCTATCGGATTCTCCTCGGACAGAGTATGTTATGCTCTGCTCTATGAGGAAGCAGCAACATAACCAGAAAGGTTCGAAGTACAGGTATTAATGGTATATTGTTGGATAGTTCAAAGTTCTCATGAATGCGCGGAACGTCTATCCGGTATTTGGACATGATGGATATGCAAAAACACACCTATGATTTTTTATATGAACAGCATGGACGGAACCTTTTGAGTCGGGAAGGGCTGGGTTTATTTTTTTTTCCCACATGCACATGCTTTCATTCTGTCATTCTGTCGTTCTGTTGCTTTTTATACACATCTTTTCTCCTTTCTTTTATACCATTTTAAGACCGAAAGATGAACAATTTTTACGGTCACCATTCAATTAGGTTGGATGCGAGGCGTTTTCTGGTCAAGGTTTTTGAAATTTGCAAAGATGATGCCTTTTAAGAGTTATGTCGATATCTGTTTCTGGGTCAGTTTATTTATTTATTTTTGGCTATGTTTCTTTCGGTATCCATTTCAGCACCCCGTCTCTACTTTATTTATTTTTTTCCCCCCGCTTTTTCTTCTCCCCCCCTTTTTTTAACGAGGATACCATTGGTTTGACTACTTTTCTTTTTTGATATAGCGTCTTTATTGCATAATACGCTTGACTATCTCATAATTTTTTGGAAATCTATGATATCCTTCGGTGTCTCGTTTTTGGACAGACTCCGATTTTTCCCTTCTAAGATGTGGATGCATTTGACTAAGAATAATTAATACTGGGTCTTGCATTTATGCTGCAAATTTCAACTAAGCCTGAACATGTGTGTCTGTATAGGAAAGAAAACTCGTAGTAATAGTTACATTTTTGACGCCTACGCTACTCGCCGACGTTTTCTGCCCTCTCCGTCACTGAAGGACATAGATTCACCCCGCCTTCGTTCAAACGGCATCTCTTTCCTTTCCTTGGAGGCCATCTTCTTCCGTCTCCTCTCTAAAGCCTTAGCTCGATCCTTGGAGTTCATATTTTCGTATTTCTTGAGTAACACTTGCTTCTTCAGATCAGACTTCTTCATGAAATACGGGGTGCTCTTCTTTCCTTCCCGGATAAGCTGTTTCTCCCGTTTCTTGTGATCTGCTAATATCTCTTTCTCACGCTTTTTATTTTCCATTGCACGGAGGCGATCAGAGCTAGACCGGATAAGATACTTCAGCTCCTCTTTCTCACCGGGGTTCTTTGTCTTAGCGAGCCGTTCCTTCAGATCTTTTAGTTCTGCGGCGCGATAATCATCCAGGAATGCGTAAGCCTTTTCGGCGGCTTCAGGATTAGAACGGCTATTATGACTCATCACTGTCGGGTCAAATCGCGGATCTCGTGACTTGGGAATAGATGGGGGCTCGATAATAGTTCGCTTGCGGGAGACAGCATGTTTCGATGATTGGATTGTGGGAGCATGTTTGGAGGACCGCGACTGTTTTTCGGAGTCTCTGGGTTTGAAGGACCCTTGTCGTTTCTGCTCCCGAGCTTCGCGGATTCGCGCACGAATATCATCTAATGGGGAAGCAGTGGAGGGAGATTCTTCTGCTAACTTGGATGTCTTGGGGTTGCGCTTGCTCTTGGAACCCAAAGATGCTTGTGCCTTGGCTAGGGCGCCAAAAGATATGCTGCTGAGAGAGGCTTGGACGTCGTCTCCGCTGCCATCATCGCTGTCTTGGTTATCCTCATCGTCTTCGTCTGAGTTGCCGGACTTGGGGCCATTTGACTGGCAGAATTAGCTTGCGGGCCATTTGAGTACTCAGGAAAGTTATGCAATCGAACCATATCATCAAATTCCTCTGATGCAATTTCATTCTCATCGTCTGACCCTGAATCTCTGGAGCCTCCGCTCTGGTCGCCCGTTTCAGACCCTGATTCGTTGGAGTAAATCTCTTCGTCTTCCTCCGGTAGTGCCCGCACGCGCCGATTGAGAAGATCTGAGATCGCCATGGTTTGAAGAGAAATGAAGATATTTCAACAATACCCGTAATTGTAAGGATACTCGGTTAGGAAATAGGTCAAGCTTAAAAATCTAATGCCGACTACGTGAACGGGATGGAGTAGTAAAAAAAAAGTACGATACTGCCGCTTCTCCGGGCGGTGAAGAAGGCGGCTTTCTCCATACGAGGTGGTTTTAATATACAGTCTTGCCATCCACTGAGTTTCTTTTCTCTTGACCAGACTTCCAATTCCATGCGCTCTTTTTTTTTTTTCTTTTTTCTTTTTCTTTTACATCCACTTGGGATGTCCATCCCGGCCTGTCTTTCTATCTCTCGTATTCGTCTGTCCTTGATTGGCTCAGCTGCTGCCTCCCGTCTATTTCAAAGGTGCGGGGATTCCTACAAGGTATATACATACTTTCCGAAACATGCCTACTATCTTATTCACTATGGCGAGCAAACATTGACCAGTATAGCTCATTTTATCTTCATCTGTGATGTCCTCTTACTCTACACTTGAATCGCGACTGTATTCCCAGCGCCCTTCAAAACAACAAGCTATCTCAAGTGAGCTAGCCTCCGCATATTCTGGTCTGCGAATGGAGTTCCAAGGAGACCTATCCAATCCAAAGGCGTCATGGCGACCCCAAAGAGGACGTTGGAGCGCAAAAACAGTGACTTCTGGAGACAATTCAAACATATCCGGCAAAGTGAATACTGGTAACCCGCGCCGGAACCGAAGACCTCGCAATCCAAAACCACAGGACCGAAAATTCAATTCAGAAGTACCATATGAGTCTCCAGGAGGAGCGCGCACTATGCATAGAAAAAACCAACCTTCGTCGCAATCCTGGCCTTTTCAGGGAGACTTGAATGCACCAACTCAAAGTGGTCCTGCAAATTTTCTACATCCCAACCAAATGCCGATGCTCCCTGCCTTTCCAGGTGCCTCAGATGTGTGGAACGGCCCAGGGTTTCAGCTTCAACCTCTTAGCTCTTCAGAGCAACAACATCAATATCAAGCACTGTTCAATCCTCCCTCGTGGAACGATAGCAATAACTCGATGACTTCCATGCCGCTCCTTCCTCCTACGTTCATGATGAATCTCGCCATGCAAAACCCGGAGATGGCAAAATCCATGTTCAATGGATTTCCGTTCTTTCCCTTTGATCCAATGGCGTTCACAACAGATGGTTCTGCTGGTGGAATTCCGGGCATGCCGGTGATGCAGTCAATCGAGGGCTTGACTGAAGGACAGAAGCAAAATTTAGCTCAGCGTCCGCCGTCTGCGAGCCAGGAGTACCTTGCGCAGTCGTCCCGACCACCTGTAGAAACCCATTCTTCCCAGCCTCTTCTTGTCATACTTGACCTGAATGGCACACTGATCTACAGAAAACACCGGCGCCTTCCTCCAACGTTTACCAGGAGGGCCGGGTTAGAGAATTTTCTTGACACGTTGCTCAGAAACTACAAGGTCATGATATGGTCCAGCTCTCAGCCAGAAACTGTCAAAGCAATTTGCGAGAAGCTGTTCCCTGGTGAAAAAAGAAAAGCTCTCGTGGCAGAATGGGGTCGAGACAAGTTCGGTTTGACCACAGATCAATACCGAGCCAAGATTCAGGTGTATAAAACGCTCCAGACAGTATGGGCGGACGAACAAATCCAAGCATCATATCCAATTTCCGGAAATAAGTCACAATGGGACCAGACCAATACCATCTTGATTGATGATAGCAAACTCAAGGCCGTCAGTGAGCCGTATAACATTCTTGAGGTCCCGGAATTCATCACTGATGCACCTGAGGATGATTCGGTGTTTCCCAAGACTCTCAGAGTACTGGAGATTCTAGCACAACATGGCGACATCAGCGCAACGCTCCGACGTTGGACATCAAAATTGTCCGGAAAGAAGAGCATTCTCGATTTCCCTTTCCGCGGTAATAGCATTGGTATCAAACCCCGAACGTCACAATCTCCCCCATCTTTTCAAACGCAGCAACAGCACCAAGGCCCCCCATCAGGCCCTACCGCTATCGCACAAGCACGCAAAGACAGACGGAGACTTCGCAAACAAGAACGCAAGGCACGCCAGAAGGAGAGAAAATCCCAAATCAACGAAGAAGAAAAGGCTTCGCAAAGAGCCAACTCTCAGACGACGTTCATTGCAGACCCTTCTTCTGCCCCAGCAGCGACTCCCCTTACCACCGCTGCAACTACTCCGAAGGATGGTACAGCAGTGCTCACTGGGTATGGACGTTCGCCGTCTCCTGCTACCTCGACTGAGTCTGAGAATTTCCTTCTCGATCGGTTAGAGGAGTCGCTGAATGTCTAGCTTGTTTCCTCTTTTTTGAAAATTTATTGGGGAAGACGGACTTTTATACAAAGCGTTTATTTATGTCTGGTCTGGGACCAAGATTTTTTGATGCAAACATTATGTATTCATAGCTGATACCCAAGGTTTTGATATTCAAAAATAATGAATCTCTCTACTGAGAGCTTATCAAGCTCGTGGTTTCTCGAGTTGAAGCTGTAAGGTATTCCAATTAGGATAGGTAGATCTACAAATCTACATAATACCTAGACCTATCACTGAGTGGAATTTTGGTAAAGTATATGTATACGGAGACAATAGAGCATTGGAGGTGCTATTTGTATGTTCCTGAACTAACTGCTGTATCATCCGACATCTCAAATCGTAAGCGGGACATAATATCGAAAGAGATAGATACTTTTTCGGGTTTGAAGAAAATTAAAATACGCAAACCATTCCACATGGATAGCATAGGCATTAAACGGACGGGTGCTGGGCGACGAACATACGGGATGTAGTCAGTCTACACATTCGAATGTCCATAGACCTCCCCCATCCTGAGATGAAGAGGGTAGTTGGCTGTTTTTTTTTTCCAAGGCGGAGTCCCATTTAGAAGAAGCTCACCCAACGAGAAAGAAAATAAGGTCATAACATCATGAGTTTGCTACGGCATCTAACGAACTCATTTATTTGAAGACGTGGCCATCAGTCCAAGGGTACTCCTTGCCGTTGACAGTCACAGGGGTATCCCAAGCCCACATATCCTCAACGAGCTTGCGGTCCTCCTCCTTCGAGGGGTCAAGTTTCTCGAAGTCGTAGCTCTCCCAGTCGGGGGCGACTTCAAAAGCAGGGGTGCTCTCTTGGCCACGGACCATGAAAACTCCACGGATGACGCAGTCGTAGTTGGTACCGTAGACGGACTGAGCACCGAACAGGTACTTACGAGAGCCCTCAAGACGAGCGTGGAAACCACCTAGAAGACAATCAGAATAAAGATCATTGTGAAGCTACAAATGAAGGAGTATACCAATCAGGTTGTTAGCCATGAAGGTCAGCTTGAGCTCGCTGTCATACTTGTAGTCAACGCGCCACAAGGAGTATTCATCAGCCTTGAAGTTCTGCCAGAACCAGGGGAGGGCAGTGGGGCGGGTGTCCTCGTTGGAGTAGCAGCGCTTCCAGTCATCGAGGACCAGAGTGGGCTTGCCGAGAGCCTCAAGGGGGTGCTTGGCCTTCTTTGGGGCCTCTTCCTCGGCGGCAGGGGAAGAGGTAGTTTCCTTCTTGGGCTTCTCCTCCTTCTTGGGAGGGGTATATTTGATGACCTCGTCAGCAAGGATAGGCTTCTCCACAACGGCCTTGAAAGCAGGCTGGTTGAGGATGGTCTGGTACCATCTGGTGACGGCGGGGTTCTCGGAGCGGTAGGTCTTGTCCAAGACAGTGGCGAAGGCACGAGTGAGGATAGCGGCAGCGAAGATGTCAGCCAGGGTGATACGCTCCCCAACGAGGTAGGTGTTGGCAGTGAGGTGAGTATTGAGAACAGAGAGGTTCTTCAGGGCAGCCTTGGAGGCATCCTCAACACTTTTCTTGTTGTAGGGTTCCTTGCCCAAGAGAGGGCGATACCAGGCGCCGAAGCGGGGGATAAGCTCCGAGTTGGCATAGGACAACCAGCGGAGGATGGAAGCATAATCCTGCTTGGTCTTACCCAAGAGGGTGGTCTTCTCGTTCTGGGAGGTCACTAGGTAGGGAGCGTCAGCTCTCTTGTTCCCAACGTCACCATATCCGTGAATGTGGAGAAGCAAAGTGGAAAATTTCACCCCAAAGCGGGGTAGCGAGATATTTCAGAGGTGTAGGTTATCAACACTGTATGTAGTTCTGCCAGGGATAACTAGTAATAAAAAAATTGCTCATCATATAAGGGCCAAGCGGCCAAGCGCTATATATACATTGCATAGAGTAAAAAAAAAGTCAACACGTACCATAGACAGCAATGGCGATGGCCTCGGTAAGGGTATAGCCATTGGCACCCTCGAAAGCAGGGATCTTGCCCAAGGGGTTGATCTTGGTGAACTCAGCCGACTGGTTGAAGGCAGCAGAAACATCAGCTTCAGTCTTGACCAACTCCAAGTCCACGTCGTTGGCCTTGGCCGCGACGAGGATGGCGATGGTGCGAGGGTTGTCCTATAGGTTTAGCTAATTAGCTAGATGTACCTTGATCCCACGATGGAAAAAAAAAAAAAAAAAAACTTCAAAGGGAAGCTTCAAAGAGAAGCAAGGATGAATAGGATGACATACAGGAAGACCGTAGAGCTTTCCGAAGGCCATTGTGAAGGATGGATACGGGGGAAGAAGAGGAAGAAAAGAAGAATTAAAGCTCGAGGGGTTCCCGTTGAAATTTTGTGCGAATCAGGCCGAACCGGCGCCGGAGGAACATTTGCTCGTCCACGTGACCCGCCCCGAAAAAACCTCAGGATTACCCAAGATGGCAAACTCATTGGCTTATCGTCTTTCGGATTTCCGGTCGTCCTGCCTTTGAAGATCTCTCTACCCTGCCAGTATCTCTCACCATGGCCTGGCAAAGCCCCAGTTGCATCCTGCAGGCGATGCAGTCAGTCGGCCGAACCATTCAGCTGCGATCGGTCCTATATACCTCCAAGTCTTCCCCAGCCCCCTTCTCCTCGACCGCCACAACCGCGACGCTGATCCTCTCACAACAACGAAGTAATACGCGAGGATATGCAACTGACATCCAAGCAGCCCCCGAAATTGACTTTGCAAAGTTCAGTGCCCAGCCCGCGCGGATCATTCCCGCCTCAGCCGCCTACTTCTCCGGGAGTCCAAGATTCATCGACCATCTGCTGCGTCTGGAACATATGCTTGCAAGATATGCGCCATTACCGACGGTACCTGCGACCGAGGCCCCCCGAATGGCATGGCTGAAGTTGCCTCAATTCCGCGACTTTGTCGGCGAGCCCGTTCCAATGAAGAAATACAAGAGCCTCGTCAAGATTCTACAGCGACTCAATCGGATTGACCCTGCCATCATCCCGGTAGAGGTTCGTGATGCATTGAAGGATTTTCTCCGGCCGGGAAACCCGTACGCTAACAAGCCGCTCCCGCCGACTCTGGACGAAATGGGCCGGGCTCGTGGCCGGGGAAAGCGAAAGGCGTCTTCAGCTGTGGTGCACCTGGTGGAGGGGGAAGGAGAGGTTTTGGTGAATGGAAAGAACTTGGTCGAAGTCTTTCCTCGGATGCACGACCGGGAGAGTGCTACATGGCCCCTGAGATGTACCTCTCGACTGGACAAGTACAACGTGTGGGCTACTGTGCGCGGAGGAGGAGTTACTGGACAGGCTGAGGCTATTACATTGGCGCTGGCACGGGCACTGTTAGTTCACGAGCCTGCCTTGAAACCTATTCTGCGAAAAGGTACTTTTTTCTTTCTCTTCTCTGTTTCTTTAATCCATACTAACCGTCTTACCACAGCTGGTGTCGTTACAGTGGACGCACGTCGCGTGGAGAGAAAGAAGCCAGGGCATGTCAAAGCCCGCAAGATGCCCACTTGGGTCAAGCGGTGAAGCCGGCCTACACTGTTGAGGCTTGGAGGGCCTTTGTCCCCCCCGTTTGTGTATACAACTTGCTCCTTTTCTTCCCTTATTATTCCCCCCTACTGGTGCCGTTGTGATTCTCGACGAAGGTATATCCTGTATTGCAAGCATCCCATTCAGGGGTCATGGCCGTTTCAAGACACTACACTGCATTTTCTCGGCGACAAGCATGTAACTATTGGCGTTAATCCGTCCGGCTCAAATTGAAGTATTGGACCATTCATTGGGTCGTACCAAATTTCGTTAGTGTTGATTGGATGAATTCAAAGAATGCATCGTGGAAAGAGGAGAACAAAAAGATTTCCTGTTTAACATTTATTAAAAGGAAGTAAAGAAAGAATGAACAAACCACCGGGTTGTGGCCGAGACTATTTGATCCTATCGATGGCTATGGAAGTACTAGTTACACAATGAAGCTAGTACACTACATACACGGAACCTGCTAGTTCCTCGAGGAGTTCGTTGAATGCTAAAAAATAAGATGGCAAAACTAGAGGAATAGATATTTTTTTTAAAAAAAAAAAAAAAAAAAAAAATTGAGGAAAGGGAATAAGAGCATTGCACACGTACGTACGTAACATACGCATGTACATCAGGTTCATGCACGAATAGAAGGGAGATGTTGGGTTACACCATGTAGAGTTTGCAGCTTGCCGACTAAAAGAACCAACAAAAGGAATAAGCCGTGGAAGGCCTAACTTATCTGAAACGGAACAATGCAATTTTTGGTGATTGGACAGAGGATAGTCTGATTTGATCTACGTATGAAAAGAACATCCGAAATCTTCCCCATATCACGGGCGTTCACATCACTAGCAGGTATAGTGCAGTCCATTGATTGCCTGGTATTATTCAATCCGGCCGATCTGATCTCAAGGCTCTGTGCGGAGTATACTGTAGAAATACATGTCCTCCATGCATAGTTAGGTACTTTCTGCACAGTTGATGACTGTAGGTAAAAACTTGGTTGACGCATTGATCGGCCCAGCGTCAGTGTCACTAGGGCAGATGATGCTTAGCTTGATTCCAAAACAGATGCGACTGCTTGGGAAGGGGACAGGATATTCGACGAACGGCCTGCGCGCTCGACAATACATATAACTCGTATTCTCCTATAACTCGTTGGGGATGGGATCAAATGAATAGGCTATCTCATGGCAGGGCATTACAAACGGGCGGCCGCAGAGCGGCGAGTTGAACCTTAGCCGAGTAGTGTCCAGTAGATGATGATAACGTATGCTGCGTTGAGATTAAGATCTCTAGGTGAATGTTCTTCTGGGGGATCAAACTCGAGATAACAGATATGGATGATCCAGTGATCATCCCATTTGGGGATGGTTGGTCGGGTTGCAGCAAATGGAGACATGTTCCACAGTCATCATCTACCATGAACCAGGTGGGTTGTCAATTATCCTACATGGTCATCCTCCAGTCACCCTGGGAAGAGTGCATCGGATACTAGGATACTAATGGAATTACATCGATTGGATATATGGAGATTGTGGGGCTGCGTTGAGCGCGTTGCTGCGTCATGGCTGGAACAAACGAGGATTAATTGGAGACAGATTGAAGCAGATGCCCCAGATCTGGGGTGGATCGCGTGTTCAATTTAATGCCATTCAAGAGGGGAACAAAAAAAAAAAAGGTCAGACGATGGAGAATCCTTGATAATGACGATGGGCTAATAAGAATATGCCCAGGCCCGTCGACTTGATACGTATTGGAGTACCCGGAAAGCTCCCATCCCCAGTAACCGGTTCCTCCCGATGAATCACAGCAATCAGCAGCACGAGTTTGTGAATCCACCTTCTCTGCAGCCCCAGTCTTTAGCGTCCAAGCCAGTCAGGCTCCATCGAGTATAGTCTGATCGTGATGATCTACTATGATTTCCTTAACTTCATCCCCTGTGGCGGTCAGCGCTACAACCAATCCGTTTTAGCGTGAGGCTGGATCGCCTCACTTTTTTTTTTTTGAGTTTTTTTGAGGGCAACATTCGTATAACGGGGGATTGAAACCTTCCAGATCGAACAAGAAAAGTGATAGGAGTACATATGGAGGAAGATGATTCCAATCAATCATCGCCGCGGTCGTCCGGAGCCCCATCGCTGATCTGTCAGTGTCGCGGCACGACCCTCCTGCTGATGCTGATATAGCCTTGGGAGGTGGGTTATTGGACAACATCATTCTCCGGGAGTTTGGGTTAGCTCTTCCGGGAGGACTTTGGATGGAGCATCTAGTGTTGAAGCTAGTTGACGTCGGGACGGCCCTAACGAGACGACGACGCCGTAGTGGCTTCCCAGCAGTCCGGAAAGTGCGAGACTCCGATGTCTTAGCCAGGCACGATGCCTTGAGATCGATGATGATGATGATGACGACGATGACGAGAATGTTCGACTCTTGGCAAGAATTACGAAAAATCATTACAATGAGGGGAGATCATCCTAGGCTGCCATTATGATCTATCGGCAGTAGAATCCGGGAAGGACTTCATCATGGCTGGATCTCTCCTCATGAATGAGTTAGTTCTTCGTTAGTCCATGAAATAATATACCGCGTGGTATTCCCCTCTCTTTCTCTCTCTCACTTTTCCTCTCTCAGCCCGTTGTCAATGAACTTCACTCGGAAATTCTGTCACCTCGTTGTTCATGAGGGCAATTATGATGTTGATTATTATTATTTTATTTAATTTTTTGAACCCCTCTCCGTCTATCCAAGAACCTGAGATTTCGAGGTCCACGAACAATCTATTCCAGCCGAATAGTTCGTCAATCCCTCCCATTCCTCCGTATCGCTTGGACATCGTGGACCTCTCTGGGGAGATCGACGTTCTGGGTTCCAAGCGGCTGGTGAGCCATCACTTGATGGAGGTTGAATCTAGCATCGATTGGCTCGATAATGAGCCATGGAACGGGGCCTTAACTTTATCGACTCTATGCGATCCCTTCCTCTGGGTCAGACGAAGGAGCTGCAAGTGGTGGGATTAGTTTCTATCCATGGGATGCAGAGAAAAAAGCAGAAGAAAAGGGGAAATACAAATACAGATAAAAATAATACAAATAAAAATTAAAAAAATAACCAACGACGAAGAAAAAAAAAAAAAAGGAATCATATTTCTTTCTGACCCCGTTGTTGGCTTTAGGAGGTTCGGTCTTGTCTCTCTCTCTTTTTTTCTTTTTCTATTTTTCTGTTCTTTTCTTTTTCCTTTCTCGTTTCCCCTCTGTTGAGTGATTTATTTTTTATTTTTTTTTAGTTTTATTTTTTCCATTTTTATCCCTTCTGGTATTTGGATTTCGATTTTCCCTCGCGTTTCTTTTTTCTCTTTTTCGGATCTCCTGTGGGGAGGATGATGCTGAGGAGGTTTCGTCCTCATGATTCATTCGTCTTTCGCTTCTTCTTTCTTCTCCTTTACCAATCTGGATTACTCGCCGTCAGCTAGGCAGGACGACGATGCCTCCGTCTCACCGTCCCGACAAGCTGATCAGCCCAGGTGTTGGTCAATAATCATCATCATCATCAGTAAGTGATTGATTCCCCTGGTGACTGCTGCCCCATGGCTTCTTTTTGATCCTGTTTGTCGCCGGTATAAGTATTTCCTTCATTTCCTCTCGTCTACTTACTTTACTTATTCACTTTGTTCCCCCACCCTCCACCGGTTCCTGTTGGTCTTGAATTGTTTGTTTCCCAATAGGAGTTTGGGCTGCAATTCGGAGCATAAATCATTGGATTGCTGAAACGAGTGAAAAGGAAAGAGTTGTGACTCCCAATCAAGTCACAATCCGCCTCTTCTACGGGCCTTGATTTATTTATTTTTATTTTTATTTATTTTTTATTATTGTTGTTCTTCCGTCTCATTGGGAGCATTCTTTATTTCCTCATCCTCTTTCTGGGATTTCTTTGGCATTGCTTCCCCCCTTCCGATTCTATCGTCCTCATAGAATCGGTGAATCGTGTCTCTCGAGTTAACATCTCTCCCTGCGCGGCGTAGGACTGACAGGTTCTCGGCGAGAGGTACACCAGGCCCGCTTGTCGATTTGTTCTCCTCCTTGCGTGCAAGCCCTTCTCTCTCTCTACTTTAATACCTTAAACTACGTTATTTAATCACATCCCATCTTCGTCTCTCTTCTTTTTATCAAGAAAAAGAAAGCTTCCTCTCTACCCCGAAAAGCCCCAGGGGATAATCTTCCCTTCCCCAGCCGTCTAGATCGCATGTTCTGGACTTCTTCCAGGGGTTTGCACAAGTGAAACCGTGAGACCGAGACGCGCTCAAACTGCTCAAACTGTTGGTTTACTTCTCAATCCCTGCTCTGTGGTACACCCGAAAAAAGGAAGAGAGGGGGGAAAGTTGAAGGGAGAGGAGAGAGAAAAAGCGAAGCCTCCAGTCACAAGACCCGAATCCTCATAAGGAATACGCGATCAAAGTCTTCTCAGATATAGCACCGTCGCCAAGCTGGAATCCTACGCAAGCCCGCCGCTCTCCCCTCCGGCGCATTGGTCCCTTGATCCCAGCCCAGTGTGTAGGGACGCTTTGTGGGACCGGCTGGATGGTATGGATGGCGATACCCGGCGCATAAAACAACATGACCAGGTACACTTTGCACCACGGGCAGAAATGACCCGTCGTGCCGTCCCCCGGCCCGCAGGGGCTGCGACAGAGCGGTTCAGGCAGTCGGCCCTCCAGCCAGCACGTGGAGATGCACAGTCACAGGCAACAGGACGGCCCCGGTTAGCAACTTACCTGGAATACGAGTACCCCGACAACGCCTTCCAGGGCGGTTCGTTGCAGCATGACGAGTTACAGCCGTATCCGCCTACGTTGCGCGACCAACAGCGCCAGCAAGTACAGTCGTTCGCCTCCTATGAGCCCGAGATGGTATACAACCTCGGCCAACAAGGACCAACGCAATCCCTGTACGAAGTTGTGCCACAATACGCAGCGCGGCAATCTGCAGCGATGGACACCTTGTCCAGCCAATTTGCCGTTCCAGCCGTTCCACAGTATTATAATGAGCCGACTGGGGCCGGGGTTCCGGCCGTAGGTCCGACCTACCTGGCATCACATATATCTCTCTCTGCTTATAATCAGCAGGGCCCCATTGGCCGCTCAAACACAGCGCAGCCCTTTCCCACAACCATGGCGGACATGACTCCAGTGGGCACAGCTGGACGCCTGGAGCCGTCGCCGCCTCCGCAACAACAGCAACCACAGCCACAACCGCCACCGCCGTCACAGGGAGTATCCGAAATCAACTTGAATGAAGCGTATGGGCAGTTTCATCGAGCGTTGCGAGGGACCTTTGATCATACGCGTGCCGGCCGATTGGTAGAGGCTAGTCGATCACTCTTGGAAATCTCCGAGTGGCTTGTGACTAATGCGCGGGAACTGGGTATGTTTCTCCCCTAGCGTTCTGAGGATTTCTTTACCCACCCTCCCTGAAGCAGTTACCCTTACACTACATGCAGGAAGGGCTCGCTGGGAGTGGCTGCACTGCTGCCAGTCGCCGAGGATGGTTTTTTTCCCCCTCATATATTTTTCAAATTTTTAGAAATTGATCAATTTGTTGATCTTTTTAATTGTTTTTTGTCGAACAAAATCCCGAGCATTTGGATGACTCTAACTCCCACATCCTCTCCATCTTTTATTAGGCATACTACGTGACGATCAAGTTCTTTATTCTGATCGACTGCAATTATGGAATGATTTCAATATCTGCTGGCTGGCTCTCTGCCAGAAGCAAAAGGATTTGACACAAGAGCTACTCCAGACAGGTCGTCAACCGCCCCATACTAGGCTTCTCAGCAGCGAAGTCACGGAGAATCTCGGCAAAGAGCTGATTTCACTATGTGATCGAATCGAGCAACATGGCCTAGTGGACTATCAGATGGGTATCTGGGAGGAAGAGATTCTCTGTGGTAAGCACACCGAAAGTACGGTCGCCGAAGGATAGGAAAACCTGACCGGTCGAGTATTTAGTCCTAGGCCAGTGTTTGGATCTCATGGAAAGCCGACCAGAGGTCCTTCGCGCCCATGCGATCGTCGTCCCTGCCACGGCTACCTCGCGATCCTAAGGGTGCCATGTTCCCTGTTTGGCAAGGATGGGGGGGAGTAGTACTTTTTTTTTATTGAGTTGGGCTACTAGTTTCGACCTAACGCAGGGACTAATTAGCCACTGGGGGTCAAGGCGATCATGCGAAACTATCGACTTCAAGATCTGCTACGGCTGCTGCCATCCTTCATGGTATTTCTTTCCCCACTCTTTTTCCTAATTACGCGAAGACTTTGTTGGCCTAAACCAAGCTGGCTGAAGTCATATGATGTCGCCATTCATTTTAAGGTTGCTCTTCCAGAAGGGCTGGGGATCTCAGGATGCACTCTTCTGTCCCGTCTTTATTGTCCGGATGATAGATCTATCCACTCATGGACAAAAAACTTCTCACCCTTCTCAACACAAAAACACAAAACTGAAGAAAGAAAAATGATAGGGGAGACCTTGTGCAGCATTGAACAGGCTCCTATTTTGTCCACATAGCAGTTCGAGACGTCTTCCGGTCTGTATATACCACTGGGCTTTGCATGGAAAACAGAGATGGACTAGGGCGTATATCGGGAGATTCTTCGGGGATATAGACTATTTTTTTTTTTTTTTTTTTCTGCTTTCTTTTGCTTTCTTTTCTTATTTTGTTGGGCTAGATTGGACGGGATGAGGCATATTACCATGGGTTCCGGGAATTGACAGGTCCAATTTTCAGGATATTTGACCCGAGGGGTTGGTGCTGACGACGCTAATCGACATTCTTCTGAAGCGTGGTGGAATTTCCTTTTCTTTTCCTTCCCTTTCTTTTCTTGACCCCCTCTTTCCCCCTGTTCACAGTTGGTCCTAGGAACGGGAAGTTGGGGCCATTTACTCGTGAGCCACGATCGATCAGGTCCTATTGATCGGGGAAGGATGTATTTGACAGACTGTACGATATTTAGAACATTAAGTATAAGATACCCGTCCTACTGGCGAGAGAGGATTGAGAATAACTAATACCTGGGTAATAATTTGATATGGATGTCAGTTTAGACGCTCTTCTTGTGGTATTGGAAGCAGAGTAATGTTTACATACCCAGGTATATTCCACATCATGAAAAGAGCTATTAGCCAGGCTGAGCATGCATGCATTTAGATCCAATTCGGGTATGAGAGAAAAAACAAAAAAGCAACATACGCTTTGTCTATTCACGCAGCCTCGCGCGAATCAAAAGAACTAAAAGGTGGGTTACCACAACCTGAGTGACTGACCTTCGATTCAGGAAACTATCGCGAGCTCTCAACAGCACTAAACCAGATTAGGATAAGATAAATCGTCTGCGATAAGCAGATAAGGAGGAAATCAATCAGGAGACTAGCGCTAGGTGGCCATGATGGATGTTTTTCTTTTCTTTTCTTTTCTTTCTTGTTTTTTTCGATGCATCTGTATGGAATTGGAATTACTCCTGCATTATAGACCATGTCATAGACTTTATGTATTATTCTAATTTAAATAAGAAGACTTTTTTGCCTTCGTAGTATGTATGTTTGTTTTGTATGTATGGTGTATATTCGTTAGGTCTGTCCATAAGAACCGTGAAATAAGAAGAGCATCAAGTCAACATCTTAAACTACAGGTCGGTCATCGTCGCTATCATAATCATATCCGGTCGAGTCGAATCAAGCAATCAAGTCCAGAATCAATAGAAAAGTAGACACGAAGAGGTGAGGTAGAGGCAAAATTAGAGAATAAGAAAGTTACCAGTCACAGAGGTTAGATTTGATCTGTTAGAACAAAAACTGGTCAGTCACATCCATATCGTATCTTTTTAAAAGGTCAGAAACATACTCAATGTCATGCTCAAGCTCACATCGGTATTCTCTACCATGTCAGTGAACTCCTCGAAGCTGATTTTCCCATCTTGGTCTTTATCCGCCTCCATGATGGTCTTGTCGACGATCTGCTGCAATTGAACGTCCTTCAGATTATTGCCCACCATCATCTTCAACACAATGAACAGCTCGCCATTGGAAATGTATCCGTCTCGATCGATATCGTACACCTTGAATGCGAACCGGAGTTTTTCTTCCTTGTTCCCCTTGGAACTAAAGGCTGATAGTCCCGAAACAAATTCTTGGAAGTCCACGTCGCCGCCGCCGTCTTCATCGAAAATGGCGATCATTCTGCACCGCGGGTTACGTTAGGTGATTACGGGTTGGAATTGCGACTTGGGTTCCCACATACCTGGTGGCGAGTGGGTTAGATGAAACCTGCGGAAGGGAGAGAAATTCGTCCCGATCAATTGTGCCCGAGCTATCCTGTACGACTCATAAGCACAGGGTGCGCGGGGTTCAGTTGACGAGATGTTCTCATGGCGTACTTTGTCTAGCTTCATAAATCGCTTGCGAAGTCGATCAACCTCATCTCGGTCGACTGTTCGGGAGGATCTGAGTCAGTACGACTTGGTCGACTCCTCCATCCTGTGGTGGTCGTGGCCGTGACTTACAGTTGGATGCCGAGACAATGTTATCGAACAGTTGTGACGTGCCGACGGAGCCTCTGCGCCTCCGCGCATCATAAAGGGCGGCATTGTTGGGCGCACCGGGTTGGTCCATCGTGGTGGCAGCAAGAGCACTTTTCAATGGCGGAGCAAGAGGAAAGGATGAGGGAAGTAAGAAGAATATCAATATACCAGGGGAGAGGGGAGTTGTATGGGCGACAGTAACATGCCAAGGTCAGCATGTCCAGCAATTTGATATCAGCTAGCCCCGCACTAACCCGAAACGGACAGGCAAGCGAACCCCTGAGGCCGTGCGCTGCTCCAAAACAGGCCACGGATGGGTGACATTACAACGTCAACTCAACCGCCGGCGTTCGGAATACAAGATTTCAGCCGTCAATATCCCCCCCCCACTCATCAATTTCCATCAAAAACATACGTCTACGCGGTCTCGCATGACCAGATCTATCCGACTATACTAATTTCGGGAACCCTTCGCCCATGGTTGCTGTCTAATACGCGCCCCAAAGCTCGCATGACTAGGTACGGGGGAATGGGGAGGACGCGCCCAAAAAAGCTCACCTCCAAGGCGTCAATCCCCATAGTCCGGGAGCAGGATATAGACATCATCGAGGACGAGGTCCATAATGCCCTCCAACAGATCGAGACTGGCGTTGAGAAGGCGGAGGAGTCGGTGAGTGCTTCCCCACTGACCAAATCTACCTATCCCTGTAACCATCACGTGACATCATCGCGACCTCCGCCCATCGTGAAAATTTCGCTCCCCAGCCAAGGAGGCTTCGGCCAGCACCAGCTAATGCGGTTTGATGTAGGAATTCCATCTTCAAGTCGCGATAAGTGCGACTGCCCGAGGAAAAGTAAATGATGCGCATATCCCGACCCCGGAGACCGTTCTCAGCAATCTCCGATATGACGAGCTCTATCCTCCTATCTTCTCGCAGCCGGCGACGTACATCCGTTTCTCCTCTACTGTAGAGGACTGCTGCAGATGCTCGTATAATATGACTGATGAGGATGACGTATTCCTCAAGATATTTAACCAGAAGCGTGACGCCGCCGGCCGCTGCAGTGAAGACCAGTTTGAAGAAGTTATGAACTTCTTTGAAGAGACCGCGCAGGCCAAACAACCGTTTGCAGCTGTTGATAACCCTCCTGTTCTGAGTTTCTCAGACTTGCAGGAGTCGATGGATGCAGCAGTAGAGGACAGCGTAAGGCGATTCGCCAAAGACATGTACGAGCATTGGAAATCTAGGAGGATGAGTGCCGGCAACCGATCCCTAGTGTCAAACCTCAAGGTAAGCAGTTCCAAGGGAAGTAGCTTCCGTCTAAGTCATCTGCTAAATTCCTGTGTAGTTTGAAACGGGCCAAGATACCGATGACTCGGATCCATATGTCTGCTTCCGTAGGCGGGAAGTGCGCCAGATTCGCAAGACTCGTGGTAGAGATGCTCAGAGCGCCGATAAATTAAGGAGACTCAGGAAAGAGTTGGAAGACGCGCGGCAATTGGTCGCTCTTGTTCGCCAGCGCGAGTTGGCAAGGAAGGAGATGCTCGCAGTTGAACGGCAAGTCTTCTTGCAGCGTTCAGAAGTCAAGGAGATGAAGAGGAAACTCAACATCAAGGATGACGACGAGGATCTCATTAACCAAAAGGTGAGCGCAAGTGCAAGTTCGTCGCTGCTTTGCATCGATACTGATCCCATGGATAGCCAAAGAGGAAACCGGCAGAGGTACCAGCAATGCAACGTCCAGCAGCTCCCCAACTTCGGATGCCCCCAAAGCCTGGTACGCAGGCGTCAGAGGACCTGCAGTTGTTGGAAGATGTTCAAGCGGAGAAAGAGAACGAGATTATACGCGATATCAAGCAAAACATCGCCAAGCATATCAGGTGGAACGAGGGCTATTTGGACCTCACCAAAGTGCCCCTCTCACCGTCTCCTGAGAGAACATTTGATGCTGCTTTTCGGCCAGCGATTACCACTCAATTGCCAACCCCTCCGTCATCAGATTCGTCCGAGAATATGTCGGGTTCGGCTATAGATACCCTGAATTCCTTGTCTTTCCGCGAAACGATGGCTTCCCATTCCATGGTACTAGGCGAAGACACGAGCAAGATGCCCTCATTTAGGAGACGTGTCGGACGTGGTGGACGCCTGTGGATCGATCGTCGAAATCTCGTTTCGCGATGTAGAGTGGAGGCGGATCCTTGGAAAGCCGATCGTTTCAAGTATGACCAGGAGGATTCGGAAGATGAGCTCGAGTATGAATACGACCCGTATGATATTCAGCTTATGCAGCATCGAGCAATGATCGTGGCCAAGGCTCGAGATCAAGCTGCGGCTCAAGCACATGCGCAGGCGCAAGCAGCACAGGCTCAGGCTCAAGCCCAAGCACAGCGACGATTGCAAGCTGATCAAACAGCTAACAATCCAACAAACACGGGGCACACAATGGGGTCAAAGCCCGGGCCTGGTGCCGTTGCCCCTGTATCCGAGACTTGAGCTGGGCTTTTGTTTTTCTCTCCTCTCTTCCCTCTTATTCTTTTAATACCTTGCACTCTTCTTTTCTTCCCTGTTTGTGCATTTGGCAGGCGTTTCACCAGCTGTTTTTCAAACCCCTTGTACTTTTACTCCCTGACACTTTGATTTTGACATGCCCATCCTTTGCCTTATCAACCCATACCCACCGACCTATTTGCTCTTCGAGCGCCGTGAAGCAAAGAAAATTCAGGATAATGTCGCAGATGAATGCCCTTTTCTTTTTTCTTTTTTATGACATGACCCTGTTATGCCATTGTCAGTGTACATAGTGATCCTTTCTTCATTTTTCTTGTTAAACCGATCAGTCGATAGACTTTTGTATGGATAGCGAAGCTATGAAGTCAGCAATGAAGAAAACATTTAATACCAAATATAAGAATAAAAAGACTTTTGTTGCCACATCGAGAATCGAGCACCTGTTGTTGACTGTCTCAGGGTTTCGGAACCTTACTCCTCCTTAACGCATCGTTCTCGCCATTCGCAGTTCTCTTCGACGTCGAGCCTTCGCCATTTTGAGTTGAATCTGTGGCATAATCGTTGAGCAAAGTGGATAGAATGTGCAAAATCTCCTTCTCTCCCAAGCGGACCTGAATCGCCATTTTCCGTCGACGAGTGGATTCCTCTAGGAGACTAGAAGTTTCCGATTGGCCCAATTGTGCCAAAAGCTCTTTATCTTGCGCGACGGTCGTTGCGTACTGTGCCTGTAGAAGTTGAATTGCCTTTGAAAGTATGACAGCTTCTGCATGGCCAAAGGATGCCTTTGGAGGTTTGTTCTTGGATATTTGTTGTTTAAGTTGTGTGGGTGAGAAGGTCAGAGCCTTGAGCAACAGGACAAGTTCATCTGGAAGGATGTTTGCCACTGAATTCCCTTCTGACGGTCTAGGGATAACATAGCCATCGTCAAGTAGTTCCAAGTCCTCAATAAATTGAAGCTGTGGCTACAAGTTAGTATCTGTATAAGAACTATTTTCTTGCAGGAGTAGTAGAAAGCAAAATACCGAGGTTTGATTTTCGACATCTGCATTTTCAAGGCCTGCAGCTTTGCAAATCAGCTCCAGCGGCATCTCAATAACGTCGTAAACCGCGTAATTCTCTGTTACATAGCCGTATCGTCTCAAGAGATCTGCACGTGGGATTTCCCCATAGTCATTGAAAATTTCGTTGCCGTGGCTGATGGGTTTAATGGCTTTCATTACTAGGGAGTCTTCCTCCTGGAAAAGACGGGCCTGTAAAATCGATTATTTTTGTAAGCAAGGGCACTTGAAAAGTGGAGGTGATCTCTCTTAACGGAGCTCACATTGTTTCGATCCGCATCAGCGTTGAGGAGATCCGCCAAAGGAACCATACCCTTGGGCAATTGTTCTTCGTCCTCGTCAGTCATATAGCCGCTCTCTCCCTCGTCTTCTCCTTCATGTTCTGATTTTTCAATGTCGAAGGCGTAAGCCATAATCAGGGAACCCATCATATGGGCGAGGCTAAGAAGTGATTGAGTACCGACGTCACCATCGTATGAGGAAAGCCCATTAGTTGGGGGGAAAAGGGTTGGATTATTTCGCACAATAGGGGCAATCATTTCTAAGATCGATTCGTCGGCACTCTGCTTTCCGATCTTGTCAACAATAGCGCTGCCCTGAAGCTCCTGAAGCTCGGATGCAGTCCAGAACATCAGGGTGTCAAACTTTCGAGGAAGCACCTTGAAGTACTCAGCCCACGTCGATTGGTCTCCGAGAAGATACTCGTAGACCATCACTAGCATAAGAGACATCCATGGACCCAGTTCTTCCAGATCGTGAGAAAGCAGATCCTTCAACTTGGAATTCTGGGTCGATAGAACGAGTTCGCGGGGAATTGTAAAAAGCTCTTCACCTTCGAGTATGTCGGCCTGAGCGACTAATTAAGTGACGATTGTCCATCAGAAAGACACTTCCGCAAAACACAATATTTCAATACGTTAAAACGAATATATCGGGGCGAGATATTTCATTCTCGGAACGTACCAACGCCTCTGCCGGCAGCCTGGGATCTCAAATCCGCTATATGGATCTTTGGGTTAACCTTGACACCTGAGCTTCCCGAGAGCCAGTTCAGAAACTGGTCAGTCTGATTCTGGAAGTCATTAGGGTTAGGAAAATGGGCAGTGGAAGACATGGTGCATTGATGAGGGGGGTTAAGGAAATAATAAAACTGGAATAATAATAATTCGGCAGATCACACCACGAACAAATGAGAGCTGTCCGACTCCACAGAGCTTTGGGGAGGAGGAAGGAAGCAAAGAAACCAAGACAAGAGGATCAATTCCAACGGAGGGACAGCAGACAAAGACCGATCAATAATTCTGCAGGAGAAAAGTGTGTGTCAAAGTGGGCGAGAGGAAGTGGGTAAGTCGACTAGGACGGCTTTGTTAGGAAGCAGAAGTAGAAGCGTTAATTAATAGTACTCTAAGAGAGTAAGTAGGTAGTAATCAACCGTCCGTATTGGGTATCCTTACCGGATAAACGCCCGCGCCAATCGATAACGCTGGCTATAAAAAAAGACCCCACCAATATTCCCACGGGCTCATGTCAATGCAGTGATTTTGTAAAGGACTCTGCTTGAGATTCCTGAGGACGAACATTCTACCATCTCTCTTCACCATGATTGCTGTCGGTATGGAAGGTTCCGCCAACAAGCTTGGCGTGGGCGTCATGTTGCATCCCGACGATAGCAGCGCTGCCCCCCAGGTTCTGGCGAATATCCGTCACACATATGTCTCTCCTCCCGGCGAGGGCTTTCTCCCCAAGGACACCGCCCGACATCATCGATCATGGGTGGTCAAGTTGGTGAAGAAAGCGCTCAAGGAAGCCCACCTGTCCATCGACGATGTGGATTGTATCTGTTATACGAAAGGCCCCGGCATGGGTGCCCCTCTTCAGAGTGTTGCGGTTGCGGCCCGGATGCTGAGCTTGCTATGGGGGAAGCCGCTGGTGGGTGTGAATCACTGTGTCGGACGTATGTGTCTTCTTTAAATTTTGGGTCTCCTGGCTTGGACGCGGTATCGCGATATTTTGCGCTGGGCCCCACGTATAATCAATCGCTAACAACCCATGCAGATATTGAAATGGGCAGACTTATTACGGGTGCTACCAACCCGGTTGTTCTCTACGTCTCCGGAGGAAACACACAAGTAATCGCGTATAGCTCGCAGAGGTACCGCATCTTCGGCGAGACTCTTGACATCGCAGTGGGCAACTGTTTGGATCGGTTTGCGCGAACGTTGCACATCTCCAACGATCCAGCACCAGGATATAATATTGAACAGTTGGCGAAAAAGGGACAGAAATTGGTGGACTTGCCATATACAGTGAAGGGCATGGACTGCTCATTTTCAGGTATCCTGGCGGCAGTCGACGGATTGGCGGCAACATATGGGCTAGACGGTCGAGAGAAGAAGAGCGACGAGAGTGCAAGTGATCCTGATCGGCCGACCCGCGAGGATCTGTGCTTTTCGCTCCAGGAAACAATTTTCTCTATGCTGGTTGAGACCACTGAGCGTGCCATGGCTCATGTCGGGTCAAAAGAGGTTCTGATCGTTGGTGGAGTTGGTTGCAATGAACGGTTACAGGAGATGATGGGGATAATGGCTCGGGATCGCGGAGGCAGTGTGCATGCGACAGATGAGAGGTTCTGTATCGACAACGGCATTATGATTGCGCAGGCTGGCTTACTCGCATACAAGACCGGGTTTACAACTCCATTGAAAGATTCTACCTGTACACAACGCTTTCGGACGGACGATGTGTTTGTCAAATGGAGAGATTGACTCGGTTAACGTCATCTTGCTTAAATACTATGTTAATCTCGCGAAAACTGATCCATATTTCTACAGACGGTATTTGGATGCTACCCCACTAAAGGGTCCATTTTTGCAAGTACGCTGAGAATGCTGCTTACATAGATTGGCAAAGAACCACACATCTACTACATATTGATATAATTTACTTCTATTGTTTCAACCCCATGAATAGAAAAAGCCTTTATAGCTCCAGGGTAATCGGTAAAAGGGGAGTGTGAAGGCAATATGAGCATCAACAACGTTTCAGTCCTGAGAAATAATACTGGGCATTGACATGGACGTTGTGCATTCGCGTGTAATTGGAGTGCACCAAAGCATATGCAACATAATAACTTAGCGTTTAAGAAAATAAAGAAGAAAAAAGTGACTCCAAGACCAGAGCTTAGATGCCATGTGATTCTCACCGCTGATTCGGAATTTTTCTGGAATCTTTAGGAGAAACACCTTTCAATGCCGCAAGTAGTCTGATACTAAGTATTTGGCTTCCGGCAGAGGCTTAAATCGCTACCAATCATGCCTTAAATGGTGTTTCACCCCTTTAAGGAAATATCATAGCATGAAGAGGCACTTCCATACGGAAAGAACTCCATCACAATCAACAAGCACCTAGTGCAACCTCATTGCAACAGGTTTCTTTGAAGACCTTAGGGAGATTCAGTGCTCACTGACATACTGTCAGCTTGACAATAAGGGTAGTGCTTCTGCTAGTCGAGTAGGGGAGTGAGATGTACAGTTGTACAATGGCACCTCTTCTAATTACACACTAACCCGTGATATCACTTGTTGGCTTATACAATATTGTAGTTACGTACTGCACACGAGCATATCAGCAGATGCTTCGCGCGAAATTCACAAGTGGAATAGCTTACCTTGCGTTTGTATCGGGTGGTTACACTGGTGGCGAGTACGCCATTCTTGATGCTGCTTGTCGCGAGATGGTTCAGAACGGTGTGATTAGGATAATTTAGAACACTGCTGTCGTCCTTCATCGGTGTGGTACCGTTTAATATCGACTTTCCTAAGAAAAGTGGAAGACTCAGCGGTGTAGGAGCATCACTAATGATATTGACGGCTTGCTGATAAGCTGGACTTTCCTGAGTTTCATCCTCCCTATCCAAATCTACAAGGAATTGCGGGATGACACCGCGGAAATCTCCAGGGGGAATCTCCTCTGGTTCCTCCTTCTCGGATTGGTCTTCAACGGTGGAGTCAACCCGAGAGGCTCCCATCGGATCTGGAAGGACTTGGGGCGGGTGAACACCGGGAGGAACGGCACTCTGGGATGTCCTGTCGCTCTCTCTCCGCGATCGATTGACATCATCCGCGCTCACTTCGATGTAGTTTACCAAGTGATTTGTGAAGTCAACTGCTGTGGGAAGATTGTCTGAGGCTCTCATCTCACCATCCACGATAAACTTCAAGTGGTGTGTTCCTGGACGGAGGTTTAATTTTGCTGACATAGTTCCAGGGCTAATTTCACTGTTAGAAAGTTCCATTAGTCTTGTTGGAGTTGTAGTGTATGATGCGCATTCTGGGCCGACACAAAACAAAAGGAAAAGAAAAATGAAAGGAAATAGGGGTCAAGGAAACCTCATCGTCGTGTCGAAAGGATATACAAAGACAAACATACCTTTTGTGTAGACGGAATTTTTTTTCCCAATTAACAAAGGTTCCAGTAACGTAGACTTTATCACCCGGAGCAGTCCATTCAATTAGTGTCGGAACGGCTCTCCCTACACCACTGGGCTGAAGCTCATCTAGCGTTTCATCATCCTCGGCAACGGTACTGCTTAAATTTGAGTCCCCGTGGCCCATACTGTTATCCAACCGCGGATCAGAAGGAGGGGAGCCCATATAAGAATCATCTGGCCCAATGATGGGCGACCCGGGCGTAGTTGTGGCATCTCCGATCGGCAAGGGCAATCGAGGGGGACGCTGGAGATGAGTCGACGTATTGTAATAAGTATTGTGAGGTGGAGCAGAAGGGGCCATAGACTGATAGGGATCACGCCTAGAGGTAGACCGAGAGACCGGAACCTGGACGGGATTGGAAGGATCGGGCGAGGAGATGTCCTTGGGGCGAGTATCTGGCTTCTTCGATTCTTGAACATTTCGTGCCGCTGATTCTGGGGAATTGTAAGATTGGAGACGCTTTTGAAGCGAAGATTGGGCTTGCGAACTCGGTTGTCCCGTTGCAGTCTCTTTGGAGGCCGAAGGGTCGGCCGCGGTAGCTTTCGTAGTGCCCGATAACGTATTGAGTGATGGCCGACGGTTCACTTTCTTGTCTGTAGTATTCGGAGGGCCGGAAGGGCTCGAAGTGGATGGGGCATCTCCGGTAGGGCCCTTGGAGGGATTGTTGCCCATCTGGAACCGGGGGGATCACAAGAGGGGTGAGACAGGGAGGAGAGGGACGAGGATTTTCGAAAGGAATTTAGAACACCAGCATCAGAGGAACAACTCTGTAAGTCAAAAGAGGGAATAAACTAGATAAGATAGGAGAAGAAGAGGGGAAATAACACAGTTGACTGGGTGACGTGGGGGAGAACACGCTGTGGTCGTGATGATGATGATGTCGATGTTGATGTCCTCAGAAGGTAGATCCCTGGCCAGCTTTGTCCACTTAGGGCTTAGGGCTCGCTCCGGTACAGGTCTGATATCGACCGTTATGTCCGTCATTCCTCACTTTGCTACCTTAAGATAAAAAATGCAAAATTGTATACATGAATGTACCCTGTTCTAAAGCTGCATTGGCTTCCCTCGTAGAATTTAACCAGTAGAATATGGGCGTGGTGCCTTCATTATCAGATATAGTAGACTCATAGTATTTCGGTCTCTTTGATTCTGCTGAAGCGGACCGCCTACGTGGGTCGACTAGAACAAGGGCGGCCAAGGAGGAGTCCTGTCAACAAGGTACATACCGTCTTCCATAATCCTACTATATTAACTTGGTAGTTTATAGGACTGCCTTATAGTTGGCTGAAACGGGACACAGCATGGCATCTTGGTACTATCTGTAGTACTACTCGCGATCGCAATGGCCTGGTCAACAGTGTCCACCGTGCTGTCTATGACTGCTTATCCTATTACCTATCTTGTGTACGCTGGATTTGGTGTCTTGCAGATATTAGTCACACCGCTTGTATGGGTTGGACGTTATTGCGTACAACTCGCTCTTCTGCCATTAAGAATCCTAGCTCGACTTCAGGTCAGTGAGATATCCAACCTTCTTTTGCGCCGTCAACGGCTCTAGTAGCTTATCTTTCCCAGGCGCTTCTCATCTTCGTCACAGTTGCCGGAATTACCGGGATCGCTCTCGGACTACTCTTGCATTATACCACTACTTTCATTGTCGAGATGGTCAGCCAATGGCTGGAGGGGTTTTGGACACCTTCTCACAAACCAAAACACAATGTCCCGGGTCTCTACCCTGGTGAAATATCCAAGGAATCAAATACTTTAAAGCTTTCCGGTGACCATGTGAAACAACGTGGTAGGAGATACCTAGGAACTCGGAGGGAAGGTGAACCTTCTGCATCTACTATGTGGGAAGAGGAGGAAGAAGACAGTCAGGATTCCGAAGAATGAGAGAACTTGATTGATGAGAGCTAGTTGTCAGTTGACATTGGATATAGAGATGTTCTGTACATACAGGGTACCCTCCCCCGTGGGTTGGTACTATAGAAATAAATTCCTGGGAAAATAAGATTATCTGTAGTAAAATATAGGTATAGAGAAACCTACTAGTATGGTGGATACGAGTATAATATCCCGACGTCATCTCCGACTCCGCACTAAATTGCGACTCATCAAACGGGACCATTTCTACAAACGGCAGAAGATAGACGTGGAGATCGTCACCAAACCCTTCGGTCCCCTTTCTTTCTTATTCTGCAAACTTGTCGTCTCTTTCCTTCCCTTAGCAACTCTCAATCTTCTGCGTTGGACCTCTTTTTAACTTCTAGTACCCCCTGATGGGATCCCCACAACATACCCACGCTATCTATCGATCGGTCCAACCATGAACTATTTCTGATAAGAGCAGAGCCACAGATATTGCCTAGTCCATGACACTTATACATACTGCCTGGTCGTTCTAGCTTGCTCTGAAAATTTACTGCGATCGCTTCTTTCTCTTCTTCTTTTTGTCATAATTTCCCTAGACTATCTCTCCGGTCGCGTCGTGATTTTACTCCCCAAAAAAAAAAAAAAAAAAAAAAGGGGGGAGGGGCAATGAGTTTTCATCGGCCACTCTGGCGAGTGCGAACTTTGCTACTGGCTGTAGTTCTTGCAGCTTTACTTACTTGGTCTCTAAGAATCTGGAGATACAAGGTAGAGCAACCGCAAGTAGCTAGTCCTATAGATGAGACATCAGCATACAAAGGGGTCGAACTTGATCCCCAGGGCCATATTCGTTTCTGGAAACATCTCCAGCATCTTTTGATCGTCAATGAACCAAAGGGCGAACCACCAATGCGTCTTGGATCGGCACCATCCATCAGATTTGAAGAGACGGACCCGGATTTCCGACCGGAGGTGTTAGACATGCTCCCAGATGACATAGAGGGTATGAAGGAGGCGCATAATGGATTCGTCGAAGAGATAACCAAGAATCCACCCAGGCTGCATTATGCTCCTAACACACGAGGGGTAGTTTCAACGGCAGGTGGTTCATACTTGCCAGTGTTGGTGATTTCGCTCCGGATGTTGCGATCGACAGGCTCAGAGCTGCCGGTTGAGGTCTTCCTCGCAAACGATGACGAATATGAAGAATACATATGTAATGTGGTTCTGCCTTCTTTGAACGCGCGGTGTATGGTGCTCTCCCATATTCTCGACGCGGTTCCAAGGGCCATGGAAATCCAGAAATACCAGTTCAAACTGTTTGCTATGCTGTTCTCCTCCTTTGAAGAAGTCCTATTTCTGGATGCCGATGCCTTCCCAATACGGCCTCCAGAATCGCTGTTCACGAGCGAGCCTTTCAAGTCGAAAAACATGGTCACCTGGCCGGATTTTTGGGCGGCCACTGTGTCGTCATATTATTACGAAATCTCCTCCCAACCAGCTCCCCCCAGGGCTGTTCGACAATCGAGTGAATCGGGTGAGGTGCTACTGTCGAAGAAAACTCACTCAAAGACCCTCCTCCTCAGCACGTATTACAATGTCTGGGGCCCCGATTTATATTATGCATTGCTGTCGCAAGGTGCTTCCGGGGAGGGGGACAAGGAAACATTTGTCGCAGCTGCCTCGGTGCTTAAAGAACCTTATTATCAGGTATCTGAGCCCATTTGCGCTATCGGTCACCGTATCAAGGGTGGTATGGCAGGTTCTGCGATGGTGCAATTCAATCCTGTCGAAGACTTCGCATTGACGCAGAAGGGAGAATGGCGTGTGCATGGGTCAAAGGCACCCGCACCTCGAGCGTTCTTTATTCATGCGAACTTCCCGAAATTCAACCCCGCCACTGTTTTCGACAAGCAGGACGTCAACCCAGCATTTGACGATGATGGCGGCTACACGCGCGCATGGACAATCCCTGAGGATGTGGTCGAGAAATTGGGCGTGGATGTGGAGAAGCAATTCTGGAAGGAGATTCTTTGGACCGCCTGCGAGCTTGAAAACAAGTTCAAATCCTGGGAAGGCCATAAAGACACCTGTCAAGGAGTCAAGAAGTACTGGAATGCCATGTTCTCGGACTCCAAATCGACAGGCTAGAACGAAGTCTTTGGATTTTCTGGCGATTGTGTAGGAACATGGCCTTGCCGCGTGAGATATTGGCAATCTCCAAAACAGCAGCTGGTATGGACCTCCATTTATTCCCGTGTCAGCTCAAGAACCTCATGGCACTACCAGAACTGAGCGAATTTGGCTGTATGCACCACATATCCCATTGGCGTCTCCGTCCAAGGATGAATTCCCATCCTGATTTGCAGATACCTCTGCACATATCAACTACCGACTGGCATTTGCCATTCCCATCTAGACTGAATTTAGCAGGACAAGGGGCCGAACTAAAACATACTACATCCACATTATTTACTGCATGATCTGTCTTCTACATGAGCCATTCATCGTGGCGGGTACCATGGTGATTTGTGGCTTTTTTTGACAGTGAGGGGGTATCACTAAAGCGGCTATAAGCTGCAGCAGAGCTTCACAAGCTGGCTCGCTCCCTCCTTTGTATCAATCTAAGTCATGAAATACAAGAGGGGGTGTCTTTGTTCACACATTCTGATTTCAATTTCCGAGTTCTGCATACTGTATTTTGAGTCACTTGATGTTATATATTTCTAATATTGTATAAAAATTTGTACTTGCACATATTCTATATAATTTACAAGGAGGTGACTTTTCTCTATATCTGATCTAATAACACAAGATGGCAAAAAAATGAGATATCGACGACTTAAACATGCTGTTTACTGCTGGCGCGGACCTAATCCCGATCCTGGACGCATTATCTTTTTTGCATCGCGTCGGCGAATAGGTCCTTACAGCGCACTTGGCTTCCCAGCCTTGCACAGAGCAAGAACGCCCCGCTGAGCTTCCGGTGCAAACTATAAGTTTCCTCTGGAGGAGGCGTGAGTCGCTCTTGGATCATGACGGGAATCAGATCGCGCACACGGTCCGTAATCGTCTGGTTTCTGAAATCGTAAACACCGGGAGAGGAGTCCATGAACGGCTCCGCCAGGGTGAGAATCGACGTGACATGCGCATCCACCATGGCTTTCGACTCATGGCCGGTCAGATACCCCAAGTCAATAGATAGATGGTGACAGGTCTCCCGGTCGTTGCGGGAGGCCGCGGCCAGAGTCTGGACGTATTTCGTGATGAATTCATCGGGATACTCGCGCGAGGCGCCAAAATCTAGAAGTTCTAAACGGTTGGTTTGCGCGTTGTAGAGGAAGTTGGTCCAATTTGGGTCCGTCTGCATGTATTTGAATTCGGCAATTTCTCGCAAGCACAGGCGCAGAATCTGGGTGCCGATCCAATTGCGCTGCGCTTGGGTGAAATCCTGGATCTTGGTGACGGCAATGCCATCCAGACGCTCCATGGTCAAGACCTGCCTACCCGAGGCCTCGGGGAAGATTTCGGGAACTAAGAAGACGGTGTCATCCTTGAGGAGATTTCGAAAGCGGTTGGCGCTTTCGGCCTCTCGGATGTAATCGCATTCCCATGCGAGTTCCGTTCGAGCGTTGGCGATTGTTTTATCCAGGTAGAGGCCTCGAGGGAGGAGACGGGATGCCGTCAGGAGAATTGATAGATTGTTCAGATCCGAGTCAATGGAATCCGCCACACCGGGATACTGGACTTTGACCGCAACCCGCTGACCGGTCCTTTTGAGCACGGCTCCATGGACTTGACCGATTGAAGCCGCAGCCATGGGAACATCATCGAAGGAAGAGAATAGGTCACGCCAATTAGAACCTAGGTTATCGGCTAGAACCTTGTCGCGCTGGGAGGCTGGCATGTAGTCTGCCCGGTCTTGGACCCGCTGAAGGACTATTTGAATTGATTCCGGAAGCATTTTGGCGTCTACTCAAAGAAGTTAATCACATGGAAAGGAGTATTCCACTTCACGAACCTTGAAAGCTGAGCATTTGCCCTAATTTAAGTGCAGCTCCGCGCATCTTCGAGAGCTTGGCCACGAGGCGCTCCATGTTTCCAGCGTTAAACATGAGTGATCCAGAATTGTCCTCATTGCCCCTTGTCACCCTTTTCAGGCCCTCCCCGACGGCTCCAAAGGCCATGGACGTCGCCAGTCCGCCATATTGCCATAATCTGCCTAGACGGGATGACGGAATGCGGGACTCGACCATCGTATAGGCGTCGCGTTGATTCAGGTCCGCTACAGTTTCTGGGGTTGTCTAAATTGTCAATGCGCTTATGCCTTCATTGTAGAGTGTCGTCGCTTACGCACTTTTGGTCCAGTTGAGCCTATGTCGTCTGTACCACCCAACCCGGCATTTCCAATGCTTTCCTGATCCAACTGTTTAACCTCCCCTGTACAAGGAATCGAAGTTGAGTTTACCGCCGGCTTCCTGGAAAGGATCCTGGCAACTCTAGGGCTGTGGAAAATCTGATTCACCATATCGTCCGATACACCTTCTTGCTTTGCGGTCGGCTCTTCGGAGCCTGCGGACGAGTGGAAAACATCTGCATTGATCTCATTCTGGAAGCGACTTTGTTGCACCTCACTGGTTTGGGGTAATTTAACCCTGGAAAGACCTGATAGGTCCGGGGTTGACCGTTGAGACGGCCTGTAGGATACGTCCTTCTGCCTGCTGATGTCCACATTGCTCACCTCATCCTCCACGGTATGTTTTGCGGCAGTTGCAGGAATCTGGAACTCCGACTGTTGCTGGAATCCCTTTCCTTTCCGTTCCGGGTTGGCCGGACGGGCAAGGTCGGCGGACTGGGAATTGGGCGAGGGCGCAGAAGGAAGGGGCTCGTTGAATCGCTTTGCCAGCGCCGCGGCTGCCTGAGCGGTCAGAACCAGGTCATCGGCCTGGCTTTTGATCCCTTTAGTGAGCGAAGAGGTTCTCGTGAAGATATCCAACTGATCCTGGCGCACGGCCAGGTGCTTCACTGCAATAGACTTGGCGACATTGAGGAGTTGGATCACGTCCAGCAGACGCTTGCCGGACATAGTACTATCGATATATGCTCTAGTCGCGAGAACCCAGGTGGACTGGCTGCCTACCGTGCATGCATGCTGGCGTGAGGTATTAATGAATTAATGAATTGTTTCGATGATCGGCCAAGTCATGTGCGCAACAGTTCCGAAGCGGGTCGCCGCTTTCTGTCGTTCCCCACCGCCTGCCCGGGTTGATCCGAGTCGTTATCAGGGAATAGGAATTGGGTAACCAGATTTTATAGATAAAGATGCCCATTCCCTGAAAAACCCCCCCCCCCTTCTTCTTCTCTCTCTCTCCACTATCATGGTTCTTCCCAGAGAATGTCTTAATGCCCGGCAAATCTATCCTACAGGATCTAGAGAAAGAGGTCGCTGATCTCGAGTATCGTTTACACAATGCGAGAACCCGTCTAGCCCTGGCCTCGGAACCTCTGGAGAGTGGCGAATCCTCCTCCTATCTGCCTCTTCCTGCCGGTAAGTGGGATCAGATCGATTAACCAAACCTGGTTGGCATGTCGATCAGGAAACGCTGACAAGAGTTTCCTTTACCCCTAGATGTGGTACCGTTAGTACCCACCCACGCGCTGCTGTTGCTGTCCGATTCCGCCCTTCCGTTAGGTTCGTTCGCATACTCAAGCGGCCTGGAATCTTACCTGGCGCACAACAAACCTCTCCCCCGCTCGGTCACGCCTCTTGCTTCCTTTCATCGTTTTCTCAAGCTGTCGATAACTTCGATTGCAAGCACCTCTATCCCGTACGTTCTTGCTGCGTTCCGGAACCCGGGCGATCTAGAGACCCTGGACAACGATCTGGATGCGTCGACGCCGTGCGTCGTGGCGCAGAGGGCGAGTATCTCCCAAGGGAGAGCGCTGATTAGCGTGTGGGAGCGAGCGTTCCGGGGCACTTATGCTTCAGGCCCCTTCTTAGCCGGCATCGCTGCTGCCCAAGCGGTAAAAGCCATCGAGTCTTTCGGAGACTCTCTCAAATCCTCCCTGGGGGATGCGAATGATCTGGGCCCCAAGGGCCATTTCGCACCCCTGTGGGGGGTTGTCTGCCTGGCCATGGGCATGGACGCCTACCAGACCGCGTATGTTTTCCTTTTAAACCATGCGAAGGCCGTTCTCAGCGCCGCGGTCCGCGCGTCTGTTTTGGGCCCCTACCAGGCACAGAGCGTTCTGGCCGGTCAACACCTCCAAGACATGATCACGGAGCGCTTAGACCGAGAATGGGAGACGCCCGTAGAGGATGCAGGGCAGGCGGTACCTTCGTTAGATCTTTGGATGGGCAGGCATGAACTTCTTTATAGCAGGATATTTAATTCATAATAACACACGATCTATTCCAATGCGTTGATTGACTTAAGAAAACACAAAACAATGCCTTCGGCGACATGACTCCATAATATCGATGCATTTCATCATGCTTTCACATCCGTCAGTTCCAAGCTAATCCTACATCTCGCACCTTGTTTTCCCACCCAGATGCCAGTCGAAACTGGCGTGGGCATCCAAGAATATCCTCATTCCCGCGAGGGATGAGGAAGGAATGTATAAAATAATAAAAATAATAATAAGAGGAAAATGGAAAGAAAAAAATATAAAAAATAAAAGAAATATAAAAACAACAAACGGGAACCCGAAGGCCAGAAGATCCGCCACAATATGCAAAGAGAACTCTGCTCAAGAGAACAAGTCGAACGCCGGGCCGTCTGAAATCCCATCCTGCTAAACCGCACTCAGAAAAACACCGCACCATGAACCTTTTTTCCATGATTTAGAAGGACAAAATGGTGAGATATAAAAATCAAGTAATAAAATAAGGTAAGGGGGAAATGAGCGGGGGAAGAAACGAGCAGACAGAAGGTAATAAAAAAATTATGATACACGAAGAACTTGGGGAAAGACCACACGTATAACACATCAGAGGGTAATATGCATGTGGTCATTATTTCCAAATGATCGGTTGCAATTCGGGCACTTTCGAGATCGAGAAGTGAGACGTTCTTCAACACATTGCTTGCAGAAAACGTGGCCGCAGGTCTTGATTGCAGTGTTCTTGAAGTTTCGGCGACAGACAGTACATAGAGCAAGAGTCTAGAGTAAAGTTAATACAGAACCATATATAGATATATAAGCCAAGTGCCGTACAGGGAAAACATACTCTCAGCATTTCATATTCGGATGACGAGCTTCCAAGGCTCTTATTCTTCCAAGTGTCCAGACTCTTCTTGGTATCCGCGAGTGCTGCGTTTAAGCCTTCTACCTCCGCTTCAGCTTGACGGCAGGCGCTGGAAGCATTGGCCAGGGATGTATCTTTGGAGACGGACAACGCCTTCAATTCAGAGATCTGTCCTCGGAGGCCATCCATAGCGATACCGTTCTCTGTGAGCTGCTGTTGTGCGCCGTGATACTTAGCGGCCATTGAGTTCAAAGCTTCTTTCGTCTCGCTGACTTGTTTCTCCATGTTAGACAGCAGAGATCGAGTGGCGGCCTCTGACTCCTTCAGTTGCGAGACAATATCCGAACTCTTGGCGTTCTGCACCCTCAGAGTGCGGACTTCCATCTCCCGCGCTTCCTTGCTTTTCATAGCAGCGAAATACTTCTGATCGGCTTTGGATTTCTCGGCGATAAGGCGGGCTACCTTCTCTTCCAAGGCGCTGAAATCCGTGACTTTCTGAGAGGCCAGTGAGGAGTATTTCTTGCATGCTGTTTGCATGGACGTCAATTCGGTGTTGAGCATCGAATACTGGCGCTCCAGATTTCGGTACTTGGCACGTAACTCTTCAACCGGGATGTCGTTGGCATCCGCTTGTTCCGTCCTTGTACTTTCCAACTGCAGGCGCAGTCGTTCCACCTCGGACTCCAATGACACAATCCGAGCATTCCCAGCGTCCGCAAGCTCCTGAACCTTGATAGAAGCGGTCTTTTCTTGCTCCTGCGCAGCCTTTCGCATCTGCTGGTCGGCCAAGAGCTCGTCACGTGCATTCCGTATCCGCGCCAAATCGGTCTCCGCCCGCATCAATTGCGCCTCTTTTTCGGCGATGACACTTTGTGTTTCCTCGTCAACCTGGTTGCGGTACGCGGTGCGTTCCGATCGTAGTTTGACAGCCTCTTCACGTAACTGCACATTGGTGGCTTCCAGATGGTTTATCCGTTTAATCACATCATCGTATTGCGATCGCAGATGTTTAAACAAATCCGTGTGCGCGTAATCGTCGTCTGTAAGTTTGGTGCGCTAAGGAAACAAAGTGGGTTAGGCCGAACGAATTCTCGCAGCCAAGCATGAAGGACAAACCTTGATATTCAAATCAGTAATTTGACTAAGCAAACTAGCATTTTCAGTCTCCAGTTTTTTTATCTGCTCCTTTTGTTTTTCTGACATAGCCGACAGTTTGAGGTGTGCTTCGTCCAGGTCCGGACTGCGCTCACCACTAGGGGTTGTACCATTAACCGGAGATTGTTCCTCTCGTGGACCAGACGCACTATCGCCGCCGGGTCGCTGAGCGCCAAAGATGACCTGTTTCTCTAACTTGGCGACAGTCAAGCTCCGTGCGCGGTCGAGTTTCTTCTCGGCTACCATGTATCGCAAGGAAGCCTCCTCTAAGCTTTCTTCCAGCTGTTGCTTTTCGGCAAGCGCTTTTTCAAGCTCTGCAATGGCCCTCTTCTCTTCCGCCAATTTCTTTGCTAATTGGTTTTGCAGCTCTGAAACGTCGGGTGCAACATTTGGCGATGTAGCACGAAAACCTGAGATAATCTCGCGGATATCATCTGATCGGGATTTTAGATGTCTCTCAAAATTCTCCGAGTCATCAAACAGCAGGGAACTTTGAAAATCAGAACGCCCTGGAAATGGTTGTTAGACTGGGTATCCTCAAAAATAAATAAATAAATAAATAAGCATTGATCGACGAGAACTTCCACCCACCTTTGCTGCGATCCGATGTACCCATAAGTATTTTGATTTCATCGATCAACTTAATCATTGATTCTTACGTTAGATCACGACTATAATATATCATACGCAGTCCAATGCGGCGGGATGCACTTACCTGGTTATACCACGAATCAATAACACGGAGGTGTTCATTGTGATATGCGGTAGCTTTAGACATCTCCTTCAATTTGGACTCAAGGGAGACCTTCTCGCGCTTGTATTCCTGCATCTGGCGCCATATCGCATCTTTCTGAAATCGCTATCAATGAAAAAAAAAATGAAGTCAACAAACAATGCCCGCTAACCATTTCCGCAGGGGATTCTGCGCTCAAATACTACTTAGAGAATCCTTGGGATAAGGCGTGGCTCCCCAAACGGATGGGAGGGGAGGGGACTCACCTCCAAATCGTCTTTCCAGGGCATGTCAGCATCAGGGTGGGGTTTGCCGCCACCACCATTGAGGGAAGTTGCTTGCTTCTTCAATGGTGGTGCCGACTCATTGGCATCATACGTGGCAGCTCTCTTCCGGTCTTCCATCTTGACAAAACCGGACTCGGAGGGAGCGACGTGGGATGCTTCGGTGGCCGGCATCAGTGGCTAGAAAGAGGCATACGCAGAGGGAGGCCGTCACCACCGCGCAGCAACAAGCCGGGATCAGAGAGCACAGCAGACTGCGACCGTAAAATAGGACAGGGGGAAGCGATGGGGGAAGGGAGAGGGGTGGAAGAAGTCGAGATAAGCAAGACTTGGATGAAGCCAGGAGGATTTTCGGCTTGCGAGTTAGCGTCGCCCTAGCGCCGCCCACGTGACCAAGCCCGCCTTCCCCGGCCGTTCAGACAAACGAACGAACGGCTTCTAGACTTTCTCCCGCAACGCCGTGAGAATGAAGTCTTTCTCGAGCTCTGCCATCAGTAGGTTCCCCTTTCCTCATTGTCTCCCTCTCATCTCACTCACCCCTTCTTCCTACAGATAAGTCTGGCAAGAAATTTGCCCCCAAGGCCCCAGTCCGACGGGCTGCTCCAGCACCCCCTCGCCGACCGAGCGTCGCGTCACAGCCGTCTGCCTCTCATGCACCTCAGCCTGCCACTGAGACAGTAACAGCTGAATCAGGCCCATTGCTGCTGACCCCAGAGCCTTCTGCTTCCCTCGAGACTGCGACTGCAGAGCCATCGTCAGTCCAGACCAATCATGTGAAACCGTCTCCGTCTACCGCAGCCATCCCTATCCCCCGTCCAAAGCGAAAAGCCTCAGTCTCTGCTGCTGCTCCGGATGCCTCCGATGATGTGACCACTCCTTCTCAGCCTCCCCCGCCCCCTCATAGCACAGCGGTTACGGAGCCCACGCCTGTGCCTCCAGCAGTGAATGCGGCTGAGATACCGACCCAAGACGAAATCTCTGTTCGTGGCCTTGGGGAGCTTGAGGACCGTAATGATGACGTACACTCTCTAGTGCCTCAGTCATGTCATGTTTCCGAAGCCGCTACGGAGATCCGGCCCTCGAAACGCTTAAAGACCACGCCGGAAACTGCAACCCCAAGTGCAGAGGCCCAGCGTTCAACGACCTCTCCTCAGAGATTGACACCGCCTGCCACGCAGACTCCGGGAGTTGAATCGACAACAGAAAGCCAAGAGAACACCGAATCACAAACAACGACCGGCAAAAAACGGAAGAATGCAAAGTCAAGGATCAAGAAGCCGTCGAAGGAGACCAGTAGCGGGGATGCCGATACCAGAACAAAGCAAAGAAAACCCCGAACGCGCAAACAGCGTGAGCCGACCCCTGAAGGCTCCGAGCAAGTTGAAATTGCCCCAGCGATCATCAAGATGTCTGAATTATGCAAGGACCTGCGCACGGGAAAGAAATCCAAGCGAGAAACCGAACTCCGCAAAATTGAACAGGCCGAATTGGAGCGCAAACAGGCGGCGCAACAGAATGGTGCGAGCGCGGAACAAACACCAGTGAAAACAAACGAAACCGATTACGCACCTCCGGCAGAGAACAGTATGCCTGACATTAAGTCCCAGTCTGGACCGGTGATGAGGATCGTGAATGGAGAAATTGTCCTCGATACATCGTCCCTACAAGTTGACCGGCATGCCGATGCGGCAAGGAACTTTGGAGACCTCGAGGATGTGGTGGAGAATTCATTTACCCGCAAAGTCAACCAGGCTACATATGGGAAACGGTCCAAGACGGAGTCATGGGATGAAGACATGACAGACTTGTTTTACAGAGGCTTACGCATGTTTGGTACTGATTTCATGATGATCAGCAAGCTATTCCCCGGGCGATCGAGACGCCAGATAAAACTAAAGTTCAACAATGAAGAGCGCCGTGATCCTGGACGAATCAAAGACACCCTTCTGGGTCCCCGGGAACAGTTTGATATCAACACGTACTCAGAGATGACCAACACTGTTTACGATGACCCCAGGGTCATCCAGAAGGAGCTAGACGAGGAGAAGAAGCGTATTGAGGACCAGCATGCAAAGGAGAAAAAAGCCCATGAGGAGCTCCTTCGCAATCCTGATGGGGCCACCGATGGGGCCACGGAACCTGACAAGGCTGGCACTACACATGCTAAGGGAAAACGTCCCAATAAGAAGCAGGCCGCCAAGGCGTCAGGCGGTGGACAGGAAGAGATCCTGGGCACAATTGATGACTTTCTTTGATTCAATGCATGCGGTTTTGTATAGTTTACACTTTAGCACATGTGAAGAGATACCTGGGGCGGTGGTATTGGCGTCTCTGGTTGTGTACAAACATGTTCTTTGTATCTAGGTGGCTGTCTGGAGTTAACTCTTGCATTTTTAGATTCGCAACAGAATTTCCACAATGGCCTTGATCTTGGCGTTGCCAGCTCTTTGAAAACCATAGCTCATTAGGACCTGTCGACTACACGTTATCGAATCGCAACAACCCCGCATGATTTGAGGTATCCAGCACTCTAGGCGAGTAAAGCAACGATAACCAGTAAATTATGAGGTTACCTGCGTCTTGTCGAACCAAATCCAGTGCTTGTAGAAGTGGGTGCGGAGAATCGAGATGATCGTGAACTACCTTCCCCCGGGTCATTTCTGTTGAACGACGACGTGCCTCTGTAACCATTGCGTCGTCTCCCGAACTCATAGCCAACAGCTGTACCACCCAACGCACCCGTCCAAAATCCTGGCCTCCATCCGCGGGAGATATCTGGATAGCTGTTATATGGAGGCGGAGGGTCGTAATAGGGACCACCTCTGCCGCCGCCGCCGCCACCACCACCACCATTGAACCCACCCCAACCACGACCGAAAGGATCCCCTCGGCCATCACGTCGACCGAAGCACTGGCTCCACAGGATGAAAACAAAAACAGCGACCATAAATCCAAAAAATATCAGGCTTCCCACTACGTTCTGCCATTTGTGACGTGCCGTCGTCTCGGACCAGTTGTCCTCGAGCTCTCGGCCAAATTTCCTCTCTCCCAGGTCGGTCAGGAGCAACCGATACTCCACACCACAGCTCCCTTTCAGAACCCAGCGGTCGTCTGCATTCCGATATCCCTCACATACCACATCCGTTGCACCTAGCTTTAGCTCGGGGGGTAGAGATGCGGTGCAGGTCCACTGGACATCCTCTTCGTCGTAGTCGTAGCCCGCATTGCTGCATCGCATGACATCAATAGGGTACATGTCACAGAGACGCTTTGAAGGCCCCGTACATTGTAACTGGGGGATGGGAGACACGCGACGAGAGGAAGTGAGTCGATTTGCCCGGAGGGTCAGAGTCTGGACTTGAGAGAGTAGAATGGCATTGTTGCCTGAGGGGTTGTTTCGAGGGGATGGGCCATGTGAAAGGGCCGGGGCCGCAAGGAAAATGGCCAGAACGAACCGCAGAATGATGGACGACCTCATCGGTATGATTCAGATCTCCATTGGACCGACATGCTGAGGATATGGTTAGTTGTTCTTTGGTATATATTAGTTACGGAGTTTGGAGTAAGCGATAACGGCACTAGTCCTCATTCGGGTCACCACTCCGCTCTTCTTGACTTCTACTCATTACACCTGAAAAACATCCTGATAGAACACGGACGTGGCGATGGGTTAAGGCCTGAGACTGAGTGGTACAACGGCGGAAAATGGCCTTCCAGCAAAGTGCGATTCCTTACTTTCTTTTTTCCTGCCCTTCGCTCACGGACAACCAGATGAATCTTCGCCCGTTTCGGCTCAGTCCTCGTACGCCAGCAAGATCGGTCCCCTTTCGTTGCATCCCACCGAAGTGACTGACCAGGTGTCCCAGATTATCGTTTACCCAGGGGTTTCTCCTGGGTCAGCTCTCCGTGGTCCTGTTGATTGGAGCCTTCATCAAGTTCTTCATCTTCGGTGAAGCGCCGCCTCCGCCCTCTCGTGGCCTCCGTTCCGCAACGCACCGACGCTCCAATTCGATCTATACCATCGCCTCGAATGATGGGACCTCCGGGACCTCTAGATCCTTAAGAGAAAAGCCGTCGACCTCGAACGTTCTTCGTCCCGTCCCGTCGTCGTCGACCAACACTCGATCCATCCTCCGGAAGACCTACTATGGTTCCATTCCGACCAACCCGCCGACAAAACATGGCCGCCATCGGGTCCACCACTCTTCTCATCAACCTGAATCACTGGATTGGTTCAATGTCCTGATTGCACAAACCATCGCACAATATAGACAAACCGCGTACCTCTTGAAGGATTCACCGACGTCTTCCATTCTCAGCTCGCTCACGGCGGCGTTGAACAATCCGGAAAAGAAGCCTTCCTTCATAGACAATATCACGGTGACGGACATATCCCTTGGAGAGGAATTTCCGATATTTAGTAACTGCCGCATCATTGCGGTTGATGATCCCAACTCCGACGGTGGAAGACTACAGGCATTGATGGACGTGGACTTGAGCGACGATAACCTATCGATTGCCATTGAGACTTCCTTGCTGCTAAACTACCCCAAACCATGCTCTGCAATCCTCCCCGTTGCCCTGTCTATTTCAGTTGTTCGGTTCTCGGGCACGTTATGCATTTCCCTAGTACCAGCGTCGACGCCTCCCCTCCACACGCCGTCACCGTCGCCATCTCCGCCCACTGCGCACGCAGCCGCCCATTCTCCCTCACAACCCCAAAACACCGCGGAGGGTGGCCAACCTGACACGGCCAATAATCCACAAGTGGACCTTAAACCCGGTACTCGGAAGAGCAATGTCGCATTCTCTTTTCTACCGGATTACCGGCTCGACCTTTCCGTGAGGTCTCTGATCGGCTCCCGCAGTAGACTGCAGGATGTGCCCAAGGTGGCACAATTAGTGGAAGCCCGCGTTCATGCGTGGTTTGAAGAACGAGTTGTTGAACCCCGTGTGCAGGTGGTGGGGTTGCCGGACCTTTGGCCTCGGATGGGCCGAACAGGTGTGCGGACTGGTGAGGACTCTGAAACCGGATCCAATGCGGCCCCACGGTCTGCCATGTCCGCCGACGTGGGAAATCCGCTCCGGGACGATGATAGTGACCGAGAACCAGACGGCCTGCGCTACCGTGGACGTCTGGGAATGCGGCCTCCGTTCGACAGTGTCTCCCGGTCCAGTAGCTTCAATGTTGAGACGGGGGGGTTCCGCAGTCATAGTTTGGCTCGAGAGGCCAGCACTGGTGGTATGAGTGACCAATTACAAATGCCAGGTGCTATGCCTGATGCAGCGGCACAGTAGAATATGCTACGCTTTTGATGACTTTTTGAGAATGACTAAAAGTATAGCTTCTATAGATGGTAGTGTCACCAGATACATATCTCAATTGGGTAAACAAACTCTCATAATTTCATGGCCTAAATATATACAAAACATCCGGATCAGCTATGCCGTCCAGAAAAAGAGAAAGGATTAAAAGAGTCGTTCCATAGCCAGTAGATAATTATTCTAGTTTGCGGCGACAGCGGTATTTCCAATCTGTTCCAGATAAGACTTCCGATGTTGGTTCGTATCCACCTCGTCGCTACGGTTCAGGGGAGTCCACTTGGGTTCCTCCTGGAAGAGACGCATCGCCTTAACATACTACAAACGTTAGCGCGACTCTAGGGAGAGCCAAAGATGAGGAACCAATCCAGTCCAACGGAATAACCTAGACAGAAAAAAAGGCGAAAACAAACATACATTATTATCATCCGTCGTAAACCGATGATAAATCCCCGCCGGAAGAATGATCAAATCATCTTTCGCGAGTTTGATGCGGACCCATTCGTCGTGCTGACCACGCACATCGAAGTAACCTTCGCCATCACGAATGTAGCGGATCTCCTCGTCTTCATGCAAATGTTCTGCGAAGAACATTTTCACCTTCGATTCGTATGCTTCGCCCATCGTCTGCGGTGAGACGATCACTTCATCGCGGTTCTTGTAGCCCCGTTCGGCGGCAAGCTCATCAACCGACTCGATGGTGGGACAGTGGCGGTAGAAGACGCCGATGGAGGCAAGATAGGATTCCGAGACGGAGCGGCCGGAATCGTGGGGTTCACGCTGGTCACCCTTTACTCAATTAGTTAGTTATTAATAGAATGAAAGAAAGAAAGGTCTATTATAGGACAGATGAATCGCATCACAGGTATAATATAGTGAAACTTACCGGCTGGTTATCATACCAGTATGCTCTCATGGTGAACTGTCGTCTTGAGAACAGATACAGTATACTAGTCCGTGAGATCCCTAAAACGAATGTGAGAGCCCAGATGAACTGAATAAATAGACGCTGGGTAAGAAAGATCCGAACCCAATGGAGAGCGGGGTGAAAAAACGCCGCCCCGCAATTGGCTGCAGTCGATGGTGCAAGAGTCGAGCCGATTACGTCAGCTGTAGTCACCGTCTTCGGACTTAACCGGCAATTGAAAAGTAACAGGTCACTGCTGTAACTCCGGTGACTTTTGATGATGCTGTGGTTCTTTGGTAACAGTGTTGGCCATTAGATCATATACGGGGAATATCTCTATCATGTAATATAGGGAAAAGGACTCCAATGTCGGTTACTCAAGTCCATCCAACAAAAGTTAACCCTGATAAATCATCCGGCAAATCATCCGATTGCTATGTTCCATTATACATATTTTGTTCAGTATATACATACAGTACAACTTCTAATTAGTAGGACTTCTTGTTACCAGCTCTGGCAATACGCTTCTGCACTTCTTCTTTTGTTAAAATTTTCACTGCATTCCTCGAAAACATGTAGCTCAGTCCCGACCAGATGGTAGTCGCTGCAACAATGTACCTGGATATGTCAGTCGAAGTTATAATAACAGTCAAACAGGGAAAAGACAGAGAGGCAATCAATCGGTTACAAAAAAAAAAAAAAAAAAAAAAAAAAAAAAAAAACAGCCGGGATTCGCTGGTGGTCACCCACCCAACTACTAACCGGCCGGCGTGTGGCTTAAGTACGGCTGAGCGGACGGGAAGCCCTGTTTTCCACACCCTGTGGTCGTATGTGTTTATCTTCTCATCGAACTGGACTACATCGCCCGCTCGTTCTTTTTCCCCATACACAAACAAGGCAAGGGACATACAATGGCTGGGGAACTGAAGGCAATATACTCACTGGAATCCAGTCATTATTTCCTTAAGGTTCAATGCATCTAAAAACGCTTCAGGAACCACCGGCATTGCGATGGCACTTCCAACGAGCAGAAGCTGCAAGGCCGTGTTGACTTTGGAAATCGTCGTGGGCTTCACTTCTGCAGAAGGGAGAGAAAAGTCCCAGTACCGGGCCATGGTCTTGGGCGGAGGGAGAGAGATCCAGCGATAGTAGATCGCAGATAGGGCAAGACCGACATCTCGCCCGAGAATGATGACTGCAAGCCAAACTACGGATCGGTCAGCAAGACTCGAGATTTGATGACAGACACAACGCACGAGGGATAGACCCGTTGACTGCGAGACAAGCCACACCAATGGTCATGAGCAGCTTGTCGGCCATCGGGTCGATAATCGTTCCGACCACTGTTTGGAGGTTATAGCGTCGTGCAATATGACCGTCAACGAGGTCCGTGATGCCAGCATATGCAAAGAGACTTAGCGCGGCCACATGCTGGTTATGGACCAAAAAATACCCTACCATAGGGGCAGCGACCAGACGTGAGAAGGTTAGGATATTGGGGATGGTGTAGATGTTTTCATGGGTACTGGGGAGCGGGATTCGAGAAAGAACTGGAGACTTCTTGGAGTCGGATCCAGCACTGTGTCGAGTCAGTCTGAAAGATTCGAGCCAAATTTATAGGGGATAGACAAGTCACATATCCAAAAGATGCTGTCGTGGAGACGCGATGGAATCAAAAAGGTAGTGACAACCTACTCCGTGGGGTCGGATTGATTTGAATTTTTCCCGGCCATATACAATCTCTTCTGCTGGGAGAACTTTTGCCCCCATGGTGAAGACGTGGTACGAGTCAAGGTTCCCTTTCCCACCGAGCTAATAGCCAGTCAACGACCTTCGTTTGCCCAGTCACCAAGTCGACCGATGGGAGAGAGGGGAAAGAGAGATCCTACCGGCGCTGCAACGACCATAGATTCCCGGCCAACGTAAAGATTGGACTAGAACAAGGCTCCTTCAGTCGAAATCTTTGCGATACCGTCCGCATAACTGGGGCATGTGCAATGGGAGGGGTTCTACATGGTAGAAGAGAGTAGTATTGTCTGGATGCGCGAGCAGGCGCTAGAAGACACAGGCCCACAGCCATTATGGAATTCCAAATTGACAATTGAAAGGGAAACGAGCCACAGAGTTTAACAACAAGAGTGACGGAGAGAAAGGCAAATCAATTGTGAGATCCAGGTGTGAGATCTACTATCACAATATGCAAGCAGTCATCTCATAGACCAATCGCTGCAAAAATATCGGAGACCAGACAACGGTACTACCAGAAACAAATACCGGGTCTTAATTTGGGCCACTCCAACACTGGGAGAATGGGCCAGTAACTGTTCTACCGGAGGCGACAGATCGATGATATCCGAGTACCGGTCAAATTTCAGTTTTGGACACTTCAGTTGGCAAAGGTAGGCAAGAGGGCAGATATCAACTGAGCCACGCAACTGCCATCCACGGAGGAGTGCAATTGAGCCCCACGAGTGGCCGAGGCGACGTGGACGAAGGAACAGATGGATGGAGCTATATAGCCAATCGAGGCTCATGATTTGAGGGAAGGTTGATCGGATAAACACATGATGCGTGGTCATGTGACCAAGTCACATGATAAGTATATCTGCAGGGAGGAAAGAAAAACAAAGATCGACGATTCAGATGTTAGACACAGATATATAGATCGACGGATAAATAGATAGATAGATACTGTGGTTCCTAATTAAAATGATTATACTAACCATCGACTGACCGAATGGTAGATAGTATGTTGTGTAGTAGCTATCTATAGTAGGATCTTTAAAATATACTACAGAGGAGTAAAAGTCTATACACACCCAGTGATCGTCGTGGTGACTCTTCCCCTCACCAGCGACCACGGGAAAAAGAAGAGGAGACAAACCAGACGAATCAAAGCCTGCGATATCTTACGGGGTGGATGATCGCAGCTGACGTTGTTATTCACCAGGTCGACCCATTCCACCTCTCTCATCTGACTCCCAGCGATTCACCCTCACCTGATAAAGGAGGAACATCTGTTCCAGGTCAGTGTCGTCGTCATGGACGACTCTCCATAAATGAGGTAGAAACTGTACATCAAAAACCTCATGCTATGGATGTGTCAACCTCCCCTTCCGACCGCAATATAGGATGTGGCCTTTCTGTGCGTCGTCGCCATGGGTACATCAGATGATAGCGACAGCGCCGAGTCATCATCCACAAGGAAAAGACTCAGCATGGCCATGGTGACGATCGATCATCCGCGGGCAGTTCCTCCAGCGCGAGTGCCAGCAGCTACACCAGCTCCCACAGCTCCCACAGCTCCCACAGCTTCAGCAGCTCCAGAGCCTCCGTCATCCTCCACAAGACCTCGTCCCTCCGCCGGCACCTCCTCGGAGACCACGGACCCCAACCTCGCCAACCCCCGTCTCCTTGTCAACAGAGCCTGTATCTACGAGCGTCGACTCCCCGGAGATGCCTACATAACCGCACATGTACAGCGACTGCAGCATGGGTTCTACTCCAGCCCTGCCATCTCAGACCAGGATGCCGACCACGTTGACTTCCTGGGAATCAGTTTCGTTTTTCATTCGCCCGATACAATGGTGCATCGCTTCAAGGCAGCGACCATCCGCGCTTCCGTCAGCAGCCATCGAGACAGTCCTCCTACCAGGAATTCGTCCCTCTCCCACCCCTCGCAGAAGCCCCGCACCAGAAACCCCCGGTTTCTGATGCACGCGCCACATCTCCTTTATGGCGCCGTGTCGCCTGAAACCTTACAATGGAGTTACAGTCTCTCCGGATCTCTGGGGGTAGCCGACCTCCCGCTGATGGCCAGCCTAACGCCCTCGGGGGGAATAAATGGACGATACCGACGGTACGAGATGATGAGGATCCAAGGCTCAGTGCGGTCATTGAAGAGTCCGCGCGGACGCAAGTTTGATGTCGAAGCCGGCGAGATTGTCTGGTCGCTGGAGGAGAACAATCTGCAGCGGTCAGGGTTGCCACGGGAATTCACTTTCGCGATGTTGATCCAGAAACCGCGCGCGGACAGTCGGGTGCGATTCTCGCTGGAAATCGACCCGGTGCTCCAATGCGGCTGCTGCAGTTATCCCAGCTGGTTGTTGGGTCTTTCCAAGTACCGGCCGGTTCCTCGACGGCCGGTGGACTTTCGAGTCCAGGTGGGCCAGAGGTTTGAACCTATTACTTCGGAGAAGGGATTCAATTTCGCAACCCTGGAGAGCTCCTTCGATGGCTATGTCCGCATGCCGGGGAGGAAGTTCCCTTCTGTTGTAAGTCACCCTGGAGAACAGAGTGTCAAATAGATCCTCACGACGAATGCTAACACTCCTCGAACATAATACAGCTCGCTCCAGACGGAGGAATAGTCCAAGATGACAACGACATCCTCCGCGACGTCACCAGAGATTTCAGCTTAGTCGAGCCGCTTCGAGGTTCAGCCAGACTGCCATTCCCAGTGGAGCCGGGCCAGATGCCATTGACATCTGGAATTCCAGGACAGGTGGAAGTAAACCGGAATGGCGCGCCCATGGTGCCTGGGCTTGACCCGAGATCTTTATCCATTCGAGTCCTGCTGGATGATAACGAAAACTAGCGGTTCACTCCGCGGAAGAGAGCCTTTCCAGCTAGCCAGCCCTCCAACTTTCAATAGTAGACGTTTTATTTCATTAAAGCTGGCAATGAGCCAGTCATGATGACGAAATACACGCAAGCTCAGCTGGGCCAGACATACGTACTCCATAGTGAATCAATTATAGAATCAATCAAGCATGCATGCATGAAATCCCTTACGCAACAGGATGTTATGCTACGCTGTGCTATGCTACGCTACGTAACTACTACGATTACTAGTCAGCTAACTAGTTAGTTAATCTCGTGCACGATTACTTCATCAGATCCATGGCAGTGGGGCCAGAGTGAATCGGCCCACTGTGACATGATCTGCATGGATCTTATTGACCCGGTTTACTACAGAGTATACGGAACTCGTGTCAGTGGGAAATCGACATCAAAGATACTTATCTACAGTAAATTGGTGGGTGGATCTCCGGCTAGTTGGGCGGTACTCGACCCCAACTGGCGATGGTGGGACGACAGGTTGCACGCAATCCTGTCAGAGTGACATCTTCAACGGGAGAAAGAACCGCGGAATGGAAATAATAGTAACCATTTCTAGAAAAAGGGAAAAAAAGTGTACCAGAGCAAATTAAAAATGGATGCTATCATTACGCGTCCGTCACTGTATTTGCAGCCCTTCATAGAAAAACAGCAATACAGGAGTCGCATCATACTACATATGCGTGGTCGGCCTGTCTCAAAAGCATCTTGCGATCCGTAGTGGTATTGCTAGTAATAAGCTAATATAAGACGGAGTGCAATGCTATCACCAGCTCCTCGCTGAGAAACGCAATCAATCGTAACGGAAGAGAGCGGGTAATAGAACGAATGAGATGAAGAACATGATAATAGCTCGTACGCAGTGAGTGGAAAAGAAAAGGCAAAGAAGACAAGGCCACCAAGAGCCTTGTTTCAACTAGGTCACTGGCGGGTGGCATCACCTCCCAGACACCCCTGAACAGGGTCCATGACTTTCTCCCTGAGTAAACATGATCGTAGTACGCAAAAAAAAAAAAAAAAAAAAAGACGCATAAAGAGTAATAATGGTAAAAATCAGATAACCGCCCCAGACCGTGCCACCCAAACCGACCCATTGCTCATAATCACGTTAAATCGACACGCACGAAAAATTGTTCCCATAGAAACGTATGAACTGATGAAAAAAGGACTGCAGAAAAGCATTTCAAACAACATCATACCATCGTTGGGCAAACAGGCAAACGTCAAGTTGGACTCAATAGAAAAAGCCACCAATTTCTCCTCTAAGAGCAGTTTCACCCGGGTAGTCATCCACAGCGAATAAGCATAGTCTATTTCCCAAACTGCCGCCCTTTTGGAGAGAAAACGTAGGAGGGGAAATCGAAATAAGCGAACCGGAAAAAAATAAAAATAAAATAAAATTAAAAAAAGACGATTCAAAAGCGTAGGGTATTTATACTTGTGGTTGAGCTGGAGCAGCCGTTGTCCATGTCGAAACTGGATAATTTGCATGGGCCGCTGGAGTTGTAGCATTCATGTAATACTGAGGCCTGTCATTTCCGCCATAGTAAGGTGTGGGTATGGGGTTTGACTCCCGACGTGGAATGCTGGGATCAAATGCCGACATGCCGCGTTGTTCCAGGGGCGAATGATGAGATGACGCATCCATTTGACTCCCTAAACTAAAGCTTGCGCGCGAATATGTGGCGGGGGTGGCAGGATCCATTGGAGAAGTCGCATCTGTTGCAATGCTGCGCGATGAAATCGAAGAGTTTCGATACGCCGATGGGCTATGTTCCGACTGGGAGCGATTCCGGTCACTCAACGAACTCGGCATAGTCGCACTGAGTGCAGACGGAATGGAGGATGATAAAGAGTTTTGGGCGAGGGAATCAAATCCGGCTCCGTATTGTGATGGGGCCCGAAAGTGAACATAGTCGTCCGGTTTCTGAGGGATCTGAGTCGGTGCCGAAGGAGCGGGCAGATATGGGTTTGGTGCTTGAGCTGCAGGTACCGACCCTGGCATGGAATACCCGGTGATGTTCGCGGACTGTGGAGGATGAGTTGCAGCATAAGGTGCTGCTGCGTGCATGTAGAATTCCGGGTGAGGAGGGTTTGTGAGTGCGTATCCTGGGGGGGCTACCAGCTGAGGACGATACCCATATAGAGCGTGAGACGGATCGTTGGGACTCTCCATAGTCCCCGTTTCCAAATCATCAATCGGAGCCCGGAAGCTTTGTTTCTGCGTAAGCTCTGGACGAGGTCGGATGAAGCGCAATGACTCGACCATCGATGGTGGACTCAAAGCCCCCCGCAACACATCTTCAACGCTGTAATACGAAACAAGATGGTGCGTAACGCCGGAAACAGTCACGCTCATTGTCTTCTTGACCAAGCCCGAATCCTTGAAGCCGTACGAATCCACCAGGGACCCCACTAGCGCTCGCTCCATCTCACTCTGCTGCGATCTTTCCCCAAAAGAGCCTGCCGTAGCTGGCGGAGAATAGCCCGTCCCGTTGCCTTCCTGTCGCGGGTAGGGTTCGCCGGGTCTTGAAGGCACGGGGCGTCGGTTCGCCTTCTTCATTGCTCGCTTCTTTTCCCCCGGTGGAAATGGCTTTTCGAGCTCCCGATACACCAGGAAGTTGCCCAAAATTCGACTGGGGCTCCAGGTCACTCCATCCGTCCACCGTTTGATCCCCGATGAGTTCTCCTCGTAGATAAACACGCTGCCGCTGCGGACCAGATGGCCGCGTTCGCGATCGTGCGGTCGACGGGGCACATGATGAAGAACACCGGTCAAGCAGGCCTCGAACAGGATTAAAGCGTCGTTAGTAGTCGCGACATATCCCATATAAGTCGGCTCCAACACCGTTGTAGTGCCGTTGACCATTGTTTTGTGTTTTTTATTTGTGGGTTTGAACTTAGTTGTAAGGGACCAGAGAGGTAAAATCGATCAAAGTTAAGACCGCTGCTGATCAAGGTTTCGCAACAGCACGGCTACGCTGACACCGGTCCTCAACCTCACCAAAGGAAGAAACCGCAGGAGTATACGCAACAACAGGTAAGGAAGCACAATTGGGATACGATGGTCGCCAGGACGAGAACTTCTTGAGGGGAGAAAAAAAAAAAAAAGGCCAAACGATTCACTCGTAGAAAGGAGAGATGGGGGTAAGAAAAAGGTAGGGAGGGGGAGGCAAATAACCTCACAGGAAAGAGGGAGCCTCCCGGACAAGATCGAAAGGATGACAGGTTGAGGGACCTCACGATGACAGTGAACCGTAGGAAAGGGTCGATGGTGCGAGTTTAAACCCCCCCCCTCGTCAAGAGTCTAAGACTACCTAGTCCTGGGCGACCCGGATCGACAGCAAGCACGGGCCCGTTCTCTCTCAAATGTTCGTGAGACAGGTTGGATGGATCTGGAGAGAGTCGCCTGGGCCTAAGAAAAAGCTGGGTCAAATGGAGCTCTAGTTCCACGGATAGCGATCGGATCAAATGGTTGACTAGACTCCTCAACCACAGGAAAGCTGCGGTGATTCCCAAGCTTTAGTCTTCTTTCGCAGATGAAGTAGAAATTCGCTCTTTGTCTGGCCCTGTAACGAAGAATAAAGTAAATATATAAATATATATATAAATATATATATAATTTTCTGTAAGGCAAAAAAAAAAAAAAAAAAAAAGTGATATAGAAGAAAAAAAATATTCTGGCAAGTTGAAGGCGAATAAGGCAGAGAATCCAGCTCAGCTTACGCTGGGTGAGCTGTTTGGTGCCAGTTTGGGTGTAGGAATGTAAGCCGATTTATCCACTTTTCAGATTGAGGACAGCCACAAGATGCCATACGAGGTGGGAAGAAAGACAGTTGATTAAAGGAATGAAACACGATGGAGGAAAAGGAAAGATATTAAAAACATCAAAAAGAAGAAGGCGAAAAGGGAAAAAAAATTAGAGTAGGTGTAAATAAATTAGGAAGCTTCACATCAACACTGCAGGGTAGGTATCTTTCTAGAGGTAAGGTATTGTAAGCCTTTTATTTTATTATTATTATTTTTTTTAATTCCTTTTCCCTTTTTTTTTTTTCGGGGTGGAAATAATATGGTAGAATAATTGTGGGGGGAAAGGAGGAAAATAATAAGAACAACAAAATAATCCAAAGCCCCTTTCCTGAGGGTGATCGAAATCGAAGACCATATTATTCCTATCTATTTTTTTTTTTGGTCGATTATCCTTATTTGTTTATTAATTTTTTAATTATGATTTCCGAGAAGGAAAAGAGAGACATTAAGCAAAACAAAACAAAAAAAATAGCAGAAGATGAAGGGTAAGGGCAAGTTCCAACTAACTAGACAGAAGAAGCTGGGCAAGGAGCGGGTTGCAGGGAAAGAGACAGACAGACCGAACAAGACAAGGCAAGCCCAAAGCCAGACCGTGAAGAGCGACCGGAGTGAGCGGGGCGACCCAGGGTGGCAGGCCCGAGCAGAGAAGCCCAGCGGCAGAAATGAGAATGCGATGGGATGGGATGGGATGGGATGGGATGGGTGGGTGCAAACTAGTGATTCCAAGGAGCAGGCAAGGCCGCCGGAAGTAAATCGACGGTGGATCTCCATCCATGAGGCCATCGAGGACCCATTAATCATCCATTCCAATGGGAGCTGTTGGTCTGGAGGGCGCTTTTCGGATGATTTCTGGACTGGGAAACGTCACAACTCAGAGCAGGATTATATCATGACGAGAATCCTACTCCCATGGCTGAAATTGACCAAAAAAATATCCGTAAACTTATCTTTTGCACCGACAATAATTGGGTAATGGGCAGAAAAAAGGCATCTCTTGGGGGAAAAAGAAAATAATAGAAGGGGGAAAAAAAAGAGAAACAAGCAATAGAGACATTGGATCAACCTACTGAAGAAATGAAATTGGGAAAAAAAAAGAAAAAAAAAAGCCAGTGGGGATGACAGAAGCAGGTACCCCGTTTCACTTTTTGCTGGGGTGTTTTTCGCTGGTTTTGGGTTTCTGGTAACTATCCAACCTTAGTAAGTACGGTAGTCAATGACGTTCTCTATTTTTGCGCCTTTTTTTTTTAATTTTTTTACATTTTGGTTTCCTCTTTTCTTGACCTTTGAACCACTGGGAATCCCAAGGGAACAATGGAACAACCACTGATTTCAAATGAGTAGGACGTATGTAGTTGTTTTAATTGAGAAAGGAAGGGAAGAGGGGAAGTGGTGGTCTCATCGAAATTTGACCCGAGGTAATCAAATAGGAGAGTGATGTTTGCCAGTCTGGCCTAGATTGAAGAGGAGAAAACTGCCAGGAAGCACTAAGGGATTGCATCCACCCCAGGTGGAAATGATAGCACTCAGGGAGGAAAATAGGCCTGAGAATGGGGACGATGGCGATGGGGCGGGATGATGGAGATGATTATCAGATCAAACTCCAGAGTACTCGATACTCATACATATAGTGCCTCCATCTGGATGGAATATATATCTTCGGGTTTATGATATCTTCCATATGTATGGACACTGGTCCCTAAATCAATAGGTAATAATAGCGTATGTATACTTGTATTATGTATGGAAGTACGCGGATTACTTTAGCTGAAGGACTAGCGGATTCCAGACTCGTGGCAGCCGATGGGGAAGCTATAACATGTATGTAGGTAGAATGGAAAGGTAGGTAGCCAAGGACTTCACTAGTCTACAACCCTAAGCACACAGTAGGATAGGAAGTGAGATATGTAGTACATAGATAGGTACGGAGGGAAAGAATCGTTATTGTCTATGTCCACGGATGCGCAGGGGCACGACAAGGGTGGAGCTTTTCTAGCATGTCCATACAGAAGAATAATAGGAACGGATTGGAATTTTGGTTGGGAAGGGGAACGAGAAGGAGGGGGCTGTGTGAGCCTTGTGAGGGCACTACTGTATTTTGGGGGGGGGAAAGTGAGAAGGGAGGGAGGGGGACAGGACCAGGAGGAAACGCGGGAAGAAGCCAAATGGCAAAATGATAAGTGAATTAATAGATATGATACTCGATCCATTGACTTTTACTCTCCACCTTACATATGGGGGAAGCATATCTGAGCAACCCTAGAAAACTATATCGTTGGATCTCATATCAAAGTATGTTCCTTCTTTCAACGTACGCTGACTCCGTCTACAAGCATTCTGTTACCACCTCCATATTTATCTCCATTCTTAATAATACATATCGATAATGGTTACTATCTCTAACTCGGGGCCACTGTGCCGACTATACGCCACCGACTCGTCCTGCGACAGTATCGCCTCCCAAGGAGCAGCGCTTGGCCTGAACGCCGGCTGATTGAGGGGTTGTCTGCAGGTGGACCCAGCCATCCAACCACGGCTCCGCCCCTGACGAAGAATTGGCGAGATGATGTGCACTGGTCATTGAGTCTCGGACTGCCCCAGTCCACTAGTCCTCCATTTCTCTACGGACGGAGTACGTTGACCAAATCGTCATTGAGCAGGTATGTCATTTGCCATAAGATCTCATACGGTATGTCTCAGAGAACTCCTCTTTGTTAGTGAGAGATATGTTTGAGTGATCCTCTATGACACACTTTCTTTTTCTTGGAATATATGCAAAATACGGAAAGAAAATTTGAATACGCGTTTGTCGGAGGTTCGGGTTTCAAATTCCATATAGACCTACGGAGTATTCTTGCGTCGTATCTCGCGCCAAGCAGCCGAGGACTAAATCGGTCCCAGAAGACTCTGGAAGAAACAGTCATAATGGTAAACTAGAGGAAGACGGGATATTGTACCGCCAGTTTAGATCCTACTTAATTCGTCCGTTCCTCGTTCTCAGGACCTCACCTTGGGAAGTTGGGGAGTTGGGGAGGGGACCCCCAATTCAACAAGTGTCCCAAACCCCAAACAGGCAAACGCGGTCCGAGCCCTACAGCGAGCAAATGAATGACGGTCAAGTCCCCAGCAGCCATAATCATAATCATGAATAGTACTTAGGAAGAATGGGAAAGGGGACGGGAGGGGGATAGCGCGATACTCTCTACCTGGATGAGTAGGCAGGTGACTACACTTAAGATCCAAGAGTAGTCGTCATCACCATCATCTTCATTATTATCGTCAGACCTCTTGGTTAGATATATGGCTTCGTCAGCTTCCAGAAAACCGATGACACATCAAATGGGGGGAAGGGGGGGGGGTCGGTGACGAGTGGACAGCATCACCGACACAGCGGAGTCACAAGGGGGCTGTGCGCGGCCAGCGCTGCATTTCTGGCTTGCGATGATTCCCGCTATCTTTCGTTGATCAGAGTCGCGATGTCTTACACATGCACGGAGTACGACGTACTTATTATGGCACCTTTTTTTTTTTAAAAAAAAAAAAAAATTCCCCTTCGGTGAGTGTGGAATTTCCCCATCTTTCTCTCTCTCTCTCTCTGTCTCTGCGGAGGCTAGTGTAGAGGCCTTTTCCGTGTCCGTGCAGAAGGGATCATTATATGTATATGCCCAAATAAGAAAAAAGATATAACTAAAAGAAAGCTTTTTAACCCTGGCCAAGATATGTACTGATCTCCTGGGTTGAAGAATGGGGAAAAGTATATATGCTTATATAGTAAAAGGGAAAAGAAGGTTATTGTTCCCCGCAATATAAAGGATATAAGTGAAAGTTTCTACTCAATCTAAGGTTTTAGGGTTGGTTTTCCTAAATGCTCTAGGGAACCCCAACTTGTCCAGGGGGGTTACCCTATTTCTGAGCTTATATTGGACGCTCACCCCAAACTTTCGCGGGAGATCCTCCGTAGATCCAGGCTATGGTGATGGGCCAACTTCCTCCAGGTCCCGTCCCCTAGTCGAAGGCCTCCCATCCAGTGGCGAACCTTTCAGCCCCCGGTCAAGGTTTGGAGCCAAGTATGACAGGTTAACCGGCCCTTTCTTAGTAGTGCTACAGTACGGAGTAGTAATCTATACCGAAATCCAGCTCGGTCTGTCGTTCCGGAGAATATCAACTATTTATTTTACTTTTTCTTTTCTTTTTTCTTAAGAAAAATTTCCGTTAAAAAGTCTCTTTCGGTCCGATTGGCAGGTCCCGACAAAGTGGGCGAACAGTAGACGATCTTAGTTGGCGCGTGCCTCTCGATCATTGTTGGGACAGCCCAGTTGGGGAATTAGCAGCTGTCCATCTGTTCAACGGTAGGTTCCAAATTCCATGAGAGGATGATGAGGTTAGATGGGAAGCAAGGGTTGGGTTTGGACTTCAGATCTCGAGGTCGACTCTTGATCACTTTCCTGCAAGGCTTATGTCAGTCGGGTAAACAAAGCAAAAGAACCGCATGGATATTCTCTCTAATTGAATTGACCGTGAGATTCTGGAAGGCTTACTTGCTGAATCAATCACCCGCCAGGTGACCCCGTTCAAAGCATGCGGTGGAGCACGCAGAATTCCCAATGTGGCCTCAGGTTGTCCGTGACTCGAGCCTCCTTCGTATTTGACAATGTCGTACGGGAGTTACCGAATGACTACCCACACTATCTACTACTGTGTTCTCCATACCTACGCCACGGAATAGCAGTAAGGCGTTGTCAATTATATTGCATGCAGCTGCAAAACCAGGGTGTAGAAGCATATTCTGCTGGTCAATTGAGAATGGCATATGCAGTGTTGCTACAGGGATTAACCCTCAAGGTTCTCTCCCACAACCCAAGGATCTGCACTCGCGAGAGAACTTTACGAAACTTGAAGAGGGGATGATTTATGCTTGAGATTGTATCAACACTGCGGAGACGGGGGATTTTCTGAGGCACTTCAGATTGTGTATCACTAGATGTACTCCGTACCTAGAATTATTCTTGCCTCCTTTTAGTGAAAACAGCATACTGATACGTACACTAAGCTTCATGGAATAGGATGTAATCCGTGCCTTACTCCGTGTTCCATACGCCTTAACCGCGTTGGATTGTGCTTTGTGCTGGCAACCGACCATTCAGTAAGCGAAGGGTGACTTCCTCGGAGGGCAGTTGACCACGAATACTCTACAGAGAGGAACAGATGAAGCGGAATCTATCTATCCACAGCCAGGACTTGGAGCATTTTCCAAATCTGGTGAGAAAAGACGATCTCGTAGCGATATCTGCCACTGTGCACCTGCTGGTTAATTAGTAGCTTAATTTCTAGACCATCGACGGCAGTACCCAGAAATGGTTTTCTTGGCTGGACCGTTGTGTGCGCTTCACGTCTACCGTGCTACGTGATGCCTTCTTGGTGATGGTATATGCTACACTGACATACGGCGTAAGTCTCCGTGGAGGAAATACGTTGTTGAATTGAAACTCCGTTTGCCCTAACTCCCTCCTTTTTTTAATTTGGAGGGTCGTCGTGATTTGTTCAACCTCGCAAATGGAGTGGCACTATGGATGGTGAACCATATACTTGGGCCAGGACGAGAGGTGAGAGGGTAGCACTAAGACACTAGTTAATAGAACTAAGAGCTGATTTCCCTCCAACTGGTTTTTTTTTTTTTTTTTTTTATTATTATTATTATTTTATTGTATTTTGCGTTGGTGGGGGGAGTGAGTGTGCATCCCTTCAGGCGACACTGGCAGGCAGGCGCCATGTGGATTATGATTGGGGGTTGACCCAGGATCAACCTGGATGAAATGGAGGGGCAACCAAGATTAGTAAGGCCAGGCAGCTGCTTAAGTGAGATGGGTAGGTTGGCAGCTAGCTAACAAAAAAAAAAAAAAAAAAAAATAGAAAGGTGGCGCGGTCGTAGCATCTCTCCCACATCAGGAGAAATTCCGTAGGAATTGACAGGGTCAAGTTTGATCTAACTCGATGATCATCTCGCGCACCAAGAATGTTAGGTTGTACCAAGAAGGCTAGAACGGGGCGACGTAACTGAAGCAGACACGAGTTCCTTTGGTGGCGCTAGTATGGACTAGTACTAGTCCGTACTACTGTACAGTCGATCATCGTAATTAAAAAAGAGCGCTGTAAATCAGTCAAACACCATCATCAGTAGGCCAATTAATAGGAGGGAAATAGTTAATAAAGAGAGTAATCAGACGCAGGCGGCTCAATTAGCAATATATCAAGTACAACAGAATGAGCATCAATGACATTATGAGGGGAAAAAAAAATGAGATAAAAGAGGGCTATGACCTCGTCATTAGGAATAAGGAATCAGTCCATGCAGGGTACCATGCATCATACAGGTCTTTTCTGCAGTCCCAACGCAAGTGGCTTATTGTGGTAATCCTAGATGAGCAACGAACTAAAGAGTACCTACCTAGACACTGGTACGGAGCACCTACTCTGCATAGAGTAGAGAAACGCAATATTGGTATTTCTTTGGTCTCTCTTTAGGAAAAAGGCCCTTATTTGCATCATGTACGGTTAACATATCATTAGAGCAGTCATCGCAAATCTACGTTTGATAGGGGTGGATATGAGATGTTGCTCATTTCAGACACTGCCCATGCTCCGAAAGGGGCGGCGGATGGCCACGCATTTTCTCAGGCGCCATGGCATGCACTGGACCTTCTTGCGGGAACCGATCATGATAGGTTCCCAAGGATGCTAGTATGCGCGTACTAGTCCTGTATACCGCGCCACAAGCTCGTGTAGTGATATGATTTGGTCATGGCCCCCAAACCCAAAGGAGTCTCAAACCTGGGGGATAGCCCAAATAAAGAAATATGTGGACTGTAAGTGGCTGAAGTTATGAACTACTTACAAATGATTCAAAAGATTTAATAAGCCAGTGGACAAATGAGACTATCCTGTGGCATCTATATACCGACTGAGCGCATTTTGTGATTGGCCCACTACCTCCGATCATGATTATCCAATTCCGATTCAGGTAAAATTCAAGCCCGAGGCGCGACATAGGATAGAGACGGGATCCGAGGTCCTAGTCCGCCCGAAAATCGGGAGGGGAAGAGCAAGGCGATACGGAGTGAACGCGAATCGAAAGAGTGGATGGAGCCAGGCTGAGATGACGACGATTTTCCATGAAGGCAGAAAGCGAATCAGGGACACATTCATGTTAATCATGCCCCTCCCATCTCCAATTCCAGTGATCGGTGGAGGACGCCCAGATTATGGGACCTAAATCCAACGAGGATCCACTGATGGCAATAGTTCCGGTTAGTGCATGAATTAAGCATCTATGCTTCGTTGATGCGGAGAAAAAGACCAATGGGTAAGACTAGTCATGGCCTCTTTGGAGATAGCTCTCTGTAGATAAAACGCCCATGAAACGGGCGATGGATCTCTCGCAACGCCTTCTCAGTTTGTGATAGAAGACAAGGATATGAAGGAGATAAAAATAAACTGACAAAATTATTCATATTCCTTGCAAACTTCTAATTCATGTCTGTGTTGGATTCGAGATGTGACTATGTATGTACAGGTCTATGTATGTACATACATACCGTACAGAGTCACACGCACTCTGTAGTACTGACACACTGAAACAACTCCCATCAAGAATATACATGCTTGACGCAAGGTAACAACTCAAGATAAGAAAATGATTGAATTGTAATCGAAGTCGATGCTGTCAACTGGGATAATACCTAATGATCATAGTGACTAGTCATAAAACTACTACTCCAAATGACCTGTCTGAATTTTCCCGTTGAGCAGTAATCGCACCCTTGATGGACAAATAATTGAAGTTAAGGAAAACGGGGAAAAAAAAAAAAAAAAGAAGAAGAAGGAGAAAGAAAGAAGGCTGTTTCATCACCCTGCAAGAAATGAAAAACTTATGCAACATCCTCATGTGAATAGGGAAAAATAGCGCTGTCTGTGTAACACAACAAAATGTGTACTATTTATTATTCCACAGGAGATCCCGCGATGGCCGGAGATCTACTTTCTCCTCACCTATAGTGTACTGTACCCCGTGCATAACAGGACCGACAGATAGATCCTTCGATACCTAACCAACTGTATCATGCAGCTGAAATGGAGGATACCTGCCTTTCTCAGCCTCCTAAACCCACCCATTCCACTAGGTAATGCCAACCCGATGGCGACAAGCCATGTGGTTCAGCATGACTATCTATTGACCGCTAATCTGGCAAGATGCTTGGCTTTGCCCCTTGGGGTCGCGTATCTAATTATAATTAGTTTACTAGGGAGTAGACTAATATAACTAATCATCTTAATAGGTTACTAATACTGAATGGTGGCTTTGAATAATGCATGGTTGATCGCACTCATGAAATCGCCTTACTCGGTTCTTCCTAGTGCTGGGCAATTTTGCCTAGGCCTGTTGCCATCAGTAGCCGAATTGCGTGTTCCCCCCTTCCCTTTCCTTTTGCTCTCTCTTGGTCTCCAACCAACGGTTTTGCCTCATTCCGGTCTGGATTCGGTAACCCGGGAGTATGGCTTTGCCATCTTGCAGCGATATTCTTCATCTGTACCCCTATTTTGGTGTTCATACCCTTGTCTAGGTTGAATCTTGTCAGCTTCTAGATTTTTTCCAATCCTAGTATCCGATGGCTAGACACTGAAGCAAAAAAAAAAAAAAAGTTCCTCCCCCTTACGTGTTAGGCTCTTTTTTTTCTTTTTCTCTTTTATCTTCTTGGTCCACCACCTTTTGTTGAGGATATCAGTTTTTAGTGGATTCAGTATATCAGCTGTTAAGACGACTTATGCCACCCCCACTCTTTCGAATATCCACAACCCTTAGTATAAAATTAACTTGCTAACGGTCTGTTAGACTTTTTGAGGGAAAGCCGTCGGTCTTTAATTTTGTAAAGTTTAATTAATAATAGTAGACATCTACACTTTGTAAGAATAGCCAAATGGAAAGGGACCTAAAACAAAAAAAAAAAAAAAAAAAAAAAAAAAAAAAAAAAAAATTAAACATACATAGAAAAAAAAGGAACAAAACCGCCGTCCCCCACAGACTGACAGGGATTCGTTTCACACTATTAGAAAACGTGGCTCTGCTGGCTGCGCGTGTCTCAACAGGATGACTTTTGCGGAAATTTCTTCTTCTCACATCGCGTCGTCATCAATGTCTCTCTCACGACTATCAGACTATCTCGGTCGTATCTAAAATATCAACGTGCTCCGTACGAAGTACTGTAGTCTATTAGCTACCTGGTAGGGTCTATCCATTTCATCTAATGTCAGGCCTATCTTGGCGTCCCCGATGGTCTCCACGCCGACTCGGGAGACACGGAGGATTCACTTCCAGAGCATGTTAATATTATGGCATAACCGATCTACCCGACACCAGTTACACATCTGGGCCGGAATGATCTTCAACATCGGAATGGTCCCTCGAGACTGATTTAGAAGTAATAGCAGATACTCCGTATCTCCCACTATGATAGGCATAGGTTCAGCGACACTAAAGATAGAGGCGTTTCTTTTCTTTTCTTTTTTTTTTTTCTTTTTAATGCTGGTGGAAGAGTCGGAACTTGGCCGGTAAGACCAGATACTACATACTACTTACTCCTACGCTCCGTAGGAGTACGGTAGGTGCAGGTGTCTCCTTGTGCCTGACTGTCTACTTCGTAGTACGGAGTAGTACGGAATACGTAGTCGGCCTGGTATAAATCAACCAGCCTTTATGGGACGCGGATCTGCACTGCCGCTGCGTTATGATGACATGGTAATGCAGCCAAGTGGGCCTGGGCGATGGCAATTGCTACACGGAATGTCGCTGTTCAGTTCAGTCACTTGAGAACTTGAGACGTGGATGTTTAGAACTCCTGCAGTATACGGAGCACTCCGTACGGTCTGTTAAATTCTCCTTGGGTATAGTTGGGTAACCATGGTCTAATATTTGCGGCGAGAAATATGTGGAAATCAGTTCCGAAACGTACCGTTTTGGATATCGGTATAAGCGACAGTAGTGCTGTCGGGCATTGGTTGTTTTTACCTCTGTTTATAAGGTAAAAAAAATAAATAAAAATCAACAAATAATTCTGAGCCCGATCAGATCGTAGCTGTCTAGAATAAGGGCCATTCAAAGTCATGTACATGTACGCGCTAACAGATCCTCCTAAATTTTGTGCATTAAAAATGGTGCTGGGTATGACAAGACAAAGACAGCGTGCAGCGAAGCTCTGAGATTCTAGGCATTCACAGTATCTTAGTATCATCTATATCATTAATTGTCTACTACCTAGGTAGCATTTAGATTTGTATTGTTTTACGTATTGTTGCAAAACGGCCGTTGTAAATAAAAATAGCCTTATCTAGAACTAGCATGGAAGATATAGTTTGCATAAACAGATCGTGTCCAATACTTCGTTGGTATCTAATACTAATCATGTGGACATGATAAAGTACGCCTCTCATTCTTGCATTATACAAAAATAAAAATATTGAGAGAGAGAGAAGAAATACAGTAGGTATATATCAACCCCACAAAATTAACTGTTGAATGGCTGCTCATACATCTCCGGCCACATAGCAAATGGATCGAAAACCTCCGCCATTAGAGCATCTTGGAAGAAATTTTCGTGGGTTTCTTCAACAGTCCATGTCAGAGAATCCCACTGCCAGTCTCTCGGTGTCTGTGAAGAACCCATGGTAGAAGGATTCGTGTTGAAAACCTGTTGTCCACGTTGAGAGTTGGACTGCTCGCCCGCCCTATGTGTTTCTGGCTCTGCTTGTTTTCGGGAAAGAGTGTTGGCTCCGGATACATCTGCTGGACGGACGTTGCGTCGGACGTGTACTTTTCCAAGGAGCGGGACCTTCAATACCAAGTCCTGGAATCTAGGAGTGTTATCTTGCTGGAGCAGCTTATGTAGGGAATTGATGGTGGTGACACAGTTTTCGGTGAAACCAGCGCTTGTGAGGTCGTTAGACCGCCTGGTCATAATTTCAGTCACTTGTTTGACTATACTGTCAGTCTTAGCCTTATTCACATAAGTATTGAATCGATTTGTAGGCGAAGAGCTATACGTTATGAGAAGCAGAACGACAGTCGCAATGAAAACCAGCAAATCGACGGGTCGAGTCATGAAGATCCCTGGCGGAAGAGTTCCACGAAGAAATTGATAAAGCTCTGTCACGGACTCACATGCATCCATACAAGCCAAGCGGCTGTAGAAACACTCCTCGCCTAAGTCGTGTTTCATGACGAAGGGCAAATGAGCTCTCACCATGATACTGTTGTGTATAAATTGCACTATATGGTCTGGTTTTATTCGATCCCTTTCGGAGGTCCACCAGGACTTTGGTGTCTGGGACATCAGCGCTTTGAGCTCACCAATGAGCCCGAACGTAGAAGAGTAGAACTCAGGTTTTGATTCCGGTGTCATGTTGAGATCCTCCAAGTGTTGAATCTTCGCAACGATGTCTGTCAATTTGCTCAGATACACGCGAGGTTGGACGACTCCCTCGACTACGAGCGCCTGCGTCTTGTCTTGTGGATATCGTCGAGTTTCCGGGGGAAGATTGATGATCATTCCAAGCAATCCGTTTGCAGCAGTCAACGATTCCCACAACTGGGCTTTGTGAAGTTGTGTTTCGTAGCTTTCTGCTCCAGCAGTCCGACTTGTTTGTGTGGATTGCCATGCCTTATGCAGCCCCATGACCTCTGCAATTGCGATAGTATGTCGCAGTCGCACCCATACCTTCTGAAAGTTCCCTTGACTGATTTGACTAGCACTTTGTCGGTAACTTGTTAGGACAGAAGGGACTAAGAAACACTCACAGTCGACAGAAGTGCATGGCCATCCCAAGCCCAGGAATGGTACCCACCAACCTGTCATGAGACATGATGTTGTTTTCTACAGCATTAGAAACAGCCCGACAGAACTTGGACCATTCCTGAGATCTTCTGTGCTGGACATGAGGACTGATGTCCTCTTGTGGGCTCTGTTGGCCCGTAAGAGCGACAGTGAGTAGCCATGTAGCAAGGCTTATGGCATCTACATCAGGACTGCACATTTCATCAAACCTTTCAAAGAGTTCCTGCTGGCATGTGGCGGCCCCGGGCTGCGGAAACAGGTTGTGCAAGATAGGAAGCCACTCGGACGCGGATCTTACAATTCCTAAAACTTCATCTTTGGGTGGTATCAACTTCTGCAGCGCCTGTCTCGCTAGGTTGAAGAGATGGGTAGGAACCTTTACCCTGCGATCCTGAGGCTGATCCAGTTGCCGATGCGCATCCACGCTCAGCCAGTCATTTTGAAACAGAGACCGTATATGCGCCGGCTGGTGTGAGGCGTCTATATCTGAGCCACTGGAGTCATCACCGAGGTCGTCCGATTCTAAACCCCGCCCTGCAGTTGATCCGGAGGTTTGAGCAGGTTGATTCCCGAATTTCGCTTCAACATCATGAATAAATTTGGTTAGATTGGCGACCTTTGATTCGAGCTGGGATATGCGATACCGCGATGGAAGTCGCTGGGGCTGTTGGAGACTGTATGTCTGGGCAACACACGCTGAGCCTCGTTCTTCGCAGCGTCGACAAGTCGGCGTCTCCTCGGACGTCCGAATGCACCGAACCTTACGTCGTCTGCCTGTTGTAGGAGAGAATCAGACTGGCTTTGGTATAGTTTCGGCCCTCTAGAGGTCCATTCACCTACACTCGGTGCAGCTTTTCGTCCCTTTCCGAACCTTCTGCTGGCTCTGCCTGCCCAACATGGCTAGAGAGTGTAACCATAGGCATTTACCCTGGCAAATCGGTCAGTGGGAGAAGAGGAAATATGAGCTCTGCGTGGCGAGGTGTAAGACGGTGATGTCAGCGCGGACGAATCTCGGGCCGCGGACGAAAAGATGTCCGCTGTCGATCGCCTCATCCATTCTACATCAATCCTTCACTATTTCATTCGCAGCCACTGTCACAGTTTCCTCCATTATTCACTCCAATGAAGACTCGCATTGAATCCCTGGGGCTTACTTTTAGTGTCCCTTACCCACCATTTGTCCATGGACGTATAAATGGACATATAAGCTGTCGTCCTGCCGTCATCACCTCGACCAGCACTTGCGAGCAAACATTTCCATGAAGGGGCAAGAGGCTCAACAATGATTCCTTTTTTTCAGACACGCTCAGGGGGGCCGTATGCTTCTACCGTCGCCAGTCTAGGAGAACTGCCGACGATCATCCCTGATATTCCCATCTGCACCGTGTTCATAGCCCTTTACATCGGCTTTGCTGCCACTAATATGACCATATTGCAGAAGAACCGCCGCAGGAACCGCAAGTTCATATTATCAGGGGTGATTTTTGGTTTCTGCATGGCTCGAATAGTCACTCTCGTTCTCCGCATCGCCTGGGCAAACCGACAGCACAATGTTCGACTTGCAATCGCAGCAGGGATCTTCGTGAATATGGGTATTCTCTTGATCTACATTATCAACTTCATTCTCGCACAACGTATTCTACGGGCCAAGCAGCCACGCATCGGGTGGAATCCAGTCTACGGGACCGCGTGCAAGATTCTGTACTTCTCCATAGTCGCTGCGCTGGTTATGATGATTACGTCCATAGTGATATCGTTTTATACGCTGAATCTTCACACCCGGGCAATCTGTCGAGATATTCAACTCGCCGCACTCACCTATCTCCTCGTCTTCTCCTGCCTCCCGCTGCTGCACATCCTCGCGGTGGAGCTGTTACCGAGCTCAACGGACGAGGAGACCTTTGGGGAGGGGAGCATGGTCGTGAAGGAGATCATAGTCACCGTGTCGACGTGTCTGTGCGTGTTCGCCGCTGGATTTAAGGCCGGAGCAAACTGGAGTCCTCCTCGTCCCATAACCAGCCCGCCCTGGTATGTTTCCAAGGCATGTTTCTACGTTATCGTCTTTGCATTCGAGATCCTCATTCTTTGTCTTTTGACATTCGGTCGGATCGACAAGCGGTTTTTTATTCCAAACGGCTGTAGTCGTCCGGGCGACTACTCGCGACCTCGACAGACGAATGACGGGAGTGAAACGGATGAATCTGTGTACCTTCGTCGTTTAAAGGTTTAAGTTCTGACCGGTACTCTACTGGTGGCTCTTTTGACATTCATTATAATGCATTAGACTATCAACTTTTTGTGTTATATCTACACAATGAAAACACCACTATAATTTGAATGTTCGGACGTTGTGGAGCAGACATAGCTGCAGTGTAACCTCTCAAAGAGCCTCGTAAGTAGGCGTCAATTACAAGTTACGGTATGTAGATATAAAATAAGGAACAGTATATATTCCATTCCTTCAGCTATATGGGATAGATAGGGGATCGGAATTATAAATAAATAGAGGAGCCCCTAGAATTCAGGGAAGTTAACTTATCAAGAAAAATATACCCCAACAGGTAAAAATATTACATCTATCTAAAACTGACAAATTTTAATTACCATTGCTACAGTAAGAGTCCATGAAGAAATAGCTTCTATCTAATTCTTCATTAGGTCCATAATCCATGCGACAGGTCTTATTCCTATGTCTTGACTCTTGAACAGAAATACAAGAGCCCAGGAACTTGAGACCGCCTGATATGCTGTGGGCAAGCTAAAGCCACCATAGCAAACATTTTAGTTAACTGGCGGAACCTATAGGAGCCGCTGATCTCACTACGAGTGCGTCCGCACCAAAGTGCAGGAAAAAATACAGGGATGTGTTATTGCTGTCGTGGCTCGCCTAGCTAGTCTCTACACTGATTTGCAGATGGATCAAGGAGCGACTATGCTAGACCTAAATGATTGGCCTGGTCAACAGCGTGCTTTACTGGCCGGGCATCAGTTCAAGCGACCTTCTATCTGACAGATGATTCGTGCCATCCCGACGCACTGCGAACTAGTATCGATAGGTAAAGCAGAGTCGTGGAATGCATTGTATTAACAAGCGTGAGTGGGAAAGGCCTATGAGATCTACTTCAAGCTGAGAATTCTCCCTTTTAGCTGACCGATAATTGAAAATATGAATAGGTAACATTCTTTTCAAGAGAATTCGGCATCAGCAAAAGCAAACCAGACAGACAGGGTTGTCAAGAACGAGAATACAAAGGATCGATATCCTTCGATTTCAAGGACCACCGATCCCAAGGACCAGTTCTTGCATGTAGGGCGCGAACCCACCAATGGGATCCACAGGCCGGTGTGGTCTGAGTGATAACGGCGGTGTGTTCCCAGACCCTTGCAATGGGAGGGGTTGAGATATGATAAATCATTTGCATTGCGCTAGGTCTATTCGGACCTGTCACGACGTCATGATCATGGGACATCAACTCACAGTGACAGCGGGAAAGAGAAGCATGGTGATAAACGTACGTGACTCAAGGATGGACAGACTAACTACGGATAGGTAGTTAACTAACATCCGCATGAATGCCTAAGCCAATTGCATGTGCAGTCGAGGGTGGAGCAGCCCTAACTTTCGATGTATCTCGATCACTCTGAGATGGTTGATTCAGGCCCATATATCCGGATCGACGACTAGTGAATTAATCAGCATGCATCATTGTTACCGAAAAGCGAGGAAACCTCGCCCCGTTGGAAATCAATGTGGATTCACTGGGCTTGGAAAGATTAGAAATTACAATGAGGGGGGTAGCCCAATGAGCCAATTGTTGCGGTGAGATCAGGCTAGGCGAAACATGGAAGAGGAAGCGAGAATAGAACCGAACGATGGATAGGATAATATGATAGATCGCATCCTGAATCAGGTGCGGGTCTTCGGGAGAGAACGGCAACGCGAGAACGCACGGGGGAACTGGAAACAAGCGTATGAATAAACGAATGCCAAATGTATGGGTTTGGGTTCGGAGACTTTGCAGGGTCCGGTGCAAAAGGTTCCGAGACCCATATATACAGAAACAGAAACTAGTTAAGAAGATGACTCATTTCTATCAGTCATCAACATTTGAATACGGTGGAAGCTCATGCCATGGTTCGTGGACTCTTACTATGACCACGGAACTCCGATGCTACTGAAATGAAGTTGAATGTCAGGGTAGAATCCCGACAGAGCTGTTTATGAGAGTTATTTCCCGTTATTTCCAACAGCTTTAGCGTCACCAAAAATGAGAAGAGACTGGGAATTCCCGATCGGGGCGCGACTGGAGTACGTATCCCGGATGGAGTACTAGGTTAGTACCTCGACTAGTGTGTACGATTCTCAGAATCCTCTGTATACGATAGGTACCGCGGAGACTACGAGGACTGCACGGTTTCAGACGGATAAGTCAGCGGAATCATCCCCGGCCATTCTCGACTTCAAAAGTTCAGATCCTCTCTCTTTCACACATCCGTCAATCCTGCAGCCAAACAACACGCCAAGAGTCCAGATATCCTGTCATGCATAAGCAGCTCTCCTAAACCCCTTCGAGAGCTTATCTCCGTTTCCACCACAAATATTGTGGTAGACCCAAGGATCGGGACAATCGATCTTTGACTCTGAGTCAATTCGACTCATGGGGCCCACTCACGATCCACTCGAGCTCCTTCGCACCTCGTTTTCACTTTATCCCCGATTTACTGGGCTGCTGTCCTTGACCGGCCGGATGGTAAGCCTCTTGCCGTGCTCTCTGATTGATTGGTTTATTCCGTCTGGTCTTTCTTCTCCGTCCATTGCCAAATCTGACAAATCCACCAGATTTTTTTCCGTATTGCCCCCTCGGACTTAATAATGGAGACAACACTGTATATCCATTATGCAATGGCCATCTTGGTTATAAAGCTTCCTTTGTCACTTTTTGCTTTTTACTTTCTCCCCTCTTGCTTTGTGATCGATCAGCGGTGTGATACCGTCTTCACTCCGTGTAATAGCGCAAGACCCCCTCTTTTTTTTTTTCTTTGTCTGAATTCGTTTAATGTCTTCTATTTCTCAATAGCTGTATATATTAATATACCCCCATATATACTATTGCATTCCCCCTCGTTCACTTGCAAGAAAACCCAGGGTAATTCTCCGGATTCTCTATCATAACCTATATATCTCTAGTACATCAACTGGGAATCTACTACAGTCGCCGATTCTCACTGGCAGCGGATAAGGGCTTTACCACAATATGATTGACGAAGCTCGTCAGTCCGAGGCCTCATCCAGCGGGCCAATGGCGGCACAGGAGCCTCAACACAACCATGCCGTGGCCTCAAATCCCACGCTATCGTCAACCGCGTCCAGTGTAACGGAACTGTCGGCCGAGGAACGGTGGGGGGAGAAGGAGAACGGAGACACCGTATCTCGCAGAGGTGCAATGGAGGAGTTTGAGGAGATGAGGAGAGAAGTGACCCGGCTCAGTCTTCACCAAACTCGATCCACTGCCAGGGCACGTCGAGCAAGCCAACCCCGGGATGAAGAGAAAGCGTTTGAGGAGGTGGGATCCGCTGCGGACGAAGACTACCAAGGGGGATTTGATCTCAGCGAGTTCTTAATGGGCGGGCATCTCGAACGACGCACAACAGCCGGTGAACCAGCGAAGAAAGTGGGCGTCGTGTTCAAAAATGTGACCGTGAAAGGCGTGGAGACGGGGGCTTCCTTCGTTCGGACCCTACCTGACGCCGTCGTAGGCACTTTCGGGCCTGACCTGTATAAGCTTCTCTGCCGGTTCATTCCGCAGCTTCACTTTGGCAAGCCACCTCCGGTGAGAGATCTGCTTCATGATTTCAGTGGCGCCGTCCGCGAGGGAGAGATGATGCTAGTGCTGGGCAGGCCGGGAGCGGGCTGTTCAACCTTTCTGAAGGCCATCGCAAATGACAGGGCCGCATTTGCAGGGGTGGAGGGTGACATCAACTATGGTGGCCTCTCCGCCGAAGAGCAGCATAAGCATTTCCGCGGTGAGGTCAACTATAACCAGGAAGATGACCAGCACTTCCCAAACCTCACCGTCTGGCAAACACTGAAATTCTCCTTGATCAACAAAACCAAGAAACATGACAAGGCCAGTATCCCGATCATCATCGATGCTCTGTTGAGAATGTTTGGTATCACTCATACGAAGAATACTCTGGTTGGCAATGAGTACGTCCGTGGTGTGTCTGGTGGAGAGAGAAAGCGTGTCAGTATTGCCGAGACGCTTGTCACCAAATCCTCAGTGGTCTGTTGGGACAACTCTACCAGAGGGCTGGATGCCAGCACTGCCTTAGATTACGCCAAGTCTCTTCGCATCATGACCGATGTCAGCAAACGGACTACGCTGGTTACGCTCTACCAAGCAGGGGAGAGTATCTACGAGTTGATGGACAAAGTCATGGTCATCGACTCGGGCCGGATGCTCTATCAAGGACCTGCTAATGAGGCCAAGCAGTACTTCTTGGACCTTGGCTTCTATTTTCCCGAACAGTCTACCACCGCCGATTTCCTGACCTCACTCTGTGACCCGAACGCTCGCCAGTTCCAGCCCGGTCGCGAAGCTTCAACGCCAAAGACCCCGGAAGAACTTGAGAGCGTCTTCAAACAAAGCAATGCATACAAGCGAATCTGGAATGATGTTTGCAACTACGAAAAGCTGCTTCAGGATACCAACCAGGAAGACACCCGTCAGTTCCAGAAAACAGTGGCTCAATCTAAGAGTAAAACTGTTTCGAAGAAATCCAGTTACACCGTTTCTATCGTCCGGCAGGTCGCAGCCTGCGTGCGGCGCGAGTTTTGGTTGCTATGGGGTGACAAGACTTCTCTTTACACCAAGTATTTCATTATCATCTCCAACGCCCTGATCGTCTCTTCTCTCTTCTACGGTGAATCGTTGGATACAAGTGGCGCCTTCTCGCGTGGAGGCGCATTGTTCTTCTCGATTCTCTTCCTGGGATGGTTGCAACTGACAGAGTTGATGCCTGCTGTTACCGGACGTGCAATCGTTGCGCGTCACAAGGACTATGCCTTCTACCGACCATCTGCGGTGGCGTTAGCTCGAGTGGTGGTAGATTTCCCGGCCATCTTTTGCATGGTTGTCCCTTTCACCATCATCGTCTATTTCATGTGTGGTCTCGATGTCACTGCTTCCAAGTTTTTCATCTATTTCTTGTTTGTCTACACGACGACGTTCTGCATTACATCGCTATATCGTATGTTTGCGGCGCTTTCCCCAACCATTGACGATGCGGTTCGATTCAGTGGTATCGCACTGAATGTGTTGGTCTTGTTCGTCGGTTACGTTATCCCGAAGCAAGGCCTCATCGACGGCTCGATTTGGTTCGGGTGGCTTTTCTATGTAAATCCAATCGCGTATAGCTACGAAGCAGTCCTGGCTAATGAATTTTCTGATCGCAACATGGAATGTTCACCCTCCCAACTGGTTCCCCAGGGTCCAGGGGTGGATCCAAGATACCAGGGTTGTGCACTCACAGGATCTCGCCTTGGGGAGACATCTGTGAGCGGAAATCAATATTTGGATACGACATTCCAGTTCACCCGGCATCACCTGTGGCGCAACTTCGGTGTGGTCATTGCTTTCACTGTCCTTTACTTATTGGTCACCGTTCTGGCCGCCGAATTCTTGTCCTTCGTCGGTGGAGGCGGCGGTGCGTTGGTCTTCAAGCGCTCTATCCGCGCCAGGAAGCTGAAGACGCAGAATCATAAAACAAGTGACGAAGAGGGAGTTCGGAATGTGACCGATGCCGCTGCCTTGTCGCGTGGAGAGGCGAAATCTTCCGGCGATTCCGAGACCTTTAATCGTCTCTCATCTAGCGATCGAATCTTCACTTGGTCAAATGTTGAATATACAGTGCCGTATGGCAGTGGGACTAGGAAGCTGCTTAATGGGGTCAATGGGTACGCAAAGCCAGGACTCATGATTGCTTTAATGGGGGCATCTGGAGCAGGCAAGACGACGCTTCTCAACACCTTGGCTCAGCGTCAGAAGATGGGAGTGGTTAGCGGTGACATGCATGTTGATGGCCATCCTCTTGGAGCTGATTTCCAAAGAGGCACTGGGTTTTGCGAACAGATGGATCTTCATGACAATACAGCCACCATCCGGGAAGCCCTTGAATTTTCGGCACTTCTCCGTCAGGACAGGAACACCCCTCGGCAGGAGAAGCTCGATTATGTGGATCAAATTGTTGACCTGTTGGAACTTGAAGATATCCAAGATGCCATCATTGGCTCTCTGAATGTCGAACAGAAGAAGAGAGTCACTATTGGTGTTGAACTGGCGGCGAAGCCCAGTCTTCTCCTATTCTTGGACGAACCGACCAGTGGCCTCGACAGCCAAGCGGCCTTCTCTATTGTGAGGTTCCTGAAGAAACTCTCTCAAGCAGGACAGGCTATCTTGTGCACGATTCACCAGCCATCTTCTATGCTGATCCAGCAGTTCGATATGATTCTTGCTCTGAACCCCGGTGGAAACACGTTTTACTTCGGACCTGTCGGTCCGGAGGGTCGCGACGTGATAAATTACTTCGCAGAGCGTGGAGTCGTTTGCCCTCCGTCGAAGAATGTTGCGGAATTCATCCTAGAAACGGCAGCAAAGACGACCAAGAGGAATGGAAAGGAACTGGATTGGAACGAGGAGTGGAGGAACTCTGAACAGCATCTCCGGGTATTGGACGAAATCCGGCACATTAGGGACGAGCGCAGTAAAATTCCAGTTGCCGAAAAGGGCGTTCAATATGAATTCGCTGCATCGACTTGGACGCAAACTGTTCTCCTCACCAAGAGAGTTTTCAAGCAGTACTGGAGAGATCCCTCCTACTACTATGGAAAACTATTCGTTAGCGTCATAATTGGTATCTTTAACGGATTTGTAAGTTTCTTGCTTTCGCTTTCCGCCGTTTTTTGCGCATTTACTGATTTGGCGTTAGACCTTCTGGATGCTGGATAACTCCATCGCCAGCATGCAAAATCGCATGTTCTCGATCTTCTTAATTATCCTGATCCCTCCCATCATCCTAAACAGCGTTGTGCCTAAATTTTACATTAACCGCGCCCTTTGGGAGGCTCGTGAATACCCAAGCCGTATATACGGCTGGTTCGCTTTCTGTACGGCAAGCATTGTTTGTGAAATTCCAATGGCAATTCTCTCCGGTCTAATCTACTGGCTCCTGTGGTACTATCCAGTCGGCTTCCCCACTGATTCAAGCACTGCTGGATACGTTTTCCTCATGACTATACTTTTCTACCTCTTCCAGGCCAGTTGGGGACAATGGATTTGTGCTTTTGCACCTTCATTCACGGTGATCTCTAATGTAAAGCTCCTCATCCTTCTTCCTGCACAAAGATACTTCAAAGATGATTAGTTTGACCCGCGTATACTGACAGTCTGATGCTATAGGTCCTTCCGTTCTTCTTTGTCATGGTCAACTTGTTCAATGGTATCGTCCGTCCCTACAGAGACTACCCGGTCTTTTGGAAATACTGGATGTACTACGTCAACCCGGTCACCTGGTGGCTCCGTGGTGTGATTTCCAGCGTGTTCCCATCGGTTACAATCGACTGCACCCCTCAGGAAACCACCCACTTTAATCCACCACCTGGATCTACCTGCGGGGAGTATGCAGGCAACTTTGTTTCCAATATCGCAGGTGCTGGAAAGCTTCGTTACCCGAACGCCACCTCGGACTGCCAATACTGCCCTTTCCTGGATGGCAAAGAGTACATGAAAACCCTCAACGTCAATGACGGCGACAAATGGCGGTGCTTCGGCATTTTCCTGGCATTTGTTATTATCAACTGGTTTCTGGTCTATTTCTTCATCTATACCGTTCGTGTCCGGGGCTGGTCCTTTGGGATGGGATATCTCTTTGGCGGTCTCGGCATGATGATTGATGGAGTGAAAAAACTTTTTTCGAAGAAGTCTGAGAAATCCCAGAATTAACTTCACATACGAGTTTTGACTATTATTCATCGGGATCCTGATTCCTTCGTCGCTCTCCCTGTTCTTCCATCATGGATACAGGGTATTAACAACCCGACGGAAAAAAATATTAGAGAAACGCTGCGAAGAATGTACAAAAACTACCACGCATTTCCATTTGGCAGATAGACAGCTTTGAGTTTTACCATATTAAATAATAGTAATTGATTAGATAGTTAAACCAATCAATCTATACCCAATTGATTGTTTACCTAAATCATATCAAACTGAGTTGTACCATGGTTTGCGATCAAGACCGTAACGAGAACCAGGAAGACAAATCGGCACAGGGACAGTATCCCGGAAAATGTCTAAGGTGTTGGCCGACTCAGCTTCCTTGCCTGTTTGGTTCGAGGACGAAGACAGTTTCTCAGGTTCAGGGTTTGTATTGTTCTTTTGATTTACCGATGTAGCAGTAGTTTGATGGCCCTTTTCCTTGTCGAGAACAAGTATGAGTACACCACACTCCCAGTTACGACAATTAAGTTTTGGCTCTTTCGTTGTCCGATCCTGGACAAGACGGCCCCTATCATAGATCAGCTGGAATTAGATTCATATTCCACCCCAGAGTACGAAGCTGGGTTGACCGTGAGGTACTTACCATGCGCTTTCTGATAGATTGGCACTTCCCACATACGCCCAGGCACGGCATTGGGTGTTGTCCTTGAAGGAAATCGGCGCATCTGGTCTCACGTAGAGGATCTAGACAGAGTCGTAGTGTAAGTACGTGGTTCTGTCCTTCTACCGGTTGATCTTACCTTATTATGCATCAACATTCCTGGTCTGGAACTCTCGCAGTCCCGTAGCACATGGCGAGGAAATTTTTGGCCCTCGTACCATTTTGATTGAAAACAGATTGTGCCGGCATAACGTGGACCACCTCGTGAATCTTTTACTGTTTTATTAGAGGGGTAGTAAACTCTGAATCTCTCCTTCCACTCCTCAGCGGTATCTTTCGAGATCAGTTGTTTCGGATCAGTACGACTCTTCGTGGAAAATGATTTGGCGGTCCGGAGGGTTAGCTCTGTCATTCCATCATCACCTGACAAGATGGTTAGCTCGAATGACTCTCTTGAGATTATGGATGAACATTTGGATAAAAGTCTACCTTGTGACGCGAGATATAAGGACCGCAAAAACTCATTGGACAAGGACCCAAGGGACGATGTCTACATATATTAGTAGGCGCTTCCTAACCCAGCATGAATTTGTGGACCTACAATGAAGTCGATGTTTACCGGCACGGAGAGCTGCTTTAACCCAAGTGCATTTACTGAACGACCCAGGCCGCAGTAACCCGTCCGTTTCCATGCATCTCCTGTATGTGAGCCGCCGCTGGAAGAAGTTAGATTTGATCGTTCATGAGAGCAGAGGAGAGATCTCACATGGTGTGAACAAAAGCAATATGCTTAGTTTGGCTGAAGTCATAGTTGTCAATCCTGGAAATGATATTATCGTGCAGGGTGCTGGCTTTCAGAAAATAAACCAAATCCTCGTAGAATATAGGTTTTAAGTTATCAGAGGATCGGTCGACTATCTTTGGAAGGTCGATTAAAAAAACAGACTAAATCCATGTTAGTGAGTGGTCAAGGAAAAGAGCTCCGCTATATTGTACATTTTCCATGACACCTCCCATCTCACCCCAGTCAAGTGCAGTCAAGTTAGCGGTCGGGACCACGATTCGGAGATATTCTTTATGAAAGAGGAGCATCAGTTTTGAGTGCATGCAATTCACCTGTGCATCCATTGGTGGGAAACATAATCTGAGGTTGTTCATAGATGCTGTCTCTGACTCGTATTGACGTTTCTTGTTTTAAGTGTCAGTTTCACTCTTAAAGCAACAACAAACCAAAAAGTCTGAATTATAAACCCACTGTAGATTCATCCTTGGCCTGCATCATCAACAATAATCGAGTGTTCTTTGTATCGAGTTTCGAAAAAAGCCACTCCATATCCCACATGAAAGAGCTCAGAACAGCCAGGTCCAGGTCGCCTTTCTGGAGAACTTCTTCAATTTTGATATCATCACCAAGTCTTGAACAAGAATATACCCATGTTTTCTTGACCACCCCAGAGGGAAATTGCACAGAAGGCCTGGAAGATGGGGTTAAAGCTGTTAATTCTTTATTAGAACCAGTTGGACCCGCATCACCAAGATTAGATGGTTCATTCTTTGTAGTTGTTAAGCTATTGACGTCCTGTTTCACATGCAGATTGAGAGGTGTCTCGGTTTTCAACTGTTTTGTTTCGCGTTCGTCAATCAAGGTGGCATGTTCAGATTTCCTTTTGGCAAGGCGAGCAAGGCGTTCTTGTTCCATCTTCATTCGATCTAAGCCCAAAACGCCCAGAGGTTGTGGTATGTTCTGTTCCTGTGGTAAAGTTATATCTTTACGCGACGAACCAGGCTTCGAATCGTGGGGCTGGCTCGCTGAAATATTATGTGCCTCCAGAGAGTCTTCTTCGTCATGTTCAAGGTCTTGTTTGGATAACTCGATTGCCCTCTGCAGGTCCTCATCATATTCATCAGAGCCTCCCGTTGCGTCGTCGTCTATATCAACCTCAATGGCTGACTTCGACTTTGGATGGATTGGTACAACTTCATCGTCATCGGTGTCACCAGTCAAATCAACGATATCCCCCTGATTCCTAGTAGGGCAATTCATGCCTTCCAAAGACGCAGCAATAGCTTCTCTGATTTCATAATCGCTTTGATCATCTGCGCTCGTATCCGGCATAGTGTTTTAGAAACCCCAGTGAGTTTTCAATAAGAGAAAGAAAGAAGGTAGAGTGAGGGATTGGAGGGAATTCCCGGCCCTTTTTTTAAGACCTCGGTTTGAGGAGCGATTTTCAAACACAAGAAGATTGTCACAGGTATAGCTAATCACGTAGTGAGGTAGTGAGGCAGCTATGTTTACGGTACGACATCGGTAGGAGACACCAGCATTAAGTGTACTATCGCCTTCATTAAGCACAAAGAGCTGCTTATAAATTGACCAGAGATAAACTGATCCTCGAGACCGTAATGGTCATGAAAGAGATGGAGATAGACATGAGATAGAAGGAGAGTTGAAATTGTACTTGATGGACACCAGTATTGTATGGTACAGTGTCACGTGTGATATTGACTTTCCTAATAGAGCGCGTTGAGGATCACGTGGTCTACGCGATGTATGGGGGTTCTTAATTATTTCGACGATTGGATTTGACCATCATAGTTGGACAAAATAAAAATAAAATAAAATAAAATAAAATAAAGAGCTCGGATTATACTCTAACAATGCTCATGTGTAGGTTGTCTGCGTGATTGTGGATTCCTAGTTGTTCTCTGGTTGTGCATTATTCTCCTATGTAAACTTCTTTACACCTACCAGTTTTAGATCGCCACAAAGGCTTTTCTATAAGAATGCATATTTTTGGCAGTTATATTTAACATTGATTAGGTAGTAACTAATACTCTTATTCGACTCCTCGTAAGCACATGATTCACGTATTTTAGACAGTACTTATGCATTGCTGGGTGTAGCAACTAGAGAGTGAAGTGTTCTATGGTAACAATAGCTAGAAGTTCTGAGAATAGGTGCGGTTTTGAGCGCAGGCAATTCTTTATGCATGTTTTCGTCCACCAATTCAACGGTCAAACAACAACATTCTCAGGCAAGGACCCCACACAAATAAGCATCGATCCCTTGCCTTGAGATACATTTTCTGCATCCTGCGAACAATGAATGTCGAGCCCGAGAAAAAGAGTGCTCCTTCTGAAAAGGGTGTGCTGTTAGAGTCTTCGTCCTTTAATCGCCTCGAGCCATCCAATCCAGGGTGAGTCCTTCCACTTCGCCGATTCACCTCTCCCGCTAATAATAATATCCAACGGCCCAGAGTCACCGTTCGTTTTTTTCCAGGAAGTAACTGATGGCCATGACGACAATGGTACAAGACTCACTCGACTTGAGGAACATGCTGGAAAGCCTAGTTATCACTACACCATTGTGTCCGAGGCTTGCAAGATTGTGAAAAGCACGCTTATCACTGGCAATCGTTATTTGCGTTGCTATCTCTATTGGTTGCCGATCGAGGTTAGATTCCAGATCTATGAAGTCTTGTTCGTCCACGATGGCAGCGCACTCGAGATCGGGAGGCTTAAGCGCACAGGGATAGCAAACTTAGCAATCCTCAGAACCTGCCACGCCATCTATCATGAAACCTCAATTGCTCTATACCATTCCCTGAGCTACCGCAAGCTCTTTCTCAGGACGTATGGCTCATTCTCCGCGGATCTCCTTCGGCGCTTGCCTAAACAATTGCCATGCTGCCGGAACAAAACTTACGAAAAGCATTTGGAGTACCCCTGCCCCGTTAGCCCATTTATGTGGAAAAGGTCGTTCGAATCGGTCGTATTTCTGCTTGGAGCAAGCGATTTCAGGGTGGCTGTGCAGCGTCGCTGGGCATTTTCAGAGTTTATCACAACGTTGAGGATGGGGGGGGGAGCCTCTGAAAATTTATTCTTTGACAATCGTTGTAACTGAAAATTGGAAGATGCCTGGCTTCAACGAAACGGACTTGGTCAAGGCCTTGCTCAGCGGAGCAATTGACTTTCTTGGAAAGCTACGCTTCCGGGGGTTCACTGAGGAGGAACGTAAATGTCTGTGTCAACTGGTTCACTCTTTGAAAATCCAGACATTACGGATCGAGCGACAAAAGAAAAAGATCCAGGGGCCGGGCTTCTCAATTTGGGTTTGTAAGTTACTGTCTCTCTTTTTCGACCTAGGCCCTTCTAAAGACACTGGAGCACGAGATCAATTATTGAAAAGAAAATATCCCGGTCAGCATTGGTGGTTTCAAGTCCGAGTCCTACAACAAGGAGTCGTTTTTCGTTTGGTGTTTTCGTCACAATAGCACTTGCAATTTGACGAGCATACAGTTGACCAACTGTTTCATGTTCAGGAATTCGACCCCCGAGCAGTGAGGTGGCAGTGAGGCTGCTCAGTGGAAGAAGACCGTCATCTGCAGATTCCGAGATAGTATGAGATCCCTCCGTTCCAGGATTTCTATTCTCCAACGGTACATGTAGCTTGGAAACCAGTCAGTTAAGGACATGGAGGATCAGTTAAGGACAACATACCCAATGACCAAGACGTCCCTTTTGTGAGACAGTTACCAAGATCCTATCACTGAAGTTCACGCACATGACATCTGTTTGTATCATATTAACAACTCCAGAAGCCTTCTTTGTGGCAGCGGGGAATGGAAGGTTTAATGGCTCTTGGAGTAAGTTGAGATTAAATAGATCAGCCATGATGGAAGTTTCTTTGGGAGGATGTATGTAATCATCCACAGTTTCAGTGACAGATAAATGCATTCCAAAGCACCATCCGTTGGTGGGGTGGAAGTAATTGGTAGAAGTAGTTTCAGTGGTGAGTGTAGTCTCACCGCCTTGGTGTAGAATCTCACCGCCGCCCGATTTTTTTTCCTTTGCTCCACCGTCAACAGTGAGAATCCAACCTCAGTTTGACCTTCTATCTGGACCTTTGTCTTTGTCATTAGGTAGAAATACAGAGATCCAGATTCTGTAACCATGCCCAAATTTGTACCCCGCCAACGAAAGCAAAAACACAGAGAAAAAAATGCGGTGCTAAACACTTCGGTGGACACCAATGCCGCCGAGATATTGCCCGTATCCAACAGTGACAAGGAAGCAAAACGACAGCATCTTCGAGAGGAATTGAGAGCGCAACATGCAACCATCTCGTCAAAGAAACAAAAGCGTTTGGATAAATATATTGTAAGTTATAGCCTTCCATAAAATCCGAATCTACGACAGTCCCCTTTCTGACCATCTGCCTAGGAAACTAAACTCAAGAAAGAAGAAAATCTTGAGCTGCTCAAAAAGCTCGCAAAATCCAAAACAGATACTACAGCACTGCAAAGCTCAAAGGAGCTAGGAAAGCGCAAAAGAAATGATGAGCGCAGCAAGGCCTTGGCTCCTGCAGTTGCTCAAGACCGCAGTACCCAGCCGGAACTATCAGACGATGACAGCGATGATTCACTTCCTCCATACAAAATAATGCCCACCGAAACAGCTACTCAGCCTGCAGCAACTGTAGCTCTTGGTAGCGGTCTAAAACGCCCTCTCGAACTGGGGTCAGATGGATTCCCTGTCCTTAAGAAGCGGAAACGAGTACCCAAAGCAAAGCAGATGGCGATCGCGGCACAAGAGTTACCATGGGAAGGATTTGATTCGGATTCGGACGAGGGGCAAAATGTTAGATCTTCCGCAAGCTTGGAGAGTGAAGATAAAAAGGATAAGAGTATGGATGAAAGCGACGATACCCAGGAGCCAGTAGAAGAAACGTCAGATGATGACGATAGTGATGAGGAGGACGAAGATGACGAAGATTGGGATGAATCAAGCGAACAGCCTCATCAGTCCGCATTTAAGGCTTGGGCAAGGCAACAGATCAACGAGGCCGTAGGCTTCAAGCCTACTACGAGCCCAATCGTGTCCGAAGGGTTAACAATCATCCCGGAATCCAAAAAGCCAGCTAAAAACACCGTTTTTGCGGAGGAACCTCTTCCCCCAGAGCTCCAGGTAACCCAGGGAAACCCTAGCCGGAAGGCCTTCAGTGTCCAGGTCGATCGCACGGAAGAAATACAGAACGCACGTTTGGGGTTACCTGTAGTAGGAGAAGAACAAAAGATCATGGAGGCAATCCACAACAATTCTGTCATTGTAATATGGGGAGCTACTGGAAGTGGAAAAACCACGCAATTGCCACAGTTTCTGTTTGAAGCCGGTTTTGGAAATCCTGACAGCCCAAATCCAGGCATGATCGCAGTGACGCAACCACGCAGAGTTGCTACTGTTAGTATGGCGAAACGCGTGGGTGATGAATTGGGCCAGTTTTCCGACCACGTCTCCTACCAGATTCGGTTCGAGAGCACAGTATCCAAGAAAACGGCAATCAAGTTCATGACCGATGGTATCCTCATCCGAGAGATTGCCGAGGACTTTTCTCTGAGCAAATATTCCATAATTGTGATCGACGAAGCCCACGAGCGGAGCGTCAATACAGATATTCTCATTGGAATGGTAAGCCGTATTGTCGAGTTGCGGAAAACCATGAGCGAAGAAGACCCCTCCGTCAAGCCCCTTAAACTCGTAGTGATGTCGGCAACTTTACGCATTTCCGATTTCACTCAAAACAAGAGTCTTTTCCGACAGGGACCGCCTCCTTTGGTCCAGGCGGAAGGCCGCCAGTACCCCGTCACCGTACACTTTTCTAGAAGGACTCATCGCGATTACGTCGATGAGATGTTCCGGAAAGTCTCAAGGGGCCACCGTAAGCTGCCTTCCGGAGGCATGCTGGTTTTCCTGACAGGGCAGAACGAGATACGACATCTTTCGAAGCGACTGAAGCAGGCGTTCAAACCTACGCAGCGAGGTGATGTTGCTCAAGCCAAAGTGCAACTCTCAGCGAACGATGCACCGCTTGAAGCGGAAGACCTCGATATAGGTGGGACCGACTTATCTCTATCCAACCTTGCGGACGAGGGCGAAGACAGTGATTTTGAGATTACTGGTCTCGATGACCCGGAGATAGATGAAGGTTTCGATCTGGGAGAGGAAGCAATGAACTCGTCTACTCGCGTCCATGTGTTGCCGTTATACTCTCAGCTTCCTACAAAGGAGCAGTTGAGAGTCTTTGAAACACCACCCGAGAGCTCACGTCTCATCGTTTTAGCTACCAATGTAGCCGAGACCAGTCTTACAATTCCAGGCATCAAATACGTGTTTGACTGTGGGCGAGCTAAGGAGAAACAGTACGATTTGTCCACGGGGGTACAGAAGTTTCAAGTCAACTGGATTAGCAAGGCCAGTGCGAACCAAAGAGCTGGACGGGCTGGTAGAACTGGGCCGGGCCACTGCTATCGACTCTATTCGTCCGCCGTTTACGAAGGCGAATTTTCCGAATACACTGATCCTGAGATTCTACGGACGCCCATTGAAGGTGTCGTTCTTCAGATGAAGAGCATGGGTCTACACAACGTTATCAACTTCCCCTTCCCAACTCCCCCTAGTCGTCAGGGTTTGACCAAAGCAGAAAAGCTGCTCAAAAATCTTGGTGCACTCTCAACCGTGGGAAATATCACTCAAACCGGACGTCACCTGTCTACGTATCCTTTGTCCCCGAGGTTCGGGAAAATGCTACAGATCGGCCACCAGCACGGCTGTATGCCTTATGTTATCGCCCTTGTTGCGGCCTTAGCAGTGGGTGACCTGTTTGTGCCCGAAAATCAGATCGATCCTACACCGGCCAAGGGCGATGATGAGAGAGAAGGCGTCTACACAAACTCGGATCGACTGGAAGACACGGCCAGGGAACAACGCCACAAGGACTACGCTCGAGTCCACCGACTTTTCAGCAAACATGATGATACAGCAGATGCCCTGAAAACTCTGTCCGCCGTCTGTGCATATGGTTATGCATCTGATGGAGATGCATTCTGTGAAAAGATGTTCCTCCGCGCCAAAGCGTTTAAGGAGGCCACCCAACTGCGGAGTCAGTTAACGGATATTGTGCGGGCCAACAACCCGGCCCTTATATCCGCCTACCAGGCACGATTGCCCGAACCAACCGAGAAGCAAGTGAAAGCGCTGAAGCAAATAGTTGCGGCCGGTTTTATTGACAATGTTGCGATCCGCGCTGACCTGGCACCTGTTCCGCCTGAAATGGCACGGACACCGAAAAGGGCAATTGATGTTCCATACATCACGCTCCTCAGCTCCCGCGAAGGACCAGCCGTAGAGCTCAATGAGAAGGCGGTTTTCGTGCACCCGTCTTCGTTAATTGCGCGCCTCTCTCCCAAAGAAATGCCTCAATACATCATTTACTCTCACTTGCAGCAATCGACGCCGTCGGCTGTATCCGACCAGTCGTCAAAGATTCGAATGTATCCTCTTGTTGTGCCAAGTGGTTTGCAGCTCTCGGCCATTGCGCAAGGAACACCGCTTATTGAATACGGCAAGCCAATTGGGAAGATTGAGGAGATCGCCGGAGTTCCACCGCGACGAGCTTGTTGGGTGATTCCTTCTCTGGTGGGCGAGACTGGCCGTATGGGATGGCCCTTACCAGCCAAGAAGGTGATTCAGAGGAAAGATCCTAAACACGGATGGGTGATTGAGAAGCTTAATGCTTAAAAAATTCTGTATATAAACATGTCCAGTAAAGTATATCATATTGGCTCTGACCAATGTCCCGAGGGTATAACGCAGTATCCAACAAACTCCCGTAAGGTGATTGATTGAGCTCCCATTAATCTCTAGTAATTAATCCCTATGTAGTATGTACAATTTGCTTATGATGCCCATGGAAAGCATTTCCAACCCAGACTCCCAGCGCCAAAGACTAAACTCCAAAACGTTTTCAGCGACTTGGAACCTTCAACCCTAATTAAACGAGCGAGCGAGAGAGATTAATACCGCTCACGAGTCCAATCCCGTCTCCTCCCGTCCGAATACCCTCGTCCACTAGATAATTCCCCCGTCTCCTTATCCTCTTTAATGCCCAACGCCTTCCGAAGCCGTTCACTCTCCTCGATCTTCGCTTCTGCCTGCTCATGAACCTGATACGACTTGAACTGTCTTCGCTCCTTGGGCGGCAAAAAATCCCGACCACCTAATCGTACTCCTCCTTTCTTACCACGACCAGCATCCTCCTCCGAACCTGAATAATCATGATTACCCTGTTGACCATTCCTCGCCTCGTCGTCAGCCTCCTCCATCTCCAACAACAGTTTCTCCCGTAGCGCCTCACATCGCTCGTCGATCTCCTCCTCTGATAGGATTTTCTTCTCTTCCCTGTGTCCGTCTCCGTCCTTCTCTGCCTCCTTCTTTCCATTTCCCTGCTGCTCCACTTCTATCCGTTCGTTCTCATCTTCTAATCTTTCCCGCTCCTCCATCACCTTCACTTCAATCACGCGTCGTCGATCGTGCTCCAGGATCTGCTTATCCGGCTGTCGCTGCTTGAATGGTCGGCCTAGTTCGCCAGCTGAGCTCGATACCGGCGGATATGGTGCCCCGTACCCTGCGTTGCGCGGTTTCACGAATGCATAGTTCCGTTGCACGTAGCCGGATGTGCCACTTCCTCTGGGAGTGGAGAGACCGACGTTGGAAGACATGTGCGTTGGGCTTTGTGGAATCAAAAATAAAGGTCTTCCAAGGGAGCTGGAGGGGAATCAGAGACTGGGAGGAGATCGGTATGATAAAAAATAAACAAGTTGTATAGGTAGGCAGCGGTTGAAGAATTCATTTGCATGACAGTTGGAGATGAGAGGGAGTGGCTGGCATCACGTGGCGATACCGATAACCGACCTAGTCTTATCACCTGACAAGTAATACTCCCATTAGCCACAAATAAAACTACAAGAAAAGTGGTACGTAAACTCCAACTTCCAAGGAAAATCAATCCAAAAGTTACAATATACATTCAAATATCTATAGCAATAGAACAGATCATCCATCGCTACAAGAAATGCAGTAACACTTTTGATTCAATTGACTGTATACCGACAAGCAAAGCCTCTCTAGATGCACCAGGCAATCCCATATTTCACCCCTATTTCCAGATCTTCCCATATGTCCAAGGCCTCAATTTGCGAGCTTTTGGAATAATCCCGGTATCCTCTGTTCACTAACTAAGACGCTGACCCTCATATTTGGACAAAGAGAAAGAATAGAACCAGCAATCAATAGGGAGACGTGTCCTCATTTTCGTAACATTGAACTTCCGACAAAGATAAATGAAGAAGAAAGCCATGGACAAATTAAAACCGTAGGAAAGTTCAAAAGGATAAAAAAGTGATGAACACGGAAGAAAAAGAAACCAGAACAAGATCCCGCCGTGACCCTTGCTTTTACGCCATCATGCCAGTATGAAAAGAGGCAGAAAAGTAATACCCTTGGTAACTCATTTATCCCTCGGAATCTCAGTATGTATACGCCCTGATTAATGATAATTTTTGGTAAAAAGGGTGGCGTTAATAAAAAAAAAAAAGTAAGGTAAAAAAATTTAGACAGTAGAAGCAAGAAAGGTGTTAAATGACAGCTGTCTAGGCAGTGCCATTAATCTTGACAGGCGCAGTTGGCGTTGCATCAGCCGACTCCGACTCTGCCAGAGGAGTCACTGTGCTTTTATCAGCACTCTTGGTTTCGACCGAACCGTCTGCATTGGCTTGAGAGTCTGTCGGAGGTGGCGTGGGCGGTGCCGCTCCAACAACAGGCGCTCGGGCACTCTCAACTGCACTCACAGAGCGTTTAGACGGTTGAGGAGACGACTTGTGAGAATTAGGAGGGGTCGTGGATGAGGAGGTGTGGGCAGTGAGAGGGCCGCTTGAGGGAATGTTGCTGTCGTAGACCAATTTTTCGATGGCTACAATCTGCTTGCCATAGCTATATTTCTTCATGTGACAGAGTGCCGGTTTAATTTCTTCCACAAGCGACTCTCGCTCAGCTCCCTTCAGCTGACCCAATATCTTTTCTGCGGAGGACTTAGCACATACAAGCTATGAAACAGTGGGGGAAGCAATAGGCACTCACGAATCACATAGTTGCCATACTGGTCACGAATCAGCTCAGCCAAGTGGTCTTCACCTTTTTCGTCGGGAGTCGTCAACATCGTAATTATTTGCCGACGCTGGGAGCGTTCTCCAAAATCTATACTCTTCTCAACAACATTGCTGGCAAACTTGTGCCTGGAGAACATTATCAATTCCTTCATGACTTTCGCGATCATTCGAGAACGGTCCGACTCCTCGCCATTCTCGATGACGTGCTGAATCACGTAGTTCCCAAATTGGTCCGGAATAAGTCTACTAGTGGCGGTGTGCAGTTCCGACAATATCGCCTGCCGATCCTCTTCCTTGCAATGTTCAAGCATCCGCTGGATAACACGGCATCCGTAGGGATGGGTCGCGAGTTTTTCCACTTGCCCGATGAAGGAGTTAATAATAAACTGTACGTGTTCGGATGGAACTCGTTCGATGGCTTTCTGGATCACATGGTTGCCGTTCTGATCCCGGACACACCGAAGCACATGGTTCTCGAGTTCCTTGACCATGGATGCTTGCTGGTCGGTAAGAATATGCTCTAACGCCTGCTCTTGCATTAGTTACTAAAGTCCCAGATGCCATGGGCTAAACTTACCTTTTGTACCACCCGACATCCATACATCTGAAGGGATAAAGTCAAGATATGTCCTTTCATCTGGTTCGCCAGGATTTTCTTCTGTGTCTGATTGCCATGTTCGAAAAGCTTCTGTACAACGTAGTTGCCAAACACGTCTGTCATCAATTGCAAGCTGTCACCCTGAATTTCGCGGAACACTTGTTCCTTTTCGTCGCTATTAGCAGTTTCTAGCTTTTGTTGAATGAACCGAGACCCATGCTGGTCACCGCTGAACTCAACAATATAATTATATATGTCCTGCAAATATTAGTTAGCTCGCCGTAGCATCAACAGGGGTATACTCATGGAAATAATTACCTTAAGCTCGTACCGCTTGTTACCCTTGCTATTGGCGCGGAATTCCTCTAATACATGGCTTCTAACGGTTTGCGAAGGGTCGTGATCACGATGGCCCCTGGAAACGAGGGCCGCAGCACCAAGGTGCGCGACCGGGTAAAACCCGGGAATATTATTTAACCCCGCTGCTTGATAACGCGAAACTTCGTAGGCAGGCTGGAACGGCGGCAGTCGTAGAGGGTTAGAAGATTGTTGGGAGGTATCATGCTCCGTGGCTATACCCCGCAGGCGCCGATCAAATGCCACGGCCTGGTTGTCTGATAAACGGCTGCCAGAGGTGTTCCGGAAGTGGGGGCCAGACAGTTGCCCACCATCAAGAGTTTGATGAAAGGGACTTTCCATCCGTGGGTACTCTGTTGGGGAGATCGGACCGTCACCAACCCGGGATCTGGTAGCCGGGTAACCTACTGGCAAATCAGGTGCGCTGTCATTTGTGTAAGTAGTCACGTTCTGATAATTGCCCTCGTCACTAGGACCTTGATATCTCAAACGTTGGAGTGAGCTGTCCAACGATGGATGGGACAAGTATGTTGGCCGCTTTGAACCCGAGTGCGGCCCAAAGCCGCCTTCAGCCACCTGAAGCTTGCTCAAGCCGGCGTTGATGTCAACTGGGTTGTTTCCGTATCGTCCCTCAAAGCCTTGGCTTTCCGAATGGAAAGATGGGTACGATGAATGGGCAGGCCGCTGAGCCGTAAAAGACGTAGAGTTGTGAGATGAATGTGCATAGGCGTTGCGGTTTAACGTTTGAGAGGCAGAATCAGGTAGGGTTTGAGGTATTGAGGACATCGCCATAGCACTTGTGACCCCGATGTCATCGGCCCTTGCACTGTCGAGTGGGCTCGAGAGCCCAGATCTCATCGGAAACCCTGTGCCAACATGGCTGCCTCCGAAAGTAGTTGTTCCAGCATGTCGTCTGCCATCAGTAACCCTGGATCCGCCAATAGGACCAACTGGAAGCCCCTCTCCTGCAACTGGAAAGCTCTCTGGTCCGCTATGTAGAAATGACGTGTGATTCGCTGTCGTGCCGATTCCAGATGCTCGCGGTAGTGGGAAATAGGATGAATCGCTCGTCTCCGGAAGAGCAGCCGCACTTCTCTCAGAGGCCCGGGTCTGGATCGGTGATGTAGCCATGCCGGTGTTGGGTGCTCTAGATAGAGCAGCAGAGGGCGTTTTCACGTGGCCCCAGAAAGCATTCGAGCGACCATTCCAACCATCCGACTCCGAAGACGACAACAAAGAACTTGAACCCGCCTTGCCTTCTAAAGCTGTGTCTGCGATCTGTTGGTCTGCTCCATTACGGTTAGCGTCCCCCGTCTCCATCAATACCAATCCACACCGCCTCTTACCTGCCAAATTATCTCCCCAAATATTAGTGTTCCAGCTCGACTGAGCGCCGAATTGGCCCATATTTGTAGCAGTCCCTCGAGTTCGCTCACTATTCGTATTGAATCCTCTGCTTGATCGCACCTACATTATACTTGTTAGTCAATGATCCACCAGTTACATCAGCCATGCCATGTACCACGTCTGTATTGTTTGCTGCCATAGCGGCCATTTCACTAGCCGCTGGGACAGGTGGCAATGATGATTAAGCTGTATAACCTCCCACAAGAAAGGACACTTCAGACCTCTATTCAATGGTTTTTCACAGATATTATCCTCTCCTTCTCAGCGTGATAGAAGGCGTAAGGAGACGATACCGGGGAAGTTACGAGGACGATGGAAAACTTAGCTGCACCAACACCAGTCATGTGGTCAGTCAAATTCCGAACAAAATCGAGCCAATATTTTTTTTTCTGAGCCAGAATATCTAACTCACCAGAAGAGAAATTCGTGGTAAGATCAGAGATCCTCAAAAATACCGACAAAGGGATGGAAAATAAGAAGACTTGGGAGAGGGGGAGAATATGTTTTTTCCCCTCTTTCTTAGTTGTGTTTTCTTGTTTGTCCGCAGCCGTAATGTGGTCACAAAATGTATAGATTATACAAGGGATCGAAGGGGTTGACGAAAGGGAGGAAGATTGACCAGCGGGCAGGCGAAATATGCTGAGCAAAGGAAGGGAAAAAGTACGAGTTAGATGCAAGGTGATCAGAATCGAAACAATCTCCCTTTCGTTTGTCAGCGTATTGCCCAGCAGGTAGCCGTGAATCGAAATTGACAGTATGTATGGCGATGTTAATACACTCCGTGCATGCTCTAGGAAGCTCGAATCTCGCAGATTACCCTCATGTGCAGTGTGGAGAAGTCGAAATACGCGTTGTTGACGAAGGAGGTAGTCGAAACTGATTTGGTTTAATCAGACAAGCGTTAAGAGCTCGGATGATAGGCGCAGCAAGGGGGAGGGGAGAAGGGTCAAGTGAAATTGCAGCTGGTATGGAGAGGAATGTGCTCGTTGCGCAAAGGGACAAGCGATCCGACGTGATTAGTGGAGCATCAAAGGATGGGAATGCGGATGAGAGACAAAGCACGGCATCAATGTAATCCAGCTGTGACACAGACAAAAGCGGGCATGACACCCAAGAGTGGCTTGGTCAATCTTGATCGCGTATCTCTCGTCCACCACTGTGGAGGGGAGGACGTGGAAGAGTATGATAAAAAAGGTTGGAAGACAGGAGGAAAGTTTTTTATAAAATGACAAAAAAAAAAAAATTTATACAAACATAAATCACTAACAAGGAAGTTATGACAACAACCCAACTTGGGTGAAGAGAAAAGTATCGATGTGAAGAGAAGGGCTTTATTTTGGGGAGAGAAAAAAAAATAATAAAATAATAAAATAAAATAAAAACTGAAGGCAAAGAGAGCTGTAGCACAGAAGGAGAAGCACTCAACGGGCGCCGAGTGGAGAAGAATGAAGATGGAACGTAAAAAAAAAAAAAGAAGCAAGGACGAGGAAAGTCCAGAATATAAAAAAACCGAAGTAAGTTTCAGGAAACTCCCCCAAAGCGACAGGGACCGGAGAAAAAAAAGAAATGATGAGGTCTTAACGGAATGCGAGCGTCAGTGATAGATAAGCTGGGAAGGTTCGAGCTGGAAAAAAGATGCTGCGTGTCGCAGAAAGCGCCGCCGTATTACCTTACCGGGTGGTGACAACAATAATACGCCAGGCGATCCTGCAGATCTGGCCTGGTTGGTGGTCAGGTACTTGGCCACAGTATGTGTCCTCCACCCACAGGGCAGGTACCGCCCAGCCTCAGCCTGCTGGGCTCTGGTGAATGCATGCCCACTGGTTCCATTGCATCGCCCACTAGGGATGGTGTATAGCTTACCGTAATCTGGGGCCGCCAAATCCGTTTCCGCCGCTTCTTTTTAGGCTTCAATTTAGGCGGCCCCTCATGGCATTCAGGGAACGGACAGAGTATGAATTCTTCAATCCTACCTCTCTCTCCTCCTCCCTGGTCCGGATCTATGTACCCCGTTCGGCGACATCATCGACCACTCTTCTACTATCCCTTTAGGGCCTCCCATTTCTCTCCTTACGGAACACCTACGTGATGGTTTCCATTTTCCTTCTGACATTTTAGTTTCACAAGCCAAGTCGAAGGAAACTTGGTCGCGTAGGCTTCGATCGGTATACCCGTGGTCTCGTGTCTTGATTTGATGTCTATCCCAATTATTTATTGTTGTAATCTGTTAGTATTACTTTTGTTTATTTGTTTATTTGTTATTTATTTCTGTTGAGTTCAAAAGGAATACATGGATCTCCTTTAGATCAAATATGGAACGCTTGTCAAATACCACTCCTAAAGCCCTGGTGTGACTACGATGGACACCTGTCTCGGACATGATTTCCTTGCCAGTAGAACCATCCCAACACGGTGATGCCTTTCGAACACATGAATTTTAATAACTTTCTCATATGCTTACGTCTTTCTGAGCAATAATCGATATCACAAGACCTGATAATAGTTGCGTGTTGCAATTGCTTTATTGCTTTGTTAGCCGCCTTCCTCCAAATGAAATTAGAGCTTTCAGTTAAGATACGCTCTAGCCCGACCGATCGGGTCCACTAAACTAGCTTAAGTTAATTCATCATCATCCAACATGATCATGGGAATCATACTATGTGTGGGCAGACATGTGTCCATCCCTACATACAAGTCTATAATGATGTTCCAGGGAAAGGAGCGCTGCTTTCAATGAAATGACCTCTCTCTGAAGTTTTATTGGCTTATGCTTTTGGAGTGACAGGTTGTCTACCAAGTAAAGTAGTTTTAGGTACAGGAGATGTTGTCGGTTAGTTCGATGACATGGCGGTGACTCTTACACTGTGCAAGAATCCTCAGGCAAACAAGGAACACTGCTTTCCCGCCCAACCACACATCCTCCTGCCTTTTAACAATGTCCCGTCAGCATTTACTTTCCTTCTCTTCTAAATCCCTTTTCTATATTATAATGCTTCTTATAAGACACTCACAACTCCTTGCATTTATGCAGTAAATATTCATTAAGTTTCCATTTTCCTTACCTTTCTAACGGGCTGCGAATTTAATTCCAAGGAGCTCTTAGGTATAGAGAAAGTCTGGGGAAGAATCCTCCATCCGCTTCCTTTCCATCTCTAACCATCCTGCATTATCTTTCTAGTATGACTGCTGCCCATACCACACGTTGATCGCCGTGCCTCTTTACCAAATCCATTCCGGAGTAAATAAATAGACTACGTTCGAGTTTTCTGGTGGAATGTTTCTTTGGTCAACCCCCTCCCCCCTCTCCCCGGGTTCCCTTGACACCCACAATGAGAAGGTAGCTGCTGGGCACCCATTTGATTCCTGGGCTTGCATACGCATGGTTCACAAGCTATTGACCCATCAATGCTGTCTTTTTTTACGGATATTGGTTCCAGTCAGCCACCCATTCCTTCCCTTTCTCCCTACATATATATACCCCGCACTGTAGATCCATGCCAGAGCGAAAAGAAAATTAAAAAAAAAAAAAAAAAAAAAAATACCAGCAGGTTTTAAGAAGACATACAGTGCCTATGTCACCATTTCAGTGTAGTTCAGGTTTCTACTGGTAACAGCCTCGGGAGTCATATTCGAGTACTGGCGTTATCGGCGGCACCTATAAAAGAAAAGAGAATGTGGCACGCAAGGACTAATACTTGCAGAAAACATAGTAATTCTACTATTATCGATAATAAGAGCTCGCATGGCACTCGAAGCACTGTGGCATCTTTAAGCTATAAAGGCTCAACTCTTGCCAGTTCTCGTATTTGGGTGTCTATTAAGTACGGTGATATAGGTAGGTAATGTACAAAGATGTATCCGCTAGCCATCAACTAGTGTCAAAGCTCTCTACTATCCAAGAAAATTGGCAACTATGGTATAAATATACATATTCTGCAAATAAACTGGTAGTTTCTGCAGGCGCAAAAAAACAAAAAAGGAAGTATACGGACAAGATGCTAACACACACTTATAAGATAATGACGTATATTCCTATATTCCTACGAAGCAAAGAGCAGACTTAAATCTAATATCTGAATTCATACAAACTGTATAATAGTTGGCGAATGATTCCTCATACCAGAATTTTATCGCCTAGAGACATGCCAATCACCTTCCCAGGAATGAGGTAAAGGCAAATACTACAGGGCGACGGCCTACCAGGTCATGTCAATGCATAAGAACCTGTTTTTCTTCTTATCTCCCTTCTCTTACTCTATTCTACAAAGACAAAAATATTGCATAGATAGTAATGTTTTTTATTTCGACTTTGACGACCAGCCCTTGCTGCTTTTTACGGAATAGATCCAAGCACGTCCCTGAGCATCTTAGTCTGGTCATCAAGCAGCTCAGAGAAACTATGACCTTTGGTAGGATGCGCCATGTTCGAGTCTGTAGGGGAATATCAGGAATGCACGTAATGTGAGGGAGAACACAACACATATGCTGGGCAGTCATGCTCAGATTGATTGGATGGACACTTTGCATTTTCGAATCGCCAATATAGACAGGGTGAATTCCCACCCCAGCACGACTGGGTTGAAGACGCCTTCTTTCAACACTTGACTACACCTTTTGTCGGCCAGGAAACCGGTCCTATTAAAGAAGAGTGGCGGACTCAGTATTCTGAGTAACTTGCATGTTTCATGTCGCAGTACTGACGGATGTTTTCACACCTCAAGTAATGAGTGTAAAAACGAAGAATTTCAAAACAGCTTCAACTGTACATCAGCACTTCTGACCATAGTGTCGATATTCCTCTTAAATCTATGTCTGCAATAGCTAATCCCCCTAGATATAGAGTTATTCTCTTTGTGTGCTATAAGCTGTGTAAACTAACAAGAAAATTAATTTTCCAAATAATGATATCCCTTACTTTCCTGGTGAATTCAGCTTCCTTTTTTTTTATTTTACTTTGTTTTATGTACATGCTGATTGAGACTCTTCCTACACCCTTGGTACCTATTATGTGGAAGCTCTGTGGACATCTAGAGACACCTTTTAGTCAAAGAGAATTAATTGGCACCTCAGAGAATAGCCAAAAAAGTGTGGCATCGTAGTCAGTTTATAGAAAATTTTATGGATTTGCTATTGGTATTTCTTATATAGATAGTAGCTATGTATTTATATAGATAAGCAGAACAGATTTATAATCCAGTTCTCTTTAATTACTTTCTGTTTGTTCTTTTTCTAGTTTAATATGTTAACCAAGATACTGACGTATAGTATTGTACTCTGCTGGTGGTGTGTTTATATATACATTACAATTTATTTTAATAACACATCATAATATTAGTTAGTTGAAGCTGCTGAGATATCTTCAGAATATTCAAAGTATAGTAAGACTAAAAGGGGACAAGATGTGCCTTGGCTATATAAGCCTAAACTACAGAGAATGGGTTTATACTTCATAGGCAAAAGAAGGAGTATCCCGCATAATCCTAATATGTAGTGGCGATATAGTCATTAGGATTTCAGGTTGTGATTGTGGGTGGAAATACCGACAAGGGTAGATATATACAGGGTGGTACAAGTACCTGATAGGTTATATCTACTTTACACAGCTTAACTATGATCGACAAGGCCATCCTAAAGTGATGCAATCTCCTGCACATCGAGAATATATATATACTATCTGGATGATTTAAATATATCCTAAGGGTTTGGTTTAAATCTGCACTCTAAATATGAGAAATATATAACTGGGTTGAGGTGGGTTGCTTGTCACATACAAACTTTACAAAAAAAAAAAAAAAAAAAAAAAAAAAAAAAAAAAATGGGGGCAGAACGAAAATGCAAAGTTGACGCCATGTTTTTTTATTATTGTTTATCAATACACCCAGCTATGGCATCTTTTAATTTTGCTTATTATAATTACTCTGTAAATCTACGTGACGCGGGAAGCTCAGTGTGAGGACACCACCAAATATGGACCTAGAGATAGAAAGCTATTGATCTAAATATGCTAAACAGAAAATAATATTGGCTATGTACAGAGTAATAGTGATGGAATTATTTCTCTGGATTTTAGTATTAGAAAACAATGTTTATTAACCTAATGCACGCTTTATTCTACAGACATACTGTGTATAGTACGGTGGTATGTCCTAAAAAGAGGACATGTGTATAAGCAAGTATAAATAGATTAGATAGTTAGTCTAGCCTAAACTTTAGTCATTGTCTTCCCTTACATATTTTAAGAATGGCGACAGCAATAGGTTTATTGCGATGTTATTTATAAGGCGTGTATGCTGTCTGCTCCTTTATCATTCTGCTCTCTGCTTTGATCGCGCAATGTCAATTCCCTACTGCGAGGCTATATGCATATCAGAAATGTACCCCCCTCCCAACTCCCCAGGCAAAAACAAAAAAAGAGTGGGAGGTGGGTGTGGAAATAAAGGGGTTCTTAGGTTAAATTGCGTCAGAGCCTCGGAAGAACCAGAGCTGTACTCCTTATACTTAAATGGCTTGTGGTCCTGACAGACACAGTAGATAATTGCCTAGATACTACGGAGTAAATAGACAACATTATGTTTAATCGATTCCTGTCAATCTTGAAGCAGTTATTATGATCTCTTCTGATTCCCTTCAGGGGTGAAAATGAAAATACCAAAAAAAGGTTGCGAGAGTGGTCTAATGTGGAGCCACGATTGACATCAATATCAACAAATGCGGACTAAACTAGTGCACTACAATATGAATCAAATGGAACAATGGCCAATAAAGCCGCAGCAGGTGGGGGTACGAAAGGCAAGCTCAGGCACCCCCGCTCCCTGATAGGCCAAGTCTTAGGGATGGGGAGATTGCAACTGCTTTTAGCAGCAAAAGTAGCACCACCGGGCAACAAGTTAACAAACAAAGCGCCCTAGTCCCTGATTAGCACCGTTGGACTTCCTTCCCTTGCTGGGATTCGCTCGAGTCGGTTCTGGCCCTGTGTAAGCGCCCTTGCGCCTTGGTACTAGTATGGCAGCGGCGCTGGCCCTGACTCTAGGCTAGTACGGAGTAGGTCACTGGGTCTCCTTCTCCTCTTTCCTCCTCGACACTCTCCCATCTCACACTCTCACTTCCTTTCTTTCTGTTTTTCTTCCTGCCGTCCCTGTTCTCATTCCATTCCAACCCTCCCTCATTCTTCCTCCTTCATCCTACCTCTTCACGTTCCTTCTATCCCAAGCAGGTGTCGGCTTCACTCTTTCAGCTGCTCACCTTGCTGTCCGTTCTTTCCTTACCAGCCTGGTTGATTTTCATCCTCCCAACTGATTCCGACCGACCCGATCTGCCGGCCTGATACATTCCCTACAATTCAACCATTTCAACCACCATAACACAGTATCTCAGCTATCAAGTGTACCACTAGTACTATTACTTATTGCTGCACGTCTGAGCACGCCTTGCTGCGGTTTTGGAGAACGTTGTGACCGTTCTTAGCCTACAGTATCGGTTGTTGGCCAAGTGATCTACATAGTACTACTCTTTCAATTCTTGGATTTATATCTTTCCACCTGTCAATACGCACTCGCTTGCTGTATAAAGTTCTAAACACCCACTTTCGAGCTGAAGAAAGTGAACCTTCCCGCCAAATATGCCACATTCATTTAAACACTTGGTTGCGCGTGACGACGGCGCCGGTGGCTTGTCTTCTGCTATGGTCGATCTTTTGATATCTCTCCTGGTGCTCGTTTTGCTCGGTTTAGCCCTGGTTGGTACCCTCCTCGTCCTACGCCGCAAACGCTTGAACCAGAAACAATCCGAACTTCCCGTACATAACGGGCAATGCACACCCCAACATCGTCGCCTTACGATATCTGCGCCGCCATATGCCAAGACAGAGTCGGTTCTTGTCTACGATGAAAAGCGTGGTCTCATGGAGAATTCAACGAGCCCACCCCCCAGCCCAGTTCCAGAAATTCGAATCACGTTCCCAGAGGAGGAAGATGAGTCAGGGAAGCGCAAGTCTGGCCGGATGGTGGTTGTCAGAATCAGCGATGCCGGAAATGTCGGTCTTGAACCATGCCATGATGACCTTCCTCCGTATCAGTCCGGCGATGCGGAACGCTTCCAGTCTTTGGACATCGAGCGTATGGGAGGATTAAAGGAGAAGGGGGATGCGAATAGATGGTCCTGAAATATTGAGAGCTGATCTTCAGCTACCGCCTTTCCAGGATTTTGTTCATTGATACCCATATCAACCGACTATTCTCTCTCACTTCTGTAATTCTTCGACGACACAAAACGCATGATGATACTCTGGCGAAGATTTCTTTCGACTCTCGAACTTACATCCAAGCTGTTCGTTACATTGTACCTTTCGCGGCTCGCACATACACCATAATCTGTTCTGTTGAACCCTCTTGTCAATTTATATTCGGGTTAATGATATTTGTCACTGTTTTTGTTGGCAATTCCTCGAGAGCTGCCAGAAGATCTGCCTAAAGGCATACTGAAGATGAATTGTGTATAGCAAAGGGTTTCTGGATTTTTCTTTTTTCTTTTCTAAGCGTTCATTCTCGTGCTTGGTCACTGGTTCTTTTCACCCTGTAACGTTCCTAGGGTTGAAAGAATGTTATTCCCTGACCTGTTGAAGCATTGCTTCTTACATTTACCATTCTTATTATAATTTTTCTCCCTTCTATGCTTTATGTTTATTTCTTCTATTCTTATTACCCTAATCCCTACAATTCTCAGTTTTGCCTTTATGGTGTCCTACAGTTGGATAATGTATGTAACTAGTCTGATTTGACATCGTATGGCCCATTTTCGGTGACTTGCAATGGCAGTTTATTATTATTGTCATAAATGTTAGAGTTTTCATGACGTCTTAAGTTGTGGTGGGCCTGAGATATACTCCATAGGTCTGTCAGAGAAAGGGCGCTTGCCTTTGTGGTAAACAATTTAGACGCGCCCCACTCCGCCAGGGTCCAGGATATTCCGGGCCGCTTCAGCCAATCACAGCATCGGAAGTCTCCGGTAGCCTTCCGAAAAGGCCGATTTGCCAGCGTCACGGGGTTGCTGAATTGGGGCATGCGGCAGAACTTGAGCATTTTGTTCCTGCTGAGCTCCTATCTTCTGCTATTTTTCATCTGGGGCCTCGATTCCTGTTCATACGTGCAGTTCAGCTGTCGCTGTGATGATGCCGGCACTGTGAACCTAGGTGATAGAGGAGGTCATCCAGTTATTGGAGAAATTGCTTGAAGGGGGAAAAAAAAGTGGTCAACTGCTCTCCCACCTTTTCCTATTTCACTCCTTTCTTAAATAAGAATTTTCTTCCATTGTAACAGAATCTCCTGCGAATCGCGAACGATACCGACCCCTCAATCGTATTGGATGAGAAGCGCATTGAAAGCTTTGTGATATCCCCCGGTGATGGTACACGGAAAGAGCACGGGGTTGGGTAAAGAAAACCCCAACCTTCGGAGCGTGCAAAATACGGCCTCTCTCCCGATCTCGTCGCGACGGCCTGTGGAACGCAATGATACTCGAAAAGGCACGGGACCGAAGATGTTGCCGGGTATGCAGTCCCAGACGGCGACGGGAAGCGCGGCACAGGAGGAACGTATGAAGGACTTGGAACGCGAATTTAAACTCAAACATCTCGGTATACTTGGTGTACTTGGGTGGATGCTGTGAGATCCAATTGCTGAGGGGGAGTTTTCCGGTTTAAAGGTAATTATGCTAATAGACCCGAAAACGCAGGTTCCTACACGTCGCCGGAATATTTTTCTTCAGCAAGGGCTTCCTTTTGAGACGAACGGTCCTTCAGAATAAGTCGTCATGCGAGGTGCTTCCATATGACGATGCATTGCCGCGGAAAAAACCGGGCAAGGGGAGCGAAGGATGTTGGCATCAGAAGTCTTTTGATAAGGCTGTTGTAGTCATCATAGATGCTCTACGGTACGATTTCACGGTCCCATTTGCATCAAGCGCGGAGAGTCAAACGCCAAATCTGTTTCATAATAACATCCCCATCTTGTTTGAAACTGCCTCCAATAGCCCCGAAAACGCCTTTCTGTTGCCCTTTATAGCCGATCCACCTACCACAACGTTACAGCGCCTGAAGGGTTTGACAACTGGGACTCTCCCAACTTTTGTTGACGCTGGCTCTAATTTTGGTGGAACGGCAATTGATGAAGATAATATTGTGGCACAACTGCGTGCCGCAGGGAAGACCTTGGTCCAGCTTGGCGATGATACCTGGCACTCTCTTTTCCCGGGTTACTTCGATGCCAACATTACCAGGCCGTTTGATTCGTTCAATGTGTGGGATCTACATACTGTCGATAACGGCGTGACTGAGAACTTGTTCCCTCTCTTGCATCCTAAAAATTCCACTAAATGGGATGTCATCTTTGGACACTACCTGGGCGTCGACCACGCTGGCCACCGCTACGGGCCAGATCACCCAGCTATGGCTTCGAAGCTTAGGGAGATGGATCAGGTTATTCGGGATCTCATTGAGAAGGTTGATGACAGCACCCTTTTGGTAGTAATGGGCGATCATGGAATGGATGCGAAAGGTGACCATGGAGGCGAGTCGAACGATGAAGTAGAGGCAGCTCTATGGATGTACTCGAAGAAGAAGGTGTTTGGGCGCACAAGTCCAGACACTGCTGTGCCACCGAAACTTGCACAAGAACGGTTTGTTCCCCAGATTGATCTGGTACCCACACTGTCACTTCTTCTTGGAATGGCAATTCCCTTCAATAATCTGGGTTCCCCAATTGAGGAGGCTTTCGCTGGCCCTGGTGGAAATGATTGGAGAAATTTAATAGCTGTCAACCATTTGACCTCCGCCCAAATAAAGAGGTATCAGCATGAGTATGCATTAACTCGGGGTGCTGAAGATGGCGAAGAATCACTGGCACTGCGGATGTGGGAGAGAGCAGAAGGTCGTTGGAAAAGTCTCCCAAAGGGTGGCAAGTCAAATCCGGCAGCATTGCGTCTAGTTTACGAGTCGTTTAGACTGTACCAGCGGCATACCCTTGAGGTCTGTCGCGGAGCTTGGGCGAAGTTCGATGTACCCAGTATGATCGAGGGGATCGTGATACTTTTCGCTGGGATTGTGTTGCTAGTATTCTATGCCAGAGGCATGAAGGTGGACCGCACAGAACTCACCAATTCTCTACTTACATCTGCTGGAGTAGGGGCTGGAGTGGGCGCTGTTATTGGTACTCCACTGGCCGTCTTCGGTGTAGTGGAAATGCGATTGATTGAGTCGGCGGCACTTTTTGCTGCCGCTGGAAGTATTATTGGCGCCTCGTGGTCAATGCTCATCAAGCCTGAACGCTTGGTGCTACCTCTGCCTACTTCCTTGTGGGGATGGCTCGCTATCATCTTCACTGTCACTCAATCAGTTGGTTTTGCATCTAATTCATACGTCATCTGGGAAGATGAGATTCTCTTATTTTTCCTGTCCACATTCGGCGTCATTGCCGGCATGTGTTCTATGCGGCAAAAATCAACCGCAGATAGGGTATTGGGGGTTTACCATTCAATCCTCTTTGCCGTCCTGGGTAGGATAGCATCTTTATCCCGCCTTTGCCGTGAGGAGCAGATGCCATTCTGCCGTTCCACGTATTATGCGTCTACCACTTCTTCCACTTCTGCGCCGTGGCAGCTCGCGATCCCTTTTATCGTCACCCTTGTTCTCCCAACAGTTGTGAAATCCTTTTACGTGGGCTCAAAGTCTTATGAAGGAGCTGCTTCTTTGTGGATTGGGTTTGGTCTCCGGTTGGGCCTATTTGTAACTTCCGTCTTCTGGACACTTGATGGTGCAGACGATGGTGAATGGTTCTCTTTGAGCAAGGAGACCTTGAAGTCGATTAGAGTATTTTTGGCTCAGCTTGTCCTTGGTCTTGCCTTCGCAGCCGGCACGACTGCCTTCATATACTCGAAGCCTTGTATCAGTATCAATGTCAGCCAAGGTAGTTCTGAACCCGATAAGCAAACTGGGTCTGCCACGCAGCAACAGGGAAGGACTACAGTTACAATTTTAGGCTTTGGAAATGTCTACGGAACAAGGTTCTTCTTGCTCGCTGTCAATTTTTGCCTAGCCATTATCCTCATGCAAAAGCCTATGGGTCAAGGCGCTATTGGTCTGTTGCTGTGGCAGATTCTATCGCTGCTTGAAATTCTGGATACGAATGCGCTGGTGATGGGAAATTCGGCCATTGGCCCAATCGTCTTGGGACTTCTTGGTTCCTTCTATTATTTCAAGACCGGCCATCAGGCCACACTGAACAGTATACAATGGGAGACGGCATTCATCCCCTTATCATCCGTGAAATACCCCTGGTCTCCGATTCTAGTGATCTTGAACACATTTGGCGCGCAGATTCTCACCGCCGTTGCTGTCCCACTCACAGTCTTGTGGAAGCGACCCTTGCAACTCAGCGATCAATCGGGATCCCCCTCGTCATCGAACAAGCCTACCAACCATTCCGTCAAAATCCTCTCCAACGTCGTCCAAGCGGCGTGTACTTATCTCCTCTACTTTGCCACCATTAATCTAGCTACTACCATGTGGGCTGGTCACCTCCGCCGTCATCTCATGTTATATCGGATCTTCAGTCCCCGTTTTATGACCGGCGCTGCCGTGCTTGGTGTTGTGGACATTGTCCTCATATTATTCTCAGTGGCGGGCGTACGATGGAGCACTTTGAGTGTGGGGGAAGTTTTTGGATGGTAATTGATCATCCATCCTTTTTCTCTCCCGCAGGGAAAAGCGGCATGGACAGTGCCGCTCCCTGCTATACTGCATACTGCATAGACGATGAAGTCAATCATCCTGGTCCACCCATCTGCCTCGATATGGGGGTTGTCTATTTACAAGAAGCTTGGGATATATTTACCCGTTTGTATGTATTACTGCCGAGCCACACGTATATTCTTGCATATGTATGGCCTTGAAAACCGATGGGGACTGGGCAGGGCTTTTAGTGAGCTTTTCTGATACCTTTAATATACCTGTATTGAAAAAAGCAATTTCAAGGAGACATTTATCAACACACTTGTGTCAGTGCAGGGGGATTTGATTTTCCATGTAGCGGATTTGTCAAGAGGCAATGTAGTATGCAAGTCCGGATGCCTCCAGTCGATTAGCGGTATACTACTTATGGTAATGTGCATGCATTGCTGGACTGTATTGGGTGCAGTGTTCTTTTCAAAAAGTACACTATGAATAGGCTATATGAGATGTGAATGGGCCAGATACTACCATCAAATTTTGTCATGCAAACAAATCATACAGTTCTAGGGTATTATTTATTTATATATTTATTTTTTTGGTATTGTGCTGAGAAACAGCCGTCGCCGTGAGATCTCTTAATTCAAGTATGACAAGAGAGGAGAGAAATACGACTCCCGAGAGTGAAAAGGAAATGATAACAACGATAAAGATAACTTTTGCAGAGTAAGACACATGGAGGGGGTATTGACACAGGCTGCAAAGTGCAAGATAGGATATACATTAAATCGTCACAGAAGCACAAAATCACAGAGTATAAAAAACAAATATATTCAACTTTTCGACTTCCTTCCTGGCTTTATTCCTTGTTTCGATGCACTGAGGTTAAAAAGACAAGGTTGTCTTCAGCGACCCCATCGAGAAAAGTCCAGATTTTGAAGGATATTAGCATCCGCACATGCATTCCAGTCTGTGGCAAAATCCGCTCGGGGAGAAGCGTTGCGAGAAGGCAGCTCTTCGGAATAGATATTGGCCTTCGTGTTGCGGCGTTGGCCTGGGTACGTGCCTTCGGCCGCATCGGACTGGGAGCTCAACGCTCGCTCCCGCAGTCTCTTGATTTCACGCAGGCGGTTTCGCCAAGAGGAGACATGCTCACCTCCTTGGCTGTTCCACACAAGGGAAAACACGGAAGCATTCAGAGCAAGGAAGCGTACAAATGCCGCAAGGTTCTTGCCGGATATAACTTTGGGGGTAGCAGCAGGTGATATTTCGGGGAACCCAGGCTTGCTCATAACTTGCACGGAGTAAAATTGTTTGTTGAAGCCATCAGTTCCGAAGGCTGCACCTCCCAACTTCAACTTCGACTCATTCGAGATACGGCACACGGGACTGATGACAATATTGACAAAATTGAACTGTGAGGGAACGGTGTCAAAGTTAAATGGAAGATTTGATCGGTTGAAAACAATATTGACAAAGTCATTCCCGATGTGGCGCTTCTTATTTATGCAGGAGGGGTCATCGTCAAAATTGGTAGGCATCATGGTTGCCACATGGTATACGATCTCAGTGACTCGATCGCGCCAGGCGTAGGTGAAATCGCCATCCACGTCAGCATGCAATCCCTGGGTGTTGAATTGAGCACCTTTGAGAGGAACCTTAGTTCCTAGCCCCGACAAGAAGTGCTCGTAGTCCAGGCTGCCGCTCGTGTTGGAGAGAATATCAGCTTCTGTTGTCTGGCCGTTGTCTATGTATATGATTCCAATCTTATGTCCATCCACAATGTCATTTCGATCGAATGTATTCAGCGCACGACGAGTGATATCGTCTTCAAGTAGGGGAATTGGTTGCACCGACGTGGGAGTAGGGAAGGCCGTAGTAGTCATTTGGAGCAGGACATGACTAGGAAGGATAGCAGTACGCATGTCGTCAGAGTGTATATGAGCTTCGGGAGTGGGAGGAACCTGATGCGGAAGGACGGGCGCAGTTCGCTGATGATACGTAGCATAAGTTGTTCCAGAGGCCTGCCTTTTCGTGATTTGGGTCAAGCCAGAAACTCCAGCAGTCTCCACGGTGATAATACTCATCCCCACTACCCACGATTTTTTCGTGACGGGTCCATCCGCAGGGGACGGAGGAAATACTGGGTATGGAATAGTGTCGCCTAAATCCGTAAATGCGGCCCTTTGCATTAAATCTAGGAAAACCTGGCTTTGTTCTTCAACCATCTCTTTCCCATGTTCGTCCTTGAAAATGAGCCGGCTAGTTGTCCAATTGACATGCTTGGCTCGGTCTTGCAGCTTCAGAGACAGAAACCAGAAAACCATAACATGGTGTGTGAGAGTGTAGATATATCTCGACATTCCATCGTGGAGTGAGGGGTCGGACATCTCAGCAGGCAGGGCCGCGGTTTCTCGCACACCACTTCCGAGTCTCGATGACAATTGTGTACCGGACCGAGTAGGCGACTCGGAAGCTTTAAATCGTTGCTCCCTGGAGGTTTGCAACAACCGGATACAAACACCAAAAACGGTGCGAATTTCCTCTTCCCGCAAATTGATATAGACGTCGGGGAGTCGCGCAAGCAGTGCTAAGAATTCTAGGATATGAACAGCAAGGTTCGACATCGTAATCACTTTGGACATCTTGTCAAGGATTCCATTTAGAGACTTCGTCACCGAAAGCGGGATTTCATGGCAACAAACTGAAAGGGCATGAATGCATCCACGAGAAGTACCTCCCCATGATCCAATAATGCCCAGCATGAATGCGCGAACAAGTTCATCTTCTTCACTTTTAGCAAAAAACTCATGATAACTAACCAACACACAAAGAGACTCGAAGATGTATCCCGCCACATCGGTCTTTTTCATACCGGTAGTTGGGGGAGGTTCTCGGAAGGAGTCATTTTTAACTTGGTCACACAAAATGCTGCGCAATAGTTTGATTTGCGGGACCGCGTTGGTGAAAAAATCCCGGTTACGAAGTTGGGGCCCAAGGTGAGTCAAAATATAGCTGTATATGTCCCAATTCCCCTCACGCTGTAGCAACGAGATAACCGTTTCTAGCCACATATTTGCCTTCAATGTGACTTTCTGCACTGGACCAGATTCGACATAAGGCGATCCCTGCGGTGCAGTATACGCATATACAAATGGGCTAGACTCATCAGGTGGCTCCTCTGGAAGGACATGGGACGAGCAATACGTCCAAACTGGTGGCATCAGTTTGGAATTACGCATGCTGCTCCCCGTACTTCGAGCCATAGATTTGGATGGAAGACTGGAAGATGGATCCTTGATTGAAAGCCTCCCCTGGGCAGGTGGGCGTGAGTGATCAGTCTCCGCGCTGTGCTCTGAGCCTTGATCTTCGAATAAGGTATTTTTGAAGCCGACTTCCACATTCCGGCCGGAGACACCCATCATGAAGTCATTCTCGGAGGTGGATATAACTGTAATGGAGCCCGCAGAGTCGCATCGAAGTCTGAATAGCAGCTTGAGTACAGTCAATCGTGAGTCTACAGGTCGCTCTGAAGACTGAGAAATTTCCAGAAGAGCCTCGAAGACCATAACAGCTTTAGTTGCGGAATTATTCAGACACCGAAGGAACATCCTAACTAGCCCAACAGAACAGACATTGGCCAAGGATAATTCCACCACACTACCCAACGACGGCCGCTGTGGTGGCAACGTAGAAGGCTCAGCCCCATGTAGCCCGTCTTTGGCCAGATCCTTTTTCATCGGTGAACTGATGGTATCTACCAGGAGTTTGAAGGTAGAATCGTCGCGAACGAGAATGGAAATGTCCACAGCAAAAGAAACCAATGTCTCCAGAAACATAATGTCATCCTCATGAGCGAAGTTCTCTAACATCAGGTCCAGAAGTCCCTGTTCTATGAATTTCACAAGAGACTCGTAACTCGAGAAAGCCTCCTTCACCGTTTCCAGAGCCAGAATGCGTACATCGGATGTCTTTGTGCGAGATCGAATGAAACAGTGGATAAGTTTTTGACAATGCTGTACCCAGCCCGGGCTGCCAGGGAAACAAAGCTTCTCTGTTCTTACTGTGTTCAGGACAAGCTCAGCCTGCGGAGGCTCGATCTGCTGACAAATATGCATCAAGAAGCGAGTGATTTCCAATTTCTGCTGTCTATCCATACGCTCCCAGAGGTTTTCAATTGCGGAGGCAATTTGGGTAATGTTGGCCAAAATGTGGGGTCTCGCATCGTCGACTGAGTTGCCCCTCGGATGGGACAGCTGTGCACTTGACGCCGTGAAACGCTCCCAAGGCTCATCAACAATTCTGAGGGAGCACAGAATCATTAGCTCGACGAAACCTAACCAGTTGCTCCTTAATGCAGCGTCAGAAAATCCCCCTTCCAGAACGTTTAGGCAAAGCTCCAGAATATCTGCCTCCAATTTGCCATCATCCTTCATTTTCACTCTAGGCTGTTTTAAAGCAGCCTGGAGAGTCTCGGACAGATACTCGAAGTCAAGCCGTGGGATTCCATCTTGGCCATGCGCACGAATAAGGTCTGTGAAGACGTGCACAGATCCACGCAACACACCTTCAGAAGATTCCGACAAAAACAAGTAAAGAGTATCCACCATCTCAGCCTGTCTTCGTGACTTGGCTAGATTTCGAACAGCCCTTGATGTAGGACCTGATAATGACTTGACGGAGGCATGAATATTACACAGGACTTCAAGCATAGGGACAAAGCTTCCGTCTGGTACGTCCGCATAAAGAATTATGGCATCGAAAAGTGCCAACGAATTCTTAATGTCGGCAGCAACGCTTGTCCTTTTACAGACAATAAAAACCTGCTCGAGTAATGTTTGGACTTCTTCACTGGTTGGGGGCCTCCGCTGCAGTGTAATCAAGTCTACCACAAATTGCAGCAAATCGTCTAATGCGGTATCCTCGTACCCCAGTCCATTTGCCCTACCGACTCTCGATTTCCTTGCTCTCAAACGAGCCGTTGAAATTAGTTCGTAAAGCGGAAGTATACAGGACGAAATGATGGGAAGTATCGACGAATTGGTGAACTCCAATTTTTTGCCATGATCCGATAATGATATCAACGACTGAACGCGAGCAGGTATAACATCGGGCTCGGACGAGCGCGAAATCGATTCAAAGAGGGTGCGCCTAGCTGTGGGAGATAAATCTTGGCGAGACGCAACGGCTTCCATCAATGCTGAGCCACTCCTCCGAGCTTCTGCCGAGCTCACATGAATGAGATAGGAGCCAGCCTCCCATAGCGTAAGTGATTGTTCTGGAGATAACCAATGGAGCGACTTTGCTGTCTGTTCCGCTTCATCGATAGCTTGGGCCAGATTCTGTTTCTGGGTCAAAGTTCTGAGCGACGCCTCGAAATCCGGCGGACCAGATGTGTCCGAAGAGCTCGACACGACACTGCCACGATGCATCGAGTCGAATCCGAAATAGACTAGATTGCTCCTGCGTCCATCTGATGTTTGTGATAAGGAATCGCTGCTGTCTTGCGGTGAAGCCACAGAAAGTGACTTTGGCCGGGAAACACCTAATGATTTAAAGACGTCTGCGAGGCTCGATGTGGTGTGCGAATGTTTGTAGTGCGAATTTGATGAAGCATCGTCAGAAGACATGCGTCCCAGCGGACGAGAAATATGGTTAGGGTTAACCTGAGAGATTATATAGCTGGACATGGGCCATTAGCACATGATCTTCTCACACGAGTTTGCAAGAGTAGCACTAATCAAGTGGAACTGGTTGCAACCCTAGTCATTCTCCCCAGAGAGACCACCTACCATCAGCAGACCAGCCACAGGAGCTCATACTACTTGATGGCTCCTGAAGAAAAAGATGTATGCCTTGGAATATATGGCAGACAAGTTGACGCTGCGACGACTTGGATTTCAATGGGTAATCATAGCATCTAAACCGAGGACACAGCGCCGGGTTGGTAGAAAGGACCCTGTCCTCTGTAGCCAAAAGCTGAACGAAGACCGCAAATAGGGAGTGCCCTCACTGTATCCAGAGAAAGAGCCGACGAGTAGACGTTGGGGGACACGGCCAAGGTACGCCAAGACCCGTTTCCCCTCAAAGCATGGACGAACAATGATGCTTGGGCGGAGGGGCGGAAATGGTTGATCCGACGCTGGTCACCTGACGGGCAGAAACGCCCCGCGGCCTTGGTTCACCGCCTGGGAAGTGCAAAGCAACCGCCAAACAAACTGCCAGTCCTGGAAGAATCCAGCTCCCACGGCTTTTTGCTACTAGTAATCCTACTGGGGCATTGGCATCTGGGTGGTTTTTTTTTTAAGCATCCTGCCCACGGAAGACCTATATTGTTTCCTTCTGGCTCTTGCCTTAGTACATACTTCTTCCTCCCACTTGTACAAATGGTCGACAACAATCTTGGAGCTGTTGCACAGCTCCTTGTAGCAAGTTTGGATCCGAGACAAAATAAACAAGGTAAGTCTTTGGTGTCTGGGATCTGTGATACTTTATTGTATACACATCTTGGATGATGTAGCTAATGCTGGTTTCTAAAGCCGAACTTGCTCTTCGACAGGAAGAAAAAAAATCCGGTTTCTCTCTACAGCTTCTTCAGATCACGGCATCTGCTTCCTATCCCTACAATACCCGCCTGGCTAGTGCACTATGTTTCAAGAACTTCGTCAAGAGGAACTGGACCGATGAGGATGGAAACTACAAGCTGCAGCAAGAGGAAGTTGCAACCATTAAACGGGAATTGATCAGCCTGATGATTTCAGTCCCGACGGGCATACAGTCTCAGTTGGGAGAAGCCATCAGTGTAATCGCCGATAGTGATTTCTGGAAGAGGTGGGATACTTTGGTCGACGTAAGCTATTCTGGCTCCCAGGACGATTGGCCATGTTGTTGACTGGGCTTTGCAGGATCTCGTTTCAAGACTCCAGCCGACGAACCCTTCGGCCAACATAGGTGTCCTACAAGTTGCGCATTCGATCTTCAAGCGATGGAGGCCTTTGTTCCGTTCGGATGAGCTTTATGAAGAAATCATCCATGTCCTGGATAGATTTGGAAATCCTTTCCTGACACTCTTCGAGGTAAGTCGCCACGGGAATGCTACTGAATTTTACTTTATTTGGAGTTGCAGTCCTTTCGTACAGAATATTCTCGTTAGCAATATACTGACTTTACATAGGGGCTGGACACTTATCTGGAAGAGAACAAATTAAACAAAGAGAGCCTCATGCAAGGATTCACACAGTTCAACTTGATGGTGAAGCTGCTGTTTGATCTTTCATGTCATGATCTTCCCCCGATGTTTGAAGAACGTATCTCGGGGCTGTCCACCATATTGCTGAAATATCTTACCTACAATAACCAATTACTCGTTACTGATGATGATTCCGAGGCCGGCCAATTGGAATTTGCTCGAGCTGGTATCTTCGAAGTATTGACATTATACGTGCAAAAATACATCGATGATTTCAAGCCCTATGTCGGGGATTTTGTGGGAAGTTCTTGGAACTTCTTGACCACGATTGGCCAAGAAACTAAGTATGACATTTTGGTTAGCAGAGCATTGCAGTTCCTGACTTCGGTTGCTGGTATGCCTGAGCATGCGCTGGTCTTCCAAGCCGAAGGGACACTGAACCAAATCATCGAAAAGGTGATTTTACCGAATGTGAGCCTTCGTGAATCGGACGAGGAGCTCTTTGAAGATGAGCCAATCGAGTTTATCCGGCGAGACCTCGAAGGGTCAGACAGCGATACGAGACGGCGTGCTGCCACCGATTTTCTGAGAAAATTGGCCGAGAAGTTTGAAGAGCCGGTCACCAAAGTTGTTCTCCAGTACACCGAACATTATCTTGCCGAGTCTGCGAAAGATCCTGCGTCGAACTGGAAGGCCAAGGATACTGCGACTTATCTCTTCTCTGCAATTGCGGCCAAGGGGGTTGCCACTGCTAGCCATGGTGTCACTGCCACAAATCCTCTAATAAGTATTACCGAATACTTCCAGAAGCATCTTGCTGCGGACCTGGTTGGTGGGGATGGTGTACATCCTATCCTCAAGGTGGATGCTATAAAGTATCTTTACGTTTTCCGAAGCATAATCACAAAGGAACAGTGGCAGGAAGTACTTCAGCTGCTGGTGAACCACCTTGGCTCCTCCAATTATGTTGTTTATAGCTATGCGGCCATTGCTGTCGAAAGAGTGCTCTATCTTACGGACAGCCAAGGCCAGGCAATTATTGCGCCAAGCACCATTACACCCCTTGCCAAAGATTTGTTGGAACACATCTTTTCGCTGATCCAGAAGGATTCATCTCCCCAGAAAGTCCAGGAAAATGAGTTTTTGATGAGGTGTGCTATGAGGGTGTTGATTGTCATCAAGGAGGGTGTGGTACCTTATACGGACGTCGTTCTTCAGCACTTGATCAACATCACGCAAATTATCAGCGGTAATCCCAGTAACCCGAGGTTCTACTACTTCCACTTTGAAGCTTTAGGGGCCTTCATTCGGTACGCAGATACGAACCCCCTTTCTGGTACAAAACGAGGTCACTGACATTTATAGGTTCGCTGCACCCGCCAGTCCTGATAGGCTAGAACAAGCCCTTTATCCTCCTTTTGCTGGAATCCTCCAGGGGGATGTACAAGGTAAAGTGGAAAGATCCGAGCGAAACCCTTCTTCCCTAAAAGCTGACCTTTCCAGAATTTATACCGTACATTTTCCAACTTTTTGCCGCCCTCCTCGAGGCCAACCCGTCGGGGACATTGCCGAACTATTATCAAAATTTGGTTGCCCCCATTCTCATGCCCGTCATGTGGGATTCGAAGGGAAGCACCCCAGCACTTGTACGACTTTTGTCGTCTATCATTAGCCGTGGTTCGCAGTACATCATGGAGAGCCAACAGGTTGAGCCTATTCTGGGTATCTTTCAAAAGCTGCTCTCATCCAAGACCAACGAGAGCTATGGCTTTGACCTGCTGGAATCTGTCATCGCCAACTTTCCACCGTAAGTTAAAAAATTGTGCAAACAACAATGGCCACGAGTTACTAATACGTTCCAGGGCTGCGTTGGAACAATATTTCGTCTCAATTATGGAAGTTATTCTTATGCGGCTTCAAAATGCCAAAACTGAAAGTCTTACGCTTCGGTTTGTCCGTTTCTATCACTTCATCTCGGCGAATGAGGAAAAAGGTTACAGTGCGGATTTCATCATCCAGACTGTCGATAAAGTGCAGCCGGAGTATGTGAAAATAATCATCACTCTTCGACTCTATGAATAATGCTGACCCCACTTAGTTTGTTCACGATGATCTATCTTAATATGATCCTCCCTGAAACGCAGAAACTTGCCCGCCCGTTGGATCGCAAAACCGCTGTCTTGTCTTTTACAAAGACACTTGCCAATTCAGAGGCCTTTGCGAACCGATACAAGAAGGGCTGGGGCTTTACGTGCGAGGCCTTGCTTAAGCTTTTGGAATTGCCCCCTGTCCCAACCAGCAAGGACGATATCATTGTCGAGCATGATGTCGAAGATATGGCATTCGGAGTTGGGTTTACGGCTCTGAACACTGTACGGCCACAGACCAGAGACCCATGGCCGGAGACAGGAGCCGACCTGAAGGCGTGGGTCGGCCAGTACTTGAAAGAAGCTGACAAGAGGCACGGTGGACGGATCGCTCAATTTGCACAGGAGCGTTTAGGAGACGAAGCCAAGGTGGTACTCAGCAGTTATATTGCGTGAGAAACAGGGGGGATGGTACCGGCTGGGAGAGCGTTTCCCCGAATGGTATAAGAGTTGAGGTAGAAGAGCCAAAAAGAAAGGAGCGGCTGATTTGAAAACATCTATGTCCTTATGAAATTCTATTAAATGATAATAAAATGTATAAGCTTGCTTATGTACGAAAATATAATCCATCTTACAGGTAGTCGTCGTTCTCATCGTACTTCGGGTTGAACCATTCTATAGATCCATTGAACCTAAAGTACGTGCTCAGTCATGGTGACAGCCGTGCCGTTTTAGGGTGATCTTGAGACACCTCCTTCCCATCCGACTGTCCTTGAGTTGGCTTTCCTTCTCGGTCATAGCCGTTTCTCCCCTGAGTTTCTAGATTGTCCGCCAATTCACGATATTTCCGGCGACTCTTCTTCATTTTACTAGCTTTCTTTTTCCGTGCCTTATCGGCCTTGATAGCTAAACGACTTTGATCTCCTTTCTGTAGCTGTTCGATTCTATCAGCCAGGATGTGTCGCGCGATCTTCTCATTTTGAGACCGCGATCGAGTAGCTTGCGACTTCACCACGAGCCCGCTGGGTTTGTGGATTAGCTGCGCGGCGGAGTTGGTTTTGTTCTAGACAGTCTGAGTCAGCCTGGGTCAAATGTGATCAGGGGATGGGGATGGGGATAGGTACAATCTTCTGTCCCCCAGGGCCGGTGCCCTTGACGTATGATACTGTCAGATCGGCATGCTCGATCTTTATCCGGGAAGGGAGAGACTTGGGACCCCGCGACGAAGCGGAGATGGAGAAGAATCTACCTGGGACGAGTGTTCCCGTGCAGGCAGAGAGAACGCGTGAGAAAGAAATGGATTGTAACATGGCTCATGGTGACGGAGACATTTCGCTAGCACTCGAGAAATCGCTCACCATCGGAGTCCTCGACCTGAGGCAATTCGGGGGCTTCGTAGCACGTGATCGACGGGAAGCTGTTGACTGACTAGTCATATATGTATATATGTATGCCTTAGAAAACAGGTCTCAGAATGACGAATAACCCTGCATACCATGGAGATAGATCTCTCTCTGCTACTCCATGCATCTTTTCTATCTGTACTACTTGTGTATTACTAAATACTACTCCATCGGTAGGCATTCGCCACAGGTATGATAAACAGATCTACCGGACGGAACATTCGCGAGAGAGGGTGATGTACGGCTTCAGAGAATGCTAACTATGCCTTATCTTGTGGCCTAATATCCATGGGAATATGTCACATATCTTCGGGCATTCTTGGCCTGTAGGATGAATGCACAGAGACATGGGCCCTTAGGACCTTCACGGACTGTGGTGGACCTTGATGGAGTGGATTTTTTTCTTTTTTTTTAACCCTCGTTTACTCGTTTACTTACGATTTACGAAGGCACGTTGAAATGTAGTCAAGATCCATGGATGAGGCCTAGTCTAGGAACCTCTGGTGTCCTGTATATGGATCTCTAGTTTCTATTCTTAGTCTGACTGATCTGGATTCGACCTTTCTGCCAGTTGTTCTTTCTTCTGCTGCGTACTGTGTAATAAAATCACCACCTCATCTTTCTTGATCTGGTCCCCGCATCCATCGCGGATTGACTGGGCATTTACTTGAATTCTATTTATTTTCATTGCTCGGTACATTTCTTCTGGTTCCCTGTCGATCTCCAACCGGCATTTTTTTTTCCCCCTTTTTCTTCTCTCACTCTTTTTCTTTGCACTCTTGTTCCCTAGTCTTCTCCGAGACACCACTCCTCATACTATGATGGATGCTTGAAACGAGAGAACTACCAATACACTCCACTATCAACAACATAGAACCCCGTACTTTCCGTCTTCCCCCTTTCCGCTCCATCGTGTTCCCCTATCCTTCATCGAGCGCAACTGTGACCAGCGACAGCAATTGACCACCCCAAAAGACTTGTCTATTATATTCATATCGGAGTCACCATTCTCCGTGACATTTCCACGCAGTCAACTCTCCCTCCCAGGCCATATTCGTTGTCGGTGTGAAACATGACACCTTTACTCTCCATCGCCTCGTCGTTTGTCCGCTGGATTCGGCTGAAAATCTATCAATATGAAGTGACGTTCGCTGTCTACATGCTTACTCCCACGGAAAAATTCATCTTCAGTATGGTTATCTGCAATCTGAGGCGAATCAATGGCTGTCACTATTCCAAGCTCATGCTAACCATCGTGACAACCGCAGACTCCATCCTCCTCACTCTCATCTCCATGATTCTCACTGCCATCTACGTCTACCTCCCTGACCATCTCAGAACCGTCTACAGCCATCTATACTATTACTGGGCCGGAGAACGCCCGTTTATCTCCAGCAATCTGCCGTCACTTAGCTCGGTATTCCGCGAGAGTGGAACTCAGGCTCTAGAGGTCGTGTATGAAACGGCCAAAAGTGCTGCAGCGACGGGAGCTGAACCAATTGCTGAGCTGTAGCATGGTGGCATCTGCGACAAGTTTGAGCATTTTTGTAGGGAACGTGGCTTCGTCGCTCCTTGAGATATCCTTCGAGGGTTTGCGCCCCCGCTTCTTCAACTCCCCTAATTCCGATTGTTCCACATTTGTTTTTGAGCCCGAATTGCATTCCATGGTCTCTAAATCTCGAGCCCTATTTTCTGCTCCTGTTGGTCTATGCTGGGGTTCCGAAATTACCTACCTTTCATGGAGTTTAAGCGATACATTTCTCGAAACAGGTCGGCGCATTTAGGAGTTTGCGATTTGTCGCTCTAATTTTTTGTTTCCTACCGATCGGCTTCACCTCATTTGTAGCGGAGATTCATAGTTGTTACGAACACCCTTGACAGCGAACTCAGCTTTTCTTCGAGATATCGGTGTCACGGGTTGTGTTTGGCCAGGGGTCTGGTGGCTGGTTATCTCTGGTCAGGAATATACTTGTACTACTGAATTCGACGAAATAATACTTTACGCGGTCAATTTTAAACGTTTCTTCGGTCGACAACTGTTCATCAGAGAGCAAAGACAAAAACGGACAAAGGGCCGAAAAATGCAGTGGCCAAAACAATGTCGTTTTGAACATGAACACTTTATCGGCACAAACTGAATAATATGATAATAGACATATGACGATTTACCCAATCCAGAAACCAAACCAAACAACTCCTACCATGCTCAAAGTGAAGAGTGTTGTACAAATACAATTAGACATCGTACGTGTGGAACAACCACACAAGTACTGACACCCCAGCAAATCTAACCGAATCCCATGCTATTCTTGACCTTGCAGAGTAACATATACCCTTTCCACTGTAAGCCCCGTTGGCGCTTTGCATAACGTATCCGACGAAACACCAGCATCATCCTCCCCTCCCCAGCAGATAGATAAATATCAAACCAACAAATACGCAGCAATTTGACAAAGCTCACTCCGAATTTTGCGAATTGGCAGCCTGAATCTGAGGGTGAATTTCGGCCTGGCCCTGCCCTGTAGCTTGCCGGCGTTCCCGTCGAGTGGCGTCGACCATTCGCATGCGTGCCAGTTCGAGATCAATCTCCTCCTTGTCCAGGGGGATTTTATGCGATTGTTCAGTGGTAGGCCAGAAACCTGGGACGTTGAAGCGCTCGTCCAGGTTTGTTCCGAAATAGTACATCCATCCGATGGGGAAAATGATGTACATGCCAAACTAGATAGTGTTAGATCGGCTAATGAGCGGAGTCGTTTTTCGGGTGCAGAAAGACGAATCGCTTACCTTGAAGACCTCGAGGTTTCCCCCTTGTAGTCTGCGGAGAATGGTGGACATTGTGCTTGGTGTGTTGAGTCGTCCAGACACGAAAGTGGGAGGATGTGCCGGATATCTGACGTCTTCTCCGACGAAGGTTCACTTCACACTGTATCAATATCTAATGTTCCAGTGTCTCAGTGCTCATATACCAGGAGCATAGCAAGATGTCACGGTCTTTGATATAGGTGTCCAGCCAGTGGTGATCGAGATTAATCATGGAACTTTCTGTCAGGCCGTCCGGCTGCAATCGCCGATCTGAGCAAACAGTGCAAACTCACGTGCCATCACCTGACTAGGATCCCGTGACTTTCGACTCTCCGCAGAACGATAAGCCTCGGCTTGGGCTTTCGGCCCGTCGGCCTCTTTGTCTAACAGGACTCCCTGGTTCTAGAGACTTTTTGGTAATGAATGATCTTAAGTAGTATTTATATAGTAAGATGACGGGTAGACAGTTCCCAGGCGATCGATCCTCTTTGCCTCTCACCTGAGCCATTTTTCTGTTAATGCTGGCTTAGATTTGCTATCCCTTTTCTATTATTTATTTATTTTCTTTGAATCGGCGTGGAAGCTATTTCCACCGACCTAATTCTCAACAAAGATGGCCAACCTAGATATCATCCCCGTTATCTACCAGGACCGCGTTGCCATAATTACGCTGAACCGCCCGGATAAACTCAATGCCCTGAGCTTGGACCTATACTATCTTCTCGGGGAGCGCCTACGGGAGGTAGACAAGAGGGATGATATTTTCGTCACCGTTATCACGGGCTCCGGACGGTTCTTCTCAGCGTAAGATACAGTCCTTTGTCAGAAGACATTATTGCATAATTTACACGATATCGTGTACCTACCATACTGACAGTTATCCATAGTGGAGCAGACGTAACATCCACCCGTCCGGGAGTAGGATTAGACAATGACGCACGACGAGAGGTCGCACGCGGCTTCGTAGTCAATAACCTGGACATTACTCGGACATTTACCCATCATTCAAAAATTCTAGTAGCTGCATTGAATGGACCCGCCGTGGGGCTTTCTGCCGCGTTGATAGCACACGCGGATTTCATCTACGCCGCTCCTCACACGTTCCTACTGACCCCATTCTCGTCCCTCGGTCTGGTGGCGGAGGGTGCGTCATCGCGGACATTCGTCGAGCGTCTCGGTATCGCCAAAGCCAACGAGGCCCTCATCATGAGCAAGCGGATCACCTGCGAGGAACTCGTGGCGACCGGGTTCGTTAATAAGGTCATCTCCGCGCCGTCGGGGAAACTTGAGGACTCTGACGGGTTCTTGAAGAAGGTCCTGGAGGAGATTGAAGATCGTCTCGGTTCGCATCTGAATCAGTCTAGTATGCTAAAAATCAAGGAATTGATCCGCAGGCCTGAACGGGAGATTATTGATCGTCAGAATAGTCTGGAGGTCTTTGGTGGCTTGGAGAGGTTTTTGAGCGGCGTTCCCCAGGAGGAATTCCGGCGCTTGGCCTCTGGGGAGAAGAAACATAAACTGTAATAAAAGGGGGGGAAGAGGTAAATTTGGGCGCTAATTGTGCTATCGTCTGGTTATGGGATGGAATTACGAATGCATTTAAAGAAAGGCTATGTCTTTTCTGTTCTACTGGAAATGGCTAGCTGTCATAGAGATTGGTATCATAATTATAAATGAGAGCCTCTTTGATTAAGAAAAGTACTCAGATAAAATAAATCTGCTTTTTTTCTACCCGTCAACTCAATAACGCCGTCAATACAAACGTTTCATCCTCCATACTCCGAGCCATTGAAAAGATAGAAAAGCATTACTATCGCCCACCGTCACTGTCTGTATCCGACTCTTGCGCTTGCTTAGCTAGGATATCCTGCCACTTTCCTAGGAATTCGCTCATGCCTCCCGGTCCGGAGATCGAGGCTTCAACCACCTCCTTGGGCAATTTGTGCGCTGAATACTGAGGAGTTGTAAACGCATACGCTTCGGGATCATTGTGCTTCACAAGACGAAATTCAGGAAGGAAAGGGGAATCGTCAAGATATTCGTCTTCTGGATCATCGTCCGATTCTGACTCAGACTCGGCTTCCTCGACCGCTCTAGGCACCATAATAGTGGGGCGATCTCCATTCAGGGAAAGACGAACGAATTGTTCCTGTGCTCCGTCATCTTCCTCTTGAACGCCGATCGGATCTTTCATTTTCAAAATTTCCATCCAGCTGAACAGGAGGGGATCCGTCCGTTCAGCCCATGGATTTATATCCACAAGCCAGACCCGTTGGTGTGGAGCAGGGATGTACACGTCGAAGACAAAATTGGGATCCGGGAAAGTGTCTTTGAGTTTGTTGTCAAAAAATGCCTGGATCCGGGACCGGAGTGCATCGCGCATGGGGAAGAGAAAGTCGAAGTGGTTCTGGTCTCGCTGGCAGATACACAAGAGGACGCGATTGCGCACGAAACCTCGAAATTCAAGGGAAGGATTGAAGTTGACGTATTTGCGAAGGACAAGATAGTAGGGGACTTCGGGCGGAGTAGTATCAGAAGGTGAGGCAGAATCTACCGGATCGGGAACACAACCGTCGAAAGGGTATTCCAAGTCATGCGTAACAAAATCGCTGCTCTTCAAGAGGAGATATACGTCGTTTGGTGTGCGACACTCAAGGTCGTTTGTTGCCGACATCCATGATGCGTCTTTGGGGGCACTCCAATTCAGCTTTGGGGTCACTGTTCCACCGAATTCGGATATTATAGACTTGACTTGTGCGTGGATATCTTTCCATTCCACTGACGGATCTGGTTCTTCTTCTGCAGAGTCATCGGAATATGCGTCGAGGTTATCGTCGTCGGCGAGCTGGGCATTTTCTGGCGGTAGAACGATCCCATCCGCACGGAGGTAGGAAACGAACGGAGCGGTCAAGGGAATAGTGCGGGACTTGGGAGTGAGAGTGCGATAGCTAGCAATCCATTATCCGTTAGGCCAACATCAACATGGTTCAAAGAGTATAGACGAACATACCGAGGTTGCCAATAATGATAAGAGCAATGCAGGATGTGTGAGTAGGTGACCGGGGGAAAGGGTAGGCCCTGAAGCTGCTCAGCTGATGATTCAGCCCGAGGCTGTACGTCTTCCGACTCGATATGCGGCATGATTGGGACAGTCGTCGGGCAACTAGAGCACACGCGATAGTTAGGAGGAGGGGCAACTAAAGCCTGGCAAAGGCATCGTGGGGTCCTTTGCAGATGAGTCAAGATCCTTGCCGTTTACGGAATGGTTGATACTGCTATGACGGTACCAATACTGCCACGTGCTGCCTCAGGCATAGCACTTTTCCGGCAATCGATCGAGCGTTGCTGGCCTCTCTCTTTCTCTTTCCCTCTCCGGGTCAGCATCCTGCCTTCCCTTCACCATGGCGTCAGAAGGCCCAGACCCGCAGAATTTGCGATCATGGCAGGATGCATTCCAATACCCCATTCCTACCGTGCGTCGTGTGGAGCAGGAGCTGCGTCGCGACATCGCCAGCAATAAAGAGAAGCTCCGTGCTTTGGTTGGGTATGGCTGATGAGCTTCGAGGATTGCTTGCAGTCCATAACTAATTTCCATTCCGCGTCTAGAACAAGATACCGAGAGCTGGTTGGAACTGCCGAAACGATCGTTTCCATGAACCAGGAGATACACGATGTAGATTCGACACTGGCCGACATTGGACAAAGATGCAATCCCCGGTTGATAGAAAAGAAGTTCGCTCATTTTCACCATATAAGGGGAAACATTAGTAGCAAAGGTATGAGGATTATTGTATCCCCCCGGTCCTTACCAGAAATTGATGTAACTCCTAGATGCGGCCAAACGAGCGCTGGGAGCTCAACTTGCTCTACTCCAACGCTGTGCGACGTCGATTTCACAACTGTTAAGACGACATGGCTCGTTGTTGCTCGTGGCAAAGCTCATGGTTATTTCTCGACTCTTGCATAAGACGATATCTCAACAAAGGGCAGTTCCACCGTTCCTAGAGAATCTGCGCACCCAAATAGCCTCCCTCCGAGGAACTCTTCTGCGAAGGATTGAAAAGCGTCTAGCCTTGGCAATATCAACGGCTGATGATATAATTGAAGCACTGGCAGCGTACTGCCTATCTACCAGCTCTTCCTCCGACGCTGCTATACGTCATTTTCATCAGGTTCGATTGGACTATATCGGGAACCAGTCGGCATCCGACGATACGTCCGGCAAGCAGATTTTAAACGCCTTGCGACTATATATCCGGACACTACAGTCCTCCAAAGTTCTCTTCTCCCGTCGTCTATCAGACGTTTTGGGGAAGCTAAAAGCCCGGCCCATTCTGACGGACCCCGACATTCGTGGGCTGGATGATTTAGGCCTCGACGTCTTGGGCCGCTGGGTGGCCACGGACGTCAGCAACTTCACTCCATGGATAAAACTAAGTGAATTCACCAAACCCGAAGCCGAAAAACTAATCAAACAATGGTCGAAACATGCGTTCGGTAAATTTGTCGACGAGTGTCAGAAGAGCTTGACGAGCTGGCAAGACTTCTCCAGCCTGCTCGTACTTCGGGAGAAGACGCTAGAAATGTGGCTTTGTTCTTGGAGCTCAACCCTGACCCATTCCTCTCTCCAGGTCCTGGAAGGCCTTCGGACCCTCTTTACCGAGCAACTCAAGCAAATTTTATCGGATCAAGCCAGATCTCTTGACGTCTTTAGCCTTGATATCGCAACCTTGCTATCGAGTTGGGACGATAGAGAACACGTGATGCCTCGGTCGCTTTGGGATCATGAACTCATGTCACTGGATTATTCACATGGGGCTTCTATTTTCAAGGCAACGATTGCCGATAGGTTACTTGGCCGAGATGAGGAGGTCTCGGGTGTTCTTGAGAAATATCAAGGCTGGCTCTCCTTGGTTGAGAGATCCAGACAATCTGTTGATGAACTGCGCCGAGTGCACTGGACCGATGTATTGGAGGGCGAGGATGCTGATTCTGAGATCGATACAGCGGCTACGTTGAATGAAGATGATACTCAAATATTATGGGAAGCGCTGCAGTCGGCTGTCAGGGCAGCGTTTGATACCCTGGATTCCTCGTTCAACAGTATATTTAAGGGTTTTGGTGCCTCGAGCCAAAGTGGCAAGGCGGCATTCTTGTTGAAACTTATCAGGCTAGTGCGGCGAGATCTTCCGACTGAATTCGTTGACAGCGGGTTTGCCCTTGCAAAGGACATTGTCCCTCAGTTGCAGGAAATGCTCGCTACCGAAGTGGTCATGCACACGCAGCCGTTAAGATTGATTACTGGCTCGAGCCCTAAGATTCCAAGAGTGCCAGGGCGAACGCTCTGGGAGGGAGATCCCGAATGTCCCGTTCAGCCATCGCCGTCTACCTTTAAATACCTGCATCGACTTGTGGAATCCATGGACAGGCAAGGCCCTGGCATCTGGGATGTGTCTACTATCAATGTTCTCAAGCACAATGCGCAGAAAAAGCTATCGGGATCTATTGCCTCCGCCCTCGAGGCTCTAAATTCTTCTAGAATCACCGACGGAGCCACCGCTAGTGCACCACCAGAGGGTGAAAAGCCAGATGGTAGCAAGAGTGACAGCAAGGAGCCTGGCAGCACTGGCGAGGTTGAGGAACACAACATTCATGACTGGAAACTGCAATTATACTTTGACATGGGCTACTTGGGGAATGCGTTGGCAGTCAAGGGTTTGGAACATGGTGAGTTCACTGATATCTGTTGCAAGCTCCGTGAGGAGCTTGCTTCCGATGCAAATCTCGTCAAGTCTATTGATCAGGGGGCTGTTGAATATTGGAAACGTACGCAGTTGTTGCTAGGACTTTTGGCGGTGGGTGCCGAACAATAGCCAGTCCAAGAGGATATATTTGTTTAAATTCATGTATATATAAACCTTAGGCATCAATACATAGCATTACTCATCGACGTTGGTTCCTCAGGCTGATAACCTGCCGAATATGGAGTTCCCGTGTGGAGGAGGCTCACCGCCCACGTCACGTTCCCGCGGGAAAAAAAGGAACTAACGGCGACAACTTGTATCCTTCCTCTCTTCTGCTGTCTAGGTGTTAATGCTACCTTGTCGTTCCCGGTATTCTTGTCATCCTACTCGGCTCTCTTCGCCATGGCTACCCCTAGGCTTCCGTTCCTTTACCCGAATTTGATACGCGCCATTCGTTCCTGCGAACCGACCACTTTCCGCTCCATTCGCATTCCGTCCACTAGTTCCTCGTGTCAAAATGCCTCCTTTCACTCTAGTCGACGACGGAAAGCACAGGAAACATCGTATCATCGACGGTATGGTCCTGCAGCGGAAGCGAATTTGCCTCCTCCTGCGCGGCCCAAGGATGACGCTCGCCCCCAACCAGCCCCGCCAATGCCGAAAGTTAGCAGCAACAGCAGCAATCCATCGAACAATACTGTCCCGGCTGAACAATCACCCCCTCGCGACGCTAAAGATGCCGTCCTTGAAGCATCTGTTCGGTCTAAGGGTCAAGATGTGGCAGAGTCCAGCGATAGAAAAATACCGCATGAGCAAGAGCTGCGGCAGGATTCCTCGCCCGATACCCACTGTGTAGAGGAGTTCACCCCTCCCGGCGACAATACCCAACAGGAACGAAACACCCCTCCTCAATCCCATCCATTAGATGAAAACCTCCTTGAGGGTGTCCTTCACATGCCATCTCCATCGTCCTATTTAACGCCATCGGAGATGCCCGGCTCAGGCGACAATCACCCCAATTTGACACCGGCGCCTTATGCCCACCACTTCGATACATACTCTCTCGTTCGTGATCTCTCTAAGGGAGGATTTACCGAGGATCAGTCCGTTACAATCATGAAGGCTGTTCGACGCATCTTGCATCAGAACCTTGATTTTGCAAAACAGAACCTGACTTCCAAGTCCGACGTTGAGAACGAATCCTATTTATTCCAGGCTGCCTGCTCGGAACTGCAGTCGTCCCTCCTGACAGCTCGGAGTTCGGAAATGCAGAGGCAACGTGCTTCTCGCACACAGCTACAGCATGAATCCGATATTCTGTCGCAACGCTTGAATCAAGAACTTGCAGGGTTGAAGGACGATATCAAGGGCATGTTCAATGACCATAAGATGAATACGCGAGAGCAACAACGAAGTATCGATACATCCGTTCAGGAGCTGAACTACAAGATTACCGTCTCGTTGAATAGTGACGGTAAAAGCGAAATCGAGGGACTTCGGTGGATCCTCACCAGAAGAGCCGCCTTGGCTGTTGCAACCAGTGCCTGTAAGATTTTTCTCTCTCTCTCTCTTTCTTCCTCCTTGAACTTGAATCCCGGCTTTATCAGTTAGATATAAAACTAACCCACTGTAGTTATGATTATCCTCTTTTTGAACTATTATTCGGTCCGCAAAACCCAGGACAACGGTGAAAAGAAGAAAGAAGCCCCCGTTAAAGAAAAGACCAAGAAGCCAGTCGTGGTGTACGACTCTCCAGTCGAGCCACCACTTCCAGTCCCTGAACTACACCTTGGGGAGACATTAGGTTGAAATTCCTCCAGCGCACTCATTCACTTGTCCTACCCTGTACACTCTCTTTTCTTACCCGTGTCTTTATACATGTCTCAAAACGTGGCGTCCTATAGATTGTTTCCCCCGGATCATCCTAACTATAATTTTCTTTGTCCTTGTATACTTTCGTCCTGTTTGCTATTCCTAATGCTTCTTCGATACCCTTTGAATCCTGGATTCTGTTCAAAGACCGGATATAGATAGACTCAAATAATGTGCATTTCTAATTTTCCAATTTTTTCTTTTTTATCTATCATATGTAGCTCTTCGTATATGCAAGGCATGCCCATGTCCACGTCCATGCCCATGTTAGTTTTATCATCCACAGAGTTTTATAGTCCACGCAAAAATGCGTCCTGATCATTAAGCCTTGTTGGGAGGTCATGCATATAAATAGATGCAAAAGCAAAGAAATGCAAATGGAAAAGAAAAATAAAATAGGAAGGGGAAATAGAAGAAAGAAAATGAAAAAGAATTAAAAGTCAAACCGCAACGCAATACTCGGCATACTTTGTTGCTCTGCAGCCAGTGCACTAACACCATCACTATCTTTTCCACTCTTGTTAGCACCGGAGTCCACCTCTGCACTGCGAAGAATCTCCTCGAGTAGAGATTTATGTTCCGGCTGCATCATGGCCACAAGGGCACGGAACACGGTGGAATTCACCTTCGCGAGTTCCAGTAGATGACCTGCGGTTTCCTTGTACACGGCCTGTCCTTCGCGTTTTCCACGAGCGAGAAGTGCCGCCATGACAAGGGACAGTGCAGGAGGTATGTCGGTGGCGCTCCCAACGAAGGATACCAGCGTGCGGGCAACCACTGTCCTCGAGTTCTCCGGATCACTGGGGATTTCGCCCGTTCCGGTCTGGCAGCCGACTAGGAAGCCAATTAACCGCGGGGTCAAATACCTAGCGACTCGGTCGTCCGTGGGTGATCGTGGTGTGGAGGTGAGGAGGAGGGAGCGGATGCAACCTGCAGCGACATTGGCGAGACCTACGTCCTGGAGACAGTCCAGGAATTCGTCTAAGATCTGTGTGATGACGGGGTCTTGCGGGGGGATCATGTGGCTTCCGGTTGTCAGTAGGATGGTGAGTGCCAGGAGGGTGTTCTTCGCGCAGGGCAGGGAAGATTCGGACTCGCGGCGCTGGGCGATGGTGAGAGTATTCAGAAACCGGGTGAGACAGCCACGCAGTTGACGGGATACAACGTTCATATTTTCGGTTTCGCGGTTGGCGTTGCTGATCCCGCTGATGAAATGCTTGAAGATTGGAAGCGCTAGAGGCACGACATCCCTCTGACATAGCCCTGTTGCCAGAATGGTGCTGAATATGTGTAGAATGCATGCATTGAGGTCGTTGCGGATGATCGAGGGGAAGATTGCTGCCACGTTGACCAACGATGACAGGGAGAGACGAATCAGGGACAGGGCATCATTGGATGCCACATTGAATCGTGTAAGGGGCTGGGCTTCGCGCAGGTTAGGCAGCAGTCCAGCCAGAACCAGAATGATACTCCGGGTCAGTTCGAAAAGCTGCTCGATATCATCAGAAAGATGGTCGGTGCGGCTCCCGCCGTCGTCCTTGGCTGAAGGGTGATCCAAGGACAGGTTCCGCGAGATTTCCACAATCACATTCTGGATGGGGATTCCCTCGGTGAGCACCAGGCGGTCGAGGGAGTCCATCGTCTCGGAGAAGATGGCATCTTGGTAGATGGCGTTGCCGGCGATAATCGGCCTTAATATCCTCTTGAGCGCCAGCAGGATTTCGAGCCTCTGTGGTGGTGTCGTGGATTGATCGACAAGGGCTTCAAACGCCAGGCCAAAAAGGACGAAGAAAAAGGCAACTGGCTCATCACGGTAATTGATATCGTGACCTTTTCCTCCAGAGTCGCTCTTGGGGGTGGATTCCCCATCCTCCTCTGGCTTGTCAGCTTCTTCCACCGGCTGAGACTTTCCATCCAGGGCATCAAAAACAAAATCGATGTCTTTCTCTACCAAGCCGGCGATGGCGTCAACGAGGCTCAACCAGGTATCTTGATAAAACTAATACCAACGTTAGTTTTACATAGACAGATATACCAATTCCCGGACATGGACGCACTTTCAAAAGAGTCTCCCGATTCAAGGCAGCGTAAACCTCATCTAAATCGTTGCTCGCGGGCCCGGTGCCTAAACTTCCCGAGATATCTGGTTCGAAGCGTAGGCGAGCATATTCCTGCAGAGACGAGAGCCATAACGGGGTGAGTTTCAAGAGATACGGTTGCACTACCTCGTTGAGATAATCCTGGTCGATGCTCGCGATTTGGAGCCGGGCCCAAGCCGAGAACAGAGCCATCTTCACCATGACCCTCGCGTTCGAGTTCAAGCCCTTGAGATCTCCAATCTCAGTGGTATCGGGGTTTTCTAGACTACCATTAGCCGCACGATATTAGGCAATCTTCGTTGAATCAAACCTACTCGAGAAGTTCTCAAGCCCAAGCACTAGCAGCTTCAGAATTCGGCCCATCCGGTCCACATTGGTGACTATTCCAGTGGCAATGAAAGTGGCGGACACGTTGATCGCTTCGGATGCAAGCTCCGGAGAAGAATCGACCGCAAAAGCGGGCGTGAGGGCCGATCCGATCTGGGCCTGATACTGCTCCAGAAGAGACGCTTCGGCGAAATCTGGGTCTGGGGTCTTGCCAAACATCCGCAGGACTTGATCAAGGATTTTCAGACCCCAGACGCGAAGTTCTATCACGTTCGCAGTCGATGCCGAGAATGCCATGCGAACAATATCGCCCACTTTTTGCTGCAGTGCAAGCTCGGCAGGAATTGTTTGGTCTGGTAGGATGGCTGCTTCAACGATTTCCAGCAGCTCACTGAGACAGCCCATGACAAAGTTGCGGGTTTGCCATTTCAACAATTCCTGGCCGGAAACGCCGTCATTCACAGCATCCGATTGTCCGGGCCCAACAATGGCGGAGGCAAAGCCGGCAACCTCATCATCAGGCACGTCATTGACGGCGGTTTTGATAGCCGACGTGGGAGGCAGTTCATCTATCTTCACACGGGTCTTCGTCAGGGTGCTGTGGCATCGCTGGATCCACAGCTCAGTCTCTACAAGCGCCGTCTGATGCAGCCAATCCTGGATCATGCTGCGCAGAATGGCATTGTCAGGCGTATCGTCGAAGGCGAGCCAGATCTCCTCTTCCAGAGTGGGCGTAGCGGTCTGAATTACAGATACGGCATCCCGCTTCATGAGATTACTCAATGCCCGAACAGCCACGTCCCTCATCAGGGGGTTGTTCGAGGAAAGCTCGCTCTGCAAGCGATTGACGTAGGCAGAAAAGTCTACATATCCCGGTGCATATAGCGAAAGATGATCCAGGCATTTCGAGCTTTCCGTCACGAGAGCCGGGTTTTCTTCCAGCTGGAATTGGCGAAGGAGGGTAAGGATTAGATTCCGGGTTTTCGCGATATCCTGGAGATCCGGGCCCAAAACGTTGATCATCGAATCAACGCAGCGGCTGATAAGCACTGGGGTGAGGAATGACATCTCAATATTTGAGGTCGCCAGCGTCGCCGATTCCTCATTGTGGGTGTCCGCATTGTAGAGCTGAGCGAGCATACCGAGGGAGCTGGAGACAAAAGGCGAAAAAGTCAAGCCGGCGGAATTGGCAACCCTTTCCAGGCTTCCCAGCGCCCAAAAGTGGACCACAGGATGAGGATCGTTGCACAGTGACATCAAGACACCGACAATGGTCTTCAGGTGCAGACCAGCTGCCATGCCACCCACATGGGAATGGATGCAACCCAAAGCAGTGGCACAGCCAGCGCGAGCGTTGGGTTCTCGATTCTCCACGATGGTGTCCACAAGCCAATTAATTTGCGTACTGGTGAAAGTGTTTCCGGAGCTGTCGCAAAGCCTTCCAAACGCCTCAACGCCGATGGTTCGGACAATCGGATCGGGATCAATGACGAATTTCTAAACCGGTCAGCTCGCTCTTCACGGTTCTTCTCTTCGGTAGTCAAAACGCACCTGTAGAAGCTCTTGCAGTATTTTGTCAGTCGCGGGGTTCAGTTTCCCAGTTGTAGAGCCGGTCTCTCTGGAAGCAGCCTTCAGAGCGTGAAGCAGAGCCACCGCAATGTTAACGATCATGGCGGCTTTGCGACCCAAGTTGCGCTGTAAGCTTGAGGAGGTTAGAAATGTGGCAATCTGCTCGATACTACTCTCCTGCACCTTGGGGGCATGCAAAGGTAGAGCCACAGCAAAAAGCTCTACCGCGGCATTGACAACTCCAGTTGCATGAGGATCCGCAGCGATACAGCCCCCATTGCCTGGAGAGTAGAGAAAAATTGAATCGTGTTCGCTTGCTTGAAAAATGGGAAAAGTCAACTGAATACGTTAGTCTCATTCTGGGATCTCCCTGAAAGTGACCGGCCAAACTCACAGCATCGTCGACCGCTTGGTCCGCAGAGTCCACCGCAGACCAAGCCGGTCCGTTATCATTTTCATCTTTACCAGAAAGGCTCACTCGGACGTACTCCCTGGCGTAACCTGTGACTCCAAACCCAAAGTTATCGCACAGATCCCACAGGGACTCGAATTGCGCGGTGGAGGCAGCGATCGAGCTCTCAATGGGGCCAGTTGGAGCGGCATCTGGATCTGCAAAGGAGGAAATTGCCAGACTCAACAGGCTGGTCTGGGAGATAATATCCCCGTGGCTAAGGGGATGGACATGAAGCAGCTTGGAAAAACATTGAAGGACCCGTCGGCGGACCATGGTTGCAATATCGTTCAGCTGCAAGGATGGGTGAAGACGCTGGGAAATATCATTTGCAGACTTTTGTCGAGGCATGTCATCGAGAAAGACGACGGTATTTTGCAGCATTGCGGCTATTCTTCTCGCACCATCGGCCGTGATCAATTTGCTGTTGAACTCCATAAATACCAGTAGCGATCCCAAAGCACATTCTCGGACATGGGCAAGGAAGCTCATCTCCAGAGCTCCACGCTGGGCGAAGTTCTCTTTGCTAAGGTGCCTGGGAAGGGCATTCTTCCACAGCAACATCAGCTGAGACAGATGGATTTTCACGAAGCTAGGGCCCAGGGGCATCAATCCTCCAATCAAGATCCACGCCACCTGGATCTGGGTGCTCGCGGCACGGAGTTCGGAATTGCTGCTCGTCTTCAGGAGATCGGTAGCCTGAGTAAACACGCGAGAGAAGACATCAACGGAGCCATAGAGCGGCTGCAGCCGAGAAGTACTCAGCATTGCGGATAGCCCATTCGCATAGCCCACGCAGCGGCGCGGAGACTGTCTGGGGGTGGACAGCTGGCCGACCTCCCGGTTCAGGCTGTTTAGGCAGATAGTCACACAGGATAGTAGCTGGTGCGGGCAGGCGAGGACGAAGCAGCGAAGGCAATGGGCGGCATGGATCTGGACGGTATAGCTGGGGTGAGGAAGCACATGGAGTAAGGCCTCGCGACATATCTCGGCCAAACTCCCGAAGGCAGAGCCCAGGGAAGAAATCAAGGACGATAGGGCACTCAGAGCGCTTGTCAGGGTATATTTGCTCGGTTCGCGACGCTCCTGGAGCACCTGCGGGTAGTCCTTGAGGATGTCGTTGATCAACCACTTGGCAGCATTCAATTGACTGGTTTCGCGCAGCGATTCACGGCCCACTGTATCCTCCAAGACACTCTTGACAAACTTCCGCGTCATTAGCAGTCTGAATCTATTGTAGGTTACCGTCGGGTGGTTGAGGAGATCAAAGCACAGATGGCTGGCGATCTCGCCGTAACGCTCTTCGATCAGCTTCTCCCCCAGGATGCGAAGGACCTGTTTGTAGCACACCGCAATTGCTGCCCGTGCACGGTTGGACGTAGTGCTTCGTAGATACTGGGTCGACAACTGGCGAAGAAGATCGGGCAGCAGAAAGAACAGTCGGGGTTCCGATTTCTTCTGGGCGGACGATTCTGAGACTTCGGCCTCCTCTTCGTCTTCGCCGGGTCGCGACGAGGGCTTCTTCGACTGCCTTTTCGCTTTCTTAGGCTTCGGCACCGAGAAGATTCGAGAATCGGTCGCATGGAGTTTAGCCAACGCGCGAGCCAGACAGAGGGCGGCGGCATGTCGGACGGGGGCAACCGGACTATCAACGACCTTCCACATGACCGACTTCAGGGTATCGAAATCGTTCGCATTGTCGAAAAACGGGGTCTTATTCACCAGCTGCTCCAGGCAGCGGGACGCATGAACCTGTACGAAGGTCGACTTGTCTCCGGTCGCCGCATTACGAGCCTGCTTCCAGATATCTCGCGCCGCTCCCTCGTCCACCGGGACGCCAGATCCCACAACCACCTTCCGCAGGACGGCGAAGACCGTGCCACGCATGCCCGCATGGTTACTGGACGGTTTCAACAGTTTAAGCAAGCTCGAAATGACCACGCCTGCCTGGGCAAAGACACTCTCCCCGGCGACCGCGAAGACTTCCCCCAGACAATGGGCTGCGGCGAACTTGGATTTTAGCTCCGCCCCATTCTTTCCCGCATTCAAGGTTCCCAGTAGTTCTGTGACTGTTTCGAAAAGAATCCCGCGATCCCCCTTGCTAAATATGGCGCCGAAACAGCGCCCGAGGTTGTTGCGGATCACGCGCGTGATTGTCGGCGAGGACAGCGTCAGGATCTTGAACAGCTCCTTTTTCAAAAACTTCTGCTGGGATGAGACCTGCGATCGGTCCAATTCGGAGATGTGCTGAACTAACTCCGACGTGAAGGTGAGAAGATAGAGATCCTGCTGTTCAGAGGGGAGGGCATGGAGCTTGGAGACATCCAATTCCGCACGGGGAGGCGCATGGTCAGTCGTAGTGGTGGATGCAGCGACGTCGGGCGAAGACATTGAATTCGAGGTTATCCGGCAAGAGGGTGACCCATACGGTCCCCCAAGAGACGATCTAGAACAGAAACGAGAGGCAAAAAGAAAAACACACAAGTCAACACGGTCGATGGGCCCCTGAAGTAATTAAAGGTTGGCCTCAACCCGCCGATGGTCGGCGGAGAAACCGTCGGTCCGGCTTGCATCTCAGGCCCCGTTAAGCCACCTTCTGTGTCGCAGTCTTCACTCTCGATGGCGTCCATATTGGGCAGAGGCGCGATTTTACAGCGTCCTCGATCGGTCCAGTGTTGGTTCTGTCGTAATCTCTCCAGCAGCTCTGTGCAGTTGGCCGGCCACAATCGATGGTCTACGATCCGACATGACAAGGCCAAGAATGACAAGGCCAAAGGTAGAGAGCGTCAGATCATTGGGAAGGAAATCAGCAGTGCGACGCAACGTGAGTATTCATTCCTTTCCACTGATGGTATGTTTATCTATCTAACTAACATCTATGCTATGTATCTAGTGTTGGGACCCGATCCGAAATTCAACCCTCGTCTGACATTGGCCCTCTCGAACGCGAAGCGAGCGGGAATGCCCAAGACCGTGATTGAGGCTGCAATTGCAAGGGGACAAGGGATAAGCGTATCGGGTGAAGCCCTGGAGCAAATCACCATTGAGGCGATTCTCCCCCATTCAGTTGCAGCGGTGATCGAATGCCAGACCGATCAGAAAGCTCGTGTCTTGCAGGATGTTCGCTATGCCATTAAGGATAACGGTGGCACGGTCACCCCAACTACTTATCTATTCGAGAAGAAGGGTCGGATAATCTTTGAGACAAAGGATGACGGTCTGAATCCGGATGATTACATCGATCAGGCTATCGAGGCCGGAGCGACAGATATCACCGCCGATGATGACGGCCGGCTTCTGGTGTTCACGGAGTCTACGGAGACGAAGAACGTGGGAGAATCTCTTTCCAAGATGACTGGTTTAGCTATTGAGTCGGTCGAGATTATTTGGGATCCGAACCCAGATACCCTGGTGGAATTGAAGGACGACGAACATGTGAAAGAGATTGAGGACATAGTCACTATCCTTCGCGAGGAATCCAGCATTCAAGATATTTATCTGAACACGACCCGGCGATTCTAAGACTTGTCATTACTATTGAAGGCATACCCATTGTTTGTATATAGATTTGCTATTGGATGTACGATAGATAAGTCGAGCTTACTTGCCGGGTTTTTTTTCTTTTTCTTTTTCTTTTACTCTAGAGACAAGAAAAAGAAACGAACCTGATAAAGTAGAGCTCATGGAGGAACTATGCACCCACACGTTATTCGGAATCTTCAAGGCCCAATCCACTCCATAACTGTACTGAGTTGACACTCAAACAGAATAAACAGACAGCGTGGCTACTATTCCTTCCGCAACGCCTTCATTGTACTGCGCATCAGGTTTCCAATTCCAACGCTACCTGTCGCATCCAGCCATTCAAGCATCCTCACCCGGTACTCCTGCCAGCCTAGCTTAACACCACCTTCCTTCTCCAAAGCACTCAATGCTTTCTGAGTGACTGGTCTCTTCAGCCGGGGCTGGTCTTCGCCTACATTGTTCTCCTCCTCGATGTCAGAAAAGCAAGCGGCCGACATATTGCACAGGGCAATATGGTGACTGAGGGAGCAGATTGAGATTAGTGTGTAGGGCAAAGCAACCTCGGGCTGCCTTTCCTTCGAAGCGTCATTCATCTCCCGGAGGTATCGCGTGAATGCGGCGACAGTGGAGGCTGGTATTAAACATCCCAATGCATTCGGATCCTCTGCATTAAACCCCCGATTTCGCCAAAGCAGATTGCAGATGTCCATGATATATCCGTTGAATTGTCCCACCAGCTGGGTAGGGTAGAGCGATTCGGATGAGGCCGGGGTTTGAAGAACCTGAGATGTCAGAGACGCTTCAAAAGACGACTTGTAGCTTGCGAGGACCGAGCTGATGATGGAAATCACGGAATTAATGGGTGTAAAGACAAGGGTGTAGACAGTAGGAGCCAGCGGAATCGTCAGACGGATGCTCCCATTCACAGCCGCATGGGAAAACAACTCGGCCAAGTTGCAATAAAAATCAAGGACCGACAATGTTACGGGCTTGGAGCTCTCAGCCCCAGTCTCAGAGGTGTGTTGCAATATTGGTGGGCACTCCAGGATCGATAGTGCCAAAAGTTCTGCATGTGAAATAAGACGAGCCAGAGGACGCGACTCCTCCATGGTAAATGACTGTGCCCTCAGCCTAACCCCCCACTGACGGATGAGAGAAGTGTAAAAATCAAGCAAATCACTCTGAGATGGAGAGGTGTCCCCTAGTATGGCAGACTCCAATCGTGCCAGGAACTCGCTTCGTATGGAGTCATAATTGTCGATGGGGACGTATTCGAGGAGGCCAAAAATCTGCTCTTTATGATCTCGGCCATTCCACGACCTCAAATTTGTCTTCAAGAAAGAAATGATCGCCGGGGGCATCTCCTAGTAACAGGTAAGCAGCTAGATCGACTGATTTCCATGGATCCAAAACCATACCTTAGTGTATCGTATATACTCTACCAAGAGACTCAGCACATAGCCCAGAGACTCAATCTCGTCATCGTCATGATCTTGAATATACTCTAGTTTGTCGTCGAGGAAGGCTCTTAACCAATCATCTAACCTGCGGATTGCGGCATCTGGTTGAGCCAAGAAGAGGTACTTCTGGGCTATGCTATCTCCAAGGGCGGATATGATCTGGTTGGGGAGCTCGATTTTGTCTAGCTTTTCGACAAAGTGGCCAGTGTCCCGCAATTCTTCCAAGGACGTGTGATTATACGACACCCGGGAGGTCTGCATAACAGGAACGATAACCTCTAACTTACTCCTCTTTGCTAATCCACGATAGACCGCCTGGATGCTCGAAGACTGGGCCGCCTGAACCCTTTCTAGGTTGGCATCATGAAGAAATCTTACATGGCTAGACCATTCGGGGTCTGGGTGCTTGAAAAACAGACCCTTCCTGCTAGAAGCCCCTAGGTCTCCCACGATAACATCAGGGCAATAGTTTTTAAAAGCCTTCAGTAATGCAATCAGCTCTTTTTCTTCACCCCCGGAATTAGCAACCAACTCCATGAGAGACTGGATTCGGAAAGGCTTCACATGCTTGCGCCTGGTAATAAAAGAGAGAAGATGGCACAAGGGCTTGCGCAGACTTATCATATCAAGACAGTTGAACAGCACTGCATACAGCTTGGACAAGTGAGACTTCTCCTCCAGCACATCATACACGAGAATCAGCCATCGTAATAGCAACGCCTGCGTTGCAGGGGCCGGCTTAGTCTTGCTTGGGCCCAGACAACACACAACCTGCGTAACTAATGTCGATGAGACCCTTTCTGAAGGGTACAGGTTTTTGACAATAATCGTAATTGTGCCCTGGTCGAGCTGGTTCCTCGCGGTAAGGATCTTCACCAAGCGCTTGAGAGTATCTGGAGGCATCCCACTCTCATACGCGTTAGCAGCAATTGTTTTGGCCAGTTGCCCGGCATCTGTATATCGTTGTTTGGCAGGCACAAATGCCACTGGAACAAGTTAATAAGTATGATAATACAAGACAACCTTCCTTATCAATAAGGCTAATAATAAACAATCTTACCTGCTTCCAGTTGCTTCGTCGCATCTTGTAGGCTGACTTGCCTATGCTCTGTTCACAGTGTCAGCGGGTCTCAATAACACCAGATCTTATTTTTTAACAGACCTCTATTTGATTCAGGTAACATTGACTAGAAGTCTTCAATTTACTTTTCGAAATCCGAGATTGTTCTCCCCAGATCCTAGCCTTACAGTGGAGACGCAGTTGGAATAGCAAGAAATCCAAGGCGCTCGCGACTCTCCGCGTACCACTTCGTCGCGTTGTCTTGTTTGCAACACACCCAGGAGGGCGAAGTACGCGAAATCCTTAAATAAAAATTACGGAACCCACGGTGAGCCAACTAATGTTCAGTTGGGCGAATTTTCTCCGTAGTTGTTTGCACAATTCGATTAATGCGAGGGTCGCCGGAGGCGCAAACTTAAACCAAATCGGGTTATCTGCCATCATCGCAGCCCCGACCACTGTCTATACCGATGGATTCGTCCCTGCGACTTCTACATAGTCATCTGTCAGAATAAGCAGATATATTTGTGCCACGTCAAAATTGTACTTTTTGTGGTGTAGTGGTATATCTGACATGATCCTGCATGTCATTGGAAACATAGATTTAATGGAATCGACAACTGTATTAAAAGCAGGTTTCCACCGGGAAAGAGCGAATGTGCAAGAATACGCCCTCCACAATAAGATTGATTATATTATGTAGGATGACCTTATGCTACATTAGAAAGGTAAAGTCAAGCAAGTGTCTGTCAGACAGGCTATTTGCTTTGCAACAACAATGAAATTGCCAGCAACATAGGTCAAAGTAAACAGACAGCTCCCAGCAACACCCCTCGAGAACCAGGTGATGCACCAAGGGAGAAAAAGGGACATAAATATCCACTGTGGATCTCTTACTTCCTCTTCCGAGTAGAGGATTTAGAAGTTTCATTCCCAGACGCCTGGGATGATGTCTCTGGCTTGGTCTTCTCGGTCTTAGCAGGCTCCTGCTCTTCGGCGTCACTGTCGCCTCCCTGCCCAAATTCGTTCACACGCTTGAAGTCAACCTTGTACTTCCAGCTCTGGTAGAGCCAAACGAAGAAGATCACGTCGTCCCGGAGTGTTGCAAGTCTATGAAGCCACGGCATCTTCACAGTGAAAGCAAAGAGATCGTCGATGAACGTGTTGAGGAACTTGTACATTAAGGCCTTGCCTGGCATATGAGCGACGGACTAAAGGCGAAGCGATGTTAGCTTATTCCAGGATATCGTTCTATCATGCGCTCACCTTCAAGCGGTAGTTGATATACAAGCTAGGAACCATCATCAAGAAACCGTAGGCATAGACGCTACCGACAAGCGTCTCGATGACGTAGGAGTACCACGACTTGTGCGTGTTGTAGAGCAAACTGTATGCCGCATATCCAGCCAAGAGGGGCACGGCGATTATGTAGAGCCAACGGAACGCAATCTCGTCGTACTCCTTGGTCTTCTGCTCCGTATCGCTGAGCTTGTGCTTGTCTTCGAAGGCAATGACGTACGGCAGCAAAGAGAAAAAGGAGCCCGCTGGTGGCGGACGTAAGCGCACATCTACCGTCTTCGTAATTTTCCACGCTTCCAAGAGAATCCCAAAGCCCTGGCTGGCAAGAATCATCCACGAGGTGTTGTCGCTGTTATCCATCAGATACAGGAAGATGACGCTTTGCATGAAGACATTGGCCAGGATGGTCCGGACGGACGTTCCGACAACATCCTTCTTTTTGCGCCAGTGAGCCTGCCCACGAATGGCTGCCGTTAGTTACATTCCTCAGACATATATAAGCTAGGTGTCAGTGCACTTACGATATCATTCTTGAAAGCCAACATCTCAAAGACCATGTGTAGAATCGTGACAACGCCCGTCGTGCCCAGCAGGTATATGTTCGTATCTAGGAGGACCGTCTTGATCATCTCAAACTCACTGCCATCGCCACCACCAGGCGTGGTCATCCCATATGCGGCTTGCCGGGCAGTCTGCTTCGAGCTCTCGTCGACGCTTGCCATCATGCTGAACTTCCAATTCTGCAGGTTGCTGAGGGTCAAGTGCATAGGCACCGTCTGCACGGTAGAGTTGAGTTCCATCATGTGGCTCCTCAGCTGCCAGAATGTGTTCAGATACACGATCGGATAGTACCATCCGTTCTGCCCCGAGATGTCTCGTGCACCCGTTGCCTCGAGCTGCACATACTGTCGGACAGCGGGATGCAACTGGCGGTATTTTTGGACTCCGGAGTCAGGGATCAAAGATACCGTGAAGTTGGGATGGTAGTAGGACACGGTCGAGACGTCCGGTGTGCTATCATCATCATCTTCCTCCTTTTCTTCCAGGGGGGCAAGGAGGTTCTTGAGCTTCTTAGCTTTCTTCTTGGGAAGGTACTGGTTAAGAGGGCGAAAGAAGTGGACCGCTTTATCCGTGCTGTAGTCCTTGGCTGTTGGGTCCAGTTGGTTCCCAGAGAGACCGACAAAGAAGTGCGCGAAAAAAGTCCCGTTCTGTTGGACTTCCTTGGGGACCTTAATCGTCGTGTCGATCTCCCTAGTGTCGCTGTAATTCCCAAGCGTGAAGTTCTTCTCCGCAAGCACAAGAGAGCTCGATGGAAGCGACTTGAACGGCGGAAGCACGACCGACGGTGACACGTAAATGTACATATCTAAGAGACTGTCTACAGGCCATATCGGGGCCACCACATCTGGGACAGGGCTGTAGTTCTCGATTTCGCTACGCGCCGGACGAGTCATGAAATCCATCGCACCCCCGGATTTTCCACCGACAGTAGTATTCTGCTGTCGTCCCCCTAAGAATTGGCTGGCGATAAATTGGATCAGCATGAAGAAAGCCAGACCCTGCATGGCTCCCTTGAGGCCGGACTGTGGAAGTGACGCCTGTCTGTCAGCATGTAATTCCATCACCATGTGGATGTTTGGCATACGCACACCTTGCTGTTCGGGCTCATCCCTGCGCTGCCGTTGTTCAGGCATAGTCCTGGGTGAGGTTTAAAAAAAGAGATGCAGGCAAAGATGTAACCTAGTCCATGTGAAAGGAAGGCCAAGGGGAGGAAGTTGGAGAAAAGGCCACGGACGAGAGGAAGACTACGCCGCCGACCGCGCTGGTCCAGAAAGGGTCTGGTCCTATCATTCGCTGGGCGGAAATGACATAAATCGAACCGTTTTATGATTCAATCTCGGGGTTTTTCTTGCACTTCCCCCACACATCCAACTCAACCCGCTTCGAGGGCCCTATATCTTGCCTAATGGACATGTCTGGCGAGTGAAGCTTCGATCTCAATGTCGGCCAGTCATGCCTCCCCCGATTACTCTCATCCGCAGTTCCCAGCCCATAATGAGCCCCGGGTATGGGTGATTACCGCTGGCGATTCTCCCATTGGGATCTCGGTCGCTCGTCAGATTCTGGCGCATGGGGATTGCGCCTTAGTTGGACTATCCTACACCGATCCAGAGCAGGACGAGGACCGTCGTGAAGGATTTGATGCCTTTCTGGCCGAAATCGAGAGTCATCGCGACGACGGGTGGGGGCGGCGATTCAAGTCGGCACTGTTGGACATAAGGTGCGATCTTCTTTTCTTTTCTTTTCTTTTTTTTGAATGTTACAGGAATGGCTATTGGGCAAAAAGGCATGTCAGTGGCTGACAGCGGTGCCCTACAGGGTGGTGGGAGAATGTCAAGCTGTGATCGCGGAAGCTGTTGCGACCTTTGGAAGAATCGATATTCTTCTTTGCTGTACAAGCCAAGGTATGTAGGGGTTTTTTGCACCCATGGACGATGCCTGTGGTTGACAGTTTGCGCAGCACTTATCGGGACAGTAGAAGAGCTGTCAGCCTCTCAGCAGGCCCTGAACCTGGTCCGGGACCAGTTCGAGACCAACTATTTTGGACCTCTCAACATCATCAAAGCAGCGCTGCCTCATATGAGGAGACAACAATCCGGACATGTCATGGTGATTTCTGGAATTAGTAAGGAATTGGATCGCTTCCTCGGACCAGACTCTTCGTTGTTAACCGAGAGCAGCAGCTCATATTGGCACACCGGGGCTGGGGATGTACTGCGCAGCGGGTTGGGCACTAGAAGGCTTCTGCGATGTGAGCACAACTTCCTCATGCGAGTTGATGCCCAGATACTAACGTGCACTCCAGAGCCTTGCATACGAGATCGCTCCATTCAACATCAAGCTCACGATCTTCCAGTGCAGCATTGAAATCGGCATTCTCACGAACTTGATCACCAGCGTGCCTCCCATCGTTCCCGCGTACTCGCCCAGCGTGAACCATGCACCTCTGTTCCGCGGGATCCTTAACCGACTTGTGCCTCGTTTGCCTCATACCCAGGCCGGGATGGACAACTCCCAACGCAGTAGCCAAGGCTCCTCCACCGAAGACGGGCCCTTTTCGCGCCCCGAAGTTCTATCAACATATCCTCCACTAAGTTCGGCACATATGGAGGTCCTGGTTGCGGAAACAGTCTACGCCATCACTGCTATTGGAGGGCATGACAATCCCCCCTCTCGTCATATCGTCGGACAAGAAGGCGTTGCAAGTGTCAAAGAAAAGCTGAAGACCGTCAGCGAAGAATTGGAAGAATTCATCCAGTCGAGTTTTGCCGTTGACTACGCGGCCGATGAGGATCAAGCCCGAGTTTCAAGGGACGATAATATAGGTGGGTTCAGCCGTTGACATCTTTCCAGATTTATCCCCCGGGCTTTGTTCCCTACAGTTCCTTTATCGCGATACCATAATTCATAGATTAGCTCCAATTAATCTAAACTTATCAATCTTATAGTTCCAAAGAATGATGGTTGGCATGGCGGAATGTAGTTCACAGCCATATGAGGCGCTGACCTCAATAAATTCAACACTCTGCCCCACTGCACAACAACTCAAATATAGCACGACACATAGCAAATTGAAAATACCACTATCCTTTTTATTCTTATATCAACTTTGGCTTACAAGAATAGCATTTGACCTAGGTATCAAGACCATCGCCGCAAGTGTCTCTCCCGAGCATCCTTCCCTTGGAAGCTAGGTACCTGGCGCAGGGAAATCAATACTATGAATTATTATAGAGACTTAGCATTAGGACCAAGCAATAGTGATTTTCCTTCTATGAAATCTCTAGATACATCTTTCGAAGAACCCGTCATCTCGAGTCGTAGAACCTCCTCACGTACCTATGAATAAACCCCGCGAAAAAGGGATTGAACGTAGTGAATGACGCTGGAATTTACCAGAAAACCAAACGGAACAGACTATGTATTTTTAAGGAACCAAGCCTGTCTAACTTCCCATAAGCTACCCATGTCCTGGTTGTTTCTATAGCAACGACAGTCTTTCCAGGCATTTCCATGGGGAGCTTTCTCTACCCGGCCATCGACCTCGACGATTTTTGATGCGAGCGCGTTAGGCCAGGTGATATTCGGTATGATTAGATTTTCGATCTGTTCGGTACTCATAGATGGGCGTGTCTCGTTGGCCGAATCATTGGCGGGCAGTGACGCGCCGACCACCGTTTGGTCATCACTCTGTACTCTGGGCGAGTTCGCATGCGCCTCACCGGTTTCCGAAGTTGCTTTTGCTGCTGATGGACAGCCCCTAGCTTCCACTGCTAATTGCCGGGCCTCCCCTTGGTCATTTGAGGAAGACGGCACGGGGTCACAAGCAGGAGGTTCTTCGATTTTCGTGGTTTTACCTCGTCCTCGGCGCCTTTTTTGAACCGTGGGTTGTGCAGTGTCAGATTTACGCTTTCCGGCGAATTCAGTCTCGATCTTTTCATTCGTATGTGACGGCGTCTCTTCGCTGCTTGGAGTAATATGGCTCCCTTCTATTTCGCTGCGGTCCGATGTATTGTTCTCTGTTTGAACTTTGGTTTCAGAATCGTTTGAACGACCATTGACATTGGAAAGAAATACACGTTGACCAGGAGGAATGGCGAAGGTCAGACGTGGGCCATTAATTGCTACAATCTATAGAACTGTTAAAAAGAGGGCCAAGAAGGCTGAGGATATCGAATGATAAACGTACCTTGGCTTCTTTCTCCACCAGAATCCTCCCGGGTCCTTTCGAGAAGGCCCGCGAGTACTTCCACACATCACCTTCGCGAACGAGCCCTTGTTCAACCAATGTTTGCAATTTCACCCGGGAGCTCTGCCCTGCAATGATTGTCTTATCGAGCTTTTGTTTCTGCCCCCAAAACTCTTCATACTCATCTTCTTTGAACTTATCAAAATTCCCCGCAGCTCGCTGGGTCATGGCCTCTTCAGCCTGGTGCAGCCAATCTGGATCATAACGACCGCTTTGGAGATCTAGTTGGAAATTACGAACACCGTCGCGCCAATGATTCGAGTAACGCAAGAACGATTCGGGCAAGGGGGGTATCTTTGCATCAGGATCACCGGGAGGGGGGTAGGGATTCGGATGTGTGCCTTCCGGAAGTAAACTCAAGATCTCTTGTTTCTCAGATTCCTCGAGACGATCCCAAGCTTCGGGGCGGGCAAGCAGTTTCTAACCGAACAGGTACATCAGCGACTGCTTCTAGGCTCCTCTCAATGCGCCATCGTCGTCACCTACCACGAGATCCAGTCCCACCAGCGGCGAGCTGGTACTCGTCATCAGCTTTTCTTCCTCCCATGGATCTTTGGCGGCTCTTCTTGGATTCCGCTTCGGCCTGGTGTTTGTAGACGACATTGCCAAGCTAGACTCAACCGTGCCCTCTGGGCTGGCGGCATCAGCAGGGATAGAGGGCCGACCCCTGGGATGTTATCATAGTTAAAAATTTTGTTCAAGTCAAATAGAGCACGGTGAGTGGTCTCATGAACCGTTTTCAGCGGCCCATGGAGCATGCCATGTCGTGGGTAGGTAGAAGAAGCCTCCGTAATTGGTACGTACCTCCTCGGTCGCTGTCCGGTACTGCCGGTACCGACCGCCCTGCGCTTGCGGACCATTCTTCCCCAGTCTGGAAAGTCCGTCGATCTGGACAACAAACAGAGTGTATAAGGTATCGGCGAAACTGTGGTCTGCTGGCTAGTCAAGACAACTCAAAAAATTAGTAGGGCCAAGCACAGTTGCACCACAATGGTCAAATCAACTCAGATCGCCAGGCTTGATGGTAAGATGCTGCGCAGTGGGAAGAGGGGAGAAAGTTGTATGCAAGTTGCTGACGTTGGGAGCAGGTCTCATGTTGGCTGCGTCGGTGGACGATGAACAGGTACGTTACATTCACTGCAGGCCAGATTTTCCTAGCTAACGGCGCTATTTCCTGCAGGCCGAGGTGGAGCTCTCGGAAATCAAAGGACAAGCCAAGATGATCTTCCGGCGATTGAGTCGCAATGCTGCACCGCAAGCTAGTATTGAATCGGGCCAGTATAATCTACAGTAAGTCTACGTATTGCAATACGCAGATTCTGGAACAAATAAAACAGCTCACTGTCCGAACTAGCTATCTCATTCAAGATGATATTTGTTTCCTTTGCATATGCGATCGTTCCTATCCACGCAAGCTAGCATTTACCTATCTCGCCGATCTAGCAACGGAATTTACCACGACATACTCGCCCGCACAATACCAGTCTCCCAATCTGCGACCCTATGCCTGCGTAGAGTTTGACACATTCATCCAGCGCACCAAGAAGCTTTACCAGGACAGTCGAGCCTCGCAAAACCTTGATCGGCTTAACGACGAACTTCGAGATGTAACCAAAGTCATGACAAAGAATATCGAGGATCTCTTGTACCGAGGCGATAGCCTGGAAAGGATGGGTGAGTTGTCGGGACGCTTGCGCGAAGATAGTAAAAAGTACAGGAAAGCCGCGGTACGCATCAATTGGGAGTTGTTGATGAAACAAGTGGGTTTACACCGTTCCGGTAATTCTAAAAAGTACTGTCTCACTGACATGTTATAGTACGGCCCTTTTGCTGGTGTCGGATTTATTTTCATTTTCCTTATCTGGTGGCGCTTCTTCTGATTCTCTCGCGAAGCGGTCGCTTCTGGATACCCACTCATAATGAATGTATACATATTTTTTCCGGTGTTGCAGGACATCACGCCCTTTCCTTCGCCTCCAGCAGTCGTGCTAAGATCATGATCGACGTATCAGGCTAGTAGTGCCCTCAAAATGCAATTCGCAAACAGAAGGGCGAGCTGGGAAACGATTATCGTCAAAATGGGCATTCGTAGTGGCCGGGTTTCAACTTGTAGGGAGATATTGGCGTTTGCGATAGACACTCTGCACGGGGTCAATGCCGAAACTCGTGGCTACTAGGTCTGAGGCGATATAGGTACAACTGCAAGTTCAAGCATTTTCGTATCATTTAACCATCGCATACCTAGTCGAATTCTTTTTTTGAATTTGCACGGTTCAGGTCACCTAACTGTGCGGTAGGAAGTGACTGGCACTTTAACGTGGATTTCGGGAGGATAGAGTTTATATCTCGTCTTCTTCCTCATCGAAATCGTCCTCCTCTCCCATATCGTATAGAATACGTCCACCTTCACCGGGGCCATTACCATTCTGTGCATCAAAGTATGGTAATACCACACCTTCCCTCTCCTTCCTCTGTCTTTCAGTGAGACGCAATTCAAATGTCGACTCGGGCTCTTCTTCACTGTTTTGCGTGTCCAGATCTTCGGGGGGATGATACAACGGATGGTCATCAAGTAGTGTGACAATCTCCTTGGCCTGGTTTGGTGGATAATGCGAGGCAGGAGGGAGGAAATACCATTCCAACACGCCGCGACCGCTCTTCCGCCGATGCTCCAGTTCTAAAACCACCCCTCCGACAGATCCACTGCCGATCGGTTTATCCACCCTCCCAAGAAGAACCCCATCCTGTCCTTCTTCCAGACCAAAAACAGGTGCTGCCAGACTGCGATCGCGAGCAGCTTTTTGAGAGAGAATGTGCGAAAATGAATGGAGCCGAATAACCGTTGTTGCGAGATATGTCAATATGGAGAGTGGGGATGGCGAATAAGGCGAGAAACTAGGCGGTCTTGGAACATCTTGATGGAAAGTCACGATGAGAGAGGATTCAATCTTAGGTGCTGACGGACTCTGAGGCATCACAAATGAACTTAAGAATGTGGAAAGGTGGAATTGCGCATCAATTCTTTTCGAGTGGAGAAGAGGGTTGATGGAATCGATTATAATTAGATGACCTATAGCATATTAGTCTGGATTGAGGGCTGCCACTGAAGCATGGAATGAGCTGGTACATACGACTTGGAGGGCTGGATGATGTCGCCTGGTAAACAGAGTTGACTTCCTTTAAAATTCCTGCAGGGCTCTTTCCCCGAGCTGAAATAAATACATCGACTCCATGCAGTGCTTTCAATGATTCAAAAGCAACGAAAGTGATTTGAACTTTTGAGAGCTGTTCTAATTAGTCGATATAATTAAAAAACATCGCATTTTAGAATTCGATGACCTCGGCACAAGCGGTGGCTAAAACCTAACCTTTCCGCTGGTGACACTAGTCCTATATGACATGATGTTACTTACTGTTGCACGCCGGATATATTCCTTTATCAATGGGGTAGCAGGTTGTTCTAGCGAATCCAAAAGCAGAGTGAGCGGCGACGCTGTATCTCTAAGATTTAGGAGCTTCGAAATCAAAAGCAAATTATGCGTCTGTCTGTGAGACAGACCTGTGGGAGCCATATCTCCCAATGCACTAGCCACCCAGATATAGTAAGTAAGAGGTGAACAGGAGCTATACGTTGTTAGCAAAAGACTGCGGGGATTTTGCGGTCCATGGAGGGGCTGGAAAGTGCGGACATAAAAGATTTCAACGGAATGACGGATCTTTACTGGAATTGGGCCTAGCCTGAGGCTCATCGGGACGGCCCGCCTGGTGCGTTCTGGTATTTACACCAATGTACGGAGTAGATTGTAGAAATGTTGCAGACCAGATGTTTAATGTCTGCCACCTATCTTATATACTGGTCAAATATCTGTATACGGGCCTATTATTATGCTTTAGCTTTATAATTTTTACCATATTTGCCACTAGAATAGCTTACACAGCAATCTTAAGTCACTGTTATTTTATATTCTTACATTACATACAGCGTTCAAATTTACTGTATTTGGCAAAAGGCCTTAGAATCAAAATTAAGTAGGGTGGTATATCTACCTAGGTAGATTTTTAGCCAGGGGACTGATTAGTAGTCCTAGGAAAAAGTGCGTGACATTATAAAATAGGATCCAAATTGTCAAACTGGGGAATCCAAGTAAATAGTAAAAATTCCTTGGCTATCTTTTAGCCATCGGCGCGTGGAGAAAATTGGATACCTAGGTAAACGTGCACTCTATTAATGTTGGAGTAAACAAAACTAATACATAAATAGGGACAGTCACAGTTCCATAAATAAACAGGGGATTGCAAATTCAGGATTTAACTGTTAAAAACTTGTAACTTTTGTGAGTAGATAGATTTGTAAATAACAAAATCTCATGTAAAATAACAGCAAATGTGAGTTGAGCATAACTGGTCGAAAACCGAAGCGGATGGACAGCCCGATCTGGTTTAGCTAATTATTGCACAGTAGGTAGATCTCCGAAACCGTAAACTCGCGCTCCTCATCTTCCATCTACTGCAAGAGACTTCGACGCCATATTATCTTCTAGACCATTGATACCCCCCTAAAAAAAGAACTTGATAATGAAATAAATTTATTATTAGCTAATTAACTTCTTTTGTTTCGGCCTTACTAGTCTTTACAAGGGACCTTTTTACACCGCCGCCGAGATTTCACTGTGCGACTCCAACCGATCAGCGGGTGACACAGGAAAACCCAACATTAGCAGAGCAAAGAAGATACCACCGACAAAGCAATGGCAGAACCGCCAGCAAAACGTGCTCGACGGGTTGACAGCTCGACAATGTGGGAGATTAGTGATAGACAGGCGCGTCCAGAAGAATCAGACAAGGATTTGGATAAAAGCCCAAAACGCGAACCATACCTGAGGGATGACGGGCGACGTGACGGCCCTCGAGATGACAGAAGATATCGCTCTCGATCGAGAGACCGAAGAGACAGACGGCGCGACAGAAGTTGGTCTAAGGACCGCCGTGACCGAGATCGCGACCGAAAAGACAGGGACCGAGACGATCGTGGACCAAGAGACAGGAGGAGCATTAGCCGCGACAGACAGTACGAAAAACGAGGTATGTAGCTCAAGATAGCCTATAATCGTTCTAATAGCTAAATGACTGCGAAGGATACCAATCGAAAGGGGACAGGTATCGTGACCGTTCTCGATCGCCTGCTCGAAATGGCAACAGAGATAGATCCAGAGCACCTCCAATTCGAGGGTCTAGAGGCGACCGCAGAAATGACCGCAGAGACCCTCGGGGACAATCAAATGGTACCGCAGATACCAAGCCACCGCGGTCCCGAGATGGAATGGACCTGAACACAGACGACCCAGTGGAAGAGGATGACATAGAGGAAATGATGCGCAAAAGCATGGGATTTAGCAGGTTTCGAAGCACAAAGAACACTAAAGTTCCCGGAAACAATGTTTATGGCATACGGAAGGAGAAGAAGACAGAATACCGGCAGTACATGAACCGTATAGGAGGATTCAACCGACCACTCAGCCCTTCAAGGTAGAGGGTGTATGTCTCTTATTATGCCATTCCATCTTGCTCATTCTTCTTTTTTTTTTTTTTTACCCTCCATTTTCTTTTCTTATGAGGGCTGGGACATTTTTCTAGTCTTATTTTGGTAATCTATATGCATTTGAGGAGCACGTTCTTTTGCGATTAATATGAACCTAAACTATTTAGCGAATTTCATCCTTGTACAAACTAGAATTTTAAATGTCATGTTTTGGCCTGATGGTTTCGCTCGTTAATTTTCTACTATGAGCCTTTGGCTCGGCACATGACCACAGTGACGTAGGTATGTCAAAAGGTTCCCCTCGCCATTACCTGAGACAACTCTGGACTCTTTCAACTTCACATCATCGCGGTTTCTATAAAAGCATTAGGTTCTGGAATCACACGATACCTCCAGATGGCGCCCACTAGCCCACGCCGTGAAATTGTAATAGTTGGTATGTTACTGCTTCTGATTTTCTGGACTTTTTACCCCCACAACACTATCCAGGTTCTGGCTGACAACTCTGCTCAAGGGGGCGGTATCATTGGATGCTGCTCGGCATATTATTTGACAAGGCATCCATCTTTTGACCCATTACGTCATTCAGTGACTCTCATTGAGGCGTCCGAGATTGCAGGGGGGGCGTCAGGCAAAGCTGGCGGCCTTCTAGCATTATGGGCATATCCTAGCGATATTGTACCATTAAGCTATAAACTGCATGCTGAACTGGCCAAAGAGCATGGGGGAAAATATCGATGGGGATACAGAGAAGTCTCTTGCGGGCAGCTCATCGCAAGAGGTCGTCCACTAAGTGAAAAGAAGGAAGCGGCCGAAGGGGAATCTGGGAGTTTGGTGTCACTACAAAAGCGGAATGCTGCCGCTAAGGCTCAACGGACAATCCCCACAGCTCTACCAGATCTTGATTGGATTGAACGGGACCTGATGAGAGGATACGACAGTATGAGCGAGCCTGGAGAGACTGCTCAAGTTCACCCGTACCTCTTTACTACATCCATCGCGAAACTTGCCGAAGAGAAGGGCGCGAATATCACCTTTGGATCAGTCTCAGGGATCGGCTATGCTGGAGATGCCGTCCAGTCGGTTACCTACACGGACAAAGCATCAGGCGAATCACGCACGATTCCCGCCACAGACGTGGTAGTTGCGGCCGGCCCGTGGACAAGATCGGTTTTACCAGAAGCTCCTATCTCGGCAACGCGTGCCCATAGCGTCGTGATTCGACCTACGAGACCAGTCAGTGCTTATGCTTTGTTCACCAATATAGAAATACCCACCAATTTCGACCCATCAAAACACTCCCACCCAACAGTTGCGAGACCGGAAATTTATGCTCGTCCTGACAATACGGTATATACCTGTGGTGAAGGTGATCACGTTGTACCACTCCCAGAGACGGCTGCCGATGTCGAGGTTGATCAAGCGCGATGCCAGGATATCATCGACCACGTTGGTAGTATCTCCGATGAGCTACGTGATGGCCAGGTCTTAACACGTCAAGCTTGTTATTTACCCAACGTGGAAGCCGTACGCGGAGGGCCATTAGTCGGTCATGCTGGAACCAAGGGATTGTATATTGCTGCAGGTCACACCTGTTGGGGTATTCAAAATGCCCCGGGCACTGGCAAGCTGATTAGCGAATTTGTGTTTGATGGAGCGGCCAAGAGCGCAGATATTGAGTCCCTTGATCCCAGAAACTATCTTTAGAATAGACCTTTTGTATCTATATCCACGGGGTGTAATACAACGGGTGTGATTGAATGGCGTTCATTGCAGCCCGGGTTTACAGAGTAACTCTAGGTGACAACAGAGAAAGCATAATATATGTAATGTCTAGTTAGTAACTATAGTCTTTCCACGCTACGAGTATTGTCTACATATCCCCATCAACAGCACTGTTACTTGGAGGGTTTTTAAGTCAAACAAAGCTGCTATGGTACATACGTATACTAAATCCTTCCCGGCTTCCTAGCGTAGCACTTTCTTCCATTTTGATTTTCTGCAAGATAGAGACTACATTTACCTTTGAAGTTATACAATAGATGATTTTTCACCGTAAGCAAATACGGCGACAATACATAGGCTGATGGTCTATTTTATATGGCGCCGCTCAATCACAGAGAAGCTTAATATTTTATTTTGTTGTTCGCTGATTCGAACAGATGTAGTGGAATGATTTTTTTTTTTCTGAGTCTACCCAGCATATCAGAGAGTAGGATAATTAAATCTGTGAGTAAAGCATATTACGTAGTCTGGAGTAATTGAGCAGAAGCATGAGCGAGAGCTTGGACCATGTTACTGGGGAGTGTCGAGCTCAGTCATGACAGATCGATAATTAAACCCCAACAACAATCTGCCCCATCGTAAAGAGAGCGACACGGCGTTCAGTCATTCTCTATGGTTGCTCCTCGACCTTCGAGGCTTTCATTCCTTTTTTGATGCATCTCATTTGAAAATATGCATCTCTCCAATTTTTTCTTTGTTGTATCCCCATTGGCTTGGTCGCTTGGGGTTCTTGCTGCTCAAGCTCCGGCCGGCGACGTATCTATCCTGGCCAAAGAGGCCGCAAGGGTCAATAACCAGTCGCTGCTATGGGGTCCTTATAAATCGAACCTTTACTTCGGAGTCCGTCCTAGGATTCCGAACAGTCTATTTGCTGGATTGATGTGGGCGAAGGTGGATGATTTTGCTACAGCGCAACAGAGTATGTTCTCCCTCCGGCATAATATAACCCTAATTGCTAGGATTTGCCTCTATTGTTACTTTGCATGGTATATCTGCTGATAATGGTGTGCAAGACTTTAGGCATACGTGCGAGCAAAACGAAGGAATGGCTGGCTATGGCTGGGATGAATACGATATCCGGAACGGGGGCCGTCAAACAATTCATGATGCTGGAAATTCACTGGATTTGACAATTGATTTCATTAAAGTTCCTGGAGGAGAACACGGAGGCAGCTGGGCTGCCCGAGTCAAGGGCGTACCTCGCGATGACGCTCCCCCTGACCAACCTACAACCGTCATTTTCTATGCTGCTTTAGAGGGACTCGGCAACCTACAAGTCGATACCAAACTCGAAGATCCACGTGGATTTGAAAGCAATGTGAAATTGTCTGGCTTAACACCTGGTCTGGGTGATTTCACCATCGATGTGACCGCCGGCCCCGAAAGCAACGAACATCCGGAACACGATCACCCAAGCTACGAGGATAAGCCATTGGATCGCACCTGGGTCTCTAGTTCTACTATCCCGTCGGAGCATGTCTGGCAAACAAAGGGTTAGTTTAACGGTTTGATTTGCACCGTATTGCTACTTGGTGCTAATACAATATATAGTGGTTCTATTCTCGCAGATGAAGGGGGAAGTTAACAAAATCATTCAAAAGTACGGAGCGGAGAATCCTCCGCCACCATCTCAGGTATTTACCATTAAGAACGTGCCAGGTGAAGGGAACCTCCATCTTGTGCAAAAGGTTTTCAAGGGCGAGTTTGAGGTATGGACCATGGTTGCTGTTATATTAAAGAAAGTACCTGACAACAACCAGTTTGATATTTTATTTACTTCTGGCTCTTCGCCTAAGCCGTTGACATGTGAGCCGTCACCTTCTCGAGCCTTTTCTGCCATGCAGTCAATGCTGACCTATATTGCCATAGCCGAGAGCCTGACCGCACAAATACCAAGCAACTCACTGTCTTTCGCCGATAGATTTGAGAAAATTCTTCCTCCGCAATCTCCTTTCGACTCTAAGGAGTACTCGGGATTTTCAAAGTCGATGCTCTCGAATCTTGTCGGTGGCATAGGCTATTTCTATGGAACAGATATTGTTGATCGTTCAGCAGCACCAGAATACGACGAGGAGAACGAAGGCTTTTGGGAAGAGACGGCGGAAGCGAGGGCCCGGGCTCATACCGTCCTTGAAGGGCCAAAAGAACTCTTTACCTGTGTTCCCTCCCGCCCTTTTTTTCCGAGGGGTTTCCTGTGGGATGAGGGTTTCCACTTGATTCCTGTCCTTGAATGGGATACTGATCTAGCGTGAGTTATCGCTTGGAATTGTTACTTTTTCTGATATACCTGCTGCCTTTCTCTTTGTGGTATAGGAGCACATTTACCATGGTTGCTGACTTGCATTCAAGGCTCGAGATTGTCAAGAGCTGGCTCAATCTCATGGATGAAGATGGCTGGATTGCTCGAGAACAAATTCTGGGCTCCGAGGCCCGCAGCAAAGTTCCGCCAGAGTTTACCGTCCAATATCCCCACTACGCCAACCCGCCAACTCTTTTCGTCATACTAGAGGCCTTCATTGACAAACTGGGCGCTAATAAAAATACATCGTCTGAGGAATCCGAGACCGATGCAACGGAACTCTTGCGGTCAGTTTATATACAACAACCGGAGTTGGGTAAAGCCTACATTCGCTCAATCTACCCGCTACTCAAGAAGCACTATTTCTGGTATAGAGATACGCAGAGAGGAGACATTAAATCCTATGATCGCGAGGCATTCTCCACCAGAGAAGCATACCGCTGGCGGGGACGATCTGTCCAGCATATTCTTACCTCTGGGTTGGATGATTACCCTCGGCCTCAGCCCCCTCACCCGGGTGAGCTTCATGTAGATCTTATCAGCTGGATGGGCATGATGACTCGTGCTCTCCGTCGTATTGCAGAGGCACTGGAAGAAATCGAGGATGTCGAAGAGTTCAAAGTCTACGAAACAGCCATTGAACGGAATATTGACGATCTTCATTGGGATAGCCAAGAACAAACTTACTGCGATGCAACCATTGACGAGTTTGAAGAAAGTGTTCACGTTTGCCACAAGGGGTACATCTCCATTTTCCCTTTCTTGACAGGCATGGTTGGCCCCCGCAGTCCTCGGCTTAAGGCTATTTTGGACTTGATCAACGACCCCGAAGAACTATGGAGCGATTATGGTATCCGCAGCTTAAGCAAGAAGGATGCACTATATGGAACGGAAGAGAATTACTGGCGAAGTCCTATCTGGGTCAACATCAACTATCTTGTGTTTAAGAACCTTTATGTTAGTGACGTATTCCCCCCAATAAGAAGCTGGATCGGATCTGACTGTTTCAATCTAGGACATTGCTACCACGGCTGGACCCCACCAGGAACAAGCCCGTGAGATGTATTCCAATCTGCGAAAGAACGTGGTAGAGAACGTCTTCCGAGAATGGAAGGCCACAGGATTCGCCTGGGAGCAATACAACCCGGAGACAGGCCAAGGACAACGGACGCAGCACTTCACCGGTTGGACCAGTATGGTGGTGAAGATGATGTCCATGCCTGATCTTCCTGCAAGTAAAAAGAGTGGTCATGATGAACTATAACGGAACCACAAACTGATATATATAGAACATGGTATAGATTAGGGAACTTTCTTGAATAGCGGTACACTGTCATTTGCCCTTAAAACGCCCAACACCATGTAATACCAAAGTCATGATAACAATTAAGACTATCGCCGACGATAAGAGTCAAAGTCCCTTTCGAGCGTATGTGGACTATGATTGCGGTCCCGCCTCCTATGCTCATCGCCTCCTCTCCGGTCTCTGCTCCTAAACCGCGAGTGTGAGCGTCTTCTCCGGCGATCTCGATCTCGATCGCGCGACTGAGACCTGGATGTGTGTCTCTGGCTCCTGTGATGGCGATAGCGTTCATCTCGATGCCTACGATGCCTGTGCTCTCGCTCTCGGTCTCTATGGCTGGTGCGATCTCCCTTTCGATCCCTTCCTGGACTCCTGCTACGTCCATTCTTCCGTCTCCGCTCATCTCGTGGGGTTGAATCAAATCCGACTTCTTCAAGCTTATCACTCTCACTAGCTCCAGGCAACGAAGCACCTCCACCCTGAAAAGAGCCATACCCGACACCCTTTCCAATGCCCTCATCGGGTAAATCTTCACCAGCTGTTGTGTCTCGAATTGCTCTTTGGATATCATTCTCCCCCAATGGAGTCAAATTTGCGTTGGAAGCTGCACTCTTCGGGGGTACTGGAAGGCCCAGAGCTCGTGCCATTGCTTCTTCTTCAGCTTCCTTGACACGCTTTTTCTCTTCACGCTCTTTCTGGGCTCTTTTCGTATCGTTGTCGTCCGATCTCGTATACCAAAACAGATCTCGGCCATTTTGCCAGCGACCAACAGGCGCCATAACAGAATGGCCCAGATAGTTCTCTCGGTGTGAGGAGTCTTTAACATCTGTCCATTTAAAATCACCGCGGCCGCCGCTGTAAGAACCAATGAATGTGTTATTAGCATCCCTTGTAAAATAAGTATAATTTATTGTAGGAGACAAGTACTTACCGGCTGCCTTCTTTGCGGACACCAGCGACGAGATCCATCGTGACCAGATCTTAGTTCGAATTATGCTAGTGGGGAACGAGAGACGAAGCCAGAACATGATAACGCAGAGCACCAAAGCTCCAGCACGTGGCACGTGCGCTCCGCGGCCTGAGGCGGCGACTGGCGCGAATGGCGCGACTGACTTCATCGCCCATCTCAAATGGGCAAACCTCATCGAGCGTCCAAACTTTCGGAGATGAGGTTTGTACTTTCTGGGTTCTTCTCTCCATGGATTGACCATGCTCATACTCAATGGGCTCCAAATTCGAATCACCTCCTGGCTCATATGATGTCACTTTGCTTTTGATACATATGCCCCTCGTGTGTTACTGACAGCAATTCTCCGTCTTCATCGACTTGATTTTTGATTACTCACTGCTACTCCTGATTCAAACTTCAAGCTGCTGGTGTTGGCTAATTGCTTAGAGACACTGGTCCCGTCAGAAGTGAGAGTAGCAATGGCGTTCAACCATAACGCCAGTAAAAGGCCTGGACGGCAGACTCACACCCGGGAAGGCTTACGTCTCCGGCCACTAAATATCGAGAAAGGAGATAAAAGAGTGCGTATATTTCGTCTTACTCTGTAGAGCTTGAGCCTAGTCTAGCTATAGGTGTGGATCGACTGACGTTTCCATCAGTTTTCCCTGTAAGGCCCCTCTCAACGTCCCTGGGAACGGTCAAGCAGGTCGACAAGACAGTCCAGACTGAACAGCTTTTGCAGAGCAAATGATTCATTTCCTCCTCAGACTGCAACGTGGCGAAACAATCTCGTATGTCCATAACCCTTTTACGCTGGGAGTTTACGCCTACCTGTAACTGATTTGATGTAGATCGCACTTTCCCAACGTCGAAACCTCCTCTTTGTCGCCTATAGCCGCCAAATATATGTTTGGGAACCGGCTGGGTCGTTTCAGGTTTTGGGGTCCGTCCCTCTAATGATAATCTCCCCTGTCATGAAAGATCCCGATAACAGTGGTTACATTTCCCCTAATAATCCTCATGCAATCAACAATATCCTTGTGGACGATCTTGGCCGGGAAGAAATCCTCCTACTCGTTACCGATTCAGGAAATGTCTGTGGCTACCGAACTGAGGCCATTTTCTCGGCCATAAAGCGGGCTGCAGAGAACGGAGAAAATCGGCCAGTTGACAGCTCCCAGGTGGACCCTTTCTTTGTCGAGTCCGTGGATGCCAGTGCATGGGGCCTGGCGATTCACAAGTTCGCTCGTCTAATTGCTGTGAGCGCGAATACGGGGCTCGTTACTGTTTTCGCATTTGCGCTTGTTAGTTCCGCATCTACAGGAAGCAGTGACTCCGGTCAGCGACTGGAGGAAGCCGATGACTTGTGTGACTACGGCCAGACTTGGCTACATATAACAACGAGCGAGCAGTTCGTGCAGCTACGACATGTGATGCCAGAGAAGCATCGCACGCGTAACATAAAACTAACTTACACGGGTCACTATGCAAACATACCCTCGGTTTCTTTCCTAAATTGCGATCTTGACCCCAATGGCACATGGATGGTTAGCACTGATATCGACAATAAGCTTCTGGTCTGGAAGGTTTGGGAGAGTCTTGGTCCGTTCAATGTGTATCATTTCAACGACATTGGCTTCAGATCTTTCCATGACACTCTGCGTACTGAGTAAGTTGACCTCTCTTTTTCGCCTGCTTTTGTAAAGGGCCCATCTCCAAATTTATAACATCCACTACGTTCCTCCTACTAACTGACGTAGTAGTGAGCGTGGCTGGTCTGTTATTGCGCTTGACCCGCGCTCCTTTCACCTACTCAAGTCCACCGAGGAGGCATGTGGTGGTAGGCCTCAGCGTCGAGTAAAGGACAGCCAACCGATATTCGACCTTACAAAACTAAGCAGTCGAGTGCCGAATGCTTCACGACTATATAACTATTTCCCTCCTGCAGTGAAAGTTGAGCCGGAACGGCTAATCTTACCAGACATTTTTGGGGCAGATTGTCTGATTAACAAGGAAAGTGGTGCCCTACAGGATATAGGCTGCTCCGCATCCTCAGAATCCGGCGGTAGCACAGAATCCAACAAATTCCACACAGCGGCCGGTAGCCTGCGCCCTTCAGACTCAGCTGATGCATTTAGTCATCGTGCGGTTGATGGCTCTGTCTATGAGGAAACCATGAGCCAAGACAGTTCTTCTCATGGAGACGAGGACTTGGAGCTGCAACAATCATCCAGTCAAGAGACAGGGCAGCACAATGAATCAGACCAACATACCGGCAATTTGTCTCTTCAAAGACGCCGAGGCCCTTTGACTACACCAGAGTTCCTTCAATTTGCGCTTCTAGAAGCTCTTGGAGGTGATATTCCCGGTGCCGAAGAGCTCCTGGACGATTATTCAGGCATAGTGGAGGATAACCTTTCTGATGACCAAGAGATGGAAGATGAAGAGCCATCAGTAGAAGGAGCAGTCGCATATCAGGTCTTTGATCGTATGTCACGTAATGCCTTCCCTGATGATGATGCTGGATTGCATGGGCGGATGGAGGCGCTAACAGGTCTTCCACCGACTCCAGCTCCAGCTAATTCGAACTTTCCCATCCTCCACTTCTCCCAAACGGACATTCGACTCATTGCTCATCCATTTGCCCCCCACGCAAGCGTTGTCTGCGGAGCACCACTTCGACAGCCATTCACTCACCCTATCGTATCAATCCGAGCCTGCGATCGCTTCAACATGGTCAAATACATTCCTGAGCACGGTATCGTTGTGGCTGCCTCTCAGAAAGGCCGTGCAGCGGTGATTGCTCTGACCGAATCCGAAAGCGCCGGCCTCACATTCCGAGTGGACTGGATAGTCCCATTCGAGAGCCAGGAAAAGTACGGCGACCGTCCTCTCACCCCTCTGTTAGGCATGGCTGTGAGTCCAATCCAGGGGTTCGAGATGCCACCCGACGTGCCATTTATTCCACGCGACCTAAGCGACAATGACTTGACATTTCGCTATCAACACATATTGGACGACGAAGCGGACAATATCTCTTTCGCAGGGAGGTCGGCCGATCGCTCGTTTAGCGACATACGCACTCCGCCCGATCTTCTTGGCCCCAGTAAACGTCAGACATCGACACATGTGTTTAACACCAACGATGAATCGGTAGAGGAACACAAGCATCAGAGTTCCCCTACTGTGCCAGAGTGTCACGCTAGGGCAACACGCACTTATCAACCAGAGGAGCACTGGCGTGGATGGAGCCCATCTCGACGCTATCGTTTGCTCCTAATGTATGCAGATCATACAGTAATGAGTTACGAGTTTTGGTATAATTGGAACACTGCGAGCACGGAAGATAGTGAAAACGACGAAGACGAATTCCTTATTGTTTAGGAGGCATTGACCAAGAGATTATCACTGTTGTTGGAATGTTTTATTCATATAATTGAACACTAACAATGTATCAAACTTCCAGTCAAGGCACTTACGTCTGGAGTTGAGAACTGAAGATCTAGGCCCAGCTGACTACTATGAACCAATTAAATTACCAATAAAATCAATCTTGTCAAACTATTGTCGTATATCTCGCTCTCCTCGGTTGTTTGAATCGTAAATCACTCATGTACACATCCAATTTCACTCGAAATACCTGACACAGTCTATCAAAGCCAGCACAGTAAATACTGGAAACTACTCAGCTCGCTAACCCAAATGCAATATCATCATCGTCGTAAACGTATGTGGCAATACAGAGAGAAAGAGGGTAGTCCCTTCAACTTCAACCCTATTAAAGGTGCAGTCATGGCAAACATTAAAATTCATCAAGTTCGTCACTGTCCCATTCATCCTCTCGGTCATTCTGAACCAATTCCAAGAATCGCTGAAGTCCTAGATTCCTGACCTGTTCTGGTGGGACCTGTCCATTTTCATGGGCCTGTTGCCGGGGTCGTTCAGCACCAGCACGAGCTCGGACTTCAGCCATCGCTTGTGCCTGGGCTTGTATCTCTGCGGCCGCGGCCATGCCTGCCGCATCTAAGCCATTCGCATCTGCCCCGCCCGCACGCTGTCTAGGACCACCGGCGCCTTGATTGACCCGTGGTGGTGCGGGAGCAGGCGGCGGAGGTCGTCCTCCTCGTCTGATGTCGTTGCCGTCGGGGAAACCCCATCCAGGTTGGTCTTCCTCATCAGTATCATCGAAGTCAGCCAATTCGTTTGGGAACCGATGTAGAGCCTCTGCTCCCTCCGGGTTGATGCCGTCGCCTCCCTCCATGTCCCAGAGTCGGTTGAAACATCCGCTATTGACATCATTGAAATGAAAGTAAGGGTTGTCTTCTGCAAGCCAGCTTGAGCAAAGGTAGCAGAAGTGAGTGTTGCATTTAAAACATTTCATGTGATTGCAGCCCATGCGTTTCTGGCAAGGAGCGTCGCAGGCCGCGCAAGGTGAGGTGTAAAGTTTCAAGTATTCCTCCGTGGCTTTCTCTTCCGCAGATAGTTCTGCTTCTCGGCGGGGGAAGCACCGCACCAACTCGCCATGCCATCCTTTCCTGCAGACAATGCAGAAGGCATAATTGCAATCCTCGCAGATAGCCACACGGTCCGCCATCGGAGGCAGCTGAGCCTCATCTCCCAAAGGATCAAACGCAATACCATCTTCATCTTCCTCTTCCTCAGAAGAATCCGAGTCATTTGCCATGGGGTCAACGGGTTTGGGATGTTTCTTCGAGCGAGCCGCGCCCTGGCACCATTGCCGGGGACAATACACTGTTGATTTATCCGCCTCCAGTTTCTTCTTCCGCTTCAGGAAAACATACCGCTGTACGGTGTCTTCCCCTAACGGAATCTGGAGAAGCTCACTTGGACTCAGTGTTTGGTCATTCTTTTTCCGTTTCTTGCCTTGACCCTCTACATTAGACATGGATTTCTGTACCTTGCCACAATCAGGTGCCAGGCATTTGACGCTGTCCACATCACCCTCCGTGATACAAGTGTTGTAAAATTCCTGCAGACATGGCACGCAAAACACATGAGAGCACTGGAATAGCCGATGGCAAATGGAGCCTTTCTTCGGCTCTAGGCAAACCCCGCACTCGAAAGTCTCCTGTTCAAATTTTTCCCTTTCGGCCTTATTATTAAAATCCAGCATAGCAATTTTAAGCTCTCGCGGAAGCAGTAACTCGCCACCTGAAAGGTCCTGAATCCCGAACGATGTGTCAGCTAACTGTTGAAGATGATCAATGTAAGTATATATGACCAATTCCCTCCCACATTCCTCCCAGAGGCGCTTACCATCGTCCAAAAGCTTGGAAACGACGGACAAGGGCAGCCATGATGGGTTGGTACTGATTCTTAGAATGGGCGGCTGTGCGGATGGATAGCCTTCGGGCAGATCGATTTCGAGGTGTATGTGAGGAAGATGCGGGAGGACATGTAGGTCGTCGTCAGCCTTCGTTGCAGATACAGGACCAGTTTCGTCAGCACCCAGAGGTACTGGAGAAATCAAGACGGTTGGTGGACCGGCTTCTGCATATTGCTGAAAGCGAACCCGGAGGGGTGTCGCAGGCCTGACAGGTATGTGTAATGACGCCCGGAAAGGTGCTGAAGGATCAATCTGGATTTCCGGGTAGATGGCTTCAATAGATGACAGCTCCACCAAACGATCGTCATCGGGCAAATCCTCGGGGTTTGCCATGGTGACGAAGGCAGCCCCAGTCAAGAGAGCGAGAGGATTCAAATTCTCGACGAGTGGTGGTCGATGTGGTATTAGTGAAAAATTAAACGCTTCAACAAACTCTTGATATAATCATAATACACGGGGAAACATCAACAATATTGTGCTATCAGTGACATTCATTCCTTCGAGGGGATCGACGAGAAGATATCACCCGAAGTGAAAGTGGCGGGGAAAGGAAGAAAGATAATATCACAATGACAGGGGTGAGGTCCAAGATAACTAAACCAACTAGATTATTCTATGGTCAGCGTTTCCGAGAATGGCATGTGGCGAGGAAGGACGAGCCGTACCACAGAGTAGTGATAGTAAAAGACCCTTGATAGATCACGGGGGTGAGGAAACTGTTAAATAATAGAATCTGTATGAAACAAGCCAATACTGCGCTGGTCGAGAGTGGGATTGGAGATATGATGGGAAGCGCGTCATGGTTTGACTAAGTAGGTATGAGCAATAGTAGTGAGTTGGAATAGAGTCAAAGGATTCCAGAGAACAAACACAGAGAGTAGAGGGGGTTAATGTACCTTTAAGGACACCTATAGGGAGGTGAGAACAGATATCTATCAAAAAACGATGAACACAATAAGACTGTGTATGAGAAAGAACTAAACGACATCAGGCATTGAGTTTTGGTGCCCAGTGATTACTTATTTCTGTCAATGTGATCCTGGACTGAGGCCCGCTTCCCTTCCCCTCCATCCCCTCATTCTTCTCGCCGCCTTTACGCTATTTCCGCCCGGCAGTTTCAAAGCGGCGACCGTTATCGACTCTTCCAAAAAGATACCACGATTCTCCGCAACCACGGGATCCTGTCGAAAGAACCATGGCCCTGGCCCTGGCCCTTGCATCGCTATAGCTGATGGTCCCTCAGTAATGTCCTAGATTTATCTGTCTTGTCTTATTCTTCCCAAACCATCTACCCCAAACCTGTGAACACCGATTAGAGAAGGAAAGCACAAGGAGACCTCCTACTGAAGCTCTTGAGCGTGTAGAATTCAGTATGGGGGAAACTCCTGTTGTCTCGTTCTCATTGACCCACGTACATTATGTGAGTATCCTTCCCATTGAAGACTGTCTGGGTCAGATTTCGTCGGATATGAGGACGCCGAAGAACTAACGAAAGCCTGTACTCCTTTGTGACAGAACCCCAACGACCCCCTTTCCTTTATCTCCGCTTGGCTCGCTCTCGTACCACAGGCACTATGTGTGGCCTATGTCACCCTTATTTGGTCTTCGAGGGAAGTGGAGGTGCTCCTGATGTTTGCTGGTCAGATGGGCTGCGAGGCATTAAACTTTATCCTGAAACGGATTATCAAAGAGCAGCGACCAAAACGTATGTGGAGTGGGAGAAGACATGGCTTGTCTATATGATCTTGCTAATATATATCCGAGTTTCTAGAAATGTTCGGTAAGGGTTACGGTATGCCATCGTCCCATGCCCAGTTCGCGTTTTACTTTGCGGTATATCTGGCACTTTTTCTTCTTTTCCGGCACGCCCCGACTCTCCCTCCCTCCGAAGCAAAGCTCCGCTTCTTTATCCGGTTAATGCTTGCCCTGGGAGCATGCTTCGGCGCTGGCGCCGTGGCTCTCAGTCGTGTCTACTTGAACTACCATACCCCAAAGCAGGTGTTGGTAGGATGTATCGTTGGAGTTGGATGTGCCTTCGCTTGGTTCCTTGCAACCGAGATTCTTCGCACGCAAGGGTGGATTGACTGGACGTTGGATCTGGCAATGCCCAGACTTCTGAAACTACGAGATTTGGCGGTAAGTGAAGATATTGCTGAGGCTGGATGGCAACGGTGGGAAGCGAGACGGAAGTTGAGACGGCGAGGACATAGTGACCATCTGCCACCGAAGTCAGATTGATCGATTTCCGGTACTTCAACTGCTTGCTACTTTTGGGTGTTCCCAAGCTGGTGAAGGAGGTCTGCGATTGGTTTGGTTTATGATACCCCCTCCTTGGTTGTTCTTATTCTTTGTCATAGATGTATCCATTATACCGTAAGCGTCTGCATGAAGGTTTTAGACAGCTCGTGAATTCCTGGCTTGACCTCTATCTTTATGGGTTAGTCGAGTTGCTAATAAATGTACATTTGATGATTAATTCGTAGCTGTTGGGTTTGGTAGACTTGAAAAGTAATGGCAATGATGAATTTCGATTAAAATGCTTTCATTGAATTACAGCTCTGTTTCGGTAGCACTCCAGTATGAGAATAAATATATATTCCTGTATACTTGCATCGCATTCTTCTCGGGATATATGGGTTGGAATGACTGAGACACATAGCACACAACATATACCGAGACACCGGACCCTATCAACCAAATAATAATTCCAACCTAATCTTGGAGAAAATAACTTCTCTTCGACATTGGTTGGCCTGGAATCTCGATAACCTATCGCTGCTCTTTGCACGTGATCTCTCTCCCCCGTGGTCACGTTTCCGTGTCCCCCATCGTTGACCACGAAAGCCCACAAAAGATGTTGCCCACGAAAGACGCTTCGTGACGGCCACCAGCAGACACTATGTGTCTTCATCTGGACTGATTATGACGATAGAAGATATTCACGCATTTATGTTACTGCTTTGATAGTGGGCTGACCCACCTTTTTCATCTGTTACTCCTGTATCTTTGATTGATACCCTTGATATTGTTGGTCTGCCATATTTTTTTTTTTTTTTTTTTCTCATTTCTTTCGTTATTCAGGTCTCCTTGCTACCATTTCCCGCTCTTTATACCCCCTAATTTGAGCAAAGGTGTCTGAATTTTTAGTCAGAATGGATGACCCGCCAAGATCTACTGACGCCTCGATGCAAGAACATCATTTTGTAAAGGCAGATGAGGTAGACCAGACCGGTACTGATATCAGCACCGTCTCAGACGAACAGCTAATGGAAGAAGTGGTGGAGAGTCTGCGGCAGGAACAAGCGTCGCAGACAACCTGTGCTTCAAATGAAGGGCCTCCGCAGACCAGAAAAGTGGCCGGGCGCCCAGATCTACGCCGGGATGCTGCGACGGCGGGGGCGCCACCTCCCCCCCGACAACCTCCGCCTCCAGCCCCAGTTCAACAGAGTTCAGAAAGGCCATCGGACTCCCTAAGTCTCGCCCAGCTGAGGCAGCTGGTCCAGGACATGCCGAAGATTGAGCAGCCCGCCTATGCGTTTGAATATGCGGATGCGCAATCATTCGAGGAAGAGATCGAAGAATGGTTCCAGTACAGCGAATTTGATCGTGCTATGCTTCTCGGCATGAAGTCTTCCTTTGAACGGAAGTGGAACGCTTTCTGCGAGTGTGAGCATATTGACTCGCAAATACCATGGACTGATCTGTCCGATTCTCAGCGCAAACCATTCATGGGCCGACTTATCAACTGTGTTAGGAACTGTGATATTTTGATCCGTATCGAAGCCCTAGAAGCTATTTGTTACCTAGTAACTGGAGTCTGGGGAACTACTGCCGGAAAAGCTGCCCATAATGACCATGAAGAAGGCGCTTCTTCTCAGGCTGCATTCGAGGCTTCAAAATTCAAATTACTACAAGTCAGGTGGATGGAGAGCAATGTCAATTTGCTCCATGAGTGCTCAGGCCTTCAGCCATTATTTGAATGTCTATGCCATGTGTTTGAAAAGAATTGCAGCTTGTCCACTGAGACCCATAGCCCGTGCCACGAAGGCGCGGACATAGCGTTCCTTGCTGCCACGGAGCGAGAGGCTAATTTGGTGCTTACAGCATTTTACCTTCTAGTGGAGATCGGCCGGAGGCAGGAGACCCGCAATGCGCGACATACGCCTTTGCGGGATAGTATGATGGCACTGAACCCGAATCTCTTAGTGTTTCTAGTGGAGATCATCGCAAGGCTTCGATGGGATGACTCTACTAATGTTCCGCTTACAAGGATTATTGTTCTGTTTTGGAAGTCTCTTCTTCTCTTCTTTGGAGGTAGCGATAGCCTAAAGAAAGCAAAAGAAGAATTAGAACCAGAGTTTGAGGAGAAGGAGAAATCAACTTCGGGAAGGACTCCTTTCCTTACCGCATCGCCTCTCGACTACCACATCTTTCGACAGGAGATAACGTCTAAATATCCAGCCTACAATCCTCCTCCACCTGTGGTTCCTCTAGAACTAGAGAACAACTCAATCCTTCCTCCTCTTCCTCAACACCCCAGCAGGACGGTGTCTTCCAATAGTCTCTTTTCCGGCGTTGGGCCGTCTGTTGCAGGTGGAAATGGCTCAATTCTTCACCAGTCCGTCCACATTGCCACTCCGGCACCATCTCCTCCGCCGTCACCCATAGGGCCAGGGGGTAAGGCGGGAAAGAAACAAAACTATCAGACTAATCAGAACTTCCCGTTTATGTACCCACCTCTTGATGATTCGAGCAATGATATTGGCGGCAAAGGAACCACTGAACTTCAAGATGTTTTGGTAGGAAAGAGATGGGAAGGAAGTGACGTCCCTACGTCGATTATTGAAGCCGGAAAGCTTTTCTCCTCACATGTGAAAATGACGAGGGCGATGCGGCAACTTTGGGAGGAGCGGGAACGTTTTATGAAATACGACCGTGGCTGGTATTTGGACGACGGTGAACCTCCTTTGGACGAGCGTATCCCTGCCGACCTGGCAGAGGAATTGGAAGAACTGGAACATGCGACGGCCGCCAAGAAGAAGACTAGTGATGACACGTTCCCTGAAAAAGAGACGGACAACGAAGATATCCAACGACGCCTGGATGCGGTCGAGTCGTTCTATGTGAGATCCTTCGCGTAAATCTAATTGTTACACATGACTTACGGTAATCTACAGACACAAGCACTCGTTCATTTACAGTCGATAACTATCGTTTTCCTCAAGATTATCCTGACAAACGTCAGCGCAATGGTTAACCAGGCCAGTGCACAGAATAGCCAGTCCATGAAGTAAGTAGACGCATCCCATGTCCTCCCCCCCAAAACTAACCGGTATCTCTAGCGAGGGCTATGGCTCGGCCAATGGATACGGAAACAATATCGCCGGCGAACTAAATTCCGACGTTGCCATTGACGAACTTGATAATATTCGACTACGAGAGATCACAGGAAAAGCCATATCTGGCTCGTTATTGCTCTTAGTGAAGTGGTTCAAGAGATCTCGTGCGTCCAGACTAGCTCTATACTTTTCGCGTGGCATGGAGTGTTAACAAGCCTCAGATATATTGAAGTTTGAATATTTGAATCAGCTGTTGCTAGATTCTAACTATCTGCCCCTGATACTGAAGATGTTCGCGCACCAAGATGTTGATCAAGCGGTCGCGCAGAAGAATGACCGTGAGGAGTTAGGGTAAATGACATCCCACCGTTAAGGTTCACTGAGAAAATACTGACAGAGAGCAGCTTCTTTCACTTCTGCCATGTACATTCGGAACAACCACCTCAGCAAACCGAACATTCGGAGGAGTCTAGTGACGACGAAGCCGTACCACCCCCGATCGCCCGGCACCGTCAGGATGCTGTTCCCGGGAGAACTTCGGTACGCGCGCCATCCCCCGAAGAAACGACGCCAGATTTTATGCCTCATCGCCCTGAGGTTGACGAGCTAGGGTATCCCACTGCTCCGCCCCCCAAAGAGCCGATCACAGTTTTCTCGTTCCGGAATTTCTTCTCGGCCATCAACTATCTGCACATCATGCAGAAGATCACGCGGGACAAGGCCCACCGGTGTCTGTTACTCGTCCAGTATAAGTCCAGCACGATCCTCCGCAAGGGGCTTAAAATACCGGATCCTCATTTGCGGTTCTACACTCTCAAACTGTTCAAATCCCAGGTCCCTTACTGTGGTCGGAAATGGCGTCAAAGCAATATGCGCGTGATCACCGCCATTTACCTGTACTGCCGACCGGAGCTGCGGGATGACTGGCTAGCGGGATCCGATATTGATGCCGAGGTTGAAGAAGCCCTGCCGTTGGAGCAGGCGCTCCGGGGCATGACGCACTGGTGGCATCTGCGACGGTATAAGGACGTCATGGGTGGCGAGGAGGGTGCCTCCATCATGGAAGAGGAGCGAGACTACTTTGTGCGGGAATTGGAATCGATGGGATGGGGGTTTGCAGGAGACGAAATGGTCAATGGAATCAGTGAAGAAGAATTGGTGGCTGCTGGCGGGCCTTTACCAAATGGGGCCGAATGGGAGGGAGGCCCCCTACCGCTAGAAGGCTGGTAGGAAAGGAGGAATAGCTATGAAGATAGTGATTCCGACACGTATGTATGTACTATCAAATAGACAAACCAAACGTTGGGATACTGCAATGCCAATCGATGATACTATGAACTGTATTTGTTTGGAAGAGACTTGGATTGGAAAACTGCCAGCCTTAGATTGGTTCCTGGCGGCGATAAGGATAAATGGGGGGGCTGATCTTATCGATATATGGAGAACACGTGATTAAGTACTGCGGTAACTCTTTTTTTTTTTTTTTCCCTCTCCATTCGGCTTCGCAGAGTCTGTCCATTGACCCTCGATCCTCCCAACCACGGTCCATCACGGTGACCGGGTGTGCTGAAAATGTCATCGGATGAGATTGTCTGGCAGGTGATTAACCAGCAATTTTGTTCTTATAAGCTCAAGTAAGTTTCTGGTGATAGATCTGGCGGTTTCCTTGAAATGGGTGACAAACAGACCAAGAAAAAAAATAAAAAAAAAAATAAAAAAGGACTAGTTCAAAAAGGGTTCTGGAATATGGAAATAGAGAACTGATTTGGTATTTTCTTTTACAGAACCACCAAGGAACAAAATTTCTGTCGAAATGAATACAATGTCAGCGGACTTTGCAACCGGCAGTCATGCCCACTGGCCAATTCACGATATGCCACGATCCGATCCGACCCCGAGACGGGGGCGATGTATCTGTACATGAAGACGGTGGAACGGTCACATATGCCCAGCAAGTGGTGGGAGCGGATCCGGCTGTCGTCGAACTACGCCAAGGCGCTCGAACAGGTGGACGAGCGACTGATTTACTGGCCTAAGTTCCTGGTGCACAAGTGCAAGCAGCGACTCACGCGATTGACACAGGTGGCGATTCGCATGCGGAAGCTGGCCCAGGAAGACGAGCGATTGGGCGAGAGAGTGGTGCCGAAACTGGCCCCGAAGATTCGGCGAAGAGAGGAGGCCCGTGAACGCAAGGCGGAGTCGGCGGCCAAGGTCGAGCGAGCGATCGAGCGGGAGCTGATCGAGCGTCTGCGTAGCGGTGCCTACGGAGATCGACCGCTGAACGTGGAGGAGGGTATCTGGAAGAGGGTGCTTCGGGGATTGGAGCGCTCGGGTGAGGGAGAGCGTGATGAGGACCTGGATGACGGGGAACTGGTGGAGGACGAGGAAGAGGGTGTTGGTGAGGTGGAATATGTGAGTGATTTGGATGATGAAGAGGACCTGGAAGACATTGAGGATTGGTTGGGTGGGGAGTCCGCGGACTCTAGTGACGACTATGACGACGATGAGGACGAGGATGAGGACGATGAGAGTGGGAGCGACAGCGATCAGCAAGATGGGAGTTCCTTCAGCGACGAAGAGGAGAAGAAACCCAGGCCTGGATTCAAGAGGAAGCGTCCTGCTCCCCAGGTTAAACCCCGGAAGAAGGGAGCCCGGATTGAGATTGAGTATGAGACGGAGGGATTGGGCAAGGAGAATGTTCTTGCATGAGGTGGAAGAAGAAGAAGAAGAAGAAGAAGAAGAAGAAGAAGATCTGATGATCGTCAAAACTAGGAAAAGAAAAGCATCTTGGGTCTGTTTTCATCCACGGCGTTTGTTTGGTTTCATTGAATCCATTGTGTTTTGCCGCGATGGGTACCCTTGCATAATGTCTGCCTGTCTGTCTGTCTATAGTCGAAGGCTCCGGCCTGCAGAATCTTCCACAATACAGAAATAAACATGATAAATATGATCGACCTCCTGGTCTATTCGAAATAACTTTCTATATAAATCACGTTGGCGATGGTCACGAGGCTCACGTGCGGCGGTGAAACACGGGACTTCCGCTTCGTCAATTCGAATCTCCGTTCGTCCTCTCTCTATTCCTCACCCCCCAGTTTGCCCTCAGTTTTAATCCAGGGGCTATTTCCTTTCATTTCCTTGTTTATTCAAGAGGATACAGTGCCCATTTAGTTTTCGGCCTCTCCATCGCCCGCCTTTCTCCAGTTGTCGTCGCGTTACTAATCCACCACTTCCAGCACTACTACAACTTCCACCCCCTCCTTTCACTCAACTCACCAGATTAATTCAGAGTCTGTTGTCTGCGAACGAAGTAAGATGTTCTCCTCCCTGACCTCTTCGGCCGCCATATCGAATCTTGGCACACGACTGAATTCGTTCCGACGTGCCATCACCTTGGGTGACGAGGCGGACGATCCCGACCATGAGGACTGCTCGCATATCTCCAACGTCCTCCGCGCCTATTATACCGAGAAAGGTCGTCCGTATCCCGCCTGGCTTCCTCCCAACCCCAAGGCACCGGCTCCATCGCCAGCCCGGGTCATTGCGACAACCCAGATCCAGCCGGGAGCCGGCAGTACGACGGCCACATCGACATATGGACGCGGTAGCGGGGGAGGATTGGGTGACCTGTGGGGTGACTCGGGTGCATCACAAGCTCCGCCTCCCCAGACGGCGAGTCTCCGACGTGGAAGAAGTGCGCAGGGACCGGCTCTGTCCACGACGACTAGTGCACCAGCCGGGTTTCCCGCAACGTCGCCGAGTCAATCCCCGACGCCGCCCATGTTGCATCCGTCCGGGAGCCGACCTTTACCAAGTCAACGAGCCGGCACGCATCAGCCGATGGGGGGTGCAATGGCAGGAGCACCACCGTTGGAACGAGCAACGTCGGCGCAGGAAAGGCTCCGGGCCAGACTACATGGAGGCCGGTCCCCTAGCCCCGGGCAGAATCCGAACGGTCGGCCCAATTTACCATATTCTGCAGGGGGAGCGGATCCTAGTGCACGAAAACCAATCGGGATGCCTCCGGGAAGAATGCGAGGATAGGAGCGGTGGCAGCTCAGGGTAGAAAGCGTGGAGGGTGGAGTATGGAGAGGGGAGGGGAAGCGAAAAATATCCCTGCGAGGCAGACAGAGAGCGTGTTCTACTGGTCAACTACGACAATCTACGGTCCTATCAATTCCAATCGAGACATACCGTCTTACGTCCACATACGACCTTGCAAGTGCGTCCCACGCTAACAGTGGAGCCCAAGCCTCCGGAGCACGATCTTCACGAGCGACACGACGAATCAGCACCTCGGTTCTTCCGGCACGATCCTAGGAAGGAAATAAATCCCCGGGGACTCACCGAAGTTGCCCCGGGTTCGGCTTCCCTAGTCCCTAATCGATGCACTATCAAGGTTGCTTTCACTCCACGGGGAAACATACCACAGAGTCGGGGAGATCGGCGTCGCTTTACTCTCCTTGCTGCATTTTTTTTCTCATTCCCTCCCCACAGTTGCACCACCTGCCAGACGTGCGCAATGCCCTTAATAACCCCGCCCCTGTCGGGCATTTTTTCGTTCTTTCTTTGTGTTGTGTTGTGCTCTGTTCTTCTTCTTTCTCGTCTGATTTTTCCCTTATCCCGTTGCCCTCTCGTAGTTGGTCTTTCTGGTCCTTCAGTGAGAGACCCCTCCCTATCTGTATACGCTTCTTACCGTACACCATGGGTTCCCTCAAGGATGTCGAGGCCTCCCATGATGACCACAAGGAGCCTGTGGCTCTGGAGATGGACGACGTCTTGAAGGATCCCAGGGCTGCCACCGAGCTCAACGAAGCTGCTATGGACTTCGAGATTCAGCAGTTGGAGGAGCAGCTGCGGGAGCTGAAGCAGCCTCGCTTCCTTTTCACCTTGTCCAACCCGGCATATTTCACCTATATTCTGGTCGCCTTTGCCTCCATGGGAGGTCTGCTCTCGGGTCTGGACCAGTCCCTGATCAGTGGTGCCAATCTCTTCATGCCCGGCGACCTGCACCTGTCCGCCAGTCAAGGGAGTTTGGTGAATGCCGGTATGCCCCTGGGGGCCGTCGGCGGTGCTCTTGTCCTCTCGCCGGCCAACGAGCTACTGGGTCGTCGCATGGCTATCATTGTATCTTGTATCCTCTACACTATCGGTGCCGCCCTGGAGGCGGGTGCCGTGGACTTTGGCTTGATGTTTGCCGGTCGGTTCATCCTGGGTATGGGGGTTGGTCTTGAGGGCGGCACGGTTCCTGTCTATGTTGCCGAATGTGGTATGTCTTGAAGATTCGATATCACCTTGGAACGAAAAAGAAACCCCCTAACCCCTCTCCTCTTGTAGTCCCCGGGCGGATCCGTGGGAACTTGGTCTCGCTCTACCAGTTGAATATCGCCCTCGGGGAGGTCCTGGGTTATGCTGTGGCCGCTATCTTCGTGGATGTGAAATCCGGCAACTGGCGGTACATCCTCGGTTCCTCGCTTGTCTTCTCAACCATCCTCCTGGTGGGCATGTTGTTCCTTCCGGAAAGCCCGCGTTTCCTGATGCATAAGGGCAAACCGGTAGAAGCGTATGGCGTGTGGAAGCGCATCCGCGGCGTGGACACACTCGAGGCCAAGGACGAGTTCCTGGGCATGCGGCAGGCCGTCACAATGGAGAACGAGGAGCAGCAGCGCACCAAGAAGTTGGCCTGGATGGACTTCTTCACTAACCCCCGTGCGCGCCGTGCCATGGTCTACGCCAACGTCATGGTCTTTTTGGGCCAGTTTACCGGTGTCAACGCCGTGATGTACTACATGGGGGTGCTGATGACCAAGATCGGATTCGACGACCGCACCAGCGTCTTCATGTCGTTGGTCGGCGGTGGCTCCCTGCTGATCGGCACCATCCCGGCCGTCATGTACATGGAGAAATTCGGCCGCCGCTACTGGGCCAACGCAATGCTCCCGGGCTTTTTCATCGGTCTGGTGCTTGTCGGCGTGGGATACACGATCGACTACGGCAAACACCCCGCCGCCGCCGAAGGAGTCTACCTAACCGGCATCATCCTGTACATGGGGTTTTTCGGTTCCTACGCCTGTCTGACCTGGGTCATCCCCGCCGAGGTCTTCCCCACCTATTTGCGCAGTTACGGCATGACGACCGCCGATACCAACCTTTTCCTCTGCTCCTTTATCGTGACTTACAACTTCACCGCCATGATGAACTCCATGACCCGGATCGGCCTCACCCTGGGCTTCTACGGTGGCATTGCCGCTATCGGCTGGGTCTACCAGATCCTATTCATGCCCGAGACGAAGAACAAGTCTCTCGAGGAGATTGACGAACTGTTTTCGCGCCCAACTTCCTCGATAGTGCGTGAGAATGTGAAGAATACTGCCCAGGTCATTCGAGACCTGCTCCACCTCCGCCTTTGGAAGGTCTTTGTCCCTAGTGCTTAGGAGAGTCTCTCACTGGTAGTGTGTGGAGCTCGAGTTCATCCTTTACAAATTATGTAGCGGTGAAAGAAGCCTGGGGTATGATGAATGACAGAACTTTCTGATTAATACGATCTGTATCTATTATTTTTTTTTTCATGTTTGGAGACTCCTCGATTTTGCTACTCATCGTCAACTGCTGTCCGAAATACGTAAATGGCTAGATATTTTATAATATTTACGATTTTCGTTTATATGATGCTGCTTGTTTGCTCGAATATATATAGAACTAAGACCGTACAACACAGTATAAGTCTTGGGTGTAGCAGTCGAGGAAGAATGACCAAGTACAATGGATGACATTTCAACAGTAGTCTATATTCCAACCGTTATCAGGTGGACAATACAAAATCAGAAAGAAAAAAAGCAAAAGAAGCATAAAGAATCTTCAGTAGGGTGGATGGATAATAAAAAAACGCAAAAAAAAAAAAAATCTTACGAACGATGGTATAGAAGAAAGAAGTGAAGTAAAAAGAAGACAATTGCTCCGAACCAAACTCCCTTTGTATAATGAAACCTCATAAATGAATACAGAATTACAAGAAGAGTACACTTCATCTTTCAGCCGCGCACTTTCCGGTAGCTGGGCGGACTCCAGGATCGTTTGATCAGTTTCCCTGCCCAGACTGGAATCACCGCCACGGCACAGACGGCAAGCACGCGCCAGACCCAGTCCACAGTTATCACATATTCGAGGTCGAAGTAGTTTCCCAGGAAGGGGACGCTGCCGGCGTAGACCAGGGCGGTGCCCACGATACAGAAGATCATGACCGGGTGCCATGTGGTGATGGCGATGGCGACCATTAAAAGCTCGTTGATGACGAGGGCAGTAAAGGATACACTGATAAGTCGTGGTCCAGAGACAGTGTCTAGAAGAATTTGGGAGAGACCCTGGATTAAGGCTCCTTGGTATACGGAGACGAGGACCCAGGTGAAGAACGAGCGGTAGCTTAGACTGCGTCCGGTCTTCAGCTCCTTGTATAGCTCGGGGTATAGGTTGGCTAGGTGTTCATCCACGTCCCGGTCCAACACGAGCGAGAAAACGGGAGCGTTGGTGTAGACGGTGGCATAGCCGACCAGGAGCCAGTTGATGAAGAGCCCCTTGGGGTCAAAATGGCTGGCGATGCTGTACATGGTCTGGCAAGCACTGATAATCAGACCACGGTGCATGATAAATTGCGCCAATTTGGCCGACCGTTTGTACGAGTTGCGTCCGTGCCAGACGAGGAGCTTGGTGAGATGATGGAATTGCGTGATACTGAAGTCGGCCGCTAAGGAAGCTTGACGTCCTTCTTTGCCGACGATCCCGATTCCCACGTCGGCGGCTTGAATCATGGAGACGTCGTTCCCACCATCTCCGATGCAACAGACTCGCTTCTTGGTGTGCTGGCGGATCAGATCTGCAACCTCGGCCTTCTGAGTGGGAGAGCACCGGCAGGCGACAACAGCGGGCAATAGAACGGCGACTGAAATGAAGGAGGTTCGAAATTGGCTTAACATCAGCGCCAATGACTCGCCGTCGATGAGCAGACAGCAGTCAGTCTTGCTGCGCAAGAAATCCAAGGCTTCCCGCGCCGCAGACTTATCTCTGACTTTGGCAACGGTGTGGATATACTGGCCTCGGGAAACCAGTTTGGCCGAAATCGCCACACACCGTGCAGTCTCTACCTTGTCTCCGGTCAACATCCAGATCTTGACCCCTGCGTTGCGAAGAAGCTCCAACGATGGCTTGACATCCCTTTGGAGGCGATCTTCAACTCCCGTTACTCCCAAAAGTTCCAAGTCCCGCTCCAGGTACTCGCTGATCACTTTGGCCATCCCAGCGTCTCGCCCTTGAAGAGCTAACGAAGCATGTCTATACTTCCCACTGAACTCTTGATATTGCTGCGAAGATAACTTTCGCCTCCCAATGACTAGGGTCCTCAAGCCCTCTCGGGCCATGTTGGCGGTCTCTTCGTCGAGCCAGTCGTTTGCCGCGACGATGGTGGACATGACAGCATCTGCACCTTTTTGATAAAACCATATTTCGCTATCTTGCTGCGCCGACTCGAGTATTCCGGCCGCCGTTTCAAACTGTACGACGATCCCCATCCGTTTGCTGTCTGAGGTAAAGGGGAAGATGTCTAAGATGCGGACACGCACCACAACATGTCCCGTGTGGGTTGATTCAAGGACAATGGTTTGTCGGTCACGGTAGGACAGCTTGAGTCCCACTTCCTCCGTGTACCGCACAATGGCAATTTCATCCGGTGAAGAAGCCTGGTAGCTCGTTACCTGCATCCCATCTTCTTCGTCTGTTGTCGGAGTAACATTGTGACAGAGGGCAAGAGCTAGGATAATGTCTCTGACGCGTGAGCCAATCTCCCTCCTTGTACGGGGCGTGGTTCCAGCGCCCGTTGGAGCTCCAAAGACGGCCGAGGCAGTAGTCAAGGCTGGGCCAGCAAAACTTTGCTTGACATACGATGCCACCTCTTCCATCGCATCGTTCGCATATGAGACTGTCCCTACGTGGATCTTTTTCAATTCCATTTCTGCTTATGTTAGCAAGTTGAACTTGTCCAGGAAAACAGCCAGACATACCATTTTGAGTCAGAGTCCCCGTCTTGTCCGAAAGAAGATATTCGATTCGACCAAGGTCCTCGGGGATCGTACTGGTTCTCACCACGGTGTCGGGAATGTCTCGGTCTCGCTCGATGAAGCGGCCGTACACCGATTTCGCCATGTCCAAGTTTACCCGTAGGCTCATAGGGATGATCGTGGAGAACAAAATAAGATATATCATGATGGCAATGTACCACTTCTTATCGTTCGTCGGCTCGAACCCTTGGAGGGCAACCAGAATGATCGATAAGGTCAAAGTGAGAACGCATAGGATCTTGGTCAGATTATTTATTTCATATTCCAACAACCCTACTTTTGAGCGGGACGGGGACGTGGACAGGGCGGCACGGGTCTGGGAGCCAGTGTAGATGATGACGGCGTAGGTGATTGTATTTGATGCGAGAACGGTGTTAGCCCATGCAGTGTTGTCTATCGTTAGAGGAGCCGAGTTGGATAAGGAATGTTCGTTTTCGTAATTTCCTCCCCCATCGGTTTTGTCAACATGGGGGTCATAGAACCCTGACGGAGGCCCCAGTTCGACAGTGCCGACGAACTCGTTGACTTGCTTGTCGGGTGCGCTGGCGGTGACCTTAAGCCTGGTCAAGTCGCTAAGCGCAAGGTTCTGAGAGAGAACGGAGGGCAAGCGCAGTTTCCAATCCGTCTCACCGTCCAGTTGGTCTGTCCGTATGAAGGTATCACTACCAGGCGAGGCATTCGCGTCACCCTCTTTAGCAGTCAAATCAGCACTTGTCTTCTTTGGAGGTGATGATGATGATCCCTGGTCTGACTGAATGAGATCTCCAGATGCCTTGGGACTCGAGTCTGAATGCTGCGCATGGGAGGAGTCATTGGAAACGCTTTTCAGGATTACAACATCGGCAGGCAGTCGTTGATTTTTACGAATTTTCAGGACATCACCAACTTTCAGATCACGAGACTTTTTGGCAATTTCCAATACATTGTCGACATTGGAGTGAGCGCCCCCCGTTGAAGGGACCGCCCTTGCACCAAGTGGTTTGTCGAACGCGAGGATTGAAAATGTCTCCGAATTAGCCTCGGCATCTCTCCTCCGGCGACCAATATCATCCAAGGCTTCCTTTCCCAAAGAAATGGTGACAACAAAGGCCAATGGTGCAATGTAGGACGACATGTAACCTATCCGGAGAACGGGAATGATCTGGGAAAGAGCGACGAGAAGAAAATAGATGTTGAAGAAGAAGGAAAATTCGTTATATAAGGTGCGAGGCAGGAAGCTCCAAGGGGTATACTTCGCGTTGGACACAACATTCGGGGGGTATTTCGACCTCTGGACCTGACCAACGAGGACATCGCGCGGAGGCTTCGGCACTGATTTTTCCCTATCATTTGCCGCTGACCGGCGAGAAGCACCAAATAGCATACTGGCAGCCTTGATCCCTGGGAGCCGAAATCGAGAACTCCTCTGCGGTCCACGCTCGTCGTCTCCCGGTGAGCGGGCCGAACTCCACCTGCGTTCGTTGAGTAGCGGTGCATCGTCATCTGCATATTGGCGGGAGCTCGCATGCGATATTCGAAGTCCGTCGTCGTCCCGATTGTCCAGTAGACCGTCTGTGTCCTCCGATCCCTCCGGTGCCCTAGAGGTTCGTCTCCACATCTTATTCCCAACTCCGACGCGCAGGTTCCTCAAGGCGATCCCCGGGCCATGGCTTCGTTGTTTACCCAGTCCATCCCGTGAAAGTCGAGGGGACTCGTGGGGTGATGCTGTGGTGGGGTCAAGTTCCTCCAAGTCAAGGTCGTCCTCAGAGCCAGAGTCCCCCTAGAATACTGGTCTGGTCGTGCGGTTGTAGATAGTCGGATGATGACGGCATAGTGAAAGCGATATGATAGGTATTTGGACACTGCTTCACAGCAACGGAGAGCGATCCTCAAGCTCCCGGAATAACAACCAAATCTCATTTCACGGCGAGCTGCACCTAGAATATCTCCGAAGGATCATCGTTATGGCTGGTTAGGCGGTATGTGTTCGGAGTACGTCTCCGTGTGTACGGGAATAGATTCGGAGATAGATTCTTGCGACGAGTACCGGATTGAAAATAAGGTCTATGGATGGCGTCAAATATTCCACGATGATCTATCACCGGCTTCTTGCTGGTAGAAAGAGAAGGGGGGGGGTGGTGGTTAGAGACGGCTTGATCATAGTGGCCTAGAAGTTGAGGGAGGGCCGATCACATGATGGAGCCACAAGGCGGGCGACGTGGCTGAGACTCTTCAAGGGGCTATGGAGTACGAATCGGTCTGAAACGGCGATGTCGTTAGGACTAGTTACATATAGTAACTCTATGGAGATGAGGTTCATTTGCCTTGACAGCCAAGGATGATCAACTACATTTCCACCCTATGAACCAGCATCTACACAGTACTCTGTAGTTATTACTCCGTCTAAACAGAGCTAAACTGCTGAAGATGTCATGTGACCGCCCAAAGGATAGGTGGCACTTCTGGCGGATCAACGTTCCTCCGGAATGGGCTGACGGGCCGCAAGCTAAAGGCTCTGGATAAATAATGTTAGTATTACTCCGTACTCCGTATTATGAGCATTGTCTGGTAGACACAGAAAAGCAGCTAGCTAGTTTAGTTTAGTTGGCTGGTGGTCATCATTCCTATCAAGCCGATTACTGCGTCGGTTTTTTCTCCTTCTGTTGCCACGAAGCCTATGCAAATGGAGTGATGCATTTTTAGTTTTCAGTCGATTTTGGTGATGCTTTCTATTTTATTGCCCGTCGATTCTATATATTAATTCTTCTTTCATGTCGTGTTAATTCAGGTCTGCCCTTCTCTTGGTCCTTGGGGTGAGTATTCTCCGAAACGTGTCCGATTCTCGGTTTTAGGCTGACACTTGGCCTTGGGTGGACCTAGATCTAATGGTATCAAATATGGCATCCGACGGTGTACCGGCCGTGTGGAATCCAGCTTTCAGACCAGACAATAGCAAAGATTTGATTGCAACGGATCTTAGCCTGGACGTCGACTCGAAAGAACCGATTGCAGAAATTACTTCCTCCTCCCCCGACGCATCTACGGTTTCTGAGGAGCTCGAGGCTCCCAATAACTCTACACTATCGGCACCTAATCCTCCTATACGCCCGCCGGAAACGACTGCCTCAGACGTGACGCGTTCCGAGCCTTGGTCGCTAGATGAAAACCCAGCCGCAGTTGGTTCGCTGGAAGAGCCTGAGAGCAATGATGAACCGTGGGAGACGGCTCAAATGAGCGACGATCATGTTTCTCAACCCCTTGACGGATTAGGTGTACCTGAAGAAAGTAGCGTGGACGCGTCCGGCCATGAAATAGAGGAAGCGACCACGATTCTCCAAACGACCGCGGATCCGTTTTCTACAGCGGATCAAGACGCTGGCAGCTTTTTCGAAGGTGGCAATGGAGCGCCACGGTCTGGTGGACCCGAAACCCGGGATGATTCAGTCAATGCAGATGGAGCGATCAATAGTTTTAGCCGGGGTCTTTGGGGGAGCCCTACAAATGAAGACGCGGGGGATGACTTTTTCGACCAATTAAAGACACAAACTAAACCGATTTACATACCACCGGAAACCGAATCCAGATTTGAGGAGGGCGTTCCACTGCTGCATGATTCCGGGGAAACACCGGTCGAAGAGTCCGAGAATAATGACATTCCGATCGACAATATCTTTGATGGCGACGAGGATGACGAGGGAGCGTTCTTTAAAGAGATACAGAGTTCGGAGCCCGCGGAAAAGGAACCGCAGTCCGTACATATTGCACGAAAGAGCACAACCCAAGTCCTCGAATCCCTTGACGTTCCTCCCTACTCCCCAGCATGTGAGAGGTCTCCAACTGCTCAAGAGTTCAACAATGATTTGGCGGCTGTTGCGTCGGACAGTCAACTTAAGCCTGTATCATCCGACGAGGATTTGGCCGCCCGGTGGCAAGCGGAACTATCCCATGAACCCACGGAGAAGGCTGCTGAAGAGGACCTGGCTGCGCGATGGCAGGCGGAGCTTGACGATGATGACGACTTACTTCTGGGGGATGAAGATGCGTCTAGTGTCCCGGAAGCGAACATTCAAGGTATCAACGGGTTTGCTCATGATGCTGTTCCTGTAGGCCTTGGTAGTCCTCTCGAAACTCATCAGACCCCTGCTGTGCCTACTGTGCAGTCTGCATCTTATACTCCGCACCAACCATCCACGTCGGATCTCCTTCAAGGGATTCAAACACAGGGCGTTGCTCCGCAGGCCGGCAGTGCTCACACGAGCTACTTTGCGCCTCAACCCCCATCAAACGCCCAAGAGAGCAAAGCAGTAAGCTTTTCCGAACGCTCGAAGGAAGGCTACAAGTCTCCTTATGATCTTCCGGTTGATCTTACCCGTCCTCGTCGCCCTGTGTACAGTCATAAAACCGTTGTTGCTCCGGGCAGCAATATGCCACCACCTCCTACACGGAGCAGTAGCATGCCGGTGCCCCCTCAGACAACATCTACCCTACCAGCCTCTCCAATGGGGGCATCACCTGGTGCATTGACAGCGGAGCCTAAGAATTTTTATGAAGAACTACCCTTGCCACCTCCGATACCACGCTCGCGGCCTGCGACTGCCGGGCGATATACGCCTAATGTCAGTGCGGCGACAGTTCCACCCTCACGCCCACTTCCTCCTACCCAAGGAAATCAATATGGCGCTCTTTCTGCTGTCGCACAACAGCCTAGCGATACTGTCTCCCAGCCTCAACTGCAACCTCCGGAACGGGTCGACCCGTATGCTAATCTTTTGGCTCCTGGCGCACCGAGCGCACCCGCCGTACCCAGTGCTCCATCAAGATATTCGCCTAAACCTCCCGCTTTAAATACGGGGACAATGCCTTTTCCATCCCCTAGATACTCTCCTGCGCCACCTCCTTCCGCTGCTCCCCCGCCTCCTAAAACCCGTTATGCCTCTCAGCCATCTGGCGGGCCTGGCCAAGGAGCTTCACTTCCGTTCCAGCCCCGCACATCAAGTCCGTTGGCTTATCATGAAAAGGTCTCGTACCAGCCCCAGGAGGGGTTCGAAAAGAGGCCTTCTTTGGAGCAAACGACCAGCTTTTCCCCCTCCAATGGCCCACATACACAATCGTATGAGCAGGAGGCGGTTCATGGTATTGATCGTCAAGATGACACCGTAAGTTCGGGCCCCGTCAGGGTGGATAGTCCTGAAAGCATGCCGACGGTTCATCAGCCCATTTCGCCGCCAAGAAATCGTTACGCTCCCTCAGGGTACGCCGATGATAATGCGAGGTGGCCTGCTCCTCCAGCCAGCAGTTTTTCAACGTCTGCACCGCCGGCCGGTGATTCCCAATTCGCCCCCCCTCGCAGATCACAAACGCAATCTCCTAGTCAACAAATGTTGGGACCAAAGCTGCCTGTGCCGTCCGCTGATCCGTTCCAACGCCCAGCGTCTGTGCATGGCTCTGGTTCTCCGACGAAAGTCGTCAGCCCTTATGCACCATCGCAGGTTTCTGTGCATAATCGTGTTGCTTCTCAGCCACTTGAGTTCATCCCTCCCGAAGATGGACAACAATTCGATCCTCTTGAAAGATGGAGAGGGGCTCCAATTGTGAAGTTTGGACTCGGGGGCTCAATAACCACCTGTTTCCCTAAGCACATTCCGAGGTACAGTGCTGGACAAGCCGCACCGAAAATTAAATCAAGCCCCGGGGAGATACGCATCCATCAATTCAATGATTGGATCCCTACGTTGGAAAATATTGTACATCACCCCGGTCCTCTGAAAAACAAGTCCAAGAAGAAGGACTTGCTCGCTTGGCTCTCCAGCAAAGTTGTAGCATTTGAGAACGAAGGCATTACGGACGCGGCACAATTGCATCCGGACTCTTTCAAGCGCCACGAAGAGAAAATTTTGCTGTGGAAAGTCGTCAAATTTTTGGTCGAACATGATGGGAATCTGGACGATCCAACCCAATTGCAATCTTTGCGCAATATCATATTTCCCCATCTTCAAAGCACCGAGCCTGAACAGAACTATGGTGACGCCTTTCCTGCTCCCACTTCCTTGCAGCCATTAGATGGAACCTCTCGACCCGACACTGTCGACCCTCAGTCACTCGAGAGTGTTCGCAGCAGTCTTCTGGTCGGTGATCGCGAAAAGGCCGTGTGGACTGCTGTGGACCATCGGCTTTGGGGCCATGCCATGATAATTGCGTCGACACTGGATAAGTCTGTCTGGAAACAAGTTGTCCAGGAGTTCGTGAGACGCGAAGTAAGATCTGCTACTAGCAATACCGAACCACTTGCAGCGCTTTATGAGGTATTCGCGGGGAACGTTGAGGAGAGCATTGATGAGCTGGTTCCACCCTCAGCGAGGGCTGGGCTGCAGATGATCAACAAAGTGGACGGACAAGGCACCTCTAAGAATGCCCTTGACGGCCTGAACAGCTGGAAAGAGACCTTTGGTTTGGTGCTCAGCAACCGTAGCCCCGATGATCACCGAGCGTTGTTAGCCCTCGGTCGATTGCTACTGTCGTATGGCCGTATAGAGGCTGCCCATATCTGCTTTATCTTCTCCAGAGCTGCAGTATTTGCCGGTGCAGATGATCCACAGGCAAGCGTAGTCCTTCTCGGGGCTGATCATCGGCATCTGTCCTCCAATATTTTGCATGACCATGACCCCGTATTACTCACAGAGGCCTATGAATATGCAACCTCCGTTCTTGCCGGTTCTCCGATGACTACGCTGCCGCATCTTCTGGCATTTAAACTTATTTATGCCTGGTCACTCGCTGAGCGCGGCCGAAATACAGAGGCTCTGCAGTACTGCGATGCAATCGCTGCAGCTCTGAAGGCAACCACGAAACCGTCGGTATATCATCATCAGCACCTGTATTTCGGAGTTGATGAACTCTCCTCACGCCTAAGACAAACAACCCATGACGAGGGCTCGTCTTGGATTTCAAGACCAAGTATGGAGAAGGTGTCCGGCTCTATGTGGGCCAAATTCAACAGCTTTGTCTCTGGCGAAGACAGCGATGCAGCTTCAACCGGTTCGGGAAAGGCCGGAGATGGAGACGTCGGACCCTTCGCAAAGCTCGCCGGGACACCAACTGTTAGTCGATCGCCGTCGGTCTCGGACATCTACGGACCGTATGCTTCTGCAACACAGGCTGCACAGCCAATCCCCAGCGGTGGTCCTTCACGGTATCAGCCGAGCACTCAGTATGTTCCTAGTTCCTCGCCGGAACAAATGCGTGGGGCAAGGCCATCATTCGACTCTCAGCGGTCTTCATCGTACGGATTCTCTTCGGGACAGCGTCGCGGCTCCCAAGAACCGGCTACACCGATCGACAACAACCTCTACCAAGGCGGCCCCATTTACAACCATTCCCCGCCTGTTGCTGGCTACCAAGGAACACCCCCTCAGACATCTTATATACCTCTCGCACCTGTCGAAGAAGACTCGATAGCGCAGCCCTACGCTGCACCAATCCAAGGATCTCCCGTGAATGTTATTTCTTACCAGCCCCCCGGAAATGCTTCCTTTGGCCCGTCTCTCACTCAACTGCCCACAACTACGTCTCAGCCAACTAGCGGCGGTTACATGCCACCTGTTTCCAGTGGGGGCTATGAGCCTCCATCTGCGGATAACAACGTCAGCTTTGATCTAGAGACTACGGAAGAAAGCGGTGCTGGAGGCCCAATGCAGAAAAAGAAATCATTCATGGACGATGAAGACGACGATGATTTTGCGGCCCGTGCAGCCGCCGTTCAGAAGGCTGAAAAGGAACGAAAGGATCGTGAAGCAAATGACGCTGTCAGAAAAGCTGCTGAGGCGGATGGTAGGTTCCATATCCGATCTCCAGGAATAGCTTGCCACTAACGAGCGTTGCTTTTAGCCCAAAGACCTGCCCCAGCAAAGAAGTCATGGTTTGGTGGATGGTTCGGGGGTAAGAAAGAGGAGAATCCCGGGGCCCAGGGGCCTATCCGAGCCAAACTGGGCGAGGAGAACTCGTTTTACTATGATAACGAGTTGAAGAAATGGGTCAACAAAAAGGATCCCAACAGCAGCACAGTCACTCGGGGTGCTCCGCCGCCTCCTAAAGGACAGGCTCCCCCTAGCAGGACTGCTAGTGGCAGTAGTGCACCACCGCTACCCCAGACTGGTAACCCAGGAGTGGACAGACAGCCTTCATCATCGATTGGTGCTCCTCCGTCATTGTCCAGCAGTCCAGCACCTCCTTCCCTCGGCGCCCCTCCTTCTCTCCTGGGAGCTACTGCTCGATCAGTTTCTACCGGCGCTGCTGCTCCTACTCCACTCACTGCCGCAGCTGGATTGCCACCTCGTCCTGCTACATCATTGAGCAATGCCAGCTCAATTGATGACCTCCTTGGGGCCCCACAGGCACGCAAAGGCAACACTGTAAAGGGGAAAAAGAAAGGCAGATATGTTGACGTCATGGCGAAATAAGATGCCTGGTAATATTGTGGACCACTGTCCAGAAGGAGCTTGGGTCTTCTAAGTGGTATAATGCTAACGATTTCCAAACTTTTGTTTCTTCCTCTTCTACTATCGCACAGTGAAGCGCATCTTGAGTTCAATTATAGATTCATTGAAGCCCTGCGCAAAAGTCTTGCATACCGCTCCGGGTGTTCTTGCTTGGCTTACTGTTCATGTACTTTATTGATTTGCACTACATATTTCTTCTCCCTTGTGCTCTATTTCTCTGTCTTCATTAATTTGTTTTACTCTGAGACACGATTTTTATTGATTTGTGGGTTCTTTTGATTCACAAGCATGGCCTGAGTTCTGCCGAGAGTTTAATATTACTATAATAATTCCATCATCAGTATTCGTGTTTCATGATTTATCTACATTTGCTCGTTGTGCTTCTATAAATTCATAGTATCTTCGTAAATTAGTTGGGAGCATGCTGTGCCCAGGTTAAGCCGCGTAAGAGTTAATATAGTACTGCAGGACCGGAGGTTGAGCATTAGCCTTGAACGTTTAGTTTCTCAAGGATGATCGCATCTCACCGTCAGACAGGACTCTTCCCCGTCCAAGCCTCCGGGTAGGTACACATAAAGAATCAGCGCCGTCTCATGAACGAAACCTTGATATACGCGTAAAGAGCATCTATCAGCACGAGAAACGCCAAATTCACGAAGGCGTACGGTATCTGGGCCAAACTTACAGGCGACCACCTTGGGACTCAACCTTCCAACGCTTAATACCCGACCCCAGTCTCTACCATCAATCCTCACCTTGGCCCATGCGGCCTCATCGTTTTCGTTTAACCCACGCATCCGCTCACTAGGCAACTGCTCGATTTCTGTCTGCGACAACTGGCTCGGGTCCAGGGACGGATTTACCAGATCCGTCCAGACACTCGAGATGCGCAATGCATCGGTGGCAATTGCCAATTTAAGAGACCCATGCATATTGGCGGATAATTCTAGTTTGGGAGAAGACGAAGACGCGCCGGAGAACCCAGTCGAGGAGGACGAATTAGTAGCATCCGCTGCTAACTTGGTAAACCTCTCTGATATGCTCTTCAGCTGGGCCAGACTGGGTAATACAATATGTACATCTGGATCTCGACAGCGTGGTTCATGAAGACCCTCGACGGCGGTCTCGTGCAGCACCTTGACGGGCACTTCCTGCGTGATGACCGTCTCGCGCTCCCGAGGCCCGGAGGGACCGGGCCTAGACGAATTCCCGATATCATGGTCGCTCGTCTCGCCAATGCCTATGCCAAGGGCATTGGAGCCGACAGTCCAAGATGAAGCATGTACAGTCAGTGCCAGGAGAGGAACATTGCCTTTCTTGGTTAATCGTAACTGAGCGGAGGCGGCGGCGACGGCAGAGCGAAGTGCGCGATGGAGAGCTCCCACGGGGACTTCTAGATTGATGACCCCCGCATTGGATTCAAGGATATATGTCTGTCCATCGAATATGGCATCCTGGTTTGGTTAGGTTTTATTGAATTTTAATGATTTTTGTACCCCTTCTTGAGACGTGCCGAGTGACTTACTACTGGTAACTGAGCCCAAACCTGGGTGCCTTGGTCGGGGATGATGGTGAATCGAACAACCTCATTCTCTAGACGCATCCAACATACTTTCCCTAGGGAAGAGAGAGACGCAGTTAACTCTGTTCCGCAGGAATTGGTACAAAGTTAGCTGGATGTCCATGGACGAGCGTACATAGCTAGCAAATGTAGCATGTCGTCTGGCAACGCCACACATCGTGCGGTGCAATAACGGTGAATGGAAGAGGAACGTACTTGAAAAAGTCACAATATTGATTAATTTGCTTCGAAACCGCATCTTGGACCACGGGATATCATCGTGTGCATCGTTGAAGCTTCGACTCTTCGACTCTCGTGAATTCGGTCGATGTGATTGGCTGTCACATGATGGGGCATGTGATGGAGAGCGAGCTAGTACCAATTAGGCAATCTCATACATCGATATCAGATCAAATACAATAGAATAGTTTCTACTCAAGGAAATACAGTATTGAAACTAAATTAATATGTTAATACCTTTGTCGCATATGATAGTATTACATTCAATCAAAGAGAAATTTACTTTTGTTTGTCGATTTCAGAAGCACCACGTACAAGCCAGTTGGCCCAGTTTTCCCTCCTTGATATCATCAGTACCACTATATAAGATACCCAAGGGACGGTGATTATTTTAGAAATTCTAGGCGAGATTTCAGGCAAACGACAATGTGAGATATCTCGGTGGCAGCACAAACAGAGGCCGACTTCATGTAAGCGCATCGAATCCATACGGAAACTGCATTTCCAAGTTGATGACTTGGACGACAATTCCTTTCTTCGCTGCTCAGTGACATTATGATCTTAGCCAGCATTCCTGGAAAAGCAAATCAAGAGATATGGTTTTCTTTGGAGTGAGCTAGTGGACGGTAGGGGACGCGAGCAGAAACGATGCAGAAGAAACCTTCTTCAAAGACGTCTCCAACTAACACGGAGTCTTCGATAGTAGTTGGCGATGCTTCTACCACTGAGGTACAGGAGTTACACCTATTCCAAATCCATGGGAAATGAGTGCAGAGGGCAAAGGCAAGGACTTTGGGCTCGAACCAGATTTTTATGGAGAATGACCCAACATGGAGACAGAATCGTCTATCTGCATGCCCAGCTTGGAAGAGCTTGGGAATTTAGCATGGCTTTTGGGTCCAAAGTCTGGCTTGTTGTGGTCCTGACTCAGAAAAATCGTCTGGTTGGTGCGCGGCCAGTACCCTTCATACGAAACACAAAAGTTTGTCCCTTGCACCTGGCAAGACTGCCTTTCATCTTGCTCATATCATTGGCTGAGATTTCAAATTAGCCCTGTCAAGGTCGGTGTGGCCGAAACAGCCAGAGACTTCTTCCTGTTGCCAGACGATGGCGCTTCCTTCCATGTGCTCAGGTCTAGTAAACCGGAAGACGGAAGGGAAGCAACAGAGAAATTGAAGAGGTTCGTTGACTATCAAATCCTGTATTGTTTCGCCCCCCCCCCCCCTTTTTTTTTTTTTTTTTTTTTGAAATTTCCATGATACTCTTTGCGTTGACGCAGGAACTTCAACATCAAACAGGCAATCGAATTGACGGTCCATACGCGTCGGAGCAAGGGCACTGTCACCAAGCAATTGGGACTCTTCAGCTGGAGAATAATCTATCAATGGTAAGCAGTCCCGGATACGTCGGAAGTTATGGGAGTTCCCACAGGACATCAAATCCCTTCCATGGTGGCTGTGAAGACTACTTGTCAATGGTCAATCTGCAAGGGAGGTCGATCAAAGATCAACATCTTAAGATCGCACTGGAGTGATTCGAAGCGGAATGCCCGTTTAGGCTACCGGACAAGCGCCGTGGGTTGAAATTCTGACGGCTGACATGGCGATGGGTGATATTGCATGGGGGCACCTATGGAAGATGAAGAAGAGTACCAATACGATACAGCTTGGTGGATTCTCGAATGGTTCAGATCACCACTGGAAGGACCCAATGCGACTGAAACCAAGTCGTTCTCTGCCTGGAACCCAGCAAGAGGGAATCCACTGCAAGCGAATGGGCCAAGAGTGGGCCATGCAAGTCGTACAGGTTTCGTCCATCCTGACAGATCTCGCGATTGATGGGCGTGGGTGCGTCGAATTCCAGCTGCAGGAGTTAAAAGCATTCTTCTAAGAGTCGACCGTCTTGTCAACTACCTACATACTCTAGATGTCAATATGGAGTACAGAGTGTGTCGAAATTAATAATTCATCGAGAAAGCTAACCCCTTTACCAGTGCTGGGCGGCTCCACTCGCGTCGGTCCCTATTCTAAATCCAATCAACCCATCAATTATTACGGACTTCGGTCTTACAACTCACGGCTGCATCGCTTGGAGACCAGAACAGAAGCTCGAGCTGGCCTCGTTCATACTCTCTCCTCGTCATCCTATCGTCATCTCATCTGTCCCTCGTTTAGTCTTCCAGCAACCACCCAGTTCTCTCCGTCCTTTCCCAGCCTTTTCCGTCATTTCCATTGTGATTTATCACATCAACCGACCTATTTTCTTTCCTCCATCGTTCCTCTGCATTACTGCCTCTCTATTCCTCGGATTCCCTCCGTCTCGTTCCCTCACATTCACTGCTTGTCAAGCCTCCCCTCTTCCATCGTCGATCGTCTCACCCCATTTCGATCCGTTCGATCATTGATAACCATTCCTTCGGCTTGAACTCCCAACTGTGCACCTGCGAGTTTGCGTCCCCAGCATGCTTGCTTTTCAGCCGTATACTCTCTTTCACATGTCTGATACCGTTGCTCGACATCCGTCTCCAGAAACACGTTACTGATCTTCTTGTTTTTTCTCCACTGTTCACCCCGGGTCTTCTGGGAACTTATCTGTCCTCGAAGGTGGCCGCGTTCGTATCCTCGACATGGCCACCAGTCGCGTCAGCCCCGTTCGTCCCCCTGTTCACCTTGTCCCCTCGCACAACCGGGTGCATCCTATTCCGCGTACTCCCTCCCCAAGCCGACGCGCGGTACTAAATTACCAGACCATCGACCCTCTCCTCGGCAATCTATCGCCCGAGTCCACCCTCAAAGCACTGTCTTCAACCGACGCGGTCCCGAAGAACGAACAGGCCGCCCGTGATATTCTCTCGAAAAGCATCTCCCAGGTTTCTCCAGCGGAACGGGCCCTCGGAATTCGGGCTGCAATTGCGGCGCAGAGCCTAAGCTTTTGGTATAAAGAAATACAGGCATGGGATTGGCCAAAAAGGGTAGATGTCCATCTGGGCAAGGGGTTCATCCCACCATCCACCACGGCTGAGCTTGCTTCGTCCGAACCGGAATTCTGGGGCAGTCTCCCTGCTGCCGTCGTCCTAGAGCATGAGAAGAGGATCGAGGAGATTCGGGACGGGATGGAAAGTTTGAACGTCGACGAACTGAAGGAACACGTTCTGAATGCCCACATTCCATCGCGGTCTCGGCCTTCGTCATCGAATAGCACCATATCCGTGCCGCCTCCTCTCAGCTATGTCCAATTGAGCGACTTCACCGCGGTGATCACTGCCACCATACTACGCGCCCTTCCCCTTCTCTCGCGCCTGAACAGCCTCCTTTCCACTTGGGATGTTCGATTGTTGGTCCTTCGCCAGGTCCCTGGATTACTTTGGAGCTTGCGAATCGCCCGCTCGGAGCTAAATTCCGCCCTGGATTCGTTAAAGTTGCGCAGTACCCCGACTGAAAAAGATGCTTTGTATTCCAGAACGAATTATCATGCCAAACGCGCCGAGTTGGAGACCAGTGTCCTTTCCGCCGGCCGAAGAATGGACCGCATGCTCGATGCCCTTGAGGGTCGCGATGATTCCTTACCTGAGAGCTGGATCGACGATCTGGAAGCCATCGAGTCGGATTTTGGTTCCTGGGTCATGGAGGCCGAGAAGCGCACTGTCGCAAACGAATGGCAGCGCATGGAAGACACCACAAAGAAGCCAGAGAAGCAAGAAGCCATGCAAGCTTCATCCAGTCCGCTATCCGACAACCCCAGTGGTATGGAGCCAGCCCTCAATGGACCCGAACCTATTTGCACAACTGGACGTTCGCCGCCCATGGAAACCATCCAGGAAGAACCCATTAGCCCGGTCGAATCTCTAGCGGTAGATGCTGACAAGGGCGACCAAACTGCTACCATTTCCAATATTGATACCCCACCAGTTACTGCTGAAACTCCTGAGACATCCATCCTCGAGAATTCATCTCTTATCTTGGAAACTGTCGCCGAGAACACGAAAACCCACCCAAGCGAGCCAGAAAAGGCTGCCGTTGAGGTAATGAAGAACGATCCATCAACACGCGATGCACAAGAGCTTGTTCTGGGAACATCGGCTCATGATATGTCTCGAGGCGACTCGCCCTTTATCATGGAGAAGGAAGAAGTTTCGACTCCAGCGTTAACAGAGGACGCCACTGTATTTCCATCTTTCCAGGACATGAATTCGCAACAGCAAGCAATCCACGATCGTTTGAACTCTGAACAATTACCTCCCAGCCCAGAAAGAAATATTAGCAGGCGGGATCAGTTACCCCCTCTTCTCATCAAACCTCCCAGCTCTTCGTCACTTCCCGAGACAGGCGAGCAAACATCGCACTATTTGACATTGCAGGACAATATCGACAACAGCTCAACCCAGAAACTAATGAACGCCGCAGAAAATTCACCGTCTATGAACGAAATGTCAAGCATGGGCCAGGCTGACTCGGAAAACCCCGATAACGCTACAAATACTGCTGACCGTTCTACCCAATCATCACCTGCGCCGACTGCGTCCAAAGTAGTGGCGCTTGCTCTTGCTACGACCAAGCCTTCTATCCAGATACCCGATTCTGTGGTAGTCAAGCGAGTTGAATCGTCCTTATCTCGGCCTACTAGCCCTGTACAGCTATCTCCGAAGCCTTCTGTCATATCTTCGAATGGCCAAGGCCCTGCAGCGAGCGGACAAGAAGCCCGCTCCCCAAGGAAACCTTTAGAGAGTCCGATAAAACTGTCCAAGTCTCGACCCGGACGCTTAGAGCTCAGTAAAGACGATGGAAAGCCTCATGCCCGGCGGACGTCCAACGCGTCTGCGGGCTCCTTTTCTGATTACCCGTCTCTCATATCTAGCCCGGAGATGCGTGAGCCTCTCACTAGCTCATCGAATGGAACACCTCGTTTTCTCAAAACCCCTCCTCAGTTCCAGCCAGATTACGAACCACCTCGGCCGGTGCCTTCTACTAGCGATCACACTCTACGAGAAGACCGTCTCTTTCGTCTCCCGAGCCCGATGGCATCCCCGCGTACGGCAGTCCAACATAACCGAAACCTGAGTCTCCCTCTACAGCGTTTCATAAATGAGAGACTAGAGTTAGACTTCGAAAACGAGACTGAGATAGGGATGGGCAATCCTACGTCTAGCAAAAGAGCAGTGGGATCTTTTGCAACTTCAAAATCCCAAAACAAGCAGCAATCAATGCCGCCACGGCCACACGGCGATAGATGGTCTGCGCCTAACAATAAAAGCCGAGGCCAACGGTTAAATTCGCGTGAAGACAATTATACACCGGCATGGCACAAATCTAGCGAGGAAACACCCAACACCCAGGAGCAGAACCCGGATGCTTTTGTGAAAAATGCTGTCCACAAGGTCGTCAGCACAGAGCCAGCCCTTCATCTGACTACTACCCGCTTGAGGAAACAATTGACTGCGCATCCTAGTCTTGAGAGCATTGGGGCTTATAAGTCTAAACCCCAGGTTGAGGGTATCTCTGCCAGCTCGAATACTGCGAAACCAAGCTCCCGATCCTCTACTCCGAGTAGCCAATTTAGGAAGCCAAAAGACCACCTTGATGAGAAAATCAGTTCCATACTCACGACCCTTCCAACCCGAATTCACCTCGTGTCAGCCGAAGAGCGTGAACATGATGAATCGGCTGCGTCGTTATCACTGCTTTCCAAGGCAAGGGAGCGGTTTCGCTCTATGTCTCCACAAGGAACAGCGTCACGCAGCGACACACCTACTCCTTCTCTGACTCTCACGCCTGCCGTCTCCCGCAGAAGACATTCCCATGCATATGGCCCGGAGGAAAGCTCCGTCAAGCTCTACCATCTGCATCAGGGTGGAAAGTCCGCTCCTACCAAGCTTTTTGTGCGCTCTGTCGGAGAAAAGGGAGAACGGGTGATGGTACGAGTTGGAGGGGGGTGGGCCGATCTGGCTGAATACTTGAGAGAATATGCCATTCACCATGGGCATCGACACGTGTCGGAGACGCCACGTGTTGAGGTTCAGGGACTGTCATCTCGTGAATCTACGCCGAGTTACTCGCCACCGGGGAGCCGGCTATTACCGGCCAGCAATGGACGGAGCACTCCGTCTCGACCTCGATCTGTCATCAGCAATCGGCCATCATCCTCGTTGGCTGTCCGCAAAACGCGACGGGCGTCGAACGTGTCAGATATGACTGATTTCAGGGCAGTCAGTGCTGGTGAAGCACTGAATATGTCGCTTTCCCCAAAATCCATAGTCTCATCTCGTAGGCGGCTTTCGGTGTCTTCGAATACGTCCACCGGCACAACGTCATGTGTCAGTGAGATCCGCCATGGATCGTATAGCTATTCCCCTTCAACCACTGTAGGAGGTGGTAGCTCTCACTCTATTCCACTTGGTCTCGCAGGGCCCAAACCACGACCTAGACATGTTTCCATGACACCGGAGAGTGAGGCGTGGGTAGAAGACGTTCTCGGGCAGGCACGGCGAAGTTCATCGTTGCGACCTTTTACATATGGCCTACCACCCCCGGAACAAGAGCAACCTGCGGTGAAGACTTCCATTTTGCCTAAGTCTAGAAGCATCAGTGACCTTGGGACAGCTGGTTCCAGCAAGCGAGTCGCCCTGCGCGGTCTTGGCAACCGGTGACGTCCAAAGCAAAGCTACCCTACGGGCTATTATCTTCGATGGTCCCTCAGTTTCTTGGACCTAATACTCTATCTTCTTTCTCCATTTTCTTTCTTTCTTTCTTTTTTATTTTGCTTTTTCTAGCATCGGCGTTTACCGTTGGTTTGAGGCTTGGTTTATTAAGACAGGTATCAAAAGTGTTCGTCATCTGCATGGTTTTGGTTGTTATTCTGCACTTTCAGGGAGTTTTTTTCTTTTTTTTTTTGTACTATTTTATTTCTTAGATCTGCCTTGCCTTCCGTCTGTCAGCACACATTAGCGAGCATCTGTTCTTTTTCTTTCTTTCTGCATACAATATTCTTCGGCCGGCTATGCCTTCATTGTCATCTTCGACCTATTTGCAGATATCTAGATACCCTCATTCAAAGTTTATGTTAGTTCACTAGCTTAGTTTTGTCCGTAATATTAGTACAAGTACAAGGAGAGTATATTGCACAAATCACGTAGATGCTCTGTTGAGAATATTGTTTTCAGTACTTGAGGACTATTTTGAAGGTCTGGGTGATCGGACAAGTGACATACATAGGCTGGTGTTATTATTTGGTAGGCAACTTGGCTGGCCTGACTATGTATGTCTATATAACAAATGAAAGAAATGGAACTTACTGGAATCTATCCCAACGACATTGACCATTTGAGACAATGTAGCATGTAGACATTTCGCAATCAGATTAGAGGAGATAAAAGGAATAATAATAGCACAGGCACTACAACGCCAGCCCATCATAATCATCAACTGATACACATAACCGCAATAATACTTTGGACTCGAAAGCAAGTCCGGTATCAAAAGAAGCGAATCAAACGTTAAAAAAAAGAGCACGTTCTAGTTGATACTGCGGAAAACTCTACGGTGGACTCTGTTTCGGACTGGGCGGTTCCAAGGCTGGTTGTCGCTTCCAGAAAATTTGCTTCTTGAATAGATCTCTTAATTCCAGCGAGATGACTTTGGCTTCCGCGTTGGATCCTTCAGATGGTGGTGCACTGGGCCTGGCATTGACGCTGCTGCTAAAACCGGCGTTTGCGGGTTGCTGACGCGTTTTGCCTTTCCCGTCATCCGCGGAGCCCTGGATTGGACGTCGTTGCAGTGCTGAGGGGGCAGGGAAATTGTTCTTCTTATCTATAGCCTGGACTGCGCGGTCGAAACGACGGAAAAGTGATTCGGCGCGGGTGAGGATCGGCAGGAGTTCCATGGTGTTGGAAAGTTCGTTGACTGGAAGGAATTAATCATTAAGTGCAGCGGGAGTGACCGAGCCGGCTTATAGCTTACTGTACTTCAGGACCTCGTCAAAATGTTTCAGATGGTCCATGATCACGTCTCGGTGCTTCTCTAGGATTGCTAGGGCAATGAATAGGTGAAAGTTACTGGTTAGATAGTCGGTCCAAAGAGTCTCCCAGAGACGTAGGATATCGGCCCATTCGAATTCGCGCTTGTACCATACTAAAAGCATCCGGAAGAAGAAAAAGAAATTTGTACTGTCGGCAGACTGAAGATGGAGATAGAGCTGAGGGTCCATTAGTTGCAGGAGATGATCCAAGGTAAGAAGCTGGACGCGCATTCCGGACTGATCACGGAGGAAATTTCGTTCCTGCAAACAAGGAAGTGAGTATATGTGCCCTCATCACCGGCTTTGGAAGTGGCCAGTACCATTCGATCCATAAATCCAACGAAAGCCCAAAAAGCAACTGCGTCGTCTTGCATCACAGCGTAAATTGGGGCTAAGAGATCACTCATGCCTTGCACATAACCTAGGTCGGGGTTGTATTCATTGTACGTCAGAAGCATGTCCTTCATCTGCTCCAAGTGCACGTTGGTTCCCGTGTCGGCAAATGGCGAATCCGGGTCTGGATGAGGAATATCCTCTCCGGCAAACAGAGGGATTGTGCGGTCCGTACGGTGAACATCCTTCTCTGTAGAATGTTCCCAATATTTGGGGTGTTTTAGCCAACGTACAGCAGTTTATACACGAGAAATAGTAAGAATTACCTATGCGGTTTCTTTGCTCTTTCCACCAATCGTACTGTTCGGTCGTGGAAGAACCTTCAATCATTGTTTCCCACCAAGCTCCTTTCAATCGAATGTACTCATCTCGCTTAGAATTCATCAATGCCTGGCGTTCGTCTCTAGTGCTATCCCATGGGTAGACTCCGAGAAGGAAGAGCCATGCTTCCTTTCTCACGCCGTCGCTGGGGTCAAGACCTCCATGGAAGATTCGCTCCTTCACTTCCTCGACAGTAACATGCAATCTGCCGGTACTTGGGTCAAAGAACCCTTCCCACTCCTTCAACTTTACAATCTTGCGTCGCTCGTGGATGGCCATAGTCCCCGTCTCCAGCTCTAGGATCTCAAAATCTCCCACGGAGCTATTTTCCATTTCCAGAACATCTCGGGCAGTCCATATCCGTTGATTTCTTTCCCTCTCACTCTGCTCGGAGATACTCATTGCCCACCGAGCCAAGTATAATCTGGCGCTGTCAAACTCATCCTGCAGGGTCTGAATTTCAGGCGTTCGCATTAGTCGACGAACTTGCGGGGGAATCCGGGGACTGTCGGCTATCTCGTTGGCGGTGCGCCTTGTAAACGTCGTGATCTTGCTCAGCTGCTCTAGTACCTTCCATCTGGTCTCCTTGAGCGCTTTTACGAAGGGGTCCATTCCTGCATCTGGTTGCCTGTTTTCACCGGGTTGCGCTGCACTGGCGACTGGAGCAGATCTCTGGGTCTCTGATTCGCCAGCCGTTAACGATCGACCAAAAGACATTCGATCTTCATCGGACGGGTTGATTAAATAAACACTGTGATCGACGGCAGAGCGCTGGACTTCGGTGTATCTCCGAAGCCACCTCAAGACTTCATCACCGCCCCAAAACACATTGCCATCCTCGCCAAATGGATCAAAGGATTCTCTAGTCCTCTTTCTCTTTTGCAGTATCGTCGACTCGCATTCACTATCATGGAAAAACAGTGCGGGAAAGCTATCGCCCACACGGGTGTTGATGACCAGACTTCCAAACCACCACCCTAGACTCGGCGGTCGAACAAGTAACGAGTATATCTCGGAGAGCGGTACAGCAAAGGCATATAGGCCGATTGGGTCCCTGTAAGTGGTTGTTGCCGGTAACGGGGGAACCAAGTATCTCTGCTTTGGAGGAGATGAGTCGTCTGCGAGATCGACTTTGACATAGGTACTGTATGCGTCCCCTAAGGAAGATTCCGGAACCCAGGCGAGGAGATAGGAAGAAGTATCGGTATTTTTCGAAGACGCCACATTTTCTGAACGTAGTGATGCAGGCTTTTGTTGAATGAGGGCAATGAATCCGGGGATATTATCTTTGGAAGAAGGGGTCGGATGGACGTAAACCTGTAGAGACCCGGATGGAGTTAGTCACTCAGCGATTCATACAAACAGCGTGGGCTGACAAAGCACTCACCTTGCTCTTAGAAAAAAGTAATTTGACCCCTCTCCGAGACGTTGCATGCGAAATGGTGTTGTACTCGTCCTCTTCGTCGTCGCTGACGTCGTAGAAGGAAGCGGTGGGTGATGGAGGGGACGGAGGAGGTGTGAACTTGGCACTGGAACCTGTCATATTCTTCGACGACGGGAGATGTTCAGTCTTCTCTAGATAGCTCAAATGATGTGGCTCATCGTCCTTCTGTGTCTATCCGATCATCAAGGCTGCTATGCTAATGACAACACCGAGCGATGGAGACGGCGTAAGTCACGACGTAATCGAGGGGCCCACCTGATCGGCGAGCATGTGATCTCCGATCGTGATAGAGAGAGCAAGAAAACGTGCTGCGCTGCTCAACAATGGATAACCAGTCTGTTGGTATGGCTTCAAAGGGGAAACAGGTGATTCCCTGGAGAGAATCGCAGAGAATGAAGCCTCTCTAGGCTGCATTCCATGATTGACATTCTTCATCGCCACCGCTAACAAGGGAGCAGGCAACCACAATATTGGTCATTCAACCGCCTCCATAGCCTAGCCCTCACCACCGCGTACTATAATAGAGTGTGTGATGAGAAGTTCGGTGCTTGCAGTCCTAAATTTTCCCCTTATGTACTGCGTTTATAAGATAAACTTGATGAGCCTTCTACTCTGTACAAGGCGTCAGGAAGTGAGTGCATTTACACGATCGACATTGCCCCGCTGTAGTTCTCTCGCGCTGCCCTTGTTTTTATTGCTAATAGTTGCTCTGCGCATATTTTCTTTCCACAGCTGTCGAATCTCATGTTACATGGCATTGCCTGTACAGCTGCTCCAGAGTGCTGCTGTTTCACACTCATTGACACATCACCTCCGCCATCATTCGCTAGATGCTCAAATTTTTAGCTAAAACCTGCACACCAACTGCTCCGGATTACATATCCTTTTCAGGTAACGATACGCCTGTCCAATGGAGTCCCAGGATGAGGACTCGAATCGTCAAATCTTCCTGGCGGATGGAAACCGGTTATTATTCATATAGAGATAGAGTGCTTGGAGCTGCGATCGAAAGAACAAATAATCAGAAATATCCAACACCCTAAAGGGCAGACCGGGCTGTTCACAATGACTGAGCTTGCGCGCACCCTGCCAGCTTCTTGGTACTGCAGCCCTCCGCTTTATCAGCTTGAGCGGAGAGCTGTGTTCATGAAGGTACGTGCGCTAGTAGCCTCGATGAAAAGAAAGATCTATCTCTGATTTCTACAGTGTTGGTACCTACTTGGCCCGGTAAGCCGATTCCGGAATATCGGAGATCAAGTCGAGTATGAAATAGCTCAGCAACAAATTCTCGTCTCTCGAATCTCCGGGGACACTCCTTTCCCTGAATCAGGCGAGATCGAGGTTGTTTGCGCAAAGACTGTAAGTAGTACTACCATGCAGAACGAAACACCGGGAGTGGTTTGCATAACCCCGAGCCTCGATTCCATAATCTAAGTGAAACTGGTTTAACTTGAGTTCAGGGACGACCACGTCGCTGCCATGTCACTCCCACTGGCCTTGTCTTTGCTACTGTGTCGGATGAAGCACCAAGTTTCCAGGAGTATTTCCCGGACTTGGAGCCGTTACTACAGAAAGTGGACTTTACCAAACGACCCTACAGGCGAAGTATAAAATACGAAGGGCGCTTCAACTGGAAGACAATGTAATGGCCTAGCTCGATGAATGCATAGGGATTATCCTGATCTGAGCTTTTTGACAGGGTGGATGGCTATCAGGAATGCCTGCATTGCCAATATACGCACCCGTCGTTCTCTGTGTATTATCCGCCAACTTTCTACAAGGTCCACAACCACCAGAATTTTTCGCAGCATATTGCAGATCCGAAAAAGCCAGATGATGGACTGTTTCTCTATTTCTTCCCGAACTGCACTCTGAATGTTTATGGGGGAGGGATGTCGTCTTTCCGAGTCTGTCCAACGGAGGATCCAAACATCACCAGAATGGAATTCGACTATTATCATTTGGAATCTGGCGACAAATTTGAAGACTATTTCAATTTTGTCCGGCAGGTAGCCATGGAAGACTACGAGCTCTGCGAAAAAGCGCAGGGCAACCTTGAACAAGGAGTCTATAGTGAGGGGATACTGAACCCGGAGAAAGAGAACGGCGTTTCCTGTGAGTATGATGCATGACTGGGGCTACATTTCTAACGACTCATGTTTTCAAGATTACCAGGATCGAGTCTTCGAGATGGTGTGTGAGCAACACATCATTGATAGGTTGGACCACATCTCTCTCGACTCTACCGCCGACGGTCACGAGAGGAGTCTTGAAGCTGCTGCGTGATGGTGCACGTCAACATATGTAATTGTTTTCAAAAGGCATTGAGCTCGAAGGTATTGGAATAGCCTCCGTGTAGATGGTTTAGTATTGTCAGCAGAAAGAACTGTTTGACAGTAGAGAGTACAAGTTGGCAGCCTACAGGAATATCAACATACTATCCTATATCGCTAGCAAATTCTGTCAACGCAACATCGGTAGATTAGATCCTTGGATGACGCACGCGCCCTGGAAAAGCCCTCCCAATCAGGCAATACTATGAGGGGTCAACGCTATTTGCCATGAGCGCCGATTCTACCTAGGCAAGAGAAGAACTAGGATGCACGATGGTGGAGACCAGGCGGGCATTGATGCTGATCAACTTGGGGTCCTGTTAATGATTTCTCTTAAAGCACTGATGGCTTCCTGTGCGAGAGGAAGGAACCACTAAAAGGTTTCTCTCCAGTGATAACATGAATTCTTTCAATGCCGTTTTCCCCGTGGCGCCTGCTCCCATGCTGGTTGCATTGCTAGCGGGAATTGTCTTCCTATATCGAGCCTGGCGCCATCTCTCCATCATTGGAAACCTGCAACTACACCCCACAAAATCCAAGACCTTCGATCCAGCCACAAAGCCTGACGCCGTGAAAGATGAAGCGCACAACGTTTCCAAGGAGCCAGATTTTCCCGCAGACTGGTGGACAGGAAAGAACGTCTTCGAGCTCGAGAGACGAGCCATCTTCAGTAAAGTGAAATAGATAGCTTCCATAAAAGCTTTATGGGATTTTTTTTCACTAAGTCTAGTGAGTAGACATGGCTGTGTCTGTCCCACCGCAGTCAATTTTCCAAACCGGGGGACTATCGATCATTCGAGGTAGCGGGATTTCCTATCTTCTTGGTGCTGGGAAAAGACGGCGTCGTTCGGGCATTTCACAATGTCTGTCGTCACCGAGCATATACTGTCATCGAGAAAGAATCTGGATCGTCTCCTGTCCTCCTCTGTCGATATCACGGGTGGAGCTACAACACGCTTGGGCAGCTCATTAAGGCTCCTCACTTTGACCGCGTTTCAGGGTTCGATAAATCAGAGAATACCCTCTTCGAGATTTATTCGTTTACAAGCGAAAGAGGCTTTATTTTTGTTAATTTCGACGCCAGCGCAGTGGTGCCACCACCTGATACCAGCATCCTGGATGCTTTTGCATACAAGAATGGTATTCAGGTACAGACTAGCTGGGTAGCAGGACAGGCTATTGAAGGTGCATTTAACTGGAAAATGTGTCGTGAGTTTTTCCCCTAATCCTGCGTCTTACGTTCGGTGAAATGGTGATTGACTCCTCACAGTCAGATACGAACAATCTGTAGATGGTACCGGATTAGAGCATCTGGCAAAACAAGGCGCGTTTCAGTATATTAGAGGTATCTTGAGCTCTATCCAAAGAAGCTCGGACATTTCTCTAGTCTTTCCCATAACCTATCTCCATACTATCAAAGGTACAGAGTACTGGTATTCGCTGAATTTCATTCCCGTATCTGAGCGAAGGACCTCGATCCGATATGACTTGTTTTGCAACAGTTACGCAGGAACCAGCTCTGGTGCAATTTCGGAGAAGCTTACGAGCCTTTTGGCTAAAAGGGTTAGCGAATTGGAGATAGAATACCAATCCTATGCTTCCGGAGAAAGGTAAGACACACCACTATGCATTGGAGAAATGCATCTATACTGACACTTTCAATTTGCAATAAGTGACTCTGTCCCCTCGAGTTTTTATTCAGGTAGCTTTCTACATGTTCCCCATGAGGGAAGTCTACTAATGTGGTGATTAGACACGCAGAGGGATATCCTCAACCACCTTGAATCACATACAAAACTTGAGAAACTAAAGGGCACAGAGATATCTCCAGCTACAAGAAAAGCGAGAAGTAACACGAGGTTTCAGCAGGCTGAGCAGTGTAAGTGAGCAGTTCTGTATAGGTGTTTCATCGACACAATGGCTAAATATTGCAGTATGTAAACAGCTCGACTGTCAAAGTAACCCCAAGCATAAAGACCTTGCCTGGTGAAGAGAAAGTGTAAGGGCTCCTAAATCTTTATTTAAAGACGATTCCTCTACAATCTAATATAAACATACTTGTTTCCATATCCCCTCTAAAGAGCACGACAGAATCCCCGGAGGATGGTAGACATTCATATTATAGTCCGCATCTGTCAGTTATTAGCCGATTGACGGTCTCGCACAACCAGTTACATAATGTAGCATCCCTGTATATTAAGGGCTCTGTAGAGTGAAATTTGCACCTATGCCACAGCTTAGCACTGCACATCTTTCTAGCCGGATCCCTTTCCACCGCCGTGGCCATTTAGCGAGCTGTGGGATTCGAACAAACTATTCCTTGTTATAGACCTGGTTGGGCACTATCTCCAACAGTGGTCTCTTCAGACTCATCTGGTGTCTTGCCACGACGCCACCAACCCGCCCGGAGGATGGTGAGAAGATCTATATATCAGTTCCCAGTCTTGGCGTCCGAAAATGTGGTCGATTTGTTTGCAGGAATGGCCTGGCCACATTGCTTATCCACTCCTCTTGCCCTGTTTTTTCTCTGATAATCATAGCCACAGTAACATACTCACTATCCATCAAGTTACAGTGGACAGTCCATTAATCCGCTGCTATTGATTGATTGATTCAGCGTGTAATCCATCTTCTTTCTCACATCCCCGCCAAGAGAGATCGGCCCAACCGTCTGCTAGCTCCACATCTTGCAGCGCTCCAAACCGCACAGCTGTGAATCTCGTATCTTTTTATATCAACCCGTGTCTCCTCCAGCTCAATGTCCAGATCTGTCACTTCAGCTGAGGATCTCCGAACCAAAAGCGAGCCGTTAAACCTTCGGACCGGAAATCAACCATCAAGCCAATCATATTGCACCGCAAGGATACAGTCGTACCTCGCGTTCGTATAACAGGGATCGCCGCTGATCATCTACAACACGAGTCAGTCCGCTGTCCTGGACGAAAGATTCCACGTGTTTCCTTTCTTCCATGATGGCGTTGCCCCCGGTCGTGAAGGCTTCGCTTCAGTCTACGCTGATCAATGCCGGGTCAAATATTCTGGCCCAGGGTATCCAAGCACATCAGAATGAGGTATGATTCCCAGGCCCTTTGGATGGCATCGATGGTACAGGAATCGGCGAAAGACAGTGACAGCAGCCTGTCAACATCTCCCACCCTGGAAAAGTCACGATTTCTCTAGCTCTAGACTACCTACATGGCTATTCACACAACTCCGACCTGATGGATTTCACTGATAATTACCCTGCCAATCGGCGTCACCATGCATGGAGTAATATGCAGATAATAATACCTGCAAATACTCCAACATGGGATGCCGGGAGGATCCGCTTCCACAGACACCCTTTGAATTAGACCGTCAGGCATTGTGGCTATTTACCACGTGTGCCTTCCTGATGTCACCCTTTACCTTTTTGTGGCTTGAAGGCCTGGAGGCAGCATTTCCCGGCTCATACGAGGACCCCAGATCCAAGCCAGAAAACGGGAAGGAGAAAAACGCCAGATCGAAATTCAACGTGAAAAATATCGTGGCCAAGGTTGTGATTGACCAGACAGTTGGTGGCGCCTGGAACACATTCCTTCTGATTTCCATCATGGGGTTCCTGCGCGGACAGGACTATGAGAGCATCATGGGACACGTGCGAAATGTACGCATCTTTCTCGTTTCTCCCATCAGAGGATTTTGCTAGGATTTATTTTTGACATTATGTGATAGGAGTTCTGGCCCCTGCTGTTCGCCGGGATGAAACTCTGGAGTTTTGTTTCGATCTTCAACTTCACGTTGGTGCCTGCGGATAAGCGAATGCTGTCTGGAAGCCTTTTTAGCGTGGTCTGGGCCATCTACCTAAGTTTACGATCTGGGTAGTTGCAGGGTGCTGGGGTTAGCCAGATCTTTGGGTTTTGGCATGGTGTGCCTGCACTGGCTGGTAGAGTTTCGACTAGTTCCCGGGCTGGATCCAACGTGGATTGGTTCTTTCGGCTAGTTGGGATGAAATAATTTTAAGGTGGATCGTAACGCACTCTGCAGTTGTTAAGATGTTGGTGGATTTGTGACTTTGGCTTTGTTGGAACTTGGTGGGACCAAGAATAGGGGCAAGCATGCTCACCTAAACCCGAGGGGCGAAAAGGGGTACACTCTGAACAAAATATACTCGATAGAGAGAATGTATCATTTCGGGAATATTAGAGGACAACTCCTGTTGCTAGTTGCTACTTGTCACGCAGAAGAGGGTTTCATACGGACTGAGTCCCTAGGTTCTCCGTAGATCAATCCATACCATATTAAGTTCCACTGACGGGACTGACCACGAGGCAATGAAGTTTCAAAGTTCAAAGTTCAAACCCGTTCCTTATCTATTGATCCACCTGTCGACCACGCGTCTGATCTGACAATGGCCCCCAACCTCCTGTCTCAAGTCCTGTAGTGAGGGACTAGTGATCGTATCTCTCACCCAGCTCTTCGTGTAGCGGATTGGATTGGATTAGATGCAGTCCACGTTTCCACTAGCGCAGGGGCTGAAGAGTTCCAGTTTCCGCCTTGTCTTGTCAGATTGTCCCTCTACGGGGGATGTCCACGAAAGGATTGTTACTTGAGGATGATTACGTAGTATTATTTTCCATCGGAGGAAGGGGATATGATGAAGGAATTGTCTCCCCTCTACAAGCGGGCAAGAAACCAAAGATGGGCCGGTGGGATGTTCGGACCAGCTACGGGTGTCCCTGGGCACTAAGCATATCCACAGTGGGGAGATTGGCCCAAATCGAAAGAACTGAGAAACTATTAGAGACTTAAGAGGAGAGTATACTCCGCTAACGGCCGGGACGGAGTATATAGATCCTACCTACTCCGTTCTCCGTACTAAAGAACGGCCATGCTCCGCTCTCCTCTGTACTTCTGGAGGACAGAGAGTACCTAGGACTTCGACACATCACTATCGAGGAACTGCGCTGGCGGCAAAATGCAGAATTTTATGCACGGAGAAGAGATAAATCACACGCCAATGTTGGTGGATTGACCAGGCCAATTGGATAGATTAAGTCGTCTGGAGGTCTACCGGGGGGAGTACTTGCAGCCGGATTTCTAGTTGAGGTAACCATTGACCAGGAAAATAGGCGGCAGTGGGTCGTACTTTAAGGAGTCATCGTGGAATCCAAATAACAGGCAAAGAACGGTGGTCTCCCAGAAAATGGTCCCACTATATTGTGCCCAAGCCTGCATTGATGCATCTTCTTCTCCATCAGCGCGCGAAAGAGATTAGACCTCATGACCCTTATGTGATAAAAGTTGATAGATACATACATACTCTGTAAAACTAAATATAACCGCTACGGCACTTGTATGGATGCGTACGGCATGCCCGTCGCTCACACAGCCCCCATGCTGATTGGTATGTTTGTACTTTAGCCCCAGAAACTAAAAAGTCAGAAGTGGCTCGAAATACTGCAGTAGGGAATGGACTTTTCCCCAAATTAGTTTTCTACCTGCAAGGTGCAGAAAAAGTTGATGGTTTTCCAACCTGTGGACGTCGATCGCAAAAATGGGTGAATATTCCATGGTTCACTCTTCTTTTTCAAGAAAAGAAACTCAACTTATTACTATAATTTGATAACACTATCAGGATTTCTTATGAGTCTTATTTAATAAAAAATAATTTTAAAAAAAAGAGCGTGCTGAATGTGTCCAGCCGATGTTCTATACGAATACTCGAGGTTACCGTCACATACTGTCCAACCCCATTCTTCTCCACTCCGGAGCATGCATTAATACCGTAATCAGCGTCATAATACGGCCCCTCCATCACGGATCTTCCATCTATCCATTCCATCCGCTTTCTATGATTCCATCCACAATTCCACCTCTCCCTGTCTAACTCTGACCACCCCTGGATCACTCGACCTTGGCTTCAGCCTATCTGGACTACTATAAGTAATCCTACTCCATAATTAGCCTTCCATGCCACCATGTCTCCTCCTCCTCCTTACAGACTCCCAGCGGAGAATCGGTGGCACGTGGTGGTCAGGCCGACAACTGCTCTAGTCCGAATAAATTAATAATAGTATATGATCGTCGATCCCCCCATCGGAGCTGCTCTTCTGCAGGCCAATTTTCTTTGTAAACGACCTGTGTGTGGCAGTCTTTATCCTGCGCCTCAATCTTCCTATTGGTTAGTGCCTCTATTGAAGCCATAAAAACAGTCGATTTTCTGCTGCAGACGCAAACTGACGACTTACCATCAGTATCTCGCGCCTTTCTTTGTTCCAGTTCCTCTAACATCACCCCGGTTATAGGATATCTCTTTGAGGGTCGGAACTCAGCTATCTTGCCGAATTCCAGGATTGTTTGACTCCTGCTAGTATAGCAGGAGTGCTCTTCTTTCACCTCCCTAAAGCCATTTGATCTCCGTAGAAAGAAAGAAAACAAGGAGTCAAGGCCTCGGTCGAAGTAACACAGTTCTATATTAGCAACAAAAGGAAGCACAGACTAGCAGTTTTGGATAATGTACACTTGCGAAACGACTCCCAGGCAACTTGCTGTCTAATCAGTCACAGCCACGATTCCTTTACATCACTTATATCCTGGTGGAAAGGGAATCCGGACTTCTACCCACTTCCACCGACGATTAGGTTCTCTCCTTTTTCTCTCTCTCTTCGGCTTGATTTTGAAATAGCTGCCTTCGGCCATTGGACGCGAGTTAAACACCCCTTTGTTTTACAAGATGAGGACGTTGTCCCCTGTTGCGTTTTCTTCAGCCCCTTCGAGGCAGTCAGAGAATACAATGGCATCTTTAAGAGGCCGAGTCTCGCCCCTGCCCCCTAGAAACGATGCATACTGGTTCGATGATGAGATGGATGATGACGATGGGCGGCCCATCTCTCCCATGTCTGATCGAAACCTGCATCGATCGGGAACTCATTTCCTCCGTTTTTTCCCGGAGCTCTCCTCTCATTTCACACTCGCATCTCCAACAATTGCAACTCCGCAGACGATAGACTTTCCTCGCCCCGACTCGCCCACAGAGTATGGCCTGGAACCTCACTGCTTGCCGGAGTCTGCAAGACAAACATCATCTTCGTTGTCGTCAAATGAGCTATTCGATCGTGCCTCGTCGTGCTACAGTTGTCGATCATCCGTGACCAGCCAGAGTTCTGACGCCGGCAAGTCTGCGTCTAACCCCACAGAGACATTCTCCGAAATGTCCCCTGCAGTTGCAGGTGTATTCGATGATAGTGCACCTATGCGGCACGCTCCTCACAGCCCGTTAAAGAAAATGCCGACCTTGGCGGAGTTGAAGGATAAGCCGCTTCCCTTGGAGCCGATAATTCAATTAGCTCCATTGTCGTTCCGACACAATGCTCGAGATCAGCCTCAAGGGTTCGGTGATCGGCTGGGCGACCCTTCGACCAACCGAATGCATTCTGGAAAGGCGAAGCGTGGCCATCATCCGACTCTCTCTCTCCCAAGCAGCCGAGGATCTGGAAAACGCTCTTGCTGGGCTTGGGGACAAGCCTCTTCCATCGTCGAAACCGTTGTATGTACTCGACGAGCCCTTGCAGATAAGCCGGGGAAACATGGACATGATTCCTACCCGAAGAGCACCTCCACCCCCCATTGATGTGCAGCGAAGTCAACAGTTACGCAGTGCGAAATCACGCGAGGATTTGAAACCGAAGAAGACACCTAAGAATAAAGCACCGTTCTCGTTTACTTTGCCCGGTTTCGGTCGCAAGGCTAACCGACTTGACACGCGATCACCCAGCAGTTGCGATATGAGGTCAGAAGCCGGGTCACCGTCACCAGTGGTCCGTGAGGAAGTGTCGACACCTACGAAGTTCGAGGAAAGATATAATTCGATGGAACTCCCAGTATTTATGAAGTTCGAGTCTCCACCGCCGCCACCGCCGCCGTCGTCTTTCTACACTAGCGAACAGGAATTGCGTCTGCAACTTCCTCGCCTGCAGACTGACGAAATCGAAGGGATGTACTCAAGATCTCCCAGCCGCGCAGGAAACATGACAAACGGTAGCACCAGCCCAGCCCCAATATTAATACTCGAGAGAGACCAAGACGATGCCTACGAGGAGAAAATATTTATTTCATCTAGCAAGGACACGCATTCGAATACTAATGGTGCGTCTTATGATCAAGAAACAATGCAGATCCTGGACATGATCTACGAGCTCGATGGAGACTACCCCGAGCTGCGAGTTGACCCTGCCCCTGCTATCTCAGTCCGTGGATCATTGGTGACCATGCCCGCTAATCTACCCGACAAGATTGTTCTTACAATCCTAGAACAGGCGTGTTCACTCCCTGATCTCTTTCATCTTGCGGTTGTTTGCAAACAATTTTATCGTATTTTCAAGGACCATGAACTGCGGCTGATGAAATCTGTTGTCTTTACAATGTCCCCACCGGCGTGGGAATTGCGCGAAATGAGCCCGGCTTGGGATAGCGAATGGCAGATCCTAGTCGATCCCGACGCTCCGGTGCCAGACTATACCCCCTCCCTTTATCTGCAACGCTACGCCCAAGATATATTTACGCTCGTCCAAATCAAAGGCCTTATATTAGCTCGATGCGATACTTTTGTTCGGCCGGAGACAAAAGGCGGTCTCTTGGGTACCGATGAGTCCCGGGCAATGGCGATCGATGACGCCTTTTGGCGCATCTGGACGTTCTGCCGTCTTTTTGGTTGTGGAAAGAATAGAGAAGGTGATATTGTTGGCCAGTTGGACTGGATAGATGGAGGTATTGCAGCCATGGATAGACGCACCTCCACGTCCATGTCCGTCACTGATCCATTTGGCACGAACAGTGCTCTGTTCGATCCCCCGGATGGGTTTGCAGAAGGTAACAAATGCGGTTTGTCGCAAGATCAACTGTACGATATGACGGAAATGTGGACTTGCATGGGCGTACTGCTCCAACCACTTCATGGCAAGTGCCGAGAGGCACGGGACGCTGGAATATTTGACGGCCATGGTGTTCCAGAAAACGATGCTGTAGAGGAGGCAGTCCTGGGTTAGTTTTTCTTTTGCTTCCACCCATCTTTTTTTTCTTTTCTTTTTCTTTTTTTTTTCTCTTTTATTTCCCGTTAGATTTTTCTTTTCCATGGTCAAGCTAACGTTTTCCGAATGGACAGAAGAGTGGACTTACTACGTTCTATCGCTTGGACCTTCAGCAGTCTTGAATATTGGATTGACATGCTCCACAGGAAATGTCACTGAGGCCTTCCAAAAAGCTCGCTCGCTGGGTTTGACAAAGTGGGAGCTGGACGAGTCAGGTGTCGGTCGGTCCAACTTTCTAAAAGAGGCTGTCTCGAGGGCTTATAGGCCTCGGGAGGACCTTCTTCTAGGAACATCACGACTGTCAAAAGACAGCTCGCGGCCGTCAAGTTCTCGCGGTCATCATTCGCGGGCAAGCACTGACTCCAATGGGAGCAAGTCTCAAATCCCCAACCATCGTCGAAGACAAGCTGTTTATGCTGAACAACTTCGAAACCGGAGAAGAGACCAACAAGGCCATAGCAGCCATGCTTTATCAAATGAGCGTCCGATCTCGAACTATGGCGTGATAATGAATCACTTGGAGGGTCAGCCACACGAGCGGCTTCCGCCACTGGCTGCTTCAGGTGAAAGGGCATCTCCGAGGCCTTCCTCCGGTGAACAGTATACGCAGCGTCTCCGGGTCCCTCGACCTGTTGCTTCGTCCCAGCCGCAGGTCCGCGATCCCGTCGACCAAGCCATCGACATGATGGTCGGTGAGCTCGGCTTTAATGTAGACGACGCCAAGTGGGCATTGAAGATCACCGATACAGGGGAAGGGATTGATGTCAATTCCGCGGTGGCACTGCTGATGAGGGGGCACAGGAACTGCGAGCTTAACAGGGACATGTCCCAACAATCGCAGCCCAGCAGTCTTTTATCGACAGTTATGGCCAGCCCGGCATCTGGGTGGAGGTGGACCTGATCCATCTGTTCTTGGTGCTCATCCCTGCAATTTTTTGAGCGTTTGCATCTTCAATTACGATTTACAAATTTTTCAACCTTTTTTTCTTATTTGTTTGTTTGAGACCGTTTGCGTTGCATTTTTCTTTCGTTCGATACCCACTATGTACATACAATCATTCCTTGGATTGCAAAAGACGGTGTACGTCATAAAGGCCTAGCTTGAGGCAATTTGTTGGAGGCTTGTTGCATCATTTGATAGATACAGGAAGCGTTTGAATTATTCATGTTGCAGATACATTTTGATCACTCAACAATCACATAACACAGTGGAAATCGCAGCTCACTGGTGGATATACACAGTATACATTTGTCCTCAATGGAAATCTAAATTCAGCTTATTTTGGCGGAGAGATCAATGTCTGACATGAAGTTTTCATAAGTGGCGATATCTAGAATGGCACAGTCGCACTGAACCGTCATAGCTCGCGCTGGAAGTTCCAATGCTCGGAGATCTCTTGGAACTGACGGGCTTGGCACCCACTACGATCAGAATACCTTGCTGTACGCTCTCTGGCTTCTGCGTGACTCCACCGTCACGACTCCGTACCAATTCACCGGCTCCGGACAAGCAGAGGAGGCTACCTTGACATCCAGCACATTGACCAACGTTTCCTTAATGAGGTCCGCTGCCTCGCCGGTGCCACCGAGCGCCTTGAGATGACCAAAGATTACCGTGATCCAGTAGCGAATCTGTCCGTTGGCTCGCAGGGTCGAGACGTGCGCACCGCGGGGAGTAAACGTGGCGTCGAACATGGTAGAACGCTGGCCATGATGGTCATTTTGCAGACTCCTTTGACTCGCCATGCGCGTAGATAAGCGATCGCTTCATGCCGATATCGAACGACAGGGCGCCAGCAGATGCGACGGCCGTCTTGATCCCATTAAATGCCACCGGGTCGTATCTGTCGCCAATGATGATAGTGATGCGAAGACTGGCGATGGTAGGCTCACTGGGCGGAAATTTCATCTGCGAGAGATGCTTGGAGCGCTTCCCGTGGTCGGACGATATGCCTTCTCCAGCACATGAGCACCTGCAGTTTCAGCGACCTGCTGGGCTAGACCCAGGACGATTTCAGCGCGACGATAGCCGGCTAGTCGGGTGTAGACGGTGGGGTCATCGCAATGGTCTATCTCGAAGCCAAATGCCTTCTTTATATGCTCTTTTTTTGTGGGCAGACATGGAGTGGTAGAAAAGTTGGGCCTGGTTGATGTGTTCGCGGAACTTGGCACTCCGAGCTCGCTTCTTAAGGCCGCCAATCTTCTCTGATATGACTCGAAGCCTCCTTGGGGAGACACAGGGGTTGCGGCCTCGAAGGGATTGGGCCAGTACTTGACGGTACCCTTTGCGATGCGATGACGCTTCTGTCGCGATTGTGGCTCACTACAGGACAGACCTGGCGATTGATGGGAATTTCCTCCCAAATGTCGCCCAATCCAATCGACTGATCTGGGTATCGAAGTAGGAAAATTTTCGGCCCTGCCGCAACGGATCGTCGGAAAAGTCAATGCCGGGCACGACATGGCTGGTGCAGAAGGCCACTAGCTCAGCTTGAGGGAAGAACTCGTCGACGATTGCGTGTGATTGGCAATATGGAGCTCAATCGCAACGTCGACGAGTTCTTCGGGCCAGATTTTAGTGGCAACCAAAATGGCGAACACAAAGTGGCCCTGTTTCTCTTCGGGGATGACTTGGATAGCGAAGGCCCACTTGGGATACGCTTTATTGTCGATGGCTTCTATCAGGTCCTTGCGATGGGAGTCCGGGTCCTGTCCGGCCAGCTTCAAGGACTCATCCCACACCAGGGAATGCACTCCCAAATGAGGGATCCAGAGGAACTTGACGAAATGTCGCTTACCTTCCTTGTTGACCGGCACGAAGGTGTTGGCGCCAAAGCCCTGCATCATACGGCCAGACCGCGGAATCGCTGTCTGACGTGACTAACATGAACAAGAGTGTGGCTTCGGGATGGAGATCCACGAAGTTTCAGAAGTTGTTATGGGCTGTCCGGCCCAGGGGCACTTCATTATATGGTTCGTTCGGGCTTGACCGAATGGACTCTGCAGATGGGTTAGCCACGCGCAGGCCATTTAGCAAAAAGTCACTTATACCAAAATCAGGAAACTTGACGGCATCTTGGATGAAGAAGACGGGGATGTTGTTATTCACGATGTCATTTGCTTCCCTAAACTGTGGAGAAACGAACGAACACCGGCGTGTTCCTGGAAGTGTCGGTCAAGACGCCCGCATAGGTGACATCTTCAGCGCCCTCCAGCAGTTGGAAGTTTCCGAACGCTCCAGTGCCACGAGCATACAACACTCTTTCAGGGACCCGCTCACAGTCGAAGCGATGGATCTAGAGCATGTTAGAATAAAACGCCGTGTGTTGAAGACGGTCTCGTCTGGCTATACCTTTCTCGTACGATCTGATCCTCCTGGAGTGATAGCCTCGAGTTATCCTCATCCACAGGTAGAAGCCATTGATTAGTATTTCTGATACGCTCTCCATGATCGGCTGTCAGGGGCTGTTTGTTATGTACATTGGTCGTGTCATTGGCCAGATCTACTAGTTTTCTATCCTTCGATGACGCGTTTTGGGCGGCTTCTTGGGATTTGCTTAGGTCTTCTACAATGACAGCCGCCATTTTACCGACTCAGGCGTATCAATTTTCGATTATATGAACAAAACAACCAATGCGATTACATTCCATGTGTCTAATTCCCAGAGCTGTCATAATGGGTTATTAAAATGGGGTTGAAGTATCGCCTTCTGGGCGTAAAGATGACGTTCCGAGCAACCAAAAACGTAACCTAGACCTCTGCTCTTCAACTCCACCACATCCTTGTCGGATTTATGGTCGACGGTCAATATTATTTGATGTTGTTGATGCTGAGAGATAGTCGCCATCCATGGTGCGACGCCGATCACCATCCACCAAACTTTCCAGGATTCTCTCTCCTGAGGAACCAGACCATAACGCTCGGTGTATCCACAGTAGAAACCCTCCATGGACAGACGACACGCAACAACCAGGCATTACTATGGAGATGACAAAGTCCTTGCAGAGATGATCGTCTTAAATCGTCGACTATGGGAAGGTTTTCCTAACGCTGTGGTGCATCTACAGGAAAACAAAGGCCATGAATATCACTCCGCAACAGCCAGTAGAGAGAAGGTTCATGACAATTTGAGTTCTTGGAGGCGAAGGGACGAAGCTTATCTGTTATAGCAGGTATACCTCTACTCTCTAGGACTCAAGGATTCATCTAGAGCTGGTTTTGATGACGCTATCGACATCCCTGACCACCAGAATGGTGGATCTTGGTGCTTGATTAGGTCATTTATCCTACGAATGCAGGATCGTAGCATAGAAAGGAATCCCCCCCTACGGATTTATTGATCGATATGCTTAATATAGTTATAAAGGACGGCCTCATGATATCGATGAAGGTTATGGAAAACTTCCTTCGCGTTCTTCAGAATTTAACTTTAATTATTTCATTTTTTCGGCAACAAACGTGGCGTGCACTATGACCACACCCTACTTACATCCATGAACGCAGGAGCCAACCCGACGTTGTGACGGAGTAGACTATTGCCCCAACTATGTCATCTGCCATCAATTATTGGATGCACCTTGAAGGGTTGTGATGTATCACTTCGAGCTGCGAATGTTCGTGGCGATCGGCAACGACCAGTTCGTTTGTCGGTCGTTCAAAGATGCCAGGTGGGACGCCAAACACATCGTCTGGACCAGATAAACTACGAATGCAATTTCAAAGAGCGGAATGGAGTTCTCACATCTATAAATACAGGCATGGACAGAAGCCACAAGTCCTGGAGCTTAGACGATGCGGTGAATCCATTCTCTCGATGGTCGACGCAAGGGGTCCACAATGTTTATTGAATCGCGCCAGGGAGTGAAACGAGGAGACCAGGAGACTCGACTCATCGTCTGCAGAGCTGGGTCACCGATTGATTCATCCAGCATTGGATGGAATGGCCGCAGAGAAGGGAAAGTATCGAACACAATTGTCTCTCCCTGTCTCCAATTATTCCATCGATCAATATCTCTACCTCGCCCGCCCACCAAACTCCTTAGCCTGCCTACGTTCCGCAAAGGATGCGAGGGATGACAAGCTCTGACTCCAGTCCTTGAAACGAAGAAAGTATGCGAGAAGGCCGTTTACTGTTGGCGGAGAAGTCTTGCATATGCGCGCCAGCAGATCCCACAGTTCATTGAAAATGACGCCTCACCCGTTCTTTCATGTCTGAGTTCATTCTCGAATTTCTATCTGAAACCTCACGGAAGACCGTGAACCCTTGGACCTATTCGTCTTCTTTTTTTCTTGCTTCCTTGGCTTCGTCCCTTGTCCCATTCCTCGCCTCTCTTGTCTCCGTCGCCTCACTTTCCTCCAATGGTGACTATGACGTGCGCTCGTTACACATCGCTTTCTTCTGAAAGGTGAGCTCATGCAACCTCGCTGCATCCCCGGCTGCGGCTCTTACAGCAATCAGTGTGCCCACTGACTGTGTGTACCGATTGACCCAGTGATGTTCCCGAGACGAGTCTGGAATTCGAGAAGCAGATTACACTAGGCGATGCACCGCACACCACCCCCAGCCGGTTGAAAGCCAAAACGCGTATCCTCCGAGCGTCCGATGTCCTGTTGTCTTTGGTTGGGAAACCCACGAGTGGTACGCACTTTCTCCGGCTACCGGCATATCGATGCATGAGAGGTCGACCTCTGAGAATGCTAATATGGCAAACATTGAACCTCCAGATACGCGACAGGCATCAGCCGGCATAGAGAACTTCCAGGAAGTCGTCCGTCTATTCCCGCCGTTTCGAGATGATGATGCGGCCACCTTTGGGGCAGTCGACGTCAAATGTCCCGATTGTGATGCTGTCTTTTCTTCTCCGTGCGATTCCCTTCCCTATTTCCGCAAGGGGGACAGCTTGTTTTGACCAGCCATGCGTAGGACCGAACTCAAACAGCACTATCTCACTCGCTTCTGCCCCGGCGCTGCCGTCGCCGTATACGTGATGACACGGGATCGGTAATTGCATCTTTCCAGTGGATGAGGAGGAGGTATACTGATGAGTCTGGGTCCCTCTTAGTTTAATTACAAAAGGCTATCGTATGGAGAAACGGCTTATCCCGCTCGATTGCCGCCCTATCCGTTTCTTTTGCAATAGCTGCGAGAGGCACTTCGCTGTCGGTGACCATGATGAGGAAAAGGTGGACAGGCAGCGGCGTAGGACACCCCTTCACTCCCTTCACCGTCTCTTCCAGTCCCTAACGATCTGTCCTCGCAGGTGCACCCTCATTCGTCAAATGCAAGCATTGCGGAGAAAAGTGCAACATCTCGTTAGTTACTACCCCTGATCATGCGCTCCATGACCAGTCAGCAGTGATTCTTACACCTTGCAGATATGAACCCGTCTTAAATGATCCCCGTGACGACGCTAGTTTCCGAGATGTTCAGAGAGATCTGGCAAACATCAGTCACAGTCGAAGCTCCAGTCTTGCTTCTCCGAGGAACCCTTTGGGTTCCAAGTTCCCCACGAGCATAGGATTCGGTGGTGAGCAGCAGTCATTTGCGCAGCGGGCTAGGAAATTTCGGGATTCGTGGTCTCTCAGGAGTATGGGTTCTATCATCTCAGTGTCTTCTATATAGCTGATCCCTGCTAGAATTTTCGCAAAGTGACGAAGATGAACTAGTAGCTATCAGTTTTGCTGGGTTATATGATCTAGAGAGAGGTAGGTGTCCCGGTTGTGAGTAGTCAATGTTCTTTGATGTTGACGCTAATTGAACTCAGTGCACGCTCCTAACGGCGTGTACCAACAGTTTGAGGGCAGTTCGACGGGCCCGACTCATGAACAGTCGGTGGCGAGCTTCACGTCGAGCGGTATGAGCAATATCCACCGACAACCTGGCCTCGAGACTTTACAGAAAGTGCTGACAGGAGCTGTCCACAGCAAACGGCATGCCGTTCATAGACTGCAAGGGGGACAGTTTGGCCCTTTGTGCCGAGGATGAACATTACAGAAGTAATTTGCAGGCCAGCTCGGATGGGGCACTGATAGATGAAAATGACAGCTCTCGAAGTACCCCCGTATCACCTCGGAGGCAATCCTTCCTCCAGAAGATTTTCGGTCGAAAGACGCCCAAAGGTCTGTTCGCCCCATTCTTCACGTTGAGCTGTACAACTGAGTCTATCTAGGGTTATCACGCTCACGATCTACGGTAAATCGGGGCAAGAAACTGATCAAACGAGCAAATACCATACGATTCTCGCTAGTCGCCAAATACTCCAGAAGTGAAAGCAGAGCAGCCACTCGGGAAAGTGTCCGAATATCAGAGGAGACACAGCCAGTCAATTCATCAGAGCCGGGGCAGGATCCAAACTCTCCTGCGGTTTGCGACACCGAGTACATTATGCTACTACGGGGCAGTCAGAATATTTTCATCCACATGCAATACATCTCAGGGGGGGCGGTGGTCCACGATGCGTCCGGACGTCAGCGGGTTCTTCAAATGGACGAGGTGGCTCAGCTTTACCTCCAGCTAAAGGATGAGATGTCGGCTGCTACAGTCTGGTCCCGAACACTGACAACCAGATTGCGAGCTGAGGCGGCGCTGAACCAGGGAAACTACAAGGCAGCCGTTGTTGAATATCGTGATGCCTTGAAAACGCTTGAAGGAACCCCGGCGCTGGATGTTGACAAGTTGTCACGGGCTGCCATGCTGCATTCGCTGGGCCAGGCATATTGCAACCTGGACATGACGACCGAGTCCGAGGCATGTTACTTAGAATCTCTGGGATTGTACAAGCGTACTCTAGGGAGGGATAACCAGAAGAACTATGCCGTGCTTCACAACCTCGGGGCTCTCTGCGAGAGGGATGGGTATGCCACCGAGGCGGCCGCATTATATGAGCGTTCTTTCGCCGGGCGATTGAAGACCCTCGGTACCAATGCCCCCGAGACACTCAATAGCATGCAGGATCTTGCTTCTCTAAAAGTTCTACTGGGGGATCTGAAGTCAGCCCTGCTTCTCCTGGAGAAAGCGGTTCCGGCTCTCGACACCGTATTTGGACTGCAGAACGCAACGACGCTGAATGCGATGAACCAATTGTCCCTGCTTTACCAGAAACTCGGTCTAGATAAAGAATCCCGAACCGTCTGCGCGCGAATCATCCCTCCTTGCAGAGCCGTATTCGGCATCACCAGTCCCATCACCAGAGACGTCGTCGTGCGCTATCTGCAAAGCTTAGAGAACTTCGACTTTCCCGCTGACATCAAGGACGTCCTGGACCAGTATCATCGGTCTCGCGATCCGGACGCTCTCCGCGTCATCCATCGTTTGGGTCGGTCGTACATGGATGCGGGCCTCAACCGAGACGCAGCAGACCTGTTCGAAGCCTTGGTGGAGGACTTCCTGGCCGTCCGGGGCCCCGAAGCCCCGGAGACCTTCGATGCCCTCAGCGCCCTGTGTGTGTCCCGGGAACACCTCGATTCCGTGGACAAGGCGATCCTGGCCTATAAACAGCTGGTGCACATGGCGAGCAGAACGCCCGAAAACCATCACTCACGCAAGAGGATCGCATATGCAGAGAAGCGCATCTCGGAACTGAATCGTCGACGAGACATCCTCGCGGGCGAGAGAAAGGATTGGGATGCTGCATGAGCCGGGGCGATGTCAGACTTGTGAATGTCCGACGACGGTTCTCTGCAACAGTAAGTTCTCTCTCTATATATCTATCTACATAGCCCTATGCTGACCCCAACAGCCTGCAAGATCTTCCGCTTCTGCAATGAATCCTGCCACCAACGCGGTCTTACCATCCACTTCCCCTACTGCATTCCATCAGTATCACTGAGAGAATCCAAATCTCTGGCCGTCAAACCCAAATGCCCAACGTCCGCACGAGACCAAGCAATCTCGAAGATCCGCCGCTTTGGTAGCCACCGCGCCGTCAACGTCACCGCCAGCTACACATTCTATCTGGACCCACGCAATTTCACCACATTCCGTATGCGTCTCAACTCCTCCGCCAACACCGTCATCCTCTTCTCCCTGGATTCCGACATCCAATACGCCACTATCGATAGTCCCCCTCTGGACATGTCTCTCAGCATGACCAGCTCTTCCTTCCACCACCACCTCCACAGCCTCATCCTCCATGGCTGCCGGCTTCCGAGGTATCCAATGGCTCTCCCCAGACCGTCAAGAAGCAATCTGCTATGTTCCCGCAGAAGCAGAAGCGGAGCCAGAGGCGGAATCCTCCCGTTCTTCCCCTTCCCCTTACCAGTCGCAGTCCCAGCCACAGTCACGATATGTTCTCGTCACCCCCGGCAGGGAGATGTTGAAATCCTTCATTGAGAAACGCATCACGGTGCGCAGCGGAGGCGGCGACGGGGAACGCTTTCGGAGCCTCGAGTTGCCGGATTCAGAACTCATCGAGTATGCACAGGGCCTCCTGTTGACGGGGTACTTGGGGGAGGCGTTTATGTATGTTGTTGAGTGGGTGTGGAAATGATTGTATTTTTCTTTTCTTTTTCTTTTTTTTATTTTGTTTGTTTTGGCTTTGGGGGGGAGGTAGCTTGGTCGGTTCTAACTCTTTCGTGGCACGTAAAATAACTTGGGGTATACAGGATATATATACTTTATGTGTGGACTGGATATTTCGTTTTATTTTTATTTATTTTGTTTTGTTTTGCAATCATCTAGCGCTTTGGTTGTTGCACTTTGTCTCTTTCTTTCTTAAATGGCTGTATGGGTTCAATCTGAAGATGGAAGATGTTCTTTCATATATGCAATCGTCCGACTCCAACTTACAAATTGGTGCCTACAAAGAAAATACCAAAACTAATATTCTATTCTATACAAGTATCCTTTTTTTATTTTCCATTTCTATAACTTAGTACTATTAGTTCACCCATACTCTCAAGTCTGGATTCTTGAGCGTCCAAGGCATCTCGCTTTGGGATCTACTTTTCCTCGCTTTGAAAGACACATACATAAACACACGCAAAAAGCCCTAAACACCGTTCCAGGGAATTCGTAACAAATACAGGTACTAGCCAAGGTCGTTGAATCGTAATGCGGAAGCGCAGAGGATTTCTTCCGAGCTATCTATCTATCTACCCTCTTCTCTCTCGCTCATAAGGGGGGGTGTCCTCCTCGTCAGATTTGTAGGTTTCGTCACTGTCGTTGTCATAGTCGTCCGCTTCGAGGGAGTGGCCGCGTATGCTGAAACTCAGTATAAACCCGACGAAGGAAGCGGCGGCGAATACGCCAAAGGCCATGGCTTCTCCCTTGGGTTCGATCCGCAATGCAAGGGAGAAGAGTCCGCCAGAGAGGAATGGACCCACGGCACGGCCGGCTGCGGCGAGGGTCTGGGCGAAACCATTGAGAGCGCCCAGGACGGCATGATCAGGGGCAGAATTGGTTATCTAGAAATGGTTAATCTGGTGTGGGTAGAGAAATACGTAAAGCGCATGCTTACAAGGAGCAAAGCACTGGTCAGGCCGCCCACGGTGGCGACAGTCTTAACCAGCAGGACGAAGCATAACTCCACAGCCATCAAAGCAGACTTGCCGCTCAGGTGGCTGTTGATATCATCTCCCTTGTATCCCACAAAGGGCATCAGGATAAACGAGACCACGAACCCGAAAAGACCAGCTCGGTAGGACCAGCGATTACCCATTTTTTCGCGGAGCTTGCCGAAGATGCATATCTGGAAGACGATCGTGACAAAGCCGGAAAACCCTTGCGCCAGGCCGATTTCTTCGGGAGTCAGGCCACGACCGGTGGGAGGCGCAGCTTGGGAGAAAATGGGGAAAAGCGCGTTGAACGAGATGTTACACAGGGCGAAAATAAAGTACGTGGCAAGAAGTAGGACTGTATCCCGATTCCAAATCTCATGTAAAAGATTCTCCCGGCGAGGCCCCCGGTGGCTTGATGCCTCTGAGGCCGAGTCTAGCTCACTGTCGTGATCCTGGGACTCCATCGCATGGTGTCCAATGTGACGGGGTGATTGCACCCATCGTGCACACTTCGCCGAACTCCAGAGACAGGAGAAAAACGAACGGATTCTGTGCTTGATCTTCGGGAGACTGTCAGCGTCTTCCAGGCTCTCTTCGAGAAACATCACCGAGAGTACGAAGTCTATCACAAGGATTCCTGCGGATAGGACATTCGGAGAGAGATATGGGTACGGGTTCGGCTTGCTTGGATCCCATGGAATATGGTGGAAGACCAATAGGCCACCAAGGAGGGGACCAGTGATCCCCCCCACACCATAGAGGACGGGGAGATAGGTGAAGGCTTTGGACTGGTTGCTGCGATCCGTGATTTCACCCAGGCAGGTGGACACCAGTACTTGGTTTCCGTTGACGGCCCCCATTACAGCCTGCACAATAATGGCTTGTACCAGTGTTTTGCAGAATCCGAAGGTGAGAAAACCCGCCGCGGTCAGGATGGTACCCAGTAGGATAACTGGTCTCCGTCCCACTCGATCGGATAGCCACCCCCAGAAGTAATTGGTTATAAACTGCGCTATCGCGAACGCGGTGGCAAGAGTCCCAACATATACACCGACCATTCCGGGCCCCACCTCGGGGAACGACGACACCATTTCGGGTAGGTAAGGGCTGATGGAGTTGAATGCCGTCTGTTCGCATAAGGAGATCATCGCCAGTACTGCCATCTGCTTCTTTGGCAACGGGGAGTGAGGCCCCGGTCTGGAATGATGCGACCCATCTTGCGGTTGATACAGGACCCGACCCGAGGACTCAGACTGACCTGAGTTCGGTCTTCCACGCGACTTCGGAGGCGGAGTGTCGAAAGTCTGGTAGTGGAGAGTGGATGAATGACGCCGACTGAGCGGATGTCGCTCCGACGGCTTCATGATTCCGGGGGGACGATATCACCGCGCACTTTCAGTTGGTTTGACCCAGCCCCGAGTTACGTCCAGAATCGGCGTAATCAATCCTTATGGAGGACTCTCACAACCGTGCGGCAGTAGCGCTGAGGCTCAACGGCCTCCAATCTCTCGCGATGTGGGGGGATATTTTGCCCCCGGACAATCCAGCTAGTTTGGTAGTGACAGACTGAGAAACTCGGAGTTCATACAACCATCATCATCGTTGAACCTTCAAGCGGCTGGTGAATGTAAACTGCACGACCACAGTCCAGGTAGAAGAAGCCAGTCGCGCGTTCAAAGAAGGGCTGAAAATGAAAGTGAGCAGGCCGGCCAAATCCGGGCATGGATGATGTAAGCGGTCTACATTGTTTGGGTAACTACTGAGTCAGCTGCGTCCTAAGGAATTATTGATCAACAAAACAAAACAACAGGCAGAATACTCATACTTTGGTAAATTATCCTTCTGAAGTCATTGTTGTTTCCATCAGAGACAGGGTGTCGAATATCTCTCGACCTCTGACAGCCACTGGGAGATGATGTCATCTTCCCCGAATCTCATGCAACTACTGCAAATATAACGCCCAATCCACTGAAGGCCCCTGCACTCGAAAAATGCTTTTGCAGTGTTTCATTATATGCATTGACTTTCATAGTGAGATATTTCTACGAATCAAGAGATTGCAGGTTCCCTGCGTAAGCCAATTTCGCAATTATTTTGTTCTTTTAAACGATTGTCGGTCTCTTGCTAATGCTCATTATGCCCTTTCCATGTTTAATTGCAACTTTATGAATATAAACCTATGCCAGAGAGTAGAAACGCTACACAGCACCCCCAATCCTATTTCATTAGCAGGTTAACAGCCCAAGGAACACTGAGACCTCTCAAGTCACCATAGTGCTGACCAACTCCCAAGAATACAATAGGGATCCCAGTTGCATGTACCATGCTCACAAGGGTACCAACCATGTCGCCAACGGTATCGCATTTGCTGATAATGAACCCATCTAGATTTCTCCCCGTACCAAAGGCCTGGTTGAAATTCCGGGCCTGCATCACACTGTCTGTACCGACAAGGGCTTCTCCGACCATGAAGATCTTGTCCGGTTTGGCGAACTTGGCAAACTTCTCCAATGAAGACATAAGACGTTGATCGTTATGGCGACGCCCAGCAGTGTCGATCAACACCACGTCAAATTTATGGGCGGCACCGTATCCAACGGCATCCTTGGCCACGTTTGCTGCGTCCTTGCCATATCCCTTCTCATACAGCTCAATCTCGCCAACATTCTCGCGAGAGCTGAGCTCTTTCAAATTCCGGGCGTGAACCCGAAGCTGCTCCACGGCCCCAGACCGGAATGTGTCGCACGCCGCGATCAAAACACGATAGTTGTTCTGCAGTAAGAAATAGCATATCTTCCCTAGGTTGGTCGATTTTCCGACGCCATTGACCCCGACGATCGAGATCACGTACGGGCGTGGTGCTTGCTGTTTACTGGTCGGTGAAGTTACCGTATCGATTTCCCGGAGCAAATCCAAGGAGGAGGTAGGGGTCAAAATCTTTCTCAGAGAAGACTCCATGGCCAGACGAAGGGCGGCATCGACACTTTGGAAGTTACCTGTCTTCTTCCCCACGAGCTCTCGCTGCACTCCACTACAGAGCCGAACTGCTGCCTCGCGCGCCACATTCTTCTTCAACAGATGATCTTCCATGGTCTTCAAAGGCTTCTCTAAGTCCGCTTCAGTCAGAACCTTGCCGCCAACAATGTTGCGCAGCAGTCCTCCGATCGCGTTGAACCCCGATCCGACGAGGCCAGTGGACGAGGCAGCCTTTGCTTTCTCCGCACTGTCCGCATTCTCCAAAATAGAATGGACTTCGTCTCCTAAATCCTTCAGAACGAATTGGCCTTTGCCAGTTCGGCGGCCCCAGGAGTCCTGCGCGATAGTCTCGACTGCCGGGACCAATGCCTCATCAGCGGGGGCAGAATAATCCAAGACCGTGCCATCATCTTCATCGGCCATTCCATCGGCATCCCACTTGCGGCCTTTCTTTCCACTCCCGGGTGTCTTCCCTTTGCGAATGTTCTCATCGCCGGATGAAGCGTTCGCGCTGGCGTTCGCAGCTTTGCGCGCACGGCGAGAACCACGCGGTCCACCCTTGGCGGTTAGTATATGGCTTGCGGCAGGGGTCGATGGTCGAGATGTATTGGGTGTTTGGGGAGGCGAGCTCTCATCCGAGGTCGACACACCTAGCGCAGCTTGATGCTGCGCTTGTAGGCTGTTAGCATGATGTCTCTCACCGACTAGGCAACTCATACCTTTGACGAGGCCAGGAACTGATGGCGGTGGAGGGCCGCCATTGTCAGATGAGACAAGCGGGTCTTTCTTCTCCCTATCGGCCACGAAACGTTCGGAGGCAATCCCACCCGATGAAATATTCTCAAGCTCCCGGACCTGTTGGTCGAAATATTTGTTGAACGGATATTCAATAATCCGAGCGCGAGAGCTCCGAAGCTGGTCCTTATAGAGATCAATGAACAAGGTCGAGATGTTGTCCAGTAGTTTATCGATCCAACCCAGGTGAAGCAGAGATTGGTATACAGCCTAGTAGTGATGATTTCGCCGTCAGTCCTGGGACAAAGATAGCTCAAGCAATAGATAGACAGTAGACAATACCACGAAGATCAAATTAAAGTCCTTCACTCTCTTCCATTTCAAAGTATACTTCTCCTTTTTGTAGACGGGATATGCGCTATTCGCAGTCTGGGCCTGAACCTTCTCTTCGATAAAAACATCATTGATAAGGCTGTTGATCACATGGGCACCGACTGGAGCGTATGATTTGGACCACAGAACCACGCCCGAGGTGGTCAATATCTCGAAGGCTTCTAACATTCTTGAATTCTCCTCTGTGCTGTGGTTGCGGTGGTGTGGTGAGGATGGATTGTGGTACGGTGGGGAACTTGCGGGCGGCGAACTGACAGTCCCGAAGGGCTTCTTCAGCCACGTATAAACACCTCAACCTCTTCTCCTTACACAGACCTCCTGCAACGCTCTCACTGCCGAAAAGCCCCACCCACCACGACTCGAGCGCCTTGTGGCTTCTGATTCTTCTGCATCGTTTACAATCGAACGGCGAGAAGCATGTACCGCCAGAATTTCGCTCCTCCGCCGGCGCAGTCGCCTCCGCTTCATCATCCCGTACCGCAGCATGTCTCGACCGTCCCCATGATGCGTTCACCACCTCCTCCAGCTTCTCAGCAATCCCAGACGTCCAACTATGGGAATCCCTATCAGCCGGCTCCTGCGCAAGGTGGTAGTGGGACGTACGCCCCTGGATTTGGGGGGTTCATTAATGATCCCGCCGCGCAGATGGGATTTCAGGTTGGTAAGACCGCAATGATGGCTGGACAAGAATACATGGAACAGAATGTAAGCGCTGAGATTGGCATACTCGTTTGAGCTGGACATCCTACTGACCCGCCGCCTTTCGTCAGTTCAACCGTTATGTCTCGATACCAGCCCTTAAACATTACTTTAACGTTTCCAACTCTTACGTTTTGAACAAACTGGTTCTTGTGCTTTTCCCTTGGCGACACAAGCCTTGGTCTCGTCAGCAGGCGCGCATGACGACAGCGACGACAGGTCCAAATGGCCAGATCTCTCAACAGCAGTACTCATCCATGTTCCTGCCTCCTCGGGATGACCTGAACTCGCCCGACATGTATATTCCGGTGATGGCGCTAGTCACATATATTCTCCTCTCTTCCATGCTGGCAGGGTTTAGAGGCAATTTCCATCCGGAACTTCTGGGGTCGACTACCACTACCGCGATTGCGGTCATGCTGTTTGAGATTCTTTGCTTAAAGCTGGCCATGTATATTCTCAGCATCAACAACGACTCGCAGTTGTTGGATCTCGTTGCGTACTCGGGCTACAAATTTGTCGGGATTATCCTGACCTTGGTGATATCTGAGGTTTTGACTCCGGGGAGGGGAACCGGTGGCTGGGTTGGCTGGGTCGTGTTCGTTTACACATTTATGGCCAATGCCTTCTTCCTGGTATGTGGATTCGGGCTTTGATTCCATGTGGAATCGTGTCACTGATAATTTGCCTAGCTTCGATCCTTGAAATACGTTTTGCTTCCCGACTCGACCAGCGATACCTCCATGCGCACGGGATCCATGCATACAGTTGCCCGCTCGCAGCGTAACCGTCGCACGCAATTCTTGTTCATCTACTCCTATATTGTCCAGTTTATTTTTATGTGGGTCTTGAGTCGTGAGGGGCCTGCGGCAGTGGGGTCTCCCAACGCAGCGGGCGCTGGGACGTCGTTATAAAGTCGTTGCGCTGCTGCACGTAATGATATAGATGGACCCCATGAAAAGGATTGCGGCATAGTAAGTGAAGTTCTTCGGTGAATGGCCTCATGACGATTACTATGCATGTTAGAAAAATACCATCTTCATTCTGTTTTGATTCCGCAACATTGGTCTTATAATCATGTGTCCCTTATATAGTAACGGTATGGAATAGCGTTCGAAGCGGCATGTACATATGAATCTAAGTAGACGTTTCTGTCGTCCATTTACAGACAGTACTGCATTGACAAACTCCGGAGTAAACAATGTCTACGATTACGAGTGAGAGGAATTATAAACGAAAACATGAATCAATATTTGATATTACTAACCATCGCTCGTGAAATTCTCGAATGCCCTAACATTAGTTAGACACAACATCCAATTAAGCAAAGGTTGCAAATATGTGAAAGCAATAGTCCTCAGAGATCTTGGTGATGAGGTTAATATCATTGCCAAGAGGCATCAATTACTATCTAGGCAGTGCATTTTCTTAATCATCGGAGCAGGGAGGGTTGAAAGAAAATCGCGCACAACATACCGAGGGGTCAATCTGAGAAATGCGAAAGAGCCGAATGATGGAATTCGTCAGAGCCTGTTGAAGTCTGAGTTTTCATTAGCACCATGCTAGCAAGTGTGAGATCAGGTGTGCACAGAAAAATGTTGCCAATGTATCAGAATATGTAAGAAATTAAATATCATGCCTCAATGCTGCTTTTGAAGCTCCGGCGAGAGCTTCACAGTCACTGGGTCAATCGCAAATTACCGCATCATGTGAAGACTGGAGGGGAGACAGGTGAGAATGAGGACCTACCAATAAAGTAGAAAGCAAATAGAGAAAAGAGCAAAAAGCTGGTAAATATGATCAGTAAGACATAGAGTATCGACTGAGCAAGGCAGATCCTGTGAACATCATTTCGTTTGGATGCTGCAGCCCTCAGAGAGCTTTGGAGAAGCAGAAGAATGCCAGACAAAATATTCTGACCTAAAGCTTAAAAGTAAACCGTGTCGGAACGGAAGAACCGGCGGTCCCGAGATCAGGCGCCAAGGCCACCTTAGCAGCCCTAGGCCACACAGCGGGAGGCCCTTACTGGCTGTTAAGCGAGACTCTGTGGGCAAAGGGCCGCAACACCGAAATTCGCGATCCAGCAGCCCAGAGCGACTTGTGCGTTTCGGACGATTTCTCGACAACCCCGACCCCTTCGACAACAAATTCCTTCCCACCGACCTCCCGGAGTCTGTCGACCGTGAGTTTTCGTTCGCCTTGAACGTGATCCTGTGACGGTGTTACTGAGACGACTACTTTTTTTAGGAAGCCTTCGCCATGGCCGATATCGATGTCAAGATTGCTCAATGGAAGCTCGTTGAGGTTGGCCGTGTGGTGCTGATCCGCCGCGGCCCCTACACCGGCAAGCTCGCTGCTATCGTTGAGATTGTCGACCACAAACGTGTATGTTTTTTGTTGCCCCGGGGTTATACAGTTGGGGGAAAGGAATATGAGCTATAGTGCAAGGAAATGGAAACCGGTGGTGATGTTGACATGAGTCGCGAATGATAGGTTCTGGTCGACGGTCCTTCCACCGAGGAGAACAAGATCGTGCCCCGTCACGTCCTCCCTCTCGCCCACGCCACCCTCACCCACTTCGTCATCCCCAAGCTGCCCCGTGCTGCCGGTACTGGCCCTGTGAAGAAGCTGTGGCAGAAGAACGAGATCGATGGCAAGTGGGCCAAGAGCAGCTTTGCCCAGAAGACCGAGAGCGCCGAGCGGAGGAAGAACCTGAATGACTTCGAGCGCTTCAAGGTCCTCAGACTCAGGAAGCAGGTACGTTGAATTTGTTTGTTTGGATGGGTTCATTCTCGACTGGAGGATAGGAAGTCCTTGATGGTGGAAACGGCGAGGGCAAAACACTGAGGAGTGCTGAAATCTCTCATAACTACGGCGGAGATTTTTAATGACCATGGCTGACTTGAATTTCCACAGGCTCGCTACGAAGTCCAGAAGGCTCACGCCAAGATCCGGGCGGCTGCTCCTAAGTCATAGATGGTTTATTATGAGGTTCGGTGCATAGTTTGATGGGGTGCCTTGGGACGGTTTTACTCATGCTGAGGGTTTATTTTATTTCAGCAAAAAGAACGCTGTATTCTTTATCATGGACAGCTTAAAATGATTCGAGAACCTTGATATCCTCAGGAGTTATGCTCGTACGTCACAATAGACGGCACCTTCTTTCCATTAGGACCTGGCTCTGGGTACTATCCACTTCTTATATCTTGATGTGATATGATCGGTCCACTACCTAGATTGAAACTGGGAACCGACCTTATAGATCTAAACCGTAAATTTGATAACGACATTTCCTTTATTTTATTTTAGGTTTTTTTTTTTTTTTTTTTTTCTCGACAACTGGAATTTTTCGTTTATTTTGCCATAATTTAAAGCGACGAGAATATAGTAAATTGTAAAAAATGCTATTGTCTTGAACTTGGCTGGTGTCGATGTTGATCTGTAGATGAGTCGCTTCTGTGTGTCTTGGGGGAGGGTCCGAATAAGCTCGCTAACGATTTTTGGCAGCATGACATTCACACAGCTTTGCGACTTTCCACCTCCAACCAAGGCAAAAAAATACCTCCTCATCCACCACAGTCCTCCATCCTGTGACCAGGTACGTTTCAATTGAATTTACGGTCGCCAATTTGAATTCCACTCTTGAAAATGGCGAATTCTTGCGGTTTTGTGGGAGAATGGGGGGTCGGGTTCCATGGGGCATATTCGAGTCTCAGGTCCAGGAGAACAATGTCGTAGTACTAATTGCTGACCGTCAATTCTACAGCCCTTTTTAGGCTCGCTCGATTCCCATAATGGCTGACCCCCGTATTGAAGAGATCCACGACGAGGAGCCTCCCAAGGCCAACGTTGAAGATGCCGGCAGCAGCTCTGAGTCGGAGGCTGGCGATGAGCAGGAGCCCACCATCCCCGGAGGTGCCGCCGTCACCATTCACTCTCGCAACGAGAAGAAAGCCAGGAAGGCCATCGGCAAGCTCGGCCTGAAGCACGTTCCCGGCATCACTCGTGTTACCCTCCGCCGACCGAAGAACGTATGGATACAACCCCGACTTCTTCCTCCGCTGCTGGAAAGACTGGAAATACTGGATATGAACTGAGCCAAGCAGCAATGTGTGGATGCACCGACTAATATGTCTCCTACAGATCCTCTTCGTCATCAACCAGCCCGACGTCTACCGCTCCCCCTCCAGCAACACCTGGATGTACGTGCTCTGGTTCCCCTACGATGTAATGTTGATGTCATCTTGACTTACGTATTGAAACAGCATCTTCGGTGAGGCTAAGATCGAGGACCTGAACTCTCAGGCTCAGGCCTCCGCTGCCCAGCAGCTGGCTGCCGCTGAGGCTGCCGCCGGTGAGCACGCTGGCCACGACCACGAGCACGACCACGGCAAGGGTAAGGCCCCCGAGGCCGAGGCCAAGAAGGATGAGGAAGAGGATGATGGAGAGGCTGTTGACGAGACTGGCCTTGAGGCCAAGGATATCGAACTGGTTATGGCCCAGGCTAATGTGTCACGCAAGAAGGCCGTCAAGGCTCTACGGGAGAACGACAATGATATCGTGAACTCGATCATGGCCCTCAGCATATGAGAACTGCCGAATTGATTGCACGCTATCAGTGGCTGAAACGTCTTAGCCCTGCTGGCAGGATGGACTTTGGGTGCGAGGTCAGGTTGATATCCCCTAGGATGCGTGTTCTGTCAGGCCCCATAGTGTAAATCATTATAGTCCAAAAAAAGCAGAATTGCATGATCTGAATTCAATTTGGGACACCCATATTTGCTTTTTTTATGGTCGCGATAATTCTAGTTCGACACAATAAAATAAAATAAAAAGCATCATCTAATAACCATATTTACCGCAGTCTCGCTGGTTATAGTCTTGGCCGTCACCTTTGTGGCTATTCGGAACACGGGAACCACAACGTCACGTGATGGAATCCCCATTCCAAACCTTGCCGAAGTCAACCCTCACTTCTCCGACCCTCCAGATTTGCTTAAACTCCCCTCTCAGACCCCCTTTTCCCTCCAACCCAACCCTTCAAAATGGCTGCCGTATGTCCATTGCGCTCCCTAATTCTGCGTCCCGTCGATCGCGTTGGAATTATATCCACTAACTGTCCGTTTACAGCGCAGCGCCGCTCTCAAGATCGACTGGGTCAAGGTGACCAGCTCGCTCGGCCTCCGCGGCCAAACCGCCACCTCCCTCCAGGCCTTTAAGAAGCGTAACGATGATGCGCGCCGCAAGGTTCAGGTCCTGTCCGAACAACCTCAGACTATTGATTTCGCCCACTACCGCAAGGTCCTGAAGAACCAGGCCATCGTCGATGAGATCGAGAACCACTTCAAGACCTTCAAGCCCGCCACCTACGATGTCAGTCGTCAGCTCAAGGCCATTGATGCCTTCGAAGCCCAGGCTGTCCAGAGCGCCGAGCAAACCAAGGGCAAGGTTGAATCCGAAATCCGCAGCTTGGAGAAGACTCTTGAGAATATCGAGACCGCCCGGCCATTCGACGAGCTCACTGTGGTATGTTTGGACATCCAATGGATTCAATGTGAATTCTGAATTGATTTTTTTGTTCTTTAGGACGAGGTTGCCGCGGCTCAGCCCGAGATTGATGAGAAGACCTCCTCGCTGGTCTCCAAGGGTAGATGGATGCCGGCCGGATACAAGGTATGTCACACGATATCGAATATTACGCCTTGTTCCAAGCTGTTGATCCTACTCATGCTAATACATCTGGTAGGAGCGTTTCGGCGATATGTCCGTGGTTTAATTGTCAGATACCTTTCTGTCACTTTACGTCTCCTACCCTATCTCCTTCGACCAGTGTAATCACACCATTTCTTTTCCTGTCAAGCATGTTGGCCAGCTAGGATACCATTTTGCCTGGCAGTGTGGTATGGTTGTTGGATTGTGTATAGAAACAATGTTCATTTTAGAAGATCATTTTCTTCATTTCCACCGAATTGGTCTTTTTCTCTAGTGTGCCGTAAACAGAACTTAAATCCCTCGTAATACTCGACTTGACTAACCTTAGTGACCTTATATTACTTGTATTTGCATTGATATGACAACTTTGGTATTGCGGGCGATGTTATCTACCCTATAATCGTATTGACGTGGACGGATATATAAGTCTGTGTCTATATCCACCAGACTCAGAAACGTTTACTCTGGGACTTGCGGGCTAAAATATCATGAAATTGGGAAAATACTTCCATCCAAAATGCAATCACACATCAATCGTTGCACACCGTCAAAAAATAAATGAGATGTTCTGACATCTCGCAGAGTGGCTGTTGCTCTCCAGCTCAAGTTGAACAGCTAACTCCGCGTTTAGTCCGTCTTGGCTCATGGATACTACTTAGCTTCTACGCGTCGCGCCCATGTTTGCTCCTCACCAACTGTGTCGTGCTATCCTCTCATCTACATAGCCTATGGACCCTGCTGCTCATTGCCTGCATGTCCGGTTTGCCCTCGCAAGAGGCCTTTACAGCCCCAAATCGACTCCCAAACCCAAGATCGCCGTGGCTGAGGAAGTGGCAGTCCGGTGGCCCCTTAGGAACTGACAAGGCGATCAGCTGAATCGCCGATTTTATGTGTTCACTCTGGCTGTGCAGCGATTGCTTTTTATCAGACTCAGGGATATTATAAGACCGACCTGTGGTTCGGACGATGGCGATATAAGCATGGCACTGCTGCTATTGCATTCTAGAAGGCCTTTCTTCTAAATAGACCTCTCCTGCCGGGCATATCTTCAACCTCTTTGATTGCTAGCCATTTCCATACGAGTCCGAACAAATGGATCCAGTGTCAAGGACAGCTCAAATCCGGTCTCGTCTTGAGCTCCTGCCGGTGGAGATCATTCAGTTAATTTTCCTCCACTCTCTCGAATTCAATCTTCCGCGGGCCTCTCCCTACATCTCTCGGATGCTTTCCAATACTGTTATCTACACCTGGCTCATTCGACTGGCATTCAGCAGTGCCAATGAGAGTTCAAAGCATGGTTATTTCACCGCGGATTTTCTGCCCCCTCCGCTGGATTTCTGGGCTCTCTCTGCACAGGAACGGAGAGACCTCCAGAGCGACATCCTGGAATGTGGCTGGTTTACTCTGCCGTTAATCCGCAAGTGTCAACGAGAATATATGGAACAGGTTGTCCGGCATAAACTTCATGATCTAGACTTCTGTCCAGACGACCTCCCGGCGTTGGACAACATCGGCCGCCAATACGATAACCTCGAAGGATGCGACAAGGGACTGGGAGGCATTCGCGGGAAAGGAGACCTGATACTCAGGGCCAAAGATCGCGCGACGAAAAAGGAAGAGAGAGTCGCATTGTGGTTCCATTACGGGGCCCTACTGGTCCGTCCACCCAAAAAATTATACGACCATCTCGATATCTTCCAGCTTCCATGGTGCTCTGTAGACTGGCCCCCTCGCATCCCTGATAGATTACTTTCCCCGCCGTGGACGGAGACCAAGCTCGAATTCCTTCGGCTCTTCTCGACGAGCGCATACATCGACGAGGATTCTACTTTCCCACGTTCCAAACGGGTTCTTCGGCAGGTAATCCGGGACCGTGATCTCGCGACCTTTGAGCAATTGGTCAAGATGTATGTTATCATTAAGAACTACAAATATCTTTTGCGCTGGCCGGTCTCAACCAATGTCTTTAGCTTCGCTTTGAAGCATGCAGATGAGCGGGACGATCCTTTTATAAAGATATTAGTGGATCAGCGATGGGAGGATATACCTGCCAAAGCGTCACATCTCAAAGAACAGTTGATGTCCAAAGCTGGGGTCTGAACCCATAGAATAATGAGTACTCTACCGCATATGGCTGTGGACAGTACATTAATGGAGTCAAAAATCCGTTACTTATTCACAGAGGAGCCACTTTGAATAGGGAGAAGTGCCTATATTACAAAACTAGATTACATATCAACCCAGAAAGACCTGCTTTATTGGGTATGAAGAACAAGAAAGAAAACGACCAAAACAAAAACCAAGTTAATGCGACATCATTACGCATGACCTTCATGGGTCGTGTAGTTGAATCGACTAGATGAGCCATGTCATATTCTTGATCTCCGCATTGTTCTTCTGCTCCGGCCACAGTAATTACAGGTGAGGCAAGCGATGACAGCTCGGCATATAGTCAGAACACCATCGATGATAGCCTTACAGACAGCGCCGATGGCATCGACGATGTCTATCAGACAGGCGCCACTGGACTGGAAGATGCTTTTGATCTGTATATACTCAGTACGTTGCTCAGGTAGACATACAGAGACGTGTGAATGAGACCCACATACACAGGACACAACGGCACCCATATTGCTGATGTCTCTTTGTATGTCTGTACTTCAGGATTGGATGATTTTGACGGTTTCGTTCGAAGAAGATAGAAGTAGTAGACTCTCGCGGAACTGGAAGATGTAGTGGTATGAGGGAAGCTTCAACCACTGAAATAACGCAGGTTGAAGATTTCCCAATAACCCCAGAATAGGATATATATTTTTGTCTGACTATCAACGAAATGAGTGATGTACGAGGATAAAGCAAGGGCGATTAGAAATAGAATACTACACATTAGCCACCATGAATTCCTACCAGCGATACAATTCCGTCATAACGACGATGCCAACCTGGTTCCAGGCTTCCAATCAGGAAGGAGGCGTGGTGATTGCCATGAGCGATCCGTGCCCTGACCCGGAGTTGAATTCTTGCCATCCAGGGGAGCTGTGTATGCCTACTGACAACACTGACAACACTGACAACACTTCTACGTCATAGACTTAAACAGATTAGCGTTAGGGCTGAATTCTTACAGAAAGGGAAAATGTCAGCTGACTTTCTAGCCCTACGGATGCCTTTTCGGGATCGGATCCACCAATCAGTGCATCCGGACTACGCCTGTTTTATTTCTCTCTTATATCTCCATTCTTCTACATGTAGAATGTATACAGGCTTCCGAGATCTGCTCACGCTAGAAGCATCGAATGAAATGGCCGAATGAGAATAAACCTGATATCATTCTCCACCGGGAATGCTGACCCCCATTCGTGTTCGTGGCCGCAGAAAGAAAAGACACCCCGACTCTACTAGGCACCGTCCGAATGATGAGCGATCTGGATCTACGACAGCGTCGAAGCGACCAAAGGGCGGTCGACCATTAATGTCCCTTGAGGAGAAATTGACATCATCTCAATATCAAAGTAACAAGCGAACACGACTACAGGTGGTCCGACCATTGAAATCGAGGTCGAGAAAACGGCATTCAAGACTGGAAACACTCCCCGTGGAACTCATCGAAAAGATATTCCTGTATTCGCTGAACATCAACTTGCCTCGGTCATCTTCGTCATTGGCTTCTGCGCTCTCTAGTGAACAGATCTATCGGGCTCTTATTCTGTTGGCGTTCTGGAATGATGACTCCTCGTTGACTTCTACGGGTGTCCCTCATGATGTTGTGATTGGGAAAATCTTACGGCTGGTGGACTATACGCCTCTTGATTATGAAGAACGCAAGAATCTGCAAATATCCATTTTCCGTTGTCAATGGTGTACTATGGATCGGGTGTTGAACCAAGTGCCTGATTTGATGAATCTGACGATCCAGCGACACTGGGTCAACGCTGGAGTCGGCATGTCCCCAGGCCAATGGGAGAGTCTTGCACGATTCATGGCCGGAGGAGGAGGAGGAGGAGGAGGAGGAGGAGGAGGAGGAGGAGGAGGAGGAGGAGGAGGAGGAGATTGCACGTTTGAAGGCACGGGCAAAAACAACACTCGCTATACACTGTCCATCACTCCATTTATCTCCATCAAAATCACCAACCACGACTCCGGTGAGCAACACACGCATCCGATCCTCGATATCACCAACATCCCAGATAAGCTACTAAACGGCGATGACGCCGGCTTCAACGAAGACGACGTCACCCACCTTGAGATCCTCCGCATGGCTAGCGGATTTGCCCGATCCGCCCTGGGCCAAATAACCACCAGCGTCTCGCGCGAAGCAACACAACAGGGTATCCACACCGCCCTGGTAGAGAACAGCGCGAGCGCATTAACCACCCTCCTCAAAATCGACGAGTACGTCTTTCGCAGCTTGAACACCTCCGCCGCACAGAGTGCGCCGTATTCCCTACCGACAGAGCATTTCCGCACCGCGGTTCGAGTCGCCCGCAACGATCCGTGCATGTTTCAACTTCTTGTTCGAGCCAGCGCCGAGTCTGTGCCGCCGGATGACCCAGAAATCACACAGTGGGCGATGGATCTGGATGATGCATTTGGCCATTGGTTGCTGGATCTGATGCTCCATCTGCCGCAGCAGATTGAGACAGCGAATGCGAATCCCGTCGAGGGTGCCGTGTTTTATCTGGGAAGAGCGAATGGGCAAGTGGAGATGGCGAGAAGGTATATGCGGGATGTTTTGGATGTAGAAGAGTTGTCGAGTTGGATGGAAGAGCCTCTGGGGGATGTTTCTGGCTGGTGGAAGGCGATTCGGAAGGGAAAGGGAGCGTCTATTACTCGTTGAGGTTTGAAATATGAATAGTAATTAAGATACTATTAGAGGCATAGACCTCGGGAATAGTTTATGTCTATGATGTATACTTACTCTCCGTCTTGAAAGTGGAATGTATTACATGTTTTGAAAAAGCCGAAGTATGCCTCGGACTCTGCCCGAAATCGTTATTTGATATCCGGTCTCGACAACCCCTTTGCACATTTCCCAGGCTCCGGTGCCGTTCTGCAGCCGATCATCACCTTTGTGGATGGGATAATCTACTCTAGGCGGGATGCGAGTCGCCATCAATTTCGGGAATCGATCCACACAAACTGCTTTGATATTACTCACGCCCCGGAGTCCTTCTTCGCCTGCAAAGCGGCCGTATCCGGACCCCTTGACCCCGCCGAAAGGCAGCTGCACTGCATAGTAGCTTCCAAAGTCGTTGACGGAGACCATGCCCGCCTTTATGCCTGACACGCAAGCGGCGACGTCTGGGGGGTTGTACCCGAAGACGCTGGCGCCCAGGCCGTATTCCGTTGAGTTGGCGACTTGAATAGCGTGTGGCACAGACTCTGCGCGCATCAGGAGAAACACGGGTGAAAAGAGCTCGGTCTGGGAAATCCGCATAGACGGGGTGACGTCTGCAAGAAGGGTAGGCGTGAAATAATGGCCGTAGGGGTATTTGGGGTGGTTGTAGCGTTTCCCACCACAAATCAGGCGCGCTCCTTGTCGCACCGCATCGTCAATGAGGGATTCTAGACGGTCGAAACCGGCGGGGGAGATCAAGGCGCCCATGTCTGGGGTTCCAGGTTTCTGCTGGGGATCGTCGGATTTGGAATCTAACAGGACCGAGCCAAGACTCATGTTCTTGATGCGCTCGGACACGACGTCAAGCAGCTTGTCGTACACACCGGGAAGGGCGATGATGCGCTCGGCTCCGATGCAGTTCTGGCCCGCTGATTGAAACACACCGCGCATGAGGATGGATGCCACCGCGGAGATCTCGCTCGCTGTTCGCGAATCGTCAAGAATAACGGCAGGATCTTTCCCGCCCAGTTCGACAGTCACTGGGAGTAATGCCTTTGCTGCGGACTCGCAGACTTTGTGTGCGACAGGCCGTGAACCAATGAAAGTCAATTGAGAGATATCTGGATGAGAAGTCAAGAAGTCGGCGACGTCAGGCAGGCACACTACGCTCTGTACTAGCTCTTTTGAGTGACCACAGCTTGCAAGTGCACCTCTTATGACTTCGAGAAAGAACATCGAGGACCACGCAGTCTGCTCAGACGGTTTCACCACAATACTGTTTCCTGCGAATATGGCACTGATGACTGGCCCAATAAAGTTGTGCAGCGGGTAATTCCAGGAGACGCAGGCACCGACCACGCCGAGAGGTTCGTATGTGACCATATTTTTCTTGTACATCATCAGAAAGTTTGTCGGTCTCGATTCGGGTGCGAGCGCCTTTTCGCCATGGTCGATGGTCCATTTCAGCTTCTCTGCCGTCACGAGGATTTCTCCAAAGACAGCGTCCACTTTGGTTTTACCGGAATCCAAACAGCAGGCGGTAACGAGCTCCTCTTGATGCTCAAGAACATATCTGCGTGTTGAACATTCCCATGTTAGTTTCATATCCGTCTCTGCTCTGCAAGGGAGGTCCACTATCCACCCACTTTAATAACGTCCTCAAGACCTTCCTTCGTTCGGCGAAGCTTGTTCTAGCCCACTCCGTCTGTGCGGTTTTCGCAGCCTGGATCGCTCGATCGACTCCTTCTCTCGTCGCAGGCTTCATCCCGGTGCCTAGGATCCTTCCGTCTGCAGGGCAATAGCTCATGATCAACTTGTCGCTCCATTGCTATATACGCAATCTCAAAAATTAGTCCACTGTCGTCCAATTATACCGGAACAGCAGCAACCCCGAAGACATAGAGCTGCTTCAGCAAATTTAGTAGACTTACACTCCGAACCTGCCCCTCAAGCACCTTTTTCTCTTCTCCACGAACATCGTCCCACGTTTTACCCCTCCAATTAGCCCGCACTTCAGGTGGAATTGGGACATTGAAGGCGACAGCGGCTTCTCGTTGACCCTGAACAAAAATGTAGCCCAGATAAATAGCACCTAGCGAAGCCAGAGCGACTCCAGCCCATGGGGCTTGCTCATAAAGAGACTCCATGAGTAAATATAGAGCTGAAGGAATGTAGGGCGTCCAGCTCGTCATGTTGGAATTGCACGGGGGCAGCAGTGCGCTCCAGAAAGCGTGGCTGGTCAAGAGAGAGAAAGTGGTTCGATCGTTATCTCCAGACCTCCGATACGCGGTAGAGCACGTGCCAACCCACATCGTAAGATACAAACAAATCGCCAGAAAGAGTATGACGAGGGAGAGTACAAGAGGAATTGAACAGAGAGGATATCTAAAATATACACTACTAAATGGAGTTTACTGACGCTGATCGTAATCCAGCATGGAAGTCTCTCAGAACAAAACACACTCAACTCTGTCGAGGAATCCGGCCTCATTAGTAGTTGTTCATTTCCCCTTGTCTGCGCGAGGACGTCTCTGTCTGCCAGTCTGGCTACTCCCAGCGCCGATGGAATTCGTGGCACCTCCCTTCCTCTTCCCAGTTCTTGTCACAAGATGATCGATCACACACCCATCTTCCCATCCAGCTGACGACTCTCCAGTGATTGCCCGGCATCGCGGACAGGTTTTCCCATGGCGAATGAACAGCTGGTGAAGAGAGTACTTGAGGTGATCAGGAATGCGCACTTCAAGGTGGCTGAAGGCTGTAATCTCCGTAGCTTTGTCTGGAGGGACCCAGTTGAGCCATTTGCAAATGCGGAAGATGTGTGTATCAACAGCGAAGCACGGACGCTGCAGGCAGAAAAGAAGGACACAGGCGGCTGTCTTGGGCCCGATACCTGGATATTTCACCATTTCCACCATGGCTTGTTCCGTGCTCAGGTTGTGTAGATGATTGAGTGACAGGAAATGCTGATCAGCGCAGGCAATTTCATACTGTTTGTTGTCTTCATGTTTACCCATCAAATCCGGGGACCCATCTGATTCGCCTTTTACCAGGAGGTCTCTGCGTTCTTGGTTCTCCCTGTAAACCATATCTAATATTGCCTTGAGATTCTTACTCTTGATGTCTGCTAAGCCCCCGCTCTTGATAGCATCGAAGACATCCTTGAGGGGAGCTTGACGCACGGCATCCCAGTTCACACTCCCTTTGCCGATCCCTTCTTCGAGGATACCAAATTTCTGCACCAGTCCATTAAAGGCCTTGGCAGAGTTGTTCCCGGTAGTCGCACCGCTAAGGAGCGTTCGAATGAGGGCATCCAGGACAGAAGGAACCTCCCCACATCCGGTCACTGTAAGAGACGGTTCGGGGATTGTCTTCGGTGCGATGATTTCTCCATGCTTGCTGGATAGAAGTCTGTTGGCCTCTTCGCAATCCTCGGGGGTTGGGCGGGACCAGTCAGGAAACGGACTGACGCCAGGTGTGAGTCCATAGGGATAAGACTTTTTGGCTTTCTTGCGTTTTTCAGAAGATTTACCCAGTGTAGCTGTGACTTTGTTGGCAATCTCCTGTATTGCGACTTCGACCTTTTCTGGCTCTTTTTTCATTATCGGATCTTTGCCGGATCCGGCCTCTGAATTTCTACTGATTGGTTGTATCGCAATGGTAGCCGGACCCAAATTATGCGGAAGCTCTTCTTCCATAATAGTTGAATTTGAGACCTTTTTCGCCTTTCGCCTCTTTGTCCTAGGCTCATCATTACTTGGGATGGAATCTTTGAGGGACGTCGCATGCTTATTGTTCGGAATAGTAGCTTTCCTACCAGAGGAAGTCTTGGGGGTGCTTTCCTTTGAGAACTGGACATCGAGTATAGTAGAGTGCTGTGTCTCTGTAGCTAGCACTGCTGCTTCCCGGACAGCCATAGAACGAGTGACGCGACGCTCCATGGCTGATGGTTGCGTTACAGATTAAGAACGAGTGTCGGGGGTCCACGCCTCTCTGGGAAGAAAAGTGGTTCTAGTGGTCATAAAGTGTGCAGAAAACACCCATGCCAAGCATTTCTCCCCGCAACTCGTCCAAGGTACATACAGAGTAGCAGGCCACAATAGGTGATAGAGGATGTTGAATATAAAGTACAATCGCCAGAGTTGAACCTGGGCGTCACATGATCAGATAAATTATCCCACAAAACTTGTGTATGTGATAGTTATGTATTAAGTTCTAACACCCAGTAGCCATCAAATGCCAAAGAAATCTTTGTCATAGATCTATTGATAATCATTTATCCCATGGGTATTCCAACCCTTCTGTCCTTGCTATGCAAACGAAGCATCAGAGAGCCTCCTTTTTTGTCTACCTCCTACAAACTCCTGGACTCCAAGTCACGGGTATGACATCAACAAGAGAGCGACAAAACAATAAGTCAGAAAATCCATAAGCTCATAATCATTCGTGATCAGCAATGTTATGGATGCTAATATCCATTCGATCTCTCACTTTGGGATGTTCTTCTTTCGGTTCTTCCCGGTGAGTGCTGCACAGACTGACTTGTGGCACCTCGGATTCGCCGGGGGACATAGCGGGCACAATATTGCCATGGTTATCCAGCTTGACACCATTTGCAGCCATTTGGAAGTCTGTTTCGCTGGCGACCCCATGCGTCACGGCTTCCTTGGCCCTGTCCAGGGCCTTAATTTTGCGGCCTTCGCCTCGGATCTTTTCCAAGTGACCGAAGTAGCCTTCAGAAACAGGGGTGATGTAATTGCCGCAGAAAACGCCGACCTCAAAATCATGGGGTTCCTCCAGCCCGTTTTCATGGGCTATTTCTGCACAAGCGCCCTTTAGATCAGACAAGGTCTGGTAAATGACGCTGTCGGCTCCGATGTGCTTCGCAATAGTTTCAGGAGTACGGTTGTGCGCCACGAGTTCGTTCGGGGATGCCAGATCAATTCCATAAATATGAGCATGTCTATTGAGAAGAAAACGGTTAGTGGGGATTGAAAAAGTGGGGAGGCGAAGGTGATATTCACTTACGTGATCTCGGGAGCGCAACTGGCGAAGTAAACCTTTTTGGCGCCAGCCTCCTTGGCCATTGTGACAATTTCTCGACTGGTTGTCCCTCGTACAATACTGTCATCAACTAAAAGAACATTTCGGTCCTTGAATTCGGCTTGCATTGCATTAAGTTTGCGACGAACACCTTTTTGCCGGGTCTTTTGCTCCGGCATGATGAACGTCCGGAAGACATATCGGTTCTTGACGAACCCCTGGCAATAAGGCTTGTCCAGGTAGCGGGCCACCGCAGCGGCCGATGTGGTGGAGGTCTCGGGGATAGGAATCACGACATCAATGTCCTTGACCACCTCTGATCCGAGAACATCGAGGATTCTAGCCGCAAGGCGATCTCCCATTCGTTGACGGCTTCGATACACGCTGATACCATCAATTACCGAGTCAGGCCGTGCGAAGTAGACGTATTCGAAGATATCTGGGGCGTATGCCTTCTTTGGAGCCACTTGGCGGAAGACAGGTTCACCACCCTTTTCAATGATGACTGCCTCACCAGGCTGAATATCTCGGATATTTGTGAAACCAAGCTGGTGTAGAGCCACAGACTCGGAAGCCATCATGTAGTCCGTGCCAGAGCCGTCGAGTGCGGTTCTGGAGCCAAGGACCAAAGGACGGATACCGTAAGAATCACGGAAGCCCAAAACACCGAATCCTAAATTCATTAGATGATGTTCCTCCAAAAAAAAAAAAAGAAAAGAAAACATTTGATAACTCACCTGCCAACATGGCGGTACAGGACCAACCACCTTCGCACCGCTCATACATCCTGGTGAGACTAGCAAAGAGGTCTTCCCTGTTGACCCGTGCCTTTTTGGTCTCGCTCAGCTCATCAGCGAAGATGTTCAGCATCAACTCGCTGTCGCTATCCGTGTTGATATGACGATGAGCCTCGAGGTCCAGATACCTCTTCAACTCGGGCGCATTGATTAGGTTGCCATTGTGGGCCAAGCAAATGCCATACGGACTATTGACATAGAATGGCTGAGCCTCAGCGTTGGCACTACTGCCAGCAGTGGGATACCGCAGATGGCCGATACCCATAGGACCCGGAAGATCTGCCACCCTAGCACCATCTTGGAAAACCTTGGCAGCCATACCGTTCGACTTCAGCTGGTAAATACGGCCCCCTGCTGCGCAGGTTGCAATACCGGCAGCATCTTGACCCCGGTCTATATTGTGAAGAATATCGTATCAGCTTTATGCTTTCTCATCACAGGGGTATGTCCTGAACCTACGCTGAAGAAGGTACAGCGCCTCGTGAAGGTCAACGGCGGCGGAGGACGACGGGTTCGCCTGGATGAGAGCGATGATACCACACATTTTCTAGATAGCAAGGGACTCTAGACAAATATGGATTGTCAGTACGTACTCCAGGAGTGAAATCAATCAAGAAACCAATAAAGCCAGGGCAAGATATAGTCAGATCGGATGTTCTCCGCAAAAAAAGCTTAGGAAGTCTAACATCTATAAAAAAGAAACCGAATTTCATCATAATAAAAGAAATATACTGGGATTGAAGCCCAAACTGGAGAAATATGCCAGACGGTGGGTACTCACATGCTATGAATGAAGAACTTGGGCACAGCACAGAAGAGGTAGGGGGGAGGGTCAAGAAGCCGTGGACTTTACGGTGAAAAGAAAGTAAGGAATGAAAGAAATGCCTCTCAAGACATACCAATCCACCAATAAGACGTAATGTGAGGGAGGAAGAGAGACTCTAGATCACACCCACGGAGGGATTGGATGAACGGATGACATGGTTAAGAGAAGAGTTAGAAGGTGGAAAAGGGGAGAGAAAGCCGGGTTCATATTATTTTCACCGTTCTTCTCCACTGCCAACCGAATTGGAAGACAGAATTTTGCGGGTGCCGCTTAGAGAACCAGAGAAAAAAAAAAAAAAAAAAAAGGGAAATGTTGAGGGGCGGACCGCCAATTTCGCCGACGCTGACTCATCTCTTAGTATATGGCTAGGCCGAAATGGCGATGCCGCGGGACTGCCTAATCGGATCTATATGAACTGTATGCTCTTGATGTACTCAATGTTAAGTACATGGTTCAATGTGTTCATTCTCTTTCCTCTTTCCCTCTTCAGTCATGAAACATGTTCTATAATAGTGCTTCAAATATCACCTTTTCTTCACTATGTGTTTGCCTCCATTCTCTTTATCTTCTAACAGTTGTTTGCACTTGAACTGTATTGAGTGAATAGCCATCTACTCTTATACTGCCTCCACATATATTCAATCATGACAGATTCCATGGCCTTTTATTGTGTTTGCTCTTCACTTTCCTTTATCTCTTAGCAACTATGTTTGTGCTTGAACTCTCTTGAGTGAATAGCTAGCTTCCTATCTATCCTCTATATATTCCAACCACAATCATTCAGCAGCCTGATATTAAGTTTCTCTTCTCACTTTCCTTTTCTATAGGCCTAGATAATCCGGTTCTTTACTCTTGATTGTCTCCCTTTTCCTGTCAATTCCTTTAGATATCTCCCACTTTCATATATCTTTCGAGAGTTATCACAGGAAGAATGATTCCACTGGAAGTCATTGATGAGGGTGACGAACGTGATGCAACGATAATCTCGGACAGCGCGAGCGACAATAGCAGCGTCACGATAGACAATGACCCGGATCGTTCATATTATTTGGAGTTCGAGGATTTGGAGGACCGCCATGATCTCCGCGGCCCAACTCCTCAGCCGGTACAGGGGCCACAGGTAGTCGACCTGACTCTCGAACCGGAACACGCATTCAACGACGGAGACTACCTCACAGATGCTTGTTTACAGAGACTCCTCAAGGATTGGAGGCTCTCCGAGCAGTCCACCCCTGAAATAGAATCGACAGTTCTGGAGGAGAGACGGACCATCCCAGAAACGTGCATAAATAACATTGTGTACAAGATTGGCCAGTCCCTCGAGCTTCACAATGGAACATTCCTGAGGGTCAGTTCGATCCTCGAAGAACCTACCGGAAAGGTCTCATTTCGGGGCCGTCACCTGCTTAGGGCCCGAAACCACGCAGCCACTTATATTCCGAAAGGTCACCAGGGGTCACAAGAGTGGCGAAACGAGCTTGTGTGGATCGCGAACGAGGCAATGGACATTGACTTTGGGCTTGTCAAACGGATTGTGAACATCCATTTTACGAACTACTGCCACGTGAACCAGGATCCACAAAAGCTCGCCAAGCCGAATGGGCTTTTCTGCCGTTTGAAGCAGACCCTGGGTCATGTCGAAGTTTCCATTGAATACGTGCCTTTCCATGAGGCCGATGAAGGGTTTCGACAGCCGGCTACATACTTGCGCAAGCTATGGAGGAGGGAGACGCGATCTTTTGGGGAGGCCGACTCCAAGGTTGTGGTAGACGAACCAGGCCCAGTCATTGATTTGACAGAACCCGAGGAGAACGTGGAGGATTTGAAACTACGGCATCAGTATACGTTTGGCGATGGGTTTTGCGGTGCTGGAGGCGTCTCCTGTGGTGCCCAGAAAGCCGGCCTAAGCATCAAATGGGCCTTCGATTCGTCGAGGCATGCCACGGAGACGTACGGTCTCAATTTCCCGAACGCGATGTGCGAAACCAGCAAGATTGATCAATTTCTCACTATTGACGAAGATTTTTTGAAAGTCGATGTCAGCCACGGATCCCCGCCCTGCCAAACGTTTTCTCCGGCGCATACGATCGAAAGCCAGAATGATGACGACAACTCAGCTTGTATCTTCTCTGGGATCAACATGGTTCAAAAGGCCAAGCCCCGCGTGCATACGATCGAGGAGACTAGTGGGCTCCTGGAAAGGCACAAAGACACATTTCACCGTATGGTTCTGGATTTCATCGAAACGGGCTATTCGGTGCGGTGGAAGATTCTGAATTGTGCAGAGTATGGAGTTCCCCAGTTGCGGAGACGGCTGGTGATTATTGCATCAGGGTAAGTTCTTCTCGAAGTGATTGAGAGTTCACACGATTTCTGCGCGATTGATGCTGATGCAGATCCCAACAGTCCTGGCGAAACCCTACCGAGGTTCCCGGCGCCTACTTATAGCCTCCGAGGGTCGGGGTCGTTACAGCCCTTCACAACTATCAACCAGATGATTGCGAACATTCCTTCGAACGCGCCGGATCATGACGTTCAAGGAGCTCAAAGTCGAGGCCTCTTGCGAGCACCATTCGACCCCAATCAGCAGGCGCGTACCATCACCTGCGGTGGCGGAGACAACAATTACCATCCATCCGGCCAAAGACGGTTTACCAACCGGGAGTTCGCTTGTCTCCAGACGTTTCCCTTGAGTTATCGATTTGGCCGTCGAGAGGTGCGCCGACAGATTGGGAACGCGGTTCCACCAGCCCTTGCGCAGGCAGTTTATGGGGAGATTATTCGGTCGTTGCAGCGGACGGATGAAGAGGAATTTGGGGACAATGGGGATGAGGGGAGATAGTTACTACGAGAATAGATTTGTTTTTGCTCTTTCAGTTGATTGATTTTTCTGCTTTCGTTCTGTTGAGAGACACATAAGGATTGACCACGTGTCAACCACCACGAAGGCATTGGACCCTTTTAGGCCTAGCAATTTGATCAAAATTGGGTGAAGACCATCTCCAAGCCTTCGGGTCTCCTCTCCAAGTCTCCAGATCCCCGGGCACTGCTGATTCATATTGAAGAATGGCAGGATTCCCGGTTGGCCGGCAATAACCGCTGACCTCAACCAAAAGCGGCCTCGGCCCGGCGTCGGTCTTTCTTCCTCTCTCCCTTTTTCCTCTATTCCCATCTTTCTCTCTTCTTTTCTTTCTTTGTTTCTGTCTATCTACCTTGATCAACTCTCTCTGGTATCTCTACCGTCTTCCTTTCCTCTTCCCTTCTTCCCTTTGCCTTCTCATCATGTCTGCCTCGTGTTCGGCGCTGAGACGGTTGACCCACAGGTCTCCCCGCACTATCCAATTCCAGTCCCGCATCCTCTCTTCCTCTAGGCTGGGTGCTTCTCTCGAATCTCGCACTTCCTGGTCATCCACGCTCAATTCGACTCCCCGTGTATCTCGGTTCTCAACCATGTCGCCTCTTCAGCATGCTGCTCCTGCCGCTCCGACTGACAAGCCCTATGATCCGGAGATCAAGGATATGGCCGATTATATCCACCACTACAAGGTGGATTCGGATCTGGCGGTATGTCTCCCATTCAACTTTCTTTCCACATCTCGATGAATTTGGCACGATTGTCTGAATTGAATTTATCTGGACCATACTGACAATACCCTCGTGTGGTTCTTATAGTATGACACGGCCCGTCTAGTTTTCCTCGACACCCTGGGCTGTGGTCTGGAGGCCCTCAAGTTCAAGGAATGCACCAAATTGCTGGGCCCCACGGTGGAAGGCACTGTGGTCCCTAATGGCACTCGTGTGCCCGGTACTCCCTATCAGCTTGATCCCATCAACGGAGCTTTTAACATCGGTGCGATGATCCGTTGGCTCGACTACAATGACTGCTGGCTGGCTGCGGAATGGGGTCATCCCTCCGATAACCTCGGTGGTATCCTCGCCGTTGCCGACTGGATCTCTCGCACTAACCGTGCCGGAGGCAACATTGCTGGCGGCAAGATCTTCACGGTGAAGGATGTCCTGGAGGCTATGATCAAGGCCCATGAAATCCAGGGTGTCTTGGCGTTGGAGAACTCATACAACAAGGTTGGCCTGGACCATGTAGTGCTCGTCAAGGTCGCCACCACCGCCGTCGTCTCTAAGATGCTCGGCCTGAGTGAGAAACAGACCGCTGATGCCATCACCCAAGCCTGGGTGGACGGGCAGAGTCTGAGAACTTACCGACATACACCCAACACCATGTCCCGGAAGTCCTGGGCCGCAGGTGATGCCTGCCAGCGTGCCGTCAATCTTGCCCTGAAGGTGCAGAAGGGCGAGACCGGACTGCACACTGTTCTCTCGGCCCCTGTCTGGGGTTTCTACGATGTCCTGTTCAAGGGCAACAAGTTCCAGTTCCAGCGTCCTTATGGCAGCTACGTTATGGAGAACGTTCTCTTCAAGGTGTCTTATCCCGGTAGGTCTTCCTCTTTCGCAGCTGAATGAAAGGCATTAAGCTCATTGTATCATAGCCGAATTCCACTCGCAGACTGCGATTGAGGCCGCCCAGATCATCAACAAGAAGCTTGCGGCCCTGGGCAAGAGCGCCAAGGATATTAAGGAGGTCACCAACCGCACCCACGAGGCCTGCATCCGCATCATTGACAAGCAGTTCAAAGCGATGGACAACTTCGCCGACCGTGACCATTGCGTTCAGGTAAGTGGACTTTCTATTCTTTCTATACGGACGGGAAATTTGTCTGCAGCGGCCGTGCTGATTTGGATTTAGTACATGGTGGCCACCATGTTGGCCTTCAACCGGTTGACTGCCAATGACTACACCGATGGCTCGGAGGCTGCCACCTCTCCCCTTGTGGAAACCCTTCGCCAGCGTATCCGCTGTGTTGAGGATCCCAAGTACACCACGGATTACCATGACCCGTCCAAGCGCACCATCCCCAACGCGCTAACGGTCACTCTGAACGACGGAACAGTGCTCGAGGAGGTCGCTGTGGAAGCTCCTCTGGGCCACCGCCTGCGCCGTGAGGAGGCCAAGCCGGAGATTCTGGCCAAATACAAGCGCCACCTGCAGGCGCATTTCGACCAGGCGCGCATTGATCAGCTGCTTGAGGTGGGTCAGAACCAGTCGGCCCTTGAGAGCTACGAGGTGGACAAGTATGTCGACCTGTACGTGACCGACAAGATCGCTACTGCTTAATGGGCTTGCCAAAAAAGTAGAGGGATAGATTTTGGGGAGGTTAATGAATATTATTGATGGAGACTCTGCCTTGGTGGGATGTATGAATTTACGGCGTATAAATTGGTGCTTTCGTAGATTCAATCTATTATTATGTTCTGTGTTTCTTCCATGGACGTAATATATACGTGCCAGATTTCTCAGGAATTGTTGTCTTTTTAGTACATCTGTCGCTTCTTTTGCTCAGGGCAGACCCAGCCTGGACATTTACCGTCGCTTGTGAGGGGTGTTCAGACATATCTCCGTGCCATTAGTTAAGCTCTTATTAATGTAGGTAAATCATTGAAAATCAGACACCATCTCACTCCAACATGGCATAATATCTATGGCAGAGGATGCATCTTAGTAACAAAAGACCCTCTCAGACTTGACAAATAGGTAGGGAGTATATCAAGGTTCAGCTTTGATTTATATAGCACTCACTACCTACGGAGATTGACATCTCGACCATGATTACGGGATTGAATTTCGGAATTATTGATTTAATATATCAAAAATTCATTCGTTAAGCATACTGATCTATCTCTATTTCTAGGTCAAGGAGAGATGCAGACTTATAGAGAGAGAGAGAGGGTTAATAAACATACCGAAACTCTCTATTCCCTAAATCCGTAATATCAGCCACTCCATCCTCATGTGTCTGTGTCTGCGTCTGTGTCTCTCTCATTCGATCTCTTCGTTGATTCTCCCATCGGAGATAGAGTAATAGGACTACCGACACCACCACCACTACGCCTAGGCAGACGATGATTGCTAAAAAGCCGCTCTATTATTTTTGTTAACACATTATTCTGATCACGTAACATAATACATATCATAACCGCAAGAGGGGGGAAAGAAAGAGGGAGAAGGGTGAGGAGTATACCTGATATTTCGGAGCCTCCCTATCAAAAAACAACTGCGGTCCGATTATGTTCCCCGCACAGTACATGATGAAATAGACAGCGCTGACGGTAGCCCGTTTGGTGAAACCGCCGATATTCGAGCTGATCATGGCCATGGACAGGGGCATAGCGACAGAGTACACCCCCATGAGGAGGAGACCAGCGTAGCGAGAAGCCATGGAGGAGGTGGCGTAGATGAGGACACTGCCGAGGACACTACAGGAATGAATTTCCTTCTTAATCTAGAAGAGATGGAAGGAGGGGTGATATACCTTATGCAGTTGACGACTGCGATGACGATGCAGCGACTATTAGGGATTTTGGAGGATATAATTGAGCTAATTGAGATGGTTAGAATTGCATAATGATGGTTGAGACAGAGGAGGATTACAAGACGAGGACGAATGCGAACACCACGGCTCCTCCGGGCATTCCTAATAGCAAGGTGTGGAAGGTAGATAACCCGAAGCCTTGGAGGATCAAGCCATTGAACTGGGACGGATATTTAGCAGTGACCCAACTCCGGATTATCTATAAGGACCTACCGTGGTAAATCCACCGTTCGGAATATTCGAAGCCAGAACGAGCAGAGCAAACAACCACGTCTTGATATCCAGACTGGCCTCGGTGATTTGGTCCCAGTCGATCTTATTACTCTTATACCCGGCCTTGTTGGCTTTGAGACGCGCCATTGCGATGACTCGCTCCTCTTCTGATAGAAACTTGGCAGTCGAAGGGGAATCAGGAAGTCGGAAGAGCATGAGGATGCCCCAGATAAAGGTGACAAGGCCGAAGATGATGAAGAGCCACTGGGAGGGTCAGATTCGCACGGCATGTATATAGTTTTCAGCAATAGGGTGACAAACCTGCCATGGTCTCAAGCCGCCGTGAATCTGCCAGATTCCCACCGCTATTAGATTGCCGATGACCAGGGAGATGGAGTTTCCGCAAAACCAGATTCCATGGCGCAGTGGCTGTTCGGAGGTGCGATACCAGAGGGAGGTGATCAGACTGAATCCTGGCGAGACACTGGCCTCGGTGCAGCCAAGGAAAAATCGAACAACCATTAGTCCGGCGAAGTTGGTGGTAGCAGCATGACAGGCGAGGACGAGAGCCCAGAGAATGCTGCCTTGGTCAGTTGTTGTCTAGTGGTATAGGGGGAGAGAGAGGTACAAGTTGCAGGCTAGATATTTCCCCAGAGGAAATTTGACCAGCAGCAGAGATGCAGGCTGTCGACACTGTGAGTCACAGGCTACCGGGGATGCAGAACACCTACCCATGAGAAGAACAGGTATCCAAAGTAGAAGATGCTGGACGTCCAACTGTACTCGGACCCCTCTAGATGGAGATCCTCACGCAGACCCATCAGGGAGGTGTAGCTGAGAGTTTGCTTGTCCAAGAAGGACATCATATAGGCGACGAGCATAATGGGAAGGATCCTGTAGGATATTAACACCAGCAGCCCTACTGGAAATACGGAACAACGCACATGAGATCGATCTTCCAGACCAACTTCTTCTCTTCAGCAATGGAGAATTGAAATGACTCTTCCATCTGTTCCAGGGCCCCATGGTCAACGCTGGACTTGTCAATATCATCCTTAATGGATTGCGGGTGTTTCTTCTCTCTCATGGCGTCGGTCATGATAGATAAGATTGATGGGTCATGTCCCGCTTTTGCGATTCTCTGTAGATGACTACTTATATCCAACCTATACTTCCCTGGAGGATCTATCTGTATACGGAGAGATAACGATAAGGGCCTTCCTGGAGGGCATCTTCGTATCCGATGCCATTGGCTGTATCGGCAAGGCTAGCAATCCTTGGCGGAATGAAAGAAACAACTCTAGAGCTCGTGTAGACTCTTGAGAATAAGACATCGCCTTGATTGGCGGCAAACAAACCGTCCTCGTGGACCTTCAATGCCGACATGAAGCTTCCCCGCAAAGATAGACCGTATAGCCGGGATCTGCAGAGGGGCTGTCTAACTTTACTATAACCGAGGGAGGAGAGAAGGATCAAGTGGAGAGAGTGAAAGAATAGATGCTGTCCTGTCTCATATGCTATTGAGCGAGTACTAGTACAATCGATTCCTTTATAGGTCTTTCTCAAAATCTGCCTTCACCTCTCGGGCGAATTGATCGTCTACCAAGATTTGACACGCCACTACTGCCATTCCTGCCGCACAAGAAATGCTACGTTTATATGACTCAGACGACCCGGCGCCGTTCGTGAATTCAGGCGTGTGGTTCACTCCGTCTGTGGGGATAGCGAACATCCCATGGAATCCAGGGACCGCGTAGGAAACATTACCTGCGAGTATGGTCAGCTCGGACTCTCTTACTGTCAAATAGCCGAAAACGAACCCATATCGGTGGACCCTCCGCCAAATCGCTCATCGCCTTTACCCGTGTTGTCGAACGTAGTGTGGTGTCCCATGACTCGCATGGCGGAAACGTAGTTCTCACAAATGGGCGTGTTTGTCTTCAAATCTGCGTAGGAAACGCCCCTATCATGAAACCAACAATTAGTGTCTAATTCAGATGTAATAATTCCAACACATTGAGGGAAACGTACCAGTCGAATTCGACCTTGCATCCGGTGGCAGTAGCGGCAGCCTCAAAGCACTTGATCACCTTTTCGGTCAAGGGCTTCAGAGACTTGACACTCGTTGATCGGATGTAGTAATCCATTGTTGCAGACATGGGAATGATGTTCGGCCGATTCCCACCGTTAACAATAATGCCGTGGATTTTCTGACTCGGCAGGATCTGTTGTCGAAGGAGAGAAATATTCACATAAGCTGCAACCACCGCATCCAACGCATTGATACCTTCCCAAGGCGCGGCCGCTGCATGCGCAGGTTTCCCAGTGAATGTCACCCGGATTTTGTCATTCGCAAGAAACCCACCGGGGAGCACCGTGGCGATACTCAACAGTTCCGGATCGTTGGCGATGATCGGGAGGGGGTGTACCATAAGACTTGCGTCCACATCTTTATACGCGCCTTTTTCCAGCAACTGTACCTTCCCACCACCGGATTCTTCCGCTGGAGTACCGAGAAGACGAACCGTGCAGCCGGGTCCATCAGGACATTGTGCTTTGATGGCTTCGCAGGTAGCTATGAACGCAGCTATGGAGCTGGTTGCAATTAGATTGTGTCCACATGCATGGCCGATTCCAGGAAGCGCGTCGTATTCGGCATTGAACGTTACCACTCGACCACCAGAACCATGGGTGTATTCGATTTCGCAAGCGGTTTTTAATCCATAGGCGCTACGGCGGACTTGGTAACCCTCAGTCTTGAGGCCATCAAACAATTCACAGATATGATCGTGGGCTTTGTACTCTTCGTAAGCAAGCTCTGGATTCGACCAGATCTTGAATGGGTTAGAAACGGGCGCCAATTGAACGGTAGATTGTAATTTACTTACTTGGTTGTTGATGGTTTTTAGCTGCGCCTCATATTTGCAAAGTGCGGTCTGAACGCTTTCAATAAAACGCACCTGGGTCTCTGGAATCTTCATTTTTGGCAGGTCAGTGAACAGTTTGGGAAAATGAACATAGTATTATTTCATGAAAGCAGCGCACTTCGCACGTATCCCTTTTATATAGTTCACTAAGGTCGCAAGGGTTGCGATCCCCGCATGATCGTAAGTCAAATCCATGTGCGCCGGATACTGTGCCGATGAACCCCTTGAGGATTGTCCGTGTATAGATCCATTGCCCATCCCGTTGTCTAGACCTCGCCTATCGGCAATGTTAGACCTGCCCGATCGGGATGGACGTGATGCTGAGTTCCGTGATTGGCGAGAAGAGCAGGTGATCTTGGTCATGTGATCGTGCCGAAACAGCCAATCAGCGCGAGTCAATCGGCAGCAACCCGGACCGCGAGAAGATCCGAAGGATTTCCCGGACTGGAAATCCTTCGCTAGTCCGCTCACAGTAAAGTCTCACTACCATCGAGCTCGGGAACCTACCAAGTAGAGTCATCAACGCCTCTCATCGTGCTTCTTTCTCCTCAATTGCATTTGGAGTGGAGTCCTGAATCATCTTCCCCGGCCGGGTCACCCCGCACAATTCGCCCTTCATATCATACCTTGTCTGTGCGGATGTATCTAGACTCCTCTAGACGCAGTGGCTTACTTCGATATTGCGTCACCCAAGATTGACTACGAGAGGTGGATGGGTAGGAAACACCTAGCCAGTGGAGTAAACCTGCCACATTAGGCTGGGTGAGAATGCATAAGTTCGGAAGCAAGGCACGCTCCAAGACGGGTAAGGATCCACAGAGCCCTTCTCCTATTTAATTATCATTAAGTGCACGGGTCTTACGGATGGCGCAGGTTGTCGGACGTGTAGAATCCGCAAGGTTAAATGCGACGAGGAGAAAATTTATGTGGTGGGTCAAGACGAGCCTCAATGTAGGCGTTGCACTTCTGCCCGGATTCTCTGCGAGTGGAAGGGCGGCCCCATCCCACGGAAGTCATCATCAGGATCCAACAGAGGTCAATTGATGGGGGAAAATCGTACGGTGCGGAAATGGATGCACTTTCAAGCTGGTCCATATGCTTCGATCCCTTTGCTTCCCGCGCGGGACTCTGGAGATACGCTTCAAGCCGCCAATTCTTTGTTTCTGACTAACACGGATCGGTCTTTTCTGGACTACCTCCAAGGTTCTGCCCTCGTCTTGCTTCTTGGGAAGCATTGGCCGTGGTCCACGATTTCGTATATATACCATCGCATCGCCGTCAGAGAACCCATGGTGATGAGTATGGTTCTGGCTACTGCCGCGAGCGAATTCCACAGATCTCGTCTCCTGAGTGAGCACGTATCCGTCGATGATTTGTCCGATGTGGAGGGTAGGTCACATTATGGCAAAGCTCTGTCGGGGCTCCGTGAAGTATTGAAACAGGAAGTGAAGTCGCCCGAGCAGATCGAGGCGATCTTCATCACACTGTGGCTCATGGGTGACTATGAGAATCGCTTCGGCAGTGGCTCTGCAGGAATAAACGTTCATATCAAAGGCATAACGTCGCTACTATTCAATCATATTATGCCACTCTTGAAACCCCGGCAACAAGGCCCGCCCCCAGCGATCTCTATGGGTGAGTCGTCAGCGAAGGACCATCCAACTGAAGGCCTGGAATCTCAGCCAGCTACCTCAGCAACCGAAAAGCCGGACGGAAAACTCCGATACACGTCGGTGCCTTTGTTTTTACTTTGGACCTTGTATTTATTCAACCCAGGCACCATATTCTACGGTCCAGGCTGCGCCAATGCCAATATTGGCCTTCTCCGGCTCTTTCTGTGTGCAGAACCAGGAGGTACTAACTTGAGCTTGCCAGAACTTTACAGAATTAGCAGGCAATCACCGTCCCATTTTTGGGGGGATGGGTATCCGGCGACAGCCCACTTGGATGACCTGGAGAATCTGCCCGGCCTGGGTCTGTATCATCGAAGCCATGTGACTCAGTTCCGTATCACCGAGCTTTATCGACAACACTCGTTCAGCGACGTAGGGGTACAATCTCCCTTTCAACAGATCGTAGATGAAATTTCTGCTATTGCGAAAGTTAGTGACCATGCTACGAGGTGGACGAAACGGCAATTTTGGAACAAGATCAGCTAACCTCTACGTTGTTTGACCAGGAATTTGATATTCTGCTATCCTTCGCAAAGGCCGCTCCTTCCTATGAAATTGCGGGCGAGGGACGTCGGGTGATGGAAACAGTGTATTGGTCGTCAATGAACTACTACAGTACGATCGTGTATTTCCATCTCTGCTTCATGGATGTACTGAAAGAGCAACCTCAATGCTTGCCGCCCCAAATCCTTTCCCTCGACGAGGCCGCATCCCTGGTTCTGGAGCTGGCCCTAAAGCTCCATCGCAGTCGACCTCGAGCGATGATTCGGACTTTTTGGCCCCTTTTCATTGCAGGCATCGCCACGCGAGATCAAATCTACAAGGATTGGGTGTCAACTCGGCTACGAGAACTCACCCGCTACGGCCAGAACTATGGCCGTGTAAGTGATCGGTTTGATGAGATCACCCAGGGACATGATTCGTTTGCGTACGCTCGGAAATATCTGAGCACGCTTCATCAGAACTGAACGGCATGCTGGATGGCAGACCGGAAATGCGAACCGACCAGTATTGTCGGGTTGTCTAGGGTATCGCGCATGACTTGCTGCGAATAGTTGATTTATGCACATAGCTTAGCTTAGAATAGTGTGCTTCCCTACGTAGACTGGATATAGAGTACTGGAGTATGGACTGAATGGAATCGAATATTCAAGACCGATTCTAGAACCCAGAAAGAAGGCTGTGCAAGTGGGAACTACAAAGTACGCCGTAAGCCGTAAGCGACGTATTTTCTTTTTCTTTTTCTTTTCTTTTCTTTTCTTTTATATAAAATAATAATAAAAATAAAAATAAGCATTACGTACAGTCTATATATTCTCGGTAAATCGACGATATACGAAGTAATAATACCTAATACCGCAAAGTCTCCAGATTAGGCAGGTAGACGGCATAACATGACCGCAATACGAGAATAAAAATAACCGAAATTCCCATTGAACAGAACTTTAAAACTGCTGAATGCTGAGTGCTGAGCGATGAGAGTCATCACCGTGGGGGGCCTGGTTGTTGACCCCAACGATAACCCAACGTAAGGGTGTTTGTTATAGCCACAGCAAAGATGACGTCGTCATGGTGTCGGGGGGACGGGAAACCAGGAACGAATGAAGGAAGGAATGATGAATCACCTAACCGGAACAAGTTGAGATATGTTCTCAACCAGATTGATTGATTTACTGACGACTTCTTTGTTGGAAGATCTAGCACTCCATAAATATGAAGTCATCTTAGGAGCTGATCCGCGCAGATAGGTACAGAGAACGACAGCACTGGCAATTTGTCGAGAAGTCGATGGATCCTTTACTTCTCATCCGACCATCTTAGATCCCCTCATTGGATCAAGGGCACGCCGTAAATGATGCAGATGGCGCTAGAGTGTCACTGCAGAAGGGGGGATGTGCAGACTCGGAGCAGAAGTACCAGAGAAGTAGGAAAGAAATAACGAAAATGAAAGTAAATGTTGAGTCACCTGGTCTGGTCGTGATCATTGGCTGTAGGGTATTTCTGAATGGGGTCTATCGACGAACCGGGATTTACCTTTTATTTTCACAATTTCTGAGATAACAAAGGTGTGACTACTGAGTACGACGGGATTATGGATGGATGGTCTCTGGTTCCTGAATGACATTCTTGGCCCACTAGCCTCTACACTCACCGGTAAACTTGGATCTAACCGCCGCTGAACCGAGAGCTAACCGCGGATATGATTGCCAACCGGAGGGTCTACGGAAGGTTTCATCAGTCCCCCCCACATGGAAGAAATCGCGCTTTCGCGCTTTGCTCCTGTCACCGGTACCTTATTTTGGCTCCAGAGCACTAGTCATCAGGTTAAAGCCTCGCGCAGAATAGCCTCGACTTCTCGTAGTGTCTCAGATTTAGATGTCACGCTCGACATGAGGTACAGCACATTCCCGAGGACCCTAGAATGCACGGAGAAGGATGGTCCCCCGGCAGACAATCTCTGCTGTAGGCCTTGAGCTGCAGTCGATGTGTAGCCTGTCCGGTGGAGACGTCACATGTTAGCCGGCTGGCATCGGCCACGGGAAATCGCTGGAGTAAATTAACAAATGCAGCAGAAATTAACTTACCTCCGCCCTGAGTGTCCGTCAGTGAAATACTGAGAACGGTGCCAATGGAAAATACACCGTCCACGCTAGATGCGAGCGATAGATCCTGGACCAGACGGTGAGACCACACACTCCAAACCCCAGGTGAGACCACGCGGCTAGAAGTATCGTGACCAATGGACTCGGGTGGATTCCAATCCTGGCGGTACTGGGTCCAGGACCCACCTTCTTCCATCTTCATCATTGATTGCAGGGAGTCGACAGCCACCTGGCAGCCGACTGCATGTGCCGTGTAGCTATGCCCATGCAGGAGGGCGTCGCTCTTTTCAGGACTCGAAAAGGCCTGAAAGATCTCTTTGCTAGCCAGGGTGGCGCAGAGGGGCACGAGCCCTCCGGTGAGAAGCTTCGCATTCACTGCGATGTCGGCGTCGATCTGCAGGAAGGAGGCGGAGGATTTGCGACCTAGACGGTAGAGACCCGTGAAGACCTCGTCGAGGATGATCGGCAGGCCAGACCATGATGTCTCTGCATCTTGATCACGGCTCTTAGTTGATTGCGCTGCACTGCGGCCAAAAAGGCCAGGATTGTTGCGAACAACATCCGCGAGACATCGCTGGAATAGGGGGTCACTGTAGTGATCCCTACGTTAGCACTCGGTCTTCCGGAGTCGCAGTCTACCGATACTAACCAGAACAGCATCCCACCAGCACCTAAGATGACTGGCTCCATAATGAGGGAGCCGAATTTCATTCCTTTCTGCTGGACCAGGGTCTCAATGGTACGCCGAATGTATTCTGCGTAGCGTTTGCCCGCATCAGATTGTAAACGTCCCTCAACATCGAAGACGGAATTCAAAGACGGAAGCTCAAGATCAGGGCCCAGGGAATCTTTCATCTCCGCTGGAATCTCGACTTTCCAAACCCCCTGGGACATTTTCACCTGAGGGAAATCAAACCAGTAGCCACGGCCGCGGTACCATTCGACCTTCTGGTTGAAGGTAGATGGCTCTGCACAGTCCATGACCCCAATTGTGTCGCCGTGATAGCTTCCCTTGAGTCCTAGGATACTGATCTGCTCTTTGCTGGCATCCCATCCATATCGGTCGCACGCCGCTCGAAGTCCCATTTTCACAGCGACTTCCATCCCCGTGCTCCCATTATCAGTATAGAAAACCTTTTTCAGGCGAGGGTTTCCCACAGACCGAAGCAGCAGCTCTGCGAGAGATAGGGCCGGTTCATGGATATTCCCCGGAAACATAACATGCCCATAACGCCCTGCTGCGTATGCCGCCGACAAGGCAAGTTCTGGGTTTCCGTGCCCCAAGCCCTGCGTCCACCATGATGCGGAGCCATCAAACGTGGCCTGTAGCTTACCTGCTAGGTCTGAACCGTCCGACTTGGCATATGTTTGGAAGAAGTCATCATAGGCCGAATCAATGGGGGTGATATCCTTGGGTACCATGCCATGGTGTTGCGTGAATGGATACCATATGGTATCGTGAGCGCGGCTGGCCATAGCCTCCAAGTGGTCGATCCTCTCTGTATTCCTGGTAGTCAACTGATCCAATAAACTCTCAATATCAGTCTCGTGTGCGATATTACCGTAATATTGGGTCATCGCATCCTCATCGTAAGCCAGGGAGTCGGCATCCTGTGTTGCCGGCCTTACGGGAGGTGGGGTCAGTGGAACGAGAGGAATACTCTTTTTCGAGAAATAACTATGGAGATATTCATGGTTTCTGTAGTAATCATCGCGAAACAGTAGCACGGAATGGATGTCATAGCCACGTAACAGGAGTGACTCATATGCGGATATCGATGAGGATATACCCCCGAGACGCGAGTCCGCTATAAGGATGATGGGCAGGCGAAGTGGTCGATAGAGATCCACTTGCGAATTGCCATTGGGACCGGGACTGTGCACTCCCCCTGCAGTCTCTACGAGGGCAAAGTCGATACCACTGCCAGCCCAGCTGCAGAGGGTTTTGTGAACGGAGGCGACGATCTCATCATCTCGAGGAATCTGATTGGTGTCAACATGTCTCACCACAGGGCCGGAGGATCGCGTAGTCCATCAGTGAGGATCTAATCCGTACAGTAAAACCTTTCTGCTGAGCGGCGATATGTGGGCTGACAGGTTCGCCGAATTGGTATAGACACTTGGTCGACACACCGGGAGCGTACCGCAGAACATGCCTAAAATCCACGTTAATCCGGATCAGGACCCCTCAGCAGCTACGAGAGACGCCCACCTGTCATCTGCATCATTCAATGGCCCGGTGGATACGGGTTTGAGAAAGGCTGCTTTTCCCGGTGATTTCTGACGTTGGATAGCATTACAAAGGATCGTCGAAGCAATGGTCTTGCCGACGTCGGTGTTGGCGCCGTAGACCTGATGGGCGCGCAGAGAGCGCCAAAGGGCTGCACCCACGGGGGCCATCAGTTGGGAATAGACTCGATCGTCGATCAATCGATCAAGAATTAATGAACAATGAATCAATCCAGTGTCTTGAATCCCCGCGGAGAACAGGCCTACTTAAGCGGCCGAGGCGGAGCTGCGGCTACCGACGCTGCTGCCCCAGGCACCCAGGCAGCAACGGTGGGCCCCCAACGGCGGGCCTTTTATTTTGATTATTTTCACAGTTTACGATTAGTACTTTATTTTGTGCCGCTCGCCGTGGGTCTCGTTGATTTCAACACCCTCTTCACTCACAACACTAACACTGCCTAGGCACACTAGGTACGCCCTAGAATTAGAAATGACCGATGTGGAATAGGCCACCACTGATCATACCCCTCTGCTCGGTATTGATCCACTCCAGACATGCTCGACGTGAAATCCCGGGCTGCACATCCCGGTGTGATGGATGATAATGGCGCTGCCCCTCTCCACCCCAGACGCCATGCCTGTTTGTCTTCAGTCGCTCCTTTTTATATGGGTAGTCTGGACGTTCCCGGTCATAGTTTAAGCTCCTCCAGATCCCAATTTAGCCAGCATACATGGACCGTTCCTCTCCAAAAAAGTGTCTGCGTGACTCATTGCGCCAAGCTTTGCACCGTAGGGAACTCAGATCAGTGCGTCGAAGACTTACGGTTCTGCCTCAATCGTCGGTAGACTTTTCGTCGAATGATTTTCTGTCATTGTCAACGTCGCCACTTTTCCGTGCCCGTCTTCTGAACCATCTTCAGCAGGCGTCACCATTGTACCCATTTGCGAGTGGTGGGTCCCGGCTCCTGGATGGGAATTCTACCTACGCAGAAGAGCTGGAGAACTATATCGCCGACTTTCATGGCGCACCCAAGGGGCTTTTGTTCAATTCCGGATTCGACGCCAACGTCGGGGTGTTGTCGTCCATCCCGCAGCCGGGGGATCTGATGGTGTACGATGAACTCATCCACGCCAGTGCCCGAGAAGGCATGCGTTTGTCCCGGGCTGGAAAACGGTTCTCATTTGCCCATAGCTCGCCTGACAGCATGGAGGATGTGCTGCGTTCTCAGATTGAACACGACCCACTGATCCAGGATGGGTCTCGGAATGTGTTCATTGCCATAGAGTCTATATATAGCATGGACGGGGATATTGCCCCGATACAGGAGTTCGTCCAGATTGTGGATCGGCTATTACCCCGTGGGAACGGGTATTTTATCGTGGATGAAGCGCACGCCACGGGTGCGTTTGGTCCCCGCGGGGCCGGTGTTGTGCAGGACTTGGGTTTGGAAGACCGCATGTTTATACGGGTTCATACATTTGGCAAGGCTCTGGCTAGCCATGGAGGTACGTGAGAGGGCACTGTCTGCCGATGTGTGGGTGATAACTAACAGTGTGACCAGCCATTGTACTGTGCTGCCCGGACACTCGGGACTACTTGATCAACTATGCACGGAGCCTGATCTACACCACCGCCCTGGGATTTCCATTTCTGGCTTCCATTCGCACTGCGTATGAGTTGCTGTCGGAGGGGGAAACTCAGCATGTATGTACCTCTGGCTTCTATGGGCAGGAAGATGGGAGTTCTTGCTGATGACCACCAGCTCCAGCGCAAACTGCAACAATTGATCCGATATCTCCGAACTCGACTGGGAGAGATCGACTTCTGCGATCCGGCAATATTCCAAGTGGATCATTTTCCGAGTTCGCCTATATTCTCTCTCCGCAGTCCTGTTCCCCGCGAACTGGCGGCTGTCTGCCAGCGAAGCGGGTTTGTTGTACGTGCTATTATGGCTCCGACTGTTCCTGCAGGCAAGGAGCGAGTACGGGTGTGTCTGCATGCCGGGAACACCATGGAGGAAATCGACGGTCTGATTCAGACAATTGGGTACTGGCTGAATCAGACTACGGAGAAGAGAACTGCTCGGCTATGATCCTTGACTGGCTATACTATATGTATGGGTAAAAGCTACCGAGTGTATATGGAAGTATTGCAGGCGCTGTTCTTTTTGTTTCCTTGCTTGCTAAATAAGGGGTAGCAGACAGGCGAGGAAAATAAATAAGCATCATCATACCTACCCGTTTTCCTCATCCACTTCCATAATTAATAGTATCCTTGTCAGCCATGTCCCTTGCGCTATACACGGTGGGGGAGGCTATATCTAAGAGCAACATCCTCTTTCTCCGCCGATTCTTCCTGTCGATACCCTTCCAAAAAAAAAAATAAAAATAAAAAATAAACCAGCATCTCTGATCTCACGATTCATCTAGATATAGTATAGTTATTTTACTCAACGATCCTAAATCCAAACTGGACTCTAGCCCTGAGAATAAACAGCCCAAAACTGCTCCTCCACACTAGTCCTACCATACCTAGAGATTGGGGGCCATGGTGGTGAGTTTCTTTTTTTTTTTTTTTATAAGAATACAAGGTCAAGGTCGTAGGATATATGTAAATTCTATAGCTTCTAGTGTAGCCAGGGCAGTTAAAGTCGTTTCTGTGCCATTATGATTTATAATGAGGTGAGATAAGTTAAAGTGAGGAAGTTGGGAAGTTAATCTGGCTGTTGGGCTCTATAATTTCTGGTATGCAGCTTGCTTGGTCATCCATAGGATAATTAAGAAGTCCTGTTATATGTGCTTATAGCTAATTATTAGTTTGTATTATGTACACCAGTGATGTATCGCAACCCCACCCGATGATTAATTTGGATCCCTACCAGATTTGAACCACCAACTACTCCGTACAGCAATCCAAATGGACGAAGATATTCTCATTGTCGGAGCAGGGATTTTCGGAGTCAGCACAGCATATCACCTAGCTCTGACTGTCTCCAATCCCTCTCGCATTACTCTTTTAGACCGTGCTGTCGCTCCCTCGACGTTAGCAGCATCCACAGACATAAACAAGGTAATCCGAGCAGATTACTCCAACCCCCTCTACATGGAATTGGGGTTCGAAGCCATCGATGCTTGGAAATCCCTTCCGTTCTTCCAGAACGCAGGCGTTTATCATCGGAGCGGATGGATCGCCATGGGCGAGAAAGACAGAGATACACCAGCGCGCATACGGCAAAACTTCCACGACAGAGATCGCGACGCCAGTATTGTAGATATGACAGAGGAAGAAGTCCGAAGGAAATGGGGAGGAGTGCTTCGACGCACGAACTGCACGCCCTTTGGGTCGTATTATTTCAACGCCTCTGCTGGCTGGGTGGACGCGGGACGGGCTTTGCAGATTCTAGCGCAGGAAGCCATCAAACTCGGGGTGAAGTATCAAACAGCGGAGGTGCGTCGGATACTACTGGGGAATGGACGGGTCCAAGGCGTCGAAACGGAGACAGGAGGCGTTTATAAAACTGACAAGGTGCTTCTCGCCACGGGAGCGTGGACCAGCCAGTTGATGTCACCGGTGGAGGATGAGTTGGGACTGTCCGATGTCGAACGAGTGGAAAGCCAGGTTTCCGCGACGGGCGTTTCGGTTGCTCATTTTCAGCTTTCGGAGGCAGAGAAAGTGACATACGCACAGCTTCCGGTGTTAGTATATGGGGGGCAGGGTTGGTTAGTGAGGAAAACTGGTTTGAATGTGTGACTGACGATGCACAGGAGAGGTGATACCCCCGACTGCATCGGGAGTTCTCAAATTCACGTTCACAACCTCCTTCAAGAACACTATGGAGACTCCATCAGGCCATAGCATCTCGGTCCCATCAGTCCAAGACCAGATGGATGTGCCGGAAAAGCTCCAGGAGGACTCAATAATGGGGATTCGTGCTCGTCTTCCACAGATTCTGGAGAACAACCGACGGCCAGATTACTATCGTTTGTGCTGGGACGCCATCTCCTCCGATCAGCATCCTCGGATCACCCAGCATCCTGACCATAGACTAGCTAATCTATATCTTGCTGTGGGAGGGTCGTTTCACTGCTACAAGTTTCTTCCCACCATTGGGAAGTACGTGACGAATGTCCTTCGTGGGGTGGGAAATGGTCAAAAAGACGAAGCCTGGCGATGGAGGAAGAGTCGATGCCATGAGAGAGGCGTTCATGAGACTCTTGTCCCTAAGAAAGAGCTGCGGGATTTTGCATCAGGCAGTGTTCAGTGACTGCAGATTGGGTAGTGGAGACCAAGACTGACAGGAGGAAGTAGAAGGGACTTACTGTTCTGTTCTGAACAAAGCAATAATTCACTGCATTCTGTCAAGAGTGGAGTCAGGCGTAGGTGGACTCATTCACGTAGACTCGCGTGCCCAAACTGCTTTGATCTTGTCTTTCTCCTCGTCCTTTCCACTATCTTCTATCCCTGCCAGCATTCATGAAAAGACATGATTCATGGATTCAGATATGCCCGAACCCTAGAGTATCTCTCTTTACATTCCTACCCTTCCGACAAGGTAGTGATGTCGCGAACTAACATTTTCTGCAATGTGTGCGGTGGACCCCTGGAACACTATGGACTTCGAGGAACCACGTCAGTCCCTCTGGGCGAAGAGACCACCTTAGACCTGTACGACGATGAATGCACCTGCACACCCGCGCATCTGGGGCCTTTCATGACGCCTGGGAGGTTCATATACGGAGAACCACGTCATTACAAATGTGCCATTTGGCAAGGATACGATGGGATAATCTTGCCCGAAAGACGCATCTTCGTGAGTACTCGCGCATGGCAGCTACTCCGTAGAATTATATGGAGTTAAGGCTCTCAGTGGCTACAGGATGTGCGGATGCTGTGCATTGAGTCAGAGTCTTTACAGAAGGAAGATGACGAGCGTGTTAGCGCTTCGGCGTATTTCGTCACGAACGTGGTATGTGCATGGCAATAGGCTGGAAGATGGAAGCAGGATACTGATCAGGCACAGGGCATTTTTGATCGAGAAGACGGCATTTTGAACCGCGATATTCGAGAACATGCTGGGTTTCCCATGCATGATGCTTGCTGGCGCATTCTGCAACTTGTGCAGGAGACAGTCATATCGAGCCATCGGGGCATCGATCTACGGGAGTTGTTTGTGACGTGGAAGAGGCATTTCGATGTCCTTTGCTTCGGCACACTGCGATGGAGTGATCGTGCATATGCGGTGGCAGAGAAACACCACAGCACGGATAATTGGGAACCAGTCAAAGGGGAAGAGGTGAGTCGACCGGATACTAGTAGGGATGGTACCGATCTGATATTGTATATCCGTAGTGGCTTGCTGCGGATCCATTTGAGAAGATGGACTTCTCATCACTCATCACCGAATGCCTGGGCACTGAAGAAGCAGGAATCGACGGTCTATTCTCACCCATACCGGGCTATAGCGATCCATTTGACTGCCTCCCTACGGAGCTACGCTATATGATCCTGGAATACCTTCCGACGGCGTCGGTCTTCAAATTGTCCATCGTCAGCCCGGCATTTAAAATCGTGGCGTTCCGTCTCCTTCCTGCGTTTTGGGAATCATGATTGGACAGGGATATGCCTTGGTTGCAGATCACCTCGCTGCACAGCGACCTATCCCAGTAGGGACGACCAATTCGATACAAGCAGCTGCTGAAAATGCTGCAAGAGGTATCAACCAACCAACTGGACTTCGAGACACTTGGTGAAGACTACGCCGCGGAGGGGAGATGGATAGCGCTGCAGAATCTCCGTCGCATCTGGAGATGCTGCGAGCATATTCTTTGCGTGGTGGAAAAAGCGTTCATGAAAACCAGACGACAAAGTGGACGAGCCTCGCCAGAGCTCAAAGAGCGGGCGGTGACTCGAGTGGCCAGTCTCTGCGAGCCATGTCTCGGGAGCAGTTACCTGTCGGAAGTGTACTTCATTCCGGACGTGGGAGACGTGCCGTCTCTACGAAGCGTAACGGTGTATTTTTCGCTGGACAATGACGAGATCATTGGGATCGAATGGCGACTGCAGGGTGAGAAATCCGGACGGCTTCTGGGACGCCGCACCTCGTCGCTGGAAAGAAAGGGGCTTCCTCGTGATCTCGCTATCAGTGGGTTCGTCCTGAGTCTGGGTTCGACACGCAATGCATTCAGTAACGAGCAGAGTATCTACGGATTGGGGATCCTGACTGAGGGTAGCCCGGAAGTTCGTATCAAGCTGGGATCATGGACGGATAACGACCTAGTGCAGGCGTTCCGGGCCGACTGGCTGGAGACAGAGGGCCACCGGGTGGTGGGAATTGCAGGGCATTATGATGTTCGTTTCCGGACATATCATATACATCTGTATATCTAATTGACATAGGAATTCAACCTCAGCAGCTTCGGCATCATCACAGCAGACCTGACAACTTCACAAATAAAAATCACCATGCCACCGCTATTCCCACGGGGATTCATCCACTACCGCTGGATCCAAAAGTACCCGCCGCCGGGGTACGTCCTTCGACCGATCTCATACGTAGAATCAAGCGAGAGCTGGCCGGGCCATCACCCACCGATCCTAGAAGCGCCGGTGATAGTCATCGAGCTGAGCGGACGGGATCTGCGCGCAGTGAGGGTATATTTCCAACCGAAAGAGCAGCAATGCGTGGGGATGGAGTTTGAATTTACGGACGACAGCACGCAGCTGGTCAGTGCGGATGGAGTCACGGAGAAGAAAAACCTAAAGATGACGACGATTCGCCTACGGGGGGAGCGTATCATGGGGTTTACGTGTTGGTATGGGAGGAGACGGGTGATTCATGGATTGGAGGTTAGTCTCTCTCTCTACATATATCTATGGATGGAAGGATGTTAAGGGTAGGATAGTTTGTAACGAGTCGCAGCCGCACGGTGGGAGCCGGGAGACGCAAATGTGTCGAGGGACAATTTTCATATCATGATCACGACGCGAGAGAGGTTGGGGGGTTGTATGCTGGGATTCGATCTTACGGGATTGAGAGTTTGGGATTGATAGTGAGATGCTGATATTATCAAGATATCTGTGTAGATCCAAGCTAGAGGCACAATTGTCTCTGTACTTTTAGATAATCTATTCTAGCTAATGTATAGAATCTATATGAATAATAGCAGCCAGATTGCTGTCTGGCTAATTTCAGCTTTGGATTATATGAAAGATATGAATATAAGGTTAACCTACTGATGCTTAATTAACTGTATTCTCAGTTAAGCTTGTCTATGTATAAGCTATCCATCTCTCTAGAGTCTCGATCACTTGAATAAGAACTATCAGAGAAAGTACCATAGAACTATAATCAAGATGAATCTGTACTATGGACAGTGTCCTGACTTCCGACATAATATATACTATATTCTATTAGTCATATTTACTATATCATGATAAATCCACCCCTGCAATTCTTGTAATATAGACCGTAGATATTGAATTATAACCTCGCCCTCCCCCTATTCAGATCTTCCCACTCTTCCCCTCCAAACGGACGATACGACTCCTCCCCAGGAGGCAACCAGTATAGCTGATCCTCAGACTTCGCTATCTTCTGAGGATCGACTCCTTCATCCCGCAGCGGGACCTTATTCTGCTTGAGATTATGTATGTGTGAAGGCTTCTGCACGAGACGCAGGAACACCGGCACCGCGTACTTGGGAAGTCTGGCACGAGCGAATTGTGCTAACTTGACGAAGTCGAAATCTGCCTGTGCGTCTGCATGGATCTGAATCGCTGCACAGCCGGCTCGACCGTCGTGATGGGGGATGGATACCCCGTAGACATTGGCTTCTTGGACGCCGGGGTATTGGCCGAGGATTTGAGAGACTTCGGCCGTTGCTCTATATATAATATTAGACATATATAAAATATCAACAAAAGGAAGAGAGAGAGAGAAGGAAAGACATACACATTTTCACTCTTCCATCGAAACGTATCCCCCAGTCGATCGAGAAAATACCATCTCCCATCGGACTGTCGACGCAGTGCATCGCCCGAGCGGTAATACAGGTCCCCCTTGCGCAGAACATCACGGATGAATTTCTTCCGCGTCGCGGAGTCATTTCCCCAGTATCCCTGGAACGCGTCCTCCGAGGCAATCTGCACCAGCATCTCACCTCCCTCCTCGTAGGAATTCCGCACAGCCAGTCCTGTCTGTTCATTGCGCAGCACGTCCCCGGAGACAGGGTCCACAGCCACAGGAACGTAGACATCACGCAACATCCACCGCATGAGCAGACCGTGATGTCCGACGCAGCCGGCAGAGAATGGGCCACGATTGTAATTAAACAGGACGAAAAGACCCTCCGTACTATTGAAAAACTCACCGACAGTAGAGATACCGAATCGCTGACGGAATCGCTCCCACACGTCCGGGCGGAGTCCATTTCCATATATGCAGTGCACGCGGTGGTTGCGGTCGAGAGATGACGGGGGTGCGGCGAGAAGATATCGCGCTACTTCGCCGACATACACGAAGACGGTGGCCTGGGAGTCGTGGATGTCATGCCAGAAGGTGCGTGTGCTGAATCGCCGACCCACGGCGATGCTGACCCCCGTCACTAGACAGGTCACTAGCGACATGGCTGTTGTCCCGTGGTACAGAGGCATGCAGCTGTACCAGCGGTCGCCGTGCGGGCCGTTGCGATTGTCTACGAAGCCACGACGCGCCATCAGACCGGAGTACAGACGGGACATGGTGAAGGCGCATCCTTTGGGTAGTCCTGTGGTGCCTGAAGTGTATAGCAGGATAGCGGGGAACGACCCCGCCATGCCGTGCGCGTGCTGGGCGTTGTCCGGTACAGTGGACGGCAGAGTCGACAGTTTATCCTGGAACGACTTGTCGAGGACATGGATCTCCATGCGCAGGTCGGACTCGATGGTCGTCTGGACGTCGTCGACGCGCGCACGACAGTCGTCGTCCGGGTCGACGAGTAAGTGACGAGCACCGCTGATGCGCAGACAATGCAGCAGGGCGTCGCCGACGAGATGATAGTTGATCGCGGCAGGAGCAGCGCCAACGCTCAGCAGCGCCAGCCAGGCGATGAGAAATTCGGCACGATTCTGCAGATAGAAAGCGACCAGATCGCCAGGTTGCACGCCATGCTGGCGGAAGAAGTGCGCATACTGGGCGCATTGGACGAGGACCTCGCGGTAGGTATACTGGACATCGCGCGTCCACAGACAGATCATGTCGGGATAGCGAGCAGCTGTCTCAGCAAAGACAAACCAGACGTTGCCTCGGTTGGAGGCGAGAGCGCGTTCATAGTTGCGGAGACCTTGATGGATAGAGAGGAGGCTGGAGAGGTCTTTGGCCAGGTGGAATTTGGCGTTGAGGTAGGCGACAACAAGAGGAAGGACTAGCATTCTCTATATCTGGATATACAGTGGATATAAATCGTACAGTATATGATAAGGATAAATCTCCAAGATGATATATGAGACGAGACCCGAGCTACCTCGGTTCAACGTGCGGGGTTAAATGTGGAGTAATGAGGCTATGATCTATTACCACGGAGTAGTTCCCAGTTAATTAGACTAAGTTCTACTGGTGACCTCAGACAGCCAAGAGGGATAGTGTATTGTGTATAGTTTGGCTGCAACGGGTCACCTGTCGCTGCAGTCTTAGACGGAAATGCGTTGGATCGTAGCGTGAGAGAAGGCCCCGTCCGCGCTCGGCTCCATAGTCTGTGTGGAGACACGGAACCTCGCCTAATTGCCTAAGCCTTCCAGCTCTCACACACAGATGTCTTAATTAATAATCATCAAGAATGTCGTCAGGTCAAGATGTCTCCTCATTCCCCTTAACGCCTTCGACAAATCTATACTCCGTATACAAAGGAAAGTCGGGAGGAAAGAACTACTTAGTAAGCCCACCGGGACCCGGAAGCCTAACTAGTTGCCTCTCGACTAGTACGTTAATGTTAGCTTTTTAGCGTGTCGAACCCCACTACTTTCTTTGTTGCCTCTTGGGCCTAAGCGGAAGCCTAGTCCGCAGCGTGGTCGTCACGTGAGTCAACGCAATACAACTACCCTATAAGTAATCAGAGGCTAAGTAGTTAACTAATAGGTTAATAAGTAGTCAAATACGGATAAAAGGTCATGAATTCATCCGTCCAGAAGACATCATGGCCCAATCGGGGAATTCAGGCATGACTACATCACGGGATGCTGCTGGGAGTTGATTTTCGGCATTTGCTCGATAAAAACATGGCGCATCGCACTAGCGACGCACGATGCGAGGAGCATCTGATGTGTCGTACTGGGCAAACTTTCTATAGTCTTTATACCCAATAACTCCGGCCACTATCCACTCCTCGACGTCTGATCGCAGCAACTCGCGATCGTTCTGACACGTCACGAAATCTCACAGAGACTCAGACCCCTTGCCTGATGACCGGTAAATTTTAAGCCATCAGCCTGATAGTCAGATGCATGAATTCTGCTAGTGACGATCGATCGGATCGAGTAGTAATGAATAATGAATAATGAATGAATGTAGGATGCAATGTTTTCTGGAATGTACTTAATGGAATGCTCCTTCCTTCTCTCTTCGTTTCCTCTTTTCTTCATCTTTTCTCTCTTCTCTTCTCTTCTCTTTGTTCTCTTTTTTTTCCCTTTTCTTTTTTCAAAAAATCGATTCTATTCATTCTATCTGTTCTATTCATAATGCTGGCCCTCCTCTCCCTCCTCGCCCTGGCCAACGCCTACGCCAATCCCGGCGCTTGTCTCGGTGACTGCTGGACACACGATCCAGGTCTTTTCCAACGCGTCTCCGATGGCAAGTACTTTCGCTTTGCTACGGGGAATGGCATTCACGTCGCCTCGGCCAATAGCATCGAAGGGCCCTGGAAAGATCGTGGATATGTCTTGCCCGATGGGTCGTCCATTGACCACGAAGGGAGCAACAATCTCTGGGTATCTCCTCTTTCTTTTCTCTGGTTGTTATTCTGATTTTTATTAGGTGCTAACGATGTAGGCCCCCGACGTCCACTTCGAAAATGACACCTACTACCTGTACTACTCGGTATCGACGCTGGGATCGCAAGACTCGGTCATCGGCGTGGCCAGTTCCCCCTCCATGGAGGTAGGCACCTGGACCGACCATGGATCCATTGGGCTGTCCTCGACGCCGGAGAAGCCCTACAATGCCATCGATGCAAACTGGGTGCTCATCGATGGCACGCCCTATCTGAACTGGGGCTCGTACTGGCATAATCTGTACCAGGCCCCCATGGACTCGCCGCTGCAGCTGAGCGACGAGACTCCCCGGAATATCGCCTACAACGCGACGGCCAACCACGACATAGAGGCGAGTTTCGTCTTCAACCATGCCGGGTGGTCCTATTTGACCTTCTCGTCGGGCAAAGCGGGTGGATACGAGGAGCAGAAACCAGCACCGGGTGAGGAGTATCGCATTGTGATATGTCGGTCATTGAGCGGAACGGACGATTATGTACCTCTCTCTTGCTTTCTTTCGTTTTTTTCAACATACTAATGAAGTAGGTCGACCAACAAGGCCAATCCTGCTTGGAAAGCGGAGGAACCACGCTTCTCGCCAGCCATGACATGGTCTACGGGCCGGGAGGACAGTAAGCATCTCTCTCTCGTTCCATACGATATTCTGACAGAATAGGGGCATCGCCAAAGACGAGAATCTCGGCCTCGTGCTGTACTATCATTACGCCAATCCGAGCATCGGACTGTCCACAGGCCAGTATCAGTTTGGATGGAATCAGCTGAAATGGGTGGATGGATGGCCCGTGGTCGTGTAGATATTATATTCCTATATACATATTTACTTATCCTCATCCATAGACTGCATAAATTTATTTTTCAACGGGTACCTGCATGTCGACGCGTCCTTTACGTATGCAGGGATGGTATGACAGGCCTCCGGATTGCGCGCCTGGATTGCCGATCTCTGTAAGGGATCAGTAGATCTAGATCTATAGAGGGTAGATGGATGATAAGGATAAAACTAGAGAATATAATGTATAGGAAGATAGTATATGATCTTGGCAGAGCACGCCCCAGGCATAAGCATATCACGTGTATCTCATCTTCATCCCTCAGCTTCATCAATTTATCTCCATCGATGATTCATCTCATCATCGACCATCGATTCTACATGCATCCATCTTCTCATCCATCTTATTTATTATGAAGCTTCATGTTCTTCTTCTAGTCCCACCCTCGCAAAGTTCCCAAGCCCCCCCTGCCTGCAACTGGTGTCGACTCCATCCTGTCAAATGTGCCCCAAACCTCGTTGCCAGAATTGTCTCGACCGAGGCACCGACTGTATTCGTAGTGCTTCTCCAGCCTGGTCCATTCCATGCGCTACGAGGTGAGACCTTCCGGTTTGACTGAGCAGGCCTAACGCCGCAGGGAGATTGAACGGTTGACGAAGCGAGTGAAGGAGCTGGAACAGCAGCCGGACACCAGTCATGAAGACCAGTCTAGAGCCGAGCAGAGCCAGAGCCGTCCAATTGATCCATTCCATGCTCATGCAAAAACGAAACGCTGAGAAGGCGTGCATACCAGCAGGCCAAGTTGGACCAGACCCTGCTCATGGCCACCCGGGCCATCTACAATGCCTTTTACAATCGATGTGCCGACATGCTTACCGCCACCGGAGGGAAATATCTGTATAGTGACGCGGCCTCTTTGGGAAGCTGCGCTGCCTTCCTCCTCTCCTGCATGGGCTGTCTGCAAAACTGGAGGGACGCCGTGCCGCGGGCCATGAAGACCAAGCGGAAGGCAGGGAGTCCGTTGTCCACTTATATATCTGCCTTTGACATTGAACGTCTGGTGCCGGAATGGGTCCAGCGGCAACGCGTCCTGCTGAAACTCCTGTATACCTGGCGAATCTGCAGCGTCGTTACGTCAGCTTCGCTAAGGGCTCTGCCGTGCCCAATGCCAATGAATGTGCTACCCTGAGCGTGCGCCATGCCATGGCTGTCACGCGGGTCATGCATCAGATACTGACAGAGACGAATCTCCTCAGCGGCTGGCACGAGGCCTTCTAGTGGTAGTGGAACGCTGCGTTGACTATGATCGGGCTTGTCCTGGCGTATCCCATCTCGTCAATAGTGGCCGACGTACGCGCGGCGATTGAATCAGCGGTGGCCGCGTTTGATACCATGGGAAAGAGCTTCGTGATTGCGGCGAGCGCTGCCAACGTCACGAGGGATGTGACGGCCAAAGCAGACTTTCTTCGACAAAATACGAACATCCTCTCTCCGGATATGGATCTACAGTCGTTTCCTTACGTCGATTCCTAATGAAGACCCCATGGGAGTTGCATTTACGGTGGACTCATTCACAAGTTTTGAACCTCTGTACGCGGGAGGTTTATTTGATCAGTGGGCGGTGCTAGAATTGATGGACTAGTCTAGATACATTACTCTTTCGCATATGCTTCCCTTTTGCAATTGCAGCTGTCTACTCCATCGTGATGACTATACGGAAACGCACTGACTTATTCACCATGACACCTATTCGTCAGCCAGATCCGGAAACATAGAAGAATATATACTGTAAACATCGTTGGCTCACTCCAGCGGAAACTTCTCCACCATATAGTTGACCCCTTGCGACCCGGCGAAGCGAATCGCCTCCTCGGAATCTAGGGCATGTCCAGACGGCCAGCCATGCAGGAACACCCATAGACAATCTACCGAGTTGGTAGACTAGCAGGCCCCAGAACATGGCAAAACGACCTACTAATGGGCCTGTATTGATCGACACATCTCCAGCAACTAGATAGCATTAGCACACACACTTCATATAATGCACAGAGAATACTCACCCGCCAAGAATCACCAACTTCCCCAACGACTGCAACCTATTCACCAAAACACGAATACTCTCCGCATCCGGCGCCATCGCAACCACCATAGCTGCACCTCCAAGACCCTGCAACTGCAGCGCGGGGATCTCCCTTACTCGTATTAACGTACTCCTGAGTGCCGAGCTGCCTCGCCTCTTACTCGGCTTTCCGGGACAGAGCCACAACGCGATACCCGAACTTATTAGCATACTGGATATTCAGATGGCCCAACCGGCCGAGACCTTGCACGACGACGGCTGAACCGGGGAACGTTCATTTTACGCACTGTATTGAAGACAGTGATGCCAACGCAGAGAATTGGCACGTAATTCGCTGCATCGAGACGTTCAGGGATGGGAACAGCGGCCTTGGAACGGAAGTTACAGCCTTCTGCATCTACTCAGTTAGATATGATAGAGTTAGGGGGATAGGAGAAGAGATATACATCCGCCTTGTCTCGTCTCGCCGTGAATTTCACGGGTATTAAATATATGAAATAGGCCTTGTTTGCAAGTCGTGCATGTTCCTATCCATTACCTCAATCAGTAATTGATATAATATAATACAATATTAGTGAAAGAAACAAGAGAGACTATCATGTCCAGCATGCCATACCTCACCGGCTCGATCTCCAACTTTCCACTGAGTAAACCCGTCCCCGATGGCAACGACTCTCCCAATGAATTCATGACTGGAACGAGAGGTCTATATTACGTCTATATCAATATCAAGACATGATTATTCATTAATTATCAAATACTTGATAAACAATGAGAAGGACGAGATACGAGATAGATAGAGACATACAATCCCCGAGAGAGCATCCCTCCATTCTGAAGAAAGATATCGGTATGAGACACACCGCAGGCTTCGAACTTTAGAAGAATCTCTTCCGTCGAAGGGAGGGTGGGATCTGTTTCTTCGATGATGAGTGGTGCATGGGGTTTTTGTAGATGGCGTGTTTGTAGGTTGGAGGAAGGGATACTTTATTTTTATTGATTAATGAAGGGATGATATAGATATCTGGTGGGGGTTAGAATAGATTATAGATTGAATGATAAACGATGAAGAAGAAGATGAAGATATTTATACCTGCCTTGAGTGCTCTGTATAGATGGATGGTCCAAACGGAGTATAGGTGTTGTATACATAAGAGTTAATCTCGGATTTGGGCTAGAGGAATCCACTCGGATACTCTTTCAGGCACTTATTGTATACAACTTTATTAACTAGAATCACTCCATATAATAGTGAGGTTAGACTAAGTAATGTCATGAAGAATCTTCTAGATTATGATAGGAAGAATCAATTTGAGCGTGAACGGCCTTCTTCACTAACTATACAGCTATCTTACATATTTCTCTTCTCTTTTCGCTGGCCTTGTCTTTAGTCAGGAATTTATTAAAATATGCACTCTCTTAGACCCAGTTGCCCTGTTCACAGCTCGACTGTGGTATTATACACCTGAAGAAGCAGAGCTACCACTGTGGGTAAAGAGCTCAATACCCCTGAGTGGGTAAGAGTCATAGGTATGTTGATACTGGGATATGGAACAGACCCTCTGGGGTAAAAAGCCGCCCCTTCATGCTTCTCATATCACCCTATTTACACTCGGCTATGGGTATGCATACCGTGTTTAGAGGGTTCAATTTTGTCCTCGAGCCAACGTATATTGAAAGGTTTGATCAGCTAATTACATTGTTCGAGTACGACTGGAAGTGTATATTCAAGGAGGTAGTGTCGCTAGCAGAATTCATTGGACATTAATCCAGACCAAGTAAATTGGCAATTGGCCGTGATGGATGCAGAAAATTGCTTTACCTCTTGGTTTTACAAATGCTCGCACAACAAGCCGAGGAACAAGTCGAGGGAGAATGTGATAGAAGCCAGTCGGCTATACATCGTGGTCGAAAGCCTCCCTCACGGCCATCTATCCTTATTTCGCGTTGATTGATCCTGATTCACAACCCCAAACATCGGACGAAACACAGAGCCCTACTCTTTCGTCAATGGATAGGCGTACTCGCCAGAGTAACACACGCCCGGTCCCACACTGGGATGGCAGAGGAAGTTAGACCTCTGGTTAGCTACCTGTGTCTATCGAGGTTGATCAACTGCAATTCTCCTTTTCCAGTTTGCATGCAGGCATGCCACAGGATGGCAGCGATACTCTCGATGGTTCATCCTAAAGTACGCTTGGATAAGCTATAAGAAAATTCTAACGTTAAATATAAGTTGCAGAAGACAGTTGGTGACGTCTAGCCTGCGTCAAGGGCGCTACAGAATATCCTAATAGGCCCTGCTGGGCATACAAACCAATATCACTATCAAGGACCCCTTCAAACATCCAAGGCAATCCCATGTCTACAAATCGCCTCTCATCAAAGATCAATAGCGTGTGTCTCCCGGCTGGATGCCGGATGATGACCTGGAATGAGCTTTGAAGTTGTGAGGGAAACCAACTATACTTCGCAGATATCCACTATACAAATTGCATCCCCTTCCGGGAAAAACCAACCACTTGACAACAGAGAAGGACATGCTAACTGTGTACCGTGAAGGACCGGCTACGATTTAACCAGTTATCGGCGATGCTTTCCTCGGATCAAGCATGCACATAGGGGATACTGACCGGAAGGCTATAACCATCCACGATGTGCCGATATTGAAACAGCTGATCCTCAGATTTCTTCTCTCTACACATCCACTACTTCACAATAGGTTACGAGATCGATAACCTTTAATGTCGTCTGACTAAACCTATAGTCGGACGAGGATACAGCTGCAACATAACGACACGTGCATACTACCTTTTCTTCATCTTATTTAGTCATCTTTAATCGTGTCTTTTTCTGGACGAACGCTGGTTCAGTAAGGAGTCGTCTAACTACTTATCTTGTCTCGGGAGAAGAGCAGTAACAGTATAATAAGGGAAACATACTGGAACCATTCACACATACCACCGCTGCTAATTCAAATATCAACCTCGAAATACTCACCAGAAGCCATACATGATATTTATCTACCTTCGGACTCCTTATAGAGGTTCAGAGTTTCTTCTATTGCCACGCGTTGATCAAGTAGTAGATACTGTTTACGATGATATAAAACTCAGCTGAAGTCAGATGGATGATTATCGGCAGCCCGTATCCGACGATTCTCTATACGGACCACCAGCAATTGAGGAACATCCCGACACAAGGCTCCAAAGGGAACACGAAGCTACACGCCATGCTGGAACTGTGGTTAGTGAAAAAGGGTATCTACGATAACCCATAAGTATGCATTTCTCTGTTTTCTTAGACATATCTACTGACATCTCTTTTCTTCTGAGATCGAACAGCCAAAGTGTCTAGGCAAACACCAGCGCTTGTTGATACTGATGGTTGGGATATTATTTGGAGAATTCACCATAGAGAAAGTAAGCATTTCTTAAATAAGATCCATTGATTATTAAGAATATAGTAGGTAAATTTCTGAAATTAAATATCTTTTAGGGATCGTTAGTATGACTTTGCTCTGGATTTATTCGGTCCCATAGTTTCGATGGACCTAGCAATACGCACTGCTATTGAAATATTTTAGATATCAGGAAGGAAATTGAGAAGCTTATAGTGGTCTGAAAGTATAGCTAGTGCTCAATCATTGGATCTATAAAGCTTGATATTGATTGGTGTACGATAGTGAACCATGACAAAAGTAGGTACAGAAATGTAGAGATCCAACGTGCTATGACAGAAATCTACGACTTGTCTGGCGATAATGTAATCACATTAGATCATTGCTAGGCAAAAAACTAAATCAAGTCTAAATTTACCAACCAAACCAGACACCTCTATACCAAACGACCAATAACAAGTCAGAATCCAATAACATCATACAATCTATCGTAACAAAGCATTACTAGGCTTCGTCGTCGGTGTCAACAGGCTTAGGCGTTCCCTTGGGCGAGTTCAACCTGTACACGTTAGCATATAGTATAGGTCTAGGGTACAGAATATTGACTCACCATTCAATGTGTCGCAGACGACGACGCACCTCACGCTCCTTCAACTGCGCACGGGTCATCTTCTTCTTCTTCTTGGCCTTGAACTTGAGCTCGCCCTGGTCCTCGGCGCCAGAGTTAACAGCGGATGCGGCGGCGCTGGTGGTCGTCGAGTTGGCCGCCGTGCTGCCCGCCTGCGGCGAGTTGGTGGCGCTGTCCTCGAATCGGTCCAGCGACACGGCGGCGTTGGTTCGAGACACCACGCGTCCATCGGCAATGTGCAGCTGCTCCGGGCAGAGGGCCCCCACGAACTCCTCGTTGTGGGAAATCATGACCACTCCACCCTTGAAGTCCCGAATGGCCACCGCCAATCCACCAAGCGAGTCGCGATCCAAGAAATTGGTGGGCTCGTCCAGCACCAGCAAGTGAGGGTTATTCCACATGGCACCCGCCAGCACCACTTTGACTTTCTGTCCTCCCGACAGACCAGAGATCTGGTTGTGGTTCGCAATCTCCGGGTCCAGCCCGATGTCTTCGAAGTGTTTCGAGATCGCCTTGGGGTCCAGAACGCGGAAGCCGAGACCCTCGCGCGAGGACTCGTGGTCGTCAAACTCCTGGACCATCTTGAAGAAACCCAGCTCGATCAATGTCTCCCGGGAGATCATGGTGTTGTGTTTGGGAAGGAGGCCAACCCATTTCACTTCGTACTGGAAGGTTTTCTTGTACTTCTGCCGACCAATAAGTGCCTCGATGCGGCGAGGTCCGCGTCCGTCACCCAGATCTATGGGCTTCTCCATCTGGGCCTTGTCTTCGTCGGTGAGGATACGGGTCTGTTTCAGGAACACCTCCCGGTCGTCTCCGTTGGCATAACGCCACTGCAGGTACTGACTCGGGGTCTTCTCCAAGTGCATCTCCACGTGCTCCAGAGCGTGCTGCTTGATGTATCCCATACGGAGATTGGGGTGTTTCTCCACCTTTCCGCTCTGAGGGATGGTTTCACCGGTCAGCATTTTGATGAATGTCGATTTGCCAGCTCCGTTGCCTCCGATGATCGCCACACGGGACGACAGAGTGAGCGACAGCGACGCATCGACCAGAGACGGTTTGTTGGCCCCCGGGTAGGTGTAGGAACAGTTGGTCATCCGCAGAATCGAGCGAGTGTTGGACTTGATACCAGCTAGAATACCGGGGGCAGGGAACTTGAACGAGACGTTGCTGGCAGACAGGGTGTAGTAGGCCTTCGCCTCGGGCTTGACCTTGACAAAATCGGCCAGGTTACCTTTGTAGCAGACCAACTTCTTGCCCTCATAGTGGTAAATATCCGTGCAAACTTCATCCAAGAATCCTGAGTCGTGACTGACGATCAAGCTGGTAATGTCGGTGTGCTTCTTTAGATAATCCTGCAACCATTTAACGTTGGCAACATCCAAATGGTTAGTGGGTTCGTCTAGCAGTAGCACATCCGCTTTCATCAGCATGGCGCGTGCCAGTGCCAGCTTCATCTTCCAACCACCAGACAGAGATCCCACCCCCTGGGACTGACGTCCCTCCGGGCCATCGGTGAAGCCGAACTCCAGAAGGACGCTCCGGATGTGTTCCTGGCCAGCAGCGGCAATCTTAGGGTCCTTGGAGACGTACTCGAGGATGCTGAGGTCCGCATCTTCGCCCTGGTTGTGCTCCACAAAGCATGTACGCACGACGTCCTGTGGCGGGAAGCCCTCCAGCTTGTCATTGGCGATGCTTCGCATCAGAGTGGACTTTCCGGCTCCGTTGCGGCCACAAAGACCGTAGCGGTGGCCCTTCAAGAGGCGGAGGTTCGTGTGGGACAAGAGCAGCATGCCTCCGTAGGCAAGGGAGAAGTTGGCGTTAACGATCTCCACCTCGTTCGGGTCGTCCGGTTCGGGTTGGCCATATTTGCGGTGATCTTCTTCGATGAAATGAGCCTGCACCGCCTCGGCAACGACATCCTGCTTATCCTCCTGAAGCAATCCGCGGAGGTAGGGGGCGATGCAAGCGGGGATCCTATCATGCATGCGGCAGTTGACATCTTCACGCACCATCTCGGCGACATAGTTCTTGCCGAGCTCGAACAGAGTGCGTTGTTCCGGAACAGCGAGACCCCCATTCGCCTGGATCTGGGCATCCAAAACAGCCAGAACCTCTTCCGGAGTGGTCTTAACGACAGATCCCGCGGCAACATCCTTATCACCCATGGCCTTTTCGATTACATTCAGCGCGCGCGTGGCAAGTTCTCGAACCTCAGGCAGTGAGGCCCGGTCCTTGACAGCCTGCACACCAGGCTTGAGTTTGGGCAAGAATGTGCGCGCTTCGGCCGGATCGTGGACCAGTTTGGTCAGGTTTTCCACAACCACCACAGTCCGGCGCAGGGTCTCCTGCGGGGTGGTGGGAGCATTCAGGGAACGTTCCAGCAAAGGCGTCAGCAAAGCGAGGACGGGGGACGTGACGACGGCCACGAAAGTGGTCTGAGACAGGGCGTGGATGGCGTTCTGCAGGGTCTGCTCCGATGGCTGCTCCATGGTCTTGATGAGCAGGGGGATTCGAGGGGCGACATCGTCGTTGGACAGGAGGGTGGTGAGAGCGTTCATGGCCTTGATCGACTGCTTGGCGACCTCATTCTTCAGGTCGTGCATGCCAGATTCCACCAAGGGGATCAGGTCCTTCAGTGTTTTGCCCATTGCCTCGCGCAGCAAATCCTTCTCAAGCTCCTCCTGCCGGGTCCCGGTGCCGATCTGGGCTTTGACTGCCATCTTTTCAATAAGGGAATAGGCCCCAACGAATCCCTGCCACTTGCCTGACCCCTTGCTGAGATAGGTCGAGAGGGCGGGGAGGAGTGCGTTGACCATCGATTCGGGCTTCAGGCAGGCGAACAAAGCATCGATCGCATACTGAGCGGCCTCGCGCACGACGGCGCCCTTGTCAGCGAGGGCATCCAGGGCCAGGTGCAGCACACCGCCGTCCTGCAGCAAAAACACCACTTCGCTGAGAGGGTGCTGCCGGGGGAAAAGCTCCAGTAGGGCCCCCAGGATCAACATCGCACTCTCTCGTTTGGCACCATTCTTCTTATCTGTGGCAGCTTTCCTGACTTCCTGCAGGATCGGGTAGTATTGGAAGGCGCGGCATCCGACGCTCTGGATCAGCAGATTCGTCAGGGCGTACGAGGCATCGAGAGACTGCTGAGAGGTCTCTGCCGTGAAGATGGTATTGACGAGGGAGGATATTTCCTCCGTGGTCGGAGGGACTGAGGAGGGGGTCTTGGATACAGCAGTCGGCATGACGGGCGTTTCGGAATGTGGCATTCTTTGATATATACTAGATGGCCTCGAGTTGTTCGTACTGTACGTGGCCTTCTTCTATCCAAGCGCACAAAGCTTTCTTAAGGCGATGCGGGGCCGTCCTGTACACAGTAAAGCAAAAACAAAAAAACAAAAACAAAAAAAATAACTTTTTGGAGCTAAACGAAAAGCTGGGCCTCCGGATCCGGATGGTCCGTCTAGGATGCAATAGGGTATACAACAGAACAAAGAAAATGACACTGAAGAAGTAAAGTAACGAAAGAAAAGGGGATGATCTGGAGAGAACTCAGCTTTCGATGACGGCGGGGGCGACAATTATTTTTTTTTGGGCGCCCGATTCCATTGGCGAAATCTCTGCCTGAGGCGTGGGCCTGCTGCGATTAGCCAATAAAGTCTCACCGCCTCAAAAAGGGATGCTACTATTGGCTGCATTGTGCCAAAGGATTGATTGTGGCTGAGACCAGCCTAGCCCATTTGTGGCTGAGAAAGTGTGGCGTTTGTATGCCTTAGTGCCTGAGGCCGCAATGGCAAAAAGGCACTAAACCACATTTGGGTTACCCCGCACCAGATCCTCTAGCCGCGGATATTCCCGATTAAGCATTCTCTGGGATTCCACAATCTCCTTATCTTTTGTTTGTTTATATAGTATAAGGGACAGGCTTGTCGAAGGGGTTCTCAATTGTATACAGCTGGGGGTATACATAGTATGGCATAGCTTGTTCTCACCACCTTCAAGTCTTCATCTGTAGCGTAGTTCTACTTCGTACGCCTATCATTGGACTTGCCGACCATGTGACGCCGACCGTATCTCAACCTCAACCTCCAGTACCTCAGACCTGTGAATGTGAGCAATATGGCTTGGTAGTTCCTATTCTCTAATCTATATTGTGCACAGTATACCATTTATATAGATTCTATGGAGTACTTGATCTGGTTGACAAGCAGTCTGCGGAACCCTTACATAATGGCAGATCTCCGCCTGCAGCCGCCCTGCCTCGGTCGGTTTTTGCCTGACCGTCCGAGGCCAACCGGCTCAATGGAAGGGGCTCCTGTCATCCGAATGATCCCTTCGTCTTTTTTACTCACTTTTTCTCTTCTTTTCCATCCTGAGATTCCTCCCGTTTATACCCCCAGTCCTTACTCTACCACCTTGTCCATTCTCCCCACCTTGCGTCCCCCTTCTTGATTACGATGGCCATGCCCATGCGAACCACTCGCCATGCTTCCAAGCTGGCTCAGGTTAGTCCGGCATTTGTCAAGGTCTTCTGTGCCTCGCCCTAATGCAGACACTAATGGAACCATCCTCCAGTCTTCCCGCCAATTAGCTATCTACACCTCTCGCAGATCCTATGCGACGGCGGAACCCGATCTGAAAGCCGCCCTCAAGGCGGTCATCCCCGCCAAGCGCGAGCTCTTCCAGCAGGTGAAGCAGCAGAGCGATGAGGTCATCGGGGAGGTCAAGATCGGCAACGTCATTGGCGGCATGCGTGGCCTCAAGTCCATGCTCTGGGAGGGCTCCGTGCTCGACGCCGACGAGGGCATCCGCTTCCACGGCAAGACCATCAAGGACTGCCAAAAGGAGCTGCCCAAGGGCACCACCGGCACCGAGATGCTACCCGAAGCCATGTTCTGGCTGCTCCTGACCGGCCAGGTCCCTTCCACCAGCCAGGTGCGCGCCTTCTCTCGCGAGCTGGCCGAGAAGTCCTACCTCCCCCAGCACATCCTCGACCTGATCAAGTCGTTCCCCCGCTCCATGCACCCCATGACCCAGCTCTCCGTTGCGGTCGCCGCCCTCAACACCGAGTCCAAGTTTGCCCAGGCCTACGAGAAGGGCATCAACAAGGCCGAGTACTGGGAGCCCACCTTCGACGACAGTATCGCCCTGCTGGCCAAGATTCCCCGCGTCGCTGCCCTCGTCTTCCGTCCCGACGAGGTCGACCTCGTTGGCAGACAGACCTTGGACCCTACCCAGGATTGGTCGCACAACTTTGCCGAGCTCCTGGGTAAGGGCGGCGCGGAGAACCAGGACTTCCACGACCTTCTTCGTCTGTATCTGGCTCTGCACGGTGACCACGAGGGTGGTAATGTCTCAGCCCACGCCACCCACCTTGTTGGCAGCGCCCTCAGTGACCCCTACCTGAGCTACAGTGCCGGTCTGCTGGGTCTCGCCGGCCCGCTGCACGGTCTGGCCGCCCAGGAGGTGCTTCGCTGGATCCTCGCCATGCAAGGCAAGATCGGCACCAAGTTCACGGATGAGGATGTGCGCACTTACCTCTGGGACACCTTGAAGTCTGGCCGCGTGGTTCCGGGATACGGACATGGCGTTCTCCGCAAGCCCGATCCGCGTTTCCAGGCTCTGATGGACTTTGCGGCCACTCGTCCGGATGTCCTGGCCAACCCGGTCTTCCAGCTGGTGAAGAAGAACTCGGAGATTGCGCCAGGTGTTCTGACTGAACATGGAAAGGTGTGTTAACATGTGATGAAAAGCGTATGGGAACAAATACTGACTAGAAATTATCAGACCAAGAACCCTCACCCCAACGTCGATGCCGCATCGGGTGTGCTCTTCTACCACTACGGATTCCAGAAGCCTCTCTACTACACCGTCACCTTCGGTGTCAGCCGGGCCCTCGGACCTCTGGTGCAGCTGATCTGGGATCGGGCTCTGGGTCTGCCCATTGAGCGACCCAAGAGCATCAACCTGCTGGGATTGAAGAAATGAGCCGGTCCGCTATAAAAGTCGATTTATATTGGCCCGAGCGTATGGATTTGTCTCAATAAGATTAGCATGTTTGTCTCTATTTTTGATTGACTGATTGATGTCGTTATGATCATTGAATCCAAGTGGAAACTGTACCAGTGATCTCTACCTAGAGATGTATAGATATCTAGAGAATAGACTGGACTAGTATTTATTGCTCAGATATTTAGTATTCATGCCAAAGATATGAAAATAGAAACAAAGGAGTTGCAGAACACTGACAACTACGATAGCATCAATCCAGGCAAGCAATCCTCCTCGCAACGAAGCGAGCCACTAAGAGAGCCGGATGGGCAGTTGAACCAAAGGCTGAGGGAATTGATACAATCGTTCATCTTCCATAGCTTTCCTGTCTGAGGATTCTCTTCTTTCTTTTCGTCCATCCTTTTGATATCCATCACAACTCTTCACTTCATCTAGATCGAACGCATCTATCTCATCCATCTAGGCATTACACAGGTATTTCCCTGATCTAATCTATGCAACTGGCTGAATCGAGGCTGTGTCTCCCATCGGCCAATAACGCACCAGTCATGGACTCCCTTGTGAACATCCCTTGTTTGACCACAGTACAGCCAACCCCTCACTTTCATCCCAGTCCAAAGGTTCAAAGTGGTCTCGACTACCTGCCTACCGTTAGACTATATACCGAATCACCATTTCTAAATCCCACTGCGCTAACGGCTATCCTCCCTGCAATCTATACATCCTGCACGATGGGAATAATAAAATTCCACCAAGTGCGTGCCGTACCGCAAGATGATCAAGAGAGATCCGGCCTGGATGCAGATGCGAGGAAACTGGCCGAGATGGGCTACGCACAGGAGATGAAGCGCAATTTCTCGGTGCTGTCCCTGCTGGGTGTGGCTTTCTCGCTGGCCAACTCCTGGTTTGGCATCTCTGCGTCGCTGATCACCGGCATCAACTCCGGGGGCACGGTGTTGACTATGTATGGCATCCCCTGGATCGCCTTCATTTCCACCTGTGTCGGCGTCACCTTGTCCGAGCTGGCGTCAGCCATGCCCAACTCCGGAGGCCAGTACTTCTGGGCCAGCGAGCTGGCGCCCCCACGATATGCCTCGTTCGCCTCGTACCTGACGGGGTGGCTTGCGTGGGCTGGAGCCATCTTCACCTGCGCCAGTGTGGCCCTGAGCTTGGGATCGGCTGGGGTCGGTATGTGGAGGTTGACGCATCCAGACTTGTAGGTGTCTTTCCTGGCATATTATCATAACTATCCAGCTCTGATTCTGCGAAGTGAACTTAAGCCCTGGCAGACGGTGGTCGCGTACGAGGTAATCAATTTCTTTGCGTTTCTATTCAACTGCGTGGGTAAAGTCCTGCCCAAGGTAGCCACCACTACTCTGTATATCTCGTTGATCTCGTTCACCGTCATATTGATCACCGTGCCCGCCGTGGCCCCAACGCACGCGTCAGCGCAGTTCGTCTTCGCGAACTTCGTCAACTCAACGGGCTGGCCCTCAGACGGCCTTGCCTTCCTAGTGGGCCTGATTAATCCCAACTGGGTGTTTGCTTGCCTTGACTCGGCCACCCATCTGGCCGAGGAGGTGACGCGCCCCGAACGCAGCATTCCCATTGCCATCCTCTGCACCGTACTGATCGGGTTCACCACCTCCTGGTTCTATTGCATCTCCATGTTTTTTAGCCTGCGCGACCTGGAAGAGATCCTCAACACCCCGACCCAGGTACCGATTCTGGCCCTCTTCTACCAGGCTCTGCAGAACAAGGCCGGGGCCGTCGTTCTCGAGTCCCTGATCCTGGCGACGGGCATTGGATGCCAGATCGCCTGCCACACCTGGCAGTCGCGCCTGTGCTGGTCGTTTGCGCGCGATCGCGGGCTCCCCGCCGCCGGGTTCCTGGCTCAAGTTCATCCGACGTTGGACGTACCATTGAACGCGCACAGCGTGAGCTGCTTCATCGTGGGGCTGTTGGGACTGTTGTATCTGGGTTCGTCTACGGCGTTCAACAGCATGGTAACGGCGTGCATCGTGCTATTGTACAGCTCGTACGTAGTGCCGATTGTCTGTCTGCTGTGGCGGGGACGCGAAAGTATAGCCCATGGTCCGTTTTGGCTGGGACGCGTTGGACTGGCGTGTAATATTGTGGTGTTGATGTGGACCTTGTTCTGCCTGGTGATCTATTCGTTTCCTTCGGTGTATCCGGTGACACCTGGTGGTAGGTGACTGTCTTGCTCCTGATGGTGGAAAACCCCAGCTAATGCAGACGTGCTAGATATGAACTACATATCGGCTGTGTATGGTGTCGTGGCGGTGGTGATTGCGGCCGACTGGTTCCTGCGAGGACGACGGTCATTCCGTGGACAGACAGCACGACATAGGGAGGTTGAAGAGCAGATCAGACGGTAGGATCGATATCGAGGAAGCTTTTGTAGATAGATTGATTCGGAGATTTCTGGCAGACGTCATTACCTAAGGGCACAACTTCCCTTTCTCTCTCCTTCTTCCCCGTCTCCATCCTCATCCATACTCCCAACCATCTCTTAAATGATTGATTGATATTAATAATATTATTTCTTCCTCAATCCTAGAATAATATCCAATGTCCGCGTAATCTCCACGCGTCGCCGAGCTGATTGGCCGTCCACATGTTCTAACCGCAGCATCAACAATCATCGCTCTTTGGGCACTTCAGCTTTGCATCCTGTCACGGCTATTCTCCTTTTCTTCTCTTGCTCTACATGTCTCTCGCCTCCATGTTCTCGTTTTAGTCCTACCATGCCTGCCCTCTTCTGGGACAACCATGCCGGCTCTTCCTCCCAACGCTACACCCCTGTCCAGGGGGAATCGCACGATCAGCAATCCGACGATGACTCGCTCCCTCTCTCCGATCTCTCCGATCCCTCGAACGAGGACGAATCCTTCATAAAACTACGTTCGCTCGACCGCTCGACCGGCTCCCCCCTTGCCGCGGAAGATGCGACCGCCGACGTAGGAGCGCGCAACTCTGCCGACGTCGAGGCCTACCTAGATACCATCACCGAAGCGGAACAGGAATTGCTATCGGCCAGTCGACAGTACGGACTCTGGGATGATGACTCTGACACAGATGCATACGGGAATCCGGTAAAACCGGGGGAGAAGTTCGGCAGGAGTTGCGGTCGGCAGCAACAATGGTGGGCAGTTTACTATTCCAGGTTCTGGTGGTGGACGCTGGCTGTCGTTGCCATTGGGTTGGTATTGCTGGTCTGGGGATTTCTGAGCTTTTCCTGGTCCTGGCCTAAGGAGGATGATTCGAATTCCGTGCGTCGACAACTGTTCCCCAGGTTTGGTGTGTTGCTGACCAGCAGAACTTGTAGCTACTTCCCGCCGAATCCTGGTTTCCGACGCCGCGAGGGGGCATCTTCGAGGAATGGGCAGAGGATTATCGCAAAGCCCAGCTGTTGGTGGAGAGAATGACTCTGATGGAGAAGATTAATATTACGACGGGAACGGGCTGGCAGATGGGTCTCTGCGTAGGGAATACGGGTATGTCTATTGGGAGAAATCCGGTCGAGCAAAGAAAGATCATGGGACTGACTACGTGGTCGCGATAGGTCCAGCGAATCTCGTGAAATTCCCTTCGCTGTGTCTCCAGGACGGTCCGATGGGCATTCGATATGCAGACCATGTCTCGGCCTTTCCGCCGGGTCTCACTACCGCAGCCACCTGGAATCGAGAGTTAATGCACGAGCGGGGCGTCGCGCTGGGGCTGGAGGCACGACTCAAAGGCGTCAATGTTCTCCTGGGCCCATCCATGGGCCCGCTGGGCATGATGCCTGCCGGTGGCCGGAACTGGGAGTCTTTCGGCTCGGATCCGGTGCTGCAGGGAGTGGCTGCTGCGGAGACTATCCGTGGCATCCAAAGCAACGGGGTCATGGCGACGGCGAAACACTACGTTCTGAACGAGCAGGAGCATTTCCGGCAGCCATTTGAATGGGGCATCGCGAGCGCCTTGTCGTCGAACATCGGCGATCGCGCGCTGCACGAGGTGTTTGTATGGCCGTTTGCCGAGAGCATCCGCGCCGACGTAGCCAGCGTCATGTGTGCATACCAGATGGTGAACAACAGCCACTCCTGCGAGAACAGTAAGCTGCTCAACGGCATCCTCAAGGACGAGCTCGGGTTCCAAGGGTTCGTACAGTCCGACTGGCTGGCCCAGCGGTCGGGGATCAACAGTGCCCTCAGCGGACTGGATATGAGTATGCCAGGCGACGGCCTGCATTGGATGGACGGTAAATCCCTGTGGGGAAGTGAGCTTACGCGGGCTGTGCTCAACACCTCGATTCCGATGGAACGGCTGAATGACATGGTCACCCGCATTGTGGCCACCTGGTACCATCTGGGACAAGACCGATGGTCTCCACCGCGTCCAGACGGAGATGGAGGTCCAAACTTCTCCTCCTGGACCGATGACGTGGAGGGTTGGTTGCAACACGGCAGTCCACGGGATTGGGACCGTGTGAATTGGTACGTAGACGTGCAGGGCCAGGGCGACAATGCGCACCGTATCGTTGCTCGCAAGGTGGCCGCCGAAGGCACCGTGCTAGTGAAGAACGAGGACAACACTCTGCCGCTGTCGCGCAACCCTGCGGATGGATATCGAGTGGGCATTTATGGCGACGACGCCGGCCCGCCCAGGGGCCCAACGCCTGCCCTGACCGAGGATGCACCCAGGGAACCCTGGCGTCCGGCTGGGGCAGCGGCACGGTGGAGTTCCCGTACCTTGTGGCTCCTCAGCAGGCCATCGAGGAGGCATGGACGACGCCAGTGCAGACCACGTCCTACCTGCGTAACGCGGTGATGCCGGCGGACGCGGCCGACAAAGATCTGTGTCTGGTATTTGTCAATGCCAACTCGGGCGAAGGGTATATCTCCTCCGGAGGTATCCACGGTGACCGGCCGAACCTGTTTGTGCAGAAAGGCGGCGACACGCTGATCCAGACGGTGGCCAACAACTGCGGTAATGGCCAGGGTCGCACAGTCGTCGTGTTGCACGCCGTGGGCCCGGTGGTGGCAGAGTCATGGATTGACCTGCCGGGGGTGCACGCTGTGCTCTTCGCCCATTTGCCCGGACAGGAGAGCGGCAGTGCCCTGGTGGACGTGATGTTTGGCGATGTCGACGCCAGCGGCCGGCTCCCATACACGGTTGGAAAGAGCCTGGAGGATTATGGACCGGGGGCCCAGGTGCTATACGAGGCGAACGGGAAGACGCCGCATGTAGACTTTTCCGACTCGCTGTACATCGACCATCGCCATTTTGACCGGTACAATATTACGCCTCGCTTCGAGTTTGGATTCGGTCTATCATATACGACGTTTGAGATGTCCGACCTGAACATCGACGTGCTGCAGTCCAAGTCCCCACTGGCATCCGCATCGTCTGCGGAACGGCTGTCGCCCCCGGAATACAACCCAGTACCACCGACCAACGAAAGCGTCGAGTTTCCTGAGAACATAGTGACGTTGCCCCGGTTCATCTATCCGTATCTGTCCAGCATGGACCACACGAGGCCCGCCAACTACACTCACTACCCGAATGGCTATGGGCTATCGTATCCATCATCGCCAGCGGGAGGCGGGATGGGCGGCAACCCGGCGTTATACGAGGCGATAGCGCAGATCGAGGTGCAAGTGAAGAACACAGGATCTCGGACAGGACAGACGGTGGTGCAAGTATACGTGTCGTATCCTGAGGGGGTGACGGAGGGTGACCTGGTGCCTGTCCAGCCGCGTGAGATCCAGACAAAACAAAAGCAAGAGCGCATCAACTTCCCAGAACGTGTGCTACGGAATTTCACCAAGGTGGCGCTGGAACCGGGCGAGCAGCGCACGGTGCAGCTGATGCTTGACGCGCAAGGATCTCAGCTACTGGAGTACGCGACAGCAAAACTGGGTGATGCCAGGTGGACTGCACGAGGTGTTGGTGGGGTTTAGTTCGCGCAATTTGCCTTTGGAAGGGAGATTCTGAGGTGTTCGTCGGACTGGTAATAGTAGTAGAAGAGAACATTCTGCGTGGACCAACTCGGTAATTCAATCTACAGATCAGTTGCCTCCAACGCAGTCAACTCGACTCAGAAGTTGGACCGTTTATCGGAGAAACCAAACATGAATACCACAAACGAGGGGACAGAAACCACTGGACTCAATAAAAAGAAGGATACATACCTTGAAAATAGGGAATCTATCGAGATTTGAAGCCAGAGCAGCGTCAGTTCATCAGACGCTTATCTCGACTACTCGGCACAGGATCTTGTCAGTGCTGCATCTGCTTTCGTTTAGTTGTTCGATTTCTTGTACATACTGTGAACGCTTTACTCGACTCTGTGTAAGATACGGTAGACCTAAAATTTACTGAAGAACTAAATTGTTAAGAAATAGGAATAAGCAAAATAGGAACTTCTAGTACATTTGTCAAACATTACGGAGTATATCTGTCTGTATACATTTTGTATCTCTTGGTATATCTGTACCTGTTTCCAGATGTAGAATGATTAGTTCTACCAGTGACTGTCTGTCTCTCAGAGAGAGTTCAAATAATTTATTGGATATAATGTAATCATTGCATATGAAAATATCATCAATTTACTTAACCGGGAATAAAATAAAAAAGAAACCTATACACATAATCATAACCCCCCGCCAAACAATGTCAAAATCACCTACAACTTCGAAGCCTGCCCAGGGCTCGAAATCTCATTATACAACAAACTAGTCAAGAAATCCGCATAATCTTCCCCGGTAACCTGACCAGCGAAATACCTCGCCGCAAGCTGATACTTATTCCCCTTTGGTCCCTTAGCAGCGAGCTCATCCGCCTGCTCCTTGAGTAAACGCAGCGCATACGCCTTGTCAACCTTCTTCCCGTCCGCGGTGGAAATCCCATGATGAGTCCACTGCCAGAGCTGGGACCTCGACACCTCCGCGGTGGCCGCATCCTCCATGAGGAAATTGATCGGGATACAGCCGACGCCACGCAGCCAGCCTTCCATGTAGGAGAGACCGATGTTGAGGTTCTTTCTGATTCCGGCCTCGGTAATTTTACCAGGGACGTTGGTGTTGAGGAGGTCGTTGGCGGTGATGTGGACGTCTTCGCGGCGCACGAAAAGCTGGTTCGGAGTTGGCATGTGTTTGTTGAAGATTTCAGAGGCGATGGATGCCAGGGCCGGATGGGCCACCCAGGTTCCGTCGTGGCCGGCGCGCACTTCGCGCAGTTTGTCCGCTCGGACGCTCTCCATTGCTTTGTCGTTGGCGGCGGGGTCGTTTTTAATGGGGATTTGAGCGGCCATGCCTCCCTATTGCAATTAGCAAGTGTTTATTACATGAGGAAGAAGGAGAAGGAGGAGGGGGTACCATGGCGTGAACACCTCGTCGATGACAGGTCTTAATCAACAATTTAACATACGCATCCATGAATGGCACGGTCATGGTAACGTCCGACCGATCAGGGAGGACAAAGTCCTTATGTTTCCGGAACTTCTTGATAAACGAGAAGATATAATCCCAACGACCACAGTTCAACCCGGAGCTATGATCACGCAATTCGTAGATAATCTCATCCATCTCAAACGCAGCAGTGATGGTCTCGATCAGCACGGTACCTCGGATAGTACCACGGGGCATACCGATATAATCCTGGGCGAGGTTGAAGACATCGTTCCACAGACGGGCTTCGAGATGGGACTCCATCTTGGGGAGGTAGAAGTAAGGACCGTGGCCACGGCGGACGAGCTCGCGCGCATTGTGGAAGAAGTACAGTCCGAAATCGAAGAGACTGCCGGAGATAGGCTCGCCATTAACGGTAAAATGCTTCTCGTCGAGGTGCCAGCCTCGTGCGCGCGCGATCAATGTGGGCAGCTGACGGTCGGTGCGTAGCTTGTATTCCTTTCCGCCTTGCTTGAAGTCCACTTGACGACGGATGGCGTCGTACAGGTTTACTTGGCCGCTGATCATGTTTTCCCACGTGGGGGCACTGGAATCTATACATTATTAGCCCTATCCTAACTATATCTATCCCCTGGGGAGAAAGTACCCTCAAAATCAGCCATGTAGGTCCACACATCCGAGTTTAACGCATTCACCACCATCTTGCGATCCGTGGGCCCGGTGATCTCGACCCGACGATCGACCAGCCCCGGAGCTGGGGGGGCGCCCTTCCAGGCATCGTTCTCGCGAATGTGCTTGGTCTCGGGCAGGAAGTCGAGCAGATGGCCCTTGTCAATCTCGGCCTGGCGTTCGATGCGACGCTGCAGCAGTGCTTTACGGGTGGGATTGAAGGTGCGGTGCAGAATGGCCAGGAAGGCACAGGCGTCACGGGTGAGGATCTTGCGGGCGTCGCCAGGGATGGCGCCGAGGATGGCGACGTCTTTGAGGTGGGCGTCGATCTGGGCCATTTTTTTTTGTTCACTTGTTCACTTGACGATGGATGGTATCTGATAGATCTGGTAGACGATTGATACACAGATATACAATCAAGAGAAGAAGTGCAAACAGACTCGAGAACACCTCGGCATGTCGACTATTAAGTATAGCTCTGGTCGCATACGTCAGTAGGACCATGTCTAACCGCGGCCCAGGGGAGCCAATCAGGGCCCCCGAGGGTGAGCGGAACTTGCCTGCTTGGGACAGCACGTGAGTTATCCGCGGGAAAACCAGGCGTTACAATACACAATACACGTTCGCTACGTCTCGGCCGACTGGATGCCTCGCTGCCTCAGTCCTCCAATACAGAACAGATTCCCCTCATCGGGATACGGCGTGTACCGGTTGGATTTGCAGTGATATCATGAAAATTAGATCATTAGATATATGATATTGATCATCTCGCCTCTCTCATAATAATCCTCATATCGATCCATCCATCATCCATCGCTGTACAGACACTGTACACTCTCCGTACAGTGACAACCGAGGACCCAAATCAGAGGAAAAGCTTCCACACCCGATCAGATCCGCGGCTCAGAGTCCATCGCTTCAGGCCGCTATCGGCATCCAGCTCAATTGCACATAATACCCCTGTTGCCTATCATCCACTTCAATGTAAAAGATCGGAGCAGTGTCCTAAGTCCATACTGTATTGAACCGTCCATGCATTCCATGGTCCAATCAAACCGGTTCCAACCCAGTGGCATGTGAACGGCATCATGCATGTGATTCTCGTCTCTTCCGATTCTCTTCCGATATCTACTCGCTCGGGTTCTCACGGCTTGGTCCTGCAGAATTACCCAGACAGTCCTCGCCAGAAATAACCAGCTCTGGGTTCCATCGCATGTGCATACGGTCTAGACCGTTTCGATGTATCGTCGCACCTCCCTAGTAGATCCTCGTCAGCCTATCCCCTCAAATATATCCCCTCGTATCCTCTCAGAATCCCTCATGCAGAATGAACGTACCAGTCAGTAACCGCATCCTCCCAGAGACGCGCTTCGTGCTCGCGGGTGCCCCCAAAATGATCCACGAATGCATCCCCAAACACCTCCCGCGCAACACTATCCGGACGCATAAAGGCGGCGGTCGCTTCTCGCAGCGACTTGGCCAGTCGCACCCCCCTGGTCGCCGGTACCCCCCATCTCCTCGCCCTTGCTTAGTGGGGGAACCGGAATCGCCAGCTTCTTTTCTACCCCGCGCCATCCCAACGCAACCACCGCTGCCAGAACGAAATGCGGATTGGCGTCCGCGCCGGGCACGCGCACCTCCAACCGCGTAGCCTTGGGGCTGGCTGTAGGCGGGCTGATGACTCGGATAGACGCGGCGCGGTGTTCCAATCCCCAGGACACCGTCACAGGGGCCCAAAAGTTCTCTACGAGACGCTTGTAGGAGTTGACCGTTGGGGCAAACAGCGGCATAATATCCGGTAGACCAGTCAACACCCCAGCCAGGAAATGTCGACCCAAGTCGGACAGATGTGCCACGTCCGCGTACGGCGGTGATGGGTCGGGGTTGCTGCGGAGGAAGGCATTCTGACCGTCGCTGGTTACCAGTGAGATATGCATGTGGCCGCTGTTGCCGGGCAGACCTTCGCGCGGCTTGGCCATGAAGGTGGGAGTAATTCCGTGCTTGGTGCCAATCGATTTGACAACGAATCTGTAGGGTGAGCCATCAGCACGTCTCCTGCGTAGCTTTGATCCTCCGACTTACTTGAAAAGTCCCGCTTTATCGGCCATCTCCTTGGCCTCCCCGAATTGTAATGCCTGGTCGTGTCAGCCTGCCCGCCCGCACGCCCTTCATGCTGTAGTTACTCACAGCCTCGAAAACCCCGGGTCCGCTCTCCGTGTGCCATCCCTCGATTTCGCAATTGAACTGTTCGCAGGCATCGAACACACCATAGTAGTAGTCCTGGTTATGGATCGGGCGGGTCAGGCTGTATGCAAACATCCCTTCCGTCAGAGACGGCAGCGACTCGACGGGGTTGTCTTTGAGGAAGGCAACCGTGGAGGAAGCGCTGCGCTCGGGGGAGGAGTATTCTTGAGGGACGCGGAACTGGTAGAACTCATATTCGGCTAGATAGGTCAGCAATGAACCCTCCACGGAGGCAGGTAAGCAGCCACTTACCACCAGCCATGGCCCTGTATCCCGCCGCTTCCGCCTTGCGCAGCGCCGTTCGCAGCAAACCACGTGGGCATGCGCACACTGGCTGTCGCGTGTCGGGGTCGAGGAAACTGACGAGGAAGAAGGGCACGTTATTCTCCCAGGGAATCCGGCGAAAGCTGCTCAAATCCGGGACGGCAACGAGATCGCGGTATCCGTTGTCCTTGTTGCTGATGGCCAACTCCTTGTAATAAGTTCGGTCGTGCATATCCCAGCCAAACACCACGGAGCAAAAACCAAACCCATCAGCGACAGTGGAGAGGAATTTCTTCTTGCAGATTAGTTTACCGCGCAGCATGCCGTCAACGTCGACGCCAGCCAGTTTGACGCGGGTATCATCTTCGAGGAGTTGGGCGACATTGTCGAGAGTGACGGGGGTAGAGCACATGATGGCTGGAGAGAGATGAATCCGTGCAAACTCCCGTGAAGTGGGAGGCAAATATACTTACTAGAGAGAGAAGGAGAGGAGGAAAGGGACTGAGAAACAGGAAGAGAAAGAAAAGGAAGCGGACCGAGCGGTTACTAGGCGGTGATCAAAGCCACAGTATGATGATGATGATAGTGATACTGATAATCCCCAGCCACGACTGTGAGTGACTGGTATCTAGATACAGGAGATCCAATTATTATGTCAATTGCACTACTCCTTCATCTTTTGTCTATTCCTGAATTCATCTGACTGTCTTCAGCAATCAACTTCATCGGACCTCGCTTAGCTAATCACTGCCCAGCGTGTGTTGGTATCTTTTCTTCTTCTTCTTCTTCTTCTTCTCCTTCCTTCTATTTTATCTCTTCTTCCTCTCCGTTCGGATCATTCCAGAGTACCGTTTCAATTCTCCTCTGCTCCCAGAAAACGTCACCACTGTGTAAGTACGTTCCATCCCTGTCCAATCCTAGTCGGTAATCCCTGTCGTGACATCATCCTTGAAACTGCCGCAGTCCAGCTATTAATGAATGAGCCTACTATAGATCGAAATGGCTGCACCCAGAGGTCGTCTTCAGGGCAAGAATGCCATCATCACCGGTGCTGCAGGGTGAGCCACTCCCACTTCCATATACCACTGTCCCTGACCCTCTACAGAGGCATTGGTCTCGAAACCAGCATCCTCTTTGCTCGCGAGGGCGCCAACGTCCTCATGGCCGATATTTCCGCTCCGGCACTCGAGAAGGCATTGGCCAAAGTGAAAGAAGTTGTGCCGACGGCTCCGCGCGTGGAGACTACCAAATGCGACGTATCCAAGGAATCCGACGTGCAGGCCATGGTGGAATCCCAAGATAGCTGGGGCGGCACAGACGTCATCTTCAACAACGCGGGAATCATGCATGCCGACGATGCCGATGCGGTGGATACTCCCGAGAAGATCTGGGATATGACGCAAAACATCAATGTCAAGGGAGTGTGGTTCGGATGCAAGCATGCCGTGCTGAGCATGCGACGCCACAAGAAGACCCGCGGAAGCATCATCAACACGGCCAGCGTGGTCGCGTTGGTCGGTAGCGCCACCCCTCAGCTGGCATACACCGCTAGCAAGGGTGCTGTGCTTGCGTTGACCCGCGAGTTAGCCATTGTGCATGCGCGCGAGGGAATCCGGTTCAACGCGTTATGTCCTGCGCCGTTGAAGTATGTTTAGTTCTTGTATGTGTCTGTGATTGTGGCTGACTTGCGTAGCACCCCACTTCTTCAGGACTGGCTGGGTGATGACCAGCCCAAGCGGTTCCGTCGCGAGGTGCACTTCCCGACGGGTCGATTCGGCGAGGCCGTTGAGCAGGCACATGCGGTGGTCTTTCTGGCCAGTGACGAGAGCAGTTTCGTCAACGGCAGTGACTTTGTGGTGGACGGGGGGATGACCAAGGTATGTTCTATCTTTCCAATGTTGTAATGTGGCTAATTTAGTAGGCTTATGTGACCCCGGAGGGACCGGCCACTGCTGCTCCCCAGAACCTGGGACATTAGATAGATAATTGCTATACAGGAATATAATCTGTTTATCTTATGTATTCTTCTACTATTCCAGTACACATTTTATACGACAGTATGGCAATCAATTGCAAGCGACCTTCGGTTCCTGAATGCTTATATAAATGTCAAATCTAGAGAGTAGCAATCTTTGTGGGTCATAGACTCACTTCAGCTACAACTACGTACTGTGTAGTAGCTGCACCGCCTATGTAGGGCTGAAACCCATTTTAGTACAGTAGAACTTCATCGATACAGGTCAGTGATCCGTTTCCCTTAGATGGAACGTGATGGACCCGGCTTCATCCATCTCAACATTGGTAAAGTATCTCTGACCGGAGTAGCTATACGTCCTTAGAATTCGGATATCGCTATGGTATTCTGACATACCTCCAATAGATAAGGCCCATGACCGTATTCTTGCAGGCCTTTAAAAAAATATCCGACTTCGATAGTTCACTTGTTTTCTGGCGCAGACGAACTTCAACATTACGGAATCCTATCGCTTGGTCTTGGGCCAGAAGAAAGCTTAATTGCATCGCCTCGTTGCAATCGACTCCGGTATTCAACATCAGCAATGGGATGAGGCTTTCGATTTGATTGTCTCGCTGTGCCATTAGTCCTATCCCCGAACAGTAAGTATTGACTCACGACTTCTTTGCTCAGCGAAACATGTCATTGGTTCTGTAGTTATTAGTATCAGGAAGCAAAGATCATGAAGAGTGGCCTACATATGCACCATGTAAGATGTATGTTTCCACAAAAGTGCCATGGCTGACCCTTGTGCAATTTCTTCCGTCAAATCTATACCGTAGATAAATCTAACCTTGTCAGCAAGAAGTCTAAGGACTCAAGACAGTATCATACGGGATTATCGCCACGACTGGGTAAACTCCCGCGGTCAGTTCTCTGCGCTCCCAATACGCTTCTATAGAAGGGATCCTTCCATCGTCGTATATCGTGTCCACCCGGTTTACACTTTCAACGTACGAGAGCAAACGGTTTAGTATGACTTCGCAGGTCCCTAATATTGCGTTTAGCAGATATAGTCTTCAGGTAGATAGTAGAGAGTTTTACCTTCCGCACAAGTCCGACGTATATGGACCCCTACTTCATCCCAGCACTGCAGAGCATTGCGCAGTTCGTTGTTCCAACCTGAGAGATCTGGATATTCTCCTTGGCCGCGCAAAACAGATTTGAAATAGGCCGCAGAAGTCTCCCGATATGCCGCTAGGCCGATTTCATCGTGTTCGAAATAGCCACAATCGAATACTTTGAACGAATTGTAAGTTTGACGCCAATTTACGACATAAAAGTACTTACTATCATCCCAGATAAAGAACTAATACATGCTTAGCTTTTCGACCCTAACATGAGAGAGCCCCTAATTTGAGGAAAGACATACCCAGGTGAAATATTTCGCGACGGTGCAGAGTTTCTCAAACGTGAATTCAGCACATAGAATGGCCGCGAAGATTCCAAATTCAGCGGCCTGAAGCTTCTGGTAAGTAGCTTCATCCTCAATCCAGCTGTTTAGCGTTAGCCCTATAGACCCAGATATCAGGGAAAAAGAACATACTGTTGAAGCCACGGATTAAGACTCTCGTCTCTCGCCCGTTCATACTCCTTGTGGATCTGACACTTCCATCCGGGGAACAAGATAGATAAATTTGGCATCGATACGCTCTGACCATATAATGATTTTCGGATCGACAGGTGAGCTTCTGTTCCATGTATCATTCTAGAGGACTTGAATGGCCTAAATGCTGTTTTAAGAAGTATATATGGCCTGAGTATGCAGGATAGAGAGCCTTTGAGTGCTCGTCTTATCTCTTATTACTATACTTTTTTCAGGGCTCGACAGGGAGGGGCGGCGTCTACAGACCCTTCATATTGCAGAAGTTAACTTGAACCCCCCTAAAATATACTTTGCTACTGGCTTGATTTTTTTAAAATTATAAATTTTATAGAATCAAGGTAATATAGCTATTTCGGCACCTAACATATACCGATTTAGGTAGGTCCGCCCCATAACCGGAATTCTACCGATTTTCCAAGATTCAATGACATCTCATAATGCTTAACTCAATCAATCAATATGCCGGACGGGAAACCAAGGTTCCGTATAGACTTCAGTGTAATTTGAAACGTTGTATGATATTATTTGTACGTGAAGCTGTACCACTGTCTTGACAACTTGTGACCATCCAGTTACCAAAGTCAGGATCAAGTATTTATCAATAAAATTTCATTAAACCAGAAAGGGCACCAAGGCTCTAATTGACAGGCAAATCTTCTGAAATATTAACAGCTCTTCATCACTAAGATGGCAGCGTCAGTAAGGGTAACTTCCCCGGCTAGAGACCCGGGATTGTAGATGTCGAATTTATATCAATGTGATAGAATAGTATTGTCCAACAAGTGACCTGGCTAGCTCAATTGGTCAGAGCGTCCGACTTTTAGTAATCTAAGAGTCATCGGAAGGTTGGGAGTTCGAGCCTCCCGTCGGGTGTCTTCCTTTTTTTTTTCTTGAAACCTGACGCCAGCCACCTTGTTCCTTTCTCACGGGGATAGATAATTGTTCCGAAATCTTGTGGACTGCATTAATACACCTCCTATTTCTTATAGTAATATTTAAATCTCTAAACCTAATAATTAATGCATTTTGGTAGGAAGGTAACTGCACCTATTCGGCGGGTTAAGTCTGTCGAACCCAGCGCTGATTGATTAAACGTTCAAATATATTTATTGTAGTATGGAGTTACATGGATGCGGCCTGGATGCGGCCGACAACGTAGCAATGTGTTGTAAATCGAGGGTCGATAAAGTAAACTGTAGAGCTTCATATACGGAATAAATTAATCTGATGTTCATTCATATTGTCATAAGACGTTCCCTACAGATTATCGCAATGGTGTCCCATGTACGATCTCGACCTGGCAAAGTGGCTAATCTGGCTGTGGTGCCAGCTTGGTCTTGCGTGGGATCGAGTCACAGTCAACGATATTGAAATTGAGAGAGCTCTCCAGCGGCAGGCAAAGACTGCAAAAGGCAAGGGCGATATGTACGCTGCGGAGTATGAAAGTTTCTCCCAGCTTCCGAAAATGCAATAGAATGACTTTGTCAACCAGCAAGAACAGGCCGCTGTCTTGTCTGCATCAAAAGAATAGTCTCTGATATCTCTGATGTCATGGGAGACCACCTGGGAGGACTAGATATGTTGTATTGAGTTCTCGGATGCGATGACTCGGACGAATTCGACGATGGACTCATATTCAATGCATGCTAAGAGACTTTTGGCGTCCATGCGCATAGCTGTTCTTGATGAGGTGCCTCCAGAGCCGATTTAAATTCGCCTATCGTCTCCTTCATGGCCGGCTGAAGATGCCTGGAAGTGCAGCACAAGTGTAGGGTCATCACGTTGCTTAGATTCAAGGCAAACTGACTCGGCGGAAAAGAGTTATATTGATGTCATTCTGAAACTATTCGATCCATATCTTTCCAGGCCTATTTCCAGCAATTTCCTTCGCCAAATTCCGCAACATTGCACGACGTTGACCCGTAAGCTTCTTCGTCCATATAATAAGCTTTTTGATTAAATGCACACCATGACCGACTAGTTACCACCAACTTTACTAAGATGTGATTTTGTTTGTATGATCGCCTTCACCTTGAACTTCCTTCGTGCTATATTTGGCCTTGAGGTGCTCAACCGCCGCTTTGGCCAGGGCCCCTGCAGTCCCTGCTTTTCCAATCTCTGCCAGGCTGATCTCTAATCCGAGGTTACTGCGGACCCACGTTTTGATCTCGATGGCCATCAGCGAGTCAATGGCCATATCGGCAATCTCCTCCTCATCCATGTCTCGAGTCTGCGGCATGTGCTCCTGTACCTGCTTTACCAGCTCACGTCGAACAATGGCTTCAGATTCAGGGTCATCTAGAAGGGCAGGGTTCTGTTCTACCCTCCTAAGAAGGGCCCTGAGTTCATCACTCGTCGTATCACCTTGACCGGCGCCCTTGGACTCGAGATTGCGATAGTGGGAAAACCGGGCATCCCGAGTCCACAGGGTCCGAACACCGGGATCGGAAAGCGGCCTACTGTTACTCAGTCCAATAATACATGGGCTTGAGGTCATTGTGGATGACGGCTCGGCTGTTGTCGGGGATTGGCAGATCGCCACTCGAAGCCCTTCCATTAACTCGGCTTCACAGACCAGTCGCACCGAAGCAGCCCGAGCATTCTGCAAAACTTTCGGATCATAATTCATCATTCCAATTTCATCTACTGCTCCAAGATCCACAACGGAGGATGGCAAGCCCAGCTGACGCCGATATTGAGTTAGACTATTAAGAAACGTATTTGAGGCTGCGTAGTTTGCCTGGCCAGGATTGCCGCAAGTGCCCGACACAGAGCTAAATACGACGAAGAAATCCAGCTTCTCTTGCTGAACAGCTTTATGCAAATTCCATGTTCCTAGTGCTTTGATGGCGAGACATGATGACCACTCATTGTGATTCATCTTTTCAAAGGGCCGGTCCTATACGCATTGAGTGTTTGTTAGACCGAGGGAAAAATAGATAAAAAGAAACAAATTAGAGGGATATAGATACTGGCGATTAAACGTCGTACCTTGAGCACTGCAGCCAGCTGCAGGACACCAGCGAGCGGTCTGGTACACTTGTGGAGAGCACATTTCACGTCTTCTATTTCTGTGACACTTCCAGCCACGCACGACACATAACAGCCTTGTTCTTTAAGTTCCCGAATAAATGCGTCGTGGCTGCAAGAATTTGCCGACGGTGAGAGATACACCAGGTGACGAGCGCCCATCTCCACCATCCATGTGGAAATCGAGTATCCTAACCCCCCAAGTCCCCCAACCAGCATATAGGAGACATCTGGGGACAGAGAGAATGGAGGTTTGACGGTAGAAGACGCTAGAGATGACGGGATCTCGGGCATTTTAATCAGGATTTTACCCATATGGACACCTTGCTGCATATATCGAAACGCATCCAAAACGTCCCGTACATCATATATCTTCACTGGACGAATGGGTATGATCTTACTTTCATATGCCAGCTCTCATATGATTCGATCATCCTAGGGCTGTATGAATAGGTGACTTGCTGGAAAATGGGTCCGGCTACTTACTGGTTTGATATATGTGGAGCTTCGTCTGCCAGTTGCGTCAGGTCAAAGCCGAAATATGCACGATTCTTTCCGAATGGCATCATGTTAAGCTGTCCGTTGCTGAGAAAATCCCTCTTTCCAAGTTCAATCATTCTGCCAAAAGAGGCAACGCACTCCCACGAAGCATGGAGAAGTTTTCCGGCAAGAGAGTTGAGGACCACATCGACCCCTCTGCCGTTGGTCTCCTCCAGAATGCCCGGCAAGAAGTCCGCATTTCGAGAAGAAAAAACCTGGTTTCGTGGGATCCCGAACCGTTCCATCAGATACGTCGCCTTTTCTTCGCTTCCCACTGTCGCATAGATCTGCATAGCCGCGTCAGTTGGCTGCTTTCTGACCAAATGTTTAACAGCATACCTTAGCCCCAATTACTTGGCTGACACGAATCGCAGCCAGACCAACGCCTCCGCAAGCCGAATGGATTAATACGGACTATTGGGCAGTCAGTAGGGGTCAATCCAACATATGCAATGCCTTACCTCGTCCTTTTGCAATCGTGCAAGGTGAACCAGACAGTAGATTGAGGTTATATAAACGGAAGGCATGGTCGCTGCGTCCTCCAGGAGAACATGAGCCGGCAACTTTACGCAACATCGCGCCTGTACTGTGACTCTGGTTCTATTGACGCCTTTGCTTAACATTACAACTCGGTCGCCTGGCTTTAATTTAATCTGATTTCCCCCAACTCGGCGAATAATGCCACTGCCCTCGAGTCCCAGCTCCTCCGGGTTCCCGAATAAGCCCATTGCAACTAATATATCCTGCAATCACAATTAGCTGAAGTACACATGATGAGACTCGCATGGCAAAGAAGAAGGGAAGGGGTACTCACCCGAAGTTTAGCCCAACGTAGTGCATATCAACTTCGACTTCATCCTCCTTTAAGGGTCGATTATTATACGGGGCCCAATATAATGTATCCACCATGGCGGGGACCTCAATTGCTAGCTGGTATGGACCATTCGATGGTGTCTGTTCAGGTATCAGTGTCAAAGGAGAAGCCCACTGACAGCGACCGATATTCAGCGCCCCCTTGTAGAAAGCGAACTCGTATTCTGGATCCAGATCCGGGATTTGTCGAGACCATTGGAGCTTTTGGTGTAGTCCGACTCGGACATGTTGTAGAGGTACGGATCATCGAGATCAAGAAGTGATACGACACAGTAGTCTGTCGGAGGGGTGTCATCTAAGGTACCCCAGTTAATAGTGCATCCATGATCAAGAAACTTGTATGCTATGGTCTTGGCTATCTGGGATTGCACCCCATTTGTTAACAAAAGTATATCCCTTTTGGTGTCAGAGGTTGGCATCACTCTGGATAGCATTGTAAAGTGGCAGTGATACGGTGGGTCCAAGTCATAAGTTGTGGCATCGTTGCCTGTAAACCCAGCAGCTCGCAGCTCTGTATCCCAGCGCTGAGGCGACACGTAGGGCTGGTCGATCCTGTTGTCCTCTGCACCTATCCACCAGTCCGGTAACGTCCCCTGTCTCCAGTCAGCTTTTAATCTCTACTGAAGAGCCATATACACACCAAGATGTAGTCGACAACCAGTAAGTCTAACAGGAAATAAGTTAGCGACATATGTTCTCATTAAAGGGAGCTTATTTCCACATTCCATTCCCATACCGGAGTTTAGTTCATGTAGCAGCAAGCGACCATTTGGAGCAAGAAGTTGTCGTACGTTCCGGAGAGAAGCCTTCAGACAAGGCGTCCTATGAATAACCTAAACAAGACTTAGTTTTAGTTTCATATTGGAGCATACGCAACTGACGTGGGACGCAATAACCAGGTCAAAGCTATGGGGCTGGAATCCCTGCGCCTCTGGGTCTTCGCTTATATCTAACATCTTAAATTCAATAGCTTCCTCCAAAGAAAAACCCTTCGCAGCGGCGTCCAGCATTTCCTGGGAATTATCAGTGAACGTATACTGGGAGTAGAACCTGACGTTGCCCCAGGGCTTCAAGTTTCGCAGGACTTCGCGGGTAGCTCTTCCTGTCCCAGCCCCTATTTCCAACACGCGTAGAGCGGGATTTGAGTGACGAAGACTAGACAAGAAATGGTCCCAGCTGGACGGCAATTGCAACGCACTGTAAATTTTTTCTAAGCGCTTTTCGTCTATTAAAAGCGCCTGTGGCAATCCCCCATCTGCCATCATGTCCTGACAATTCTCGAAGATATGGTCCATCCCTGCGAGGAGAGCCAAATGATCATCCTCCTCATACTTGGAATTATACTGCTCGCGGATATCTCTAATGAGAGTCTGGCGCTGTACAGAACTCGTCTCAGCCCATTTAAATGACTCGTAATATTCTGCATCCCTGGTGCAAACGACCTTGGCGGCCTGCGTCGCTATCCAGTTTTTCCACTTGGCTAAATGTGATGTGCTGGGAGTAACAGCTCTGAGTTTCTCCTCGGTCTCGAGGATATACAAACGGACTAATTTCCCTGCATCCTTCATGGCATCACTGTATTGCTGTGGGGTTGATGCTTTTGGAAGTAAGGTTGAAAGTCTCACGAAATCGATATCTGGTGCCCACGATATCTGCGACCCCAATGGAACTTGCGTGTTCGCAGCAGCTGCCAGTCCATCAACTGGGAACCCAATATCAAAGTCTGATCTTCTATACTACGTGTATTTTGCCTCCTAATACACTAAAACCTCGATCTAGCAAAATAAATAATACCGCTATATTTTCTTGTTATATCAAGGAATTCGCTATATCGAATTTATATATATCACCATATAATTGGTCCAAAATGCATAAAACTAAGTACTAAAATCCTGATATCGCGCCGAGCTTGGGAGCCAATTTTTCGAGCGTATCAAACATCTTCATAATAATTTAGCTTATGATTCAGTCCTTTTGATCCAACCATCTGCTATTTTTTTACATAATCATAGCTTTAAAAGTGCTTCAAGCGCCTTATTTAAAGAACTAAGAGCAATCTCTTTCATTTCTTTATCAGAATCCTCATTATCTTCCTCTCTGGAGTCAAAAGTTGTAAGAATTTGATTATCCAGATAATCTGCAGTGTCCTGTACCTCTTCGTCCGCTGGATTAAGAAATGCTTTGATGTCTATGAGATCTCTTAATGGCGATACTATTTTTAAGCGTGCAAAAGAGGCTTTAATATCTGTTATAATACCTGGCTCAACTGATGTAGTATAAGCAGGCATAGAATCGAGTGCTTTTTAAGGCAATTTTGAATTTTTTGGCTTGTAATATTATAGCGCCAGGCATAAAGACCCCATCGTATTGCTTTTAAAACATCCATTGAATGAAGCGGATCTCTGCCTTTATTATATTCCTTGGCTATATATTGAATCCAGTATTGTCTCCAATATGTCTTCCAACAAGTGATTATGCCTTGATCAAGCGGTTGAAATTTTCTTGTAGAGTTTGCAGGAAGCCATATAATAAGCGTATATTGAAGCTTAAAACCAGAGAGGAATTAATTGCTTCAACGGCTGATTCATGTGCGAAGAAATCATCCATTAAACCAAAAAAACACACACTTCGACCAGCTATTCGCTTATCAAACAACCAAAGGCTTTCAGTAAAGATATTTGATATCACCCACGCTTTGCTGTTGTTTCGCTAGACTGTATCAAGGATATTCACATTAATCCTGCAGCCTTAAAGCGTCCGGAGTCTTTGAAGACCCCATAAACCACAGTGTCAAGCGTTGGGATCCATCTGCGTTGCAAAAAAAAAAAAAAAAAAAAAAAAAAAAAAAAGATATTCGTGACTTTTCCTTTCTACCGGGAATTGAGTGTGTAGAAAGACTCCGAATACTTAAGTGATTTCTTCCAAAAAAGTACAGATTTATCACAGGTAAATTTAGTCCTTTGAACTGTATGTATTCAAGGCCCTTTTAATAATTATATTTAGTACTCTGCCCGAATGGGAACACTGCCTTCTTCTCCACGTTGTCTAAACCATCGAATTGATCGTCTTGCTTGAAAAGTATAAGACGATCGATTACTAAAGGTAGGCATTGTTTTCTCTTTATATCCCGGTATTTTAGTGCAATAGAACTAAGCCTTTGTCGAACAACTTTAATAGTAATAGGTATATGGCTTTGCACGTTAAATCTATTTAAAAAGGGCGTCTTCAAGCTCCGGCCATAGCTCACGACGCTGGCGCTTAAAATTGCGGGTATTTGAGGTAGAGAGGTGACCTAGGTGAAGATATTTATCAGACAGGATGTTTAAAATAGTACTAGATAAAGGAAATTAATCATAATTTGCTTGGAACAGTTAAAGGTCTTTGGTTATTAGGAGGTCTCTCTCGCCTTCTTGCACGGAGGTCGGTGTTATGCGGCGTTGAGATAGCTTTTCTTTTACCCATTTTGGTATAGGTACGGCCTCGATATAACGAAAACTATGTGGAAGCAAGGGATTTGGTAAATCTCGGTGTAGCGGGGAATAGCGAAATTTATATGGGGTTTTAAAAATGACACGGTGACCATCTCCCTATATCGAGGTTTTACTGTAGCTTTCTTATAAAATTCTTTTTACCTAACACTAATTGACTAGTTCAGGCAACTTATATGACCGAGGTGAGCCCCTTACATATGGACCATTTCATCGCCAGTGGAGGATTAAAGGTTATTCAATAGAGCCACTAGATCCTCGACTTCTAGTAGTTAATGGATCCACTTATACAGCCTTCCTTTGGCGGCCGTTCAAACAAGCGAGAATTATCATTATATTAGCGAGTGGATCGGAAGGTACGAATTACTGAGAAAGGTCAGGCACTTGCAGGAATTGCAGCAGCAAACAAGGCGCTGCTTAAGGTGGTGAACGAGACATTAAACAAAGCATCAAACGAGGCACAGATAGAGGCAGGTAGATGGCAGGGAGGACGAAAATAGGGCAAAGATGGCATGCTGGGCGTTGTGGGCTTTGGAACAGTGTGGATTTCCATGGTGGCCGACCTCTCCACCAATAGCGTCATATAAAAAAAAATAAGAAAATAATAAAAAATAAACATAATTCATAGACAGATTAGAGATTCCTAGTTGACGGTGCATCAGCCATCATCTGGTTTTAGTTCTCCCATCCGATCAATGATCGCCCGCGCCCGGATATACGGATCCAGCTTCCAATAGTTGAGTCGGAAGTCCTCGATGAACTTTTCCCGACGAGCCGTCAACTCCGCAATGTGACTACGGTCCCCTGTCCCCTGCGAATCGCTGCTGGCCGAGATCCAGGCGGCGGTGGCAGCCAGCATCTTGAGCCCGATCTTCGTGCGCTCCACCATGAGGGCATCTCGCGTCGCCGTATCTTCCATAGTGACATTCTCATCCAGCTGGGGCTCTATATAATCATATGTCCAGTCGGCATCGCCCCCGAAATCCTTGGTGAGCTGGGAGCGGTCAATGAATTTCTCAAGGTCGGTGATATTTCTTGTAAAGTGGACCTTGGATGCGACGACGGGGTCCATCCACGGATGGATAATTTTCCAAATCCCTTGGCAGCACATTAGTCCAAGATTTCGGCATGGAAGGGACAGTAAGGAGGGAGCGAACCAGAGAAGATCCAGGGGGCGTTATGGATCAGGAGGACACCTAATGACTCGGGATAATTCGCCTCGAAGCATTTGATGATGAACTTGACCGGTGCATATTCCTGAGCTCCCGGGAGGTGGTGTTAGCGGTGCTCATGTAGCCGATCAGAAGGGGGCGCTCCGTTACCATATTTTTCAAGGAAAACCCGGTCATATCAAAGACGATTGCCTGTGGAACAGCTCTTGTGGGTCAGCCGTTGCTCGTCCTCTTTTGTATCTAGGGGATGAACGCACGCCAGTTTCCACCGGAGGCTTCAGCAGCAACCGGGTACTTTCAATGACATGGACGATATAGCGCTCGAGGGTCTCTTCACTCTGGTCGCCCGGTCGATGCAATCGGACGCGAACGACATTAATGGGGCGCCCCTGCCGATCAACTCCTCGAAGATAACTCTTGCCCATGCGCAGCTGGGCGAGAAAATCGGCGCCCTGCTTTTGCTGGATCACATTGCTTTCGTCTTTTGACTGTTTCAGCGCATGTAGTTCCCCCTTGGGCATGATATCATCGTCCACCTCCATCTCCTTGCGCCAGAGAATCGCCGACGCCATCATGGCGAAAGCGCGGCCCACGTCCCATTTTCGGGCCCGCAAAAACCGTAACAGCAGACTGTCCGGATGATCCTGTTTCACCATCTTCAAGATCGCAAAGCACATCTCCTGCGGGGTCAGACGCGACAGAATGCGTTCCATGGAACCGATTTCCGATTCCGAAACCCCCATGGTGCGGAGTTCCGTCAGGAGAGCCGAAAAATGCTCCACCGATAACTTGCGGGTAGCCATCTCGCTGACGAGAGTCTTTTCGGCTTGGTCGTTATTAATCAGCGATTCCATATGGTCCAGAGAGGACTGTTCCCTCTTTTTTGGGTTGGTCTGTGGACTGGTCTTCTGTTTCTCTCTCTTAAGGGCGGCGATGATGGCATCTACGGAGGGTTCCTCGATGTTGTCGATGACTTCGAAGAGACGATTGCTTGGACCGTCCGGGAGAGGGACATTGTAGACAGCGGAGAGAACAGACGCCGCGGAGGTGAAGAGGAGAATCCATAACTCTCGCAGTTTGGCCTCTTGGTCTTCGGTGAGATGGTTGACGTATCCAGTCTGCTGGGTCGATTGGGTCATAGTGAAGTATTTCTTAAAAATCGTTTCTTTGTTATTCGTATCGTTGTGAGCAACTGTCTGCTGCGGCGAAGATGACCGTCTGCTTTTAAGTCCTCAGACATCACTTCATGTTGAGAGAGCCTCGGTCCTTGCGTGGAGAGCACGTTTCATTTTCTGATTGCGGAGAAACACTGTCTGCCTCGGTAAGTGTCGATCTGATCGTCGATCTGATCAACCCCAAAGTCACATATGCGACTGGATACATGCTATGATTCCTAAGTCAGCTCCGCAAAACTGGCTCGTCCACAGGTGGCTTTCAAAAAAAAAAAAAACTTGGCCGAAAGCCTGAAATAATCCCAGACTCTGCACATTCCCCAATCAATGCTAAACACAACGCCTATGTATCACTGTCAAAATAGGCAGATATACTAGTACTACATCCAAATTATAACGGCGTTACTTTTTATGGTGTAGTGGTATATCTGACAATTACCTTACGAGCATGCGGCAAGTAAAGTATGTCTTCCGTACCAAAATCTGCGAGCATCTGACCATTGCATATCTCAGTTTACTAAGGTGAGCTTCACCGCCATAAATCCCATGACCAGGGTTGCCAATTTTCTTAACTTTATTCAAGTATTCTTAGCTTTTACTACACAAGCTGACAAGGCAAGCTCAAGTGCAATCATACCTGCCGTTAACCCACTGGCCTGAGTCTATGTTGGGCATTAGGCCTTATAGATACCTGGAGTTACGATGCAGATCATTGTGATATGGAAACGATCCCAGTCGCAGGAGGCAACGGTGTATGATCGGGGCAGCTTCAGCTACGCATGAGGCTAACTCGAGAGGAAAAGTGCTAGTCATGAAATTCTTCAAGTCGGATACTGTCCAGACTGTAGCATGTTAGCCTTGTGAAGTTGAGCAAGAATAGACTCTAGACCTTGCAGTTTGCTGAATCCGACTCGGTGCAGAAGGTGTGGAAAATAGTCTGAAACCATTTACTCTGAGCATCGCTCATAAAGAATCCTGATAGGCACCATTTGAATCGTTCCTGAAGTTCCTCTGGCGTCTCTCAGTATATTCTGTCACGCAAGGTTTGATTCCAAATTGGCCATACCGCGGGTTTGGACTGGCGGGAGAAACTCAGAGGGAGATTCTTTGGTTATGGTCTGACCCATGGCTGAGATTTGAATCAACTGTCGCAAATATGTAGATGGGCCGATGCTTCATAGTCGGAGCAAGATAGTTTGAGATTATTATTCGCTGGAAAACTTTCACCAACGTCACGCATCGGGGGAGAGGTTCCAACGTTACCGGCCCGCGGAGTGTATTCATGAAAAGAAAAGCTTGAGGTTGGAGTTTTTGGGGGGGATGATTCATGCTACCGGAGGGAAGAAGGGAAATTGTAAGGCAGATAGGAAATGAAGACATTACCAGAGGTCTGTTGTAGGAACTCTGGCGATTCATACTTAAAGAGATGTGACGAGCGAAGCAGACTGAACGAGATAATATTTATATAGTCCTTAATCTCCTAATTAGATAGATCCACTTAATATTTGCAGCGCCCATGGCAGTAAGACTTTATTAGATTCCAGACTTTCTTTACTAGCATAGAATCGCCTGAAAATTACGACAGCATATCGTTGCGGCCTACCTTATTCAACATTCATATTCTCAGTAAGATAATCAATATCGTAGACAAACTCTGGTTGCTGAAATTTTCTTGTGTCTGGATTTGGCTCTCCAATTTTCCAAGTCGTGGAACCGAAGAGCGTCCCTGCTCTCTCAGGGAGTCGTCGTCAATGGCCCAAACTCCGTCTGATATAAGGCCATTTTCACTTAACAACGGGCCGGTCGACTCTCCGGAGTGACTTTCTTCAGGTCAATGCCCTGTTCTTAGCAAGGACTCTAGCGCGTCAGTTTCTGATAGAGTTCGAGACTTGCTCTCGGGTCAACGTAGATGAAGTTTCTAATCTGGGAAAGACATTTAATTTAAAATGTGAGCTCCTGACATTCCTTCTTTCAGGACTGTAAGAAACGGTGGCTATCTCAGGGATAGTCTCGGAATTGGATTGAGAAAAACCTGGGGCCCATGTAGCCTTTCTAAGGAGGCACGTGAGTAATGTTTGTCATATAATAAAAACAACTAGTACATAACCAAATTATGCGATTAAGGTGGTTTCTAAGGCCCATGCTGCCCTTTATTCTGATTGAGGTATTGCAGTTTTTGTTCAATGTTGTCCAAGAATCACCCGCCAGCTTGCCCTTTTCCTCCATCTTTCTCTAAACCTGGTACAGAAAATGCACAAGACCCTAATATCCCGTTACGAAAATAATCGATATGCTTGGAATGTCCTTGCCCAGGAGGTTAAGGGTCTGTACAATCTTGCTGTAGGCAATGTGGTGCAAAAATAGAAGTGAGGAATTTTTCCCCATATTTTAATTCGAGCTTTATGATGAATTGAGGGAATGAAGGCAAGCTGTATGCCATAGCCTTAGAGGTCTACTGTTCCTCACTTGCACGTTCCATTGATGCAGGATGTCGGTTTAAGCCGGGATATAGAATATATAGAAATGAGCATACAGGGCATTCATCGGCAGTTGAACTTCCGAACTTTACCGGTGGATAGGTGAGAGCCCGATGTTGCGGATTCAGGTCTCACAGAAGCTGCTATTCGTTGCGAAAGACCGTCCCTTCGAGCTAACTCCAACATGTTATGGAACTGCATCCAGACTGATATGATGCTTGTATGAAAGCTCCATCAATCTGTACGCTTTCTTTATATATACTGTATAGTAAAGTCTCAGCTTCAACGACTCGAGACAATGAGTATTCCAAAGGGACCCAAACCCCTAATCGTTTCTAGTCCTACTTTATCTGCCATCGATATTTGTCTCAGTGTGAGTATTTCTTGTATCTGAACCTATCTAATGCAACAGGGTTTGTTCAAGTTGAATGGATTTGAGTGGCCGGTCCAGATCGAGTAAATAGACCCATACCAATGATGATGGACTGGGAAATAGTCAATGGAGCTACAATATATGACACTAACCACGTACTCGATACGGAAGTGATTCCAGGGAAACAAACAAAAAGCACTGGATTTTTTCCTCGAAGCCCTCCCCGCCCCGATATCCCGCCCCCTCTAGATCGGAACAGAGCCGGACAAAGAGTACCTTTGAAAAAGCAGCCTCCAACAATCAAAAAGATGGATAAAAGAAACATACAACAGCATTTATATGTCGATGCTCACCCTCCCAGCGTCTGTTTCCCTCGCCGCTTTGCCGCCGCTGTTCAGGCTCTTCAGGTGAAGATTCCGGCGCCTGAATATACCGCACCCGAACTACACCAGAAGACGTATTCTGACCTGGGTGAAAAAAAGCGGATATTTGAGAGGGATACGCTCTTATATCCCATAGCACACCTATATTACTCCCATCCTCTTTCTTCTATGCTTTAGGCTAATCGTGCAATATGTCTAAAGATCCAGCTGCAAACTTTATATGCTTAATTAATCTTAACAATTATAATAATAAAGAGATTAAGTGGGCAGTCCTTCCACGGACAGTCGCAAAGTATAACTGTAGTCTGGTGATTTTTGATATGTAAGTCCCTTAAAGCTATAGAGGACTGGCGCTTATTCTTTTAGATTTCTTAAAAAGCACCCTGGTGCCTGCTCTCCGCCTAATATCAGAATGTATAAAGGATTTTTAGAGTTTTATATAAGAAACACACAAGATCGGATTGAGAAGCAGCTAATTTTTGAAACTATTGAGGATTTTTAATAGGACTTTGAGGCAGGCTTGGCTTAAAATTGGGGTTTTTATATTCCAAGCAGTATATCTACAACTATGAAGAAGGTATATTTACTTTAATATAATATAATTTTTATTTCTAACAGAGCTTTAAGTATATAATATTAGATTTAGAAACCAAGATTAGTCTCCCGGATACTTAGATACTGCGAGATGAATTGTCTTCTAATAATTTAACTGTTCTTCTAACTCAGCTTTGGTGTTAGGATTTTAAGAAATACCGCGGCGAATTATTTTATCGGAGTAGAATACAGTTTACAGTATTAATCTTACTTTACTGTTTCTTTTCTACATAAATTAGGAAGGTCTATAAATCAACCGCCCGTTGATTTATTGTCTGGCAGAAGGATAGCAATAATATAGATACTACTCTCTGAGCTAGTGCCCAGGCTGTATTATAAGGTCTGTATACAAAAAATGGACGGGACGCACGCAGCACTTAACCTTTTATTAACTAGTAAAAGGCTTTGCAAGTCGGAGAAATAAACCATATCTGCAACATTAAGAAGGAGCTCTATGGAAGCAGATAAAGCTTCCTCTGGCTTATTTATTTTACGGTATCCATTAGGTTCGGGTACATGCTTCTGCTTGTTGGAACGGTGCGAGGTATTTATCTGCTCTACTGCGGTGCGAGTAACTATTTTACATCTTCTGACCGGTGGACATTTTACTACTTTTGGTCAGCGGCTATTTTTTCTCACTCGTCTTAGTGGCTATAGGCTCTCCCAGCCGCCAGCTAACTCACACCACCAAGCTTTCCGTACCTTTGGGGGCAGGCATCTACCCTGGGGAGTGCTATTCCCTGAGGTGTACCTGCCCTGAGGCGTGCTGTTCTACTTGCAAACCGGGGTCTGTGCGAATACAACATATAAAATCTAACGGACCTACGTTGACCTGTTCGTGAGCATCTCCTCGCTTTCACATCGTTCTTTTTTGTATCGTACATCCTGCTTTCTTGCCCCTACTTTATCTTTCTACTGCTCTGACGGTTTGAATTATGGATACACGCCGAAGCCTTTCCACCACGGCCAAGGCGCTTATCCAGTTTTTCTGGAAGGGGACCAAGGCACACCCGAAGTACGAGCAGTTGCTTGAAGCAAAGATCAAAAAGAATCAAAAATTAGCCGGCACTGATAAGGTCGACTTTGCGTAAGAATTTTTTCTAAAATACCTTTTCTTTACCTTTTCTTTTAGCCAACAAAGCTCACTCGGATTTCTTTCCAGTGGTGACCCTCATACGTCTGACAAAGATGAGAAGCAACGTGCTTCCGGTCAGATATTTAAAGGGTCAAGTCGCCTAACCTCGGTGCATGTTTATGAAAATGGTGACGTTATATAATCAAAGAAAAGCATCAACGATGCACAAGAATGAACGCCGCATTGCTACGAGGTTGCCAATCCGATTCTTTGGGGAGATGTTTATCGAAAGGGTGTAGTTTTCTACTACTGATAGTTCGTGGACGCTTTGTAAGAAAGACTAGCTATTCAACATAGTACGTCGTGATAGGTTATATATCTATGTTTAACCGGTGGTGGATTAAGATGTTGTGGTTTTAAGTAATTACAATCGAAATTGTATTTAATAATCCCTTCATTTTGTAGTCTTAATCGTATATTTGTGGAACAATCCTTATACTATTGATCAATGTGGTAGATTAGGAATATACAGTAGATGGTGTGTGATATCTCTGCTAGTTATATAAGTATAAGTTAGAAACAAATAGATGGCAGCTGTACGCTTCTTCCGACATTTGTTTTTATTTCAATAGAGAGGTGGCGCTAATGTATATGCTTCTTATTTCCTAAAACAGCTAGTTGATTCCACGGCGGGCTTACATATCCCTTGATCTCCCAATCATATCCTGCTTGCTACCGATACTCGTTAAACCAACTTCTATTTAATCTTGGGCATAATTTCCTCATGTGTCCCTATTTCACATCAACGGTAGTTTTTAAGAATCGAACAATGGCTTCTCTAGCATTTTTGAAGCATCGCCCATGGCCGTTACCAGTGGCTGTCGCACCTCGGCTGAATAAGCTGGGACCCATCGAGGAGGAGAATACCCCATACTACTCTCCGTCGCATTTTTACCCTGCTTATATCGGAGAGATTCTCAACGGTAGATACCAAGTAACAGCAAAAATTGGCTATGGCAGTAGCTCAACAGTTTGGCTTGCGCGAGATCTTATGCAGTATGTTTTAAACGCGGGGTTCCTTACATTTCTACTAATTAATTTAAGGTGGCGCTGGTTAAGAGACAAATATGTTGCTCTCAAAATAAATACAAGCACGCGCCATTCACGGGATGTGAAAACCGAGCTAGATACTCTCCAACTTCTCTGCAAGTCAAACCCACGGCATAAAGGCTGTCCCTATGTTAGACACCTCCTCGATTCGTTTGAGTTAAACTATGAGTCTCGAAAACATCTTATTCTTGTTTTTGAGCCTTTACGGGAGCCACTCTGGATATACCGTCGGAGATTTATTGGGGACGCTATTCCGTCAGATGTACTAAAGATAATGCTACAAATGATTCTTCAGGGCCTTGATTATCTTCACGCCGAGTGCCATATTATCCATACTGGTTTGTCTTTGTTTTCTTAGGAAGGATGATAAACCTAACTAATTCCAGATCTCAAACCGGACAACATAATGGTCAAGATAGAAGACCTATCAATTTTGGACCATGCAGCTAAAGATGAATACAAAAATCCTCTTCCTCAAAAAGCTTGCTCCGACGGTCGTACTATCTATCTCTCGCGGAATAACTATGGATTACCTCGCAAAACAACCGGGGTCATCCAAATTACAGATTTCGATCTTTCTGTCCCAGGTGATAGAATACACAGCGGATGCATTCAAGCAGAAATCTATCGAGCACCGGAGGTGATTTTGGATTGTGGTTATTCATACAGTGCTGACATATGGAATCTAGGAGTTATGGTACGTTTACAGTCTACCTATAAGCAACTTACTTCTAATGTTCAATGATCAGCTATGGGACATACTTGAAGGGAGAAAGCTTTTTAGGGATATTGACCCTGTTCGTGTGCATGAATATGATGAACTGAATCATTTTGCACATATAATTGCCTTATTAGGGCCACCTCCGAGGGAGATCTTGGAAAAGGGTAGACGCACATCGCAGTTCTACAACTCAGGTAAGTAGATGTAATTCAAAATACGTTTAGGGCTGTCACTGAAGGACTGTAGGAGAGTTCAAAGGCCCAAAAATCGGGGCAGAGTTTAATTTTGAGACATCGTTGTCACAAATTAAGGGTGATGATAAACGAATGTTTATTAGCTTTGTGAAAAGAATGATTAAATGGCGTCCAGAGGAACGAAGTACTCCAAGAGAGTTACTAGAAGACCCCTGGCTTTCGTTTGAAGCAGAATGAAATAGTTTGTCTAACCCGGAGAATAACAGTCGAGCAGGACCAACTGGCAGCCGTGATGGAATTCATTGATAGAGTCTAGTCCTTATCAGCCACCAGTCAAGCATGATATCTATGTTTTCAAGTGGAAAGCGTGCACCTAATCTCAGATAAAGTTGTTATCCTTAAATGTTGCACACCTGCCTGCTCTGTATATCATTTTGACTGGCCATTTTCTGTCCCTAAATCTGTGAATGCACTCATTGAGAGCCACCAGTATATCCTTAGCATTTATCTAAATAATTGTAAGTCCGTTCCGAACAGGACATGTCAGCTGGTGCGGGGAGTGGGTGGTGTTTAGATGGCTTTCAGGCGACATTCAGGGGGCTTCAGGGGACTTCAGGGGACTTCAGGGGACTTCAGGTGAAGGACTGAAGGTAGAGCAGCACGGACGCTAAACCCAACCAGTCAAAAACATAGGTGAAGACGGACATACAACAGCAGGGATTCGCTGGTGGTCACCCACCCAACTACTAACCTGCCGGCGTGTGGCTTAAGTACGGCTGAGCGGACGGGAAGCCCTGTTTTCCACACCCTGTGGTCGTATGTGAGAAGTGTCTCTTCCATATTAATTTAGAATCCAATAAACTCTTTCTGTTGTTACGAAAGATAGGATGAATTGAGCTGAAGGGCATTTATTTTCTGCCGAGTAACTGGGTGTTTGCCAGCACAACTCTTTGCCAAAGGTTGTAGGTCAGGCTTTGATCCACGATGAATTACATCACATTGGTGTTGATCCGCGACGAATACGTCACCATATACTCCGTACTTGTGCGCGTGAAGTGCCACTCCCTGGACATCGGAGCCTCTGGATGAAGGAGCGGCTGAGTCCCACTAATTATCTGCGTGTTTATTAATGTATGTCTGCCTTATCATACTGTCTGGTAAGCAATGTTATGTATTAACCTTTACATTGCTAGGTATACAGTTACTGACCGATTCGGTGTTTAAGTCCTCCTCTATCGCTATTAGACCCCACCTACTTAATGTAACAACTACTCTCTTAGAAAGCTGACCTAATACAACCTGACTTGTCCATTTATTTATGAAACCTGGCCTCTCCTTTTATCATAGCAAATATCCATAGCGGTGCCCTTACAAAAAGATAGCCAGATGCAAGCAAATGTACTAATTGTGAGATGTTGAGCTATTTGAACCTCAAGACCTAGGTAGATTGGGCTGGTACCATGATGGTCAAAATGGATTAAGATGACTATGTCATTGAGAGGTCTATATCTGACCCGTAAGGTATTGAATAAGAGTCCCCCTAAGTTAAAGAGCGAAGAATAACGCAAAATTCAGGCTTAACTGCCAACATTTGATATGGAGGTTACAGATTGGTTGTACTTTGAACCCTCGAATACATACAGATCCAAGAAAACATGCGCATTGTAGACATTGGAACAGGGAGAGGGTAGATCCTAGGATGTGTATATGGCAGATAGACATTAACAGGTAACAGAATATGGCTTATAGAGCTAGCTAGCGACACGCCCACGACTAAGGAGATTTATGGCTATTACATATCCGATACACTGTTTCCACTAGAAAAGTCGCTTACCGTAACTGTTCACTTGAAGCAAGAGCTGCAGGGCATGTACGATGTTGTACATCTCCGGCTGTGGTGCTGTGTGGTGAGGCAAAATGATCCCAGCTCGCTGATCCGAACAATTGCAAATCTTCTAAGTAAGAAACCAGAAACTCGGCCTGGAATAGCATGTGTAGAGAAAATTAATCACTGACAACAAACACAGAACCCAACGGTTATCTACGGTAGGTGCTTACAAGACACTTGTCATCTTTAAAAGGGGTCAATTCGTGAGTTTGAGGAAACGGACAATAAACATAGGTGGCTTAGAAGCCCTCCCCAGCGAATTCACGAGTTTTCAGATTTTATACTCAAGTTTTCACACCTTCCGAAACTACGTCGAAAATCTATTTGTCGAATTTTACAGCCGCCTCCTAAAAAATAAATGTTAATTTTGAAGCATGCAAACCCCGGACCTTTCTTGAACCTTACCATCCTCTGCAGCTCAATCGTGATGTGGAACTGATGCGACACGCGGCAGACTTCTGACTGTCACCTTAATCCTCTTCATTTGCTCTCCATGCTTAGTATTCTCGTTGCATGCACCGAGTTGGTTAGGTTCATTTCCGTATCTGTTTCGTAGGCCATAACACTTGCCAAAATTTGCTTCTTTGGGTTCACCGCGAGACAGTGGCCAACTTGAAGATGGTTAGCTATTATCTATATAATTAATTAGGAAATTAAGAACTCGTTACTCTGCCTAGTTTCTAACAGCTTGGCTATATTGTTCAATGGTAGCGGGCGCTATATTAAAGTGGTTTATTTTGTTCTCATTACTTTCTTGTTTATGTTGATATTCTAGGGTAAATCCACGTAATGTCGCAAGCCACCTGTGTTCCTCCTCCAATTTTTGGAGCCGCTTGTCTGTAAACATGGTTATTTGATATCACATGTTCGGTATCGATAAAAAGCGCTACAGATGTAATGAAAAAAGAGACTATATTATTTATTCTAAAACACAGAGCGCAAAGCTTATTTATTAGCAGCCCAGTCTACCCTGGGGGCTTATGGGTTCTTTTATTGCGCTAAAATGGTCATTACCACTTCAGGGTGAGTCCTCATCACCGCGGGCGTGTATATAGCATCCCTGGCGATATAAGTTATAAAGTTATTACCCATGTCACCGGCACTCGCCCTAGAGGTCCGCTGATCACGTTTCAGATTCTCACCTGTGCGGATGGTAATTTGTTAAGATAGAAGATTCTGTATCTTAGCACTGGTTAAACAGAACTAGACCGAGGCTATGTATAATAAAGTACTAAATTAATGGCCAGACATGTTTTTAAGAGATTCTCCGTGTCTCAATATTCTAATATTATCAACCACAAAATATCAGTCATTGGTTTAAGACTGCGCCACGATCTTGATGCAGATCCAATAGAATTATCAGATAGTGTTGAATGGATCCCAAATCACCTTAGCTATGCGTCCACAGTATGTCCCTATCAACTGTTTGAGAGTATCAACATTATCATGACTGTGATTCCTCTATACGTAAGAAGTGAGGATTAGAGCGCGAACTGGGCTTCAGGTAAAGAAAGACCTGAAGATATGGTAACAAGCACTCAAAGCAATCAAGTAGAAAAATAAAAAAGATGAAAAAAAAAACATACAACAGCCGGGATTCGCTGGTGGTCACCCACCCAACTACTAACCGGCCGGCGTGTGGCTTAAGTACGGCTGAGCGGACGGGAAGCCCTGTTTTCCACACCCTGTGGTCGTATGTACTGGATAATTTTCGTCCTTGATATAAGGTCAGTCTTGTAAAACGGTATGTCGACCCCGGCCATACGTCGAAGCTTCAAGGCTAACACATTTCCGAATCAGGAAGATAGGACATATAAATATAGATGATACCGACAGGAATGACTTCATAAAGGGGAAGAGATTGCAGTTCGCAAAGGTGGTGGAATTGGCCGAAAATCAACTGAAAAGACGACTTCGTAGATTTGACGGAAAGAAGATGGTTGATTCCTATGTCCTCTGTCTTCGAAGATGCTTTAGTACAACGAGAAAAGATCACGTGTCAGTCTCCTATATTCTCCCACTACAACAATGAGTATATTGCAGTAATAGAGGATAAATGCATAACTAACCTCATTCGAAGAAACTATGTTACTATTCAAGCAGTAAAGGTTGACTTGGCTGACTGCTCGGTTACAGATGCCATCCAACCGTTTTGGAATTTGGGGCATGATAAAGGCTAGCCGTCTCTGGGTTCAACCAGCCAGTACCCCGAAGGATTAGGGTGCATCCTTGGTAATCTTGAAGAGTGTCTCTAGAGGCTTGAGCACGAACGACATCTGACGGAGCTTCTTTTACACATCGGCGTGGATTAACAAGCCAATGCCATTGATCGTTATATGGGGATTCAATATGATCTGACTTGAATGAATTAAAGGCCACAACTTAAAACCACGAAAGGTGCTAGACAATTGCTGTAAATTCGCACATCATGACGATCACATTCTGTATGACAAACGTACAAACGTACAAGCGATCGATGTATATTACACACCATGGTCTCATAGTATCGTTTTCCCAATGGAAGAGAAGTTCATACATGTTTATACTAGAGTAGATGGTAGAGTAGAAAGATATATGAGACCGCCACGTCAAGTTCCTATAGGGAAGCAGAGCGTAAATAGGAATGCAGACATCAGTTGCAATTCCTCCACTGGATAATCTTATGAGACAGGATAAAGTCCTTTTACTATGTTACTAACATAGTCCAGGCATAGTGTCCAGAGTCAGAAAGTTCACTGGTACTGATAAAGCTGTCACAGGCTCATGTCTGCGTTTGATGCATCTAGTATGTCCGGTACAATATAGAGGCACCAAAGCTGAATCCTCCAAGCTGATTATACGGTCACGACATGCCTCCCGCACGCTGCTCCAGGAGAGCAACCGCCGCACTATGCATCTATTCAAAGTTGAATGCTCGAAGAGGGTTAAATATATGCCACCTAGAGCACTAGTGAGATTCTGAGCTGTAAGAGTGTATGATGGGGGTATACCTGAAATGCCCTTCTCTTGTTCTATAAGAGAATTCAACAGTATGGTCATGCCCCCGGATTTATTCCTGACCTCATCTAACATTGATTTTATGGGCTAATATATATTCATGATATACATATAAACAAGTTGCTAGTGTCCAAATGGGTAGTTTGAATATGTATGCTCATACATCAAGCAGGAGCTAAGAAGTGGCGGGCAGACTATATATAATAAAAGAACAAACCATCTATATGAACATAATGATGCAGTACTATAGACCGACCAACTATATACAGAGATGAACTAAGAAGCGAAGAAGAGAAGAAGAAAAGACTGTTTATATTGCCAGATGTTTGGCATTCATCTTCATCACAATTAAGACAACAAACAGTCACTACGGAGAAATTAACTCCGTCAGGACAGTATTAATTTATTAACGTCATGCGGGGTAGGCGGGAGGCAAATTAATCCACCAAACCTAAACTCGACCTCGAGTTGATCATCATACGATGTGACGATATCACGCCACCCATCATGTTGTCTTCTCCTCTGGATATATATATCCATCTTGAGAATATCACCAAATCAATCAATCAATCTAATAACTATAAGAGGTTAATCTGATCAATATAAAAAAAAAAAATGAACCTCTCCGCCACTCCAACCCCGCGTCCATCGCTCAAACGTCCATCGTTTGTCCCTGGCAAACCATCCAAATGGTACCTATATATTCCCCCAACATATACTATAATATTAATTAATAATCAATAAATAGGTATCTCCCCGCCGTCGCCGTCATCGCCCTCGGTACTCCTCTCCATCCATTCTATCTCCCACAATATAAATATCTAATATCCATAGGCTTCGGCATATCCAACTACAACAACACACAGCGCTATGAAACGCAACAAGACGAAGCCAAACGACAGCGTCGCAATCAGCAGCTTATGGACGCATATGGCGACAAAGACACGGTGCATGACATGGAACGGGCACTGGAAGTTTACGAGGTCCAGTGAGTCAGTCTGATGAGGATTCCGGTTTTAAGGTTTGGAGTTTGGATAGGATGGTTTTGCTATCGGGGGTATTCTTTATCTGTCTTGATCTTGCCTTGATGGCACTTCTTGATGGTACTGCCTTGATGGTAGTTGATATTTCTGTTTGTTGTATTTCAGCGATTCCTATCAATAATTTGTCTATCCTTTTTCATTTATCCAGGTAGAAGACAGACTCAATAACCGAGATTAAATATCTACTCGGGGCCCTTTGAAATTTCTCCTCCCATCTACAATCCACTGCACCACCGATACGACGACGATAATCGCAAACGCCACAATGCAGTAATCTACTTATCAGCACGTCCTCGAGACCATGGAAATATAACTTACTCATACTACTGCCCGTAACCGGCCGACCAGGCGGGAAGAGAAACAACACCGTCGTGAGTGCGATATACGCCAGGGAGATCTGCTTATTAGCCATTCACTCCATCAATCCATCCATCATTAATTATACATACCATATCTACAACCCACCCAAAAATCCCCGGTAGCTTCCAACTCCGGTCGGGAAGGATATTGCGTCCGCGAAGACAATTCACCGCGATGGGCATGGCGTAGGAGAGATCCAGCGCCACGACGGAGGCGGAAATGATTGCATTGAATGCACTACACCGTACCATTAGTGAATCTTAGTATCGGGGGGAGAGTGACTAAAGTGACTACCTCGTCGAGCCCAGATATATAAACCCGAAAATTATCACCACAGTCGCTGTCAGGAGTAGTGCATTCACGGGGAGTCCAAGTTTTGGATGTACGCGAGAGAAGAGTCGCGAGGCGGGGAGGCCGCCATCCCTATATAGTGTTATTACCAGTATACGATATTATAATTCAATGAATCAATCAATCATACATACCGAGCAAATGCAAAAATCATTCGACTACTGGTCGTCATGACGCTGAGGGTAGCAAAAGCGAGACATACAAGAGGGAGCCTATAAATTAGCGATCCAGACACTTCACACTCCACAGAATAGTCATACATGAGTAGACAGATCGCACCGGCCGTATTCTTAGTCGCGTGTAGGAAAATCTGCAGAAGAGGACCGGCACTGGAATTGATAACCTCGTTGATATCGCCCGCGACGAAGAGGAGAACGATCAAAAAAACAGCGCCAGTGAAGGTGCCGATTCCGACGCAGGTGACCATGATTTTGGGGCCTCGGATAGAGGGTTGAGGGACCTCTATAGGAATTTAGCTTTATATCGAGGATGCATAAATGGTATACCTTCAATCATATGAGCGACCGCATCCTGTCTCGTCAGTATATACATAGAAACATAGATAGAGTGACATACAAAAGCAGTGACTCCTAGTCCTCCTTGCAGGAGCTATCATCGTTAGACATATCTTCATCTTGGATAGAGGACATACCCCCAACAACCAAGCGACTCCATCCGGCCCTAACCCGTCAGCATCCTAGGTAGATATAGAAAAGGTAAACTTACATCCCGTCTGATTGACAAAGTCACAAAACACAAAACTACCCTGTCAGCGACATCACCAGGATCCCCAGACTACTTACTATGCGGAGTGATAATCCGGCGAAGCACATGCCAACACTGTGATGGACACCAACACAAAACCACCGATGGACCAGGCAACTACTAGTCAGTCAGTCCTGTCCACCATGCAGTATGAAGTATACCTACAAGCCCCCCGGTAAATAATCGGCAAAACGGAGTTCATAAACGCATTCACGACAAATGCCAGGGCGGTATATGCGACGTAGATCAGGAATTGCTGCCATCGCTGCCACACAAAGTCCTACAGTGAAGTCAGCAATCATTCTCGTCACATCACACATCACAGGCACCGGCATACCGGATAAACCGCCGAGACGATGCCGGCAATCAACTGACTAGAGAGAAGGGCATTGGTTGCCACCAGGGCAATCTGGACGGTTAGTTTTGACTCAACCTCAAGGTCAGGCAACGTACCCATCCGGCGACATTGATCCAGCCGGTGATCCAGGAGAGAATGGGGATCCATTGTGGCCAGGAGACTGTATCTTGTCAGGTCGGTATACGTATATCAAGGGATAATCCTTACCAACTGTAACTGGTTAGAGAGGCCATAAACACATGCAAGGGACTTACCCGCCACCCAATGATACTGACCCCCTGCCCTATATCCACATGAGATAGGGATAATATGGTCGGTAAAGGGAACTCACGTCGGATACGCCGAGAGGAATTCCGCCAACGACGCAGCGATGCACAAGTTACATGTTCCCGCGGTGACCAGACCTGACTCTGAGCTATACAAGTAATAACTATGGCCAGAAAGGGAGCTCACCCCAAATAACACTGGTACTTCCTCCCGAGGTCAAGCTGATGGAAAGACTAGCCGACAATGCAGTCCACGACTGTCGACTCGTTAGCTGATGGTTATCGCGACATCGAGTGACATATATACATTCAATACGGCAAAGGCCAAGCCCAGCATCGACCTATCATTGGCAGTGATTCATCAGTTGGACAGTCGTATACGCCGTATGGAGTGGGATGCATACAGGGTGGAAAAGTTCCGTTGCAATTCGGGCTTGTGGCCCATACGAGCCAGCTGGACGTCGTCATCGTTTTTTTTATCCATATCTATCTTCAATGGGTATTAAGTTATGTATGAAGTAATGTAACACCGTGGCATTATCGAGGATATTATATGTCTTATTATATGAATCCAGCTGCGGGGTACCTAGCGATGATCGCTGCACCATCCCTTGTTAGACGAGGCTACTGACTAGTCCAGTATTTAGTACAATCTACTAGTGAGAGAGGCTATCCCTGCCGAGTAATTCATTAATTAATATATTAATTAATTATTTTATCCGCCTGGACTTGCCCATCTCGTGAATCTGCTGATACTCCTGCACAGACTCACCGATCACAAGCGCCTCACTTTCGGCCTCAGTTTATCCGCCGTAACATGCCTATATCTGTATTATTATTATTATTATTATTATTATTTAATGGTCTACCGTCGGCGGTCGCCAGATTCCTACTAATCCTAACCAATCTATCCTTCTATCTTATCTCCCATCCTGTCATATCCTGTCATATAATTTATAGAAATGCACATCGGAATAGCTCTATTAATTAGTGCCCACCAAACATGGGGATACGTCGCGCAGAATCCTCCAGATCCGACATGCACCCAGACAACGGTGGCCATCTTGTAAGCGTCCTCATCAGTTGAGAGCCATCTAACGTGTCCAGGGGAGGAGGAATGGCAGGGATCGCAGCGGCCGTACGTCCGTAAATTTCGAGACATAGTCTAAGAAACTTACAAAGTCTAGCAAGCGCTAAACAATGCTTCCATTACCGATTTTATGATCCTAGAATACAGAAATACCCTCGGTGGGCGGGTCTGGCATACAGATTTCGGTGCCGACAAGAACGGGAACCCGTATGTGGTTGAGTTTGGGGCGAACTGGGTATCTCCCATATGCATGTATGTATGTATGTATAGCACTGACAGATACAGGTGCAAGGTGTCGGATCAAACACCACAGGTAGGGATCAGAGTGTTGTTGACTAGGCTAATAGGAGTAGAGAATCCTATCTGGAGTTTGGTAAGTCAATCGATCCATAGTGGATGGTATAGTACCTACGGGGACAGGCCCAAAAATATCATCTCCAAAATACCCTCTCCGACTACGACTCGATCGTCACGTACGACGAATCCGGAGCCACCGACTACCATGGCATACTGGAAGCATACACTCGAGCGAAGAAGATCGCCTCGCAGGACGCGGGACGCATTCTCACGGACAACGTACAGGATCAGACGGCGCGCACCGGACTGGCGATGGCGGGATGGCGACCGCGAATGGACGACATGAAGGCGCAGGCGGTGGAATGGTGGAATTGGGGTATGTATTCTATCCCGTACTCTTCCATATAGTAGAATTAATTGTTGGATAGACTGGGAAGATGCATCCAGCCCGGAAACCAGCTCATTTGCATTCGGAATGGCAGGGGAAAACCTCACATTCAACCAATTCGGCGAGTCGAACCATCTAGTGGTTGATCCACGAGGATACAGCAGTATCATTGAGGGCGAAGCTTCCAGTTTGCTCAGAGACAACGATCCCCGCCTACGTCTCAGCACCCGCGTCACAGATATCGAATACTCCCCACGGGGAGTACGCATCACCAACGCAGACCACACCTGCGTGGAAGCTGCCTACGCCATCTGCACATTCTCCCTCGGCGTGCTCCAGAACCAGGCGGTGCAATTCCACCCTTCACTCCCCCCCTGGAAACAGACATCGATCCATAAATTCAACATGGGGACATACACGAAACTTTTCCTCCAATTCAACGAAACCTTCTGGCCACCAGACACGCAGTTCATGCTATACGCAGACCCAACCACACGGGGCTACTATCCTGTATTCCAATCCCTCAGCACGGAGGGCTTCCTCCCGGGATCCAACATCCTCTTCGCGACCGTAGTGCAGGACCAGGCGTATCGCGTAGAACGACAATCCACCTTGCAGACGAAATCCGAGATCCTGTCCGTCCTGCGTCGGATGTTTCCGCATAAACGCGTCCCCGACCCTCTGGCATTCACGTACCCCCGGTGGACAAAGGAGCCCTGGACGTACGGGAGTTACAGTAACTGGCCGGCTGGGACGACGTTGGAGATGCATCAGAATCTACGCGCGAATGTGCATCGCCTGTGGTTTGCGGGGGAGGCGACCAGTGCGCCGTATTTTGGGTTTTTGCACGGCGCGTGGTTCGAGGGACGTGAGGCGGGGGAACAAGTTGCATGTTTATTAAGGGGGCGTAGGACTGGATGTGAGAGGATTCATTATGAGATGTTGCATGGGACTACTCCTGGGGATGCATATTCCGAGAGGAATGGGTGGCCTGAAGTGCATGAGGAGTTGTAGTTTATACTAATTCTTGCCATGATAACCATGGACTTGGTATACCTGTCCATAGTATTATATCCATGGTAGGAATACCAGAACCATCCACATCATCAGAATTCATTTCTTGACCCCCATAATAGTATATTAGTATATGTGAACCATTCCAACCAATACTGACTGTCACGTCCTAGCACATATCCATTCCATTTATCCATACTAAGCGCAATAAAAGTTCGCAAAACAATACGGCTTCCCATCGTGATCGAGATCGCAGTCCTCCACCATGGGAAAGAAGTCATTATTAGGACAGTCGGCGATACAAGTTTTGTAGCTGCCGCAGGGGGAGCCATCTATCATTGTTATGATATATTAACATTAATATTATATTAGTGTTGGGAGTTTAGTGACAGGACATACAAGAATCGGAACCAGACTGCGCCATAGCCAAGACAGAGATTCCGAGGATGAGGATGGAGCGGAGATACATTTTGCATTCTCTGTATATTATGGTTTGGACTAAGATTGATGCAGAACTGTTGTATTTATATTCGTGGATGCAAGGGATGTCCCTGGCATTTTTGTGGCATATTTTGGTGTGGCTGTAGTCTATACAGTCTTTGTTGATCCGAGTATTTCAAGTGATTATCAACCAATACTTATTAAATAGTACTCCATAGTATCTATTAGCAGTCTTAGAGGCTTAGGCTATTGGCTATAAACTATAGACTATAACACAGAATATTCCATAGAGCACTAGTGTCTGTCGTCGACAAAATACAATGACGAATTAAGAATGTAAAGAATACGGATACTCCATTCTCATAATCAACTAAATAATACTAATTTTGAATAACCTGCATCTGGTATCAGGAGAAAATCAAGGACCCTACGTCAATCAGCCAATCTGCCGTAATCAGAAAAAATAGAATATATAGAAAGATATACCAAAAACTTAAACCGCCCATCAACAACAGCAATCTTATCAGCCAACATCAACCCCTGCAGACCACGAGACCCGCCGTCCAGCGAGCGCATTTCTGCCACCAGCTTGGGACCCCATTCGGTATGCTCAAGGTTGATGTTTTTAGCACTGCGGGTGAAATTTTGGCCGCCCCAGATGAACCATCCTATATATATTAGTTGTATTTCTTCAAAGCAAAGAAAGGATGGAATACCATCAGTATTGCCAATGTGATCGTCCAGACGGATCTTATGTCGGCTGTAGTTCCCGTAGTTGTCGCGGACTTCAGCCAGAAGCATCGTGTAGCCGTCTTCCTGGCGGATATGGATATCTTTGCAGGACTGGTGGAAGGCCATCTTGAGATATAGTAGATAATATAGTAGACTGTAGATAATAGATATATTAGACTAGTAGATTGAGAACTGGGATATGAGGGGTATTTGGCTATTTATCCCAGTCATTACCTAACCGTTGCTAGGTCGTTGTGCATTGCTGCCCTAGGTTCAGGACCAGTGGTGGACTAATGCACGATGACGCTATAGGCAGACGCCATTGGAGTATCATGTGGGCCGGTGGGACGCAGAGCCCATATTGTTTAATAATTAATTGCTGGGCAGCGCAGAGTCTCGCGATGTTGACAGACTATGGTGGGTCGGGCTTCACGAATGAGGTTCTGGAATACTCCATGTGGCTGTGCAGTGGATTGCCGCATACAGAGTATTGTTTTGGTTCGCACAGTTGCTTAGGTATACTCGATGTGGCGGTGCTAAACTACAACTTCGTAAACTGGATAATAATAGATACTGATTCTTTTTTCTTTTATTAATCTTAATTATTCTCTGCCAAGATTCTAGTCCTGACTTCTTGCATCTCCAAATAAGCAACTTCGTGTTACCATATGCAAGTTATTCTGGCTGGAATCCGCTACTTAAACTACTTGCTAGTTGAAGGAATTTGACGCACCTTTAAGAGAGATGCACGAGTACACGCAGGATGATATCATGGATCTATTGTCCTCTGTTTTCAGAATTAGAATAGGGCCAAACAAAGCCTAAAATACAGCCTATGAACTGAAGCCTATGTGAAAGAGTATACAAAGAGCTTGGTACTTTTAAATGTAACAGAAAACTAAATATATCCATTAAAAGTGAATATACTAATTTAAGATAATATCCTACTGACATGGTCAAGTCTATCCTAATTAGGATAGAAATACCTCAAAATAACTTCTTGTCTAGGAGTTATCGGGAAGGACAGTGATGGCATACATTAGTTCAATGGCTATTTGAACCTTACCCTCATGCTGTGCCACAAGTAGAAAGAACTGCTATTATTAGCATACTAAAAAGGTTAAGCAGACAATCAAGTCGATAGCTAAACACTGCTTGGTATCATGGTATCGTCCTATCAACGCAATCCATACATCGTTGAAAATACGTTCATGCAATCATAATCCTCTAGCCCTGTTCGCCATGGCCCGTCGAAGCTCTTCCTCCTCTTCCTCCAGTAGCTGAAGATGTTGAAGTCTCTCCTTACGTTACTTATCTTGATCCATTCCATCTCCTCCCCCAACCCATTCACGTCCATATTGTCGTATCTCGACCGTTCTCTCGCACCTCGGTCCGACTCGGCGTCGACGTACCAGACATATCAATATCAAATCCATACTTCCCCATGTCCGGAGGTAACTCCGTACCTATCTATATATCCACAGAGGTCACCCCTGCGGTTCCACAGTGTTGATCTTCCTGTCGCGGAACATCCAGTTCAGACCTCGGCGTCATCGACTGTCCGCTTAACTCGTACATCGGTTTCAGCGGCGTGAGAGCGGCAGCGACAGCTCGGCCGTCTGCTTCCTTGATGGCATTCCCGTCGATTTCAGCGCCCAATGGTGGCGGGGCTGCCTTATGTTGTTGTTCTTCCACAGTACCAGGGGATAGAGGATTATTCGAGCGACATCTGGTTCTCCGACGATACATCCATAGTAGGATGACGATGAGAATAATGCCGAGGGGAATACCGAACCAGATTCCAATCTTCGCACCCGTGGACAGACCAGATGTACTACTTTCACTACTGGGATCTGTGTTTGCAGCCTTTCCTCCCACCGCGCTTTCCGTAGCTTCGGGCGTGGACGTGGGTGTGGGTGTAATGGTTAGCGAAACTGTGATCACGGACAATGTAGTACGGCCGGCAGGACCGGTCGTCTCGATCGGATTGGATAATGTCGATGTTCTATGTATGACACTCCAACCTGATAGGGTGGAAATAGTCCCTTCTGTGATAGATGAAGTAGAAGCATAAGAAGCTGTAGGTTCTTCGTTTCCGCCTGCTATTTTGGCTCACGCATTCCTTGGCCCCCCGAGATTTGGCGATCCTCTCCTGTATTACCAAGACCAGGTCGAAGCCCTTGTTAGAACTGTTGTCTAGGTCGGAGTCGTCGATGCAGAAATGCAAACTGCGCCATGTAATCTGGGAGAGTGGCCGGGACGCCGACGACGTCGCAAAAGTCAAGGATTCGATCCAGAGACCCTAAACCTGGCATTAGCCGACGTGTTCTAGGGTGAAGAGAAAGGAAGATATAGACGTACATCCTTGGTCCGGGTTGACAGGACGTTGTTGACGCATGTGAAGGTGGGCTCAGCTCCAATCGATCCAGTCTTATCGCAGATGCATGCGTAGTTGGTGTAAGAGGAGTTAAAGGAGCGAACATGCGCATAGATGCAGTTTAGCTGATGGGTTAGTTTGCTGGTGAGCTACAGGACTTAAGGGTGGATGATTACTGTGCAACGGGGGATATCTGCCAGATAGGTGTCCGATAAATGCCATCTGTCACTGCCATCGTGGACAAGAAAGGGTTCTTGATTCACGGAGGAGGCGAATAATTCTCGGAGCGAGGTAAAGAGAGTTTTGATTTTGGAGGGGCCTTGTCTCGGTTGGTCCTTGTTCAGCTGTGTATCTATGTCCATTGTATTGCGAACTCGAGAGCACACCGTCGAGATGGAATTCATAAGAAAGAGGACCCAGGGGGACAACAGCTCTGTTTTGATGTACTGGGGGCAGCATAGAAGGAACTCGAACCCTGCAAGCATAAGCCTTGGAAATGTAATCGTCATGAAGCGAACTGGGTTGGAGAGAAAGATATACATCGCGGAATACGAGTCAGGGTGTGACGGGTAGTGTATTGGTTCTCTGATAAGAATTTTCTTGTGGAGTATATGTTGGTATAGAATCTCCCTTCGCGCAAGTATATTTAACTCGTCATAGATCTAGATGTCTTATATGGTGCTGGATAGGTTGGTGAGACGAACTGGAGCATGAGTGAGGCTGATTGGATAGAGGGTGATTCCTTTAAAGGTTTTTGCCATGAAGCATCCATATTCAGGGACACAGACCTGGGGCCATACTCTAGGTACAGCAGCGAGACAGGTTGTAGACTAGTTGATCGTCGGCTCTGAAATATTTCCTGATTTGGAAAATGTGTGCTTTTGTGGGAACTATCCAACCCCAGGACAGCTTTTAGCGACGCTAAATTAGCCTTACTACATAATCAGCAAGCACTTAGTTAACTAACAAGATAATGCATTTGATTTGTATAGCCGACATAGAGAATGCATACCTTGGATCTATTTTTAGTATCTCTTTTCGATGATGGACTCGAGGCAATGCTTTGTGAAATTGTCAACGTTCAGACCGACTCTGGAGCAAATCAAGACAATATCACATGACTGCCACGCGATCTTCCCCTGATGTCGCGACAACAACAACCATCTCGCGTTTCTACTATATTTTATCACTTCACCTGTTAGGGAGGATAGGCCTGTACTTAGGATTGCAGATAATCCAAAACAGAATCACCCCCGCTGAGGATCAGTTTCAGTACTCTATACTGACTCTGTTATAGCCAAGCTCAGGATCTTAACTATTCCACTGGACCAAAAGACCACTATATCATTGGGATCAGATATTCCTGAGCATCTTATATAGTAGCGCACTGTAATGTTAGGTGACGCACCCACACCTAACAGACTCGCTCTCCATGTCTGATACTCACGTTGTAAAACAGGCGCGCGCAAACCCCAATGGAGACGCTCACATCCGCCTCACAGACCCTGAAGACTCCACCCGCATTGTAGACTCTACGGAACTGCGCGCACTCGTAAAAGAGCTCAACCCCATCAAAAATCACCGACATCGTCATCCAAGCCGCGGAGTCCCATCCTGATGTAAAGCTTTGATAAACGTAGAGATAAAGGATCCGAGAAAGGGAGGAAAACCGCGTCATTGGCTTCGACTACTACTCTCGAGATGTCTGGAATATGCTGAACGTGACGTACAAGAAGTTGAGAGGGTCGCAGGAGTATGAGATCGCCGGCGAAGTAAGCGAAGGTATCACCCGTACTGTTGAAAGAACTGCCGAACAATGCGGGAGGTTCTCGCATCGGAAGACGCTGTATAATGGGCTTTCGAATTTGAGGAAGATTGGAAAGTCGATATTCTTTCGAATAATATGTTGGCGCATGAAGTGCGGAAGTATATGGGGTATGGTGATCCGCTTGGTACGTCGATGTTGAAGATTGTCAATGCGATGCAACTGGATCAGCGGAGAGGGATTCAAGAGGATGAGTCGTCTGAGGAGGCGTTGTGGCCGAAATTGTTGGAGCTGTATAATATAGCTTCTGGATATAATGTCTTTGATAATTTGGAAAAGGTGATGGATACTTTGACTGAAGGATATGCGGATTGGACAGGAGAGGATAAGGAGGACTATGATGAAGACGATGAGGAAGGCGATGAGGGATGGTAGCTGGAATGAATACGAACGATATATTTCCTGGTATCAATGTGGATGGACATGGCATAATGTACAATACTTAACATAGATTTCAGATTCTAGGCACCCTACAGTAGTTTAGATCTTCACGACAAATATTAGCCTGTAATATATTAATCTCATATCTCAGACCGAGTACAGCATTATAACAGACATAAGTACGATAAAACCACCGTCATCCCAAACCAATCCCTGAAGGACCCTCTAGACTTTGTATTCCACGTTCTCACTGTGCTCGATATTGCCCACCTTGGCAGAAATTTCCTTCTCGGTAAGACCCATCTCAGCAGCAAAGGTAGTATGAGGCTTCCACTTGGCCGAGGTTCTCGGCGTAGTCTCCTCCATCATCTTGTCCACCTGCTCGAGGGTGAGGCCCTTGGTCTCGGGGATAAGGAAATAAGTATAGACAAAAGCGCAGGCACAGAGTGAGCCCCAGATGAAGAACACCTTCGCCTTGAGATTACCCTTGTCCGGGTCCACCATGTAGGGTGTGATGACCGCGATGATCTATCCTGCATTAGCACAAATCTCAAATTTTATTTGTACGCAGGGTACTCACGCAGTTCCATAGCCAGTTCGAAGCAGTTGACAAAGCAACACCTCTGGAACGGATGGGAAGAGGGTAAATCTCTCCAATCACGACCCACGCTCCGGGACCCCAAGTGGAGGCGAAGAAGAAGATGTAAATGCAGATGAATGAGATTTCGGCGCTGACCGCGCTGTTGTTACCACCGTCGACGGTGCCGATAATGGCCACGATGAACTGGCAGATGACCATGCCCAAGGCACCCCACAGAAGCAGGGAGCGACGACCGAGTTTCTCCATAGTGTAGAACGAGATGGGGGTGGAGCACACGTTGACAATGGTGGTGATCATGCTGATCAGGAAGGGGTCACTGATGGTGCCGAGCTAGATTTGCATCAGCGAATACTGGAAAACTCGAGCACACAAGGTAAGACTCACCGATTGGAAGAACGTTGTACCGAAGTAGAAGACAAAGTTCACACCGGTCCATTGCTGCATCATCTGAAGCGAAGTGCCAAGCACAGTACGGCGCAGATTGCTGTTAGGGGAGAAAATGCTTCCCCGGAAGCAGTTGAACCAGCTGGTGAAGTAGCCGCCCTGAGGGATCGCCTGCATCTCGTATTCGTTGTTGGCAACGATCTCGGCCAACTCCTGCTTGATAAACTCGGAATCCCTGGGCTGGTCTCGTACACGGGCCAGCACGTGGGCAGCCTTATCAAGCTGGTTCTTCCGGACATAGTAACGGGGAGATTCGGGAAGGATAAACAGGCCAATGGCGAGGATCAGAGCCCATCCAATTTGAAGACCAATAGGGATGCGGTATGAGCCGGAATCCATGCGACCCTGAGTGCCATAATTAACGCAGGATGCAAGCATCAAACCAAGGGTGATACAGAATTGGTAGCCAGAAACAATAGCACCACGGACTTTGCGGGGAGCAATCTCTGACATGTACAGAATAATGATAGCGGAGACGAAGCCGACACCGAATCCGGCAATAAGACGGCCGACGACAAGCAATGGCACAGAGGAGGAGGCAGTCTGAAGGGCCACACCAAGGATGAAGACGCCACATCCGCTGATAATCGTGGTCCGACGACCAAACCAGTCGGCCAGATCACCGGCAATCAACGCACCAAAGAATGTACCCGCAGACAAGATGGAGGTGATCAGAGACTTCTTCCATGAGGGAAGGAAATACTGTTCCGTAGGTGTATCGTAGGGCTATTGGATAGAAGAATGTATTAGATATTGTGTTGGACAGGCAAGATCATCGCGTGCGGGAAACTTCGTACCAAACCTTCAAACTCGTGAATAAAATACTTCATTCCCATGACACCGTTAATATATCCCGAGTCATAACCAAAGAAGATACCACCGAATGCGGCAAAGGCACACATCAAATATGTCTTCAGAGTGACGGGTGCCTCGACACGCGAGACATCTGATGTCTCCGCCGGTGTCGTAACGACCGGCTGTGCCTCGACATATGTGGCATGCGTTGCCGATGCTGTGTCTGCCATGATGACAGGTGAGTCAGGTGGGATCTGCAATATATATATATATATATATATATGCCAAGAGGATGCAGACAATCCAAATAGGTTCACGGAGAAAAATCCACGCTGGAATTTACGAAAGGGAAAAAAAAAGAAAAAAAAAATCTACACTCGGGATTCCGGGGGACGTAAGTGGTTTTATAACCTGGAGGAAGGCGGCACATCCGCATCGGCTCAGGACCGGGGGAATTTGCCCACGGGGAGGGTCATTCGGCTCCAACGACTTTAGTTCTCTTATGGGTTGATGTCCCATGGAATATGGAGGAAGAGTTTTAGCTACCATCATCCAATGGCTTTCAGTCCTCTGGGGAAGGGACTAAACAAGTTTCCGGAAAAAGGCCGCATCTTGAACAATGGGAACATGAAACCATGCTACTTAGGGCTAGCGATGAAGACATACCAGGGCACAAACCAATCAGCCCATGGGCTGCAAATCTGGTCTGAGGGTTTATGGAACGTTGGGGAAGAACCGGGCCCTTTGCTAGCAATAGTACATGCACGTCCTGTAAACGATCCCCTGCGATATTACTACTAGTATTATTGGAGAGACGGCCTGTCATCTGCTCGGGCGACGCTATACCAAGCTGGGTTGGTGTAGCATCAATGGATGAGACTCCTGCCTTATTATTGGACAGCGATCGGCGACGGCAAACGCTAATTCAGAATCTGGCCAAACAGATGCTCGGGTCTAGGCCGGCCGAGCTGTCGGTTTGCTTGGAACTAGTTAAGAACCAGGACCAACCCCGTACGAGCAAAATTAGATCGGGGTGCCAGACAGGACCCTCCATCCCGGTTTGGCGAAGTGCCCGACAGAGGACGTCTCTGGTTGGCTGAAACTGACAGGGGACGGAAAAACCAGCCTACCACGTGTGTTTTCCCCATGGAGGCCCCACAATATTCCAAATCTTAACCATATAAGGTAAGGTCGAACTCCCCTAGAAACGCACGCCACTTAGTCACAAGTGTGTACAGTGTACCATTGTGTCCTGCTTCCCTCAGCCCACCAATGTCTGGGGGACGGGAAGGCTCTAAGATACTCAATGTTTTATCTTAGTAGTAATAGAGTTAAACAAGTCCTATGTCAATGAGTCGCCTCCTGGAAGCAAATAGTACACAATGTCTCAGAATTGAATCACTCAGCACAATGTAACCCTAATCTCAGCGGCCCCCCGACGAAGCAAACACCACTAAAAAAACAAGCGTTGACAGTGGCACCAAATCCCAGCACCCAGACTAGCGACTCGCGTGCTTCTGAGGCACACCTGCTTGGTGGCTTCCGTTGAGTCCTTTGTTCGACAATGAGAATCCGAGAAATCTGGTCTTGGCGCCCCGAGCACTCCACTATTCAATCCCGATGTACACAGCATACCTCCGTATTGTCTCTGATATGTTGGTGCAGATAATTTCAGTTGGCCATTGCCACCTCGTAATGGATCCTCAGAGAATTCGACAACAGAAACAGTCCATGTGGTTGTCTGAGCTAAAACTCGCCAAGCTCCTTGGCGTCCACCGGCACGCATCCTGCTTCCTTTCCCGGATGAGAGAGGTTAGTCTGGAAAAATTGATTTGGGGTTCCAAGAGCTTGCCTAATCCCCTAGCACAGTTAACTCTCCATACTCACTCGTTTAAGGTGCCCCTTTCTCACCCCGTCCCACATTACAAGGTTCATTTCTCGCTTAGCCAAGTGCACTTAGCCTCTCTCCGCATGGGGATCCCCAGAAATGATGGTACCACGGCTTTGACTCGGTGAGACATTTGAGTTAGCTGATTCGGGATCGCTGTCGGTCAGCATCGTGTCCTTGTCATTGAGGCTTGAACTAAAGGATTCGCCGGGGGAGACGTGGACACTGCAAAATACTCTAAGTTCAGCGTCAGTGACTCAGTTCATCTTCATAATGCTAGTAATACGGCCCAGCCTGTGGACTTGCAGGCCGAGAGCATATCGGGATGTGGACCACATGAAATGAAATCGAGGGGTTCGTGCTGCGGGAAAATAACGTATGCCTTCCATTTCATTCGCTGGTTTGTCCGTGTCTGGTCCATACAAATCTCCGTGCCCAGTATTTTTCAGTGAGACAGATTTTGCATGTAATTTCGTCTCTGCGCTAGACTACGGTTCTACCTACAGAAGTACATAGTGACGTTGTCATTGTTATACGTATTGTCAGTAGAGCGGGGCTATCGAGAGCGTTTTGGTTCCTATTCGCATTCCTGAGGCGCTGCAGCATATGTGATACTAACTGTGTTTACAGGTACCTAGCATACCCAAGGATGACTACGGAGTACTTAGTACTTTTTAAGCTATTGGCCAGGAAATAATAAGCAACTGGAAACTTTATCCCTTTTTGGAATAATCGAGTGATTGATGGAGGCCGACGTAACAAAGTGTGCCAAGAGTTCTAAATTCGCTTACACTGCTCTCTAAAAATCGCCCCTATTAGCTGTTGTCCATCGAACAGAGAATTTAACAGTCAGCCCCCAGGTGTTGCGCTTTCAGATTTTGCGTGGTCTAGAGAAGAGTCCATAAGATTTAGCACAACCTCCCACAGACTTGTGTTAACGTGGTAAACGTGGACAGTGTCACAGTGGGTTACGCAGAATATCATGGGACCTTCTGTGCTCCCATAAGCCTAGGTATATCCACCCAGAGAGAAAACCCAGACTTAGGAGTACCATTGGAAAATTGAGGGTCTAATGTGGTGTTGTCTTGTGGTGCATCTACAGTACTATGGATAATATTCGTAGTAGACAGGAATAATATTAATTTAAATAAAAAAAATTGTCCTAGGTGTGGCAAGTCCTCGTTCCGGGTGAGAAGAGCAAAAAGGAAAATAAAAGGTCGTGCTCGGGATCGAACCGGGATTACCAGAATCAGAATCTGATGTGCTAACCATTACACTACACAACCTGGAACATGAAACTCGACTTCATCTTTTTGTCTTATAAAGCTAATTTTAAGGTTCTTCAAATTTCCGCCCAGAAAATATATATCTAGTAGTGCTGTTTTGATTTTACAAGAGAACATAGGTAATATCTAGTCATTCCAGTTACACTTCTACAATGCTCTGGATATATTATCCACTCATTTGTTAACAACAGTTCGTTGATACTGAATGTATATTTAACATCCTGCTCTCAAGCCTCGTACCTGTTTTCTTTTATTAATACCTTCAAGTTGATATTTTTGCTTATTAAAAGAAATAACCAATTGGCTATAATCTCCATATGTATGCTGATTAAGCTCCAAAAAAGCCCAATAATCTCCTGCAGAGTATCTTGATATATTAGTACACGAATACCTCGCAGCTATGTATACTACTTCATGGTATTTTTCCTCTGCTACTACCTTATTAGCAGTGTTCTAACTATTATAAACCGACAATCCTAGAAGGAACGCAGAGGAAACATCATAGAATCCATTGCAGGATATTATTTGGACGTTCCTTTGTGAATATACTCATATCTCCCCTCTCCACTTGCATAGACGTGCAACATGTCAAGTTATTAACCATAAAGGAAATATCCGCCTGACGAATGGTCTGCTCGGGTCAACAGAATCGGGCTGTTCGTGAGTTTCATAGTACAAAATGTTCTACCGTACTACATACAATAAAAGAGTCTGTAGAGAGCAGTGGCCCCTTATCAAGATATCGAAGCAACCTTCAATCTCTCTCCGGGGACTCCAAAAACTGCATCGGCGTAGGTCTTCATACCCAGTAGTGAAATAATTTTCTCAACATATTCTAGCTTTTCTTGACGGCTGACACTCGCTGGCTGACGCAGCGCTAAGCTGAATGGTTTCATTGACGGTGGATGTGGCTAAATTGAGATCCCGGGCTGTTGGACATAGCCGGTTTTGCGCTGAAAGGACTCATTCCGGGGACACCCGTCTACAAGCCTCTCCCCAGTGATAACGCCCATATTAACCTGTGTGGCAAGAACATCCAGTGATGTTGTTTTCCTGGCTCCGGAGACACCCGTCAACGCTGCACAGGTAACGGGCTTAAGTATGCTTCCCAGACTTTTCCCTACAGCTTTCGCCATGCCACTGAAGCTCGTGTTCTTCCATCCTTGAGCGGGTTGTGTCACCACGCCGATATCCCGTCATAGAAGCCGTAGGTAACAACCTGGGTCTGCGAGCACTGTCTTATGTGAGAATATAGATATAACATCACTTACTACCCGGGCTGCGAGTAAGCGTGATTTGAATCCAATTACCTCCGAAGTATCTGCCACCGTTCGATCATGGTACAACCGCGGTGCATTCTGGAAATGCAGTAACAGGTGGGTAACGCCCATGGGTTCTGAATCAACCAATTTAGAAACCACACTGAACATAATATACATTTACCACGGTCCGTTCTACAAAACCCTGTCTCTTACACCTTAAATGCGAGTTAATATACTTCTGTGCGGAGTCCCCTGGTAATGTCGTGTCCGTAACGGACATGGCTGTGGCTGGTCTAGGTTGAAACTCTCAGTGACTCGGTTTGATACGGGCTGGGAGAATATCTGAGCCGTATGGACAGGTAGTTTAATCAGGTTGTATGGAAATTGTCTATAGCTTCTTCTTACGTCTCGGCTCCTGGATGGGCGTTATAGAGTTCTGCGTGGTATCTGTAAAGCAATAGAATTAGTCCAATGTATATCACAGCGCTGGGGATTATGTTACGTCCAGTTTAGTGTGCTTGGAATTAAGCTTCTTTCCTTGAATTAGAAAAGCAGCTGCAAATGCACTGAGTACTTTCTTTGTTTCTCTGACGCGCCCACTGCTGGACGATCGGACACAAGCATTGGATTTGATTCAGATCTAGTTGGCGATGAAAAGACTCCAGTCCAGCCCGTGCGTCGTCTTCCGCTTGCATGCTCTTACTGAGTTTCTGGGCATTTTCAATGGTGGAAGGTTTCAAGCAGAAATATATTGCGTTTGCAAGGCTATCGGCTGTCAGCATTTTGTGCAGGATAGGCTCCGGCTCTGCACCATTCTGCACGACCATGCGCCCCAGAAAGGCTGGCCCCCGAAGAACGACACAATCAGGGTAGGTCGTCCCAGAGCATGAATCACACAAGAGACACGCTTAAATAGCCAAATGGTGAGGCACGTTTCCGAGAAAGTATACATTGGGCTGATTGATCTGCTTCTCCTCCGAGACTTCCCCAGCCTTTAGAAATCAGAGATTGTTTCCCGGTTAGTTTCACGGAGTCTGGGCCATTCACTACGACGGAACCGAATCTAATGTAGATCGGCGGATCACCTGCGTCGAGAAATCAACGAGATCCTGTGGAGGCGTATAGTTGCCATGTTCAGAGCGGAAGTTGAAGCCAGTGACTTCGATATGCTGCTGCCAGTCAACGGGCTTGCGAAGTAACGAGGGAGACCTTATTCCCAGCATTAGGTTATTGGCATATGTATTTGCAAAAGATACAAAATACCATAGATATATGAAAGAAATTTGAAGCCGGTAGATCAATGTCGGTTCATTGACTTCATCTAGTTGATCCAAGCGCAGCTCAAAGCGACGGAAGTCATTGATCGAATCACCTAATCCTTGCCAGATGAGCATCTCCGTGACAACTTAGGAAGCGAGATTGTCAACTGAAGGCTCTGTGCCACGACTTCAAGAATTGACTAGTGGATGTGGAAATGCCTGCGTAGGCGTCCATGCCATTTTAGACCAGTGCTGTCAGGGCCCAAGTAACGTTTTGCTTTAGGGAAATGGACGACATACGTGAACATCATATGTAGTGGAATACCAAACTTCGTGCAAAGGATACGAGCAAAACTAGGCAGCATCTGCCACAAATAGCGACGCAGTTAGATAATCATCATCCCTCATACCGATGCCCTCTCCTGCCTCGATGCACGAGCGCCGGCATCCCCCAATAATTGCTCGGAATTTCTCACGACTTCCTGTAATAGTCTTCGTCAAAGAGGCTGCCTATCCTTGGGATTAATTAAATGTTCTAGATGTTCTACAAACGACAAAAGCTCGCTGGGATCGCCTCCCATATCAAAGAACCCCAAATTATTTTCCTTGACAAAGTCACGGGACATGAGATGTGTCGCCAACCTCACACGATAGCCATGAGCCTGTAGCGCTTTGCCTAGCTTGATAAACAGTCGCACATCAGAGCCACCACCGGGGTCACGACATTGAGCTTTAGTGAAATGAGTAACGTCGTCTTTCCTTTTCTCCGGAAGAGCGCTTAGTGGCTCACGCGCGAGAGCATACATCAGCGCGGCCACCCGTGCCGTGCCCTCCTCCAGTTGAATCTCTAAATGTCAATCTTCTACGTACCGGACAGAAGTTAGATTGGCCCGCCCTATAACAAGTGTTTTTTGATTACTAGTTTATCCATGTGCAGAAGCTGCTCAATTTTAGCTTCGCCTGCTGCCAGAAACAGTAGAGACGCAGACACATAAGCCAACGAATAGAAAAGCAGGAGATCCCCTAAATATAATGAGACTTGTATTATATTCTATACCTCTCGCTGTTTAACTAACTACTAGTCTTACCTAGTTACATAGCATTCTTATATAATGCATATGAACATCAACAGGTCCAACAACGTATAACCAAACAAGCAAAGAAATACAGAACGAGTTTAGAAAAATATATCAGCATAGTACCGATCTCTTTTCAAGTCTTGTACCCATTTCAAGGAAGTTTCCGTATCCTCTCCCAGAGCGTCGGCACGGATCTGTGCCAAGATCTTCTCAATACTCGCTCCCACAGTACCAGGACCACAAATATAAATCTGTGCACCCTGGTCAAAAAGTTGGGCAGCTTCATTCCGATCCAGCCAGATTCTATCCTGGACATATTTGCAATTATTGGACATCTCCGGCTGCTGCGCGTACGCACGACGCACATCAACCACGCCCTGCGCTTGCCACCGATCGAATTCATCCCGGTACAGGTCATCCTCATCTGGCCGCTTACAACCATAAAAGAGTAAAGAAGGACCGACTTGGATGCTGCCGGTTTTCTTGAAGGCCCGTTCTGCAACGAAGGCGCGGAAAGGGGCCAGACCGGTCCCTGAGCATGCCATAATAATAGGTGTCTTGAGATCAGCTGGGAGGTGGAATCCAGCGCGGCTGGGACGCAAACTAGCGTGGAGATGATCCCCGACATCGAGGCTTTCCATATAGTTACTGGCAACGCCAAGGAGCCGATGGCCTTTCTGACTGCCCTTTGATGGTGCGTCGATTACACTGTAGGTGAGAGTGCATTCATACTCGCGCTCTAACGGGGAGGAGGAGATGCTGTATTGCCGTATTCGCATGGGCGGCACGGAAGCAAGATATTGTCCAAGAGGAAACACTGCGCTTGGGTAGTCCTCGAGAAGATCAAGAAGTGTAACATTGGAGGCCTGGAAGTCTTCTTCCCTCATCCGTTTCTCCAATTCCTCTTGTGGCTTTTTCTCGGGAATCGACTTGGCAAGAGCAGCGCTTGCACGGCCAGTGGCAGGTTGACCGAGTTCTAGCATTCCAGACAGTACATCGTTCACGCTCAGAGTCACCCCCTTGGGGAGACTTGTTGATGTAGAAGGATCAATGGTAATGGTGGCATCCCATGGTAACCGAAAACGTCTCATAACACGACGTACTGTCTCCGGAGGGTTAAGTGGCAATACCGCCAGGTAGTCACCAGCACGGTATGTCATCCCAGTTGGCAGATTGATACCAATATGTCGTTTTCTGGGTGCCCCTGGTTTTGTTAAGAGACGGACTTGACTGACTTCACAATCCTGGACATCTTGCCGGAGCAGTGATGAGCGAGTTTGAGTATCAACTTGGATTTTCATCCCTCTCGGGGCAGCTTGCTCGCTGCCACCATCCTGACCAGTGAGCTTTTGCACTGCCGGCCAGAATCTTTTTTCCTGCCATCTATCAAAGGCATCAAAAATATTGCCACATCCAATATCAGAGGCTACTCGTTCAGTAATCTGTTCCGCTCCAGCTTTTGACAGCACATCATCAATAAATGTGGAAATCTTTTGGTACGTCGTATGCCATTCCTCTGTAGAGCTCTGATCAGTACATGACACACCTAGAAGAGATTCTGCCAACTTACTATTTCCAACACCAAACACACAATATTTGACATCCTTTAGTTCCGACTGATCCGCGGACTTGAGCCACTCCACAAAATGTACAGCATTATCCGGGGCTTGGCCTTCATAGGTGGCTGTGATTATAACAACCGGTTCATTTTTCGGGAGTGCAGATGTCACGCCATCCAGAGTTTTAACCTGGGGAGAGAACCCATATTCTGGAGCAGAAGAGGACAGTTCCTGTGCAAGTGCTTCGCAAGTGCCAGTATTTGATCCGTAGTGAATATGAAGTGGCGTGGCATTGTCTGGCACAGCAGCTCGGGGCTTTGGTGTCTTTTGCGTTGATTTTGAAGATGGATCTGAGATGCCCACTTTGATATTGTCTACAAAGCCAGGATCTCTGAGTTGTGCCCTCATGTAGAAATCTTTCGGTTTGATTGTAAGAGCTGTTTGAATCTGAAGTTTGTATGATGGTTTATCTTTTGAAAAGTAAAATGTCTGAAGAAGGGTGGCAACGGCAAGTAAAGCTTCCTGCCACGCGAAAGGGCGACCAATGCAGCGACGCACGCCGTTCCCAAACGGCTATATCTTGTTAGCTACTTCTTCAAAAGTGCATATAACCCGTCTCTTACCTTCCAGCAATGTGGGGGAAGTTTTCCAAATGCCTCATCCATCATCCGGCTCGGTTTAAACTCATCTGCATCTGGCCCATACACTTCAGGGTCCCGATGGATTAGTGTAAGAAGAATATCCACAGTTTCTTGATCTTTAACAAGATACTTTCCATCAAGAACATGATCGCCTTTTGCCTGCACAGTGAGTGAGGGTGCCGTGGGGTGAAGACGAAGAGTCTCCCGCAGACATGCGTCCAGGTATGGAAGCTTTGACATATGATCGACAGTAATCGGTTGGCTTCCAATTACTTCATCAACCTCTTCCTGAGCCTGTCGGTATGCTTCAGGATTTTCAAGGAGCTCATAAAACAAGAAGGAGAGCAACCCTGATGTGGTCTCATGGCCTACAACATCATTAACATATGTCTTAGACAAATATAAACAAGGCGAGTTCTTCACCAGCAATCAGGAATGTGATCATATTCCGAATTATTGCATCATCCTCCAATTGCTCTCCAGTTTTAGGATCCCGATTAAAAATCATAGCATTGAGTAGATCCTTTTTCTTTGTTGGGTTCCTTTTACGGGTCTCCAACAGGTCTCTGGCGACATATTCCAGTTTACTGATGTCAGCACGGTACTGAATGTCTTGTTCTACGAACAAAAAACGTGAAAAGGCAGGCCGCAGGGATCGATGCCACGATTCTCCTAGCATCCCAGCCATGGCGTCAACGAAAGGATGTTGCTTTTCAAGATAGAACGAGTTAAATCGATCACCCATGGCACAGCTAGGAAAACGCAGTCAGCTTGCATAGCGACGTATCTTAGAGAGGAATGAACATTGTACAGAGCAATTGAGTCCACCGTCAGCCTCGTGAAGTCGTCTGAGACATCTATTGGGCTATTAAATCCGAAGCGCGCCCATTTAGACACCATCTGGGAAACAATATCTTGCATCTCTGATATTGTAGGGTCAGCAACCGGAGACACCCAAAATCTTATGTGGCCTGTGGCTTGTCATTTACCTGGGAACATTGCCCGGATCGACAGGGGCTCGAAAGCAGGCATCAACGTTCGATGCGCAATCTCCCAGTTGTGCTCGCCTGGGTACGCTGAGAAGAGGCCGTCCTTGGTGGAATTTCGCACCTCCTCCATAGGACCTGTGATGGCTTTTTGGAACTTGGTCTCATCGTAAAGGTCCCGTGACAGTGCGTAGTTCCCTACGAAGATGCTCTCTCTAGGGAGGCGCAGCCTAAAAATTGGTCCATAAACTCCTGTAATACGGGCAAGGCTCTCGTTTGGATGTTCACTGTCGATGTCGAAGACATTGCCGACAATCGGATAGGCCCCTGGCCCAGGAATATTATCTGTCATGGTGAAGGGAGAATTGGCTACATTGAAAAGAGAATTGACCGCACACTTGATCATTCACTGTTACCTATCAGATCTATATTTATATACCCGGCTTCTAATGGGGTTGTCACTTATGTAGGCGGGCTAGATTTCTATTTCCGAACACACTGACGAGTGCTGAGGTCATAGAAACTTAATTGCTTGGTGGTCCGTTGGCTCCGGGACCGCAATTGAGATTGCAGAACTTAGCAACGCAAGATACTGTCTCAGCCAAGCCATCTCCTGGGCCGTAGTGAACAGAGCACTGTATATCAGACAGAAGCCACAGCTGTTCTTTGCTTGGTATCTCATAGGGATATACGCCATGGGCAAACGTATTTAAACTGTATTTTGCATCCCGCTCTTGGCGGATTTTAGACCAATCAACGGCCAGCCGCAGATTCCTTGCAGAGGACTTCCTAAAGTGGTACTATATTTTGCCCCTCTTACCGAAATTGTATTGGCGTAATCGGAGCTTCCATTTACTAATTCAGGAGCTTTGTTCATGCTGGGAGAAGTTTTACCAAGAAATCCGGCCCGGTACATCCATGATAATCTACTCATCCACGACTGGAATAAGGCCGCCTCTACTATGCAATTAATTGGGCACCTGGCTTGTCGCTCGGAATGGGCAGGTCCTACGGAATAAAACCGCGGGTATGGGTGGGGTTTCGGGATCGGACCCCGAGCCTGCTCCACCCCACCCCAAAAAAAGTAAAACAGCTTTAAACTCAGGATAAAACAATGCGAGTGCTAAAAACTTAGTGAGCCGTAATTCAGTACTGTCAAGGAAGTCGTGGTTTCAACATAACCCTACCACTGAGATTGGATTCTTTTTGCGTCATCGAATGTTGGATTTACTACGTAATACTTGCATAGAAAGCTGCTCTACGGAGTACTGCAGGCACCAGTTCTGTATAGCACCCTAACCTTTTTCTTTTTTCAGCATAAATAATATCATTTGACCACTAAAGATCCATGGGCTCTAGGCCATAATTCGGTATTATCATGGAAATCCGGGAGAAATTCCTAAGATGATATCCTGGCTGAGATCAGAGGTAGCGTGTCCATCGCGAGGGAAAATATCGACGACCTATCGGGTCTTATGGAGTAGCAGTCCGAAGAAATGTGGGGTTGATGTACGTGCTGGCTCTAATTTCAATGGCTAGCTTACATATTAAACCACCGGATGTGGCATAGCACATAGGCGATCGGCGTGTCGTGAGTCAAAGGGAGTACTTGACACTTCTCACGTCAGCTTCCAATTTTTCTCCCCGCACCCTTCATAGTCAAAGCAAGCATCTCTCCAGACACCTGCAAGTCAGCCGGGCCCTCAGGAAACAAAGTGAAGTCCTCACGATGGAGACACGCCAGCCCATCGGTTATCGATGGCGCTCGTCGAAATTCTTTATTCTTGCCACAGTCGGCCTCGCCTTATTCGCGGAGACATTTCTCTATGGCTTCCTCGTCCCCATCCTGGCCCACATGCTCGAGGTTCGATTAGGGATCGACCCGTCCGAGACCCAGAAATACACCACGACTCTGCTTTCGATCCATGGCTTGCTCACGGTCCTTGTAGCGCCCGTGGTTGCGCATTTTGCAGACAAGACACCTAATCGGAAAGTCCCGTTGCTGATGGCGTTGACATTATGTCTGGTCGGGACGATTCTTGTGGCTTGGACTCCATCTGGTATGTAATTTTGCCTTATGGAATATTGACTAATAAGTCTCCACAGTTTGGGCTCTTTTCCTCGGACGATATCTACAGGCAGTCGGCGGCTCGGCGACATGGATTGTCTGCTTTGCGATTCTCCTCGATTGTACTGCGGCCGAAAACTTAGGGAAAATCACAGGCATCACCATGACCTTCGTCACCGCTGGAATCATTAGCGGGCCTACAGTGGCAGGAGTCCTACTAGAATTATTTGGTTACTGGGCCACTTGGTCTGTACCAATGATCATTCTCGTTCTGGATATCATCGCCCCTCTCCTTATGATCCAGACCCGGGATCTACCATCCACATCTACTAAAACCGACACCCCATCTCCATTGAACGGCGATGAAACGATCACCGACGAAACCACGGCCCTTCTCTCAGACAATACCTCCCCCCCACCCAAACCTGACGCAGTGGACCCTGTGGATCGCGATACCCCATCACCTAGAAAAGGCTTCCACCGTATCATACTCTCAGATGTACGAGTCCTAGTCGGACTATCCAACACCCTCCTTTACTCCTCCATCATATCCGGTTTTGACAGTACGCTCCCACTCCATCTACGGGATATATTCGGCTGGGGAAGCATGGCTACCGGATTAACGTTTTTCTGTCTTCAACTCCCGTCTTTCTTTCTTGCCGCTTTATCGGGTATGCTCCGTGACCGATGCGGAGTACGATACCCCGCTGCCATCGGCTGGGGCCTAATGGGTCCATTACTGTGGCTGTTGGGGATGCCCGGTGATAAAAGTTTTCCATGGGCTGGTGCAGAAGCTGGTGGGAAGACTATATTTCCCTGTACCTTGTTTGTGTTTGGGGCAGTTTCGATGTTAGTTCGTGGTTCCGGGTCACTACAGTTAAATTGTGAGTATGCGACGTAAAAATTTACCACGTCTTTGCTAATGCGCCTGATTTAGTGGTCGTCAAAGATATGCAGTCAAAAGATCCCTTGATATTCGGTCCTGGCGGGGGTAATGCTCGAGTTCATTCCATTTTGGAAATGGCGTTCAGCACAGGAATGATGCTGGGACCCTTCCTCTCCGGAGTGTTGACGGAGAAGGTGGGATATTATTACATGACTTTTACATTCGGTATGGTTAGCCTTGATTTCTGATAGGTGTGAATGCTAATCAAGATATAGGATGTATTTCGCTGCTTCTGTCGGCCCTTTGCTTTCGTTTCTTAGACGGCAAACGGGCAAGGGGAGCTACTTCACCGGCTTGAAGTGTTGGACAAAAGGATTATATATATACATTCGGATAAACAGGTACTGCACATGAGATATGCAATGATGCTGATGGATTTCGTTTGATAAAAGCAATGTCTAGTATCAAATACCGCAAAAGTTTTTAATGCTAAACAAGTTATATGCACGACAAGGAGAACAAAGAATAGACTTTACTTATATAAGGCCAAGCTAGATAATGCATACGTCTTTCCGATTAAGAACAAAGTTGCATTACTTGACAAAGACCCTCGCTCTTCCCCCGCCACCTAAGTTCATTACAAGAATCTATAACAACAGGAATTTTGATACATATAGCACATTTTAGCTCTCCTCACTCTCGACTTTGTCAAACCAAATAAATCGGTTTATTTACTCGCGACCACGGGTCATTCCACCACCTACATGCATAGGTAAGGAGATATTGACGGAGGCCAGTCGCTATATGAGCATTCATCAAGGCCCATAGTGCTGCAATACCTTTCAGCAAGCTTATTGCTGCCTGGAAAGTCTGCCGTTCCGAGGTCAATTTTCCTAATGCCTGTTAGTATGCAGGGATATTGGACCAAGACCCGGGTTGAATAACTTACATCCACTCCTTATCTAATTGAGTCGGTACTGATCGATGACTGAACTGGATCAGCTAAAGTGGTTGTTGTCCTCTGCTAGTTGCTGCCTGTTGTGGAAAGCGAGCGGTGTGGCAAGAAGGGCGATTATATCCTTTATACATGAATAACGCACTAAATTATATCCCAGTTACCTTCTCGGTAGATACTAGTACAGATAAGAATATCAATATTCCATCATATTGTCACCACCACATCTCCAAGAGGATTCAACTTACCGGAAAAGTATGAAATATTGGTCCCGAGAGAACCACCAGAGAGACCGTCTGACCCAAGAATCCAGTCTGATTCCACAAATTTCAACGTCCTCAACACCTGTTGGAAGGGGACATCGATTGTCAAGGAAGCAGTTTGCTTCTCAGAAGACGTGTCTTCTGGACAGCATGGCTCGGCCGTCTGAGGGCAGAAAAGAGAGGGTAGTGGAGTCTGAGGAACCAGTAACCGAGACGACATTAGAAACGGAAAAAAAAAAAAAAAAAAAAAAAAAAAAACCGCTCTCCCTCTCCTCCCCGCTGCCCTCGTTGCTTTGTGCATCAGAGGAACGGAGGAGTTCGCCGATGTCTATTAGAGATTCGCCGCCTCTATTGTGCTCCTCCAGCCCACTGATGCCTGGACTGGCATGTTGTGGAGTGACAGTGTCTTCTGGGGTCGACAACCAACTGCCTGTCATACATCATTCAGTATTTGGTGCTTTTCACAGCAGCTAACAAGAAATATCAGTAGAAAGTAACTTACGGCCACCTCCTGAGCCGGGTGACGGCGTTTTCCCCAACTTCTTCCGCTAACCGTTCAAGAACTCGGTCCCGTGTGCCAGGTGAGGGCAGCGGGGAAGAGGTAAAACGATCAACTAGGTCCATAGTGATATGCTTTCTGGGAAGAAAAAAGAAGAAGTATCCATAAAATTCCACTGAACTGAAAAGGGTATCAAGGCTCTAGTTAGTCAGGTAGAATTTCTGAAACGGTGACAAGAAGAAGTGGAAGAAGTGGAATTTTCCATAAGCAAAGCCTTTTAAACTACATGGAAGCAACTCTTACTCACACCTTCCTTTTCCCAGCTGGTAAACGTCTTCAAAAATCAAATTTGGAAGGTCCCAATAGGGAACATAGAAACCCCCAGTTTCTATTCAGCAGTGACACTCCATGGCGCAGTAGTCATAGACATGAAACCTCTCCATCTTGTTCGTCCCTACAGCCTGCTGATATGACAACTGGGACTTTCACAGCAACCGCAGCTGCGCCCACAACAAATTTCCATATCGACACATTTTGCCCGACCCAGCAACCATGCATATGTTCGGCCAATCCAACCTGTATTCTTGCGGGGAATATCCATCTTCTGCACAATAAGGGAATGAGGTTTGGCCTCCTCCATCTCTCTAGCTTTATATTTTGGTCCCAATATCGAGACTCGAGGATATGGATTTTGGATTTGTTGTTTTTCAGATTTAGTGAGGAGAGAACAGAGCTGTTCACTGTATCTAGGAGGATCCTCACCAGCCATGGGATTCGTCTTTTTACCTGATTATAATTTTCATCAGTCGTCTTCCCCGCTGCAGACTCGCAATGCCTCTATACTCTGTGTCAAGGTAAGGTCGGACCCAGGTCTTGGTGTCTGTTTTCCAAGATGCTGTATAATACTCATAATTACATTGTTCTTTCGGACTTGATAGGCGAGGTCGAAGTCACGCTTACATTTCGGATCTTCTGGTAGATGTTTGTGTTGGTAAGGAACTAGTGACTCGATGGTCGAAGTGTGTAGGATGAACGTGACAGAGGGTGAGCAGCGATATTTAATAGTGTCTCACTGTCATAGGCGTATTGATGACCCTTTTGCGGTCATTGTGATGTTGTACTCTCTAACACAATTATTACCTCTACGAATGCTGCTATTACGGCAGAATTGGGAACTAGAATATGAGAAAAGAATCCAAATATTCGGACACCCAGTCTAAACCATTTCGTAAGAGAATATATCTCTGATACCCACTTCAAATCCCTTGCGTGTATTATCGCACATCACTGGCCTGGAACTTCATCCGGCGAGGTGAGTTGAACCATTGTTAGGGATTGATAGGATTCTCTGTTTGCTCGCTGTCAGAATTCTGTCCAGAATAGAGGTCAGCCACAATTTCTATGCCGGTAGTGTATATTCCAAACCAAACTCCATCAACGAATGCTCAGGCAGAGAACAATACGGAAACACCTTATGTCACTCTTCTCTTTTTCACAACTCCCATCTGTGCCACAACGCTCCTTGATCCAGACCCCAATAATACTATACAATACGCGGAACGGGAGTGGACGCCAGGCTCTGGGTGTCATGGTATACTCGACAAGAGGGCGGGGGCCTGGTTTCTGGGAACTTGTGATTCAATGATTGTTTTAAGTTATTGCTATATGAATAGTAATAGGAGTCCGCGCACCGTCATCTTGTCCCCGAAGGGCTCCCATGTAAGACCCAACTTGGGCTGTCCTGGAAACATTAATTCATTAGTGTATTGTTTCAAGGCTGTAATTAGTTTAGGAACAGTAGGAAAGTTGGAAGAGTGATATAGGGGGTATTCGTATCCCAGTAGATATGGATTTCTTTATCCAAGTGTCTTAGTGGCAATAATGCAAGTTGTATGGAGGCAACCAGAAGTAAAATGACTGTGCCCAGAATCTATAGCAGGGTTATTAAGATGACACTATGCAGAGTTTTTGCTGGTACTCCATGTACAGGGTTTCTGTTGGCACTGTACTTATAACACAAGCCCGCTCATTTACTGCCGCTTATCTTCTCTACTCAGTCGTGGCGTTCGAACTCGATAAAAACCAGAGATTAACTCGGAAAAATCGCCCATTGCATGTCGAACACCTTGGGCCTTGCCCCGGCGTGCTGAGTTACCTGGCACTCTACTGGAGCAGGTAGATAGAACTAGCACACTTGAATGAAGCAGAAAATTAGAGCAGTTAATTAAAGTACTTATCAAAGTGATGCATCAAAGTACTGGATCACTTTTCTCCTGTAAACTTTTGTCTTATCATCTCTTCATCTCACCTAATCTCTCATTCCTAGGTTAGGGAGACCGGTGATACCCCGGTCCAGACGCGGTACACTTGGGCCACGAATCATAAGATGGTCTGGATCATCAAGGTGCTTTTCAAGTAAGCAAAATGGCCAAAAGCATCCTAAGAGAGAACATACACCTGAGGCATGTTGATATATCAAGTAAAGCCATTCTATCGTGTAGGGTGAGAGAGCTGGTAACGATAATTATGGAAGATTAAAACAGGTTGGATGGCGGAGAAAACACTTTCACACATGTGCTCACTGTTGGTGGTATATCAGATATTTGGTTACTTAATGAAACATACGAAGACACCACTGATAGCCAGAGCGCTCCTCCTCGACCTGTCTTTGTCACTCGTTTCCTGTCGCTCGAGAGTATCTTAAGTAAATCCTTGGAGTACTGATCAGTAATATAAACTAGAATAGAGTAATACTTAGTACTCTGACTACTTTACACTTTACTATACTCAAAATAATCAAGCACTTCCATCCAACGAAGCAATGACAAAGGATTCGATATAAGTGGGCAATAATGGATGCGGATCATAATCCGAATGGAATATACAAGATCGGATCACATCTATCTTATCTGTACCTACACCTCCCATCTCAACTCTCATATCACCATCAAACCGGGTCTTAAGAAAAGAGACAATCCTATACTCCCTTCAACTCCTTCCTCATAAATACCTCCCATAACCAAACCACCCCCCCATCCACAGTCTTCTCCTGATACCTCGGTTCCTCCTTCCACCCCACATACCCCAATTTCTCATACCACTCCTGGATACTAAACTCAGGCATTGGCATCCCGATCCGATCCCAGAAACCGCGTCCCTCTGGTCCCTCGTCGTACATATATCGTTTACTCAGCGCAGTCAGAGCCATCACGCTACAATTCGGACTTCCGTACGGTTCCTGCACGGCCATCCGCTCGGCTAGGTCCATAGCGCGTCGTCCGAGGCGTAACGCGCGATATTCCGGTAGGATGAAGAAGGTCTGGATGGCGAGGACTGATTTGTCCGCGCGCGCGAGTTCCGCGTCCGGTGGGTCGCTGTAGGCGTCTAGGGAGATGTGGCCTGCCAGGATGGATTCATTCTCTCCATTATGATTATTATTGTTATGATTGCTATTGGTGGTGGTGATCCAGAAAAGGCTTTTCAGACCCTCTGCTTGTTTGGTTTTCCATTGCTGAAGTTTCTCGGGTGTGTGGTCCCATCCGCAGAGGACACGTTGGCGTAGGAGTTCGGCTAATTGATCCGCGTCTTGGAGGTTGATGGGCTCGAGGTAGCATGGAGCGGACATGATTCTAGTGGTATTATTCGGTAAATTTTAGGGAGGAAGATAGCCTGTTGAAATTATACTGACAGTCCGTAAGCTTAGTCACTGAAATGTCTTAGTTAACTAGCATTTAGTGTACATCCATATACCCATACAAGATGGCCAAGATGTTGGTAGAGTCATCGCCATCCATAGTTTGGGCCGCTACAATCCATCGTTTATACCACGAAGCTCAAGAACACTAGATTTTACATTTTACTTATCCCGTCTTCTATTCCCGCCGTCTATATTAATTTGTAGTCATGCACCAGGCTATCGTCTTCGCCATGGATTCAGCTCCGAACTTTTTACTGAGTCTACTGACATAGGAAGCAGTTGCCCTGGAAGGATAGACTAGAATAATAATTCAACTAAGAGATGTTCATTCTGAAGTAACTTTAAATAGTATCCATGTTGAATGGTAATATCAACCAATGCAGAGTCATGTTGTATGGCGTAAAAAAAAAAAAAAAAGACCACACTAATAGTCCTCTCCGCGACTGAGAACTTCCTTGTTGGATTCCCCCAACAAGATAGTCTAAAGAAATTAGCCTGTGAATTCCCATCATAGAGAAGAACATACATGTTCAAACTGTGCCGAGTAGGACCCCTCGATATCCATCAGAGGCGCGTATTCCTCTACAACCCCTCTGGATACAAGACTATTCATCTGCCACAATAAGCAACATGCAACCACTGGGTGAATACTATACTTACTCCAGCCAAATAACGCTCAACCCCAAGCCGTTCGAGGTAGCGCCGGCAAAACACAATCGAGCCGAAATTCTCGTCGATCGTTTTATAGAGAGACCGGGCTGAGGCAAGAGGCGATATCACCTTCTTTGGCGCCAGTGGGTCTTTTCCATACCCATAGACACCAGGCTAAAGAGTCAGTGACTCTATATCTATCACTTTCAGTCTGGGTGAAACATACCCCGTCAACCAAACGGGCACGACCTGTCGACCCAAACGTTTCAATGGCAAATATCTCCCCCACTTCCATCTTGGTTTGGTCAGAATTCTTCACAAAAGGGACCATCTTGCCACCGTGAATCCGATAATGCTCGATGTTATGCCCGGAGATATTTCGAACAGCTTTTACAGGGAAGGTCCGGCCTTTGATCTCCACCTCGTAGCTTTCCATCGCTTCTTGGATGGCCGCACTGACATCACTAATACGAACATCGACTCCCGCATTCTAACAGAGTCACATTAGATATGCTCTAGGTTGGGTGGAGCAGGGTCTTCACCTTTATGCCCGTGTTGGTTGCATCTTTCACTGCAGCGAGCAGATTATCATAAGTGGGATCGAATGACATTGTGAATGCACTGTCAACAATCCAACCATTGATATGGACGCCAAAATCAACCTTCATCACGTCGCTCGCTTGCAAAACAACTTCCTTTTGGCCGGGATTAGGCGTGTAATGGGCCACGTAATTATTCAGCGAGAGCCTAGTCGGGAATCCCATTCCCGACACAAGACAACTTCCAGGTTCCAGGCCAGCATTGTCGAGCAACGCCCTCACACCATCCTCGATGCCTACAGCAATATCGGTGAGAGTCTGGCCGGGCCGAACACTGTCCTGTGCCCAGCGTCGAACCTGACGATGTATCTCTGCCGCCTTGCGATAGTCATTCAGGAAAGTGTCATCTTGCAGGTGACGACGGGATTGATATCGGACTTCGTCAGCCATCGTGCGAGCCGTATTCTCGGCCACATAGCCATAGTTTTGAATCTCTCCGCTGGGGTATTGACCCCTGGGGAAGAGCTCAGCCAAGGGCACTCGTGGTGGCGACGACTGTTTCAACGATGGTGTTTTCTTCTTAGACTTCTTTCGTTTCTTTTTCTTCGAAGCGGCGGTCGGTCCAGATGGTGATATTATCTTACTAATGTCACAGCCCAGTCCGGCTACGGCGGCATCGTCGTCATCGTCGTCATCTCCCCCGTCATTTCCCACGCTAGTATCACCATCCCGGGACAAGTGCGCCCCCCGTGGCTCGCCGTTTGTAGCGTTGTTCTTGATCGAGCCGGATGGATCATCTGCTGAAGTGAGCACAACTGTGAGACAAGTCTACGGGAACTGGTAGGTCATACTACCGTTTCTCTGACGCTCATGCTCTGGAGTTTTAGAGCCCATTTCAACATGAAGATATGGTATGCAATCAGTCGATGTGAATCGTGAGATTTAATCCGCTAGGTTTGTACGAAGTGCGGGGGGTCAGTAGGAGATTTCTTGGCCCCCACCTTCTCATGCCGAAGGTTTTTCCATTCCGAAATTCTACTACAAACGGAGTACAGTCAGTATATTCTGTTGGTGCGGTGGACTGAATCGAGCAAATGGACAAAAGTTGTAATTTTGGGTATAGCTGTAGCATTATTCTGCTGGCCGCTTTGGATTTCCTATTTTGGGTCCCGCCGCTTTTATGGTCTCACGTGAACACTCACAGAGTGATCCAGGGACGTCAACAAGCATTTGGTGCGTGTTCTGGAGCACTAGTTCACTGCTCTTAAGGATAACACATAGTGGACAAAGGTGGTGGGCATACTACAGTAATAGAATAGTTTTGAACGGTTACTGGTTCTGACTGGTTCCGACTGGTTACTATTAGATAATAATAGCAAAATTACTTATTAGTTCATGAGAATGTCTTGGTTATCGAGCTTGCTGGCGTGCGTCCCTGAGAGAGTATTTCTTTCATCCCCGATTATCGGGCGTTCGAAGTCTGCCATTGTGGAAAAGGCTGATCATGATAGGGGCATTTTCCCTCTGTGGAAATGCCCTGATTTGGTTTTCTCTTTGTGGAAAAAAGGCGTGAGCATTAAATTTTACCTTTGTGGCAATAGCCCTAGTCAGGCCGGCAGCCCGTTGGATTTCATCAATTGTGTCTCCCCAGGTATGTTGTACCGACGCTGTTGATTACCGGTAGGCATGGATGCAGTAAAAATATACTCTTACAATCTCATTAATCATGGCAAAGAAATACACATGACATGTGTCTATAAAGCTTGAGCTATTAGAATCTATGAACCTGGTATCAGTTCTGCTACCATGACTTTCATCATCACCCGCCCTATATAGTTCTATCCACGGTGCTTGTACACCACATATGGAATTTGAGATTTACTTGAAAACATCCCCAGACCTTTAGAGGAAGATAGATCTGTCAAAGGTTGAACCCAGTGTATTGCTCAGGCATGGCCTTCGCTCCTATATAGGGCGCTAGATGCGACTGATCGAAGATCAGTCGTCTTGTACCTTTTTATATGGTCAAGTGGTTTTATCTCTACTAGCGCAGAGACAACCAAACCATCACAAGATCAAAGACAAAATGTTTACAACCAGCAGGTTTATTGCGCAGGCCTATTCAAACATGATAATAACCATATATTAATCATCTTTATAGTGAAATTACTATCAATTTCAAGCCAGAATTACACTATATGCACTGAGTAATCTAGTAAATACTACCTCCTGCACCCTCTGCCAGCGTAGGATTATTCTAATTCAGACGGGATATTGGAGTATATTCCTCGTTTCCAATCTTGAATTTAGATGATGAGAATCAACGGAGCACCGGCTGAACAGGTAGAGCTATGATATCTCATGCCCTCACTATGAGCTTTAACATTTCCTCAAAGAATTTCAGAGCCTACAAATTCCATCATTGCCACTGCACTACGTGGCAATAGTCAGAATATCTAATCATATATTAAAATTTAGTAGATTTACAATCACTTCAGATCTATTATTAATAGAAAGAGAAAGGTTCTACAATATTCTTCTTCTTAATATTTTATAATGGAGATAGGTATCTTCAGGTAGTGCTAGAAAACTATATATTGAGAGGAAGTAGATGTAGTATATCCATTCCTATCTATATCACTAGATCACTAGACTAGATGGTAATAGAAATAAGCTCTTAAATATTAAAATTTAAATATTTCTTCACGGCTTCCTAGTTGCCATTTAATCTATTAGATGCCACTAAGCAGTGAGACGCAATATATTCATGGAAATACACTGTCGTCGCTTGATGGTATATTGGTTGAACTCTTCTTCCCTCGCCTCGGTCACTGTAAAACAATGTTCAGCACATATCCAATATTAGAGATACCAGCAAAGCTTCCCACTGGTACTACCGTCCTTCCGGTGTGTGGCTTCTGCGCGGTCAATACCTGGATGGGTGTCTCCAGGTGAGTTAGAGGGTGAAGCTGCTTTTTGGTCGCGCAACTAGGGGTGATTTGGTTGAGTGTATAATAGATAAGGTGAGTTACGACCTACTCAAGAGGGTGATTGCTTGAAAAGGGAAAAGGTGTTGCTCTAGGTGGATGAATTTAGGGCTTCGTCCACTTTGTGGTTAGTGCACATACGCTCCACGCCGTTCTATTCTGCTGCTCCACAAAATCTTCCTCTTTAGCCAACAAGTAGGAACACTCCGATGGCACACTAGCTCTGCTTACTCCATAAGTTACTACGATCCAAGTGTTTTGTTCCTCATCGATGCACCTGTGCGTATCTAAGCGGGCTTCCAAGATATTACCTGTATGTATGTGTAAAAGCTGTTGGGTGTAGGAATTAGGGGAGAACAAGAATGCAAAATTACAGGATCGTAATCCTTGCGGGCATTCGCTGAAATCTAACTTGGGTTGGTGCGACCTAGTATTACTGTGAACACAAAACACAACGCCACGCCTCACCACTCTGTACATGCCTTAGGGTCTTAACCTTTATAATTTAATGGAAACCCCGCTTTTCCTTGAACTCATCTCTATCTCTTATACTGCTCTGACTCGCCCTTCTCACTGCCAGCTCCCCAGAGACCTAGTGCACCGAGTGCGTAGAGCACGTAGGACGACATAATAAGGGAAATCTCGTCGTGACTTAAAAAGATTAGGTTTCTGTTGGAACAGCTCCTTCCCACAAACATTTGCAATACTTAACCCTTTTGGCCGGCCAGGGAGGATTTATATGTTTTCGTAGAAATGCCTAGTTAGTGAACCGGATGTTTGTATTCCATCACCCGGTCCTTCAGTGAGAGATTGGGATTCCAAATACAGAGAAAGCATTTCGTGGGTGGGTCTGTTGGTGACTTAACCTGGACAGATTTTTGCTTGACACAGAGCAATCTCGGTCTCGCCCTTCACCGAGTGCCGCGTTCTAACTTGGTCATTTACTCCTTACACTTTCGCTTGCGTTCGTTGACAGTATCCTGAGATGCACGAACCGCCAGGAGGCCTGTACGGTCAATTCGGGTTAATTAACGCACTTAATATACAGGCGAATCTCACAAAGTCGCCCTGAGACCCCGTTTTGCGGACGACATCGATATCGACGTCCACCTCGTAATGTTGGATAAAGTTACGGGTATCTGAGTGCTGCAATACAATATTTTAGAAGCGTCTGCAACTCCTTCTATTTACTAGTTTAGCAATCCGGCCAGCCCGAGAACCTCGTAAGACTCACCACTGCTGTTAAAGCCCTTGCCTCCATCATATCGAAGAAGGTACGGCTTGGTGACCTGTTTAAAGCCCTCCGGGTCATACTTCTTGCTGGCGGCCTGCAACGCAGCCTTAGCCTTCTTCCCGTATCCATCGACTGGATTCTGCCTAGCATCGGCATAGTTCAGGTACTTAAAAGAGCGAAACACGCCGGTGGCCTTCGTAATCTGCTCAATCGAGCCAAGCAAGCCTTCGATGGTCTTGCGCATCAAGGGGCTATCGCTTTCGTTGGGGAAGAATCGATCAGAAGAACAATATTTAGACGCCCATCCGTCGTATCCAGGCCTAAACTGATTTTTCCATTTAGGGCAGCGGTGGGTTGTATTGTTAGGTACCAGTTCATGCCTTTGATGGAAGAGATCGATAAAGTAGACGTTCTGAACTCAGATGTAATTGATCCGTAGACAGAAGGATTATGAGCAAAAGATGCAGTGTAGTACAGTGTACTAATGTTTGACATTAGCCCATCAGACCATGATCAGGAGAGGAAAAAACCGGTGGAACTTACAAATAACCAGGGACCTGGTAACTGTCTTCCTCGATCACAAAGTCTGACATGTTTGACGTACGGAGGGTGCTGTAGAGAACGGTTGTGTTGTCAACGAAAGGCTGAAAGATAGACGGATGAGGCTCCGGCTTAGTATGCAACAGGATGTCAGTAACAAACAAAGAAGGCTGGTGGGAGGTTCAGCCATAGGACTGAACCATATCTGCATGGGGGTCGAAGTTCTTTGGCTCCATAAAACTAGAGTAGCCTTCCAGCTGACGCGGAATTCTCAGTGTGGGCCATAAAGCCTCCCCAAATTTTGGTGTACCAGTGCGCCTTCATAGTGATCTCGTAACGACACCAAAATTATTCGATCCACCTTTTAGGGCAACAAAAAAATCCGGGTGCGAATCCTCGGTAACAGTAATAATCTCGCCGCTTGCTAGAACAATCTCATACTCTAGTACTTCGTCGCAGCCCCATCCTACAGCGGGACTAAGTGCGGCGATGCCACCTCTGGTGAGGAATCCACCTGCGCCAATGGAGGCGTCTCGTCCTCCAGCGACGGTTATATGCAAGGGATCTCACACCCTGTAGACCTGGAGTCATGAGGTCCCTGATTCAGTCTGCACTGTCGAGAGATCTTGGCTCAACTTCACGTCGTGCATGGCACGGAGATCAATGGTCACTCCGTCCTGAATATTGGCAGCCCCGGCGGAAAGCATGTGTCCGTTACTACGAATAGCAAACTTTTCGCCGGACTCACGGTGGGTGCTCGCCATAGTCACAACAATAGTCGACACATCTTGGGCGTTGTAGGGCCGAACCACGCAGGCCGGCCGCAGGTTTTGCTCTTGGAAACTGAAGTATGAGAAGACTGATTGATTGTACATGGAAGTAAGTGGAGTATGGACTTTGCCTTCTAGCAAGGAAGCTAACCGATCACAGGAGGGCTGACGCTGGGCATGGTTAGAGTGTTGCTATGGAACAATTGTGCGAGGTTGCGCTCAGAAGAGGCTAGCGTTGCAATGTCAAGGCATTGGGCTGGGCTTATCTCATGATAATAGATTCTGGACCCAGGAAGATTTTTCGTGATTGTTTATAATTCCCTATTCCGGTTTATGCGTTTATTTAGGTCAGAGACTCTTTTGTTCCTTACATTTAGTACGAACTTCGCGAGTCCCGCCAAATAGATCTGCCAATCATCCTTGCCTCCACTCAAACCAGAAAGGCCAGGCGGGCACAGTTAGCAGTTCTCCTGTAGCCATAATATAACCGCGGCCAAGACCGCCATGATCTTACGGTCCAAGAAAAGTGTGGCCATGTAGGAAGGATGTTCTAACTGGCTTACAATGTCGCAGGAAGGCCACTGGTCCAATGATACCTCGCCTTTCATAACCAGCCAATCAATTTAGGGGCCCTTTGGCGCGCAAGTTTGGTACCAACCTCCCTGTAAATCATTTCAACCTGCAAATCCCTCTTGTTGTGGAATTCAGGGGAAGTGATGCGCAGGAAGCTATTCTATCAGCTACAGGCCAACTAGCCGAACCAGGAAGTAGATGTCATTCAGTGGAAACACCAGGAATCGCAGTATCTCAACCAAGTGAACCTACTAAACGGTTCCCTATACTCTCATTGAGGTGTTCAACTATCTAAAGGATTCAGGGGTTGAACCGGTCGTCAGATACTCCGTACCGCTAAGTCGGGCAGGTTATATTGTTTCCGTAACAGCTCTCAAAGGGAACTTGCCAAGCTCAAGCTGATCTACAATATGCCACCATGGAATTCATCAATAACAAGTCCAACCAACAGCACCAAGTGGTTGTTCTTACCTTGAGACTACTGGAAAAAAGGTAAAAGGCAACGTAAACGAGAAGAGGAAGCTGTGTTGATTGAGGACGATCCAAAATTAGGAGAATGCGTGCGCCCCCTACAGGAGGTTCCTAAGACCTAAGGTTAAAGCAAGTCACTGCCGCGCATGGGATTGCATGCCTGGGCAGCGCACTGGGAAGCCAGTTATCCGGTCCTACTATCGCTTCGGTTTGAAAGTAATTTCTCTGGACGTTCCAGTACGGATTTGTCTCTTTTCTTCTACCCATCAAACAGTTAAACCCGACTGATCGATGTCCCTAGAAATTTAGTTCATATTGAATACTATCATATCAGTTGACTAGAGCGACTTCTCCCAGATCTATCTACCTTAGCTCGAGATGGCCTCCTAAAGATGGACGGCTGGATTGCCTTCCACCAGAGAGCGAATTCTCCAGGGAGTCATCCGCAAAAGCAATTTAAGATCAGTTTCGTTATGGAGGATGGGTCTTTATATCAGCTGCTATGAGCGGTTGTAACTGCTATGGAAACACTATGTCTGCCCGACTTGGCGGTGCGGAGTATCTGGCGATCGATTCAACCCCTGAATCCTTTAGATAGTTGAGCACCTAGATGGGAATGCAAGAGAGTTGGTGAGATACTGTGATTCCTGATGTTTCCACTGAATGACATCAACTTCCTAGTTCGGCTAGTTGGCCTGTAGCTGATAGAATAGCTTCCTGCGCATCACTTCCCCTGAATTCCACAAAAGTAATCGCAATTAGCTGCACAGTTTCAGCTGCGGCGGGGTAGCGTCCGCTAATGCAGAACATCGTATTAGGAACAAGATCTGCAGATCTAGTCAATACATTCATGCTACTATGACTGGCTCATTCAAGTGATTTGGGGTTACCTCTTGAGAGGGGACACAGGTCAGCCAACTTTCCTGCATTTCATACCGTTAGCCCTACAATCTCCACTCTGACGTGGCTCTCGGATCAGTGACAGGATTGCCCACTTCCCCACCTATGTTAATAGCTCCCTAATCTGCATTTGTCTCAGATTGCGGAGTGGACTAACTGTAGGTGAATTGCATGCGACGGCATGAAACTTACAAGGCAATACTTGTCGCTGATCATGTCATGTTGATCCGCCATTCTTCCCCGGGCCGTAGGTCGGAGCGCCCTTATGTACTAAGGGCCGGGCCAGAAGACGTTACTGGGTCCTTGTTGGAAGCATGAAGAGTCTGGGATTCGGGGGTATGGCGGCACCCGCGAACTAGACTAAATAGTTAGTTACATACAGATTCTAAGACAGTACAGAACCCGGACCTGGAGGAGAGGGATAACCGATGTTCTAACAGGCCTTCTAAGTTACATGATTTTAGTACGGGGCCCTCCGACCTGTGTACTCTGTCTTCCCTGACCCTGCTCCCCTAGCTTCGGTTCTGGAAATAATTTACTTCCAGGCTGGAACGTCCTCACTTCACTTTTCGGTCCTTTTCATGTCGTTTCAGGGAATCGGCGTGTGATAGCGCGCGTTACCAGTACATGCACCGAATCCCAATATATCTCCTGCATCCAGCTCGCTCTTGTGACCGCGTTTTTAATATAGGTAATTAGTGGGGAGCGCATTAAGGAGCTCAATCAATATTCAAGGGTCTCCGCCACATATGCGACAGCCAAACATGAACCTTGTCAAGCAATTTCTGATCCATGCCGCGGCGCTGAACTTGTCGGCTAGCGTTGGTGACGCCAGGAGCTGCATTGTCAGCTGTAGTTGAGGTAGTATTGCATAGAGGCAATGACATGCATGATTTTATCGCGGAGATCGGTATATTGAATAACCAAATCCTTTGCGAGTCAATTCAGGTTCGCTAAATGCTATTTCACTAGATACCACAACTAACTATGCATATAGCCGTACTCCATTCAAAGTATTCATAGGTTCCAAGGACTTTACCGAGAAGATTTACTGGGAAAATAGTCCTCTGCGTATAACTATGAAAAAGCTTGAGTTGAGCCCTTTTTCATCATGCATGGTAGCTTGATGCTTCGCCACTTGATCCGCTCTTGCCGAGAGACCACAAGTGGCCGTGGCCTGATGTAACTAGTGAGCATTCCCCTCGGGCTTCTTGCCTCCACTCTCTTGTCCAACTCACTATTTTGACTAAGCCGGTGCGAGTCGACATGGATTGGATGAAAAATATACGTAAACAAGGGAATCATAACAGCCGTCCCGATCTGCCGTGTTCTAAGACATGGCAGATCGGGAGTGACAAAGTAGGCTAGCAAGCACGACAGCTGCGCCATGAGTTGACTGTAGAGCTACCGAGGAAGCAATTCCTCCTAGAACATACAGATGGGTGCACATGCTCCTCCACAGTGGCAAGGAAGTAATCGAATTGGTTGCGTAATCACCGAGGATGGAAGTCCGATCCGCCTTAGACCATATTGAGGATTGAAATGGTATAAAAACCCTTGGTGTACCTCTGGGATAGATGCCAGAACACAATATCTATTCATCGGTTTTCTATCCATTTACCCACAAATCCTTCTTCATTCTTCATCATGACTGTCACAACCTCCGGCCCTGAGTTCCATAACCATGACTTTGAATTCGCTACTAGAAGTCTCGTCCTCACTCCTGAAGATCCCATAATCCTCAACTCCAACTCTGACATTGTCTGGGATACTGGCGCTTACGACTTCCTCCAAGCTGAGTGTCCCGGCACTGCGAACCCATCTCTATGGAGACAGGGGCAGCTCTGCAGCGTTCAAGCGGGGCTGTACATAGTTACTGAGGCTATTGTTAATGATAAAAAGTATCGTATTTACCAAGTGCGAGGCTTCGATCTTGCCAACATGAGCATTGTACAAATTCCGGATTCGAATGGAATCATCATTATTGACTGCTTGACCTCGGTTGAGACGGCGAAAAGAGCTATTGACCTCTACCAGAAGCACCATCACGAACTTTATGGGACAAAGGCAGATATCAAGGCCCTCCTCTACACGCATTGCCATGCGGACCATTTTGGCGGCGCCCAGGCTGTCAGGGAAAAAGCGGACCGTGATCTTCAAATTATCGGCCCGGACGGCTTCCTCGAACATGCCGTCAGTGAGAATGTGTACGCCGGCGCGGCTATGTCCCGCCGATCCATCTATATGTATGGCGAAGCCTTAGAGAAAAGCCCCTCAGGACAGATTGGCTGTGGACTTGGGCAGGCTTTGTCCACTGGGAGCAGTTCACTGGTGCCACCAACGCGGAACATCACCCACGACGGTCCTCTCGACTTGGGTTTTAAACAACTAGAAATCAACTGCCAGCTGACCCCAGGAACAGAAGCACCTGCGGAGGTGAATTTCTATTTTCCCCAATACAAAGCGCTCTGCATGGCAGAGAATGCCACCCATACCTTGCACAACATCCAGACATTGCGAGGTGCCCCTGTCCGTGATGCACGACTGTGGTCTCGATACCTCGATGAGTCAATTTCTCTGTTCGGTGATAAGACAGATGTGGTGTTTGCTAGCCACCACTGGCCTACATGGAATGTATCGGATGGCAACCCGAAGGACGAGAGCCTCGTGGTCACCTTTTTGGCTGAACAACGCGATTACTACGCCTATCTTCACAATGAATCGCTGCGGCAGCTCAATGACGGCAAGTTACCTGGAGAAATCGCTGAGGATATCCAAATGCCGCCAACACTGAAGGTGCGGTCTAATCTCCGTGGCTATTATGGCTCGATCAATCACAATGTGAAGGGCGTCTACGACAAATACATGGGTTGGTTCGATGGCAACCCCGCCAACCTCTGGCCGCTCGCCCCCGCAGACGAAGCAACTGAGTTTGTCAAATGCATGGGTGGCAGCGAAGCCGTTATCAGAAACGCCGATGATTATGTCAGGAAGAAAAACTACCGATTCGCCGCTACTCTCCTGAACAAGGTCATCTTTGCAGATGCCACCAACCAGGCCGCAAAGGACGCGCTGGCGTCAGTCTACACGGCATTGGGACAGGGCGCGGAGAACGGGACCTGGCGTAATATCTACCTGACCGGTGCCCTTGAGCTGCAAAATGGGCCTCAAAAGGCAGTCAACACAATGACGACAGATTCATTGCTGGCTCTCAATTTTGACGAATTGTTCGACACAATGGCGATCCTCATAGAGGGGCCAAGGGCATATCTTCAACCGAAATTGACTATTGACTTTTACGTGGAAGACATGCAACAATTGAAATCCCGGGGCGCCGGCTGGCATTTGAGGTTGAGCAACGGTGCCTTGACCGGACATGCCATCCCATACATTCCAGCTCCCTCGAAGCGAACCACCGAAGGCCCTCTTAAGGTTTGGCTTTCGCATAAGCAACTTGTGACGCTTATTGGACTTGCGGACTCGGGTAAGCCTAGCAGCGTTGAACCGTTTATAACATCTGGCAGTGTGGAGATTTGGAAGACAATCACGTCCTTCATCAAGTTGCCGAACCTAGCGTTCAATATTGTCACTCCCTAGTTACAGTCCTCATGAATTGAGGCCGCACTCGGTTGCCTTTATCAGTACGTTTGGCACTTACATAAGTATTACCCCCTCCAACGATCATGTTAGTTATCTTAGATTATTCTCTATGTAATGCCGAGCCCTTTTCTTCCGTGCTCCGTATCTCCATAATTCATGATCTAAATCTCGATGTTTCGATTATATTTCTCATGACTCTCATCGTCTCACGGCCTCAGCGTGCGAAGCGCGTGTTTTTCCAGTACCCTGTGACAGGGGTAGCCCAGAAAACCCTCCAATGTGGACTAGTGTGCCTTGGGAGTTAGGGTTCGAGATACAATCGGAGTATAGTATAGCTGGTGACACCAGTACCGAGACAACCTGTACCTGCTTGATTACTGGGTTTTACGACACACTAGATGCTGTAAATCCAGTGTGTATGTACCCAGGAAGCTGACTCGCCAGAGCTAAAAGAATATCAAAATCCTCCATTAAGGGGCCCTAATATAGCTAGTTATTCCCTAACAGGTGCCCTTCTTGCTTGCTTTAGTGTCTTGTTTTTCCTACTGGATTAGGCCTATACTACTATACCGCAGACCTAATAGTGCTGGGAAGCTGTTGCCAGCAGGACAGCCAAACTACAGGCTTCAGACTCGATGCAATGCAGTCGATTTTAACCTTTGGGCACGCATCGTAGATAGCCCCTTTTAAAGCTATAAAGGTTTACTGCCGTACTTTAAAGGGCCGAGATGAAGATATATTTTAACCTTCCATGGTATTAACAGCCCGATTTATAATATGTCTGTGTCGGCCAGTAGCCTGGACTAAAAGTATTTACTAAATAAACCAAATTATTAAGGGTCGCATAGAAGAGATTAGGGGTGAAAGCTGTGCAAAATCCGAACGAGGACTCGCCATCGGTGTGACAGCCAAGCAACACGATAATATTGGCGCTATCTAACGAGAATTTCAAGCGTAGAGAGGACGAAGAAAGTGGTGAGGTGCGAGGGGTAGCCCTCGCACCGCGTACCCCCCTACACTTCCACAGGGGGTCGGCTACACTTAAACGCATTTTACACTTAACAAGCAAATCAACGTGGAAACCGACTATGCAGCGTCTGGATCCTGCTCAGTATGATGCTTTATATAAGTATATTAATTGTTTTGGCGACCCGGACGCTCCGTCAAATATTAGCAATGTTCGACAGCTGCTGATGTAATTTTTAGACAAAGCCATGTTAGTTGCTAATCCTTCAAAATCACCCTTAATAGTCTTTAAAAACTGGGCATATCGCTTTATGAAGCGGAGTTCTTAATAAGCCAAGGGTTCCCAGAAAGGCGCGTAATTGGGGTGGAGCGACATAAAGCAAAGGATATTGAGAAGATCACACACTTTTATAATCAGCTGCGGCATACAACTGAGGCATATAAAATTGATGACCAAGATATCTAGAATTTTGATAAAACTGGCTTCCGAATTGGCCAAGGTCGAATCGAGTCAATTATTACTAGGTATCCCAAAACAAAATAACTCAGTCACAAGCGTGTCAGCCCATACGCTCGTGAGTGTGATTAAATGCGTTAATTCTATCGGAGATTCAATTCCACCATTGTTATTCCAGGTTAGGTACTATTTAATAGTGAGATCGCTGCCCAGTACCCTGTCCAGGAAAATACCAGATTATCGTAACAGCGGGGCCCGTATTTCTTGCCTATTATAGCTTGATGATAGAAAAACATCAGAATTCGGGATACGATAACTCACTCCTGGCGCCTTGGCTAGCGCTCAGCATCATTCCCCTGAGTCGCTTCTATTCCTTTGGATAGAAGAGAGAAGAAGAGATACTATGAAGCGCTCAAGACACTGGTGGGGAGGTTTCCCTATTAAGGTGCCCTTAGGAGAGGCCAAATCTAATTCCAAGTTTCACAGTATCCTGTACCTCCTGTCTGTTTGGGATTCGTTCTCCCAATAACATATCAATGCTTATTTTATTAATTCAATCAAGTCTCAATCAAGTTACACTTGTTCATATCGTTTCAGGGCTGACTGCGCGCGAAGCGGACGTCTTCCCGTTGTTTTGTGCGGCTTGTCTGAAATACCCTAACCTTAATAGGGTTGGTTTGTGGATTACAGCCACTGAATCTTGGACTTCATTCGTTGATCCGGTAATCCCCTGCCACTTTGGTTGGTGGACCAAAATAGACCAATTACATCCATTGAAAGCGAAATTGATTCCTCCTCCCTCCAATAAGCTGGGTTATATTTTTGCTGATAATACTCTAATTAAAGCAAATCATACAATAAGCAATTCTTTGGCTGAGCCTTCCAAACCTGCCTGAGAATTAGTTTCCTATGCTATGCTAATGTGAGTGTGAATAATATGCGAGGCCGATAATTATAATATTCTATGCATTATTCACCGAGTATTTTCTTTGTCAGTTGCGGAATCTTCTTCTATCACTCCCTGGGCTACTGTCCATAAGGGATCTAAAGACTCAGTATACATCTAGTGGTCAGATATCCTCTCTAATGAAACAACCCTACTACCATAATCTCCCTCAAACACATACTGCAATCCCATGTTCATCAGCGTCAATCCCGAATACTGCCCCTCACCATCAACACTGTACAGCGCGTCGGGCTCCAATCCCTGCAACCTGATCCTCGGTGCAGCGTGATTAACATTTGGCGCAAGCTGAAAAACGAACAACACCGCTTGCGTCCCATCCTGGCTAATGAACAACACAGCAGGCCAATTCGTCTCCTCAGCCAGTCTGAGTCGATACATATCACCTTTCAAAACCACCGGTGCCACCCTTTCCGCTAGGGCAATCAACGGCGGCAATTCCGCCTTTTCATCCTCGTGTAGCTCTTCCGGGTTCAGTTCGAGCCCGAACGACCCGCCCATCATGGCGACATGCGCACGGAAACTTACGGGAATGGAGCGCCCGGTTTGGTGGTTCGGTACGGCGGAGATATGCGCCCCCATTGCGCTGGGTGGGTATGCAAGTGACGTGCCTAGTTGGATGGAGATTCGTTCCACGGCGTCTGTATCATCCGAGGTCCAGATCTGAGGGAAATACTGCAGGATTCCGGCGTCGAACCGTCCGCCGCCTGAGGCGCAGCCTTCCCAGAGGACATGTGGGAACCGACGCGTAAGGGTGTCGAGGACACGGTAGATACCTAGGAGATAGGCGTGGTCGGCGGCCGGCGAAGGGGTTTCGTGCATGGCGCGGTTGTGGTCCCATTTGATGTAGGTGATGTCAGCGGAGGTGAGGATAGTAGAGACGGTCTCGATGATGAAGTCTTGGACTTCGCGCAGGGCGACGTTGAGGATGAGTTGGTTGCGACGCTCTGTGCGAGGGTATGGTCCTGCGTGTAGGACCCAGTCAGGGTGGTCGTGGTACAGGGTTGAGTTGGGGTTGACCATCTCCGGCTCGATCCAGATGCCGAAACGAAGGTTGGTGGAGGAGTTGGCGGCCTTAAGCTGAGTAATATTGGATACTAGGGGTTGCAGACCGTTGGGGAACCGCTCAGGATTGGGCACCCAGTCGCCGAGTCCCGCGTTGTCTGATACACGAGGGTATTCGTCGCCGAACCAGCCGTCGTCCATGACGAAGAGTTTGGCGCCCAGGTCGGCCGATTTCTGCGCTAGGCGGTAGATGCTGCTCTGGTTGTAGTCGAAGTAGACGCCTTCCCAGCTGTTGAGCAGTACGGGACGGTTGTCGGTAGCAAACTGGCTCCTGATGAGATGGTTGCGGTAGAGTCGGTGCAGAGAGCGCGACATGCCGCCGATGCCGTCTTTTGAGTATACCGAGACACATTCTGGGGAGGTGAGGGTCTCTCCAGGGCCTAATGGCCAGGACAGCTGGTTACGATTGAAGCCCAGTAGGGCACGGGTCAGGCCCTGAGAACCTCTCTCGACATCAACGGCGAAAGAACCCGTGTAGACCAGCGAGAACCCCCAGGACTCGCCCTGAGACTCAGTCGTGGATGGACGTACCAATGAGAGGAATGGGTTATGGAGATGGGACGAGAAGCCCGTCGTACTCCCGAATCTAACCAGTCAATATCACCTATACTAGACAAACATAACGAGAGAACTGACCCTTGCGTCCCATACTCGACCCTTCGTCTCTCTCGACGAGCCTCCCTAGCCCAATCGCCCCGAAGACCGATCATCTCCAGATCCTCATACGGCAGGTCAACGCTCAAACTAGCCAACGCCTCGACAGTGATATTCCCATCCCCCTTGTTAGTAACACTAGCACTGCGCACAATGGCATCATACTTCGGAAAAATCGAGTAGGTCAGATCCGCTGCCACGTTGCTGTAATCATCATACAGATGGATAATTAAGCTGGTCACATCATCCTCGCTACCAAAAGTGGCCGGCAATCCAGGAAGCTCAGGTTTTCCCGCAACCACAGTATGCGACTGATACCGCAGATCACTGACGGTGTATCCTTCCGACTGTCGTATACGAATAGCAGGCACACGGAAATCCCCTCGACCCTGATCGGGAAACTCACGACGGACACGACCGATCATCCCAACCCAGCCATTAACTTCAGGCTCTGGGTCTGTGGGGATTGCGCCCGTGATGCTTCCTCCGAAGTGATCGGATAGGAGGTCACCGGTGGTGGTATCAACATGGAAGCGGTAGGAAACATGGTCGCCGTTCAAAGTAAAAGTATTTCCTTCCACAATGACAGCTAGAAGGATTAGAAACGGGGAATATGATGGCGAGATCAAACTCACGGCTTGTTTGGGAGACCCCCTGAGCCATAACACTCTCGCGGCCCAGGATAGTCAGGAGGCCCACCACATAGATCGAGAGAGTGGGCATCTTGTCTAGAGAGGTGTGAACAGGATGAAATCTGTCTCTTTAATTCTCAAGTGTAGGAGAGGATTGGTATTTATATCCCCGAAAATCGCCCGTATCCCCACATCATTAGGGTTTCTCAAGGCGGAGGAATGTCGGGGAATACCCACCAACTATCGACGGAGGTGGGATCAATAGCTGGTTACCATTCGCTTTATTTTTTAAGGAAAACTGAGAAAAACCTACTAAGACCAATAATTTACTCCCTACTCGGTTTTCATTTGCCACCAGCCTTTCTAGGTAAGTAAAATATGATAGTTGCAAGTTAATTATCCACAGAATACGAATGAACCATGACTCAACAGAGTACCTAGACTATATACAGTACTCCCTCCACTTCCAACATGGCCAATCGATGCGTTCTTAACCACAGTATCCGTACTCTCTGGGTAATCAGGGACCAGCTCATTTGAAGCACCATAATCAGTAATATAGAGACAGACGCCCACCTCGCTAACGAATCTTGGTTCGTCCAACACAACCCCAAACACACGGTACAGCTTTTGTAGCATATCCCGGGCGCCGAAGATCGAGTTGGACTTTCTTGAGGAGAGACCAGGTGTGGAGCGGGCGGTTCATCCCGGACAAATAGCGTATGAAGAGCATCAATGGGGAAGTCGTTGCCGTGGCAACGAAGTGCGTTAGGATGGGCAGGGAAAATAGCGGACCAGGCGCTGGATTCGGAGATGTAGAAGTCGAAATGGAGGGTCTTTGTTGGCGGTAGATGGGCTATCAGCGCAGCTGTGAAGAGACGGACGATACTCTCGAGAAGAGCCGGAGCGATATCATCGCTGACAGCTAATGAACGTAGTATAGAAAAGGTATTGCTGGTCGGGTTCAACATCCTCAGGAATGTTGGTGACCGGTCACGCTGAGATCGCTACGAGAGAGTCGAAAAGCGAAATCAAGAACGAAACCGCCTCAGCGAATTACTGATTCAACTGCTGGCAGATTTGCAGTTCCGATGCTAGCTAGAGTCGAGGCCGGAGGAACTCCCTCGTCTACATCCATTGTGTAGTGCAGCGAATTTAGAGCCCCGTCGAGCCCGGGAGCATTTGAAAAGCTGCCCAGTGTTATATTCTGGCCAATCTGGCCCTGGTTTCGGACATGTTCGATGTCGATTTCAAGCGCTTCTAGATAGAGCTCGCAGGAAACCCCCTCAGCATCCGGTTCCGTGGAATACCTATTATTGCTGCGACTGCGACTGCTGGAGAAGGAGCAGTTGAAATACAACCAGTCGGGAGCCGCACCGGCCTGCGTGTACTCATCATACCCTTCAATACCCCACACGATAGCTGTGAGAGCGAAGGAGAATACAACATCCCAGGGGAGACTCATAACCAGGACGGAAGGACTGTGGAATCAGGGAACGTGGATTGTGGGCCTCCACACTGTGTTGCAGCTTCCGACACAGGCAAAGGCATCGGACGGACAGTAGGAATAAATCTCAAACAAGAGTTTTACTTCATCATTCCAAAAGCCCTGCTAGAGGTAGTCTCGTAAATTCTCAACTCGACAGTTTGTAGACCTTGATGGGCACCTGACGGACAGGCGCTGGGGTCCAGTCAGGCCCGACGTATTCTTCTAGGACAACAGGATGGTCTAGATGTTCACAGTACTAGTGCCGTTTTTGCCAGCTTGGATCAGTGGAAGTGTCGGACAAGTTTATTTTTTATATTTCGATGAAACAAACCGGAAGGTGGAGTGGGGAAGTATAATTTGGCCTTTTTCTTGATGGGACATGTTGATTTTCTTTGATCGAGAATAGACAAATAATAATCCAATAATGAGATATAAATAAGCTTTTTTTGGTACTCTTTTTTGTTTTATTTTTTTCAAGAAATAAGGAGTCAAAGCCTTTGCATGATCATAAATAGAAGCAGGGATCCGTGCACCTGAGTGGCTCAGCCGAACTGCGCATCTCCAAACCTCACTTCCACCTCAACCCCGCCTCAACAACACCACCAACAGAACATGCCATCACCATGTCCAGTCTCCTCAAGTCGCGCTGGGCGCCTCTCCCTGAGGAGACAAAGACAACAACGACATGCCCCTCCCCTTCAAAGCCGTCTTCCTCTCCCGTTTCTTACTCCACGCTCCTGTCCCCAGCGCAGGAGCTCGCCCGGTTCATGAAGATTGTCGCGCGATTGAAATGGAAACTCCCCTGCCTCGAAGAGGGCTACCGACTCGCCACGCTTCCCACCTCACACGGCGTTGACGTCGACGTCGCACATGCCGAAATAATGTTCAAGATCGATTTCCACGAATACTACGCGCTGTTGGAGCGTGCGATCGTTCATCTGCTGGGCGTGTTTGGGGTCATGGTTACACGGACTGGTTCTTCGGGAACGCGGAACACAGGCCAGGGTGTGCAGTGGGTTCGACCGCCATCGCAATCGCATCGGTATCATGCGAATGTGCTGAGAGCATTGCAGGAGGAACGTAGTCCGTTGCATTCGGTGCTTGGGAAGGGCGTGGTGTTTGAGCAGTTGAAGAAGGCGAAGGAATTGAGGAATCGGTGGAAAACGGCAGATATGGTGGAGAATGAGAATGGTGGCGATGGGGGTTCGTCTCAGATGGAGCAGCTCGTCCCGTTGGAGAGGTACGATGTCGATAAGATCTTGATGGATGTCTTTGGAGGCTTGGAAGAGGGGTATCTGCTTGCGCAGGCGCATGTGGCCAGGACGGAGGGGATGACCAAGGTCGAGAATGAGGGGGGCTGGGATTTTATTGTAGATGCGATGGACTGGGAGGCTGTATAGTTGTGTACTTTCTTGGAGTGCCTGCATATAGGTTTGGCATCTTGCATATTTAATGTAGCATAGCTGGGAGGATACCCATCACTTGATTATTCTCATTATTTATATCATATCTATTTCATAAATCAAATCTACTTTAGGGGTGTGAAGATCTCTATATCTACGAACTCATCGAAGCCTTCCGTTCACATCCACCAGCTCAACCAAGCTATTCGAGTCATCATGTTGTGATCTGGACGCATAATTGACCGAGTAGCTTACGGATTTGGAAATCCTGCTGTTGCCCGCCGAAGTTTCCTTGTTGTACCAATTCGATGGTCCAGTCGCGTACGTTCGCCCGGTAGCAGTGCCCAGGGTGTTAGGGAAGATATGACTGATCAGGGCTCGGGATGCAGGAAGACAGGCGCACATAACGGCAATCTGAGTTTCGATCACAGACCAGTGGATAAGAGGATACAATTCCGCGGTCTGGTTCTGGCCCCATCGGTTATTCCAGAACACGACGACGCGGATGATAGCGATGATGGTCAGGCTGACACAAATTAGCATGATAATTGAATACGGAGAAGGATTCCTACACTGAGCCCATCACAAACATCAATCCCACGGCGATCTTCTTCCGTAAGGGGAGCTGCAGCTTGCTCACTTCGTACACGGGCAATAGTATCAAAGCTGCGTCCACGATAATATTCACCAGACAATTGACTAAGATTGCAACGATGAAGTTGATGCATTGTTCGGGCTCCTCGTTCTTCCATCCATCCCATAACAGATGTGTTGGGATGCACCGTAGCGAATCCACAAACGCCCAGGTTATGCCGATAGCGGCATTGAGGCAGATAAGAGCATGTGCCAGATAGCGGAACGTGCGCGATTGGAAGATCCGCAGCAGAAACAGACATACAGAGATCTTTGCAAGGGAGATTTGGATCTTGTACATAACAGCGAAGGCCTCAAAGTACTGCTCGGGAGTTAATACGCTAGCCATTGGGTATGCTTCGGGACTGACCTTGTAGAACTGGGTGATGGTTGGAAAGGGAATTTCCCAAATATCCTGGCCAAAGCCACATCGGATCACTGAATGGTTAGTATAGATCTATTCTCCAGTCGACGGAGTCACTTACTGTAGATATTGAGAACATATAGAGCCACTCCAATTACCTACAACTGGTTAGTGTCTGTATAATAAAGAGGGAGAGACGACTCACATATGCACCAATTATAGTGTAGTCATCTGATCCCCAACCGCCAGCGAGGCCCAGACTTTTAGCGACAATCCTGACCAAAAAGAAGAGCGAACTCAGAATTAGAGGCGCAAGTGTCGAGCCACTGATCTCGGCCGGACCCTTGCGAGGTTTGATGTCGCATTCCCGCTCTGCTAATCGGCGAGTAACTAGGACGGTTAGCTAGGTGGATCTATGGCTATCTACATAAGTACATACTGAACAATTCTTTTGTCGTGCAGTTACTCGTCACACAGTTCAGCAGGGGAGCGCGAAGCCAGTCGCCAGCGCAGAAGCATGTCGAGTTGTTTATGGAGCAATCGGAGAACAGATGACCTTCACATGCAATCTGATACACCGAGAATTAGCAGTGACATAATTGTCAGACTGAATTCGAACATACTGCACACGGAGGGTAAGCGTTTGGATCAGGGTGCGCCGCTTGTAGCCCGACTGCCAGAGTCAGGATAGTCAACAGACTGTAGCGAAGTTTCATTATATTAACCGGATGACCCAAGAGTAAAGCATCTCAGAATTGAACTGTTCGAGGTCCCCAAGGTTGAAACTAGGGGTCCAGCAGGGTTTTCTCCTTCACCAGCCATAACCCTGTTTTTACCGACCCGGAAGGGATCCGGTATGGCTCTCCACCATGGAGAATTATCCTGATTGGGAAATCTGAAACTACACTAGATAGGATAAGCTCATCTAATATGATTGTGCCTCAGCTGAGGGATACCCAGCGTCCTGTCAGCCAGAGCATCTGCTAGATATCCCGATCGATCGGGCTCCATTATCAGGTTTGGGTCGGGTGAAACCAAGGCAATGAACACACGAGAACTAATCTTGGCGCCCACTGATGCCAAACCAGATCCGCAATGGAAACCTTGCCTCGGGTTCCGGTGGCCTTCTAGATTGCTCGGTGGGGATCTGTCTAATATATTTGGATTATGAAATATGACAAAATTCCAATTCCCAATTGATGACATCCGTGTTGGCTCCTATGTCACTTTCAATCAATCCAATTTCCGATCTGAGACTAGTACCTGTTCCTTTTTTCTTTTGTTTGCTTTTCGTTTTCTTTCTGTCTTTCTTTTTCTTTGGGGGGGGGACCTTTTACCTAAGCCGTAGAAAATAAGGGTCCCGGACACGGACTGCAAAGTGGAGTGCACACACATGGCTGTGTTCACCGAGTCTCGGACCATGGTACTGAATAAAGACCAGGATCAGAACGGGATGGTCGCTGTCGAGCTTTGTTAAGAAACAAGGCAGCAGTTAATTTGTAAGTACATATAATGTGATTTGAATCCTGTTGTCAGGCCTTATTTTGTCAATGTTGAATTACCTAGCGTCCTCCAACAGTCCGGTAGTTGCAGGCGATGTCGGCATGCCAATCCAGCAGCAGGTTCATGGACCGGCCTCCGACTAGTTGCCCACGTATATTACCTTTTCCTACTTTTGTCGTACAGTTATCGATAGAGTAAGACTTGTTGTTCGGAAATGCGGTTTCCAGGTGAAATGCCTGTCAGAGCCTTGGTAAATATGTTTACAGCATGATAGTGCAGTAATGAAACCTATTGCTGGTACCTCTGCGGCTTATTCTTGGAAATATCATAGTAAATAAACGCCATCAGAATTACCAGTCGATCTAATTTTCAGCTTCTGGTTCATGTCTGTCGCGGGTTTGTTTATACTTTAGAGAGCATGGAAGCCAAGAAGCGAAGAGGAAGAGATCCGCTTACTTAATATATTAGTCATCAACAATACACGTGTGATGATGCAACGGAATGGTTTACTACTCGATTCTTGCCTGATACGTGGAAAATGGAGACAGCCGCAACGACACAGGCTCCTTTATCAGTACCTTCTTCTTAACCAGCCCCTGCAAGTGGATGATCCCCATATATCATGTCAAGTCTTGTGCCGAGTGACGCTACAGGTACTGGTATATTGGCACCTCAAATCCGATTGAGTTGCGAGCTATGCACCCAACGAAAGAAGCGTTGTGACAAGCTGGACCCATGCACATATTGTCGTAACCAGGGAACTGTATGCAAACCAGTGGTTCGGGCCCGGTTACCGCGCGGGAAGAGCCGTCCAAGTAAAGATGTGTGTCCGAGCAACCGGGACTTGAGAGCCCGCGTAGCAAGACTTGAACAAATTCTTCAAAATAAGGAAGAGAATGAGGCCAAGGAGCTTCCGTCTCCTAGGGATAGCTCTAAAGATGGCTCTGCGGCGAACCAAACGGCATCGCTCAATGAGCCTATGTCATTATCTGATTTAGCTCCAAGCGCGAATGGCTCAAGTAGCGAATCTGCACGCGTCCCTGCGGTGTCTCTATACTCAGACGGCCCCTCGCGTATCAAAGATAACTCTAGTGCCCAAAAGGACAATCGATATATTGGTGGCTCGTTTTGGGATGATATGATGCAGCAGGTAAGAGGATTTGAAAGCTTGTGTGGCAATGAAATGCGCTGAATGCACACAAGACGAACCGTGGCACCACCGATGGCCTCAGCTCAGAACAGAGTACTCTTTCACTCGGGGTATTGAGTCCAGCGGACTTCAATGAAATGCCCTGCGTTGATATCCAGGACTTCTCCTCTGTCCAGCTTCGTAGGAAGTTGAGCCAAGTATTCTTGTCCCAAATAGACCCAGTATTCAAAGTGATACACCAACCATCACTGAAGGCATATCTTCTGGACGGGATGCCGTATCTTGACTATGAACCAGGGCACAAGGCTCCGGAAACTCTTGCCTTTGCCGTTTACTATGCAGCCGTTTGCGTTCTCACCGAAGAGCAATGTATGTCACTTTTCCGCCAAAGCAAGTCTTCGGTGGTAGCAAAGTATAGGAGAGTGTGCGATGCGGCACTTGTGCGCGCAGATTTTATGACAACCAATGATTTGACTGTTCTTCAGGCTTTTATGATCTCACTGGTAAGCCTGCCATCTGCGAACGCTCTTGACTGTGGGACTGACATGCAAAGCTTGGTTATCGCCTCTTGGATCAAGGTCGGCGAGTTTGGACAATGATTAGCATGGCTCTTAGAGTTGGACAGGCCCTGTCACTGCATATTGTAAATCCCCCTTTTGTGATACGCCCACTTGAGCTCGAGTTACGCAGGCGTGTGTGGCATGCCATCGGCCTCCTTGACGCTCAGTCATCCCTGGACCGGGCCACCGAGCCAATGGTCCAACCCAGATGGCTCGAGTACAATACACCTGCCAACACCAACGACAGTGAGATTGATTTCCACAGTGATAAAAGCCCGCTGGAATTAGGTGGCTTTACGGACATGACATTTAATTTAGTCATTTCTGAGGCTCAGCGGGTCATGCGATGCCTCAACTTCTACCATACGATGGAGCGCCCTATAACAGACATGAAGGCTCGACAAGCGCTTGTGGTAGATTTCCAAAGGGCAGCAGAGACACTCGTCCGAGGATGCAACCCGAAAATAGATGCCTTTCACTGGTTCACCGTAAAGACGGCGGAGTGCCTCACTGCCTGCTTGCAACTAGCAGCATTGAGGCCGTTGCAACGTGATCCAATTTTTGTCCCCCCACAGATCAAGAACCACGGTCTTTTGAAGCTCTGTGTTGACGTTTTACAGAGGACTCGGGAGCTTTCTGATGACCGCCGCGCTGCCCCTTGGCGCTGGTTCCAGGACTTATGGGCTCCTTGGCACCCTCTTTCCGTCGCAATCGCTGAGCTCTGTGTTTGTGATGACCTCTCTGTTCTGTCAGCGTACTGGCCAGTGGTGGAGCATTCCTTTCGTGTGGTCGCACTTTCTGTGGCAGATTCCAAAGAAGGTATGCTGTGGAGACCAATCGATAAGCTTATGAAACAAGCCCAATCCAAGAGAGCTGCCATTTTGGCAAGAGAGATTCCACTACAGCCGATCACATCGGTTAATAGCCTGTTGAATGCACCAAATATTCCAGATCCTGCGTCTCCAGTTTCTTCCCTGATATCGCACCAAAATCAATCAACCTCCATACACGGTAGTATTCCTCCTGTGGACAACGTTACGTTAATGAATCATGGCCCTGGAGCATCCAGAGACATCTGGGATGTGATCGACTTTGGAGACTTCGGTGACGATCTAGGTGGAACATCCTGGTCCAGTTTCGCCGGGTTCCTTGATGATCTGCATGAGACGGATTATTCGATCCTAACTTTTGGATAATCAGGCTGCTACTGAGCGCTGGAAGCTCGTATATATGGTAGACCATGGACATTTGCAATTCACCTGGTCATTCTTATCCTGTCCCTGTTCACTGTTTTCTATGTTTATATACCCTTGGCACCCATACGGCGCCTATTTATATCGCGAAGTTAGTCTCAGATTTTAGCACTTCTTTCAGATATCTCATCTTACGAGCTACGATCATCTCCAATCAGGATACTTTGGGCCAATCCCATTGTACCACAACTTTGATAGCTGTCCGAATCCATGACAACGTATTACTTTCTCCTGTACTGTATCTTAAGCTAGTATTCTACTCGAAATATATCTTCTCACATCCCACCAACTCCAAAGTTGCGCTCTACGTCTATTCAGAGGTATGTATGTACTCATTGAGAATCCAGGTCTGGACGACTCGGCCAAAAAGGTTATGCATGCCTTTGGTAGATCTTAGAATTATACTCAATATATTCATAGGTATTCCTATGAGACCCATCTTTATTTTCCTTCTGTTCAAATCCATCGGCAGTTGTGGTCGATACTGTCCCTTATTGAGGACTAACCGGAAAGAAGAGTCTAAAACGGAGAGATAATGCAGTGCCGTTGGGAAACTGCGTATATTCGCTATTCATCGGAGCTTGCTTAGTATCGAGAAAATCCGGGGAAATTATTAAGTTTGTGAAGACGCTAGGCGGATATTCGGCTGCGCAGCCGACATCTAAGAGTGGTTCCGACGCCATCGGATGCGCGACAAAGCAGTCGGATGGACTTCGCTGAAGGATTCGCAGGATGTAGCGCTCACTCACACATCTCCACATTCTGGGTTGGAGTTTAGACACTCCTTAAGCTAGGGTATAAATTTCTCAGTACATCTGTCGATCGTACGGGCAATTGTCAATGTAATTCCCATGTGTTTGTCAAGAGAATACTTTTAGGTTCTGGAAGCATGTCTGAGAACCAGCAGCCAGTGTCGGAGAAGGGCCTCACCTACCAACGAAATGGGTTGTGTCCTGCCGACAATGCCCCCGGACACGGCCAGGTCGCGACAGACGAGTACGTGATGTAATCCACACTCTGGGGGAGTTGATTAACTCCGTCAGATATGGCCATTCCTTGATCCAAATCGACTGCAAAGCGGAGTCCAGACTGCGGATGAAAATCGACTTCTTCGTCGTTCCCACTGTGGCTCTGCTGTATCTTTTCTGCTTCATTGACCGTGCCAACATCGGTACATTAACCCGATTCACACCATATATGTAATATTTCCCGGATTCCCCGCTAATAAGCACAGGAAACGCCAAACTCGCGGGCTTCGAAGCCGACCTCCATCTAACCGGCAATGACTTCAACAGCGTCCTCTCCATATTCTTTATCCCCTACATTCTCTTGGAAATACCCTGCACGGTCGCCTGCAAATGGATCGGTCCAGGCTGGTTTATACCCGCCATCACGCTGGGATTCGGGATCTGTTCGCTCGGCACAGCCTTTGTGAATACCATCCACAGTGCCTCCGGCGTGCGGTTTCTCCTTGGCCTCTTCGAAGCAGGCATGCTCCCAGGGATAGCATACTACCTGTCACGATGGTATCGACGCAGCGAGCTTATTTTCCGTCTGTCATGCTACATCGTCATGACGCCGTTAGCCGGGGCATTCGGGGGACTTCTGGCCTCTGCAATTCTTAAGCTGGACCACTTCGGCAGCCTGCGACACTGGCGCATGATCTTCGCCATCGAAGGCATCATCACGATCGGACTGGCCATTGTCTCTTTCTTCACGCTCACCGATCGCCCCGAGTCCGCCCGCTGGCTAAACGCTGAGGAAAAGGCTCTCGCCATTGCGCGCGTGAAATCAGAACGCGTAGCCACCTCAGAGGTGCTCGATCGTCTCGACACGACAAAGATGCTACGTGGGATCCTCAACCCAGCTACCCTTGGTGCGGCACTCATGTTCTGTCTGAACCAAATCACCGTGCAAGGACTGGGGTTCTTCGCTCCCACGATCGTCAAGAACATCTACCCGGATTCCAGCGTTATCTCGCAGCAACTGCACACTGTACCGCCGTACGTAGTGGGCGCGTTCTTCACGTTACTGTTCCCGTTCCTCTCGTGGAGACTCGATCGTAGACTGGTGTTTGCATTGGTGTGTGCCCCGCTGATGATGATCGGGTATATTATGTTTCTTGCAACGACGGACAAGAAGACGCAGTATGGGGCTACATTCTTGATTGCCAGTGGATCGTTCACGTTCGGGGCTCTCTGTAACGCTATTGCGTCTGCGAGCGTGGTCTCCGATACTGCGAGGTCGGCTGCTATCGGGACCATGGGGTTGATTGGGAATATTGGCGGGTTGATTTCGACGTGGTCGTATCTGTCTAGAGACGCGCCGTTGTTTCATATTGGGAACGGGTTGAATTTGGCCTCGGCGTCGGCGACATTGCTTGTTGCTATTGCGTTGTTGACGTATATGAATTGGGATAATCGACGAAGGCAACGTCGTGATGTACACGGTGAACTGGAGGGATTGAGTCAGAAGGAGATCGAGGGTCTGGATTGGTGGCATCCAGCGTTTAGATGGAAGCCGTAGCCGTGTTGGTTTCGACCTAGAGTAATTGTAATATAGGTCTGTTGCCTTCAATATGATCTAATACGTATAAACTAATGCATGTTGGGATCGTCTGGAATAATCTCAAATAATAGTTGGAAAAGGAAAAGAAAGAAAACGAAGGAAGTGAAGGGGGATTTTATGCGCGATACATCAAAGTGTAGGAATGGAGAGACCCCCATGAAATTATTCAATGGGTCTAGGCTAGGATTGCTTGAAAAGATTAGCTTAATGCCCACATGGTAGATGCATATTATTCGATATTCCCCTTCCTAGATTCTTGCTTTAACTGCAACTCTAGGGCCAGATTATTTGTTCTGCACTAGGCCCTCCACCGGGTTAGAGAAACAAGCCGCGATTGGAGGTGAAAGGTACTATTCACAAGGAACTACAGGCGAGGATTTCAGTGAAGGACACACAACTATGGCCACATTCAAAGCCAACCATTCGTGTACCCAGCCTCGGATCATAGCGGACTCAAACCGCGGAGGGTCAAACCCATAAAAATAGACTCCAGGTCAACTGGTTTGCGCCAGATGGGCGATATTGGTCACTGACCGTCTATCAGCGTGTTGTATCACACTGTAGACCCGTCTTCATTGCTCAGATCGACCTCTAACTTAGTGTGAAGGTCTGACCAGTGACCCCGGTCAATGTGAACCCTTGTGACCAATATCGTCCCCAGACGTGGAGCCTATGAGGCTGTGAGATGGAGTAATTCAGTATTCTGGCTTTCACTTAGCCTGGAGCCAGGCTTCTGGAACTACCATCATGACTCTTCTCGCCGTCCAATAGAGTCTCCATAGAGATCAGCTCAGCTACCACTCACCACACTCAATGCCAGAATAATATGCTCCATAGTATCAAACCCTTGCTCCCGACATCTTCACCACGTGAGTACATACATGACCAAGAAGGCTAGATGCGAAATATTTGGTCATGGGCCGATATGTACAACTCACATTCAGTCTGGGAACGTCCAGCCTTGGAGAAGCTTAGAGAACTTAGATCTCAGCATCTAGGTGTAATTAGGTAAACTTCACTACCAAATGCCAGCAGTCATTCCGATGAACATGCCCCGCTGCCAGCCCATCATCCAGGTTGCAGAGGAGACTTTACTGTACAGCAGGTCTATTAGACCACTGACAAGACTCCGGGCTCATATGCAATCCATCATGGGAACACTTGAGACTACGAAGTAGATCACGGTTCAGAAGACCGAGCTGGGGGAGTTAAATAGTGCTCTCTAGGCGCTAGGTCTTTCGCTTAGTTGATCTCTTCCTAGATATTGAGAATAAAGCCAAGCGGATGGTTCTTATAGAGGCGATTACAACATATATACTGGTGGCTGATACGACAGGCTTCTAGAAACGGGGTTCAAACTGCAGGGCTCGTGTCGTTCCAGCGATTACTCCAAGATCAATGCGGTAGCGGCAGCCTCTGCAAACACCAATCACTCCCTAGAGCAAGATGGAGGCTCTCACCCAGAAGGGTTCTAGTGAGCCAACAAGCAGTTTCGTGACATTCTTGAGGGCTAGTGGATTATCCCACCCCACTTGTGTAGTTTGTAGCAAAATCCGGGGGGTCCCATAGACTGTGATGACCGTAGACTTGCCATTGCCATTGCTCTGCGAGCCGCCACAGGCCTACTATACTATATCCCAGCAGTCTAGCCCCTGAGGGCTTGAGTTCCTGACACGTATCACCGTCTTAGGATACAAGTGGTGTTGTGCGGTGGCTTCTTACCCATCCCGCTCATAGTCCCTCCGACTTCAATTGGTCTCGATCTGTGCGCGCAAGCGTTCCATGGTCCGAAAGTGATTTGGGAAGGGGTTTTTGTATGGAAACCATCAATCAGCCTGTTTCCCATACAGATAGACCAGTTAGCAGATTCAGCTATAATCGCCAGTTGCTGGCCATTCAGTCACGAATACGGCTACTTATGTGACCAGTTGGTCTTCCTGAAGCTTTAGGCTTTCTAGGCTATTGATCTATGTTGGCTGTTGGTACTGACATTCCTCTTCTCTTCGTCTCTTCGTCATGTCACCTGACAAGAGTGGATGCGCTGACATCTCCCATCCTAACATCTTTCTCTTCTTCTCTTCTTCTACGTCTTCTACGATTGAAATGAAACTACTTCGCCTCCTTACCTGACCGATGAATGTCATGTGTCGGTTCTCTAGTGTACAGGTTGAATAGAAAGGACATTTGATATGCAGAGAAACCAATAAAACACACTTGGTGAACTATGCTAGTTCTATCCATCAACCTAATCATCGCCAATAAGCTAACGATAGCATCTCCTCTGTGAATAAGGAAGTGGATGCAAATCAACCAAGCTCCATCGATCCTTTCCATGCCGAAAACGCCTATTACAAGTGCAGATAGGGCCAATAACCTTGCCGATTCTACATTTCTATTATCTAACGCCGTGTCTAAATAACAAGGCGATTATAAACATATTTGTTGAAAGAAAGTAGGAGACGAGTATGTGAGTTCCTTCTGAATTTTCTGATTTGATGACTCGGTGAGTTCTTTTTTTAAGCTGTCTAGGTCTAAAATCCTTGGTAGTATCGCCTTTCACCGATTATCCACAACTGGAGTACAAGCATCCATAGACCACTTAACCATATCATCTACAGATGGCACGAATTCTCTCCTTGAACAGCTGGGGCAAACGAAAATATCCTTGCTCTGGCCCCTGACTCGCAGCGGGAAGATCTCACCAATATGGCAAGTACTTGACCAGAAAATATGGTCGCTGACTCGCTATAGCCTTTTCAGGATTATTTAACTGTCTCCAACTCAGACCGGCCTGGTGCCGCTGCAATTTCCCCTAGCATCACCATAATATCCCATTTCCCAGATATCTGTGGATTAGCAACCTCCACATCGTGGACCTCGTGGTTCAGTTTCCATTAACGAATGAGAAACCATGCCAAGAATGCAACGTCGATGGCGATGGAAATACCATGGTAGTCCTCATGGCCTTGGCAAAACGACAGACGCACTAGCGTGACACTGCATAATAACGCCATCGAGAACCCTGTCAGGTATCGTCCACAGGTATCACCGACTTGCGGATCAAAGCAGTTGAGCTGCGGGGCTAGCCAGCGCAGTTTTCGGGAGATTTACAGCAAGCCAGCGGTGATATTGAAGGATTTGCTTATGCAGACGTGCTGGATACACTGACCAACCAGTAGAATCGCTCGCAATGACAACGACACTGATGTCCATGTTGTTGACGGTTCTACCTCGTAATTCCGCAGTCACTTCAATGCAATTAGTAAGAGCCAAGATTAACCAAAACAATCCCAGGTTTCAGAATGTTGCAATAAAGCATAAGTGCATGTGATCTGTAGCAGGATGGAAAGGAAGACAAACCAGCAGCATATCCACTCCCTATCAAGATCAATAGCAGGGTGCGTTCTCACCTTCGCCTATCTTCTTCCATTTGACACTTAGTATTAGTCAGGATAGAAGAGCCTTGACAATTCGCGAAGCAGTGCAGATCAAACAAATTTCCTCTTGACAAGGATGTTTTCCAAGTCTCCTCTTTTTTCCTCCCTTTTCCTCTCTCTCCATCTGAATTGCAACCTTCGCAGATCCTGTGGTTTACTTGCACCATCAGTAGTGCTGTCACAAACACTAACCATCTTCCATGCAGATCGGCATCAAAGTCATGTCCCAATTTCCGTACTCTGTAGATCCTCGGAGGGCTTCCACCACCTATGCCGAGGTCTGTACTATGCTCGATACACAGATATACAGAGTACATACACTCGTTGCGCATAGCCTTGTCAATAAGAAAAAACTGGAAGTGATCGACAGCATTCCCTAACAGCTGTGTATATGTAACCTGAACCACTTCTGAAGACCTGGTAAAGACCCGCAAATCAGACGTGGCAGATTAATCACCCACACGCCGCCAAGCTAACGACGGTTTACGGACGATGAGCTTGATCCACGCAGCCTTAAGGCTTTACGATTGATTAGATACTGACCCCACGGCGGAGTCCGGTGCAAGCATGTTTGCTCAGCACACTAGCAATCCTAGTCATTTGCCCTGTCTCTCCTTTAATCAGTTGTGTCGTTGCCCTCAGCGGAATTAGGGCCGCATTATCGGCAGATACTCCTCCTACCTCTTCTTGGGCTGACAACCGAAGCCCTTATCCCGTCCCTTGTCTAAATGGTGTCCTTCCGTATATTCCTCTGCAGACGGGTCACGTTTCACCCTTGTCGGGAGTTGCTGAAAAATAGATGCCGTCCTATTTGGAGGTCTAGGGCAGCCTACCCTAATTTATTTCTGCTAAATCAGTGTCCACGAATCTCCTCTACTCTTGGCCTTCTGGGGTTGGAGGGGAAGATATAAAGCCGGCTTCGTAGATGAAGGGGTCTGATCATCCATCGAAGATTCCTATCTTCATTATCAGCTCTACTTACTGCCAGGTTTACTCCACATCATGGTTCGATTTGGTCCCACTTTTGTAGCAGGCTTAGCTGGCCTTGCTAGTATTGCAGCTGCCCACCCCGGCCATGATGTTAAGGCTGAGGCCGCAGAGCGTGCTGCCTTCCTCAAGCGTGCTCCCCTTCACAGTCGCGGCCTTAGTCATTGCACGGAGAAATTGCATGCTCGCGGACATGAGGCCAGCAACGTCGCCCGTCGTGAGCTTACCGTTGAGAAGTTACGTCATCGCAGAGGCTTGCGTCCCCGTATGCTCATCGAACTTCATCTTTTGGAGACGTAGCAAATTAATACAGTCCAGGCGCCCTATACCCTAGAGCGAGGGACTTCGACGCGACTATCCCTATACCCACCTCCCACCACTCCTCCCTGGATGTTGACCAGACTGTCGACCCTGCAGTCCTATTCGGGTCCAACGCAACTTGCATCCTTGGACCTGATACTACAGAGGGTCCATATTGTTTGTTCTGTCTTTGTTCCATGTACTATAGTCTCCACTGATGCGTTCTAGATGTCTCCGGCGAGCTGATCCGCAAGGATGTCTCAGAGGAGCAGGCAGGTGTTCCCCTCTATCTGGACTTCCAGATTATCGACACCAGCACCTGTGATCCGCTCCCGAACATCTATCTGGACATCTGGCACTGCAACGCAACTGTATGCTCCAAAGCCGCTGACCATATTTAGATATAAATGTAAATAAAAGCTAAATAATTTAGGGTGTCTACTCTGGCGTACTCGCCCGTGGAAACGGCGACAGCAACGATGTCTCCCTCCTGGACGCTACCTTCCTGCGTGGTATCCAGAAGACTGACAAAACCGGTGTCGTGCAATTTGAGTCCATTTTCCCTGGCCACTACACCGGTCGTACCCATCATATCCACGGTAAGAGAGAGAGTACACTTAACTCAAAATACACAAAATAGGGCCAACCAGGCCATCTATAAAAACTTACTAATATGGTTCTACAGTCCTCTCCCACCCCGGCAACAGCACCACGGTTAACCCGAACGGCACAATCTCCGGCTTGTTCAACCCACATGCCTCCTACGTCGGCCAGACCTTCTTCGACCAGGACCTGATCTACAAAGTTGAGGCACTCGATACCTACGCTGCCAACAAGCAGCCTCTGACCACAAACGATGAGGACGGCATTCTCGCTGGGGAAGCCAAGGTCATTGATCCTTTCATGCAATACGTGTATCTTGGTGACCGTATCGAAGATGGTCTTTTTGCTTGGATCTCCCTGGGTATTGATGCCTCTAGGGAGAGCAACGTCCGGGCTGGTGCTTACTACACCGAGAACGGTGGTGTTGAGGACAACTTACCTGGCGGCGGCCCTCCCCCTGCCTAGATGACATCTGTTTATCACGCAATGTAGTCCAGGTAGTGTAGATACTACTTTGCGCTGTATCCAGAGAAAAGGACGAGGGAAATATAGGTAGTTGACAATGATGATGAACTTACGATTAGTTATTTCTTACTCAATAGAGCTGCCATGCTTTTTTTTCCAGGTATCCAAAAGTAACGCGGTGTTTACTAACGTACTATGTGCCTCGAAGATAAGTTGATACATTAACTAGCTCTTTCTATCTCAGAATATACCGTCCACATTCGATACCGTGAACCTATTGGTAAAGGGAAGAAGTAACTATATCACTTGAGAATATACCCCCTGCACTATATTAATCACTGAAGTCAGACCACAACCCCCAAAACTTTTATATCCCACTTCTATAAATTCTATCACCATCCATACATACAATACAATAAACATACCTAACCAGCCGCATAAGGACTCATCCTCCTCAACTTCTCCCCAAACGTCCACAAAAAGATCGGCGCCGGAATCCCCAACGCAATAGACATAAACGCCAACAAACTATTCCCCCACCCATACTCCAGTTTATTATACATATACGGTGCGAAAAGCGGGAATCCGAAGCCCGCCAGAGACCGCAGACACGCAGCCGCTGCGAGAGCGCTCGCCGCGAACCTCGTATACGCATCTACCATGTAAGTCTGGATGCATTGGAAGGTAACGATGTTGCCCATGCCGAAGAGTAGGGCGCCGATGTTAGGCGCGATCCAGTGGTGATGGGTCTGGGCCGTCCAGCCATAGATGAAGAGACCGCCGGGAGTAAGGATGGCGGATAAAGATAGGAGGGGGACACGGAACTCTGGGCGGCCGGTGTTGTTGTTCCGGGCCTTTAAACGGCCGTAGATGCGGTCGTTGAGAGGGGCGCAGACTTGGGATCCGAACCAGAATCCGAGGCCCAGCGAGATGTAGTTCAGGCAGCCGATGCCGGTGGATTCGTTGTAGTATTTGGGACTGGTCCAGAGAGCAGGGAATGTGGAGAGGACGAAGTACATGGTACCGTAGGTAAAAGCCTAGATGGGGGGAATGATTAGAGAGAGCCTTTTTTTAAACTAACTGTTGGATAAAAGGGTGTGTTCGTACCATGTAAGTCGCCATAACTTGTATGATGGGCTGAGTAGAGATGAGACGGAACGGACGGATAAGTGCTGCACGGAGAACTTGGAGAAGGGTTTTATTTTGTCGCTCAGCTTCTGTTTGGAATGATGCATCGCCAGTTTCTTTGCGAATGGCTTTGGCTCGTGCTCGGAGGATTTTGGGGCCGTATGTTTCTTGAAGGAAGAAAAGCCCAGCCACTTGGATGACTCCGTCTACGATTGAGGTAGCATAGAATACCCAACGCCAAGTGGTGTTTTCAGAGATGAAACCTCCAGCAACGGGACCGGCAGCTGGACCGAGAAGAGGGGCCAGACTGTAGATGGCAACGCTTTTACCACGTTGTTCCGGCTTAAAGCAGTCTGAGAGAACACCGCCACCGATCTATAAGTGGTTAGATATGGCTTCCATTCTTTAAGGTTATAAAGATAATGATAGCCTACAGCCAACGGAGCGCTGCCGCCCAGGCCGGCCAGAAATCGAAAGACGATCATCTGCGCCTTGTTCTGGGCGACACCGCATGCAATGTTAAACACTAGATAGAACAGATTGGCGAGTTGAAGGACAATGACTCGACCGTATATTTCAGACAGTGGCCCAAGAAAGAGCGGGCCCACTGCATACGCCAAGACAAAGATGGACAGGGTGAGTTGTGATATAACCTCGTCTTGGATGTTAAAGTCTGCTCGAATAGATGGCAAAGCCGGCGCAACCATGGACGACGAAACTGGCGATATGAACGTAAAAAGGGAGACTGTGATAACGGAAGCCCATTTCTTCTTCATCGGCCAATTCTTGGGATTCTCTGGATCATCAGGGCCTTTCCATGTGACCTACCCGATTACTTAGTTTTGTATACATAATTCGAGACCTGCGCAACCCTAAATACATACCAATTTTGCATCTTGGTGTGATCTGTCAGACCTCGCTGTTCGCGACTTCTCCAGACCAGATGGAACCTGGTCACCTTTTTCCAGGTCCCGGTCTCGTTCGTTCACTATCCTACCTTGGACTTCAATAGTTGTCTTAACTCTATCCTCGCTACTATCTGCCGAGGAGCCATCCAGTTCCGGATCACTGTCGTCATATGCGGCATCATCACTGTGATAAATGGACTGGTCGTCCAGATGCCGACCAGAATATATTCTATCAATGTGCCTAGCGCTCTGAAGTGATCTTGATCTTGATCTTGTTTTCACCGACTCTCTATTCTGGGGACGTTGTGATTCAGGCCGTGATATAAGTGATTCCGAATCAGTACTAGAGAGGGACGTCGAGTGTAATATGATAGAGCCAGTTCTCGATGGCTCAGGATTCTGCGACATGGCCGCCGGCTACTGCTCAAGTACTCATGGAGGATAAAAGACACTATAAAGTCAAAAAATCACACAGGGGTAGGGGATAAATAAACAACATGAACAAGGGAACCAGAGAGTTTATATCATTGCAAACTGCCCGAGCTTTCCCCCCGAAGGGGGACTGGGGGGAATTTGGCAGGCTTACGCATTGTCCTAAAGCATCGGTGATAGGCAGTACGAGGCGCTTAATACCGACAGTGGGGCATCATTTCTAAGAGTTTTTGGACCCAGTCACGGCAATTGGTGCAAATAAAAGCTTGACAGAGAATTATCCCTATGGCTATGAGATAGGGATGCCAGTGGAGAGTTGGAGTTGACGATGTGGAGGCGAAGAGAATCTCGGGTCTTCGGCACGCTTGGTCACGTGGTGATTATCGACAAACAGGGCCTCTGCCAATCGTGGGCTTCGTTTCTAAATTATCCTATGCAGGCATAACATGGCCGGATCGGAAAGGCAGTCAGTGTTGTGCTCACTTGGTCAATCAATGCAGCGGTGCCTTGAAGATATCGTTGGGCCTCAGGCCTGGCTCAGAATTTGATCAGTCTGTGTATGACCTATCTCAAGCTAGATATTAGGTGTTAGAATTGGTGTTGCATCTCCTGAGAGTGATGTGGTATTCCTGGCGTCTGGTTATGCTGCTTGATTATAGTGGGACAGGAAAACAGCATAAAGTAGAAGCAATTATGCTATTTGTAAGTTTCTCTCGTGTTTCTATTGTTTTCTCTTCAATCCCAACTCAGAAGAAAAGACACATAGAAAATGCTACAAAGCAGTTGATTGGCAATCAGCATCTTGTCTGCACACAAAACAAGGATTAAATGGCCATCCACTAATACCTGTCCTTTACCCACCTGCACACCGCTCCTCTGGATGGATCACAAAGAAGCCAGTACAGACACATATTCCATGGAACGACATGACACAAACCGAGTATATTATCACGATCTAATGATATTTTGCCTCTATACCATTCTCAGGCACTGTTCAAAATATCTCTCGACTCGGTCCATGCTACCTGAAGCAGCAATCGTCCCAACGTAGCCATCGAGCGGACGATAGATAAAGCTCCTTGCTTATATCCACCTGATATATACTGTACGATCGTGCAGCCACTGTGGAAACAGATTTCCGAGTGCCTCCTCAGCTCCGAGGCACATCACGCAAGGTGAAAACCTGAGTAAGGAGACGATGGATCACTTGCTCAACCACGGATTTGGGAAAGCGAGGAAGAACAGAGAATCCAAGAATCATTAATGTCTTCGCGGATGTACATTACCCCGAGGGTCTAAAAGATCCAACGAGGTCAGACAAAGAATCCGAAGCGACTAGTCGAAGGGAATTCTGCAATGATTTATCAGCTCAGCAATACCCCGCCAACAAAGTATCAATAGATATATCATCATGGAAGGGAAAGTGCATTTTATCAGCATGTCTCGACCTGCACATCGAGTAACCTTCTTCACGGTTGAAGAACACCGAGCAAATAATCTATCCTGTGAATGAGATCATAGTAGTCTGTATCTTGTTCTTCTCTACAATCGGATTCACACTGTATTCGATGCCACAGCCAGAAGTAACCCCATTTCCCGTGCTGAAAACTTTAAAAATGAGCCTAATTAGCCTTTCGACGCCATCTTCGGTTGAACCGATCTCCTGAGAACGTGGATCAAGCAGTATCAGTCAATCAGTCCCTGGGATACAGTATTTCACTCCAGGTAATATGTTCACACTCATGAAGGCGGTTGCTAAAGCGGTGGCTTTATGGTTGAGAACCAGTCTTTGCCAGGGAATGTGGTCATATGCAGGTGATTGTGCAGAGCCACCGGCTTGTAATGAATAAGGCTTCGAGAGAGATAATGGAGTGGGTATGCTAAATCGTGATATGCTGAGATCTACCTATACAGCTTATCAAATATATTCGACTGTGATGTTGTACATATCATAAATGTCGTTTTCCGACCCACCGACTGTAAGCTCCATTACGCCAACTGAGTCGACGTTGCCAGAGCCCAAGTTCTTCAACGCCGATCAAAAAATCCATGTATAAAAAACTTCTCTCCAAGAAGATAAATGCAGACAAAATAATCGAGATCAAGGCATTCAGATGTCGTTCATGCACAATAGCGTTGTAGTGCCTCAATCGTTGTCGTCCTGCAACAATACTTTGAGTTTCTCTAACTTATCCTCACATTTGACTTCCATTTTCATAACGACATCCACACTCTCTTTCTTTGTAATGAGAAGCTGGGACACTAGCCAAAAGTTGTAGCCATTCTTATAGAAGCCCATGGAGGCCCATTCATGGCTGGAAACAGTATTGCGCAGCGCCACCCAGTGGTCCCGCCAGCGAGAGAGCGCTGTACGTATCCCAGTCAGCGTCAAGTTATCCGGAAGTTCAGACGGCCGGTATTTGCTGGTCGCTGGCACACCAGAAATGTTCTTAGAAAGAGAGGCTCGAGTATTTCGGAGCAGAGTGGCCAGCAGTGTCATATGGGTGTTGGTAAAAGCATAGAGAACTTGAGAAGTTGGAGAAGTTAGACCACCATACATACACCTGATGCACCTTAACTTACTATGGATTAGAATGAACATGTCCAGCACAGTCAGCCCAGCCATAATAGATGAGAAAGGTGAATTTTGCTTGGTAGAAGGCGAGGCTTGACTGCCGGAGTCATCAAACAGGCCTTGAAAAGTTTCTAAAACATTAAATTCTCGCGAGAGTTGGAAATCCGGTTCTCTAAATGGATGCGCTGAATTGAATACTGATTCGGCACTCGGAAAGTCGCATTCCATTTCGGTATGTGACAAACGACATGGGTAGTTTTGAAAGAACGAAAAAGCGCAGTCAATGAGCGAGATATAACACATGGTGCTGAAAGGTTATTAGTCCACCTGCGCAGAAAAGTGAAGGGTAGGACAAACCCACCGAATACGACACTCGTTTTGGATCCACAAATGCTCATGATTACGTTCCTCAGGCTGATGTCGACATCTGAGAAGATCGATTCTACGTGCAACCTACTCATCCATCAACCACTGGATCTACATGCCGCTAGACAGGTGTAGAAATACCTTAACAACCTCACTGAATCGGTTCTCCATCGCCCGATTTCGAGACATGAGGCTCCCAGCCCAGTACTGGACGATTAGTATGATGTACCCGGCCTGAAAGTTCTGCAACTGAAGCCAGTCGTTGCTTTCACCATTGGTATTTCGATTACCACAGAAGACTGCGCCAATCTCACTCTCGAATGAAAAAATATCACTGGAAAACACCAAAAGTTCGGCGAAGTCTACTAGGCGCTTTGCGACATGCACCTCTTTCTCGTTGTCGGAATACATGGCACCCATGAATGCGACAGCAACCAGTAGTGAAAGCGAGACTGTGTCCGGATCAAATGTTGGTCGATGTAGTATTGGACAGTTTGGTTGCCAGTACTTGAAATACATCGAAATGAACTTCCGAATGCGCGCCGTTGTGAGCAAAAAGTTGAGGTGCGTTGCAATTTCCTCTTGTGCAGTGGGGTCAAGGGGAATTGACCAAACCCTCCCCAAGATAGCCTGAACCGCTTCTGTCGCAAATGGTCTTTCCGGTTCGTAAGCAGGGGTCTGTTCAGAGAATACAAGCCAGGGGTCCTGCGTTGGAATCACCGTCTGGTAGGGTATGCCCCCTGTATATGGACTGCCAAGTGATTTGCACGGATCTCCAAAGGGCCCGTTGAATAATTCAAGAAAAGTATCCTGGAAAAAGGATAGTGCCTCAGGGTCAAAATCAAAGACTGCCGGGACAAAGTCGGATTGGTCATCCTTCATTGGGTAGCCTGTACTTGGGCGTCCGGTTTCCCCCAAACCCTTTTGGGTATGGTACTCAAGGCCACGAGCTCGATCACTGCAAGGAGGAAGGAGGAATTGCTCCGTGAAGCTATCTGTGCCGCCATTCAAAAGAAACCTTATCGATCCACGATCCGAAGGAGGTTCATCATCTTCCCCTTTGGCTGTCGTAGAATCTACAGGTGTGAGCGAATGGTCCATGGACCGAGTAGTCTCACCGGAAGGGCTGGCTACAATTGCTTCATTTTCCTCGAAACTACGGCCTTTAGCCTGATTTTTCCGCTCATTATTGCATAGTAGGTTTCTTTTCTGACAGGAATAGCATGGGCTTAAGCCATCGCACCGAAGTTTCATCGAAGTGCACTAATCGAGGGTAACCCATTAGGAGGCTGGTGTTATTCCGGGATGAGGAATGAACTTGCCGATTGACATGCATGACGCCGTCTACCTCGTTGTCCAGTTTCAGGAATCCTTCGGTCCCCCCGTCGAGTGCAGTCGGAGTAGTGGTCACGCAGATTGTCGCTGACATTCCAAGGAATGGTCAACATGAAGGGAAGAGGCAATAAATAAGGACGGAAGTAGAACCAGGAGCTAAGAATGCCGACTCACCAACGCGCAAACGATTCATTGCAAAAGACACACGAATAAGGTTTCACGCCAGAATCTGCAGAACCAATTCAGGGGGTCAGCTAATAAGAAACAACATCAATGGTTGGAAGATCTGGCAGCATTAAACAGTGATCTCGTAAATGGGAGAGCTAGAAAACAGAGGAAGAAAGCGGATAAACAGAGGGTCAGAAATAAAGCATGCGTAGACAAAAATAAGATGAGAAGGCTGCAGGACACGTACGTTGCAGATGATGACGTTTCAGGTGATCGATGCGAGTGAAACCCCGCTGGCAGATATTACAGCAGAAGTGCTTGGTGGAGGTGGGTTTCATAACGAGAAGCAACACTCTCACTCATCTCATCGGGGGATTGGGGAGAGGGGGGAAGGATTTTAGGTACAAGAAGAGAGAGAGAGAAAGATTACTGAGTAGGAGGGGAGATGCTGCGATAGACGGTTGTATTAAAACAAAGCTAAGGTAGGTGAGCTATTCAGGGGTGGCAAAAAAGTCAAAGCTTACTACTGAAGAGGACGATGAACCATTGAGATAAGATGGAGGAACACAGAAGATTTAGTCCATTTGTTAGGATCCAGAAGAGCCCCGGCGATCTGTGCTTTTTCAGGCCTGGAGAATCATGACAATTTGGAACTGGTACGGTCCATACAAATACACAAGTACATTCAGTACCATTTAGGAGTTCGGTGGGTTGTGAGAACCGTAATAAACCACTGTACGAGTATCATCCCGTCTTGGCAGCGGGTCCTGGAAAGGTGGTCTTTCCGTTTAATACTCCAGATCAGGTAACCCTCCAAGCTCCGTAGGCACTTACCTAGGTAGTATGGAACCTAGTAGGGGTGCTTCTGAAGAAGATGCTGCAAAAGTTATCGGTCTGGGCAATGGGCGAGGGATATATGTTCAGTGCGTACCGGATCCAGCGAGCCAACCTGTTTAAGACGCCGGTATACTCTGACCAATAGCGATGTATATACAATTGTTTATTAATAGATGTCTTGCCCTAACAGTATGTTTCATGGCAATAAAGGACTCTCTAATTCAGTACATGGATTCTAATATACAAGCCATTAACTAGTGGAAGCTACCAGAGTAAGTTTCCTTCCGTGCCAGCTCCTGCAGTTATTTTCTTTGTAGTTTAAGTGGCTGGAGACGATCACAGAATACTCCCAAAGAAAACTGAGTTTAGAATCCTCGCAATCTAGTAGAGAACCCGCAGCCTTTAGAAGAGAGGTTTCAAGTACAGTCTTTTCTTTTTATTGCATATGAGATATTGAAGAGATATCGGACGGTTAGTTTACCAAAATAATAGAATTATCTATATAGACATAGACTAGGTATAACAGCAATTTTTACGGCAAACAGATTCCAAGAAGGTAACTTGCGAAATATAAATTCTAGAGCTTATAGCCTTTAGTAGCCGGAACAGCAGAAAAATTCCATACTTAATCTACAATATTATTTTTTTTTTTTTTTTTTAACAATTATTATAGAAAGCCTGTGCCGTACGTGTTGCAGAGGATTAATTATGGGGAGCACAGCTACCAAGGAACAACGCTTCCAGTACAATGGTGGTTCTTAGCCACATACAAATACCCACTTTTTACCAAATAGGGGAGTAGAAAGCACTTTCTATAATTCATAGTCAGACAAAGACCCAAGAATAATACTATTGGTTAGTTTTATTCTAATTCCAAAATTGTACTGTACTTACGATACAATTATTAGATCCAAGAAATATTCGCCGATAAGTGTGCTTGACAGATATCAATAAAACTTCTTTGAGTCCTATTGTAATGCAGTTATTGATTTAGACACTACCCAGAGCTTATAGATATTTGAGTTTAATAATAACTTAATGTCACGTTGTTAATCCCACTACTGAAGATCATGTTTAATGAGGTTGAACCAAGCAACTCAATAATAACCTCTTAATGCACCCGGTCTACCAAGATTAGACGGCTATAAAGGCTGTAACTCTATAATAAAAGCCTATGCTATTAATTATATCCATTCTCCATACTATGCAGCGCTTATATTAGTCCATATTCTACCCAAGTCTAGTCCAAATCACTGTTTAGACGATACATTTCATGGATAGCTGCCTTCTATGCAGTATGCGCCATTCCACTGCAAGAAAATTAATACTGAGCTCCACTATCGACTGCACAAACAGACTTACTCCTTGTCAACTCACAAGCTCCACGTTCGTGCCAACTCGAGCCCCTCCGCGAGCGCAACAACCCGAGTCTCGATCGCGAAACCGTCCCTCTCGAGCCTCTTCAAGTCTGAGAAAAGTGTTTTCAGAGGCAGCGTAAAAACCTCGATGAACTCTTCCTCCTCCAACTCTGCTTTCGGGGATTGGTTTTCCGCCAGAGACAGGTCCACCTCCACATACGCTAGAATGAAGTTATTGTTACAGAACCCGGGAGCTACTCACGTTAGCTCTTCCTTTTCTCATCTCTCTTTCTTTCCTTTTCTTTCCTACTCCATAGATAGAGTAGATATCAAGGTAAATAATACTCACAATTAAACAAAATTTTACTAGTCCTATCCACAACTCCCACATATCCGGTTTCTTCTTTGAGTTCTCGCACCGCGCACTGCTCGACACTTTCTCCGGGGTCTATCAGTCCCCCCGGGATCTCGATGACCACTTTATCCAGAGCAGGTCGGTATTGTTTTAGGAGGATGAGCTCCGGACCTGTGGTGGACTTGTTGATCGTGGCTACTATACTGACTCGGTCGATCTCACTATTGGGCGGTCGAGTCTGGCGCGGATCAGTCACATACTATTCTTCTTCTCTTTATGACATGGGAAAATTTGAGATAGGGAGTTGAAATTCACCTGCATCTCGGCAGACTCCCAGGTTCTTTGGACTCCATTTGGGTCGAGATATGTTGTCTTTACGAGTCTTTTCCATTCGGCGTCTTTGGTATCCTGTTTTACTTTGTTAGTATATTTCAGGATATTAGGCTACTAGGTCACAGGGGGCAGTGCGTACCAGGATGCACCGCGACAGGACTTGAGGCTTGGCGTATTTGAAATCAGGCATGGTGGTTGCTGCGTTGGGATAACTTGGTTTCATGTATGCAGATCGATGTCTGATACTAGTTTTGTTGGGGCGATGACCCCGTGGTGGTCTTCGGTGGGGCATCCGTGTCGTTCGTGGTTCGACAGTACACAACTACAGGGCTAAGGCAAGTATGTAGGCTTGTAGGTTACTATGTTTCTAGCTTATTTATCTTCATTACTGTGGTATTATAGGAAAGCAAGCGGATAAAGTGCATTCCATGTCTAATAAACCCGTGTCAACCTTCCCACATTTGTATATCTTATAGGGGCAGTGGTATTGTCTGCTTACTTTTGTGCAAACGAATTTATCCATCCCACTAGGGCCACTCAATTTAAATATTGCTTGTATAGATATCCGAACAGAACTAATCCTCTTATCAGTCTGGTTCCTCTGTGCAAGAGAAGGGATAAGAAACCTACATCCGTACTCGAGCATACGATTGTCCCAACGAAAGTATCACGCTTTCCCTACGTTGTACACTGGAAGTCATTTGAAATGGATGTTCGTGAGAGTCAAGTTGCTTTATGCGACAAATAGCCCCGCTTGACTATGTCAAAAGTAGAGCCATACCGGATATTCGTTGCAAAGAGTCGGGTTCTTCTGTCTATAGCACTGAGTGACTTCGATCGCCCAATCCACGTTGTTAGCATACATCTTGTTAAAGGTGATGTTGGAGATTGTTCCAAAACCACCGCCGCCCTGGTCTTCAGATATGGCGGAGTCGATGCCAGGCCACACCTTGATGCGAGCCATGTCCTGTCGAGTGTCAGAGAAATCTGTTCTATTACTGGATCTAGGATGAGTCTTGTGTGAATGCATTTTGCATGGAGACATTGTACGAGGATATTCTTCACGATGTCAACTTCTTTGTATTGGCCTAGAGAGCCGACGGAAATACCGTGAGAGCCATTGCAGTGCAGGTTCTAGATTAGAATGTCCATGCTAATGGGTTTTAATGAGATACAGTCTGGGAATTATTAGTATCCCATCTTTCACTCTTCTGTAAGTAAAGCAACCATCACCGTTGTTTATCACCGAGTTCTGGATGACAATGTTCTCCGAGCGATACGTGTCCCTGATCCCGTCGGACCGAGTCAAATACCCTGACATGAATACATAGAGAGAGAAAGAGAAAGAGAACTCACTATCTATCTGTATTCTTCGCCTCATTCTTACTACAACTATACCCCGAAATATCAATACCATCAAATAGAACATCCTGCGAATTAGCCATCAACTGATACCACTGCGGCGAATACCTCAATTTCAAGGGCCCGATTGTGCCCCCCTCTTCAATCCAGTAATCCGGACCAAAATAGGTCTCAAGATCAGCTTATCCTTCACAAAAAGATCATACCAGACCTAGCCATTTCCATCCAACGTGCCACCGCCATGCACGTTGACGTTCTCTCCTCCCAGCTGGAATAAAGTTGTCATGTTCTGGAATGTGCGCTTAAAGAGTTTTCCTGCAAGTAATCCGTATGGTTCGTGAATTGAATTTAGCCAAGATCTCTGTATACACGTCAATCGTTCTTATTTACGCTATCCGGGGTTGAATTAGAAAAATCTACCTAGTTCGATGTTCCTGAGAAAGGTCAAGTCCAACGCTGTGCCGATAGTGTATTCCTTGTCAGCGTCGAATGCAACCTTCCTGCCTTGGCTACACGTTTTAATAGCAGTTAGAATGATAGAGGAGTCGTCGCTCCAGTCACCTTTGCTCGGGACATGACAGGTTCTTAATCGGTTGAAGCTGATGGGATGAGTCGGAATGGACGGTTCGGATTGCATGCATTGTTCCCTGGAGCGGAGAAGCCACAATGACTCCCAGAGACAGAAGAAGGCCCACTATCTAGGCTAAATTGTAAGTAAACCTCATCGTAGCGTGTGGAGATTAATAGCTACAGAGGTAGTTTAATGCACAAGGTGTTCAAGGTTTTCGAGTAATGAATATCACATTGTGCGAAGGGAACAGGGTTGCGCCAGTGAATTTTTATGTTTTCTTTATCCATCTTGGTATCGTTTATATATCCCGGATGAGCATTGACTAGTCGTCGTTCCCCAGTTGGTGGTTCCTCTGGAGGATATTTGCCCGTGTTTCTGCAGGCGTCATTATCAGGCGACATAGAAGTGGAGCAAATATGTGGAGAGAGAGTTGTGGAGCTTGTCATCGAATTTTTTGAGAAGGTACTTGGAGGATATCGGGATATGAGGGATAACTTCATGGCGGCCGAATCGCTCGATTGGGTGGAAAATTGTGCTGATCGAATATGGATAGCCCCGATATTACATGGTTAGTCGGCTATATTCTCAATTGATCTTGTGGCATGCATAACGGAAAGGATTTTATTTATGGAGTTGACAGGCTGGTGCTCACTTCCTAGTTTTGTGCTACTTGTAGTCTTGCTGCTGAGAAAATTTATCAGGCAGGGGACAGAAGATCAAGCACAAGAAAGGATGTTAGAACTCTAGTGGTTTCAAGTTTCAATTTATATCATGAGAGGCACACTATTAAACATCAATTCTATATGTACAAGAATGCCACTTCTTTGCCTAGAATCGTGGGAGTAATCCTGATATGAAATCTATAGTGCTATGGCACACGCAAATCGATATAAAAACATTCCTTCCGTTCAGGGGAGATGTTCCGGTTTGGACGTTAGTTAAGTGTCTTAGAATTGCACACGCAACTGATCCACTGAACTGAATCAAGTAGGCCTCTCAACGACCTTCTCAACCTTATGAACAGCAGCCTTGGCTGAATCCACAACCTCATGCTCCATTTCCTTAGCAGCCTCTGCCGTCGATCCAGTCAGGCTACGGCGGTACTGGAAGATACGGGTGACTTGAACAACACCAACGCATCCGAGGAAGAAGTTGACGGCAGCGAGCCTAAATGTGAGGTTAGCTGAGATCTACTGCCATTAACTCCAGTTCTAAACATACAGATAGTTGCGGGGTGTGATGATCATGCACCAGCGAGTCCAGATAGCACCGGTGGCCATCAAGGCGGCATTTTGAGTAAGGGAAAGCTTCTCAGCGGGGCGGCTAAAGTCGGAGATACCGGCAACAACAAGAGCCCACTGCAATGAAATATCAGTCTTGTGCTTCCGGGGCATAACATAAGGGAAATATATCAATAAACAAGGATGCTCCGCTTCCAGTATCCCAGTGTGTAGCGACCCTTCTTGGTGTAGAAGAAAAATCGATCCGTACCTTCATAACGGGAGCCCTATTAACGAGAAATTGTTAGAATCTAATTCTAAAGCAAGGATACAGAAACGCAAACATAGCACATACCAGAAATGCACCGTCTTCACACCAACGGGACTGTTCCATAGGCGCTGGAACAGGCTCTGTTTCTCAGCCGAAGTAGCACCACTGCTCTGGAAACGAAATCCCTGGCCACCAGGCCGGCGGAAGGGGCCATATGCATTGCGGAAGCCCGCGCGCGAATTCTGAAAGAATCGGAGTCCAAAGCGAGACGACATTCTGAAAGTATTTTGCCTCCGAGAGACAGGAGATGGGAAGAGCGGAGAAGTTATGTATCGAATATATTAATACAGATAAAATGAACCCCCGAAACCACAGGTCTCCTTCAACCCTATTCTATAGCAAATGATGTAGCAAAACTCAAAGCGATAACAATGCTAGAAGTTTTGGAAGGACGATGAGTCTGATCTTGAAACCGACGTCGGCGCGCTTTGGTGTTGCGGCTCTTTTTCCAGCTGAAGTAAGCGGTCAGTGACAATTACGCTTGACCGGATTGGTCTACAGGTCCGACCTCAACATCGTCAACCGAGTTATTCTGCAGAGGAGATTCTCCCTCATTGATACCCCAATTCGGTGTTTCGGGTAGTAGTGCCTTCAGTTCATTTGTTTCCGATACTTCATTGTCTCACTTCTCACGACCAATTGTCCCTATAATGTCGTCCAAGTACGCCTTCACCAAGGGTCTCAAGGAGCTCCGTTTCCTTTTCTGTCAGACTTCAGAGCAGAGTGCGGCCACGAGGTACGTTTCAACTTCTACGTGGGAGGCCATCACGATAAAGGGAATGTTAACCATGCGATAGGTCGTTCTTGCAGCGCGCTTACCCCACCATGAAGAAGCACAACCCCCACACTCCGATCATGATGCGCGAGGCCGCGGGTACTCTACCCCGGGTGTATGCTAGATACGGTATGGTTTGATTATGGATTTAAACCAAAAGCTGGGAGGTTGGGACTAATTCGGACATGATGCATAGGTCTTGGACAGGAGAAGCAGGAAGCACTGACTGGTAAGACAATACACTCCATTGATCTGGACACATCACTAATACCTGGGTTCTCTCTAGGTTTGACGGATAAGCAGATTGAAGAGAAAGTCACCAAGCTGGTGATGGAATCTTCATAGCGATATTGTCACGCATTCGCATATATTTACGCACCATTTTGTCTTCGCTGTTGAGCACTGTATCTATAGATGAATCAAAAAAATTAACGTCATATCGCCGTGCTGGTATCCATCGAAACCTGCAAAATCTTACATCCATGGTCTCTAATTACAAGAAGCTACTACTGTTGGCCACCTCGCCAAATCTATACTGTGCCCAGCTCATACTACCCTCTTTCAATGTCCAGAGTCTCTTTCCGAGATCATCCCCGGCAGCACCCGCCCCGATATGGATGGGAAGCAAATGATCGAAGTACGGATGTGCTTGTCGGGCATCCGGCCGCTTCAGCAGATCAGCCATGGCCTTTTCTCTATCAGCCGGTGCTGTCGTGACAGCATCCTTGAGCGCCTCGTCAAAACTAGCCGTGTACGGTAACGGCTTGGGATCCCCCCGGGTAAACTGCAAGTCGCGGAGGTTATGCACCGCCATCCCGGAGACGATAATCAAGATATTCTCGTCGCGCAGCTCAGACACCGCCTGTCCCAGCCGATAATGCTGGATAGGGTCCTCCGACTTGAACAGAGACACCTGCACAATTGGAACATTGAGAGGATTGGAATCAGGCTCGAAGGCTGTCCAATTTCACATTAGTCCCTCCCGGATGCATGACACCACACCGTCCAACCGACAGTACTCACCACATTTGAAACTAGCCCACACCCCATGATCCAATCCTCTTTTTACGCCTTCTGCCTTGATGCCCACCTTGCCGAGCAAACCAAGAACCTTCTCGGCAAGTTCCTTACTTCCCACATTGGGAAATTTCTCCTTATAGTAATGGCTCGGAAAGCCGTAAAAACTACACGAAATGGTCAGCACATCGGCACATCCAGGACCCAAATCTTGCAATCCACAAAAAAGCATAGCATATCATACTCGTATATTAAATCCGTAATCTCGGCAGTATTAACCTGCACCGTATCCCGACCAGCCTGCCAATGAGCCGAGAAGACCACAACAGCGCGTGGCTTTACCTTAGTCGTAATCTCCCTGCCGATCTGGGCAAGTTTGGAATACGCCGGGTGTTTATCATCATACATGATAGAAGGCTACGCGCCAAAATTAGTCCAACCTATCAATCTGAAAAACAAGAAAAGAAAGAAAGCAAAACCAGGAATCTACAAACTTACTCCTCCATGACTCAAAAAGTAAACAGGAGTCCTCATCTTATCTTTTTTAACAGGATCAAACTTCTGCTTCTGGTATGGCTGACTTGCTATCGCTGATTTCAAAGACTCCTTTCCTGCAGTGGTGATGAGCCCAGAGGAAGAGGAAGAAGTTGGTCTGAAAAACTGTCTGAGTTGGAACAGATTGGCGGTAGAGTTGGAGTTGGGATCGATATTATTGGTTGCGTAACTCAGAAGAAACGCAATTGATATGGCGACAAGGACTGTGATCAAAGATATTACAGCGAGGGATGATGGCTTCTTATTATTGGTCTGTTGTGTGTTTGGAGAGTCGGGAGAAGACATCTAGCGATGGTAGAAAGGGAGCTTCGGTCTCTTGACAAGGACTTGCTAGGCCAAGTTGATGTTTTGTGGATCGAATCAATTTATTTGAGGCAGATGGATCAATGACTAGGAATCTAATAAGCGCCCAGAAGATTCACTGTACTTCTAAGCAATGCCATTTAGATGACCCGATCCGATTGGGTAGTGGCTCATCGGTCGGCGGAAGTGCGGAATTCCACCGCACCAAGCATACATATTACACAGGCATCACTAAGGACAACACAATCACAGTGCAGAGTGATAGAAAGTGTACTACCATTATTTGATGCATGTTTATCCAATGGCCAACCCCCATCCTAATCTATGTATGTGCAACAAACATCCAATGCAACGCCAGATTCTTGGTAGGACTTGCTTTTCTTTCAGAACTTCATTGCCAAAAGCACCGAAGGGAATCTTAAAAATGTATGTCCCGGGGGGAAATACAGAATAAACATGAAAGAAAGAAAGAAAAAAGGTTAATTGGGAATACATGCAGTAGATGTATAAATATGGGTTCGGGTCTCATTAAATGGGCGTATGCATCTGCAGGAAGTTCATAAATGCTCACAGTTGAAGTTGGAAGGTAAAAAAAAAGGTAAAGGCATAATTAAATTTATCCTCAATCACATAATGACGCAGTCGCCATCATTTTGCTTCTGTTGATTAACAGCAGACCGCGAAAGACGAGTTTTTTGCATGCGAGCACCACCTTTCTTGAGCTCCTCGAGGCGCTCACGAGCCTTAGGGAATCCTTGGGCTAATGTGAATAGAAAGGTTAGCAGCAGGGCCAAAGAGATTCCACAGTTATGGTAAGCACTTACCGGCTGCCCGCCAATACCATCGCTTGGCATCGTCAATATTAGAGGTAACACCGATCCCGACTTCAGTGAAATAACCCATCGCATATTCGGCTTTTGCAAGACCCGCAGTGGCAGCCTTCCGAGCCCAGAGATAGGCTTCGGTATCGCTCTGCTGTAGGATTCCCTCTGAACCGGTCAGATACCACCCACTAAGGGCGAGCTCACTCTGATGCTCCCCTTGCGCGGCAGCATGTGTGTACCAAATGATACTCTGTCGAGCGTCGACGGGGCACCCCATCAACCCATACTCGTAAGCAGTGCCCAATCGGCTCTGGGAGAACTTATAACCTAATTCTGCGGCCTGGTGGAAGAGTTGGGAGGCATAGGATTCATCGCGAATAACAATGTCATTCGTGCCTGCGCTGGTATACAACAAGGCAAGTTCATGAAGAGCATGTGGGTTTTCCACATCAGCACGTTCGGCGGCCCGCTTCAACCAGGATATACCTTCACGGGGATTCTTAGCCTGGCCCAACAGCCCTTTGAGTAAGATCATTCCCATTTTGTACATTGCTGGCGGATCGCCGAGCGATGCAGCGCGTTTATACCACTGTACCGCCTTGAAAGGGTCACGCTTCGTGCCACCCCCTTCTTCTGCGCCAATCTCACAGCATACAGCAACTCGATATGCGGACTGCGCATGTCCCTGCTTTGCGGCGGAGTGGTATAAATTAAAGGCTTCTTTATTATCAACCTGGAGCCCCAGTTGCCCTTGGCCATAAGCATCTGCGAGGTAGAACTGTGCGTCGGTATAGCCGACCGCCACAAGTTTCTTGACAATTTTGTACGCGTCCGTCACATACTTCTCCCTCGCCTTAGCTTTTGTTCTTGGGTCCATTCGGCTTTCATCAACCAAGAAAGTTGACGCCTCGACCAGCTTTTTGGCTAGGAGAAGCTGAGTTTTTTGGTCCGATGGCCTGCTCTTCGCAGTTTGCTGCAGCCTCTGAAGCTCCTCATGAGTGATCGGTTGAGTAGCAAGCATATCAACTGGCGGACCTTGTGGAGCTGGGGGAGCCGAGGCGGATGACGCTGGTGCCGGTGCCGATGCCGGTGTTGGTGCTGGTGCTGGTGCTGGCACACTATACTGACGCATCGGTGCAGGTTTGGCCCCTTGATCATGACCCGGTCGGAAAGGCACAGGATGATGAGGTAATGCATCTGGGTTTTGCTCAGGATCGAAGCCAAGTTCCATGTCGCTTACCCCCTGTCGTGGCTCATTGGCATATCCAGGCTGGTTGGCCCGAAAGGGTCGAGGTGGTCCACTAGTACCTGCATAACTAGGGCGACGATCAGAATACGATGTCATTGACTGCGAGCGGCTTCCCTGCTGCTGTGGGTACTGTGCTTGCATCGGATCTTGATAGGGACCCTCGCCGAAACCATAGCCCGTCTTGTCCTGAGGATATCCAGTCGGGGGTGTCGGCGTTTCGCCGGGAAGGTCGAACTGAAACCCCGCATTTTCAAATTGGTTAGGCATATTGTCGGTTCTCATATCCGGCTGCGATTGCGCATGATGAACCTGGGCAGACTGCGGATTAAAGGCGGTATACTGAGTTGTTGAGGTGGCAGGCGATTCCACAGGAACCTTTTTGGCCTTCGGCGGCTCCAACCCCGGCAAACTTTCATCGATCCCTTTGCCACCGTCAGGCATCGCATCAAAGTTGGGCATGTCAGGTTCGGCTGTATGGGCTGAGTTATAGTAAACATCCAATAGTTCTTCCGTACTATACTCACGCGTGTAGCGAAATGCGGCATAATTGGGCTCCCGGTAGGTAGATTGTCCTGGGTAGGAATGCTTGGTCATAGGCGGTGGGGTTGGAGTTGAAGTAACAGGCATAGTTACGCTCCTGTTTATCTGAGGAATCGGCGGTGGATCATTGAGGCCAGTGTAAGACCGCTCGAACCGATCACCAGCCGCATGGCGTCCTGCGCTGGCCGACCTTACCGGACCTTCGGAGTGGTCTCCTCTTCCACGTTCAGGGGGCGCAGACTTAGGTGACCGAGGGACCTCTTGTCGTCTACCGTTTGAAGTATGAGGACGGTCTGGTCCCCTCGTTGGCGACATTGGACCGTTGAGATCCATTCCGGCCATGCCTCTCTCAAGTCGCGCCTTCGAGTCCGATCGGCCGCGCGACTGCTCTTTTGAGGGAAATGTAGGGAAAGGATTATCGAACGGCACCGTATTCGACGATGACGGAACCTGTCGTGCAGCTGAGATATTATCAACGACTGATATGAAATCATAGCTCTCAATTCCGAATTTACTCACATGGTCTCATACGATCCTGTTTCGGTGGTCCTCTATCACCATATCCGCGACGGCTGTCATATTCATTTGGAGGTGGTCGTCCACCATATGCGTAACCCCGATCTGGCGGTTGCGGACCATAACCTCGAGGGCGAGGTGCACCTCTAGGGGGTCCATACGATCTAGGGACTGGCTGGTCATCTGGGTAGCCGTACCCTGAAACATCATATCCTTTATTTCCATATCGTTGATTCGGATTGTCAATACCATGTTCATAAGACTCTTGATCAAACTGCGGTGGGCCTTCAAACCCCCCGCCCCGAGGTGAGGTGCCAGCGCCGTAATTTCTTACTGGCGGAGGCCTCTGCGCTGGACGTTGGGGGTATGCCATAATCTGAATATAGTCCGTAAAATTCAAATATTGAATGATGAGGACGATGGTCGTCGTTCGCTGAGGAAGCGCGATGTCGGGGTTCTTAAATCGGCTATTCTTCGGGGCAGGCAATTAGCTGTATACCTGGATGCACCCCTCCAATTCAATACTCTACCCACCCCAGACCAAAGGAATCGTGCGCGCAGCGTGGTATTAAAATCTAAAATAAGAAAGGCGACATTGTCAGCCGGTAGTCTTGAACGCAAAAGCGACTAGAGGATTGCGGGCGCGATCGGACGGGCAATGCGATCTTACCCAAAACGAGACCACGAGGAACGGAAGCTTCGCCAAATGAAGGGAGGGGCTAAGCGACCCAAGGCCGAGTATTAAAGATAGCAAAAGTAGGAAGGAAAAAGCCCTTCGTGGTTTGAAACGAGCGTGTGACCAATTTGGGGAGAGAGGAAGGTGGAAGCGCCGGCGTAAAGCAGGAGAAGCACTTGGGCTGTAAGGCGAGGAAGTACTAGGAAGTAGCACTAAGTACCTGGAAAGGAAGAATAAGGCAGGCCGGTACCCACGAATAGAATCGGAGGAATTGAGAGAAATTAATTATTATTCATTGCAATAGACCATCTATTTCAAGAGGAAAATAAGTGGTGTATTCCCGAACTTAAATCCATAGTTTCGTATTCTTATTAATTAATGATCTGATGACTGCTGTTTTCATCCTCTCCTGCTGGTCTATCCACTTTGGCTGGATGTGTGGATGACTTGTTCACGCCTGCAACTTGACTTGCCTGACAACTTTTGGAATGGTTCCTCTCTAGCTTGACCCACACCTTTCTTTCTTTGTGTCCACTTACTGACTGCCCCGCCCGACCGTAAGGATGTTGGTAGCGTTAAATGATATTAGTCTTATTTAACCATCGTACTTTCCTACCATCATCATGCTCTTGCCGCTCTTTATAACCGTCTGGCTTCTCCCATTATGGCTCTAAGCCCTGTGTGTGTGCTGCTGATGGTCCCTATGCTCTCCGTGCTACACACAACGCAGGAAACCCCCGGCGAGTCATTCTTGGCAGACCCAATTAGGGATCTATAGTCCCAACCCATTCATTCCCACTTACAGATAAAAAAGGGGCCCAACCAAGGCTGCGACAGTGGGATATGACGTCGAGTGTGTTACCATTTTTGCCCCATTCCGCTGGTGTAAATTCCAAACAGACTGATCATCAGGAGCATGCCACTGTGTCACAGCTAATGTAGTATGTGCTCGACCTCCTACACGGAGAGCTTGTGCTGATTGCTTACTCACATACGGAATACGTGTATTCTGCTACGGAGTACATGCAGGATATTACGAGTACGAGCAGAAAATAATCTCCGCTTAAAACGCAGGGGCTCCGGGCGTGCCGCTCATTTGTCTGCAGTAGGTGTGTTTAGCTCATATCATTCGCCACCAGGTGCTTTGATTCAAACTGGTGACAGCATTGTTGAAGACACTGGATCCTTTCGATGGCAAATACTCTCCACCGAGGAGCATTGGAGTTGCCGTGCATGCCACATTGTTAAGCGTTTTAGCATGCCCTTGCCTAGTAGATGTATCGCTCTGAGATCCGAAATCTTGGCCTAAGATGACGCCCTTGCCGCTGGGATTATTCCATTATGATGTGATAGATAATTGGAAGCCATTTAGCCCAGCCGAGGAGCACGAAAATTGCCAATCAGGCGAGTAGAAGAGAGAGGAAAGGACTCTACGAATCACACAAAACAAATAGGAATAATGGTTCAATTAACGGCTCTGGAAGTTTGAGGAGACTAGAACGTTGATCATCGAATAGCTGCCGAAAACTCGGCAAGCTTCCTCCAGAGGCAAAATGCGGCATAAGAGTAAGTAGCTTTACAATCCCTTACCTGTTTTGACCAGGTGGGCGGCCAGAATGTCTTAAACATGACATTTAATGGATATAAAAGGATGCGACGAAGACTAGGTCATTCTCCAGACTCGACTTTCCGAAATTTAGGCGCCAGTAGTTCAATATACAAAGTAGAAATAAATACATTTAGTTCCTTAAGCAAGTGGGACAAAGAAGAACTTTTTCATTTTACTCCGTAGCTTGGCAGCCTATGATGTCGACTGCCTTGCTTAACGGAGATGTGCCGAAAAGAGAACAAGAAATAAGGCGAGAAAGGGCCGTTTGCTGCGCCACTTTTCCCACCGCCTTCAAGCCTCACCACAGCCACATATCGGTCATCGTGCCATCCAAGTCACTGAATCAGAATAACCTTTACGCGCATAGCATGCCTCATCTGCCGATTCATCCTATGTGGATCCAGGGACACACCAATTGACTCTAATTACATACCATCCTGACATTATTCTTTTACTTCAGCTAAATCCAAACCCAATCACCTACCGCCAGTATGTCCCGAGCCGGAACTTGGTTGAAGATGCTGGTAGCGTAAGATAATTCCCATAGTTCACGCGCATGTGATCAGCCTCTAACAGAAACAGTGGCACTGTCATTTGTGTTGGTGGCCCGATGTTCGTTCAATCCATCCGTCCTACCGACGAAGAACTGTTCAAGCGATACAACCCTGAGTTACAGAAGCGGAGTCAGGAGGATGGTGATCGTCGAGCGCAAGAATTCGACGACTATGTCAATCGGTTAAAGCAATGGTCGAAGTCGGATAAGTCCAGTCCGTTTTTTCTTCTCTCCTCTTCCCTCCCCCAGGCTTGGGTATAGTTAGCAGGGCTAACAAACATTTCTGCGTCTTTAGTCTGGTTCGCAGCTCAAGAGCAGGAGAAACAGAAACGTTCCGAGCTCGAAGCGCAACGGAGTCAAGCCAAAGACGAAGCTAAGGTACAGCGTGAGGAAATGCGGAAGGAGCTGCTAGGAGATAAATAGATGGATATTCTCAACCGAATTTGACAGTTGAGAATTGGTAAAAACAAACAGTTTTCTCTCTTAATTGTACTCATATCGAATCGTTACGGCAGACTATGGGGACTACTACTCGCTTCTAGGTGCTACTATGCAAGAAGAGATGGATAAATATATGTATGGAGTTTTGGCGGGCGCTTTCACAATTGTATTATTATGGAACGAGGTCGGATGAACCAACGAGTGTACAGATATTCCTGTGTCGAGATAAAAATAATCTCCAATGAAGATACTATAAGAGCCGCTCTAGACTTCACTGTTCTGGGGGGGTAAATTAACTCATGCCCCTCTCTACAAAGGATCCAAGAAAGCCTCAGGAGCGGTATATACATAAATACAAATCGACAGACTCGCCTTTCTATATCCTCTCCGACATCGCCTTGGAGGTCAGACCATCAGGCGACCATAAAATACACTCCATACACAGTGCATACCACAATGATGGCAGTAAGTATGCCAGCACCCACCTGATCACCCGTGGAGATTGGTCGTTCTTTAATTCCTGCCGTCTCTTCGTCGGAGATCCCAGTCCCGGCATTTGGGTTACCTTTACTGGTACCACCGGTTTTCGTCGTCACTCGTTTGTCGACGTAGTCGACCAAATGGCCCTGGATAATATCAAGGGCGGCCATTTGCTCCCCGACGCCAGTACTGCCATCGAACGAATCGTTTCGGTACCAACGCAAACCGCAAGCATTATCAGGGCCATTGCACTGCAGCGCGGCTGCTTCAGCAGATGCTCGAAGCTTTGGCATGAGAAGATCGTATGTGAACGGTGCGATTTGAATGGTGTGGGACATCCAGCGTGAGAGATAGGCTTTGAAAGATCGTTGATCAACGTTACATGAGCCAATTGGCTCACAGGCCCTCTCACTCATGACGTTGCGAAGAAAGAAAACATCCAGTCCCTTGATTATCTTCTCCAGTCGAGTTTTCCAAATCTCGGATTTGTCCGTCTAGCAGTGATCAGCTGCAATCCGGTGACTGGAAGGTAACTTTTACTTACAAAGTGATACATGTGAGCTGCTCCGAGCAGAAAGAGTCCAGTGTTGTATGTCCATTGGTCATGGTTTAGTTCTGTGCAGTTGCCTTTGTCGTCTGTTCCATCGTAAAAGTGGTAATCCTTGCTAATGAGCCCGGTGTTGTAAACCCAGTCCCATGTTTTTTCCGCCCATTCTGCATAGGTTCGATTACCGGTATATACCGCCAGTCGCGAGGCTAAGTTAAAGAAACACCCATTAGACACGGTGTTCTTGTAGTTGTAGCCATTATTGAATGTGAATATCTGCCATTTTAAACCACCACCACAAGTGGTATTGTCCCAGCGCGGATATTGTTTGTTAAAAACAGCCTGTGCCAGTGCAAGCCACTGGGGTTCGTCTTTTGGTGGATCAGGGAACTTCACTTCAGCAGCTGACATAGCTGCCAGCCCCCAGAATGCCTGATCATCATTCCCAAGTGTTCTTGTTTGATTTGCTGGCATGAAATCAGCCCCTGGTCCGGCCTGGTGGAGCAGAGCTTGCGTTGTAATTTCATTCCATTGAGCATCCCCTGTGTAATACCAATATTCCACCATTGCATTAAACATCGCTCCAGCTTCCCACCAATAGTATGGATCTGGAAGGTTACCAGGCACATCACCCGGCCGGTAACCCGTGTAATACTTCAGCATTCCAGATGCTACAGTTTTCGCTGCCTCTTTAATAGATTCTTTATATATGTAAGTATCACCTGGAATATTACATGACACTGCATGCTGTCCGTAAAACGCACCTTTGCTTTTTAGATCAAGATCAATAGATGCTTGTACCGTCCGAGCTCCTATCAAAAGCATAGACACAAGCAGTGCAACCCATGATGACGGAGAGTCGCAGTGTACCCATTTTCTTAGCTGCATATTGGCCTGGGCAGCTAACAGGTACGTGGGTATTGCGGAAGCAGGCTTTGACGAAGACTTATGTCCAAGGGAAATAGCGGTTATACGTAAACAAAGATGGGTAACGAGATGTTGATTGATATTAGTACAAGAAGGAAGAGAATAATAGGTGATAGGGTACAACAAGAGATAGCGACCCCTACAAAGCAACGAGTCAAAAGAAGGTTCCGAAATTTCAGTGATTTGATAGGGATGAGAAGAGAATGTCAGTTGTTTTGATTTAATAAGTCAACATAAAGACTTATCAGGGTTGCCCAATGGGAAACGAGAGGAAGCTGGCATAAAGCCAATAAAAGAAACCTAAAGATCAGAGAAGTGAAAAGTTTGAGGCATCATCAAAGAATGCGATACCACCGCTGATAGGTACTTATTACAATCTCCTATTTCAACCGAACACCAGCAGACATTGAAGGTGGAGAGACAATAAACAGTTGTAGAACTAGGCAGACACTGGGCACAAGGGCCCAAAGGTGTGCAGGACCAACTCCCAAGACTGCACAAGTCCCTTTAAATGCCGCCAAGGTGACCGATATGGAACAATCCGGCACCAATATGCCATCATAGGGTTGTCCCCTAGTGGCCAAAAACATACTCCGAATACAGGCCAAGAGACTTGGCGTGGTCACACCAACAGCGGAACCGTCGGAGGTCGAGGGCTGAATTTATCCCGTACAGGGCAGATTTGGGGTTTATTCTGTCATTTGGCGGAATGAATGTCCTCAAACCACTAGCCATATTCGGGACCTTGCTGTTCCCTTATGTTTAAAGGCATAAATCAGTGGATGCCCCTTTTCAGAAATATTGAAACACATTTTCAAGTTACGAGAGAAATTTTCGAAAAGGAGGCAGTGAGGACGAAGTTCGACTTGGCAAAGACCACACAGTCTTGGGCTTTCCATATGGATCTTTAGTGAGCAGGTCATTCATTCATTTAGTTAGGGCCTAGCGTCTTGCCGCTTTTGGAACCACGAATTAGACAAGGGTAGTGTCAAACTAAACGCAGCAGTTAATTTGGAGGGCCATCAATCTTATTCTGGGTTTGTCAAGAATGGATTAAGAAGTATTTGGGTGTGGAAATAGAGTCGGTAAATGGCTCCGGGGGCGTCGCACGTGTTATGATATATATATATATGCCAATGTTAGGGAGATATAAGAGGTCATTCAGCAACGTTAAAAATATATTCCATGTTTCTTTTCACTGTATATTGTGTATTGTGTATTTGCATATTAGCCTCCTATAGTAAAGTAAAGTGCTACTGCATCTTATCCTTTAATAGCCTTTCAAACATCTACTGTGCCGCAATCCACTTCTAAAAATAGACTATGAAGTCTGATAGCACGATTTCAAGGCTGCTATGCTGTGCAAGGAAATATAGTTAAGTTGTTAGTCATAATGGGATGCTCAATTAGGTAGCTGAGTACCTATAATGCTTTGTTTGGTGGCGATTTAAATCAACTTCTTGTACATGTTGACAAATGAAGTTGTCCCAAATGTAGGAAAGCCTAACCTGAAGAGGTAAAATTAGACTGGGCTAAACTAAGAAAAGGGCCAGTTGTCCTGTCAAATGTTCAGGGACTCAAGTTATCCCAGTATCTGACCCATCAGGGTCCTTTGAGATCCGCCGCTTCCGGACTATGGAGTACTGTTGCAGAGGAACCACACAGCTTCACGTGGCAGATCACTGGGAGTGCAGAATCAAACTGGTTGGTGCCACAGCCTCTCTCCTTGATTACACCGCCAATGCTCTAATACCGCTGGGATTCGACGAATAGGCTCTAATGGAACAGAATTTTATTACTATTATTGCACCTTCTCCGTACTTCGTCATACTCTACTATGACAGTTAATGGAACAAGCCTATGTGACCTGTAACCTGCTTAGTTATTAACCGGGCCAGGAAGAAATAGGGACAATTTTTCTGGACATTCAGGATTGGCAGCCACTACCAACATAATTACTCAAACCTCAAAGCTTTAAAGATAGACTAGATTCTTAGTTTCCCGTCTCTCTGTTTCATTTATAGCCTCTGGCTTTCCTGTCTCATTACATACTGCGTAGTATAAAAATAGCTGCCTGGCTGTTGCTTGTCCCATAGTCACTAAGGTCACGTGTTGTGTCCCCGACCGAACAGAGATGTCTGCAATCTCCAAAGGCGGGAGGCGGCGATTCATCACACCTTGTCAGTTTCACCACAGCAGTGCTATCAACGTCTCCCTTTTGCACCTATCATCCCACCACCACTGAAGACCTAGTGGATCTCTTTAAACAAATCCGTTCGCGTGTCTCTGTGTGCGGCCGTTGGTTTCGAGACCTCTCTTCCCCCCTTTTCCATTCCCCTGTGAGAACAAAAGCCAGCCAAATACGTATCTCTCCAACGAAGTAACCTGGTGATCCACCAGCTCCTACGACTTCACCGTTACTCAACGTCTCGAGAATTATACCATGTCTGAGCAGCCATATGATCCTTATATCCCTTCTGGCTCCAACGGAGCCACCGCCAGCGCTGCGCAAAATGGCGACCCCAGAACAAGGGAAATTGACAAAGTAAGTGGGCAATTTCGACCGCGTAAACCTTCTGATTACAAAAATACGTCTTTTCGGCACTTTTGAATCAATATGGGACCCATTCAAGTGCTTTCATGCCCCTAAGTCTAGCCCTCAATCAAGTATCTCTTGAATAGTTCTTGACTCCTAACGACGGAGTGCTGGGTATTTCCGTATCAAGAATTCATGCTGACCCTTGAAATAGAAAATCCAGGAGACTGTCGATACTATGCGTTCAAATATTTACAAGGTTTCGGAACGCGGTGAACGTCTAGACTCTCTGCAGGATAAGACTGATAACCTGGCCGTGTCGGCTCAAGGATTCCGCCGAGGTGCCAACCGTGTGCGGAAGCAAATGTGGTGGAAGGACATGAAAATGCGCGTATGCCTGGTTATCTGCGTTATCCTCTTGCTGGTAGTCATTATTGTTCCTGCCGGTATGTTCTGTTGTCTTTTGAGCGGTTGACCGCCTGGATGATTACGGCCAATATGCTAACACCTAACGCCTGCAGTTGTTACCACCCGTTAAGCCATGCTTGCAACAGCAGTCACGTTTTGCTTGGGAATGGATGTTACGCAGCTGGGTTACCTGTGTTGTGATCGCGAAGCTTTCCATGCTTTCAGCTATTAATACCTTATGCTTGTTTTTGCTCGGGCGCCAACCCAACTTGGTTTTCACGATTAAAGAAAGTCTTGTCTCTATACGCCATGGATGTTATGAACCGATTCGAGTTTCAGATGGGGCCCTATCACACAAATACTCGACGGTGAAGATGTAAATGATACTCCGGTGCTCCCCTGTGTTTGAGTACACTATTGTGTCTTATTTCGTTTCTTTTCTTTTCTTTTCTTTTTTTTTTTCCTATGTTCTTTCCTATGTCTTTCCTTAGCCTTGAACTTTAATGAACTTTGCTCTTGATAAACATTGTTCATCTTCATAAGAACTGCTCGTAGGTTTTTTTTTTAATATATATATATTTTAATTACATCGGGACCGCTAAAAAGAGACATGAGTCGAGAATAAATCGTCAGACATGGGACCTGCACCTATTAGGACTTGACAACATAGAGAGAAGTGGATCATTAGAGTCCTAGGGCGAAGGGGAGATATTATTATTAGCTAAAAGATCAGATAACGAAGGACCCGATGCAATACGAGATGACATCCAGGAATTACATCGGGGCAAGGATCCATCGTCGACAGCCAAGACGAAGTTTATTCGTTGACTAGAGACATGGTAGGCCAGTAGCATGCCCGGCTGAGATCTGATAATGCGCAGATTATTGCTTTATGGAAATTGACCAGGACGATTGGCTACTTTGAGGTCTTTTTCCATTACGTGTGTAGAAAAAAAGAGGGACTGACATTGTGTATTTTATTATTTCCCAGAGCCACGCCGCAGGGAGGCCCATTTTCGGCTCCGAAAGTCGCAGCCAAGCATTCAGGCACAAGTTCACCGCACTGGCAGTTTTTCCCTCTGTCTTCCCTTCCTTCTTCCCGGGTTCTGTTCGTTGCGTCTAATTGAGACTGGTCATTTGTTAATCCCTCACTATCTAGGTAGTCGTCACCTCTGCCTTCTTTTTGGGAAGATTGCATTTCGGATTTTGGACGCCAGGGGGTGACCCAGAAAAAACCGCGCAGGTCCGTTCGTTGGCGGTGACCCTGCCGGCGAACTAGCCGACTACTGAGTTCGTACGACCCAGTCATCCACTCGATGACTCCGAGGCGTCGCCGATAATCAATCTTTGGGAAGATCAAACTCTTTGGGGCGGCAATTCAGTCAACCCGCAACCTCCACACATTTTTTTTTCCCTCACTGTATTCTTGTTTCTTTCTTTCATCTTGACCCCTCTTCTTACGACTCTCTTACATTTTATCGTCCTTCGTCCTCCAGATTTCCTGTCCGACTAAGCACTGAAGCTGCCGCATGCTGGCTGGCAAGATGTTCTCCCTTCGCACTGCTGTGCGGAGAGCTTCCACCAGCAAGCCCCTCCGAGCGCTCTCCGCACCGCACGTCATTTCTCCTGCGAGACTCGCTTCTGCCCGTCACTCCATCAAGGCTTCTGCGGTGCCATTGTTGCAGGGACGCCACTACTCCCGTGCTACGGACACCCAGTTGTCTTCGACCCGGTCTACCGTCGTCCAGTTGCTGAGTAACATCGGTTCGAAGCGTGAGGTCCAGCAGTACCTCTCACACTTCACCTCTGTTTCCTCCCAGCAGTTCGCCGTCATCAAGGTCGGCGGTGCCATCATCACCGAACATCTTCACACCCTTTCTTCGGCTCTCGCATTCCTCAATCATGTCGGACTCTACCCCATTGTTGTCCACGGCGCGGGGCCGCAGCTTAATCGCCTATTGGAGGAGGCTGGCGTGGAACCACACTTTGAGGATGGCATCAGGGTGACCGATGGAAGAACCTTGGCTCTTGCTAGGAAGCTGTTTTTGGAAGAGAACCTGAAGCTGATCGAGGAGTTGGAGCGCATGGGTGTACGGGCCCGTCCCCTTACCGCTGGCGTGTTTACTGCCGACTATCTCGACAAGGAAAGATATAACCTTGTTGGCAAGATCAATGGGGTGAACAAGAAACCAATTGAGTCTGCGATTGAAGCTGGCTGTCTCCCAATCCTGACCTCCATGGCGGAAACTCCGGATGGCCAGATCCTCAACGTCAATGCTGATGTCGCTGCTGGTGAGCTGGCTCGTTCTCTTCAGCCTCTCAAGATCGTATACCTTGCGGAAAAGGGTGGACTTTTCAATGGCGATACCGGAGAGAAGATCTCTGCGATCAACTTGGATGAGGAGTATGAGCATCTGATGAGTCAATGGTGGGTGCGCCACGGCACTCGGCTGAAAATCAAGGAGATGAAGGATCTCTTGAGTGATCTCCCTCGTACCTCGAGTGTGGCTATTATTCATCCTGCCGATCTGCAGAAAGAGCTTTTTACCGATTCTGGTGCTGGTACATTGATCCGCAGAGGCAACAAGGTGCACACCAAGACTTCTCTCTCCGAGTTTGAGGACTTAGAGAAGCTGAAGGATGTTCTGGTACGTGACCGAGAGGGTCTTGATGCCCGCGCCACCGTCGACCGTTACGTCGAAGGCTTGAAGGAGCGCAACTTCAAGGTTTATTACGATGAGCCCATGGAGGCTCTGGCCGTGGTTTTGCCCCCTCAGAAGGATGCTGGTACCTCTTTGGCCCACCTTGCCACGTTCACTATTACCAAGTCGGGATGGTTGACCAATGTGGCCGACAACGTCTTTTCGTCCATCAAGAAGGAATTCCCCAAGCTCGTGTGGACTGTTAAGGAGGATGATGAGAACCTGACTTGGTTCTTTGACAAGGCAGATGGCAGCCTGAGCCGCGAAGGCGAGGTTCTATTCTGGTACGGCATTGAGAGCGGTGACGAGGTCAAGCAGCTGGTGCAGGAATTCAACCGGCACGGCCGCCAGATGTTTGGTGATATTAACCTCGAATCGCGATTGCACCGAGCTGCTCAGGCCGCCACCAATATCGGCAAGGGATTCGGTGCCAGTGGCGCTTCTGTTGAACAGAAACGTGCCTTTTCCTCGACCGGTAACGCCTTGCGTACTGCTCGGTCAGGACGCCCTGCAGTTTCCGTGACCGCTGTTCGGACTTATGCCACAACGAACCCCAACCCCCCCCTGGGAGAGAAGAATATGTCTAATAGCCAGCCTGCCAAGGTTGCTCTCATTGGAGCCCGTGGATACACCGGTCAAGCTCTGATCAACTTGCTCAATGCCCATCCTCACATGGATCTGCGTCATGTCTCTTCTCGTGAGCTTGTTGGTAAGAAGCTGCAGGGATATGACAAGCGCGAGATCATCTACGAGAATCTCAGCCCAGAAGATGTTAAGCGCATGTCGGCCAATGGTGATGTTGACTGCTGGGTCATGGCCTTGCCAAATGGAGTCTGCAAGCCATTTGTCGATGCAGTTGACCAGGGTTCGGAGAAAGGCAATGTCATTGTTGATTTGAGTGCTGACTATCGTTTCGATCCCAAATGGACCTACGGTCTTCCCGAGTTGATCAGTCGCTCCACCATCGCTCAGGCCACGCGCATTTCCAACCCTGGTTGTTATGCAACTGCAGCCCAGATTGGAATTGCCCCCCTTATCCCCTATCTCGGAGGACAGCCCACTACTTTCGGTGTTTCTGGTTACTCGGGAGCTGGTACCAAGCCAAGTCCCAAGAATGATGTTCAGAATCTTACCAACAACATCATTCCGTACAGTTTGACTGATCATATCCATGAAAGGGAGATCAGCTTCCAGCTTGGAACCAGTGTTGCATTCATACCTCACGTTGCAGTCTGGTTCCAAGGAATCCACGTATGTGCTTCTCTCCCTTTTCTACCTTTTTGAGTTGAAGGGTCCACCTTCCTTTCATAGCTTATTATTTATGTTCTAATTGGCATTAACCTTTCCTGTAGCACACTATCAGCATTCCACTGAAGAAGGAAATGAGCTCTCGTGACATTCGGAATCTCTTCCAGGAACGTTATGCGGGTGAGAAGCTTGTGAAGATTGTTGGCGAGCCCCCTCTGGTTAAGAACATTGCTGGTCGTCACGGTGTCGAGGTTGGCGGCTTTGCTGTTCACTCCAGCGGCAAGCGGGTAGTGGTTTGTGCTACCATTGACAACTTGCTGAAGGGCGCAGCCACCCAATGCCTCCGTAAGTAGTTCAAATTCTAACCACCTGTACTGTTTTTAATTTTTCACAGAAAACATGAATTTGGCCCTCGGATATGGCGAGTACGAGGGCATCCCGTCGGAATAGATATGCGTTCTTGGGAAACGCATAGCATATAGCTCTCGTATAGTGGAAGGATAGGTATATGAAGAATGGGAATTTACTTTCTGTCTTGACCAAACACTGTCAGGTGCCCTTGAGTGTCCTATTTTTTATTTTCCTGCGTGTCTCATACCCAGTGTGCATCTTGTTTGGCTGCTATCGGTTGAACACAGTTACAAGACATTTTTTCTTGCATCCTTTTCATAGTCAACCTAGCCACGTCTTGCGCCTCCTCGCTTGGATTCTCAGTTTATAGAAATCTTGCCTTTGTCTGCCTACAAATATTTGACCCTATTTTGATTTTCTAGTCTGTCTGCGCCAAATGGAAAGTTCTCTACATCGCTTTGGCGAATGTTATTTTCGGCGCTGGTGAGTTTCAGAATATAGAGGGAGGAAATGAAAAGCCATCTTTGACTATGTAATTTTTTTTTATGTGATATATCGGCCCTTTTTTACATGCTTGAACTAATTCTCTGATATCCTTTTTAATGGTCCAAAAGGTTGGGTATTTAAAAAAGCTGTCGTAAGCAATTACCCATCAAATTGAATTGTAATAATATAGTTGATGATGGGCTTATCTTGCCAATAAGTGTTTCTAGGTACCAACACTTTCCACTCACTACTGAAGTCCAATCGACAACTACTCACAGGCACATCCTGCCACTAATTACTTGCCATTTTGTCGAGTTGTCGAGATCCAGTCATTCCACAGACTTTCGTTTCATCAGATTATATGCTTTTTAAATATCCTTGTCTTGATATGTGCTATTAGCACGACTTAAGTTCAACAATCTTATCCATCCCTCGAAAACATTTCACACAACTTAAGCTGCAATCAAAGACTTGCAAGATTCTTGCTTTTAGCCAACTGATCGCTCTCAGCCGCGAAACTCGAATTCCCATCTCCCCTCTCTCGTCCAACAATCTGTCTTCAAGGGCTATCGATTCTATCGAAGAGAATCGCATTGTTTGCGAAGTCGTCCTTACGTTCATTAGAGAAATGATAAAAGACAGGCTGTAAAGACGCACATTCTAAGATACCTATCCAAGATGTTTTACAGCCACGAAAGTAAGTGAAGCATTCCAAATAGTAACCTGTCTTCCTTTCCCAAATCCTTCATCTATAACGAATTCAACTGAGATGCATGTGTCGCTGATTTTATCGCTTTAATTAGTACTGACGTCTCCTGAACACGGAGTGGCTACAATCTGGTAGAAAATATCTCTCATCCTGCTTACTGTCACTATCGCATCTGACGAGTTCTCGGGTGTAGGCTGGTCGCAACTTTAGGACCAAGATCCATCACGAAAAGACTTAATAGAAAGACTATACTAGATGTGGATGTTCCGAAGGCCTGCACGGTAATCATGGATCCAGCGGCACCGATGGCGCTGAGACTTCAGGGAAACCTTCTGTCTGTTTCTCATTACAAAGAAAACTGGGTATGATGATCTACTGACTGACGCGCTCTCTTCCAGATATGGTGTCTCAAAGGTCTACAATCAGCAATGCGGCTACGCGCTGACGGACGTCCAAACAATACATGATAGAATGAAGATGATGTTGCGAGCAGTTCCAGGAGGAGGGTTAGATCCGATGGCTGGAAAAGCTAGGTTTGTTGCCTATTCATCCCGTTTTACTACCTTAACTTGTCCGTTCTAAAGTAAACATCTATAGACCAGATCAGCTTGTTCTACCCTATGACCCGTCCTTCGCACCGGAAAACGATATCCCCAGCATGGGCATCGATCTCTCAAAATTAAGACTGCCAATTGATAAGGAATCATCTCAGGAATCCGGCCTTGTGTGGCCAAGGACCCCTGATCTTAGTTTATCAGCTATCACGCGAAATTCTAGTCTGCAGCTGAGCTTTTCGTCCAGAGACACAATGATGGGAGTTATAGGGGGATTCGGGTCTGAGGCTGATGTAGGCTCTGCGCAACGAAGTACGGATTTTGCTGGAGTCGCTGCCTCTGTTGCCGATGGAGAGCATGGAGTGCTTTTGCATCCTGACTTTGAGTTCGATGAAGATGGAAATATCATCGAGCTTGGAGTTGACCATTACCAAAATGAAGCAAGACAGCGCAGAGCAAGCAAACTTATTAATGAGACACCTACCTCCGGTGCACAAGGGAATGACGTGGATAATAGTATGCCTATTGATTATCAGGTGAGTTCTATCTTGTTTTCATATTATAAGCTATCTACTAAAGGATAATCAAAGCCAATGAACATAGATGATGATCTGGGTATTGACTTGCAAGATCGATATCACGCACCAGCAGACGACATTCGACCATCCATTGAACATCCTGTTGACATCGGAGCAGTAAACCAGATGAATACATCTATAGAAACTGTTAATGTCGCGATGCGTCCATCACGAAGAGAGCCCAAGGCCATTGTATCAGATGACGAGACCGTGCTTCGGACTACCGATCTGGCGCAACTAGGTAATGAATACGTGCAAAACATGGCTCTAGTTTGGGCACAGAAGCTGCAAAACAAAATCCCAACCCAAGCTAAGAAAAACGCTGCGCTGTGGGTTTTCGGCAAGGGAATTGGATCCGTAGGTGTCGGGCTAGGCATGTCTCGGTTTGCGCATCCTCTGCATCTCTTCTCGGGGCAAGAGCTATATGAAAGTCTTAATCCAACAGCTACTCAGAATCCACGCAAGCGTAATCGCCCATCCGGTGAAGAAAGTGATACGGAGTCAGAGGTGCGGCGTGTGCGGGCAAGAGAAGAATACGAAGATCAAGTTGGTCGTGGTGATCTTGAAGGAAGCCATTGGCAGGTTGTACACCAATTCCATTCACCTTTTCTTCTGTTTCCTGCTAATGTTACGAGTATAGGATATTGAGATTGGCCGTCATGCCTCAGTAGTTCACGACGATAACTCCTCCCAAATGCCCTGGAACATCACGGCATCTATCAAGAGCTCTCGACAGGGATCAGTTACTGCGAACATCTTCCGCGGGATTGGAAGCGTCAGTGATTTGTCGTCCCGTGGGTTCCCCGAATCTGCAGCGCTTGGGGGAATTCGCAGTCGTTTGACAAGTGCCAGTCCTCTCGCAGGACGTAGCTTTCCATTGGACATGGAAGGAATGGCTGGTATCATAGACGAGGATCTGGAGGGCTTCGACCTAAGTCATTACCTACAGAATGAACACGATGCAAATAATATTGCAGGTGCAGGAAGAAACGGCGACACCGAAGAAGCGGCTACTAATAATCGACTCGCTCTTCGGGATCGAGTGTTAAAGTCGAGCTTGGACCAGGACAGTATGAACTTCCTCGAATTTCTCATGAAGAAAACGGAGAACCGAATGGTATCCAATGGGACAGCAGATACAGATGCTGAAGCCCATCAAGCCAGTGACTCGAAACTTGTCTCTTTCTCTACTCTTCTCCCTCGTGAGAAGACTTCTCGAGCAGTGGCTACTCACGGCCTTATGCACATACTGGCACTTGTAACCAAGGGTCTTCTTTCGGTTCATCAAGAACCCTATGAAGACCATAGCACAGAAGAATACGGCGCGCGATACGAATACGGGGAGATCTTCCTCCGTCTGGCGGACATATAATCATATTTTCTTTATGGGTACCTCGTTCAGGCTCAGAGGAAACATTTACCCTACTCGTCTCACGTTTACTTATTTGACCTTAAACCGGTTCCCATTCATGGGCTCTTTCTTAGCTCCTATGGAGGACAACGAGCAAAGTCGTTGATACGAAATAGCGACCTGTGAGGGACACGATTGTTTCTAATGTTCTCATGGCTCTTTTTCATATTGCTTATATCTCTTATCGGTGCATCGATTAAACATCGCCATGCAAAAGGCAAAAAAAAAAAAAAAACCTGGTGAGAGTACCTCCCTGCCGTTTCATTATAATCATTTGCGATTTCTTCAATCTCATATGTTCTCTTTTACTATCATACAACGATCGACAATTTCCACCAAAAATGATCTGCAAAAACGCCTTCTTTCGGAGCAGTCATATGGTTCATCTGTATCTCTTATGTCTATATTTTTTTTTAAAGTTCCTTTAGCCTCTCTATTCTAACAACTTATGAGCTGCAAGGATTTCCCTTATTTATCATAATAGGTATTAGATGTATCCTGCTTACATTAATTATGTTACCATTCCCAATACCTCTGAACAAAGACGTGCGAGTCAGAATTTCCTTTTTATTGCCTTGAGTGCTATTTTATTTGTCTTTATTTCATATGGTCAAATGCAGATAGTTTCTTTTCAATTGTACACTACCTAGTCTTCCAGGGACATTATGGAAGCGAAAAAGAAAAAGAAAAGAAAAAAAAAAAGGCACGCGCCTTCTGCTGAATTATTAAACTGTACTTAATAAAAATCCGGCAGAAGGTAGTTAATATAAAAAATAGAGTATATCCACTCGGTACCATACAGCTGACAGTTCATTGTGTCATTAATAGGAGATCTATCTCCCTAGAGAAAAGAATATAGACCAAGTCTATAAAACACTTGCTTCGGTCAACTCCAAAAACTGCCAATGGCTGCCTCGACAGTGTATATAGAGAATGGAACGAGATGTGATCCAGTAGTACTTGTTTTAGCTACACACGAGACTGAGCTCGAAATCGAGGATTTCTTTCGGCACATTCACCTACCTTTGTTGGATGTGGACCAAGCATAGGCAGCATCCATCGGATCCACATCAAGCTGACGTGTCTACTGAGTATTGACACGAGTTTGTTGTTAAACTTAGGACAGGATTATTCAAATATTAAGAGTGAGAGATCGTGCCGATCGTGTGTTTCCACAGGAATCAATTAGCAGTACCGAGTACTCCGTAAATAGTCGAATACCCCTCTATGAGAGGATTGGCAAAGAGTCAGTCTCCTCGAAGTCTTATCGATACGATCGTCAATCTTAGCCCCTGGAGTGACTGACTAAGAGCAGATCACTTCAGCTCGGGATCACAGAATTCGAGGGAAGGAGTGCGTAGAGCTAGACTGATCACCAGATTTGTTGTTGACATGAAAAGAAGAGCAAGACAACAGACGGGATTGCAGTGGTTTTATAAAGTGTAAACACTGACACTGATATTTCAGGCGTAAAAACAACGGTCATCATTAGGGCCATACCATGTATGGTATACCCAGTATTACTGAATTCGATCAAAACCAGAAAAACAAGTGACATCAGTATCAACTCCTGCTAGTTACTACAGACGTATTTAGTACCTGTAGATAGTGAAAAAGGGCTTCCCAGTGACTACACCGTAGTATCCTCAACCTTTTGAATCAAGTCATGGTCACCTTGGGCCCAGCAGGCAGATGTGGAAGATGCTATTTTGGTGGTGGCTGTGCTCACCGTAGCTGTGCTCTCTTGGTCAACAGGCATCGTGTCCACGTTGATTGTGAATGTTGGGCTGTTGGCTACACTACGTTGATGGGAAGGACAACTAATAGTGGGCGATAGACAGGGCAATAGACAGCTGAGGACATCAGTCTTCGAGATAGGCTGAGCCAGTAAGGATGTAAAGACCCCCTCTCAGATCTGCCCCATTATGATGCAGGACGCGGTACTATGAACTGTAAATGTGTCGATCGTTCGATACCCATACGCTGTACGGGCAACACCGAAGTATTTGTAGTACACCCTTACAAATACCTACTGACTACTGGGCTTTGGAGGGAATGAACTAGGTAAATTCATCATCGTGGTCTACTCTATCAAGACATATCCTGTGAAGTAGTATAAACTATTTCGTGCTCGATCTGTCTATTGGCTTGGTGTTGATTTGATAGGAAGAAATTGAGGAATCTTTCTTGGTGGGCTTGGTCAGCCAGGCCGCGTGACAAATTTAGACTTTCCTGACTGAGGCACCAACGACTCGCGTCGGCTGAAATTACGCGTTTGAATTGGTATGGAATTACGATTCACACGCATCTAGGATGGTTATCTATCTGAACTGAGAGGGGAATCAATACCCATGAAATTAACTCCAGAGTGACAAATGGGATCCACTAAATGGTCATATTTACAGAGAAGACACACCATCTTAAATTTCTGTGGAAAAGCCCGGCTGAAATCGATCAAATTAACCCAGTAGGGCGGAAGACTAGAGTCCTTAGCACGGGATCGAAATTACGCACGCTGGTAAGGTTCCGTCCTGACCGTCTCGCGTAACTTAACCGCCACCGTCTCGTCTTGTCCCCGTCTCGTCTCGTCTTTGGTCAAACACTTGTCTTCCTTTTTCACTCTCGCTCTCCCAAGTCTCGCTGCCTTCTCGCCAGCTCCCTCGACCTCCACCATCGCAGGGCCATCGCTCGAGGTATCTTAATCATCTCCTTTCTAAGCCTGTATCTCCTCGAACTCATCCACCATCGATTTATTCAATTCTTACGTCGTGAACATGGGTCGTACCGTCGACCAGGAAGTTCACGCGGCGTTCGTCGAGTTCCGCGCCAAGGAAGACGATAAGGTGTGTGACTGACTGACTTCCTAACCTGTATTTCCTTTCCCGTAATATTTCAACCCACCGCCAGACTGACATGACCGATTACTCTCGTTCCCTTCATCCAGTGTCTCTCCGTCCAGTGCATCTACTGCCAGCAGATCCGCGCAAAGAATACCTCACGTCAGAAGCAGCACCTACTCGAGTGCCCTGGTCTCCGCGGCCATACCAACCCCTCGGCTCAGTCCCAGTCCGCCCAGTCCGCCCCGAACGGTATCACCGCCAATGGTTATCCACCCACTCCCAATGGCGCTGCTGCCACAGCTCCTGGTGCTGGTCCTGGCCCGGGTGCCATGCAGACCCCAAATGGTCCTATAATGTCGAATGGGGTCACCCCCCATGCGACGTCGATGCAGACACCGCTGCAGAATATGCAGGGTCGCGCTTCTTTGCCCACGTCGGGCCCTGCCGGGGGCGCCGCATCTACAACCGCCTCACAACAGGCCTCACGCCCTACTCCTAAATCCAAACCGAAGACTTCCACCTCAAGTCTTCCAGCTCCGCCATTGGACGACGTCCATGCGGCATTTGTCGAGTTTCGCGCGAAGGAGGAGGACAAGGTAAGAAGCAGTGGCTCCTTTGGTATAATATGGACTGGATTTTGACGGGAACAAATAAAACAGTGCTTGTCGGTGCAATGCATCTACTGCCAGCAGGTCCGTGCGAAGAACACTAGCCGACAGCGTCAGCACCTGTTGGAGTGTCCGACCTATCTCAGTGTGATGAAAGACTCGATTCCCGCTAACAACCTTCTTCACACTTTCCCTGAAGGCGATGTTGCTCGCTCACTGCAGATTCCCGCGCCCTCCCTCGAACTCGATTTCCGGATGAGTATCAAGATGAACCCCAGAGTTTCCGTTGGTCAAAGTATCTGGGGTCAGAGAGACTGGGTCACGTTCATTGGTGGCCAGTGGGCTGGTAGATGGGGCAAGGGCGTAATCTTGGTAAGGCTTTCATGTATGTCAAAGAGCCAGTTCAAGTTGCTAATATTATCACCAGCCGGGAGGACAGGATTCCCAGATCGTCACCAAAGAGTCCACCACCAGCCTCCGTGCGAGCTACATGCTTCAGACGGCCGACGATCCGCCAGCGTACATCATTGTGAAGACCAGCGGATGGCTCACGGGTGCGAAGGACATTCTAGACAAGGTTAATGACCCGAATATGGCCGACGCAATCAATCCTAATACCTACAAGTACCGGGTCAATCTTTCCATGGAAACAGGGGACGAACGCTATGCATTCTTGAACACTTTAATGTGGATTGGCAGCGGCTGCCGTAGGGGCCACGAAGGCTAGTGGAGCTCTCTTTGGATTGAATTCATATCGCTAACTTTGGAGTAGTTATCTTCGATGCTTTCCGCGTCAATTAACCTGCCACGATATTCCAACTGTTTTGTCGGTTTTTGAGCGAGTAATCACTGTTTTGATGGGGAAAATTCCTGTTATTCTCTCGTTTTCTAAGTTTATCTCAGTACTCATGTGTATTTCTCAGTTTCTGAAGCCTCTGATTTGGAAGCTCGTCTTTTATCTGGTACTCAATTATGGGTCCGCTAGAAGCGTTCCTCAGAACATATCCATGTTCTTTTTTATGACTTCTCTACTTTTATTGCCACTGTAAGGTACCACGTCATTTGTGTTGCAGGGAGGGTACAAGATTGTCGAAATCTCCAACGCAACTTAACCATTTGTGATTTTTTTTTTTTTTTCTCGTTCCGGCTTCTGCTTAACCTAATAAGGCCATGAAATATTCTGTATCTTTATTTGAGAATGGAGAATACCTATTATTTATGCGTTGATCAGTATGATATATAAGTAAGATATGAGAGCCTCATCAGCAAACTAGACATCCTTTATGAGCATCAAATCGTAGTAAATATACAAGCAAATAAACATGACCTTTGTGGAACGGAAAATAAACACTAAATAAAAACACCAAACCCAAAGAATAATGACAAAATATGCTTAAATAGAGTATTACCTCTCTCATTGCAGTCAAAAAACCCATACAGTACCTGGATCCCTGTATTCTAGGTTTAGGTACGCCTTGGTATCTATCCGTAACCCCAGATATGGCCTAGGTAATGGTTTGTCGTGTAATTGCAGGATTCCATTCATTCCTGCTTTATGGTTCGCAATACCGCTAATTAGATAGAATTCAATTCAGTTCACCAAATTCCAGAAATTCTAGTACTTACTGTCTACCTACCTACCTTGATAAACTTAAATATATATGATTATTTTTAATGTAGGTTTAGTGTACACTTATGAGTTTATTTAATTATCTAAGGTAGGTGATTTAACATGTATTATTCGACCTAATAAATATAAGTAATAAGGCAGTAACTTGATTTAGGTAAGATGCTTATTATAAATATACCAGTACTATACAGTATACAACCTAAGTATACTAGGTACAGTTTTACCCCTCAAAATCCATACTGCCCAAGTCTATCCAAATACAATACTGGATTAAATAACATAACCACTTTACTAACCTAAATACCAGGAACTGGTATATAGATTAATAAACTAAGGTGAACAAACTCTATTCATACGTAATTTCATGCATAAACATAATCTACCAGGATATTAGTAAGGAAAGAAATCGTAAGAATTTACATGACTATTTAATATAGGATGATCTAAACATAGTGTCCTAGTATCTAACATCATTGTTTCATTATTAGAAACCTAAAAATCTGTTAGTAGACATTCACTTTTTATATATATGAGATTTCTGACTTACCCTTCTCTGTGTTCCCTTCTCCCATACTCTTGCTGCTGCTGCTACCACTCTGGATAGCCCCCAGGATGCCATCCATGTATGGAGCTCCGCTCCATTTCTGATGGGTGAGGACTTCAACGCCCATTTCTTTCTCGCGAGACTGCACTAGACGCACGTAGGCAAGCATACCCTCGTCTTTGAAGGCACGGGAAAGCTCCGTCGTGATTGTCGCAGTCGTATGCACTCCGGCCAAAGAGATGAGCTGCAGGACAAATCTACACCTTTATTAGTCTTTTTTTTTTTTTTTTTTTTTTTTTCGGGGGGGGGGGGGGGGGGGGAAGAGAGCTTACCCGTGCTGCGCCAGATCCCAGATAAAGGACTTGAGAGAGGCCTCGCCAAAGCCATGGCCCATCCAGTTGAATGACGGGCTGAGGTTGTACACGAGCTTCTTTCCGGGGAATGCGCTGCGCACTTCGCCAGCTAACTTTCCAGCCTTGGAAACGTCTGGGTCGCCGGTTTCAACCCATAGGAGATCCGCATAGGGCGCGAATTCCTTGGCTCGCTTTGTGGCCGCCGGGAAGCCCGCACGGTAGTGGTAGAATCCCTCCCGCGTTCGGGGGCTATCGCAGGACCAGACTACCGGTGCTTTCGTGTAGTCGTTGGCTAAGGCCCTGCGACGGGAGATGGAAAGATCCGGGTTTTCCGTGACATGTTTTTTGTAGGCATCCCTTGCGATCTGCGGGGCTCCCTCTGCTTCAAGGTGTGCATCAACGGCTGATGATCATTAGCGTGAATTTTCCGTGACGGGTGGAGGATGTTAGTACCTTCATCAAAGGTAACGAGCTTGTGTCTCTTGACCCAGTCCAGTTCAAACGCGTTGATCTCCTCCGGAGCAGCGCCTTCCCTCTCCATCGCCTGCAGGGTCTCCGCGAGTGGCTCGACCTCTTCCGTGACTCCAAGAATGAACTCATGGTCGCGGACATCAATAGCACTGCTGATCAACCTCCCACTCTCCGAGTCTGTTCGCGCAATCACCAGGTTCTCAGCACCCATCATGTCCCACTGGAATCGAGCGGCAGTGAGTCTGTTGATATGCTCGCCCATGGGCACAAGCACCTTGCCCGCGAGATGACCGCATTTCTTTCCACCGTGGAGCTGGTCTTCGAAATGAACGGCTGCGGCACCGTTTTCGGCGAAAAGCTTAGCCAGCTTCAACACTGCGGACAGTCCACCATGCCTGCGATACTGTCAACTAACATTCCATTTGCTACCACAGAGAGCAGCATACATACCCAGTATCACCGTCTGCAACAATGGGTCGCATATAATCGACATATGGGATCGACTTTCGTTCTTCCGAAGTCATCTTCCGCCTCGCGTCCCATTGTTTCCGGTCGTGGAGCTGCTGGGCCTTGAATAGTCTCTGGACCTGATTTGGAACGGTGTTGTAGGGGTAATCGCCGAAGTCGGGGGACACTTCGTTGGTAGTCGTCAACAAGGACGAGCATGCCCAGCCAGAGATGTACAGCACTTCCTGGTTTGGAGCCTGTTGTGTCATTTGCACCGGGTCCACGGCGCCCACTGCGGGAATGCGTCAGCCATAACAGTCCCCACCGTTGTCCGCAGATACATACTAGTATGAACGGGTTTGCCCTCCGCAGCTCTCTCATTGAGCAGGTTAAACAACTTGCGCGCCATCAGGGAACTGGGGTAGCTCTGTTGCAGCGAACCCCGTTTGCTGACGACATCGGCGGCCGAGTACGGCCGTTTGATGCCTTCAAAACGGGGTGAATTCCACCATGCTTCTACATCCTTGATCTGCTGTTCGTATAAAGAATCCTCTGCTGCACCAGCCTTGTTGGAGCTGGAGAGAAGCTGGAATGAATCGCCTGGTAATGGGGTGGATACTGGGGGTGTAACAGGCGGAAGGGGTGATGGTGACATCCGCGGATAACCGCATGTGAAGCGGCGCAGGGCGTGCCGAGAGGGATTGCCCGTCGTCGAGGTGAACGAAGGGAGTCGTCGAGGAATTCGACGAGGTACTGAGCGTAACATGATCCGTGGGAAGTATACCAAGTACACAGGAAGGTTATGGCATCAAGAAAGAAAGGAAGAGGAAGTGATTCTTGATCCCCGCCGAAAGTCTTATGTTAATCGACCTCGGGCCGGGGTTGCTTCCCGTTCTCCGGGACCCGTAGAATCCGCCCTGACTAACTACTCTGCCGCAATGGCCGCAGCTACCCGCTTTACAGGTAGAATGTTCGTAAATTTGACGCTTTTATTTGTATCGCTAGCTCTAATGATATATATACATATATATATTCTGATCCAGGAAACCTTTCCAGCAGTGAACCAAAACAACAGCACCCAAGACCTGACTATAAACAATCACACTTCCATCATCCAATATGTACCAGACTACCACTGAATACCATCCTAGGCAATTGGCTTCAGTGGTGCTTTCAACAGCAGCAGAAGAACATCTATAACACCCTGGCCCAATGCAGCAATGGCACCTGGGTTAGTGAGGCTGGTGAAAGAAGTCGACTTGGTGCAGCCCGTCTTAACTGGGACACCTTTCATTCTATCAGTGAGCCAAATGATCGCATCAGGAGCACCGACAATCTCCATGGCGGCGTGTTCGGACAATACATCGCGCTTGTACTCCACATTGGCCCCCTTCCCGCAATAAGAAGTAACCAGATCATCTGTATCTTTGACGGGGCTGACTTCGTCGTTGACCGACTTGTACACAAGAAGAGGTATCTTCGGAGCCTTCTGGCCCAATGCATTGGCATCGAGGACCTTTGTAGCTTCCGGCAGACGGAAGAGGTCCTTATTCTTCGTGTAGCTATAGATGTCCTTATTAAGATAGTGCGCAAGGTCCTCCATCAGACAAAAGTCTTTGGTCTTTAGAAAATCGTCCTTGTTGGAGGGTTCGAGATTATCCTGGACCAGCTTGTCAATATTCGGATACTCATTGGCAAGTCCCTGAATACCGGCCGGGAGCAGCCCAGTGAAAACACCCTTGTTAACGGCTTTGATCACCGACGGGATTTGAGGCACGGTGCCACCCAGCGCAGCGCCGGCAATATGAAGCTCAGGAGCATATTCTGGCTGGAGTTCAGCGGCAAATCCACTGGCAAGACTGCCGCCAGAATATCCCCAGATAGTAACTGTCGGGTTGGAAGCAATATTGGTGAAATTAGAGGAGTCTATCGCAGCGCGGACATTGTCGAGTACGATCTGGCCGGAAAGAGTGTTAGCCAGGAAAGCCGACTTGGTTCCAAGGTGATCCGGAACAGTCACGATCCAGCCTTTTCCAAGGGCTGCGGCGATGAACGCAATTTCCGCTTGGGGCATGGCAAGACCCAGGATGTTGTCATGAGCAGCATGGAGCTGTAAAGCAAATGAGGGAGCACAGTTGGGGTTCGCTGCGTCCTGGGCTACTTGATAGGACAACAGCTTGGTATTATCGGCATTGCGGGGAATGAGAATCGTGGAGGCTGCTACGACGGGTTTCCCGAAAGAATCAGTGCTTCTGTAGAGAAGCTGATGGGCTCCAGCCAAGTTCACTTCGACAATGCTGAATGCTGCAATTGGGAACGGGGGAGTTCGAGATCGAAGGATAGTCCCTGGAGCAGTGGACTCGAAACCCTCGGGGGGAGTGTAAAAAGGATCATCCAGGGGCGGTGTAGGACGTGAATCGTTCGAGGACGTGGCAGCTGGCGCAGCCAGTGCAATGTTTGGCAATAAGGCTAGAGAACATAACAAAAAGGAACGTAGCCTGTACATATTGTGAGATGTACAATATTATTCTTCGTGCTGATGTGACACCCAATTTCAGGGGATGGCATCATCTATATATACAATTCTGCAGCACAGTCTATATTCATTTTGGGCAAAACGTAAATTTATTAAGCTTTCGTACCTGAGTAATGTGAAGAATAGAGCCCAAAATTGAGCAGAAGAATAGTGAAGATCTTTCTCAGTCTATCCGATACCTTCCCCTATCACGTACAATAATACGATGATCAGCGCACTGTGGGGCAAAAAATTACCCAACATCCTCGGGATATCTGCATCACGAGGCAACACTGACCAGACATACTGCCCTCAATATTCCAATTTGGGGAGATGTTGGAACAGTATGGAATACTTGAGTCAATAGATTTGCACGTGTAAGTCAAGTGGAATGTTAATCCTCGGCAATTCATTTAGGAAAACGAGATGCCGTCGATCCTTAATATCTGGGGTAAACGTTGATTGACGGAAACAGGGGATGCAGGATGCAGGATGCAGGATCAGGATCAGGATCAGGGACCTGCTGCTTCTACATCAACTCATTTTTGGGGTCTACGGGGACGTTCTGTGGGGTTTGTTGCAACTCCTAACTCCGAGTCCGTTGGAACCTACGGAGAAGTGGGGCAGGCCTCGTAAGGAATCTTCCACATAACGTGGGACTGATGCCTAAACTTATGATTTAGGAAATTAATTGCATTCAAAGAAGGTAGTGCCACCAGGCTGACAGAGAGTGTATGGTATATCCTGATACTAATTATAGGAAATACCAAGTGTATCTCCAGATATCCCACAATAACAACTTTCCCATCCGTTTGTTCGGAGAAACATCATTCATGAAGCCATAGAAGCGCACCGAACATGTTTGTATGAAACTCCTCCCGATGCTTCCCCAGCACTGATGCGGGATACGCCCATAAATAGTGAGGATATCCAGGATATGCATTATACATGAGCGGCACCTTTACGTCCTCCAAAGCCTCCATCAGCCGAGCGTCATCTCTAAGCGTATCAGCGCCACACTCGACAATATACACCTTTTTCACATCCCCCAGCCGAGGATAAAGAATCGAAGAAGAAAAGTATACGTCATTGAGAGGCGGATCATACGCTTCCAGCCAAGAGTTCATAGCAGCCGATGAGTTGATTGTGCGATCCGCATTTTCCTGCATCTCGGTATACCGGGTCTTTTTATACTCCGGCATGGCATTAGGATGCACCGTGGCAGGGACCAGGGCCAAAATGCCTTTGACCTTATCTTTGAGCCCAGCGTCGATGAGTTTCAGCGCAAGGCCGAAGGTGAAATTGGTACCAGCCGACCCTCCGACGAGCACGACAGATGATGGCGAGAAGTGCTCGAGAGTGCACTTCATGCTTGCAGGCAGTCTTCGAGATCCGTGAGGAACTTGTGCTGAGGTGAAAGGCAATATCCAATGCTGACGACCCGTAGCCTACCGATTTCGCTGATTTGTCGACATACGGGATCTTCAACATCCACACTGTCCATGACCCATCCGCCGCCGTGGATGAATACAGCCACGGGCTCGTCGCCTGTGGCTGATGGGGGTGTGTAGATTCGTATCCAGGCGGTCTCGAGAGTAATTTCTTCGGTCGTGACGGAGTCATCAGGTGCTGGGAAGTCGCATACTTTCATCATCTGTGTTATGATACGATTTCATGTGTTGGCATCTCTTCAATACAGCCGCCAAAGAGGTATGGTACTCCTATTTGTTCGAGGAGCAAGTTAATGCTAATAGATTGTCGCTGACCGGGAGTTGCGTTTGGTAATATGTTTTCCATTATGGTGCGTAGGGACCCATGATTGCAGCTTACAGATAATTGGTTTCAAGCTGAGAATGATGTCTTTTCACAGTCACAGAAGATGATATAAAACCTATTTATATCCTCGAGAAACAACAGTTTCAGCAGCGGAGGGCTAGTCATTGATGACTCATTCTGACGTGAAATAAAATAAGCATCTGCAGACAATAAAAGGATGGTTAAGAGTAGAGTAAATATCTACTGTTGGCTGGGGCATTTAGGCTCTATTCATAATGACTCATTTTGATCCACATGCCTATATTCTCTAATGCCAGGATTTATCTGGCAGTGAAATAGCATGAAGAGCAAGTTTAATTAGGAAAAGATGTTCAATAATAGAATCTATTGAATAATGGTGAACCTCATAATGAGTAGTTAGGTGCAAGCCTATGAACACCATCGGAATGAAGCAGCGGAAATGACACTAAATGTCAATTGATACTGGGAATTGGGGCCTTCCTACCACACAGGGTATTCTGGTATAATTTTATCTTTCTGTTCGGACATCTAATATGCAGAATAGTGTATATGTTGCAATGGTTAGAAGGGTAGAGAACTTAGAACCGACCACAGGCTTGGGCTTCTTGTCCTCTCATGACATTACCCTAAACTTTCAGCTGTATGATTCCAATTGACATGTTTTGAACGATATTTTCGCTTTGCATAACCTGAACAAACTGCCTTACTATGTGAAGGGCGACGCAGGCAGCCGAAGAAGATATCCCTGTGAAAGCTTGGACAGACATTGATAGCAGTTCCACGTGGCTAATTTCGCCATAACCATTGTCTACCATAATTTGTCTCGCCATTTATAATCGCCTATCAAGAGATAGACTGGAGTTTCGACTGAAGCGGGATTGTTGCACATCTGATCAAACTGGGGCCATGTTCGGAGAAAATTCGAGAGGAACTTCTCAACCTGGATTTATCTCGAAGGCTAATAAGGGTGAATAGTTAGTGCGTAGAATTAGCTAGTTTCCAAACATGCTTATGAATGGGTAGATATCGGGCAATGATACTCTAGAATAGCTCGAAGATGGCTTTCATTCCGTTATGCCTGAGCGGAAATACAGAAATTGATACGTTATTTTTTAGTCTTGAAGAGAAATTTGGGTATGGAGTAGTCAGCTTCTCGTCGGTGATCAAGCAAGCTCTATAAATCAATTTTCTCGAAGATGAATATAGCCCTTTCGGTCGAGAGAGCATGCGCTGAATCAGTCTTCGGAAGTTTAGGGTTTCTCAACCCTGTAGTGCTCGAGTCTGGCCATCTGTAATTGGCCATCTATCATCGAATTCACCTTTCTGCCCGTACGGAAGGGAACAAGATCGGAAGAACTATAGCACTCATAGCTGAATATTCGGGCGTCTGCTCTGCATCAATAGCGCCGCGATCTCTAGTTCGTTCTCGGCAAGTTTTCAGTGTTAACATGTATGCGGATCCTGGAACAGACACAATAACGTTTCAGTGGATTGGTTCTGACACTTCGTAAAGTCGGATTTTACAAATCTGGTAACCCGTTAACGGAGTTGAGGAGGGATATTCCCGAATCGGTCGATACTTGATATGACGCATGAGGCTGAGCTTTCATCATTGTATCACCAGTTACGTCAACTATCACTTCAGTCACCCTAGTCTTTCCGAATCAGAAGTCAATATCGGGAAACGCAATTTTCAGTAAGCCATGGGGCGTTTTCCAGAATACTTGTAGAATATTAACCGTTTGGGCCATAATTCTACGAAGTATTGAGCTTGCACAATGTCAGCCAGCTTACGTTGTGGGCTTGCACCAACTGAAGATAAAGTTTTTGAAAAGAGTCCCGCACAGGGATTCCACAGGTACCTACCAACTATCGACTGCAGCTCGATATCCGGTGATTGGACGAAGTGTTCCAGCATCAATAGCTGACATATTCTAAGGAGACTTTGTGGTATACCTCCATTTCAGGTTGTCTTGATCGGTAATAGTATCGCCACCTAGATATAGAGAAACAGATACATTTTGTATCGAATAGACTTAGAAAGGGGATGCTACATGTCAAGTGATCGATCGCCAAATCATCTATCGTTTATCGAGGACGCTGCAGTCATGTCCGCGTACCTTTAGACTGGTACGATCCTTCACACGAACGATCCCATGACTGACTGTTTATTCCTGAAAGAAGCTTGGAACCTATTGAGAGACAATCCAGCTTCTTCAAACTTTTAAGGTCCAAACTTGCGGAGGCCCACTACAGCTTTAACGTATGCAAAGCGCTCGTGACGCTGAACTTTAAATAAAATCGGGAAATGTCCCGAAGTGTGCCATGGGTCAACCAGAAGGTGACTCGAACAACCAAAGATATGAACCAGATAACATTAGCTGGCAGAGTGACAGTGGTGTTGCAGACCTTGGGACACTTCATGTTAGCATGGATACCAGACACTGCAAAATAAGCCTTACCTAGTGCCTACTAAGGCAGCATGAAGCTCTATCACCTGCTCTCCTGCAGCACCATAAGCGCATGCGTCGTGTAGTCTGGCTGATGAGGAGGGAAGTAGAATGCAGTACATGAAGAGAGCCGACCCAGAGGGCCTTATCTAATTACGGCACGAGCTAAAGTACTTAAAACGCAGATGAACTGGAGAAAATAAAGGAACTAGAGGAACTAGAGTCTCCTGGGTGGTTACACAGTCGGAGCATCACGTGTGCAACAATACGGATCGAGAACCTTTCGTGTCCAAACGTGCCTAAAACTCCACGTTCACGCCCGTCATGATTCGTGGCACATTTCAATACTCGAATAACTATTGAGTAATGAGTTCTATCGCACGCCCTTGAATGTGGGGATGGTCACTCCCTAAGTCTGGCCAACTCCAGAATGTTTACATTGCAACCCCAGTCCTCGGCTATAGTGGGACTGGACTGACTAATTGCGACATGACTATAGAGCGAACTCCTAGCGGTTCTTTACTCAGAGGCTTATTATCCTTCCTAGCTGTTATCTATATGGAGTATCCTATAGAATCTTCCCAAGGCACCTGACGAATCCGCGGGTTGGGATTTTCTCACGCGAGCCAACCGCCATCCTTGGATCCATCGTCACCGTGTGGCGTTTCGCTACCCCATCATCTCTCCTCACGGCCCCCGAAGGCCTGATCGCTCGCATTTACTTATTGCTTTGATTTTCAGGCCACATTCAGTCAGGTTGAATAAAATAATACATGGATGGGAATATTGCCGGGCAACACGCAAGGTGGGTGTTGGCTTCTTCCCTTCCCTACTCCCTACCCCACCCCTCCTCCATTCATTAACGCATGATGCATAAAGAAACGCTTTCATCTCCAATTCGTTCCTGTGCCTATAATGGATACCCCGTTCCTTGTCTGAGCTCCTGCCTTGGATCGGCGAATCCGCGTTGCCCACCTCGCTCCATGGGTCTCCGCAATCTGTTGCTCTAGTGGCTCTCTTATCACCCCGATGCGTGTTTCTCCTCACCGTTCGGGGCTCTTTCGGGCATTGAGTTATCTATCTATCGTTGCTCATCTTTCTCCTATCTATCCATCTTTGTCTGTTGTCTGATACGGCTTAAAGGCCCTATCTGGTCTGTTGCACCTCACAAATCTCCCCAAGTCTTCCGGTCTTTTTAGTTCTTGCTGTTTTGTTTTGTTTTGTTTCGGCTGTTGTCTTTTTGGCCTGTACAACATATTACTTCGCACCTCTGCCATAACTTTTGTCTTATATGTTTGGTTGCGCTTTAGCAGTGTCCATGTTATCGATCCCCTTTTTGGGATGGAAGACATCAAGATCCCTTCGCCGTCCGCTATTTTAGACATCCCAGCCACTGCTCCTTCCGCCGGTGGACAATCCATATCGCCCACCTCCCCTAAGAAGACCGCTTCAGCGATTACTAACAAGCCCAAACAGTCAAAAAGCCGTAATGGTACGGGATCCACCTGTTCTTTAAATCATTCATGGAGGAAGATGGCGCAACAAAAAAAAAAAAAAAAAAAAAAAAAAAAAAAAAAAGAGAGGACCTGGTGCTTTACAAATGCGCAGTGCGCTGACCATGTCGTGATCTTATATCCCAGGCTGTATTACCTGCAAGACAAAGCGACTAAAATGCGACGAGTCAAAGCCGACTTGCCTGCAATGCAAAAAGCGGAATGTGGACTGTGGCGGATACAGAAAAGATTTCAAATGGCGCCCATTCGAGGAAAGCAACATTGCTGGCAAGGTCTCGGTTACAAAGCCAAAGAAAGGTAGGCAGGAACTACCCACCTCGATCGGATTTACCATCAAGGGGTCCTCTGACAGCAAATCTATATAGCCACCTTGTCACCCCCTACCAGTGGGAGGGCCTATCCTGGGCCTACAGCACCGCCCACAGGAGAGCATTCTACCATCCGGACAGTAGATCAGGCAACGGTATCGAAAGGTATATCGCTGGAATCTGGCAGTTTTCCAGGCTCAGATAAACTCTCCCCCACCCTGCACGATTCTCCTTTAAGCCAGCCCAGATTGTCAGCGCTGCAGAACGACCTTAATATATATACGGATGACTTCCTAAACCATCATAGGCTGCGTAGTCTTGGTGGAGATGTCAATGCACCATCACTGGCAGAGATCACACCTTCGGACCAATCGCCATGGCTATCTGACATGTCCTTCCCAACCGCGGAACCAGGAACCAGTCCTGAACAGGGTACACTCGCTTTGTCTGATGATGGTAGCCTTCAAGCACCTGAGAGCTTCAGCTTCGAAGCACTGCTTGAGGGAGACCATGAGGATATAGAGGAAATTGCGCGTCAGCCCGACCGGAGGAGCATAGGGCCAATTCAAGGACTAGCTGGATCAGGTTCCTTCTCGCACGTTGATGACATGAACGCCGCACTTGGCTTGCTTAGAGAGCCCAATCTTGGTATTGCAAGCCCGGAATTATTAGTGTTACAATTCGACAGGGTTACCTGTGGGATACTATCTATAAAAGATGGGGCCCATGAAAACCCATGGAGAACGCTGATATGGCCGTTGGCTAAAGACACCCCGGCACTCTACCATGCAGTTTTTTCTTTGGCTGCCTTCCATTCAAGCAAAGAAGTCCCAGCATTTAGGGTACTTGGAGTGGATCACATGCGTAAGAGCATCACTTGCATGGTGCGAGATATACAGAACATGAGAGCGGATGCCGCTTTAGCAACGAGTCTAGCTCTCGCCTTCGCCGATACCTGGGATCAGACCACTCGCTCCTGTATCCAGCACCTTCGAGGTGCTAAGGCACTGGTGTCGCAGGTTGTTGGTTTTGGATTGCAGAACGGGTTGTGTGGGGCCGATCTAGAAAGGGTCCGGTTTCTTTATAATACTTGGTTGTATATGGACGTTATTGCGCGTTTGACATCTCAAGAAGATTGTGGGAGCCCGGAAATAGACTTGTCGATCCTTCAACTCCCTAATGATGCGGTGCATGAGATTGATCCTTTGATGGGTTGTGCCACCACACTTTTCCCGCTCATAGACCGAGTTGCCCGATTAATACAAAGAGTACGAAAAACGGATTCCAACTCCGTCTCACTCGTATCCCAGGCCATCGAGCTGAAGAGGCTTGTCGAGCAGTGGGAACCCCCAGAGTGGTTTGAGCCGCCCGAGGATCCAACCTCTGAGGTTCAGCATAGTATCCAAACTGCACATGCTTATCGTTGGGCGACACTTCTCTATCTTCACCAGGCCGTTCCAGAAATGCCCTCCGAACCAGCCTCTGAGCTAGCAAAACGAGTATTGATTTTGCTAGCCACAGTCCCACCTAGTTCTCGTACGACGATTATCCAGATGTTTCCCCTGTTAGCGGCTGGCTGTGAGGCGGACCAAGAAGAGGACCGCCAGTGGGTGTCGAATCGGTGGACGGCAATCCAGACTCGCGTTATGCTGGGTTCGATTGATCGGTGTATTGATGTGGTCCGTGAAGTCTGGACTCGTCGGGATGCTTTCGAGGCAGAGAAACAGCGACGGCAGGCCCGCACGGCTGGCCGTTCCAACTCCCACGCCATTCCTCGGGATATGGGACGAGACCCGTTATCGTTTTCAGGTTCCATACTAGGGGAACGCCCATCCAATTACAATAATAATAATATTTACGATAAAGATCCTCGGCGACGGTCGATAGCGGAGGAGCGTGCGGTGCCCTCTAGGGCGTCTGCTGGAAACCACCAGCGAAGCTTGACAGCATCTCCGCTGGAAAATATCGAGTTTGAAAAAACAGTTAGGGGAAGTTTACACTGGGTCAATGTGATGCAGGAATGGGGTTGGGAAGGTAAGCGTTTATGGTTCTTGCCTTGTCTCGATGACGACTGATAAATTTCATTTTTGGTACCATATAGTATTCCTAGGGTGAGAAGCAGGAAGATCAGTCCTTATCCAACCGGGTTGCACATTTTTGTAGCATAGGAAGTCTGCGGTCGGCACGAGCATCCTCCTTGACCTTTTTGAAACGCTTCGACTCCCGCCGCGAATCCTCCGCCGTTGAAGAATCGGTGGAGTCGGTCGTCATCTCATCAGCCCCCTCCTCGTCCACCGGTCGAGGGGTTGCAATGTTATTTTTAGCTAGGTACGAGCGGAGCGAAGCCAAGTATGGCTCCAGATCGCTCGTGATCGACACGGTGGCCATTTGCTGCGCTGGGGTTGTGATGGGCACTTTCTTGTATCTCGGGATCATCTGTTCAGACTGGCCTTTCCTTTTACAATCTGGTCCTCGGGTTGATCAGCACGGCATTTCATGCTTGGGCAGTATGGATAGTTCACTTGCAAATACGGACATAATGGCTGTTAAGAGGTCTCCGGGTGAGAGAATGATGCGAGCGATTAAAATGATATTGTAAGTTTCGTCCAGTACGCTCTCAGGATAGCTGCGTCGGATTTACTTTTCGAAGATGGCGCATGGGATGTAGACACAGTATATCTGCTTTGGGGAGATGTGGGCGTCGAAAAGAACCAAAAGAGTAACGGACGATGTTGCAGTGGACGGGCCAAGCGGGGTCCAATCGATAATTGATGCGCGGATATATTTTATCGACGAAGTCGAAAGCCGAAGCACTTGGTAGCACTTGATGGATTAGATAGAGACTATCTATCGAGATTACTGACAAGCCAGCAGTAATGTTCGTATACGTTCGTAATATAGCAGCAGGCAGAAATCGAAAGGCAGGAACAAAAGAGAACCGGGTACGACAGGACAAGATATCACGATGAATGATTAGTCCCGCCTTGAAAATTGATGGGTTTCTGCACAGGCACGACGACAAGATCGATATCCAAGATCTGCATTGGGTGCTTGGCTCGACTCGACTCAACTCGACAGACTGGAAGAAATCGAAGGGCTTCAGAAATGCGTGGGATGCGTTGCTGCATGGGCTGGCTAATCTGGCTGCGTGGTTGTTTGACGGTTGTCCGCGGCGATAGTCGAGAGAAGTTGATCAGAAGTAGCAGAAAAGAAGGGAAAAGAACGGAAAGGGGGGAGAAATGAGGTATTTTATTTTCTTTCTGTCTCTCTGTTCTGTCTTATTCTGTGGGTTCCGGATAATGCCTTGATCCGGATCAAACCATAATGGCGTCAGAATGGATTGGGTTTGCAGACCATGACCGATCTTTCCTTTCCTGGCGTAGTTAATAGGATGGATCACTTGTACTGCAAGGTGAGCTGAAGAAGAGGAATGACAGGAGGGGGATTTTCGACTTCTGCTGAGGTCGTATCCTTGGGACAGGATGAATGAATCGTTTGGAAGCCTCAGTGCGGGGAAGACTGAGGACGGGATGGGAAATACTAGCCCGTCTGGGGAAAAGAATCCAGCCGAGTGGGGCTAGCCTGAAAAGGCAGTGTATAGTTATTGACTTTTTGGGGCGTAGATTTCCTTGGGTTTTGGAGTCGAGTCTACTCCATACTAGTGTTTGATTTTTAATGAGGTTATCGGATTGGTCCCCTCTGCGTTCATGGACTTAGTACAGCACCATAGGTAGTGAGAAGATTTTCTGTGCAATAGATTTACCAGGGTGTACTGGTATTTAAAGGGTAGAACTATATGCTTATGGGTAAAATATAGCAGGTGTACAATGTAGTGCTTAGTAATGCTATTCTTATTAGTTAGTTAGAGCAGGCCCATCAGTATACAGCTATTCCTAGTAAATCTGTTTCTGTATATGTAAGTCGGCATCTGATTCTTTCCAATGATTGCCTACCTATCCTTGCCCTGGTATTACTTTCCGCATTTCAATCTTTGATTTATCTCGCAGGCCTGTACTCCGTACCATAGGCTCTATTTCGATTTAAGTATCAGATTTCTTAATGTGGATATCATACTCTATACAACTCCAGTCCTAGAAGTCGGCACCTTAGAAGCTCACGTGATAATTAGGGAATTATTAACAGGTTAAAAACTTCATGCAGGTAGACCATTAATAGAAGATGGACAATCATGAGAAATAAAAGTAGTCAGTCAGGGTTATGTTATGGATTTATTTAGAGTGTAAGGATAAAAAAAACCACATCATGGCTATTATTAACAGCGATAGTATTGTTCCCGGGGTAGGTCCATCTCTAAGCAATGGTTTACTCTATTTGGGGTTTATAATATCCATGACGTATAGAATAGAACCATGGTACGGAGGTGATGGCACGTTCAGAATCCGAGTCGTAGAAAAGAAGTAGAATAGCAGCATGGATGTTCCTTCGAGTTACTGTCCCATGGATCCTTGAGAATTATTCGAGTATGGGATATCCCAGTGTGCTCTGTAGCATGTATCACTTTTTGTATGTCTAGAAAGGCATAACGGAAGAATTCCCATGCTTTGTCTACCTAACTGACTTGATATTTGTGAATAGTTATATCAGGGTGGATTATCCAGTAATTCTGTCCTTGGGTGTTTAAGTGGACAGATACATAATACATTGATATCGCGGAGTTGTTAATTAAGGACTGTCGAAATGTTAACATAGAAGCTCGGGGATATGTCCTTTGCTGCTGTAAGGCACGCAGATAAAATCTCATCTTCCGGTTGTTTGGTCAAAACGAATGAATATGTCCAGTCAATAAATAAATATTCGACACATGGCAAAATCGTAGACCGATTCAAAACCAGTCCATATATGACCCAAACGATGAGATGGCTTCACGCGGTCTAAACTGGAAATGAAGATATATTCCATATCATCTGCTTTTTGTATTCACCATCCACGGATACAAGTAAGCTTCGACGTCACTAATGACCAGGTAGGGCTATGGATGAGAGCAAATTGATGGGCTCTGGAGGGTATACCCTTTTTCAGAATGGTCGTTTGCGTGTCTCATTGTCTCTTCGGCAGACTATCAAGGTCTTAGTAGGCTGGGTGATTCATGATGGTCTTTAAGCTGGCCATGGTCCATATCAGGCCAGGACACAGGTCTATGCCATAGGAATTACATCCACAAGTCGGTTCTGAAGTCTGAATGTCGGCTAACTCATTCTGAGGCCCTGGTTTTATGCTTTTTGAAAATTGGGTCTTACCTCGTCATCTGTATATAGTCTCTTCTGATTTAAAAGACTATGATAAGTTGTAAGTTATCTTCAAAGAGTACCTGTGGACCCAAACCATCCATACTTAGCAGCAACTTTGAAATAGATGTATCAAAAACTGCATGACATCGTTCATTTCGATATATATAGAACGTAGGATGCTGCTGGATCAATTTCGACGGTAAACGATTTGAAACCATTATGTATAGCCGAAAATATCACCTTTAAGGTTAAATGCCTGTCGAGTCCATTTTTCTGTTTGACAATAAACCCTTAGAACTTGGTTTTTTCTCATGGCCATACCACAGTACATGAAAATTTCGAGATGCTTGATTTAGAGCGTACTCATCGGCAAAGATATTCCCCGGTGCTCTGCTAATGATGTGAATCATCGTTGCTCGAAAGTTGTATTGACTCTCGAGATTGGATGGAGCCTATCCTAGCATATGTTTTGCATAGATAGCGCGACTTGTTGTGTTGTCCTGAAACACTATGATAATGAGACTATTATTTTAGTCCTTGTAGTTGATATATCAAAGACCAAGGGTTCGCTAATAGTTGCACATTCTAACCTGCCGGTTCTATATGTATCCGAAATAGACTATCCCCCGTCAGTCATCATATGAACACAGGTTCCAGGCTTACTGACTCTGAAGGCTAAGGTTTTGTAAATCTTTTCGTCGCAGACGATGCAATGACTCAACTGATCAGCCTATCATGAAGACTCCCGATAGCAAGGATCTGACCGAAAGCGCAGGAAGAAGCAGATGGTTGTTTGGCTTCTAGGGTTATAGATGTGGAAGTCGAGTGGTGCATCGTGCGATAGGATAACATGTATCCTCTGTACGTAGAAGGTAGTTAGCTCCCATTTATATTGAACAGCCAATAGTTCGCCCACTAGTTCTCTAGAAAGCAATTGCTAAGGTGGTGCAACCAGTCAGTCCAGCTTTCGTAGTAATGTTCACTGACTGAGTGCCTCCATCATAGGAAGTGATGAAATAATCGCCCATAGTGCTTTAGTCCATAAACCTGATTTATTTTCAACTTTGGCATCCGGTAGTTCATATGACCTGGTATCCAGCTTGGATGTAAAGGGCTAATCTAGGATTCGATCAAGGTTAGTTGCATTCAAATAATATCCTGCATCGAGGCTATGACATGAATCAATCCTCGCGTCATAGGAGATGACAGAAAGGTCACTGAGGCCTTCCACGAGTGTCATAGGTTGTGCCTATGGTAAGAGCAGAATCAATCGTCCTAATTCAGAAGAACTCCCTGTAATAGAAAGAACTGCATAGTGGACAATATTAGGACCTATCTACTATTCTTGACAATGTAGGAAGTCCCCTCATCACCTGTCAGTGAATTGGAGAGGCACCGAAGCTGCATGAACTCCGATTGCCTATTCCAGAAGCTGGATCCGATACTGGATATCACTGGTTCTCATCATTTCTTCTGAGAAAACTATAAGTAGATGATTGCGGGGGCATGATTCAATGAGTATCAACTATTTCTCAAGCTCTACTTTCCATTCACGTGTCCCAGACTTAGCAAGCAACATGACTATTCCGTTGTTCTACCACACGCAGGCTCAGTCCACTTTTAAACTCCCACTGATTGCTAATGAGAATGCATATTTGGGGGACATCGATTCGAGGTATGAACATCTTAATTCACGTAAGGAAGAGAGGCTACATAGTTATCAAACATTTAGTGAACACAACAGTCCCGAAAAACCTATCTCGGCCGTCTCGAAAAAGGCACCCCGCTTGTCTACCAGTACATTTACGATGAGCTAAAATCATCCTGGAGGATGAATTTGAGATATCTGATGGCCAGAAATTCGCCGCAACACCGGGCGGCGTGTTCCATTTCCCAAGGGGGCGAAGACAACGTTTACGACGCCGTCGTATGGACCGGCTTTCTATGTGAGTCTTCCTAGGTTCTAGGATGGGGATGGAGCACGGAGAATGTAAAGATCAAAAGAACCAGGCTGACGTGGTGGATAGACTGGACAAAGAGCCAAGGGAGCCGCTTGAAGGATCAACACCGAACGAGAGATATGAGACGGCTGGGCGGGAGGGATGGGAGCTGGATCAGCACACAAGGAGATGCGATGACGATTGTTTGTTTGGATCTTCAGACTTGGGATTCCAACCATGGATCGGGTCCCCACTGTCAACCATGGTTCAATTAGCAGAAGATCTATGAAATAGGAACGATGTTATCATGCAGGGAATCTGGATCAACATGGATGCCTGCGAGATTGTCATGGGTTTGGGAGGGTTAAATTTTTTTTTTTAAAAAAAAAGGCACAAAAGCTGTTCCTGTGTGTACTGTGTAGACCTGGAGAATGGACCATTGTGCAATCAAGCCGTCCGATTTAGAAGAAAGCCCAAATGGAATCGACGAGATGAAATAGACGAACCCAGCGAAAAAACGGTCCGATCACCCGGCTCCATAGATCTAGTTCGATCTCGCTAACTAACGCCCGGTCAGTAGTGGTAAATGACTTGCAGGGCCGCCGAGCCCAATCAGCAGTTATTTCGAGGAGATCAAATCTCGGGGTTCAGCTGCATTCAGTGAATTGAAGGGAGTTGCCAGGGGAAACCGTCCAAGGGCCAGTGGCGGTGGGGGCATGTGGCTGGCTGGCGGTCGCTCCTCCTTGGACTTCATCGTCATCCCATCTGCGTCTCATCCCTGCTTGCTTGCTTGCTTGTTTTTCTTCCTTGGACCATTTCCCTCTTTTCTTTTCTCTCGCCGTTTTTCTCTCTCCACCTCGGAAAGAACAAACGAACAAAAGAAAGGAGGAAAAAAGAAAAGAAAGAAACTCTCTCAAACTCCCCATTCTACCTCCCGTGTCTCGATCTAGAACAAAGCCATTTTCCTCGACATTGACGGAAGTGGCTTGTGAACCAAACTGACTTCAGTTTCTTTGTTTTCTCCCCCTCGTTGCTTTTTTCTTTTTCTTTTTCTTTCTCGGTGTATTATTCCTCCACTGAGTCTCAGACCTCTCAATATCGTCCGATTCTGCGGTCTCTCTGTTTCCGCCCCTCCACCGACACACGAACCACGACGCCTCAGTCCCCTTATTAAGGGGTCTGTCGCCTACGTTGACGGACGGATCACATTGGAGGTCTCCCTGAAACCTTCGTGTCAGCTATAGTTACCATGACCCTAGAAGTCGAGTCGACCGATCGCCCAAGCTTGCGGCTGCCCAATCCCCCTCCGCTGCTACACACGCGTTCGGGCAACGAACCTCTCGATCGCCCCTCCACTCCTGCCGAAAATGGCTTTACCAGCCCTGTTCAGACTCCTCAGGGCAGTCCAAGCAAAAGCAGATTCCCACCGGGGGCCATTGATTTACCCAATGTCTTCGACAAGGCCATGAAATTGAACCCCACCTCACCCACCAAGAATACCTACAATCACTACAACCATCCTATGTTCGCGCCACCCCAGGGCGCAGGAGAAGATTTCAACGAAAGCGTCATCCGTCAGCCTCAGGCAAGCCCGACCCGGAAGGGCAATAAAGAAAACCGACCTCTTAGCCCCTCTCGATTGGCGAAGAACCTCGGTCCCAACCCTGCGGCGGCAGCGATCTCTCGTCACGAGCATTACCAAACCCGCGATATGGAGAGTATCCAACGACGTCAGGTCGCGATGCGCGGGTTGACCCCAGAGGAGATGGAAAAGCTGCAGGATCCCCGAGTCAAGCGGTTGGTCAATGTCACTCAGCTTTGTAAGTGTACCGCGAGGCTTGTTGTGGCCTTTTTTTTTTTTTTTTTTTTATCTGCTAACAAAACCAGATTTCCTGGATCATTACTTTGATCTGCTTAGCTACGTTCATAACCGTCAAAATCGTTATTCTCAGTTTCGAGCTGCATACCCCGAGCCACCCGTGACATCAATGGACGAGTACGAGCCGGCCCTCCTAAAATATCTGGGGCGGGAACGCGCCCACCTGCGCAAACGACGCACACGACTCCGTCAACATGACTTCCAGATTTTGACCCAGGTTGGACAGGGCGGTTACGGACAGGTGTATTTGGCGCAAAAGAAGGATACGCGGGAGGTGTGCGCGTTAAAGGTGATGAGCAAGAAGCTGTTGTTTAAGCTGGACGAAATCCGACACATTCTCACGGAGCGCGATATTTTGACGGCTGCCAAGAGCGAGTGGCTCGTCAAGTTGCTATACGCCTTCCAGGACGATGACCAGATTTATCTGGCGATGGAATACGTTCCCGGGGGAGATTTTCGCACTCTGCTGAACAACACTGGAGTCCTGCATAATCGCCATGCGCGGTATTACATTGCCGAAATGTTCAGCTGCATCGACGCTCTGCATGCCTTGGGATACATTCATCGCGACCTCAAACCGGAGAACTTCCTCATTGACTCAACAGGTCATGTGAAACTGACAGATTTTGGCTTGGCAGCAGGCATGTTGAATCCTGGCAAAATTGAGTCCATGCGAGTGAAACTGGAAGAGGTGGGCAATACCCCCGTGCCATTTGGCCGGCCGATGGAGCAGCGCAGCATGGCCGAGCGGCGGCAGGGGTATCGGACGCTGCGGGAGCGCCAGGTGAACTACGCCAAATCCATCGTGGGGTCACCGGATTACATGGCGCCGGAGGTGCTGAAGGGCGAGGAGTACGACTTCACGGTAGATTACTGGAGCCTTGGGTGCATGCTCTTTGAGGCGCTAGCCGGTTACCCGCCATTTGCAGGCGCAACGGTGGATGAGACATGGCAGAATCTGAAAAACTGGCAAAAGGTGCTGCGCAAGCCCGTGTACGAGGATCCAAACTATTTCCTGTCGCGCCGCACGTGGGATCTGATCACCAAACTTGTGGCATCCAAGGACCGCCGCTTCAAGAATATCCATGAGATCCACGCCCACGACTACTTCAGCGAGGTCGACTTTGACCGATTGCGCGAGCAGCGCGCACCCTTTGTTCCAGAGCTGGATTCGGAGACTGATGCTGGATACTTTGATGACTTTTCCAACGAAGCGGACATGGCCAAGTACAAGGAGGTTCATGACAAGCAACGAGCATTGGAGGAAATGGCGGACCGTGATGATAAGATGAGCAAAGGACTATTTGTAGGGTTTACATTCCGGTAAGTTGTCCCTGTCCTGCCCTTCCGACCTCGGACGCATGATTCTGACGGATACAGGCATCGGAAACCGGCCATGGATGGGATGGGCCGCGGTTCGCCACGGAAGCCGATTGCGACGGACGGATCATTTGGCACAATGTTCTAAGCTGCATGACATGTTTCTTTTCTTTCATTTCAGTTTCCTGTCACTATGTTCGGGCACGGCACGAGCTGGATCTCGCAATGACCTTGAGCATGAGACTGACTTCAGCGAGTATGTGTTTAATGTTCATCGCCACCTGACTTGTATGCATTATCACCGGTTTGTTAGGGGGTGTCATGGTCTGGAGTTGAGTGTATTGTTTGTATGATACATAGATGGTATCGTAGGTCTGATAATACAGTCAAATCACCTGGAGACTAATCAATCCACATCCAACTGGTGCACCATTTTGAGAATTTCCGACTCGTTATCGCCCAGGACTGCCTTTCCATTTGTCCAGTCAACCGTCTAATCTGTTAGCAACCCAGCCATTGTTGAGGTAAAGTAAAACAACCAAAAACAGGAAAGATGAAAATAAAGGAACATACAACAGGTCTAACAAAAACCCCCGGATCCTCCTTGAACCTCTTCAAAGCATCCTCTGCATCCTTTGCCCCGCGAACCACCTCCTCAATCGCATATTGTTTTGTGTTTTGGCCTGCCCCCGCGGGATTCGCAGTCACGTAGTCAAGGATATTTCGTAGTTGATCGGAAGTCGGCGGCGCGGTTGTGATCTCTAGTTGGAACTCGCCGCGTCGTGAATCTACTGTCCCGGCCTCAGCGGCTGTCGCGGCTTGTTTGAGAATGGTTAATACCCGCGATGAAGAGGGTAGGGCGGGAGTGTGGAAGAGGGTGATTGGGTCGAGGGTTTTTGCCTTTTTGTTAGATTAGTGGGGTGGGCAGGTTGGATAAGTCAATGGGATGGGATGGGATGGGTTCTTACGAAGCGGAAGACCATTTTCGTAGGTACCTAGGTAGTAGGTTGGTAGGTAGGTAGATTTAAGGAGGAAGGTGAATCGGGTGGTTATTGGTGGTGGTCGAGATTGATTGTGGTGAGAGGTAGGAATGATTACGTCATGCAGGTATATCGGTCTACTCTCGTCCCTATGATTCATATTGGATACATTGTGAGAAAGTAGATCAATAATCAAACTCTATGGGTATAATATCTATATACAACGTATCACTCATCTACCATCCAAATTTCTCCACATGCAGATATATCCCCTGCGCCCCTGTTCCCTTGTGGACGGCCCGCTCATCGCTCAAATACACCACACTGCGACGCACATCATCTGACAGTCCCTGCGGTCCGCAGACCACTACTGCGCTCTCGCCTTCGGCTCTCTCCAAGACCTTGCGAATAAGGGTCCGGGGTTGAGGACGACCGGACACAAGGTTCAGTGAATGGGTGGTTGGCCTAGAGATAGGTCCTGCGTCCGGTATTTCTGTCTCCTTAGACACCGTCGCTTCCAATACTGTATCTTGAGGCTTGACTTCTGACAGCGCGGCATGGCCGGAGCAGGTGCATTTGTGTTCAGTGGCTTTGTCCTCATCTTCGATGGCGATGGTGCAGCAGCAGCATCCGCGGCCAGGGCGATAATTTGACTCTGAAGACGAGGAAACGGAATTAATTGAGATATTGTCCTTTTGGTCCTCTACAGGTGGCTTCTCCTTCTCATCGATATTGGTAATAGTGGCAGTTTCTGTCATCTCAAGCAGGGCTTGTGAGCATGGTGCCTGCCCAGCTGACGGCTGGGGCTCTAGTTCTTCGTCGCAGGTTAAGTAGATGCTCATCTCGAGCTCCTTAATTAGGTCCGGCTGAGCGCGTTGACATTCCTCCACGTCAGCTAGCACCGACTGCAGTTGTGATTCGAACCACTTGAGCTGAGTCTGTGATTTGATCACCCAGACGAATCGAATGCGCTTTGTTACGACCCGGCGGGCTTTCTTCCCAGATCCGATGGCATATTCTGCTTTCCACCCCGCGATAAGGCCACGAAGACATGGCAACGTAAACGTTGCTCCCATGCCGCCTGCGAGCAGCACCACACTGTCGAACTGGCCGAGGGGTCTGATTGCACCATATGGCCCGTCGATGAATACCGTGCGCGGTCGTTTTCCCGGTGTTGTGTCGGCAGAACCAAACACCTGGTGTTTGGATGCGTACTGGAAAAATCTCCGGGTCCCGCCTTTCTCGGCCCGAATCAGGAATTCCATCTTATTGTCTTCGGGGATCGATGCAATAGTAAAAGGATGACTTTGTAGCGGTGCAATTGAATGACAGTTGAGGAAGACGTGTTGACCTGGTTTCCATCGGATCCCAGGGTTGTCGATTGTAATGCGAGTGACATTTCCTGGCAGCGGGGTGAATGTAGCACGGTTAGCCCAGAGTGCATGTCCCGCATTCTGCTTTGAGCGATGGAAAATCGACAAATTAGCGTACGTAGCCCAGGCATAACGGGCGACTCTGTCGAACACGAGAAGTCCAATGGGGATCCAGACCCAAACTTTGACCTCGTCAGGGGCATGAAACCACACGGCGACGATAAACCCGACAAAAGTCACTAGGTGCTGCAGGACGAAGAATTCGTAGCTCAATCGTCGGACCGGCGCAGCAGTTGAAATCACAATAAAGGTGAGAATACACCATGCAGCAAATCCCCGCTTACTCAGTTCGTCGTTTTTCAGCTGATACGTGATGTAGTCATAGCGACCCCAGTTGCGGAACCAAAAGCCCATGTGGATTGTTGCTGTCAGCCAGAGGGTCCGGGCAATCCAGCGATGGAACCAATTCAGACGTTCGTAGCTCAAGCCTACCAAGAACCCGATGAGGTTCTGTCTTCCCGCCAGCAGGAAAATCAGCGGCAGTTGGGCGATGGAGACGAAACCAGTGCGGTAACCGACATCTTCCCATTTCCACTGATCCATTGTGTCCAATTTATAAAAGCAGAAGACCAGCACCACGACAAGGTTCGCGAGAATGATAGACAATGGACCCAATGGGACAAAATGAAAGGTGCGGCCGCCGATTGAGAAGGGAGGCACTGTCGCGTAGCTTGCCTCCCGGGTTATCGCCGTGGCAGTTGCATAAGTATTGAAAAATAGAGACTTTGGCTTGGATGGGGTGAGTGTTGAGTCCCAGACTCTGAACGACGTTAGTAATGCAACTCCCTCAGCACCCAACATCGTCGGCAATACCTCTGAAATGCTAGGTAGCCATTTATTCCATTGACAACGGTTGCAGCTGCAATGGCACTTCCCACAACTACCCAGTACATTTTCTGGAGATAGAAGAGGTCGGGAACGCCATCGCCCATATGCATATGGCCCATAGGACCCATTGTCATGCCGGGCATCGACATGGTGGGCGATTCCAGGGAAACAAGGGTTGATCAACTGAAGAGGTAGCTATGCGAGGAGACGTTAGCGGGGCTCTCAGGGCATCTTCAGGCTAACTATAAGTATCTCCAGATATCAGTTGGATAGGGTGAAGAGTGGTGGATGCAAGTGAGCAAGAGAAAAGAAGACCGAATATCCAGGGTCACGGGACCCTCTCCCGTCGGATGCTACCTCCTCAGCATTCACAAGAGTAATCGAATATTAATTGAGTGGCCGATAATATCTGGAATGGATCTGAAAATTGAATGCTCTGGTGTAGTAATAATCTGCTCATCACTAGGGGTCTCCTTGCTGATTGGCCAGAAACATGCTCACCCCCACCAGTATTGTCCAACCAATGACGAGAGAACGTGCTCACCCGCAGAAAATGGGCTCTAATGTGGGCTGCGATGGGCCTTGCTGGACCGCATAGATTAGGTTCGTCTCATATATCACCACTGAAACGGATTATATCATGTCTCAATTTCTCCCCCTCTTTCCCCCCTCTTCCTCCGTTCTACGTCCTATATCTCTTCCCTCCCACCAGTCATTATATACAATTAGATTCTAGAATCTGGATCTGGTTACTGTGGCATTTACTACGGATCATACGTAACTACATCACCGCATCCGTCGATTCCGCTCAACCAGCTTTCACCATGGATATGAGCAATATGGATCACTCTGGAAGCTCGGACATGTCCTCATCATCTTCTTCCTCTATGTCCATGTCTATGGCTATGGTTTTCGTGAACGCGCAAAACACGCCTCTCTTCTCAAACCAATGGACCCCCTCGTCTACCGGCTCCTATGCCGGCACCTGCATTTTCCTTATCATCTTATCAATCATCGGTCGACTTCTATTGGCCTTCAAAGCTGTCATGGAGGAGCGTTGGATCAATGCCCATCTCAACCGTCGCTATGTGGCTGTCGCAGGCAAAACACCTGAAGCTGGCCGGATCGATGCCGATCCAGATGCAAAGATCGCCTCTCTCGTAACAGCGCAAGGCGTGGAGGAATCAGTCAAGGTAGTTCGACGACCGTCGCGGGAGCCTCTGCCGTGGAGATTCAGTGTGGATCTGCCGCGTGCATTCATCTTCCTTGCATTTACGGGTGTATCATACCTTCTGTACGTGCTTTTCTCCCTTCCTCCTTATAATTTAAGCCAATATTTATAGCTAACATTGTCCACATAGCATGTTGGCTGTTATGACCATGAACATTGGATATTTCTGCTCCGTGCTTGGTGGTGCTTTCCTGGGCGAGCTCGCAGTGGGCCGGTATATCCAGTGGAATGAGCATGGGCATTGATCTTCATAAGCTTCTGTTTCCTATCCCACAAATATTTTGCAATTGGAGAGCTACCCGGATGGCGTTTTGGCGGAGAAAATAATGGCAACATCATGATGTGAGCATTTTAAGCGTTGGGTTTGGGCATTGTGACTATGTAATCTACTAGATACCGTGCCTCTTATTACGGATGAGGTTACTTCCTGTATATACACATTTTGCATTCTTCCACAGGGACATTAAATATCGACACTGTGCATGCAGTGAGGCTTCCAAGCAATATGTCAGTATGACAAGTTCGTTCATTTTCATATATCTTTGGAAATTGGACAACGACACGCCATAACAAAACAGATTGATGAACTACTCAGGGCCCGGCATCCCTGTTCAATTCCCCGATACCCATGACGGGTATAACTTCCTAATTTAGTAAATTTCGTGCCTAAGAGCCCAACCAGAGAACTCGTTTTTGTTATTTCATTGGACTTTGATTATATAATCTAATATCGATAGCTAGTTAAGAGTGTACTACGCACAATACCTACGCTACGTAATTTCTTTCTAGGATTATGAAATAACTAGGGCTTGCCGTCGAATTACTCTGCTGTTGTCCCCCTTATTCTTCATATTTGTCGAAATACATCTATCGAATAGTCTCACAAACTTCCAAATCCTCCGGTGTCACAAGCCCCGGCATATAATCAAAAATCTCTTTGTTATATCGAGACTTGCTTCTGCAACTATACTATAGAGCTAATACTCCGTGACCTGCGATCTGAATGGGCTAAGCTTCATCTCTCGAAGCTCCCAAAGCCAGGACATATCAGATGCGAATTTCGTTTCCATGAGAACTGAGACATATGCATCGGCCATGACGCAGTTTTCAGGGCATGCACAGACAGAGCGGGAATAAGACCCATGATCTCGTGCCGTAACTCGTATGGAAGCTCGTTGAATAAATCCACTCCATTTGGGCCTCGCGTCGTTCAACTGTTTCTTTCTCCTTGGCTATAATTTCTTTAATCTAGTCAAGATACTTGGGCAGCTGTGGCATCTCGACAGGATTTAGCTCAGCTGCTACGGAAATGAGAGTCGTAAGTATGAAAATAGACGTTTTCAGGGATGTTGGTATCTAAAAAAAAAAATATTAGGAGATTGCTAAGGGAGAAAGATATAAATATCATAACCAACCATCGCCTGTTGTGACCAAAACCAGGTCCTAATGGTATCATTAACATACCGAATATACCTTACAACTGGTGATATGGATGTCTCACATAATCATAATAATTGCCGGGGCCAGTTGGAAAAGACCTAGATACTTTAGAATCCAACTATAAACTTGTTCAACCTGTCGCATCACTTACCCATGGCTTTCAAGCTAGAGGTCTCAAGGTTTCCTCATCTGAATCGGCCTTGCTATTTCTGCTAAATGTTTGAGGCACATATTGCGCAGTAAACATCCCAGCCACGTATTTTACAGGAGGGTTTTTATGAAAGAGCTTAGCTACATATATGATACATGTGTTACTAGACACCCAGCAGGTGAAGCTTGACCTTATCTCGGAAAAGCCAGTCAATGCGGGGAAGCTGCTCCTACGATCAGGAGGATTTAGAGTATCAACAAACCGTGTATTCAACAACTGATTGCTACTACTTTGCCAACCTTACTAGTGATGCCCTGATAGTTAAGGTCAGCCTGCCTTAAGTACCATGTCATTATTGGATGGACGACGATGACAACCCCCACAGCCATGCCCAGCCTTCCTCCGACGCTCTCCCTGCAATTTCACTGCCTTGCTTAGTCTGAAGAAATTCTGACTAGTTGGCTATATTACTTGAATCGGAATGACTCTCTCCTAGGAGTCAATTCCGAAATGCCGACCTTAGAGGAATAAATCCGGATTATTTCTTGCTCGTCATACTTTCCATGCATATCTACCAATATAGCTTTGGACAGCAGACGTTGCCATACGCACGGGACGCATCAGATGACGTTGAAAGCAAGTCTGGCAAAAAGAGGGAAGAAGCGATCAGTGTGGATCGCCACGGCTAGGGTCAGGGCGTGTCTGGCTATGGCTTTTACACCTATTGCCAAGATCCTCGTCTGGTGATCATGTACATATTCATCGTTGGCAGGCGTCATAGCAGTGACGACGGTTTTGTTTGGTGTAACTTTTAGAAAGAATGATAGAGAAGACGGTACTTTGTGAGTCAAGGAATAGACCTTTCCATGGCAGTCTCAATGTGTTCATCACTTATCCTCTCTCGACTGCGACTAGGTCTTGAAGGGTGGAAAGGAATGAAAGGGCCCATCAACGATGCTCTTCGGGAATCTGTTGTGGCCGTCACGAAAGTCAACAGGCACTCGTAGTCTCGATACCTGGTCACTGCGCGGCTGAGTCCTAGCGCAAGTGAAGGCTTTCTGTATATTTATTGGCAAAGTTTCCAGGCTGCTCGATGCTCGTGGCTTTATTCCGAAAAAGAAAGAAAAGGAAAGAAAATCCATTTTGCAGTCTATACTATTCAAGAACCACTCTCAACACCAGCCACCAGTAAATTATGGAAAGAACTAATTCAATTTTAAGCCCCCTATAATCCACTTAATAAGAATCATTAACTGTACAAGGTCCAATCTTACCTTTCAACCTGAGAAGATATGAGCACATTTTCTAACCGGTTCGGGAATGGCGGATGCCGGCAAGTATGGTTCGGCTATCCCTGGAAGTAAAAAGTGTCGTTCTCCTTACAGTCGAGCTGTCATTGCAGCCGGGCTCAGGGTCCGAGCGTTCCTTTGTCGTGGTGTCATCTCTCAGCTCAATTTATCTGTCATATTAAGCTAATTTTGCCGATATTGATGGCTGTTGTCAGCTGCCCTTTCCATTGGAAATAATGGAGTACAAATTCCCCTCATCCCCACTCCGCCTCGGTGAATATCTAGCAGCTCTTCACATTTCTACAGCTCCCTTGTTCAATCCCCCATATCCTCGCCTATCTCCTTTATTATCTGCATCTGTATAGAATCAAATTCATCATGAGGCTCTCTGTTGTTTCCCTGGCAGCTATCGCGCCCTTAGTTGCCGCCCATTTTAAACTCGAATACCCCGCAAGCCGCGGTCAAAATGAAGACAAAATGAGCCAATTCCCCTGCGGTGGTCTCTCTGCCTCCTCAGACCGCACCAAGGTCTCCCTGTCTGATGGCACCCTTCCTGTCGCCGTTAGTTTGGGCCATTCACAGACCGCTATGGAAGTGCTTCTGGCTCTGGGAAATGATCCCGGCAGCAACTTCAACATCACGCTTAGGCCGACTTTTCGCGTGGAGGGACTGGGCGCTTTCTGTATCCCAGATATCGCTTTCGATACGTCAGCGGTGGGCCTGAATTTGACCGACGGCATGAACGCAACTATCCAAGTGCAGAGCAATGGTGACCCCTCGGGAGGTCTCTATTCTGTACGGTTTCTTCTTTTCCTTAGCGGGAACCTGATATAATTATTTGCTTCGATCAATTGACTGACTTTCTCCAGTGCGCCGATATTCAGTTTTCTTCGTCTACAAAACCCGAGCAACCCTCTTCCTGCAAGAACAATACTGGCGTCAAGTCCACCCCGTTCACCGGGGATTCGGCAAGGCGCAATGCTAACGAGTCCACTGCTGATGGCAAGGCTCAGGGCGGCTCGTCATCCTCTCCCTCTTCCTCTTCCTCTGGCAACTCCCCCGCTTCGACTGGTGGGGCTGTTGCATTGGAGACTGCCGCTTGGGGAATGTTGGGCGCTGCAGTTATTGGCGGTATGACGATTCTGTAAGACCGATATACCCGTCCATTCAGAATGATGACTATGGGAAAATGAAGTGCGAACAGGCCGTTTTTTTTTTAAAAAAAAAAAAGAAAGAAAGAAACAAAGAAAGAGAAGAAAAGAAAAGAAAAGAAAAACGGCAGCATGAGTGACGACCATTATTTGTAACGGCATGTACACAGACTCTGTATATACTAGCAATGTCAGTGTTTACATCGGTTCATAATATTATTGCATTTACTGTGTTTGCATTACAAAGCAGAGGATCCTACTAGTAAGATTGACAATCCCTAGCTACTATACGAGTACAGTTTCTTCTCCACGAAGTGTTCAGACATTAGATTGCCCGGACTGAGTTGGAACTCATTTTCGGGAAGAGGGAACCAGGCCTCTGGGTCTGGGTCAATTTCGATGCCAGGAAGTTGAAGAGACAAAAAGAGGACAACAGTCGACTGGCTCACTTTCAATATCCCACTCCCCAAATTTTCCAATCGCCGCATCTCGCTTGGACCAAGTGCCTGTTGCAGGGTGGTCGTCGAAGAGACTCCCGTCGAAGTTGACCTGCATCGTGCATATCCTGGTCGTCTTCGAAAGCCTAACGTAGGGTACTGAGTATTAGATGGAGGGATGAATGACTGGGGATAAAATATCTTACCTAACACAACTCTTCCCCGCTGCTCGTGGTAGCAAATACGATTGCACCCGCCAAATCGATAGACATTGTGCTGGATGTGAACGTTGATTGCACAGAAAACATCGGATGGAGTCTTGCAAGCTCCTCCGTCCGAGGTACGAGTCCAGTCTTGGATAGACATGTTCCCCCATTGATCGGAGGTCTCGCTAAGACTGGTCATGTAGGCCAGGCCAAAGGCCAAACAGAAGTTGTGCTTGAAGTTGTAGCTCAGCGTTCTGCCTGAGTTCTCCCATTCCTATCCCGCAATCAGCCATAGGCATGGTGCAAACTAGATATGTTAATTTGGGAAGTACTCACAGTCCGATCGATACCATGGGCCAGAGGCATGATCTAGTCATAGTATCGAGTCAGCCCGCCAAACACCGGAGGGTTGATTTCACCTTCGGTGCTTCCTGAAGTCCATCTGTCGTTTTCGTCTTTGCCCAGCGATCTTTTTTTTTCAGTCTTCCGCTGTCGTGTCGTCGTCGTCGCGGTCATAATACGCTACATTTGTGGATAGTGTGCTCAGCATTTCTATTTTTTTTTTTTTTTTTTTTTTTTTTTTTTTGCAGCAGGTCAATACTGCACCGTCCATGGTTTAAGGGGTAGCGAGGAAGACATACGGTTGCAGTTCCCCTGAAGATCCTGTTGCCATCGAGGCACACGGTTCGCCGTCGGAGGAACCTTCCGCGCAGCATATTTTGCAAAAAACCGCCCCCTCCTCTGTTTCGCCGAAAGGAAACTCATCGCAAGTCACCAGGGAGCTTTTAGTCGTTATGCCTAGGTCGGTCTTGAGCCTGGTATCCGGGTCCGTGCAGTAATTCTTGCCCTTTTGCTCGCTGTAAGCATATCACTCGTTCCATGTATAGGCATCACGCTCGTCGCGACGGTTAGGGTACCATGTCAGCACAAGACGGTCTTAACTCAGGGCCCGTTGTCCGAAGAAACTAGGAAGCCGTCGCAGATGTCCCGAACGAGGCGGTATTGCCGTTGGCTTGGGCCTGGACCCAGAGGCAAAGACCCAGCAGTTATCTGGGCGTTGCTGCTAGCAAAATATTATTGGCATTTGGCTCTGTTTTGAAATGCTTACAGCGGAAATCAGTCAGGGTCGGGTTCCTCGTTCCTCGAGCGGGACAGGCGAAGTACTGGTAGTTGAAGAATTGCGACAAGTCGACGGCATCTGGCTTCTCTGTGTCATCGTCATTCCTCGCTTTGTAGAAGACCGATTCTACGACTTGCACGGGAGAGGAGGCGTTTGCCAATCGCCAGTTTTCTGCTGCCACCACAGTCTTTCTGTGGTGACGACGAAGCTGCTTGGAAGAAGGCGGCTTGTATGGCTCCAGGTTGCCATTGTCCCAAACATCCTCGCTATCACCATCATCGTCATCGTGGAATACGCCTCTCTCAGGTACCCCTAGCCCTTCATCCAGAACACAGGAACCGCTGTTAAGATCCTTCTTCGAATATCGTGGAATTCCGGCGTTGGCGATGACTGCCGCACGCTCAAGACAGAGTACTGTGTCTGCGTTGGAGTTCCTTCGTCTTCGACCACTACTACTGCTTCTTCTTCGACTACCATTGGCCCTGCTACACCATCTCTCACAATGGACGGAGCCGCACCAAACTGTGACGAATACCATCTCGTCTCCGGCGACCAATGCAGCGCCTTGGCCGCCAAGTATGGGATAACCCTGGCTGATTTCTACACCTGGAATCCAGGCGTCGGCGATGACCGCCGCACCCTAAAAACAGAGTATTACGTCTGTATTAGAGTCGAGGGATCCACGTACGACTACTACCAGCAGCAGCGGCGGCGGCGGCGCGGGTGTACCCTCTCCCACCCAATCTGGTATTACCTCTTCCTGCAAGGCCTATCACGAATTAATCGAAGGCGATGGCTGTTATGATCTCGCAGCAGAATACGGTATCGCGCTTTCTAATGTAAGTTGGGCACGAGCGAAACAGTGTTGAAAGTGTTGAATTTAATCCGCTGGACTAAACTAACTGGCATCCCATCTAACCAGTTTTACTCATAGAGTCCGGCTGTTTGGGATGGTTGTAGTGGGCTCAAGTTTGGTTATTATATGTGTGTGGGGTGTGAGTGAAGAGGGCAGATTGTGAGCTGGGGAGGGTTGCAGCTAGGCTAGTGTGATAGAATAAGAGCATTGAGTTGTGGACAAAGGTCGAATATTAGGTCGTAGAATCACTGTTCTTTTGATGGAGTGGAAGGGTGCATATCCTTCATGTCTGTAGGTAGTAGGATCTGACGAAGCACGGCAACAGCCATGATATCTATAGGGTTCAAGTATCTGGACACCACAACCAAAGTTGGACCCTTTTGAAATCACATTAACGCTACAAGGAAGACGGGTGAGGAACTCGCTAGTAACATGGTGTCCTAAAAAAAAGACCGTCTTGTAACCTTATTTCCTTACCTTTTCTATACTACTTCGTGAGTCCGAAGTATCCTTACTTTCATAGAGTCCGGACCACTTTGCCGTGTTGGAAAGTTACGCCAACGTGCATTCCTGAATGGGCTCGCAGGCAACGGTGTGCTGAGCTTGCCCACATAGATTCGGTACCAAAGTTCAGTATCATGGGAGAACGACGCTCCAATAAAGCTCCTAGAGACTGCTACATGGGCTTGTACAGGGAAATATACTCGGCAGGATATCATCTGCCTGATTGTTTAGGCATTGCAACCAGTAAGAATACCACATATTTTCTTATTTTCTTCGCAATCACAAAGGTATGTCACTCACTATAGCATGCTACAATATATCCACATCCCTTGTCGCAAATAATGCCAATTATGGGAATTTGAGATTTAAATTTGTAGATTTAGATTTGTTTTATATTTAGATTTCTCTACAATAAATACAATACTATGGAATAATAGATTGCTAAGGAGCTTTCCGTACCCATAGGTGGTGACCTCTGACGTGTATTGGCTTATATTTAGAGCAGGAGAAAATCTACCATCGATACGGAGTAATAATATAACTATTTTGTTCAGTATGACGCAAATTACTGCTGGACAAGGCCCTGTCATCCTAGAATCTTTGGATATCTCTTCTCTACAATGGACAAGATGAACATAATCGTATCCATGCTCTCTGTTTCTATTTAAATCTTCATTCTGGGGAAAGGAAGAAGTTGGGGTGAGGGAAGGTTAGAACAGCGAGGCAGTTCTTATATACTTAGAGGTCGAGGCGGGCGATGATTACAAGACGGCTATCGGGAAGTCATTCAGTATATAAACAGTCTTTCATTTACTATTGTTTCACGTATAATGATCCTTTTATTGCTGATGGTCACGTGTAGCCAGTTTTATAAACGGCTAGGCTCGAACCAATGGACATTTAAAACTTGCAAAACTCGTATCGCACAGAAAACTTATATCCGTTTTGTTTGTTTTATTTGTATATAGAATGAGTGGAACTGAGCAATTCGAGAAGCTCCGGTCCGTTGGTGAGTCAATTAAATATGATCCTCTAACACTACAATTAGCTTACTAGCACCAGGTGGACTAGAGAAATATTCGACTGCTCGGCACCACCTCAAGTTCTACTACAATGCTGAAGTGGCCGCAAATTACATTTTACCTGAGAGCTTTGCTCTTCCCGTGAAGGACTACGTATATAGAGCTTGTGAAACACTCATCGGTCAACATCCAGCCCTCGCTGCTATTCCTGTAGGGGAAGACACCAAGAAACCCTACTTTGTCCGACTCCCACAGATAGATCTTGACCAGGCGGTTTCTTTCCAAGACCGCACTCGTGGCTTTCCTGGTGAAGATGAGGAAGACCAGGAGCTCGAAGCACTGCTGAAAGCCCAACACAATACTGGATTTACACCACCGTATCCTCATTGGAGACTCTGCATCTTGACCGATACTGCAAATAAGCGGCAATTTACAGCTGCCTACACTTTCCATCATGCTATTAGCGATGGGGGGTCTGGAATGGCCTTCCATAGGGCATTCCTGCAGGCACTACAAAATTCCGCGTCGTTAGCCTCTGGAGAGGTCAAACACATCATTTTGCCGCCTGAAATGCCTCTCCTGTCAAGTATAGAGGAGGTCCATCCTCTTCCATTGTCCTTGTGGTACATTGCCACTGCGATATTCCGAGCCAAAATTTGGTCTCCAAGGGATCCCGGATTATGGACGGGCTCTAAGATTGCTTCGCCGTTGGAAACGGACTTTCGACACTTTGTGTGCTCTCGGTCAATGACTTCGTCTTTCAAGGATTTATGTCGCCAGAATGATACAACGATTACAGCAACCCTGCAGACAATTATCGCCCGTTCTCTGTTCGCCCATCTCCCCGAGAGGTACACACAGCTCCAATGCGTCGGCGCTATCTCCACCCGTAGATGGCTTTCGGGTATCATTACAGTAGACTCCCTGGGCTGTTGGGTGCAAGACTACAAAGACACGCACAACCGTCACGAATCGACCCAAGATTCCTTCCCATGGAGCGAGGCTAAGCGGGCTCGTGAAACAATTGAAAAAGTGTTGAATTTACAAGGCAGAGACGCATCTCTAAGCCTTCTCAAATATGTAGAAGATATCCAAGAGGAACTTTTTTTGTCCAAGCTGGGAAAAGAACGAGATTCCAGTTTCGAGTTGTCAAATATTGGAGCCATGCGATCCAATCATCCACACGACCCCTCGATGCCGCAAATGGGACGAATGGTCTTCTCTCAAAGCGCAAATATCACCGGAAGTGCAATTGAGATATCTGCTGTGACAGGAGCAGATGGATGTCTCGTACTATGCTTCACGTGGCAGAAGGGAGTTGTGGAAGAAAGCCTGATTTCGTTGGTGGTTCAGACGGCAAAGGCAGAGCTACAAGGTCTGTGCACAGATAAGTAACTTCGTGCGGACTGTTAATGGCTGGGCAAGCAAGTATCAACATATAAATTTCTATGTCATTGTTTTAATGTTTAGTATAGACCATTGCCTAGAGGCAATCACCAGATATATATGTTTTAACATGATGAAGGTTAGATCTGCTAAGCAGCATGAAAAGACGATAATTATGGCAACTAAAAACCACATAAATATCTACTATTGATTAACTGTAAGTAATTCTAAATAACCATAATCCATGTGTTGAATAAGTCAAAAAAGTTAATTATCAGACCTAGAGGATACCGTACTTCACCGCCCAACGATCGGAACCACTAAACGATCGATTTCATAGTACTAGAAGAGGCAACAAATGAAGCAATTCAGCCACACACAAATAAAATTATCTAACAAGTGTCTGGTGGAGTAAAGTGTAGATACAAATAAAGATATCCACCCTTTTTAGAGCTCCCGAAACCTCTGTGGGAGGTGGATTTGCCTGCCTGAGCGTATAGATGTAGTTGGAAACCCCTCAGTAACTTCAGGAGCTGGAGGGCCACCAACTGTAGCATTTTGAGTTGTAGAGGACTTGGAGGCCTTTTTCTTAGTGGTTTTGGTATTTTGGATATCCTTTTGGAGTTATTTAGCTGCCTTTTTAGCTATGCAATCCTTCTCCTTCTGTTGCTTTTTCTACTCTGTCTCTAGCAGTCTTAATTCCTTCTCAGCAACCTTAGTTCTTTTTCTTTTTTTAAGTAAGCGCTGCTTATCTTCCTTCTCCTATTAACAGCGGATCTTCCTCTCCTCTTTTGAAGCCTTAGCAAGCTGTATAGCTTTCTCCTTCTTGTTATAAAGCTGGAGAGCTTGCTGGATTTTTTTAGGTAAATAAAAGATTGCACCACCATGTTCAGGTTGCTTGTAATTAGAACTGTAATAGCTTCTAATACTGCCACCTTTTCTTCTTATTGGTAAGAGCTGTCTCTAAGCCTTTATAACGTAGTTTAAGCAAAGTATTCTGGGTAGCAAGCTTATAAAAGTTGCACCCAGCTTCTTGGTATTTTAATTATAGATATCAGCAACCACCTTCTTTAGAAGCCTTTAATCCTTTTCCAGTATCTGCTTGAATACTGAAGCTAGAGACTTAATAAAGGCCTCTGCTCTCTTTTCTAAGCGCTTTAAAACATTTCTGGATCCATAGCTATCCCAGTAGCTTTATAAGAATCAATATTCTTCTTTGTTAAGGCCTTCTCCCAGCTCTGCAGAATAGCCTGAAAAGTCCCTTTTCTAATATGCTTAGGCCTTCTTTATAAAAAATGCTCCAAACTGTTGCTATAGGCTGTTAAAAGTGGTGAAAAGATCCCAATATCTAATAGCTACAGCGAATAAGTTGAATAAGGCGGATAGATTATTAAATAAATCCTATTTACTATATAGAACTTAATAAAAGTTCTGGTAAGGTGTAAGCCATGGCTATCTAGAATTAAAAGCCTCCAACTCCTTCCAGCTTTCTCCTTTATCTCCCTGTTAAAGATATCTTAAAGCCATGCAAATCCCACCTTATTATTAGTCCAGCCAGTTGGTGAGTCTCCAAAGAAGCAAGGATGTTTAGTTGGATCGAAGTCTTACAGCCAGGTATTTTGTATCTTGCTGGAGGCAGTTTGGTAAATAAGACCTGGGAATAATAAGGTCCTATCTGCACAGATACACGCAATTAAGGTTATCTATTTATCCTAAAGCCGTTGCTGAATGCCATCCTTCTCGAATTGCTGCTTGGAGAAGATCCTTTTGGCTTTTAAAAGGATACTAATAAGAAAGCCTTTTTTATCCATATTGTAGATATTCTCCTTCTGGATATTATATTTATTAATTTTCTGGGCCAGAAACTCGAAATATAAAGTATATTTAAGGGCTGAATTAGCCTTTTTTCGTGAAGAGTCCATACCAGTTGTATAGCGAGAGATAAGGTCCTTCTGGTGTCTCTTTATAAAGCAGGTTGCCCAGTTTTTTCCTGGTGGCTTTTTTACCATTTCCTCTGCAAAATTCCTTATCATTAAAGCAGAGATATATAAGCCTTTGCTAGAGAGCCTATTAATCCATCTAACTAGTAATTTTTCTTGTTGGTGGGTGAGCAATTGCTGTCCTTTGTAGTAGTCCTTCCTGAAGCCTTGTAGCCATTTATAATGCCTTGACAGGGTTACTTGGTGCACACCATACTTTTTCGCAAAAAAAATATAGTTAGGAACTTCTCCTGGTCACAAAAATTTCAAATCTTCTAACGCTGATTCAATTGATCCCATATTAACAGAGCTATCATGGTATAAAGTCTACGAAACGAAATGTCGGTGTATACAAAATCGATCGTTTGGTGGTTCCGATCGTTGGGCGGTGAAGTACGGTAGGCGTGAAGGCGGTGGGGTGGGGATCCAGATTGCCTCGGCGGCAGAATCCCCCTCCAAAGGTTTCATCTTCCTTGCTGCTCATCATACTAGGATAAAAAAACAAAATGGCATCTCGTGCTCCTTACGTTGTCCCGGCGCTGAAGAAGCACACCGCCACGGTGATCATGGCCCATGGGCTGGGCGATAGGTTGGTAACTTGAGCTGATATAGTGGTCTGTGTCGGCTAAACAACAGAGTGTGCTACATGTAGTGGTGCTGGATGGATGGCACTCGCTCAGAATTGGCGCCGTCGTGGCATGTTTGACGAAGTGGCCTTTATCTTTCCCAATGCTCCCATGATTCCCATCACAGTGGTATGCGCGTTTGATCCCTTCGCAGGAATCTTTATACTAAGGACCCCAAACCATAGAACTTCGGAATGACCATGCCTGGGTGGTATGATATTGCTAAACTCGGTCGTGATGTAAGTGATTCGATGCTTTTCACCTTTACAGGTTAGCCACGGAACTAATAGACTTGCGTTCGCTAGCTGGATTTCGAAGAAGCTCTCAACCACCAAGACGAGCCCGGTATCCTTCGGTCTCGCGACTACTTCAATACTCTGATCAAGGAACAGATTGACAAGGGGATAAGTCCCTCCCGTATTGTACTCGGTGGATTCTCGCAGGGCGGTGCGATGTCTGTGTTTACTGGGATTACGAATAAAGAGAAATTCGGTGGAGTCTTTGGTCTCTCGTGTTATCAGTGATCGCATCAAGAACTACATCCCAGAGGACTGGCCGAACAAGAGGACGCCTTTCTTCTTGGGACATGGCTTGGAGGATGAGGTGGTGAAATATGATTTCGGCAAAAAGTCGGCGAAGACATTGACCGATATGGGATTGGAGGATGTCCAATTCGAATCTTATGCGTGAGTGTCTCTTGTTATATATTTGGACCAGGGTTGGTGTTTTGCTAATGATTTGAAACAGTAACCTGGGCCACTCTGCGGATCCCTTAGAAATCGAAGATCTTGAAAAATTCCTTCAAAAGGCTATTCCTCCCCAGGGTGATCGTCAGGATTCCGCCGGATTATGACTTCGCAACCGCAATAATAACCAGAATTGGGGCTTCAAGGGTACGGATCTGAAATACAGCCTCGGATTGGGTCTTATAATTTTGTGTGTCGCAGTACTCATCTCTAGATATAGTTCGAAGGATAAAGAAGATGCCCCAAGCAAACAGCATTGAACATACGATGATCGTTAATGTTTCATCATCTCTAATGGCCCAATTCTAGATATTATTTTCAGGCCACATATAAGACCTTCACAACCATTTCAAACTAGTCTGTTCTATATACTCTTCCTGAAATTTCTACTCGCCCTTCGTAGCCCGCTCAATAGATTTTTCAATCGCAGCAATCATAGCATTGGTGTTGTTGATATCAAACGGAATCAAGTGCCTTGATCCGTGGTCATAGAATTCAGCCTTTGACGGGTCACACAGGCTATACAGGTGCATACTGGCCGGGTAGAGAACATCTTGCTTCCCAACAATGTGTGTCGTGGGAATACTAAGCACATACTCCCCGGGAGGCATACTAATGATCTCCTTCCCGGTGCTCTCGAACGGCGAGGCAGCGCAAATAAACACTGCTGCCTTGAAAAGAGGAGTCTGATGACTCTTGGCGTGATGAGCGAGAAGGGAAAATGCAAGAGCCGCCCCCTGTGAGAAGCCCATAACACCATCAAAGGGTCCCTGCTTTTTAATGATTTGCATGATGTGGTCTCTGGCCCGGCCTAGGTCATCGCCGGGTGCGACGTCGCGCGGATAATGGTTGTAAAAAGGGTCCGTCGCAGATGCCTGCGAGCTCTGGATGAAAGTTAGAGAGTTAGATTAGAGAAGTCCGATCGTGACATACCCGGTTCGACTAAAGCTTCTACGTTTCCATCGATGTATATGAATTCATGGCCTTTCTCTGCTAAGGCCTGGCTCAGTCCACCTGTTAACGGTTAGAATGTTCGCGATCCAGAGAGGCTACAGGAAATACCAGATTGGATCTCAAAGATCTATCCAGCTTTGTCAACATCTGGTTCAATCAGGGGTAAGTTTGACCTACTTCCCCGCTGGTGCCTGAGCCGTGTAAACAGAGAAATCGCATCGTGACGTCGAGGTTGTATTCTTTGCAATATCAAATTTTCCCCGTTAGTTGATAATTTGCAATCCCAACTTGGTTGTTTGTTGAAATTGCGGAGAGATCGTATCGTTTGTGGTTGTCAATCATGCATGAAAGCACGGGATTACCGGAATCTTGCTAACCAAAACCTGTACACCACAGTCAACACAATCAACTTGAGAATTATATTCCTCACAACAACTGCCTTAGTTACTACGCCAACTACTATAAATAGGTTCGCAGGATTTGGCTCCAAACCTGACTTCTTCACATCACAGGCTGTTGGCGATCTTACTTAATACAATGCGGGAGTTTTCGGCCTCGGCCACTTGAGGCCTGTCATCCAAGTTATGAATATGATGTCGGTTTTTATGGACAGCTTACCAGCGTGGTCTTAAGACCATCATCAGCGCAGAAGACGTGGTTCACTTATCGCTTGACTTAGAGGTATTATTTATAATACAGCCTCTCTCAGTTGGTCCTGTCAACATGTCGTCCGGCCTTCTTCAGCATGCGCCCGCTGCTGGATCCATCATTCTCCGAGCCCTGTGTCACCCAGTGGACTTCTTTGCCAGTGTTGGTCCCACCGTCAATGAGCTAACTTTTGGTTTGTTTGGTTCGTCTTTTGAGCCGCAGCGAGATATAGGTGATCTTTCTGGGAAAGTTGTACTTATTACCGGGGGTAAGAACTCCCGCTAGGAGCTTGGTGTCCTCTCCTCACAGTTTTTAAATACTAACAAGGCCTCCATTACTACAGGCAATACCGGCCTTGGAAAAGAAACCGTCCTCCAACTTGCCCACCATCGTCCTTCCCGCATCTACCTAGCAGCTCGGAATGAGACCAAAGCCCGCGATGCCATCACTTCTATCCAAGAAACCCTATCGGAGCCTGTCGATATCAGACACATACCATTAGACTTAGCGTCTTTCCAGTCCATCCATGCGGCTGCAAAGAAATTCAGTGTGGAGTGTGATCGCCTGGATCTGTTGATTCTCAACGCTGGCGTCATGGCAAACCCACCGGGTCTCACGGAGGAAGGGTTCGAGATCCAGCTGGGTACAAATTATATCGGCCCCTTTTTGCTCACCAAATTGCTCCTCCCTACACTCCAAAAGACTGTCGCGAGCGCAGGTCCTGCACCAGATGTGAGGATAGTGACGGTTAGCTCTCTGGGACACTGTGCTGCTCCCTCATTTGAGGTGATGACGTCCACACCATCACTGCTGGCCACAGGGCCATTCACTCGATACGCTGCTTCCAAGGCTGCCAATGTCCTGTTTGCATCTGAGCTTGCTCGACGCTACCCGGAGCTTCTCTCAGTTTCTCTTCATCCAGGGGTGATAGCTAGTGAATTGTACAACCACACCAAGGCAATGGGCATCATATTGAACATGGGTGTTAATTTTATTTCCCTGGTCTCCCGTACTGTACGCACTGGAGCGATGAACCAGCTCTGGGCGTCTGGAACGACAAGAGAGAACTTGATAAACGGGGGGTACTACGTTCCCATCGGGATACGCGGTTCTTGTAGGTACACCGACGATGCAGACATGGCTCGAAAGCTGTGGGAGTGGACGGAAAAGGGGATTGCTGAGAGGAGTTGAATTTCAGCTTACTTGATCCAATTGTGCTTAGCGAAGTAGAAAATGTCAATGCCAAACCACTTAGTAGCCGGCTGTACTGAATGGAGCATTATTTGGTATCCAGCAATTCAATATCTAATAACTAAGTAACAATAATACTACGGACAGAATAGATGTCAAACAAACGCCTCCTCTGTCTATACTGGAAGCGAGTCGCTCGGATTACCCGATTGGGCATAAGATAGCGGTCGGCAGCGATGAGATTTGCTGGGCGAAATCTCCAGTCAACGCCAATTTGAATCCAGAGCCATTGGATCTTCAGACAATAGTAAATGATATGAACACTGCACTGCGATCGACTGTCATCTCTTGACAGTCGTAATTTCCTAGTTGGCAGTTTGCGGGCTCGACACTCCCTCATGACAGAAGCCCCCGAAGTATCGTTCGTTAGGGTTTAGCCGAGCAGCCTCAGAGATCCTCGAGAAGCCAATGTGAACCCACAGCGAAATCATCCAGGAACATCAGTCTCAGAAGGCAGATAAAAACCGTCCAACTACCTAGAACCTACATACTCCATCGTAGAGACGTAAAACCCTCGTAGACAGACAAAGCCACAGTAGACTGGAGGTTCCGTTTTCGCAGGCAGAAGGGACTTAAGTCATCAAGAGGCGCAAACTCCCCACACAAACCTCATCAACTTCGACTTCCACCGACTTCGCCTCACCCTCCTCTTACTCACCCACGCAACGCAACCCCCTCCAGTCTTCGGTAGGTCGTCTCCTGTTCTGCTCCCTTGATCTTGAATCCCTCGACGGGACCAATTCTCTTCGATACCGATCCCCTCCGACCGGTGCAAGTATATCCCAGCGCTTTCAAAGCTTGGCGCCCGCACATTTGTGCCAAAAGCCTTACCGAGTTCCACAGATCCGGATTATTGACGTCTATCCCACCAGGTTCTTCGAACAACTTCTCCCTCGAAACCCCCCAAACTCGTCACAATGGATCAGGCAAAGTTGGCTCGGATGCAGGCTAGCGTGCGGATTGGTATGTTATACCTTTTTTCTCTTTCTCTTCTTCTCTTTATTTTGGTGGACTTGCTCGGTTTCGGGATTCCCGACCGATGGAAAAGCGATTCTGGATATAGGCCATGAGGAGGACAAGAGAGGTAGAATTCTGTGATGGAGGAAAAATAAAAAATAAAATAAAATAAAATAAAAGGGAGAAACTGCCTTAAGGGGTTCTTATGGAAACACATGGCCTCTATCAGTGTCGCGAAATGATCATCTGCAATTATTCCAATGAAGTCCTGAGAGCTAACGTGAACCCTCCTTTTGTGTCGAACAGGGTACGTATATCGACATATTTTACTTTCTCCAAAACCCCTATTTCTTCACTCGCGACAATCCCACACGAATCCAACCATCCAACAATTGAATCCCCTCTCTCGCCTATATGCAAAACCACCAATCGAACCCCAATCGCTAACATAAAAACAGAGGCAAGGGTACTCCCCGCCGCAAGGTCAAGAAAGTCCACAAGTCGTCCGGCGCCGATGACAAGAAGCTACAGGCCACCCTCAAGAAGATGAACGTGCAGCCTATCCAGGCCATCGAGGAGGTTAACATGTTCAAGGAGGACGGAAACGTCATCCACTTCGGTGCTCCCAAGGGTATGGTTGACTTTCCCCTCCACACCAAATTTCACGTTCAATATTACATACGACAACACCAACCGGCCAATCGTTACCGGCGCAAATCTAGTGGAAGAAAAAAGAAATACTAACAATTCATGTCTTATTACTATCTAGTCCACGCCTCCGTCCCCTCGAACACTTTCGCTTTGTACGGTAACGGCGAGGAGAAGGAACTCACCGAGCTTGTCCCCGGTATCCTGAACCAGCTCGGACCCGACAGCCTTGCGTCCCTGCGCAAGCTTGCTGAGAGCTACCAGAACATGCAGAAGAACCAGGCCGGTGGTGAGGGTAAGAAGGACGATGAGGAGGATGATATTCCCGATCTGGTTGAGGGCGAGAACTTCGAGAGCAATGTTGAGTAAATTATTTGTTTAATTGATACAAAACAAAAAAGCAGTGAGCCTTTTTATTTATTTTTTCTATGTTTCTTCGGTTTTCCTGAACATCTTGCTGTTCCATGCTCTACGGGCTGGAGTTGGACTTGTATGTCTAATGCCAAGGATGTCTGTCTGCAGGTGCGATTGGGATGGAAGCAGAAGAGATGTCTCGAGCTGTGAAGTAGGTACTGTTAGTACCGTACCTATGTTACCTGTCTACAAGCAGTATTGATATCTGCTATGGATGGTGTTTGCGAGAAGTAGGAAGAGATGGATTTGTTTTCACCCGGACATGTCTTGAATGATGTTATCCGTGGAAATTTAGGGTGGATTGCGTACTCGATTCTAGCTCTGGGTTATGTAGTACTACGAGCTGGAAAAGCAAATGTCATGTGGTCAGATTGATTGTTTTATATCCCTCCTATCCATGCATCTAAAGGAAACATCCCCAGCGCCCAAGCCATGCCGTAAAATCATATAGAACGAGACAAGATATCTGAAATGTCAGAGGACAAGATTGATAGCATACAGTTACGTAAAACTGCCCTAGACATGTTGACAATAAAATCGTCTGAGAAGCAGCTGCCAATTGATAAATGGTGTGCTAAAGACACCACCAGATCACACACATTGGGGCCTATTGGGAGATACCAGCATCTATATCTAACAGGCATTGAATGTGGAGGACTTCGTGATAATCATAAAGACCGAGAAACTGAAGGTTCAAGATTCTTCTCTCAGTCCACAAATGTCGGTCCCGAGGACCCGATCAACCATGTGCCAGAAGCGCCAATAGGTGTTGGACTTGTCATAGTCAAACGTCCCATCTTCCCGGAGCTGGGGTCCGTCTCCTACAATATCGCCTGTGAACCAGCTGAGGATCGGAATCGACCGCAGAACACGCTCCGTAACTGTTGGCTGGGGAGGGAGGGCTTCGGTTATCGGGCGCAATTTCGTTCGACGGACTGTCGGAATATGCGTCATGAACTCAGACTCGGGTTTCACTTCCTGGGCGACATTTCGTTGATGGACAGGCGAAGCTTGGTCCACGCCAGTAGCCGTTGCCGAACTTGCTGTATTTGTGGAATCGAAAGACTCATCTTCCTCGACGTCAGGCACAGTAGAAAGGTTGTTGATCGCAAATGATCGCGGTAACGTCGACGGCCGCTCTTTATCCATAGTGAGGAATGCAGTGGAATGAGAACTAGTCAAGGTCCGTGCTTGTCTCGAATTAAATTTGCTGGAAAAGGATGAGTCGACAGGGATAGGAACATCCTCCGTAGGACCTTGGCCATGAAACAGCTCACAAAATACAAGGTGACCATCGATCTCCTGGGGGGAAAAGAAACAGGCTCGATCCGCAGCGATAGTCGAGTCAAACGTGACCTTGATCCAGTTAAATCCACCAGCATATCGCTTCGATTTACGATTCGCATCCGCAGACAAGTTCGCACGAATAACCACATCACCACCGCTAAGAAGCTGGGCATATCCACTCGAAGAGTTGGGGTCCGTACGAGGATAGTCCTCATAAATTACGCCGCGCGAAATCCGCTCAAACTTATCAATGGCCTTCCACTCTGAGTCTTTGCTCCGGTAACCATAGAGCATGCATTCAGTAGCGACCTTTTCTGTCTGCTTCCATGAGTTCTCGAGGTTCGAGGAAGATGACGACTTGGGCAAGGTTTTGCTGCGGCTGCTCTCCTCCTCCTGCTGTTGAGCGAACAGGCGCCCAAATTCGACAACGTTCGGGTTATCCCTCTTTCCTGGGGTGCCAGTCCGTGTCCGTGAGCGAGCATGTTCATAGCGAGCATTTCGTCGTTTTCCAAAGGGTCCTGTTTCCTCAGGTGGTCGTCGGGGGTTACGGGCTTCGCTGTTGAATTCGAACAATATTAGCTAATCTGTAATAGCGGTGACAGCAAATTTGTCGTTAATGGGGCTGTCGGACTTACTCTTTGTAGACATATCCCCAGGGCAGAAGATTCCCTTTGTCGTCTTTTGCGCGCTCCTCCAGAGGAACAAAATGGTATTCCATGCTGAAGAGAGGAGAACTGAGCTCCTTGGTTTAAGAGGAAAAAAAATAAATGAAATAAGGCAAAGAGACCAGAGGCAAATATAGCACAAAATAACTGCCAACACAGTGCAGACAGTTGAGCTGGTCGTGAAGGAGATACTCTGCTAAGGTAGTTGCGGACCAAAACTTTTGGCTCCGCCATAAACAGTGCGTTCGCCCGGAGATGACCACGTGACCGCGGATCTTCACTGGAGTGTATACCCATTTGGGAAATGGTTTCTTTGAATAAACATGACTTCTCTTTGAACATGCAATAATTCACCCATGATTTAGGAATACCATTGTTCAATAAATTCAAGACAATGCCACCTCAATCTTGCCATAGAAACACTATATGCCCAGCGTCGCCTTCCAAGCCACACACATCACCAAAATCTCCCACCTCTGATCTCCGCCTCTCTACATGACCCACAAACTCCTGCAGGGGGCAAGAAAAGCCAGGTCCGGACTTGCAGTACGGCAACGCGACAATTCTATCATTAATATTAAGTCGAATAAATGTTTCTTTCTGGTTTTCGACACCATCGACGAAAGGTGACGAGCAAGTCATTCTCTCAAGGACAATCCGGCCTCCCATCGGCATCACGGACGAAGTACGCCAAGTGCGGTCTCTTGCTATATGGGTAGTAGGAAGAGATGGATCATATTTCTCGTCTTTCATAATGTCGAGAGCAGTAAGAAACGGCGCTATGTCACCATCATGGACACTGATTGTTGCTACTATCAGTACTTCGGCGTTTGCCTAGGCAATCAAAACATATCGCGAGGATACGCACAAACTAAAGAACAATGTCCCAGCTGCAGGACCTTGCTGTAACAGCTTAGTTGTAGCATTCAACCAAAGCCAACCCATTGCACCCGCGTACGGGTTTCCCGGGCCTGCGCGGTAATAATGGATTAGATCGCGAGCATATTCGAAACTCTCCCATTCCTCATTGCTAAATACATCACACCAAGGACTGGAGCCCCGCGCGATAGTCTCAAAGCCGCACATTTGTTGCATACTGAAGACCTCGGCATTCGAGAATGACTCAAATACCGAGTTCCCTTGCTCGGAGATTAACCGTCTCGCGATAGGCGGAATGTAAACGTCTTGGAAACGTGAAAGCATATTGACGCCGTTGTCGTGGCCTTTCTCTCCGTCTTCAAGGTAATTCAGACACGTGTCGCCCGGCGTAAGCGTATTCGCCCGTTGATCAAACGTCTCCGGGATGATCACCAGAGTTGCCCTTTTACTCTTTTCCCAATCCAGACCAAACATCCCTGCGGCGAAATGTTGAGCCGTCTCGATGACGCGTTGGCAGTCACTTGCCCAGAATCGTGTCGGAGCACGTTGCGATAAGAGATGTCCATATCGGGTGATGAATCGGATACCTGTGGTAAAAGCCTGGAGTTTTCCTGCATAGGGGCCAGTGCCTGTCAACTGATCGAAATCTTTCTCAGGGTCACTGGTGAGATAGGTCCAATTGTTCAGAAAAGACAATGAGCCATTGACAATGACGTCTGCTTCTTTAATGCGATTAAGAAGCGCGAGATGATCTTCATTCAAAAATCAGACACAAAATTACCATGTAAATATTTTCAGTAATGCGGACAAGAAACCTACGACTCCCAGCAGATTTGGTCGGATATCTCTCTCCGTGGCGGGACATCTGGATTTTTGTCAGATCGCATTGAATTGAACAAGCCGCTCTAGTAATGCCATTCTACATACCATGTGTACTTGTCCAATGGAGCACCCTTCAGGGGGACCAATGCCCTGAGCTGCTGTCTCCCCGTCCCTCTTCTCGATCCAGGGGCCGTTTCCACCCAAGTGGTAGAGAAGATCCCAGTCATCGTCAAGAGGTATTGTTCGCTTCACATCAGGAATGGATTGAAAAGCATGGAACCATGTGTTCCAGCTAGGATAGTACGGTGATGAGCGTGCATTGCCACCGTTGCAGGTGCTGATAAAACATCCTGCAGTTAGCAGGCCCTGTTTCTGATGGAGAGTGCCAACGATTGCAGCTAAAAGGGCGATACATAGCCACGTAAAAGATATGTTAAGCATAGTCAATTGAATAGTTAAACTGGCAGTACCACATGGTAAGGAATAGCCATGAACAGCGTTGTTAAGTGTCAGTTGAAGATGAAACTGCCCAAACACTTACGCCTGCCGTGGTGCCAAGACTGTATACAAGTGGAGCCGGGGACAATGGCATCTATGTGAGTACTGAGTGATACTAGCCAGTTAAATAAGGCGGATATCTACAGGTGCGTATACAACTATAATAGGTATTCATGCTGAATGTAGAAAGGTAGCAGGCTTCCATTAAGTTCATTCGACTATCAACCAAAGACTAGGAGACAGTATATTTACAAGCTGTATCTGAATCGAGGACTTTTGTCTCCCATTTCCTGGATTTCTTCCTCCGTCATGCCTTCAACTTTGTAATCCTCGAGGCCCCTGTCTCTGCGACTATTCTTTTCTCGGTAGTAAAACCATATAAGGCCATAGACCACTCCTGCAAATCCCACAAGGCCCAATGTTACAGAATTGCCTCGTTCGTAACGTGGTGCCTCGGTTGATTTGTATAGAAAAGGCGACATCACCCCACTCACATTACCAAATGTGAGCTGTAGGCCTGTAGCAAATGTGCGCTTGCCATAACGGGGAAGAGTCGTTGGTAACCAGGCAAGCGGCAGACCAACTGCCACGTACAATCCCGAGGCCACAAGTAGGGCACCGAAATAATGCACCCCCGAAGACGAATCCGAGATCAAAACACCGTAACCCACAACGGAAACGGCCGCGAAAATGCAAGTGAACAAGGCACGACGCTGGGTTCGATCGCTGAGCCACGCCACTCCCAGGTACATTAGAGACCCCAGTGCATAGCAGGGAATAGTGAGAGCTTGGACCTCAGGGACGGACCAAGACCCCATTCCCTTAATGATAGTGGGAAGAAAAGTGCTATAGCCGTAGAGCATTGTGTCAACACCAAACTGGCCAATGCAAAATGCATAGATTCTCCAGTCAAGCGCCCCTTCCTTAACATCGGCCCAGTGAAACTTTTGAGCGGAGGCGGTTTGGCCCACATAGCGGCTTCGACGGCGAACTACAAGAGCTCTTTCTTCTTCGTTAAGATAATATGCGGTGTCAGGGTCGTCGGCGAGAAAAAACCAAGTCACAACGCCGAGGAGAACAGTTGGAATTCCTTCGATGATCATAATCCATCTCCAACCTCGGAGACCACTAATGCCATCCATAAACCCAATGCCATATGCTAAAAGACCGCCGAACGCCCCAGCGATAGCAGCACTGCTGAAAAGATAACCAGTTCGCAGGGCAAGTTCGCGCTTGCTGTAGAACAATGTGAGGTAGGTCAGCAATCCAGGAAATAATCCCGCTTCCACAACACCTAGACTGATCAGCCATGGGGGCTCTGCATTGAACCGATTTATCTCAACTAACCAAGGAGGATACGACAAGCAATGAGATCACCATAGTTTTTGGTAATACCTGTCAAAGTTGCTATGATGCCCCAGATTACTGAGATCGAGGCAATATAACGAGAAGGGGTGAGTTTTTTGATGACAAGATTTGACGGAACTTCGAATAACTGTAGCAATCGATTAATTAGGTATCTGTCGGATCGTCACTGGATCTCGGAATGGTCCCTACACAGTATGTCACAAACAATATGGACACTGCCACCTGATATTGGTCTCCCACTAGACCAAGGTCTTCTTCTAAGCCATACAGCCGGGCATTGCCAATATTTACTGGACAGCAGCAATATTAGCAACAGGGTAACAGAATGGAACAAATATTACGGCAGGAAGATGGTTGTGCTGATAAGGTGAATAATATACCCCTGTCCAAAAAGCTGAAAAGGTAAAGCAGGACAACAAACGGCAGAATGTACATGTCCATTTTCCAGACCAGATGCTTCTCCTTCTGCTCTTCCAGTAATGACATCCCAGAGCTGTCATCCGCCGGGAAGGCCGTGTCGGCAGTCTGAGATGATGACTCAACACCTTGCTTAAGCTCGCTCTGATACTCCATGGCTGTTAATCACGAGTGAGAAATTCTCTCGTTTTATTTCATAGAGATTTAAGAACTTCTTTTCTTCCTAAGGGATGGCAGTGGCTCACTCTCCAAGTAAGGTCATAACACAAGCTCTCCAGCGAAAGGGACGTGTAAATAGCCTACTATCAACGCTAGTGCCATCAGCGATACATCAGTCAAACTTCAATCAGATAGGTACGGAGTAAGCGAACTGGGGATTGTGCGAGAGACCAAACGCCAAGATTCGAGACCGGTCGGGTTAGAGTTTGTCATGCAACTTGGTAGAAAGTCCTCACCCGGGCTGCTGCAGAATTTTACGCCGAGATCATATGTACAGCGTGGATAGAGCTAGATTTCTTGAAGAAACACGTCGCCGAATTAAAACCAGCTTTAAGGACCGATTGGTCTAAATTCAAGCAAGAAACTCCCCCTCCAAGCTCGTGGGATCCTCACCATTGATTGATATCCCCACTTTTTGACCCGGGCAAATGCCCCCACTTCACCGGTGATATACTGGTGGTATGAAGGGCAGGTCGCTGGCATTTGCAAGTCAGATTGAATCCAAAAGAGACTAAAGTATTCCATTTGGAACGTGGATGCTGGTTCTTCACTATCTTTAGCAGGGGATATACATCATGAGTTTCCTCATCACCAGCCTGCCAATGAAGTCCTGGCTATTTTACCGAATTGACGACAAGGTGCATTGATCCCTGGGTTCTGTTGCAGACAGAGAAATGTTGCAGAACGAAAGGTTGCATGTCACTCCCCAAAGGCGGTGGAAATTTTTAATTAAACTAAAAAGGTGGCAGCATATCTCCCCAAAATATGGACAAGGGATCACGGGTTATTAACTTGTCGAACATTGCTGTTTCTGATTAATCACGAGATGCCAGGGGCGACGACTAATTATGTTGCATTCATTACTTCTTGTTGATCCCTTTCAAGGCACTCCTAGTGATGAGATGACGTCAGTGCCGCATTCCCGAGGCAAACCAATCCCGAGGCAAACAGCACGGGCAACTTTCCCCCCATCTTAAGCAATTAGGTGAATATCCATCGAAGTGCAGCGCCAGATAATTCTCATACTTTTTCATCATGGCAGAGAAATACGGGGACTATCAAACGGAGATCTACGCCCGTGGGGCCATGATGGGTCTCCTGCCAACCGTTACAACCGACCCTCGTCTGCTCGAACAGCAAGCTCAGAAAACGATGAGTTCTCGAGCTTTTAATTATGTTGCTGGTGGAGCTGGTGAAAAGGCCACCATGGACAGCAACCGGCTGGCATTTCGTCAATGGAAGCTGTACGTTTCCACTCTTGCATCTCTATGTGCGCTCAAATGGACAATGACTTGTAGCTAAACCCAATATACATAGAATCCCGAGGATGATGAGACAGGTTTGTCCACTTGTAATCCATATCCACCATGAAATACCTTAATAACTTATCCAATGTAGCTGGATAATCAGAATGTTTCTGTGAATCTATTTGGTCAAGATTACCCGAATCCACTCCTCATGGCGCCAGTAGGTGTCCAATGTATTTTCCATGATGACAAAGAAACAGGCCTAGCGGAGGCATGTTCGGAGGTTGAGGTGCCATATATCCTTAGTACAGCCAGTAGCAGCACTATCGAGGAGGTAGCAGCAGCTAATGGAGATGGGAAGAGATGGTTTCAGCTCTACTGGCCAACGAGTGATGACATCACCCTTTCTCTATTGAAGCGCGCAAGGGAGAACGGTTTCTCCGTCCTGGTAGTGACCCTAGACACATGGTCGCTTGCTTGGCGACCAGCAGATCTTGATAATGCCTACATTCCGTTCATCCGGGGAATCGGCAACCAGATAGGTTTTAGTGATCCAGTGTTTCGCAGCAAGTTCGAGAAGGAGTCTGGACGCAAAGTCGAGGATGATATAGTTGGTGCATCCAGATCGTGGATCTCAGATGTGTTCCCTGGCAGGCCACACTCATGGGAGCACATTTCCTTCCTGCGCAAAAATTGGGATGGCCCGCTTGTTCTCAAAGGTATTCAGCATGTGGATGACGCAAAACTTGCTCTTGAAGCCGGGTGTGATGGTATCGTTGTTTCCAATCATGGAGGTAAGTTGTCTCACGTTGTAAAATGCATAGTCCCAGGGAGAAAAATGAAAGAAGAAAAAAAAAAAAAAGGGTTTTCCATTCCTTGGTCCACTTTACATTTCTCCCAAAGTTAACATAAAACAGGTCGACAGGTTGACGGCGCAATTGGTTCTTTGGACGTGCTCCCGGAGATAGTCGAGGCTGTTGGAGACAAAATGACTGTCCTCTTTGATTCCGGAGTCCGGACTGGCGCAGACGTTATTAAAGCTTTATGCCTCGGAGCCAAAGCAGTCCTTATAGGCAGGCCTGTGGTATATGGTCTTGCTGTAGATGGAAAGAATGGAGCAAAGGCCGTAATGAAGGGTATGTTAGCGGATTTGTGGCAGAACATGGGTTTGGCATGCATTCGCACTGTCGCTGAATGCAGTCGGGATATGATCCGGAACGTCAAATACCCTGGTGATACAAATGCTATGCTGTGATATAATATATGACTATCATACTCGGGCCAGATCACATGTTTTCTAGCTCTAGGCGAAGGCGAATGGGGCGCCAGGATAAATAGCAGAAAGACATGACAAAGATGTCAGAAGCAAAACTAATGACACCATGTAGGACTCGATCCACAGAGTTTCCGGGGTAAAGGGGCCAGAAAACTGATGGGGAAGCACAAGCAACAAAGTGGGAACAAAGTGAGAATCCACTTTGTTGGGGGTAATATGCAGAATCACATGCCGGCCCGGCGTGTGATCTCAACCACATGCCTAATGCCTAACTCGCCCACCTGCAGCAGATCTACACTCTTGCTGTCCGCCAGCCAGGAACCCTCCACTGACGGATCCCCTGGCTGGCTGAGTTGAGAAAGCATTATTGTCTCTTATCTCTGTCTACAAGGCTACTCTGACAACGGCATACTTTGCCCATGGCTGAGAACTACTTTACTCTCGATGCAAACAACATACCAAGTCTTTGCGTGAGTGACTCGGAATGTCTAGATTTTTTGGCCTTATGCCCACATTAAAGCGAGCTGATCCTAGTCCCGACGGGGATGCGACCCATAATGACGGACCCAGCCACACACCCGTAACTTCGGGGATGACCCTGCTGCCACGACCAGTTGCTTCCCTTGTCTCTCTTATAACTCAGTCTACTTCTCTCTCTCTTCGAGTGGGGACATTTTTTGGGGGAGTTGCCCTCGATGGGGCAAGAATCACAACACTGACTGGGCTAGAGCTCAGTAGGGCAATCATTGAAGGAGTCTTGACCCGGGCTAGGCGCGATGTTGCCATCCGAAGTAGCGACCATGGCAAATCAGAGGCTGAGACTTTACTTGAGCGTAGCGTAAGTCAAGAACCTACCCTTCAAATCCCCCTCTATATTTTTTACTAATTCAAATTCCAGCTCGCCGCTCTACACATGACAGTAACGTCTGCATCGTTCTTTGCTGCTGCGACGTTCCACCTATCTTCTACGACACTCTCGTCGGCTGCTCATATGTCTCAGGCCCTATTATCCACTCTCGATGCGACCCTAGGCTCAACAGAGTCTTCTAGAGCAATTGCGGCGATCATAACTCTCATTCGAAGACAGTTCAATACCCCTAACATTGATGCCGGTACTGATAATGTCGGAGTTGCTGATCTTTTGGTTGGCACTGTGGGGTTTGCTATGCTGCAACGTTGGGGTCAAAAGAGTACCGAAAGGCATATGCGAGCAAATGGTGGGAATGAGATCATCTGGGATGTTGTCATCCTTGATAATGGCATGAGAGCCGATGTTGTTGGGGCACACCAAATAGAGCCTACGCGAGTTCCTCATGATGACCTAGGTGACGAGGCCAAGCACTCCTCTTTTATATCACCTGGGCAGGATGAAGAAATCTTCGATGCCGTGCAACGTTCTACGAGTATGGTAGATACAGCCGAGCAACCTTTCCTAACACTTCCCCCAGGAAACCAAAGTGATGTCTCAAATGAAGATATTCGTCTATATATATTAAACCAGCTCCCCCAAGGTTGCCGCGCCTCAATCAGAACCGATTTGGTATCAGCACGCACCATCACAGTGGACATCTTCGACGACGACAATGCAGAAATTGCTGCCCCACCAGGTACCATGATGATTGAAGAGAGGTTTCATAATAATCAAGTTGGAGGCGGAATCCCAGGGTCGCAACAGCTTCCCAAGCACACAGTTGTATTTAGAACAGCATTCAACAAGTCACAGTGTGCGGACGTTTCTAGTCTACGAGGAACAGGTTTCGAGCAGGCTGGTTTAAGTTCTTCACAATTCCCCGAAGTCGCTATCAGTGCAGATCCATCGCCAGATTTCGGAACTAGCCTCATAAGCGACAATCAATATAATATAACGACCGGTCAACGACAATCAGATGACAATCGTTCGACAAGGCAGACCAGGAATCCAGTTGACGACAACTGTTCTCCATCAGACTTGAATTTATTATCTTCGTCTCATATACCAACAACCCAAGGTATCAAGCTTGAGGCTGATACTAAGAATCATGTCAGGCCTTCACACACGTCTTCGAATGAATCGGAATCTGCTTCTAAGGGCTCATTTGGGAAAGCTTCACTGGCAAGGTTCGCACAAAGGGTGAAGCCAACTGGTGCAGAGAAGAATGAAATTGCTAAGCGGCCATCTTCGAAGCCACCCTTTGAGAGGTCTAGTTCACAGCCTTCATCAACGCGTTTGAACCAGAAAACGAAGCCCAGTAATAAGGCCTTAATTCCGGAGAGAAAATCATCAACACAAGGGCCCCAGGTGAAGCCAAGGTCCGGTGAAAAAACACACAGAGAACCATTCTCCAGCGATAGAAACTCAACATCTGTAGCAAACAGAGGCTTACAGAGATCAGTACCACAAAGTTCTCGATTGGGTACCACTCCTCAAACTGCACGCCGTGCGAACATGCGCGACGCGAACAGTGGAAGAAACCCAAGGACGGAATACTATTCTATACATGAGAAGAGCAAAGAGTCATTTGTCACACAAACAGATGCTTATTCCCTCCGATCCATGGATTCTCGGCCAGGATCGCCGGTGGCTATGAGGACACATGTACGCAGCAGTAGTTCGATGTCCCTGACAAGATCTGAAGCCGACATGACATTATCCGTCAATGGGGACAGCCGTCCGGGCTCTTCTTCCATACATGAAAGGTCCAAACCATATCCTTCCAGTATATATTCATTGGCAACTGCAGGCTCAGAAACATCGTTGATCCTTGCCCATCGTTCTCGGAAGAGCACGTATGACGATATTGCAACTATACAGGCCCTAAACCGAGATGGTCTAGTACCAGGTATATTCCCTCAGAAGCATTTTGTACAAAATATCAGACGCTTCTGTCGATTTTCGTCGGCATCATACGGTTCGAATGCCCTTAAGGTCATGGGTGTTCCGCGGCTATCTAATGGTCTCCCCTACCAGGAATCTGACAGTCAAGAACACACGGACTTTTCTGATCATACTGGTCTGCCGACTTCTAGCATTCTTCTTTCATCTTTCGTTGACACTGCTGGTGGTACAAATGCCGCTGGAGAGACCGATACCGGTTATCCGCTGGTCCATTACCTCTTCCTAGATCATGAATCAAAGGCTGTTGTTCTAGCTCTAAGAGGAACATGGGGGTTTGAAGATGTACTCACAGATATGACATGTGATTATGATGACCTTGAGTGGCAAGGGAAAAGCTGGTCTGTCCACAAGGGGATGCATGCTTCTGCAAGACGCCTCCTGATGGGAGGGGGTGGAAAGGTCATGATCACCATACGAGCTGCACTAGAAGAATTTCCGGAATATGGTGTGGTGCTATGTGGTCACTCACTAGGGGGGGGAGTTGCCGCACTCCTAGCAACGATGGTTTCTGAGCCTAACAATGAAGGGCCCGGTACTTCGTTTATGACTGCTGCCTATCAGTCCAGCACGAAACGTTTACTTCTACCTGGAAGTAGCGATCAAAGCAGCCATGCGGCCTATTACCTTCCCCCAGGGCGTCCCATACATGTTTATGCATACGGCCCTCCAGCAACCATGTCCCCATTTCTCCGACGCGCAACTCGTGGGTTGATTACAACGGTTGTAAACGGTCAGGATGTGGTACCAAGTCTATCTCTGGGTATCCTACACGACATGCATACAGTATCTGTGGCTTTCAAAGACGATGTTTCTGGTGCCAGATCAAATGTTCGCGGTCGTGCTTGGGAGAGCTTACGGCAAGGTATAGTTAACAAGTTCTATGTGAATGAGCCTCCCATACTTTTGCATGCTGGCGATGGATTTGGTGAAGATGCATGGGCGTGGCGAACTCTGAAAATGCTCAGAGAAGAAATGATTGCACCGAAGCTAATGCCTCCTGGAGAGGTCTTCATGGTTGAGACGATGCGTGTTCTGCAGCGAAACGCGTTCACTTCTCAGACGTGCGACGACGGATATCCGCAACTAGGACGCCCCGCAACAAGAGTACAACTAAAGTTCATTCGAGATGTGGAAGCTATGTTTGGAGAACTGAGGTTCGGTTCAGGGATGTTCAGCGACCACAATCCAGCAAGATATGAAGCTAGCCTCGCCTCTCTTACACGGGGAATTTTGGATGATTAATAGCCCTTATTGTTGGTTAAATAGGGAAGACACGACACTGGATATCAGCAATCTTTTGGATATTTCGTATTATACGTTTGGCACATAAATTCGGTTACATAGATATCTTTGTATGACATAGATAGATCTTATAGAGATCCGCCTTTTGAAATATGTCCGATTGCATATACAAAAAGAGATAAATAGTTGATTATGTTCATTCTGAAACGGTATAATATAACTTAGTTGAAAAGATAGTCCATTATATGTTGAAAGTCGCTCAGTTTGGGCTGTCCTTCATGTCGAGTATCAGCGTAGACAGGTACTGAATTGAGTATCCATATCAATTGCCAAATATTCGGGTTTCGTAGAGACTCCCGGAAACGGGCCAAGCTTCTGGGTCAGTATCACAACTGATAGCCTTCTCGTTTCGCGTCTCCTACAATATTGTTGTAGATTCCTAGCTGATACTGCAGGTCCTAGGCGATTGCGTAGTGCCACTAACTTTCACATCGCAACCGCTGACGATTCGGCCGTCCTTTAACAGCTAGGTCCCTCGATTGTATAAACCTCATTGCCCTTTTTGTTGAGGCTCATATATATGACTTGTTATTAGGCATGGCTCATTATCACCTTCGTGCAGAAAAGTGTTAACTCCCGTACAACAGTTCCAAAGGACAATCACGTCTGTAGAGCACACTACCTGTAACTCGAAGTACCAACAAGCACCCAGTTATCCATTGTGTGGCGGATCCTTCTTTACTCCATCAAAATTCTTTCGTCTCCTTTCTTCAATTCGGGCTTCTAGGTCATCGATTTGCTTCGCAACAAGCTCTCTTTTGGATGCCAACCCCTGCCGCATGTTCCGGAGTGATGCGAGACGCTCATCGATTGTAATTTCCCGAGATTTTTGGGCTTGCTAATTGCCACCAATGAGCCTAAGTTAAACATGACCGATTCCCTGTAGCGATCATACCTGAGCAACCTGCCGTTCGGTTTTGATACCTGCACCGTAGAGAGTTCCTGCGATGGTAATTGACGTCACAGCAGCAACAAGAACTATGCGCTTCACTTTCTGGGGGGAAGCCATGGTATCCACTCGAATTGTTTCCCACTACTGTGAGAAGCCCGTCACAATAAAAACCAGATTTGCAGCTCTTCAATGGAGATGTCGCTCTTGAACCTCGAGTCCCAATTAATTAAACTGCCGCATGTCACCGCCTAACCAGGATCGGAGATAGGTTGATACCACACCATTAGCGGCGCGTCGCGTTCCTCCGCGTTGATATCATCGCGAGAAACTGTATCGCTATCCAAGGCACTGCAGGCTGCAGGAGGCCGCACGTGCCGATAAAAGATGCCTTCTATAGCAACAGTTCCAAGTCGTCGACAACGGAGTGAGGATGATGATAATAGCGATGGGACATCCTCAGTCTCAACGAGAGACCCCACACCCGCGTCACAGGTCTCGAATACCAGCAAACGTATCCGGCTAGAGACCGTTGAGGATGCCGTTAAGGAAGAGGACACTGATGAAAGTACTAGCGGGGATTCTGATAGCGAATCCCCAGAAGATAGTGTTCCAACCTCCGCTCAGAGAGCCAAAGCTGCTGCTTCTCATGGACCCAACGCGAACGCCTTGGTCCCCGGGGGGTCAAAATGGAGTTGAAAATGAAGGCTACAAACCGGGCGCTATTGTGCGAATCAAAGTTACTGACTTTGTAACGTATACATCTGCTGAATTCTTCCCTGGTCCGAAATTGAACATGGTAATTGGACCGAACGGCACAGGGAAAAGCACATTGGTTTGTGCAATATGTCTGGGGCTGGGATGGGGGCCACAGGTATGAGAACATGTACTCTATTTTGTCTACATATTTTTTGTTTTTAGTCGTGTCATGATCCCTACGGTTGCTAAGGCCTGTTTTTGCATTTTAATAGCACTTGGGTCGAGCGAAAGACCCTGGCGAATTCGTGAAGCACGGCTGTCGGGAAGCAACTATTGAGATAGAGCTTGCAGGCGGTCCCAAATTCCGTCGAAACCCTATTGTTTGTCGAACTATTAAGCGGGAAGGCAACAAGAGCTCGTTCATGCTGAATGGGAAACCGGCATCTCGCACCCAGGTGCTCAAATTTGCTCAGTCATTTTCCATCCAAATCGATAATTTGTGTCAATTTCTACCGCAAGACAAAGTTAGCGAGTTTGCTGCCCTTACGCCGGTTGAGCTACTCCACTCGACGCAACGAGCCGCTGCAGAACCGGAAATGATCGAATGGCACGATAATCTAAAAAAACTGAGGGTCGAGCAGAAAAAGCTACAGGCAGACAATCAGGGTGACAAGGATTTGCTAACGAATCTCCAAAACAGGCAAGAAATGCAGAGGGCGGATGTAGAGAGGATGCGACAGCGGGCACAGATTAAACGGAAAATCGAGATGTTGGAGCTTGTTCGTCCCGTGACCAAGTACAAGGAGTCTCATGCTCAATATAAGGAACTGAAGAGAAAGAAGGACACCATCAGCCGTGAGCTAGATATGCTTAAGACGCAGCTAGAGCCTGCATTGCGGGCAGTGAACGCCAAGCAAGATTATTGCGTGCGTTTGGATAAAGTCATCGAACATAAAAAGCGCGGCGTTGACAGAGCGGACCGCAAAGCTTCGGAAGTTGGAAAATCAATTGAACGATACGAGGACTCTACGAAGGATTTAGACAAACAGATCGATGCTGAGAAGAAAAGTAGCGCAAATTACAAGCAGGAAGCTACTAAAATCCAACAGGCAATCAACAAACTCACTCGCCAGTTGAATGAGGAACCAGTGAATTTTGATGTCGATTGGTATAATGAACAGATTGTTAGTATCCTATACAACGGGCAGAAGTCATAGCTCCTACTTACCTTTTCCACAGAGGACAAAGCGACGAGAATTGAGAGAGATCGAAGAGACAGCTAGTGAAATAAAAGAAAGACGGCGGCCCCTTTTCGAATCTCTTAATACGAAGAGGAATGGAATCAAACGAGCAGAGCAGCAGTTACATAGTCTAGATTCTCAATCCGGTCGGCAGGAGGCGAAGCTCAAGCAATTATCTACTGATTCTTATAGGGCCTACAAGTGGGTATTGGAGAATCAGAATAAGTTCGAAAAGGAGGTCTTCGGTCCTCCAGTGGTCACATGTTCCCTTAAAGATCCCAAATATGCAGATGCGATAGAGTCGCTGCTTCAAAGAACGGACTTCACAGCCTTCACAACGCAAAGTCGAAACGATTTCAGAACCCTGCAAAAGGCTCTAAATATCGAAATGAAGCTGCATGATATTAGTATCCGGACGAGCTCGGCTCCGTTAGAAAACTTTCAACCGCCATTCCCCGCAGATAATATTAAAGCAATGGGGTTTAATGGGTGGGCTAATGATTTCCTGAGTGGTCCAGAGCCTGTGCTCGCGGTGCTATGCAGCGAGAACAGGCTACATCAAACACCCATCGGCCTTCGCGATATCACGGATGAAGAATATACCAGGATGGAAAAAGGATCGATCACCTCCTGGGTATCTGGAAAGCGGAGCTACCAAATTGTCAGGCGACGCGAGTATGGCCCCAGCGCTTCGACCACCCGTGTCAGACAAGTAAGGCAAGCGAGGGTTTGGACGTCCCAACCCGTGGATACCTTGGCGAAAGAACATGTACTTCAGAATATTTCGTCACTCAAGGAGGAACTGCGAGGTTTGGAGGAAAAAATGGAGTCTGAGAAAGCTGAACTGGCAGAGCTGGGGCAACGCCATAACGAGCGCAATCAAGAAAGGGTATGGAAATTTATAGGTCAAATGTCGTTGAATGCATTAGCTAAATTTCCTACAGATTGAACTCGAACGGGAGAAGTCCGAAAAGCAGACAGCCCTTACACACTATAAGGCTATCCCGGAAAGGATCCGTACGTGCCCCTCGCCAACTTATATAGGTCTTGGGTGAATACTTACCATGCATGATAGGCCAGCAAGAAGCAAAACGAAAAGACACTGAGAGATTCTTCGAGGACATAAGGACTAGGGTCTTGAATATCCGTCACGAGCAGGACCAATTGTCGATTCAAAAGGCCGAAGCAGCTATTGAATACGCTGTATGTAGTTATCGTTATTTGTGGATTACCACTGACCACAAGCAGGATTCGGTTCAACAACTTCGTACAGCACACGAGGAGCTCATAAAACTGGGCATCCGGCGTGCAGAGGCAATTTCGGACTTGGAAACACTCAAAGCTCGTAATCAAGAGCACAGCGATAAGCTGAGAGCGAAGACTGACGAGTTGAAAGAAGCAGTGAATGAGATAAAGACCATGTCTGAACTCGTGAAAAGACTGCTGAAGGAGGCTGGGAAGGTTGCACAGGCTTCCCAGAGTCAACCGGATCTCGCCGAATTGTTGCCTACTTTGGCTGATCATACCTCAGACCAACTGGAAGCGGATATCGACTCGGAAAAAGCACATCTGGAACTCACACAAGGCGGCAATAGCAATATCATTAAAGAATTCGAAGAACGTGAACGACAAATTCAGAGACTACGCAGTAAGCTCACCGAGTTCGAGAATCAGCTTGCTGACTACGATCACGCTATCACTGAGATTCGAGGGAAATGGGAGCCGCAACTTGATGCACTGGTGAAAAGTATCAGCGACGCATTCTCTGATTCCTTCGCTCGCATCGGCTGTGCCGGTCAGGTTTCGCTGGACAAAGTGGAGGACGCAACAGGATCAGACAGCGTGCCCGGCGGTAGCGACTTTGACCAGTGGTCAATCCAGATTCATGTTAAATTCAGAGAGAATGAGAATCTTTCTATACTCGATTCTCATCGGCAGTCTGGCGGAGAAAGAGCAGTGAGCACCATCTTCTATCTTATGGCTCTTCAATCCCTCTCTGCATCCCCATTCCGCGTCGTCGACGAAATCAACCAGGGCATGGACCCCAGAAACGAGCGAATGGTCCATGGTCGCTTAGTCGACATTGCGTGTGCCAATGGAGGCAGCCAATATTTCCTCATCACCCCAAAGCTGCTCAGCGGGCTGTCCTACAAGCCTGGTATGAGGGTTCTCTGCATCTACAGCGGTGAACACATGCCTACAGATTACCGGGTTGTCGATTTTGGCGAAGCCGTGAAGAGGATGAGAGCTCTGACGAAGAGAGACCGTGGAAAAGGCAAGGGGAGAGCCAGACGGGACTCCCTTGCCGAGAACAGTGGTAGAGTCGATGTCTATACTTGATGAATGTTGAGTGTTCAGTATCGATACCTCTTGCTTTTTGTGACCTTTATTTTGAGTACAAGTTTCGGTATCTACGAGTTCTACGTTTTTTTTTGGATCTGACCATGTTTTCGCCCATGTACATAAGATAGTCATGAATGTCCACCTCCTGGGGGTGGGTGTTTTATCGTTTATTCATAAGTGACAAAAAAATATTCTGTAACTACATCTAGCCGAAGCTAATTCAGGCAAAATATTCATATCGCGTATGGAACGAATACCAAATGCTCTCTAGGAGGACTTACAACACTTACGGTCTCGAAAATGCATGGCTATAGTACAAGTGATAATAACAACGGGATTTGGTGACACTCCATGGAGATATATATCTAGAACAGGAATATTGACATTAGTGTATAGTACAGTGCAACTTAGCAAACGTAAGACTAGAACTATTGTGTACTGATTTTATATTTACTCTTTCCCTAGAGATTACCTCTCCTTAAAATGAAGTATCCTTATTGTAAATTGTGCTTAACTGTAGAATCTAACTAGATGATGGTTTCACACATAACACATATCACAAACCACATTTACTATATAGAGGCTCATATTCACAATGCTTATAGATAAACATACATCTTTACTGTAGTATTTAGCCATCAGAAAAACCCATGAATGCATGCATGTACTTCAACATCATAACCACATGCAATCACATAGGTAAGTAGGTACCATGTCACACGGCACCACCCTTTTCATCCCAGGACCAAGCCCGACAACGTCAGCACCAAGTCAGTACGTCCACCGAGATAGTAGTAGAATAGGAGACAGGACACAGGTAAAGTTACCGAAACCAGGATGGGTCAACTGTTGGGCAGATAAACTGCATTCTGTATAGTTCATACGGTCTTCGGGAAGAGTAGGTACACTCCTCGAGGCAGTACGGCAGATTGCCTTGGCAAGTACCGGGGGCCGAGGATGGTGAAATACCGTTTCGGACATGTCACACCACACGGCCGGAGCCGCAGGATGTCAGTGCGAGGGTTGCATGTCCGTGCCTCTACAGTCATCTTCTCCCTAGTTAACTATCTCTCTCTGTCTGTCTCTCCCTCGGTCTCTTTCCCTGATCATGATCAATAATGTCAGCTGTTAATATCGCTCATGGACCAGGGTTCCTCCTTGGATATCGCACGATGATCATTATACACTAGGACTAAACAGGATAGTGGAAATACAAAAGCAAAAGCAAAAGCAAAAAAAAAAAAAAAAAAAAAAAAAACAAAACGATACCAAAAATAAGAAAGATGTGACAAGTCCTCGGACCATGCACGATATGGGGCTGATCTGAATGGCTCTATACTCTAGAATTCAATACAGCCTGCGCACATTACAGGGCTACGGAGTAGATATCTGTAGTCTGTACATGTACAGACAACGACGCATGGATCGGACTGGACCTGCCCAATCTGACCTATGAGGGCATGGATGCATCTGCATGGAGGCTAAGAACGGGCCTTCGAACGAAGATCATGGATCACCCCGTTCCTTCACCTCCCAGTGGATGATGATGGCCTGGCGCTGCGATCAGACGGAAATGCTTCTGAATTCTGAAAAGATGGGTCGGCACATGCGGCCTGAGGCACTCAGGCCCCTGTCGGACATTGGCCGAAACAGAAAGAGTCTAAAAAAGACAACGCAAAACAACAAAAAATTCAGAAACTTAACAAAGCTGTAACGTTGAAAAAATGGTTAGTGATGATCATCATCCAGATGATTGGTGCTCTTTCTTCGCCATATTGGAAGTTGGATGATTACTTTCTTTCCTTCTCCTTCTTTTTCTTTTCTTTTCTTTTCCTTTTCTTTTCAAATTAGTATTATCCCCTTCTGGGTTACCGGGCATTTCCGTTGCGGATCATGCCATGCGAGGCGCATGGCCGATTTGGTCGGGGGTTTTCATGCCAATCAAAAGACTCAGCTTGGCGATTGGCGATGTTGGGCGTCCACGGTGGTCACCGCTTGCTGCCCCTCTTCCTCTTAACTTTATCGTTTATGATTAAATCCTCCTTGCCACGACATCTTCTTCTGTAACTTTAGTATGAGGGTGGGTGTGAGAGGGTGTGTATTGGCTCATCCGTGCATCATTTTAGATCGACAGAACCTTCGTCTCGATCGGGTGTGCGGGGATGTCTCCATGATTGGTGCAATATTTAGCGACTTCCACACCGTTGAAACTATGTGGATGACTCATCCTGGATGATTCCATGATAGCTTCATCTTCTCGGGGGGAGTAGGGGCGGAGTTCTTTGTTGGTGGTCGCCGCTAGGGTTTCCAACCACATACAGGATAAAAAAAAAAAAAAAAGGTATTGCTACGCATGGTGGAGATTGTTCTCAACCAGCTTTTCTTATCAGGTTTTTGCTCTCCCTCATGATCGGCCAGTCGCAACTCAAACGGGCAGTAGCCTCCCTGTATGGTAAATCATAAAGTTGTTGGATCGTGGCCACGCCGCCTGCAGTATCCCTGGCGGCTTATCACAAAGTCACAGGCAGCGGATGATCCGTCATGGCTTGCGTAGGGGCCGTTTACTATTGTCCAGGGATGTCCAACAGGACGCAGCAGGAGTAATATTAGAAATTAGGAACGCCTTATGGGATGACGGGTTCATCTTAGGCCCGGTATTATTGGCCCCGTCGGGTCTGATAGGGTGAGATGGTCCAGGTGATATGCACCGAATGCAGGTGAGAGCTGCTTCAGCAAGTGACCAAACTGGACCAGAAAATGAGAGCCTCGACTTAAGCCCAATAGTAATAGTATCGACACTATGCATGCATATACAAAGGCGGGTCCTGAGGCACCAGCACTAACCGGGCCACGATGCTTTCGCCCGAGAAGGATCGTAACATTTGATATGAAGTGACACCCTAGTATCCTGCTTCATGTCTACACGAGACAAAGAGCACTGATCATCTCCCAGAAGGACGATGGGAGAACTCGAACAACTCCAGGATTGAAACCTACTATGGCAGGGAATGATAGATAGGCGAGGGGTTGGCACGAGGGAACTATACTCGGATCGGTTATTGCGGCGGCTTCCCACTGCTGTCCGGCCGTATGGTGTGGGTTAGATATTTCCATAAGGGTGGGATGGCACAGCGTGTGACGGTGTACATTCATGAGTATGGTTCCACCGCAGAATCATACCAGAGTCAAGGAGCATATTCCCTGGTGCGATTATTAAGGAATACTATCCATTGTCCGTCACGAGCAGCAACACAACCCTGCAGCCATGCAAGAGAAGAGATCCTATCTTACGAGGCCAGGGGAAGCTCACCCGTATCTAGCCGCTACAGCCTCAAGTTTCATGACCAAAAAAATCCGGCGACTAGCTCATTCTAACGCCCGGAACGATAGTATACTTTAATTTAATATCGCCGTTATTACCGACGCTACTTCATATAACTGTGCACCGAGTAACCCCTATAGGCAATTTGCCGGGGTTAGATTCCGTAGAATATGCCGGAGCGATGGTGACCAAGAAAAATACGCTGAAACAGTATATGCGCTCTTTGTCTCATCATGCAGTCTACAATGCAAAAAGGACCGATTATTCGACTCTTACTAAGAATGGAGCCTCGACAATTGGAGGCTAAGTAGTGCATTTCTTCGCATCCAGTTGTCTTTTTCTTTTTCTTTTTTTAAATCCATATTATTTGACTAACCCCGATAGGCGTTGCCGATACTATGCAGCTGCATGCAAGATGGAGGATCAGTTGTAATGACTGATTCTGTTGGTTCATATCATCCGGTGAAAGAGTCTTGTGATGTATAAAGATGCATTTGGATGTTCGTTCCTGCTCCATCGAGGGCACACTGTAGGAGGACAAGCAGCCACGTCATAAGCAAGTGGGCTAGAGAGTCACTCGATCCGGAGGCATGATGTCTAAGTTGACTTGCAGAGGGGGATCACATTCATACCGAATAGATCTACCCCCATACAAAACACATTCATTTTTAACACATTCCATCTCAAACAGGGAAAAAAAAAAAAAAAGGTCTGTATTTTCCGTCCTGTGGCTGACTGAAACCCTGAGTTGATGTACAGGCCAGGACAGCACAGACAACTACCAAAGTGATGGACACTAAAAATGGTCCGCAAGTCCCGTGTCGATCCTCTCTGGGCTGGCCTTTTCCTCGGGTGGTATGGCTTCTCGTTGCAGTAAAACAGCCATAACCCCCAGGGGCTGAACTTACTAAACCACCAGCCTCGGTCACAGCCCTTTTTATGGAGAAATTCTGGGTCCATCGAGGCGCATCACTAAACCGGCCCGGGTAAGGTCCCGTCTGCCACGCCGGAGATCTGCTTGTCGCTGCGTTAGTGCTTTACCGCGTGTGGTAATCGATACGATTGTGGATGGGAATTGTTGTGCCTTGGCTAAACACCTATTTCGTATAGACACTGTTCGGAGTATGTTGACTGGAAGTTTCTCCTCCACCATGGTACTACAGAATATACTCTTTATCCTGACGGAGATTTCCCCGAACAAGGAGAACCTTAATCTGTAATAGAACCTCCCTCCTTCCACAATACCAGTAATATATCCGATACATCGACCGCAGACAAAAGAAGCTATAACCAGAGAGGTGTCCCTGGTCAGTTACAGGATCGATCCTCGTTACAAGGACAGAGAGCCTTGCAGCAACATGTACATATATGTACTAGTAACTATATCGCAAGGCTCTGACGCTGTCTACATAATAATGATAAAGAACAACGAAATAAATCCTGTCCAAGGAATGCCATGTCCCATTAAGTGGACAATTAACTACCATCCAGAAATGAAATTAATATTTCTCCTGTCCAACCACGTCGTGAGGTAGTCCTAATTTAACTTTGATTGACGTGTCCTATCGCTATTTTCTTTTTCCACCTCTACATTGGTCTGGCCATTTCCCTTTTTTAGTTTATTTTTTTGTCTTGGTGGTTTTCTTTTTTTTTTCTTTTTCTTTTTTTCTTTTGTTTTTTCGCTGCCTTGGACTGATCGACGTCGTAGAAATGCTACAGTGTGATGCACTAGGACAAGAAATACCACGCTACATTGATGCATGTCCTCATTTCGATTCTCGGACCCACCGCACTGACTCGGAAATAGCCCGCGAAAAGCAATGGAAGGAGGTGGTGGATCACCACACATCATTCTTACTAAGATCCAAGACAGGACAAAACGTGATCATATTCTCCTTCAGCGGTGTGTATCAAAATTAAGTGCTCTGAAACTAGATAGGCTACGTGCGTCGTGCGCGCGGGAATAATCTAATAGAAGCTCGATCGCTCACAACTCAACCGATTCCCTCCGATGAGCACTACAACATCGGAAGTAAATCAGCTTCCATTTGGCGACTCCACTGGGTGTGGGTTGGATCGGGGTGTATTGGATTAGATTGGGCCGGTCGTGTGCTATTGTTCCGTGCTGTCGGAGTTTAGTAGCGTAGTACTGCTCTGTAGAAAAGTACATACTCTGTCTACTATAGTGTACAGAGTAGAAAGATAACAACAACACAAACTAAGATAGCAAAAGTACTCTATCCCAACCTATCGTTTAATGATGTCGAACATTGCAACAAGATAGGCAGACAAAGTGCTTCCGACAGGGTTGTGTCTCCAGTAATCATCACGTTATTACTCCGGTGGACTCTACTGATATGCCAGGATTAGATAAAGATGCTTGGTTGGCTTGACATCGGCAGCAACTTAACAGTGACATGACTCGGCATTCAGGCTAACTGCGACTTTCCAGTTATTAGAATGTCACTCTGGTCCTATGATAGGACAGCTATCATCCTATGGGGAGCTACCGGTGACTCCGAAATTAATCGACGCAGAGAATGGGGGTTAGGCTTTGTGGTTTCATTTTACTTCGTACTGCGGGGACCAAACTATCGTCATTATCGTTCCCATTCACAGTATTGTTTTGACTTTGGGGATCATTTGAGCGATTTCTTATATATAAGGTTTAAACACTAATAGTAAGTACAATTTATAAAGTATCACAGTCGAACTAAATTACAGCCGGAACTCATATGAATGACATCGCGAACCTTGCGGCGCAGGTAGTTAGCCATGTGAGAAGTAACATCATACCTGTAGGTGACAGCGATAGGGCATTATTTTCCTACTCAGGCCGTGTAGCGGATTTTATTGGCTTCTCGACTGATAGACTTAGGGGCGGCGAGGAATCTTAGTTTCAGAATTACTCCGTTCTCCGTGTCCGGCCAACTATATCACAGTCCCATGGCGGCAGGTTGACGCTCCAGCCACTGCCATGAAGTAGGTAGGATACATGTACTCGGTATGGCAGAATAATACCCGTACATCCCCGGCCGTACCAAATACAGCTAGGCAGAAACCATAAAACACTACTCCGTAGTAGGATTAGTGTTTCGGCTTTTGTGCCAAACTCGGGAAGGCCCGGGTGATGTTGTAGGCGGAGTCGGACATCTGCCACGTGAAATATCAAGGGTCCAGATTCCAATGTGGACGCTAGTACTCTTCTAGTCCGGAAATGGTTTAGCGTGTATGGTGCCCGCTCCAGCAGTTCTTGCCTTTAAAGGGTGGTGGGAAATGGTTTTCCACCTCCCCCCGTCGACCGGCCATTCCATGGTTGGAACACAACTAAACCATATTTAGTAATATTTCCTCTTGATCAGAAGGTTTCAAAACGTACAAGTCCACGGAGATTAAATCTTAAATACATTTTTTTCTTTTATCCCAATCTTCAGGAAAAATGAATATAAATATCTATATAGAATATAAAATACTGGGAAGTAAATCTGTATGTGTCCTCTTTTCTGACACATTCCACCAGAACGCCTTGCAGAGCACGGATTTGCCCCCTGGCTGCCTGGCCGCCTTGACGTTTGTTCCCCACGAATCCACCCGAGTTCCTGATGATGATCTGCACCGCCGCTTAACCAACGTGGCTCTTAACAATTTGTCTGTTGTTTCATTTTAATCGTGTAGAGTCCTTTATTCTGCTCCAATCAAAACACTCGAAATCTAATCACTAGGACCTGTCAAATAGACAATCGTCAGCTGACCAGCTGTTGGTGTCATCCTTACCCATCCATATAGATCAAGCAAGGAAGTATGGAAATTCTGGAGCGTTGCACAGATTGCCCGGAGTGTTACAGAGTACTTGTTGTGACAATGTAAAGTGCAGTGACCATGCTGCTTGGCTTTTTAAAAGGTGCGTCCAATCTGCAGATGCTGGAGATCCCGCCAGCCAACCGCTACCATGTGTTTGTCATGCTTTGTGACGTCGGTTATTGATACGCAAACAGGCCTAGAGTAGAATATTATTTAAGTATATCATCTGCATCGTGCATTTAATTTCTTGTTCGAACAAGGAAGAGAAAGGGGGGAGGGGGAACTCGCAGGAGGTATGTGCTCTCCCGTGAATAGCATCTGCATATCAGGGGGGGAAGAAGGCAGAAGCAAAAAAAAAGTAAATACACGGGCGCTACGATGATCGACTTATTCCCCCCCTTCTGTCCGTTGCATTCCTGTATCGCATGGCTGGTACCCTCTATATCCCCGTGTAGTTAGATAACATTGGCAGTGTATTACATAGCGAGTGAGTGGTGTACAGTGAAATTGGAGACATGGCATCTACGATTTTTTGGGACGGAAATGGCGGTGATTTTATTTCGAGACAAAGAAATGAAAATAGGGTAGATTTCATCGTCTGTAAGTCATATTTAGGTGAAACTGACGATATTTGACAATTGCAATGTCAAAGTTAAAGAAAGTCGATCAGTACCTTGGATGTTGAAAGTATGGATGAGGTAGTTCGGATGGAGTTACGCTAGCCACTTAACCCCATTCTGCAGGGAATGGGAATGGGGCCCTGACCCATTAGCAAAACGCATGGCAATCAATAGCTTTGAAACATTGTTTCTGAAAGGTCTCAGATGTCAATTTATTCCATAACGTTTTGTAGGACGTGGTTCGTTCGCTTCGACCATATACAAAGCGACTATTGTTGTTATTTTTATTGTTGACCAGGGGGGAAGAGCTGAACAATGGGATCCCCGGGTTGCAGTAGTTCACCCGGAGCTATTTGATGGTCAAAGCTGGGACGTTAGAAAGCATTGGATGATCAGTGTGTATATTAATATTTATTCATGTTGTCTCGGAATATGCCCGTCGGCTCGATACATAAAATCTCTGCCGTCCACCGCGTCCTTCATGTATTGTAACTTGCGGAGTACATCTGGTGGGATGAACGCGACACACTATCCACTTCAACCATGAAATATAAGGCACCTTGCCTACGGAATATCCATACCTACGGAACATACGGAGCATACAGAGCATACGGAGTAGATGTATGGGTATAGATCCACAGCATGTACAGAGTACGGAATACACAGACTCGTTTGACACGAGGCAGAAACCGGATAAAGCCTGCAACCCACAGAGAAATTGGAGAACAACTACCAAGAGTATGCACTGGAGATCGCTAAACTTCACCCTTTTTGGGTCCCTTCGTGCCCCTGGGATAGGCATTGAGAACAGATGCTTGGCCGTATCCAGGAGACGAGAGAAATCTACATATCTTTCCCTTTTGGGATCGAAGCCAATTAGTTCATCTGTTACTTCTCTTGTTCAGTTGTTCTAGTTTTATTTAAAAAAAAAAAAAAGTGAATACGAAAATTAAGGTACCCCGGGAACCATATGCCAAACGAGTTGACTCTTACTCCTCTTGAACAATTTGCCGATGGAAAAGTTTATTTATTACCCCTCTATAATAGCTGAGGCGGTGCTTCCAGAAGTTTAATTTTTCCCGGCTTCGTCAGCTAGGGTCTCGTCGGAATGCGCGGGAGAAGATATCTTCGTATAGGCGCCCCCATACGTAAGCAGTACGGAGTTATCTTTTCCCGCCAGTTCCGAAGTTCTGGAATCTTGTCACCCACGGTTTGTGGTCGGGGATCACCCACCGATCCGAGGATCATCAGGCCGAGATAGCGGAACCATCGTTGATCATGGATGCAATTTCCACTGCAGTCCGCATTTCTTCAGGCGCGACCTGTTTCGTATAAAGTCAAAAATAAAAAAAGTTACTCCTACAGTAATCATAAGTAATGAATTATACTTTTTCGTATACTTCGTCTCGTTCTCGCTTCACTTGCGGAACCTCGGACTCGGACAGGGCAGAGAGGGTCTATTCTCCTATATGTGATGTTTCATTTCCTCTCCCTTTGGAACAATAGCGTCAATTCCCATGCATTATAGTGACTAGTACGTGTCCTTGGTAAGAAGGCATGGAAGAGAGCAGTTCACAGGGGACGGACAGGACTGTGGCTGAGGCGCAGCAATCATTTCGACCATGAAATACCTGGGACACCAACGGAACTAACACGGACTTCGAACGGACTTTCTGGAATCCAGTTGAGTGGAATATAGTATTGAAACATGGGGATTAATATATTTTTTCCAATAATGTGTCTTACTACACGAAGTCCTCCATAGTTACACGAGTCTTAAAGGAAGGGAAAGAACATATAGAGTGATATGGACTACTACTGAATCGAGACAGGAGCAACCCCGTCGAACCCATCCCAGGGAAGTTGTCACTCGAGTCCACTGATTGGCCCTGCATGGTTCGCTTCCACGACGCTTCGTTTATTAAAGTTTGGGTCGCTGGGGCTGCACACATGGAGCCTGGGTCTCAATGGGTTTGGTTTGATTACGTATGGCTCGGTGTCTTGTCTTGCGCGGAATTTGCCTTGTCTGATTGCTGGCTTTGTTGACAGTGATGATCGGCTAACTGGGTTGGGTGTACGGAGCAATGTACCTCGGTAAGTTGTCAAGGCGAGTTATTGCTTGCATATAGTAGTTGCATTATTGTCGCTCACGAGGGCTACTATTGCATGATGGACTATATATGGAAGTTGCTAGGTACCACTGGCAACGGGAGCATTTCCGTATTTGATCGCGAGCACGGTAACTACGGAGTACAAATGAGGAGGACCATGTGGTAATCCATCCACTTAGCGGAGGGGCCGTCGCTAGCATCGCGATGATCATGCGGATCGCGAAAAAACAGGGGTAAAAAAAATAAAAGAAAGAAAAGCAAAAAAAAAAAAAAAAAAAAAAAAAAAAAAGAACACGAGACAAATTGAGAAAAAGTCGTGAAGACAGCTGAAATAAGCTAGAGCAATACAAATCAGGTAGTTTAAATTATCCAAGGTGAATTAACATGCTTTCGACAATTTCAACCACGGTTAATTAATCAGGGTGATTTCCAGAACTGATGGAGGTTCGGTTGATCATCCATTAGCTCCTGTCGTCTCCATAACCCTTTTGGGCAACTTAGTATGAGGTCCCGGCCGAGGTATCTTGTGGCACTGGCATCATCCATGAAACTGGAAGAGCCAAGCCCTCGACCAACGGGATCCTAAGTATAGATGGTTGCCTCTTTGGCTTCTAGCGTTCTTTACCCGTGAGTAGCTTTCTCGGACACGGACTGAAGGTCGATCCCAATGGATGGGAAATTGGCAACGAATCCTATGTTAATTGTCGGGACGTGGTACGGAGTACGGAGTGGTTTTCTGTGGGGATGGTTTGGGGCCCATTCCCCGTTGAATCCTTGGCCCTGGAATTTACCCGTGGATGTGTTCATGTTCCATGTACTCGGGACATGATGCTTCTTTCACATGTTCTATGGAGTATATTCTAAGACATAGTACAATAATAGCTCCGGTTTGGACTGTAAATAGTAGTACCTGGAGATGTGGTGGAGTAGAACAGGAAACGCAATAGGTACATACGTCATGGGGATGACCGGGGGAATGACCGGTCAAACTCACCGGTAAGCGATACCTCGTTCGGTCAGCGTCCGATCCGTTAAGGGAGATCGTCGGGGGGCAGGAGGGGGGATGAGTAATCTACACCCATGCAGTTGTAATATGCACGGGGAAGGCCACTCTTCTAGCGAATCTGAGCACATCCTACGCCATGTGGTTCTAAAAGTTGGCCGATGGATTCCCCGACACGCAAAACAAGAAACAACTTTGATTAGAATAGCAGCTTACTGGTAGGTGCTCGGTCCGCGCACTTAGCCCACCTGCGTTAGTTGACCACACAGTTCATGTTAGTGTGTTCCTCTTGGATTTTCTTGTTTTTGTCGTTGGCTGTCAATGCCACGATAATCTCCGGTTTCTTCATGGTACTAAATCCCTTGGCCCCCAAACGAAGGATGCAAAGGAAGGAAATCTGATTCTCTTTTGGTTTCGGAGCCTAGACTGCTTCCGGTTTGGAACAGGAGGGTGCCATCCATGTATCGTACCGTACCTCCGCATCCAGCCCCAAGGGCTTGGTTGACGATGGATGTACAGAGCCAATTTCCATACCAGACTTTTATTTATTTATTTATTTTTGTTTTTTTTATTAAGAATTGCCCTCCCTGATCACCCCAAGGAATAGGGCGGAGGGCGAAGGAATATTATCTTGGCTTTCGCTGAAGGATGACTGCCCTTCTGACCCCCAAACCAACAACACGAATATACTCCGAGTGACAAAGAATAGAGGAGAATAAGGGGGAATGTTAGATCTGAAAGGCTCTGGGAGGCCCCAGGATGTGTGTGATGGAGCGGCCCAACCAAGTGATCAGAACAATCCCGACAATCTGGAAAGAGGTTGCTTCCAGCCAAGGACAACTGCTACGGTACCACTGTAACACCCAGCTCAGTGCGACGCCGAGCTTTACTGGCCACCGAAGATCTACAGGAATTCTTGTTAGAGACTTAGAGCATGAGATCAGGTTCTCAGCAGAGTGTGATCGTGCGGCAACGATCAGCCGTTTATGGGGCATGGGATCGTTGTGACAGGTAAACCTCAGGGATAGAGACTGATCCACGGGATGGGTGTAGATTAATAATTAATTAGTAAGCCAGGGACGGTAATACTTACGTAGGGTGGGATCCCATAGTTTCGTTCCGTTTCGTTTCGTTTTTCATCCCCATGATTGATTAATGATGATCGATGATTGACTGTCTCCCGACGCATGATAGAGGAGGAAAGGTGTCCGTGGATCTGCACTAGCGCTAGACTTGCTGTAGCCGAGCCCCGAAAGTACCGTTGCCCACCAGCCGATCTGTGTACGAGGCGGTTACGTAGTCAGGAGGTGAGGTTGATCCTCAGGTTGCCTCCTCTGAGGATTTTGGGGAATTTACCTCTTCTGGAAACTAGTCTTGGCTGAGATTGTTAGACTGGGGGGCCGAATTCCTACTGTTCCAATCCTGAGACAGACAGCCTTCCAAGGGTTCGTGGGCAAACCCTGAACCATCTAAAAAATAAAACAATGAAAGGAAATAAATTTAAATTCTATGGAGCAAAGGAGAATGAATCAATAGCACTTAGGAGGAGGGATAGCCCTGACGAACCAATAACCTCCATCTGGGGCGGGCGGCGGCGGCGAGGAGACACGTTTTTTTAGCTCTCGTCGAGGCTACCAAAAACAATACCTACTAATGGCAAATCATCCTAGCTCCGTTCCATACGGACAGATACCATACCGTATCCGAGAAACACAACCAAGAAAAAAAAAAAGGGAACACATCGCGTGTACCATGCCACTGGCCATTAATTAAGCTTTGGAACGGAGGTATCAGTCTTTCCCAATTTGACTCCAGTTAGTGGCCACTCTGGGCGCAAAATAATTCATTCTTTGCTCCCTACGTATTTGTCGATTTACCGTACCATACAACCATGGATAGTTTTAGGCCCTCTACGAGTTATCTATGGACGGAGTGTTCATGGACTTTTGCGTAGAGGATAATGATGCATGTTGAATCATAATGATCAGTAGGAAATAGCAGCATAAAAGCCAGTCGAAGGGAGCAGATATATCGGAAAATCTCCCGTTTCTGCTTCTCAGTTAATCAGGCCTATACTGATCAGGTTAACCTCCGCGCATCTCCTCGTTTACGACAACGGAGTATACCCGCCCAGCTATAATTAACATATGGATCGATCCTCCTTTTTTCTTTTTTTTTTTCTCCCAGTTTTAATTTATTAGCGTTCCCATACCAAGAAAAAAATAAAATAAAAAAAAGATAATCATCATCATAATAATTTAATTATTATTCCCTGCTCCCCACCTGGCCCAGCAAATCCTCCTCTTCGTTCTTTGTCTATAAACCCCGTTCTTCTCCCCCCTGTTCCCATCTCCCACCCCACTTGTACCTTAACGTGAAAGTGAATTCGGATTGGGTCTTGAAATTGCCTGTTCGCCGCCTACCCTACCTAATCTCATATATGGTTCGCCTGTAGCCACTTAATATATATCTCTGGCCTCATCTCGCTCTCTCTTCTCCTTTCCTTTCTCCGCCTCTTGTCCCTCTACTTCCACATACTTCTCCTATAGACGGACCATACCGCCTACTTTCTTCTGGCACCTTACATCATGGATCTCGCAGATCTTATCACCCCGCCGGGACCAGATCCCTTCTATCCTCTCAAGTCCAGCGCTTCCTACAGCCCTGTTCCCACCGACTCATACTTCCCTCAAGTTCCATCACTATACTCGCGGATGCCGCGACCTCCTCTTTCCCCGCCGGTGGAAGATCTATCCAAGTGTTCTCTCCCTTCTATTAACTCGCTTCTACAAAGCGCGGATGGTGCCTCAGTGCATGCAGCAAGTATGGATTCCAAATCCCACAGAGTTTGTCACAATTGAATGTTCCTAACAATGTCTCTTCAGAGCGCCAAAGAACTACACCGCCGTTCCATGGGGAATCAGAGAACCAAACCCAAAGTAAGGCCCAGGAGGCCATCACACCAACCAGACCTCAAAACAACATGCCGCCTACGCCACCATTGCGTCCTGGCTCCGGCTTCCACAGCAACGGCCACTCTCCTTCAGCTTCCTCAGCCTCCGTCATCACCAACTGCAAGGTTGAACCATATGCGCAACCCCAAATGACGCTTCCTAGCCCTACGGAAAGGTCTTCCGTCTCCAGTCAGGGCTCGGTTCATCATGCATCCAGTGGTCCTTACATCTCCCCTGCCCCGAGTGTCTCCTCATACTCTTCTCCTGTCGACCCCCCGGCATCTTCCACTATGTATTTTTCAAGGCCTGGATCGTCAGGTACCACCTACCAGAGTACGGGAAGCATGTCCGCACAAGCGCCATCATCCACACCGCAATTGATAAGCCCAGGTAACCCCGCCTGGCAACATCATCATTACTTTCCCCCTTCTAGCGCGGCGCCGTTCCAACAGAACCATGATCGCTACATCTGTCGCACATGCCACAAAGCCTTCTCCCGCCCCTCCAGTCTCCGCATCCACTCGCACAGCCACACAGGAGAAAAGCCCTTCCGCTGCACACATGCAGGATGTGGCAAGGCTTTCAGTGTGAGGAGCAACATGAAGCGTCATGAACGGGGTTGTCACACTGGTCGGCCAGTTACCACAGCTATGGTATAGCTTAGTGGGAATTATTTTCCTATCTGAAAAAAAAATAACAGGGAAAAAAAAAGCAGATATGAAATCTTGCTATTAAACCAGCGACTGTTGTTCCTATTCTTTTATGATACCCTTTTGTTCTTGTTTTTTATTTCCCCTGACATTCTCAGGGAATAAGGTGTCTTGGAAGTTAACATGGATTGACTTGCTTCTTTTCTTTTCATGTACATTTGATTGAACGATTTTTATATTAAAGGGAGCAGAGGCGTCGCTGGAATGGGAGACCGGTTTGGGAGATAAGAGAAACAAGACTATAAAGAAGCATCGACGTCGGAGTCTTGTTGCTCTCTTCTGGGCCGTTTTAACAGTTTCTACATTTTTTTTGTCATTTCCTTTGTCTTACCAATTGATGTGACATGACCTTAGAATTGTATACTCTTAAGTCTCTTCGTTATATTTCTATGACTCTTAAACAGACTCTTAGGACAGGCTCTTTAGATCAGTGTGACGTGTATACTTTATGTTTTCCTCTAGAGTCTAGTATCTATGTAACTCCACATTCTTTAAGTTCAGCTTGATCATACAAATAACCTGGACCCGAACAATACATTATAAACCATTAATGATCTACTTGTGCGTCCTTATCCTCAGTATAAACCCAAACCCTACACAAACAAATACATACAAAATATTCTTACTCCGTAGGACTAATTTTGCTACTCCCTCGTTAAAAGGCTACTCTCGGCTTGTCTATTCCTTTCCCTGTATACTATACTATACATGCATAGCACACACTAGGGACATAGTTATATACAAATTTTTTCCTAGACTGAACCCCTGGAGTTCTCTTCGTTTCACTCAACCACCCATCTAATTTTGGATCGATGCTGTTTCAATTGGCAGCTCACTAGAGTTTCAAGCTCGTTACGAATTTGCGGCCGCAATAGGAAGTTGCCTAGCCAAGCCAAGTTCTTGGTCTGATCTCGCTCATTGGTTACAGCCATTGATATACCTAGCTAGGCATGATTATTGCTCTTGTTGGTGCTCCTTGGAGATTATACTTTATTGGAGTGGATTATGTACGTAAGTACGTCTTGGGTTGGTAGGTATTTTTAATCAGATAAAGTGTGATTGTAATTATTTTTTTTGGGGGGGGGGGGGGTTTCCACGACTGTGGTTGAGTTTGGGATATTAAGTTGGTTCTTAAAATTGGTACTGACTGAGATTGATGTGATGGGGTTAGTCAGTTACCGAAAATCTCATATTTAGGGTCTACGATCCTCGTATGTGTGCTCCAAGGGGACGAGGACATTTGAGCAATATCCGTTTGTCTCATTTCTACCATTCTATGTATAACTTTATGTGCGGTTTTGTATATACCTTCTGTGTGAAGTTCGTCAGTCGTTTATCGCTGGTCGTTATCCATATTATATCCTCCCGCTCAAGCATCCAGGTTCAGGTTCTCCAGGATCTTGTCGAGCTTGGCCATGAGAATCTCGTAGTTAATCGCGTCCTTGGTGAATTCGTCTCCCGCGATCTCACCATCCAAGGTCCGGATGATAGGAGCGTGGCCTGGTCTTGTCTGGGTTGACTGTTCTAGTGCTGTGTTGGCGGAGTCTACGTCATTGTTGTCGTGCTCCTTCGAGAGTTGGATCGCTTCTACTCCGCCCGCGACTTTCTCAACATTCTCATCAGTCGCTTGTATTTGCTGTCGGGTGTCCTCTACCATCATCTCTTCAAGCCCAGCGTCGTCAAACCGTAGCCTGAAACGCTCTCCTAGATAGAACCGGATATCATCCAGCAGCTCGATGGAGTCGGTCTCTTGTCTTCCTTGGATCCGAGACGCTGACTCTTGGATCAACTCGGAGAATTCGGGAGAATCAATGTGTGCTTCCAGCCTATATGCCAGATATCGGGCCACGAATTCCTCCAGTCGCTGAACCCGGGTCATCCATGCCGCATGTATGATTGCATATATATCCAGGTCGTCTTCTTCATTTGTTCCACGTGTCTTGGCAGCTTCTGCCTGCGACATGTCGCCGCTTCCAAGCGTACTGATCACAATGGCTGCTTTTGTCTTGAGCTTCTCGATGAATAGCATATCAGCGGCAAACAGGACATCAACGGCAATATCAAGAGGAAAGTCGGCCCTTTCTGTATAAAGGAAAGTAAGCACTATCTCCAGGACTTCCGGAGAGCAGTCCACTGAAATCATGTTCAAATGTTCTTTCAGGTGGGCTTCACGGAAAGAGGAGGAGAACATGGTAAGGAAAAAATCCGATCGCAGGAGCATCGCCCGATGACAGGGAAATATGACCGATCTTCGAGTTGATTGTTTTCCCACTGGACCAATTGGGATGGTGCTAGAATTGGCACCCTCATCCTGCTGTGAAGCAGTGCCATTTGCCTCGTCTACATCTTCAGGTAGTTCATCAGACCGGAGAAGAACATCTGCGAAGATGGCATTGTTGTGATCCCATTTTACCTCGTCGGCCTTGGACGTTTCAACCACAATCTTATTCCGGAGGACATTCGTTCGGAACCATTCCTCCAAGTGATCTCTGCCCTTGGCGATTTCCAAAGTCCTCCTCTGCCTGGCTAATCGTCGGTCTCCGCTTTCCAAAATACTGTCTAACAGGGTGTTAATCTCCAGGTACTTTGCGATTTTATCAATTCCCACAAAAACCTCAGACTCTGTGAACCCAGTCCCGGGCCCGCTCCTCAAATCACGAGGGGCTTCTCCAAAATACAGATACTTAATGGCCGCACCAAACGCCTGTGGTGGTATCGTACTAGGAAGTTTCCAGGTTCCCGTCTCAGGAGAAGCTTCCAGCTTGTTCCGGAAATAGGGTGATCGTGCAGCCAGGATGAATTTATGCAAATAGAGCGACTCATCTGCCGCCGTCACCACGATATCGGACGTCCTAGGGTGATCCCGCGTAAGAAGCGACGTGATATGGGCGGCAAGGGGTTGAAGTGGGTCGGTAGACTTCGAATAGTCGTATTCAAGCAGTAAATTTCGTATACGGTCATTTAGCGCATTATATAGACACCTACACATGCATTCAGGTATTAGTGGAGACCAAAGAGTGCGAGTAGAAGGGAAATACCTTTCACCTTGGAATGTATCGCGCTCACACAACGCACCCGATTCAAGAAGCAACCGGACCACTTCGTAATGGCCACAGAGGCTTGCCTGGCCGCAATTCCCTGTCACTAACTGGTCCAAGACTAACAGCTGTTCGATGTTTGCCATTCAGCTTCAAATCACTCACCAGAATCAAGGGGGTATAGTCATAGGGATCTCGAGCATTAATATTAACCCCCTCTGTGATCTTCTCTTGACAAACTTTCAAGTCCCCCTTACGACAAGCATCACAAAGTTCCCGAAATGGTTGGCTAAGATCCAGAGGGTTGTCATCCTTGATTGTTCCCTCCTTAATCAGCTGCTTTTCATTATGCAAGCTAATCTCCAATTGATCCTTACGGAACACAGGCTGTCCAGGCATTGTGAGTTGTCTGTGGTTGAGATTGACTGTCGGGAGGACTGCGGAGTGCGGGACGCAAATGGGTCGCCATCGTTATCGATAAGTGATCACGTGGAAAGACCAGCGCCGAGAAAGTCTTTAAGGGGTAGTGCGGATCAATGCAACAAACCCCAAGTCCTTGCAGCATTTCACGCCAAGAATCACAGCTGGGATGCAATACATTGCCTTATATCTGATGCTAGCACTCATCCAGGGTCTATTTGCAGAGCTGCCAATGCATGCGGGTGAGGGATGTGAACAAAGAAAACAGACAGGAGCCTTTGGCGACGCACGGTGAGCTACACCGCCCCATTCCACCGCCTGCTGGATGAAGCATAGGGTCACGGTGGTGGTCGTTGCTCAGCAACAATGCTCGAACTAAACATTTCCAATCCGTTGCATAGACTACTGCTTGCTTCTTTAAATCTACCACACTGCTTCCATGTCCAGGATTGACCACGACAACTACTAACAGTACAGATTCACATCCCCGCAATCAAGTTGTAAATGAGCTAGACCTCATCTCCTCTCCTACCTCTCTCTCGACTTCCTCTCAATCGACCCCAACCTAAACCCCGATTTCCTGCCAGTGGCTTAAACTCCCTCCTTAACGGCCACAATGGCAATTGCACTGGCGGAGGCAGACAAGTATGAGATTCTGGAGAAGATCGGTAAGTGGAAAATCATCTCTCTATTTGCTATCAATAGTCGGCGAAACTAACTCTCTTCAGGTTGCGGCTCCTTCGGTATTATTCGCAAAGTTAAAAGGAAGCAGGATGGCTTCGTGAGGATCCAAAAACACTTTATCAAGTATGCTCTTTCTAACAAGTGGCGTTCTCTAGATACTCTGTCGCAAAGAAATCAACTACATCAAGATGTCTCAGAAGGAGCGGGAGCAGTTGACTGCGGAGTTCAATATCCTGAGCTCTCTCCGACACCCGAATATTGTGGCCTACTACCACCGCGAGCACCTCAAGGCAAGCCAAGATTTATACTTATACATGGAATACTGTGGTGGCGGTGATCTCAGCATGGTCATTAAGAACCTCAAGAAGACAAACAAATATGCTGAAGAGGAGTTTGTTTGGCGTATCTTGTCGCAGCTGGTGACGGCGCTTTACCGTTGCCATTATGGGGCCGATCCAGCCGAGGTGGGATCAAATATACTGGGACCAGCTCCGAAACAATCAGGTCTCAAGGGCAAGCAAGCCCAGATGACAATTTTGCACCGTGACCTCAAGCCGGAGAATATATTTCTTGGAAGCGACAACACGGTCAAGCTAGGTGACTTCGGCCTCTCTAAGGTGATGCACTCCCACGACTTTGCTTCGACGTACGTCGGCACTCCGTTCTACATGTCACCTGAGATATGTGCTGCGGAGAAATACACGTTCCGCTCTGATATTTGGGCCGTCGGCTGTATCATGTACGAGCTTTGCCAGAGGGAGCCCCCTTTCAATGCCAGAACCCATATCCAACTCATCCAGAAAATCCGCGAGGGGAAATTTGCTTCTTTGCCCGATTTCTACTCCCCAGAACTAAAAAATGTCATCGCTAGCTGTCTGCGTGTTAACCCTGACCATCGCCCTGACACGGCCACTTTGATCAACCTCCCCATTATCCGCCTGATGCGCAAAGAGAAGGAAGTTGCCGACCTTGGCAAGGTCCTTCGAAAGCGTGAGGAGTCGGCCTTCCAGAAGTCTAAGGACGTGGAGCAAGCGCTTTCCAAACTCGAAAAAGAGAAACAGCAGATGAAGACTGAGCTCGAAAATACCATACGTCGAGAATGGGAAGTTAAGGCACGTTTGGAGATTGACCGCCAGGTGCAAAATGAGCTCGAGAAGCTTCGGAAGAGGTTCGAGTTTGAGGTCCAGGAAAGAGTGGCCTTGGAAGTTGAGAAACTCAAGCGGAATGGCATCTTCAGAGACGAACCCGCCTTCCGGTCAAGTCGGTCAAGCCATCGAGGCTCCCAGTCCTCTATCTGTAACAGCGATGACACGGATTTCCCCTCAACCACGGATATCAGCCAGTTGTCTATAGAATCGCCATTGGCTAACAAGCCACCAAAAAAGGAAACACGTACGCCTTTCAATCGTTCTAAAACTATAGTGGAATCGCCTGTTGATGTGCAGATGGCCGAGCCATCCCCGATGTCTATTGCATCGCTTTCGTTGTCCCCTCGTCGCACTTCGGCAACATCCACCGGAAAGAACATCTTTGCGGAAGCCGAGCGACACCGAGCCAAATGGGAGCCCACGCTGGCATACTCCGATGATGAAGATGATACTCCGGACCTACCCTCGCCAACGCGGCCTAAAGTCAAACCCGATCCTTTCAAGGCTCCGGCCCGGCCTCTCCTTCGTCAAAACACTGCTGCGATGATGCAGAAGCTGAGCACCCAGCCAACTCTTTTCCCCCCAAATCCATCCAGATTGCCCCAGATATCGGGTCAATCCGACGGTCGTCAGGGAGAGCAAAAATCAAAATCGCCACACAGACGCCTGTCGAAGATTCAGTCATCGGCGAATCTGGCTGCTGATGCTGGATCGCCAACCCGCAAGTCGAACACGAAGCAGCCCCCTTCCAAGGCCAACGGCGGTGGTGAGGAGATGTTCAAAGCCGTGATGCAGCGCAACATGGGTGGTAGAACCCTGGTCGAGCTGGCCCAAGCACGGGCTGGTGGCCGGCCTATTGATGAATTCAAGCGATGTGCTAGTGACCCCCGTGCTACCTCAGGCATGAAGTCAACCGAGGTTGATCCCCCTGCTGTGTGGGATCCCGAGAAGGATGACATGCCTAGTCCTTTCCTGGCTCGAGGGAGAAAGGTTATCCGCAACTTGAGGTGATTCAGCCGGAGTTTATCGCCCCCCTGTTCGAAACTTCGTTATCAAATATGCATGCTTTTTCCGCTGGTTGATCCGTGGAAACTTTTTACGATTGCAAGGGACGCAGGCATACCCTCGGTGTCTAGCATGCTTTAATCTCTCGCGTCCTCATACCTTAATAATTACATGTTTTTGGAGTTAAGCCCTGGGTGTAGTGCATTTTCAGAAGCGCAGTTGACCATGCGAGACATGGATCCTCGATGCATTTTCCTCGTGCCACATCTTTTTTTGAGTACCACACTGAGACCTAACCACTCATTCCTTTGTTGTCATGCCGTGATGTCCTGGTTTCTTTTTCTTTTCTCTCTTGCTCCTTGGAATACTGTACAGTTATTTGCATCTGACAGCCGGCTTCTTGTTCTGTTGTTTTTTTCCCTTGATAGCTTTTCGGTCCAGGATTCCATTCACATTCCCCTGGAAGATCTGGGTTCCTTCGAGAGTCAGATTGCTTCCAAGGCCTGTCACTCGTTTCACCTTGGACCATACAATTTCCTTTTTCTCCTTTCTGCTGTCTTCTTTCTGGGGATTCGACGAGCGGCGCTAATTTGGAGGCTCTCTTGGGTTAGGCGTGTTAAAGGGTCTTGCGTATGTAAGTACATACAGATTTTGTTATCTCTTCTTGTGAGTTCTGCTATAGAATCGCGGAATAGCTATTTCATGGTCTGGAATTACTTTATTTTGTGGATGGCGTAGATGCACTCCGGAACGTGTAGTTTACAGGTCTATGTCTTCGAAGCCTTCGAAAAGACATTCAATGTAGAAAAAATGGGGTTGATGTGTTTACGCCTCTTCGTCTTCAACCTCTTCAATCTGCACCGACCTCAATTCCTGGTTGAAGCGCTTTTCCTCCTCTAATAACCGTTGCTGGTTATCATCATCATCGGCACCATCCTGACTCGTGACTTGGTTTTCTATTTTATGTGCTGGGCCCGCATTATAACCTGCTTTCTCCAGCTTATCCATTTCCTCCGGCTCCAATAGCTTTCCTTGGCCTCGGATAGCTTCCTGTTTGGCCCTCACGGCTGCCGGAATGAATTTATTGACGGCCTCCTGTCGTAGATCCTTAATCTCTGGCTTCGCCTCGTACACTGTCTTAGACTCCACCACAGCTGGTTTCGCCGGAAGAGCATGCGGCCCACGAGCACCGCCAGCGCCAGCTGCATCCCCGTGTCTTCTTTTTTGATACTGTCGAGGGATAGGCGGCGGCGTATCCCGCGGCATAGGGATCCTCCTCACCTCCTCATCTGTCTCACTGCTCTCACTGTCCCGTCCTCCATCCCTCCGTCTCTTCCCTAGTACACCCCCGTCTCCACCTCCTCTCTGGTAGTCGCCGTGGAACCCTCCCCGTCGTCCCGGTCCCGGTCCGGAGCCCTCGAACTTCGGTGCCTTGTCACCCAGCGCTTCTCGGGCCTTCTGTACGGCGCGCAGATCCCGCTCCAGAGCCTCCAGGAGTTCTTTCTCGCGTGGTCGTAGCTGTTGGCCAGACTCTTCTAGTGACTTTATGTCGTTGATTTGTCGTTGGATGCGCTCCGGGTTACGTCGTGCGAGTTTCTCGTTTCGGCGGGCCAGCGCCTCGGATTTGCTTTTCTTGAGTGTTTTTTGTTTCTCGAGTTTGCGCTGTGCTAGGGCGGGGTTAACGGTGCGGTCTTTGTCTTTTGGCATGGTAGATTTGTTTTTTCTTTGTCTCAGGGTTGAGGATGGGGTCTTTGGAGTTTTGAGGTAGGTGTTGTTTGAGGGTCGTTGGGTACGATCAGATTAACTGTTGGATATGTCTGTCTGAGGAATATTTGATGTTTGACGTTGGATTACACTTATACGGCTAGAATGTCTGAATCGTTAGCAAAATCCCATAAAATCTCATGCATCATTCACTCAAAGGATAACATAACGTTGATCCTTCGTGACTAAGAAAAGAATAATAAATAATAAATAAAGGGAGTATAACTAGTATACTGTGTACTTACAAGCCGAGAGCAAAGCCGAAACTTCGATTAGGAACAGTCGTCTCTCCAAAACCGAACTAAAAAAGCCAATCAGCAGTTGAAGCTACACTATGCAGGGCCCTAGCCTCACAGGTTGGGCAGCGGGTTTTAGGTCAGGTTCCTTGTCTCGCGAGAAGCTGAGAATAGCGCACTGATAGGACGGAAAGGACGGTTTTGGAGGGCGTTTGCAGAAGCGCTAACATGCGGCGAATCTGGGGGCGGTGAGATCGCGATCGGCGGGTGGGGAGGAAAAGGGAAGAAGTCGATTGGATTCCCAATTGGCTATCTTGCACTTCTATCCATCACATTGAAAGGCTTTGGTCATCGAACCGTCCCTGGAAGCTTACTTAAATGTGAGGACTAGGGAAGTGATAAACCCAAATGGGTTTACTGCGTTGCTTTGCTTTGCCTTTGTATTGGCAAACAGGGCTCCGGGCAATATGGTCCGCTGAAGTTACCCGGACATATGTGCCTCAGTTTCTACTCGGTCAGGCCAGGAGACTCATTGTTCCTCGAATAAGCAGGCATATCTGACGGTGATACGCGACGGAGTACGTTTTCGCTGGACTCGGGCCAAAATCCCTACGAAATCATTTGCCGCATGACACCACCTGTCGTACATCATTCGATATCTCGTGATCTGCCACGCTTCTATTGGATCTGTTGTACCTGGCACGACGGCTGTTTGTTCTATTCTGCAAGGTTGCCTGTCCTGCGATAGATGATGGGTTTCTTGTACATATGTACTTCATGTCTTCAATCAAACCCAGAGGAACATCCATGGGAGAGGACCTGTGGTTTCAAACGACCATGCGTATTTCAGAAAGCAACAATTGCGCGACAAATGGTTGATCGAAAGGAAGGGAAAGGAAGGCGTGGGGGGTGGTCATTTGCATGCAGAGGAATTTGACATATCGAAGAGTCGATTTGAAAACGGCCTGTGCAGATCGTGTCCGTTGCAACCGATCAACAGGGAGAGAATTCCTGCCCACGAGATCGAATGCAGGAAATGGTCTTGAATGGAATATCGGTGTGTCTTTTTTTGTTTTTTTTATTTTTATTTTTGGAGATGAGAGCGCTCCATGCGATGTAGCTCCACGAAGTTTAACCCCTTTCCGTGAATATACAACTATAGGTGAACCAAGCTCGATGTTGACCCCCAGATATCCGGAGTAGGCCGAACATTCAACAACAGTTGTATTTCTACATACTCCTGCCTCCTTTCCTGTATACCTAATTAGGCTGGCGCTCGAACTCACGGAGGACTGTCCATCTTAGTACTCCATAGAATGGGATCTATTCCACACTCCTGAACCAGAGAGAACCGTTGTATGCTACCAAAATCGGAAAGCAATGCCTGCAATGACGCATAAACTGGACTGACATTGCGTGTTCGTAGAACAGCAAGGGCTTAACTAAATCAGGGAAGACACAAGATGCTAAACCCGGTGAGGCAATTCCTTGTACGGTATTTTGGTATCGAAAAGTAACTAGACTACGGGATACCTCGATATCAAGATAATAACAACAGATTCTACCTACTTAAGGGCTAATTCTATGTAAGTATCCTGTTGCCCGTGCATCCAGGGTGTCTTCTCGTCTATCACACCCTCTTCCTCCCCGAAGAACATCTATTCAGCCCATTCTCATCCCCGTCTCAGATCGATTTCCCGACTGTCCGTGTAACCCCGGTCCATTCACGAGGAAATCCGCCTTCTATCTGTTTAGTTAGTATTGTACCGCCGACAATCCGTTTTCCTCAATCGGGGCGCCTTTCCTCACACCATCATCCCTCTTCTTCTCCCCCTCCTCCGCCCTTCTCTCCCTCCCTTTCTTTCTCTCTCCTTTATCTCCCCCTGATGTCACTCCAAGTACCAGTTCTGGAGGGTGGCTTTCTTACAGACGTTCCTGTTCCCTTGGCCAAAAGATAACACAGTACGAAAATACGAATCAAATCGAACGGGTAAAAACAAAAGGAAGGGAGGAGAAAAATAAAATAAGTCAAGAATTATTGACATCATAAAAAAAGGAGAGAAAAAGAAAAAGAAAAAGAAAAAGGAAAGATTAATAATAATATTAAATAATTAAAAAAAAAAAAAGGAATCATCGTGCCAAGTCAAATCGGTCCCCCTCTTCTCTCTTTCTCTCTGTCCTGCTCGTTTCTCCCTGATTTCCACTTCCTGCATTGGTGTCGGTCATCATCATGAACTTCGGTCCGTCCCATCTCTACACATCGAGATCGACTGGCGCTTCCTAGACTCCTGTCGCGGTTGGAGCATGTCTCTGCCGGGACCAAATGTCCGTATCAGCCTCGATTCCCGACACTTCGCTTGGCCTCACTTCCTCCGAGATCCAGATCCTCCGGCAACAGCAGCAGATTGCTCTTCAAAATGGCCATGCCGGCAATGGGGTTTCCAGGGGCAGAGGGACCGGTCGAACCAGCAACTCCAGTTCGCGTGCCGCCAGTGCCGCCAGCAGTCACGGTCGATTGTTGCTGGATCCTATGAGTCTCCGTGCACTGTCCCATCAGTTAGACGCGCTACAAGAGCAGATTCGAAGTCGCATCGATTATGTATGTGTTTTATCTTCCCCCTCATCCTCTGTTGTTTCGCAATGGTTTCAGCGATTGTCTCATCTGCGCGTTCTCTTTGTGATTTGTTGGGCTCTATTTATCATGTTCTTCCGGATCATAATGTGGTGTTCCTACGCCGTCGTCTCCAAGTTCCTATTTAGGAACATACATGTTTCACAGAAGTTGTCATCCTTGCATAAAATAGTCATAGTAACACCGGTCCTGGTCGTGGTTCTGACTCTCTACAGCTGGAGGAACAAATGCAACTGTCTCTTCAAAATAGCTACGACCGCGCAGGAAACGTTATCCGCAACGCCGACGCTGAAATCGCCCGTACCCGCTCAATTCTGGCCTCAATTGATGAATTAGAAACTGAGATGGCGAAGATTGGACACATCAGAGAAATTGTGAAAGCTTATCGTGGCCGAATAGAAGGCCTTGATCAGCGTCTTGACCAGGCTGTCCGTCGGAGACGTTAACATGCACCCATTGCTTCCATCCGTCTACCTCTACGTTCCTACATTCATATTCCTTCAATTCGCAGCCCATCCAAAACAACTCTCTAGCCCCAGAGGCTTTTGCTCACTGACCTTGCTCCCTTTTCCCGACCATATCCACTCCATTTAATGCTTATCGATTCCATTATGCCCCTGGATTATGACGACCTTGAAAATTGAGACGATACAACCAGCGCGACCGAACACGGCTATTAAAAAAAAAAATAAAATAAAATGACAAAAACAAACTCTTCAGAAAAAAGAGTCACGTGTTTATATACCACGATTGTCCTCACGGACCCTGTGATATTACGACTTAGGCTGCTTTAGTAGCATGCATGATTTTAATGCCCATCGACAAGATGAGTCTACCCTGAACTTGATTTAATTTTCTTTGTCCGTCTAGCTTTGTGCTTTGGAGAGGGTCCTTATCTAAAGACCGAGATACTAGCCTCGCGGCAATTTTTTTGGGTATATTTCATATTGAACCAAAACCAATAGGAATAAGCACGGTGTTTCTAGCCGGGAGTTCCTTTGTTTGGTACTATGTATTTAGCAATTCTTTTTGGCGATTTGATTGCTTTTTTCGGACCGTGTCTTTCTTTTATGACGTTGGATTTGGCGTCTCATGTATCACGTTGCGATTCCCCAATCTGCCTGACTCCATGTTTTATTGAACGACCGCACTTCCAGTATTGACAATACATGCAATCACTCGCGTTATTTTGTCTTGACATCAGTGATGTCATAGACAAAACTATTTGTGGACTTGAGTCCGGTTTATGATACCTTTCCACTGAAGAATTTGTTTCCAGCTTATGAGATTTCTTACGCCCTTCTGTTTCATGTTGCATGTATTTGGGGATGAAGATCCATTCCCGACAATTGACACCGTCAAGTTGTTCCCTCTTCCTACAAGCATAGGAAGACAACAAGAACTCAACGGAGTTTTCCCTTTTCAGGCACGACGGCTTGCTCAGGCTTTCTGGTGGATTCGTGACGCTGTCGCACGGATTGTTCAGTTCACGCAAAGGCAAAGTAAATACACCCAAGTGAAGTCGACAACCATAGCTAGAACGTAGTCCAGAAAGACCAAAGACAACGTAGACAACCAAATGGATCAGTGATCGCCAAATTGGAGATCATACAGCCGAAGTTGTTTCTTCCTTTTGCTTTTGCATATTTCGACGTTCGGATAATTTTTTGCTTCGTTTCTCTGTTTGATGAAAGCGCTTCTCCGTTCCACATGTATTGCAACGCACGATCAGGACATCAGCCCATGGCTTTTTGCCGCCACGGCTCGCATTTCTGACTTCCTGCATGCAATTGACGTTGCGAATCAAAAGCGAATCACAGCGTTTACAGAACGATCTCTTCACTTCAACAGGTAGTCGGAGCTGAGATTTCAACGAAACCCCTCGCATCTGCGAGATAAGTCCTCGGGAGAGCTGCGGGATAAGGACTGCAGCTGTTGGGGTTTCAAAGGCAGAGGGCCTCTTCCCCTCAGCCACAGCATCGTCACTGTCTATCACTTGGGGAACTATATGCGCTGCACTCGGAGCCGACTCTTTTTCATGAGCATTGATGCTCTCATTATGGCCTTCGCTAGAAGATTGTTTCGAAGGCACTTCCCTCGACTGTAGATAGGTAGCGGCAGCGTGCAAATAGTTTAGTCGCGAGCGTATGTGGCTATTAACCCCTCCTGAAGGACCCTTTTTGCCCTTTACTTTTGCCATCTCTAGCAGGGGGATGGGCAAAGTCTCCCGAACTCTTCCTCACATATGCACACAGGACGGAATTAAATTGGATAGACACTGCAAGTGGGCAACGGACGCTAACCTAATAAGGTAGGTCTGCTGGTTCCGGTGACTAATACTTCTCACGTGACTAACGCTTCCTGAACTCTGCCTCTCATCCCTCCCGCAACTTCGCTCTTCTTTCCACCTTCATCGCCTTCTTCATCGACTTCTATCCACCTTTCAATTCATCTCGCAGAATTAAAAGGGTGATTAAAGTATTTCTGACGGCTATTTAACTGTTCTTGTCTTTATTTTAGACTCGTTTAACTTCCGGTACTTTATCCCCAGGCTCGATTGCCTTGGGACACCGCGCCCCGATATCCAGAGTTTTCCGACTACATTTGTTCTTACTACCAGCTATCAACATGTCTCACGAGGAGGATCTCATTGACTACTCCGATGAGGAGCTCCAGACCACCGATGCGGCTGCCACCACTGCCGCTCCCGCCGCGAATGGAGACTCCGACAAGAAGGGCGACTTAACTGTCACAGGCGGTCGTCCCGACAAGAAGGGAAGCTATGTCGGTATTCACTCGACTGGCTTCCGCGACTTTCTACTCAAGGGAGAACTTCTACGTGCCATCACCGATTGCGGTTTCGAACATCCTTCGGAGGGTTAGTTCCATCACATAATTCTTTTCCACGTCTCCCTCCATAACTCCGTGTTCAAACGTCCGTCCATCTCCGCGAGGAATTCTATTGTCGCTTTTTGACCACCTGTTTTGTCCGAGCTAGCTGGCGGCATGAGGATGTCTACTCGGATTACCACAAGACAAATGGCACTGTGCTAGTAGGCAGTATTACTGCAGCTGCCAGTTGTTGCTGTATGCTTCAGCATGTTATGGTCAGGTTAGACTCGCAGAATCTCCCTGGCAATTGCGTGCAGCAATCCGGGAGCGAACCGCGGTGGCCTTTCCAAAGGACTCGTTACATTTGCCACCATTTTCCGGACGGTGGACGTCCTCTTGCCGTCTGCAGACAGCTCTTGGTAGAAATCCCATAATACAGCTGAATGAACCGCCAATATGTGATTTCTTGTTTCGTTGATGCAAAATAATTTTTAAATGCTTGCATCACTAACCTGCCTTGATTCGTTGACTCGGGGGATGGACGGACCTCGCGACGCGGATTGCTTTTCTTTTTCAAACATTATGGTCGAATACAAGTCTAACATACCGTTCCGCCTCACTACAGTCCAGCAAGTCTGCATTCCGACCGCCATTTTAAACGTAGACGTCCTTTGCCAGGCAAAGTCTGGTCTCGGAAAGACTGCCGTCTTTGTTTTAACCACTCTGCACCAGCTGGAGCCTGTCCCTGGAGAGTGCTCGGTCCTTGTTATGTGCCACACCCGTGAATTGGCATATCAGATCAAGAACGAATACGCTCGTTTCAGCAAATATCTTCCCGATGTGAAGACTGCTGTCTTCTACGGAGGTACCCCTATCCAGAAAGACATTGAAGTGCTGTCGAACAAGGAGTCGTATCCCAACATCGTCGTTGCTACGCCCGGTCGTCTCAATGCTTTGGTCCGTGAAAAGAAGCTTTCTCTGCGCAACGTCAAGGCGTTTGTTCTTGACGAATGCGACAAGATGCTTGACCAAATCGGTGAGTGATATTCGGGAGCACTTTATGCCTCAAGCCATGATACTTATCTTTTATTCTAGATATGCGTCGTGACGTTCAGGAGATCTTCCGTGCTACACCCGCCGACAAGCAGGTCATGATGTTTAGTGCTACCCTATCGCAGGAAATCCGTCCTATTTGCAAGAAGTTCATGAGAAACCCACTTGAGGTTTACGTGGATGATGATACCAAGCTCACCCTTCATGGTCTCCAGCAGTATTACATCAAACTCAGCGAGGCCGAGAAGAACCGGAAGCTGAATGAGCTCTTGGACAGCCTCGAGTTCAACCAGGTCATCATTTTCGTTAAGAGCACACTCCGTGCCAACGAATTGGACAAGCTCTTGCGCGAGTGTAATTTCCCTAGTATTGCAGTTCACTCTGGTGTGAGCCAAGAGGAACGGTGAGTTTATATTCCAAGTCACGACTACTGCGGGATGCTGACAACAGCCATCAGTATCAAACGCTACAAGGAATTCAAGGAATTCAACAAGCGTATCTGTGTTGCGACGGACGTGTTTGGTCGTGGTATTGATATCGAACGTATCAACCTTGCCATCAACTATGATCTGCCCGCTGATGCAGACTCGTACCTACACCGTGTGGGTCGTGCGGGCCGTTTTGGTACAAAGGGCCTGTCGATTTCCTTTGTCAGCAGTGAAGAGGACCAGAATGTCCTCAAGGATATTGAGAAGCGATTCGAAGTCGCTCTTCCGTATGTATACCTGTTCTTTGGACAGTGGAAACGAGGCTAACGAATTACAGTGAGTATCCTGAGGGTGGTGTTGACTCCTCTACCTACATGGCCTAAGTTACGAGAGCTGTTGGATGTCGTGTTATCTCGAATAAATCTGTACCTGGTGAAGTTGATCCTTGCTCTTTTCTATTTCTGTTATCGTTTGTTGTGACTGCTTTTCCTTTTTGGCGTGATGGTTCGGATGTGATTTATCTCCGTCAAGTGTCTACTATGGCTTCAGAGGCACTAGATTGGAATTGATGGGAATGGATCGGGGACAACTAGAAGAAGAAAAGCACACTCGGTCTTAGTTTAATCAATAGGTGCCTCGGATGACTCATGTTCAGTGTCTAGTATTATTCTTGTCACAGGAGCTGCCATTATCACCAGTATCTCGTAAGATCAGAAATGTATCAATTGTGTATACAAACTCATCTTACTATACCCTTGATTACTTGCAGTGCAAAACACATGAACCAACCCTCTTCAGCAACAACATTATTAGCATACATAGTGTAACAAATATTCGTTTTAGGTATGAAACTGGAGACGCGCCAAGGAAAAGAAGAGGAGAAATTTACGTCTTCCGAATCCGACCAAAAATGTCCCACTGCTACAATAGTTCCTCGAACCAGCCAGGAATACTAGGTACAGTCTGTAGACATTGCCTTTGTTCTCTCCGAATTCTGATAAAATGGGTAACAAGAATGTGCATTGTTAGACTCTTTAAAAAAAAGAAAAATAAAAAATAAAGGAAGGGAAAGTCAAATGCGGAGGCTGTTTTCGAATACTGCACTTGGACTCCTAGATCCAGTACATGGTACGTACCATACAGTTTTTCCCCCATAACCATACCAAACATTATATTCAAACTGGAGGATTGATATACATATGATTGGTTTTGTGCACTGAGATCTTGGGTAGACCGAACCAAAATAAAAACCAGTACAGTACTCATAAAAGTATAAGACCGATCTAGACCAGACAGCTCCATGCATCCAACCAGTCTGACTCTGTTAACGTCATAGATGGATCCTGCCCCGCAAGACACGAGTACGGCCGCGTAGATCGTCCGTATTGAGACAAAGTTTAGGTAGGTAGGATATACGTATCTGCAGTCTGGTGAATTTTAGCTGAAGCTTCAATTGTGGTGTGGAATGCTGGGCACATGAGTGCATGCACTGGACTTATCTATTTTTTTCCACTGTTGCGGTTATTGTTTTTGATGGATGGGATGGGATTTGTTGGGGTGTTTTAATTTAGTGGTAAAGTTGGATTCGATATCGCTGGTTACTTTTGGAATTGTTGGGTGGTTGAGGGGTAGGTTGGTTTATCTTATTACTAGATATATTTGTAGGGAGGATTAGGAGGTCAGGTAAAGGGATATTTTTATGCATATTAATATTGTTTGTGGTTTAATATATTTTTAAGTAACACTAAATACCGGCTATTAGGACTGTAAGGAATTGAAGACTTAGGATATTTACCAGCAGAATCAATATCTAGTATAGAAATTAGTTAACAAAGTTGTAAATTATGAAGAACATGAAACAGTCTACCAGACCCTAGACATTGATATTATTTAAGCTCTTGGTGGAGTATACACCCAATAGAAGTAGAACCCTTAGTTTAGTACCAAGTAGGTAGTACATGTTAATTATAATGTGTACTGTTGACTAGGGTAGGAGAGGAGGTAAGTAATTGATGTTAAAAATAATTAACAGTTTATAAAGGTCTATTTATTTCTATAACTAACAAGTACTCCGTACTCCGTACAGCTTAGGGTTCTATTTAACCTTATATATATTCTATATCATACACTGGTCTAATGTACTTGTTACTGCTTAAATAGATATATCATATATATATTTTTTTAAATATATACATATATAGAGGAGTTTGAGATCTGATATTATACACACAGTTTGTAGCCACATTACTTATCTACAGCTATACACAAGTATTTCACAATTAATATACCTAGTTAATAGCTATTGTATAAAAATTCTCTAAGCATGCGCAACTGTCTTGTGCCTGAAAATACTCCATAGATACTAGCAGTGCTGAGGTTAATGCAGCCGCAAACATAGTGATTTTTTAGGACGGTTCACATCGCCCCTAATCCAATCAGTTATTATTGGAAGATTTCACATGTGCCCGGTCCACCGTATCGTACCATAGATAGCGACAGAAAACTAGTAATGGAGGAACCTGATTTGCCTTCCTCTTCAGCTAAAGTACTGTACAAGCTAGTTAGGGCTCCACTAGGGATGATTTGGTCAATCGGATGGATCGTCGGCCCCAAAGGCCTGGACCATGGGTTTTATTTGAGACGATGGAAATTAAGTCGTTGGATTCCTTTTTTCTTGAAACTTTTCATTTGAGGGTTTATAGAGGACTTTTTGTACATTCATATGGATGGTTTGACGGAGATGATCCGATTGATAAATACTTAGTATTGTCTCTGGTATTTAGAAACAAGATTTCAGGGATTTCATGGTCGGAATCCTGCATTGGATAAGTTGCTTACATGATCTCATCTATTAGTTAACTAACTAGTTATGCATTCCTTTCTCAATTAATGCCAAACATTGGCAGCAAGCCACACTAAATGTGCGAAACAGGTTCCTAGTTCCTGTATTATTAAGGTTAATTAATTTCCTCTATCTTTCCAATACTGAGCATCATTATAAAAGAACCATGCCCTTTTCTCTCCATCCTTTCTGGACTGTTTGATCTGCATCGTAAGATGCGATGGTACCTGGCATGGATAACAATTCATCCTACATAATAAGTCCTGCATTGCCGTAAACAGAAAGAGGGCTCTGCAAACGGCCCTATCTACCCAATTGCCTAACCCAAGAAGCTAACCGGATTCTGGTATGGGAGGCCGATCCCTGCCGCAGAGGACCCAGTGGCATGCCGGAAGAATACAACACTGCCTCCCCCTTCCCGAAGGTCCCACTTTCCGACCTCAACACCCCATGGATATTCCTGGATGTCGAGGTTTGCTAGGACTGAACGGTGCATAGGAAGCGATTCGGTGATGAATGCAATTATCTGCTACCATAAAGAAAATAAAATCTCCTGGTGCTTGAACACGACACAGAGGAGAGGCATAGACAGCAATACTTAGAATGATCATATCGACAACAATAGTAATAATATCATGGTTGTTTGCTTGTACTACCCATCATCCCCCATTCTTGTCTCGAAGCACCTGATCTTATTCCGAGGGGGAATTGATTTGGAGTGTATTCGTGGAGGGTAACACTTGGTCGATAGTTGCTTTGTGAATCAAGACTTTGGCCAAGAGCTTTGTGTTTTTATATCGCAATGAAGCCCACAGTAATTCTTGTAGTCTGTATGCTTGGCGGAAGAATGAAAAAGGCCGTGCAAAGTTTGAGAAAGCTCATGGGTCCCGATGGTAGATATTTATCCAACTAGCCATATACTGTTTCACGCGATTGAATAGGTTTCTTCTAGCTTGTCACTAGAAACAGTTAGCTGACTCAAGAAGTGACATGTTCTCTAGATGGTGCACACACACCCAGCTCAAGCGGACTGACCAAAACTGGGTCCGATTGCAGCGAAAGACCAAACCCGGTTTTTGACCTCGACCGACAGACCACAAGTGGGTTTGGGAGTGGGTTTCGTGACCGGAGGATGTGCAGCAGTGGCCGATTGGGCTTGCTGGCATCGATGGTTGGCCGGCCAAGTTGGGTGGGCTTAGCTGTTGTGTCTCATGAATCGTCCACATTATTACAGAGTACACATGATTACTGATATTATTTGTTTTGGTTATTCTGCGAGTCTTACCAAGTTGGGCCACTAGTCCCTATTTGTTTCTGCTATTTTAGCATCTGAGGCTGTCCCCAACAGCAATTTGAGGCTGCTGTGTGTTCGTCGATGCACGATCCAGGCATTTGCACCTAAAATTTCAAGGAATAGAGGAGAGGTTTTATATTAGGAACCATTATTAATTCGGAAGTACTGGGTAGAATGTTTGGGACGCCCCCTGAATAATCTGTACCTAAACCGATAACTATACGATGGCTTTTTAATAGGGTGCTGTTAGGACTGCCATGTCATCTCTTGACGTATTATGTACGGGGTTTAATGGTAAAACATACTGATAATTTTTAGTAGGCATTTAGGTTAAGTTGATACCTGGAAAGTATCAATCTAGAAATCAGGGTAAAGTAAAAAAACACAGGGGACATTATTCGCGACTAGTCTGACTATCTTTCGGAACCCTTTCCTGTATCACATTGTCGCATCTTCGTGAACGGTAGCTTCACATTTTTTTGTATTAGATTAGATTATTAGTGTTGAATTTATTTTTAATTTCCTAACGAAGAGCATCCGCTGACTGTTTTCGCTTTCGCCGTTGGCAGTAAATACGGCTGATTATCGCCGCCTCCCTGTCTCCGTTTCCGGTTCGAGCCCTGGCGGGGGGATCCACGACTGCTGAAGCATTGGATGATGGTAAAAAAAAAAGGGAAAAGGAAATGAAGTAAAAAAAAAAGAAAAGCAAGTGGAAAAAGAAAAAAAAAAAAAAAAGATAGCTCCCAACTCAACTTGAACTGACTGCATCAAACTCTCCCACTGGGCTGCTTTTCCTCCCAAATCCACCATCCCCTCGCGCTTTCAAACTCCTCTATCCCATCCATTTCCCCCATCCGTCTATCTATCTGATTATTCTCTCCTCCTCCTCCTCCTCCTCCTCCTCCTCCTCCTCCCCTTTCTCGAATCCCCATCCTCTCTCCCTACCTCTCCCTACTACTCACTTTCCCTCCTTTCGTTTATCCCTTTTCTATTGTCATCTGTCGTCTTTTAGTGATTCCCCTTACCTTCGTTTTCTCGAATCCTCATATCCGCGGTCATCCGTCGATAATTTTATTCTTATTAATTTCTTTTTTACCCTTTTTTACTGCCGTTTCAAATTGGTCTCTATTCGTCCTGGCTGCGGACTCTATTTTGCGCTCTACCATCCCGTGAAGGGGGCAGCGCCAATCGCACCATATATTCATCGTTTAGGGATTTCCTTGTTCCAGTCCAAACGGTTTATCGATTCGTCTCGGCATTTTGGCTGGCGGGAAAGCTTCCTTCCTTCCTGTTCGATAACCATGGCTCCTCCGCCGCGCTTGCGCATTTTATCAGGTTCGTATTCTAATTTTGCCGCAAAATATGGCCACTCTCATTTCTGCAACGTCTTCCTACCCGCCGCCAGAAAAGAGATCCCTTGGACATCTGAGCCGTATAGAATGGACCTGTGTCTAATGCGAATCTGTGTAGTTGGCAGCAACGCTATTTCGGCTTTCCTCTCCTGGAGACTTCAGGCAACAACCTCATGCGACGTGACACTGGTGTGGAAATCTGGGTTCGAGGCCGTGGCCCAATACGGAGTATCCTTCAGGTATGCCGCCATCCTATTCTTAGCCCGTCGAACAACTCACTTATCATTGTACCTTACTTTAGATCAAAAGCATTTGGTAATGAGCGGTTTAGACCTCGACATGGTATGCCTCTGCTTTCGCTTCTCGCCCCTAATACCCCTCAAAAGGCTAACAGGATGGCTTTTTCTACAGTGGTCCGTACACCGGAAGACGCGGCGTCCCGAGAGAATGCGTATGACTATGTCATCTTGTGCGTCAAGGCCTTGCCTGATATCTATGATATGGCTGCGGTCATCGAATCCGTCGTTACCCCTCAGCATACGTGTATCCTCCTGAACACGACAAATACGATTGGGGTCGAGTCACACCTCGAACAGCGATTTCCTACAAATGTCGTTCTTTCCCTTGTATCGGGTGTGGAGATATCTCAGATCGGAGCGAGCGAGTTTGAGCATTTGAACTCGTCTGATATTTGGATCGGTGCCACAAACAAGCAAAACAGCGTTCCTAGCTCGATTCAGAATGATATGGCTTCCGCATTAGCGATGACACTAGGAGCAGGGCAGGTGAATTGCACCGTGTCGAATAATATTAGACAAGAACAGTTTGAGCGCATGATAGGGTAAGGTCCATCATCTGCATTTCGATACGAAGAAGGCTCGCTAATTTGGCATTCACAGGCCAATTGCGTTTTACCCAACCAGTGTAATGTTTGAAACATCCAATCACGCACAGCTCCTCGAGAAAGTCGGTGTGCGCCAGCTAGTCACAGATGTTATTGAGGAACTCCTCGAGCTCGCGAGGGCGAACGGCTGCTCGTCCCCAAGCGACTTCTGTGAAAAGACGATCGAAAAAATGACTGCAAACGGACCACCAAGCAAAATGTACCAAGACTTCCAGTCTCGCCGCCCGATGGAAATAGAGACCTACCTTGGATCTCCGATCAAATTAGCGACCGAATCAGGTGTCCGGATCCCGCGAGTTGAGACCCTCTATGCGGTGCTCCATCATATCAATACCACCAATCTGAACAAACCGCCCGCAGGCGACTCTCCACCGGTTGTGGCGGCTCAACCGCCACCACGGATGTCGTCAGCCCCTCCACCGAGATCGATGAATGGTACCATGCGTGCGGGTCCTAGTATTAGATCAGTCTCGGGTATGCCAATGCCCCCAAGACGTGGACCGCCCATACCTGGGATGTCGAGGCCGCCTAGCGGCCAGCCGCAGTCTGCCAGAATTCCCCGTGAGCCTTCCTTGGAGGGTCTCGAGGAGTTCAGTCACCTTGTCGTTTATGATGATTCTGGTGACGGTGGGCTACCACACCCCAATGGCAGCAATGGTTTCCCTGACATGCCGCCCGGTCCGTCTGGGTCTGCGGCTGATCTGGCCCTAAGGGAGCGAGAATTGGCACTTCGACAACGAGAATTGCAGCTTCGCGAGCAAGAAATGAGTATGCGGCGAGGCCCTCGAAGACCGCCCCCGCCAAAATCTACCTTCGATGAGGAGGATGAAGACGATTACGTGGACCCTATGGATAACCTAGCAATTCCGGTTTTGGACCCTGACAGTGTGGATATGATGAGCATCACATCGCGAAGGACAAAGAAAGCCCCGAGTGCGAGCCAACTGCGCAGGAACCCAGAGATGGGCGCAAATCCTTCCGGCAGTAGACCTGGATCGTCTTTCAGTCGGTACTTTGGCGGAGCAAGGAAGCGTACGAGTGATCGGATCATGCAGGAAATACCTGGCCTTCATGATTCGTTGTTGGACAACCCCATGATGGCATACTCATCCAATCGATATGGTGCAGTTGATAGGAATCAGATGCAGGCAGGATCGCGTGCCAACTCTCTAACGGCAAGTCGGATGGGTGATTTCCCTCCCCATCCTTCTTATCCGCATAGCAGGAGGAATAGCCAGTCCCCCCGGGGCTCCCTACGGTGGCCCTGGCCCTCGTATGGGCCGGCCACCGACTGCCCAAGACCAGAATCTTGGCCCACTGCACGGTCCGCCTTATGGCGGCCATCCTTCGCCGCCTGGACAGATGCGTGCGCCCGTCCCAAGATACCCGCCTGGGCACGTTAGTGCGGTAGGTCCGCAACAAGTTGAGCAACATTATGGGGTGAGCAAACCGTATTCCGCCAAGGGCACTCCCAAACATAGAAGTCTGACCGGAAGTGCGAGCGCCAGCGCGGAGAGTGGTGATAGCGGGGCCAGTGCGAACCTTGATTCCGAAAACTCGGCGCATAGTAGCCAGACCAGCTTGGGTGCTCAACCAGCTTCGATGCGCGTTCGTTAAACGACGATGCCGGCCGTCCTCGTCCCTCCTTCGACTACAGCCGAGCCTTTTCCTTTGAAAAGAAAAGTTGACACCTTCCAACATATTCTATATGTGCTTGTCTAGTTTCTTCGTGAAGAAGCCCCCCCTCATCTTACCGTTTTATTCGTACAAAAATCGTGTTTTAGTCCAGCTTGGCAAGGAGGGCAGGAGAGGGCTCAGATTTATACGCTGTTGTTCAGTTCTTTGCATATACACAGGGGACATAGGGGGCTGTTTTCTCGATTGATGCTTTCATTTACCTTGGAGTGGCTGGACGCGTGGGGGTGTGTTGCATATGGTATTGCGCTTCTTTTTATTTTCCCCCCTAATGAGGGCGAGTATGAAGCTCGACCCGACAAGTACGATTCGTCATCTTGTTTGTGCCATCTCGAAAATCCTTTTCTAACTCCCAACCGTGCATTCTATGCTATTCTTGCATGCAGGATTGCTGTACACTATACCGGAGGCGCCGCATTCCCCCCAACCCCTTCTTATTTATTGAGTCCATCGACCTGTACGGTCTCCATCTACTCCACCGTTTTGTGACATGCACCTGCATTCCTTTGATTTCCATTTCCGTTTCCTTTTTCCTTTTGTTTTTGTGTTTGCACGGGCTCGATTTTAGTAGCTCTGTGATCTCTACATCCATGGTCTGGTTTCCGGCGCAAAAAAGAGCAGGGTCTGATTTGTTCTGTTGATCGAGTGATTTGAATTGGCTGGGTTCGTGTTCTTCCAAGGTATTAACGAGGGGCCTAGTTGCCTGCTCATTTGATTAGAAGCATGTTGACAATAAACGACACTTGAAAGTTGCATGATCCATAGACGGTGATTTCCATGTCATGATGAGTGTTCTATTGATTCAGATGTGTGCATAACCCATGGTAGACAATACAGGAACTTGGGGAGTGCTTTGTCGAGTATTTCCAATATAGATTTATAAGCGTGTGTGCCTGAGGCTCTCAGTCAGCGCATTTCCATAGCTCTGCACGTGGTTGTCCCTTTCCGTAATAAACAAGTAAACAACACTTGATCGTCAACATCAACCAAGCCACAAAAGACAAGAGCATTACAAGTCTTCAGAATATCCCACCTAAATAACTACCGGTCAAGTACCACAACTACTATGGCACCTCCTTCCCATCACCACAGCCATTCTCAATCCTTACCCCGCCATTCCCTTCATCCCAATTCGGCTTCCGCTGCATCTTCCACCGGATCGTCATCGATGTCCGCTACCAAAACCCGCCAGTACTCCCAGCTGCAGGCTCAGCTAGCACAGCTGAATGCCAATCTGGCCGATACGCAGAACTTGCTCCGGATGACGGCCGTACAGGCGGAGGATATGCGCTTTCTGGGTGGATACGTCGGGGCATTGTTCATGGGATCTGCTAAGGTTCTAGGTGAAGAAGGTGTCAAAGCGAATGCGGAGGGCCGGCGTGCTTCGAATGATGGCGAAGAGGAGATTAAAAATGAAGATTGATCCGAAGCATCAGGCTGGATATTGAGTTGGTAGGTTGTGTTTTCTATGCAACAATTGCAGATTGTTTCTAACCACATGTCTAAACATACGACTCTTTCTAACTGGGATTCTATACTAGGCCGGTCCGATTTTGTGCCATCGTGGCGGTACGCCCCGGCCTGCTTGCTTGAAACAGTCCATTCAACTGTCTACCACGAAACCTCCGCCCAGAATGATGGCCGGTTCCTCAATATTATGGTGTTCGTAACTTGATTCGATCAGAAAATGGTCGCTGGGAGTGTTTGCAGGAGGCGTGTCTTACCTCAGGGTTCCTACGCCTCCAGCTTCTAGGATTAGAGCCGTCTCTATCAATGGCTTTCCGACCCAGCGCATGGCGAAGGCGCGTAGAATATGACCGTGTGCGACGATGAGGACATCCCCTTTGGCATTGTTCTTTGATGACCCGTCGAAACAAGGTCCGTGGTACTTTTCCCTGATTTCGGCGATAAGGGCATCAAGGCGGCGGATTACATCTTCAGGGGATCTATTTCATTGATTTCAGTGAGCGGATGTCGGATCCGAGGGGTGGCGGGTTGGGGGACGTGACATGATATATGATTAAGAGGCATTAGTTGGTCAATTTCACTTACTCTCCTCCGGGACACCCATCCCGCCAAATATCCCATGATCCTTCTCCCTTCTGCGCCCTCATTTCCCGTATTTGCTTACTTGTCAAGCCCTCGTAGTCACCATAATCCCATTCCCGGATGGCCCCTGTGACTTCGACCTTGGCCTCTGTCCGGATAGGCACTTCGTCCTCCGACTTCCTGTTCTCCGCCCACGGGAGTCTCTCTCTGCAGCCGATTTCCAGGAGTTCTAATGTTCGTTGCGCACGCGCCCGAGGCGAGACATACCTAGACACATTAGTTCTGGATCTACAACAAAAAGTAAAAAATTTAAAAAAAGAGAGAGGAACATACACATGAACCAATTTCCTAGGAGCAATAAGCCGATCATTCCCTACCAGCGCCTTCCCCGTTGCTTTGATCCGCTTCTCGCCGTTCGGCGTCAGCAGCAGATCAGTACTGCCGGTGTGTCGACCATTCAGGGACCATTCGGTCTCGCCGTGGCGGATGATAAAACATCGAGGTGTCATATTATATCTGGATTGGTAACGTAATCGGTGAGAAGGGATTGGCTTGGTTGTACATGAAATGGGAGAGTTTGGGTTTGATGAAACGAAGAGATGGCTGTGTACGTAGGTTGGTGGGGTTGGATGTTGCGTCATACATTGCCGGATTATCTATCCTTCGTACGGCGGATCGAACTCGCTTGTCGGGCTGATTCAATGTTTATTTTAGTTATTTGTGCTATATAGTTTAGTGGGATGTCCTAGGGTGTGGAATATTTGGTTTGGATGTTGTTGAGGTGCATATGGTGTTCGTTGTGTAGTAAGGTAAACATAGGTAGATTGGTCCTGTCCAACTTCTATCTACAGATTAAACAGTGGAATTCTAAGGATTCTACTGCGGTTCTTTCTCATACTTCAACAAGAAATATGTACTTCAGGATTGATTTTGTTGGCAATGAGGCAATGACGGCAGCAAGATTGGCGATGATCGATGCTGTGCATAATAGGTTGGCTTGTGAGGTACCAGAGTAAGCCCTACTCATCCACTAGCATGAGATTGAACATTCATGTCCATCCCTGAATAGATACAAGGAGAGTAACATATCCTGCCCTCTGCGAGAGAACACATAATCCAAACTGTTGAGTTGATAGTTCCAGACGTGGGGCATTGCTTATGTCATCAACCAGCAAAGATCTCGCGATGAGATGAATTGCTTCAATGCTAATTCAGATTGTTGCGTAACGGATATCTAGATCTTGTTCTTCTAAATAAATCCTCCATACATCACAACCTGAGAGTATAGCCTAGAACATACAAGCCCAGACCAGTCCAGACGCAGAATATGCCCGACAAGAGAAAGAACGTAAGGAATACATCCCGGCTTTCTGGGAAACCACTTGCTGAAACGCTCATCCCATCATCGACCCTCAGCTCCTCTGCAGAAGAAACATGGGTCACATCCGATGATCTGACTGAATATGACCTCCCATATACCCCGGAGGTCATGCAGGACGTGACTGTCTTCCTCCTGGGAAATATCAATATCAACTCCAGTCATCTGTTCCGGGCTGATATTCTCCATGATAGTCGGGGCTCACTGAGCACGCCCCAACAGAAAGAGCAGTCTCATGCGTTGTCGGGGAATAGTAGTTCGCAGACACTTCCTGGTACTGTTGCTGGTGTGGATGATTCCGTGGAACCCCTCCCTCCTCGAGATATTGCAGGGTTTGATCTGACTAGGACGGTGCTAAGACGGTTTATTCCCAGGAATCCGAAACTGGATCGACCACTTGAGCAGACTTGTCATTTCTATGAGGCGGTTGCGACGCAGTCGGTTGATGATGGTGAGGATGCTTTGAACTCGTCGGGGTCCCGGTCAAGTTCTCACGACTGGATGGTTGTCTACACACCTCATACTACTTCCAAGGAGGACACCCCGTACTATCATCCTCAGCTTAGAGCTCTAGCGCTTCTATATCGGTTTAAACACGACGTCGGCGCAGAATCCTCCGGAACACAAACACAAACATCTCCGACATCAAGATCAGGAACAGGAACAGGAACACTCTCCCTCCACTTCTTACCGTACCCGGATGAACCAGTCTCCAATCGCATGGAACGGACTCTGAACGCTCTGGTAAACACTCAGATACGACTCGCCCGTGGCGCGCGGCTATCCAACAAGAACAAGTCCGAAGGCGGCAATCACAAACCCAACAAAGACAACGTCATCCCACAGCATTTGGTACAAAACACCTACACACGACTCAAGTCCAAATTCGGCCCGGACCTCTGTGGAGACTGGGTCGAGAACACCGAACCATCCAAACATGTATTCGAAGACCTATCCATCGCAGCATTCCTCATTGAGCTCTGGAGAAGCATGTACGGTGCTGTTCCCGCCGATGAGAAGAAAAACCCCCATCAACAACCCAACGAAAACCACCAACCTAATGGATTTAAAGACATGTTCATCTCGAACCCCTGCCCCAAATTTCCCGGCTTCGTCGACATCGCCTGTGGAAATGGAGTTCTCGTCTACATCCTTCTGATGGAGGGATACCCAGGTTGGGGATTCGATGCCCGTCGTCGTAAAACCTGGAGTATATTCCCGGAGTCCATCCAATCTCGACTCAAAGAGGAGATCTATATCCCCAAACCATTCGCAGACGAGTTAATATCTTCGGGTCGAGAAGACGACCTCACTGCCCACCATCTTACCGTGGCCTCTCACACGGGCGTCTTTCCCCATGATACATTCATTATTTCAAATCATGCGGATGAGCTCACCGTTTGGACGCCCCTCATGGCGGCCCTTTCGAATCCAATATCTCCCCTCCCGTTTCTCGCTATCCCGTGCTGCTCGCATTCTCTATCTGGTTCTCGGTTTAGATATCCTCCGCCTAAGACAGTATTGAAATCATCATCTGGGAGTACCACCGACCCAATCTCCCCTCACCACCATGAAACCGAAGAAGGGGATAACCCCGCAACCGGCTCCCTCCAATCCCTCCGCAAGACAAAACAAGCCGTCCTGACGGACGAAACCGCCTTCAACAAATCTATGTACGGCTCTCTCACTGCCAAAACCCTCGCCGTGGCCGAGGAGATCGGCTACGCGGTCGAAAAGACCCTGCTTCGGATCCCGAGCACCCGGAACGTGGGTGTGATTGGGGGTCGTGTGCGGGTGATTGAAAAATGGCGTGCGGGGACAGCACAGGTTGGGGTTGATTCATCGTCCATTGCAGGGGACTTTGATGATGTGGAGCAGCGCGTGATGGATGTCGTTCGGAGGGAGTGTTTGAGGGATGGTGGAGTTAATGTTGCGGCGGGGGTCTGGCTGGAGAGGGCGAGGGGGATTCATTTGGGCCCTGGGAAGGGGAAATAGGTTGGTTATTCTATATTCTACTATGTTATGGTATATTATGGTGTAGGGCTACGTGGAATGCGTTTATAGATGATACCCTGGTTATTGATCTACTGGGTTGGTTACCATGGAAGTGGTTATAGCAAGGTACAATCGGCGATGGCGCATAGGTCCTATGTATACTACAGCTCATATCTAAATCATAGTCTATCCTGTCTGAGTGGTGAATCTGTTCCTAACTCCAAATACATACAATCCTGAAGCTAGAAGAGCCGCGCGGTCGTATCTAGTAAGTCATTAATCAAAGAAAAGCCAACCTCTCCATACTCCTGCAATGCGTCGAATATACAAGACTAATAAACTGTTCCTGACGTAAAGCCGTCTATATCTATACAAATTGTCGGTAGTACGGTCGGACCGCAATTAAGACAAATATGATCGGACGCTTTATGAAGAGCCACTTCCATTGGAGGCAGCATTCGCAGCGTTGGTGTGTGTGCCATGTTTCAAGATCGATGTTTTCTGCATTGCGGCGTCGGAAGTGGCTCTTGCGGCAGCCGCCGCTGCAGCACCCTCCTTGAGGCGTTTCAATCTTTCCGTTCGGCCCTCGCCTGGAAGACCGCCCCAGACAGGCTCGATCGAGTCTGCTCTCCAGTTGGATCGATGGCTAGCACGGGCGCCACCCCGGGCGGGAAAATGGACCATAGGAGAGCTCCCGGCGCCGGACTCTCCCCACATTCGGACACGCTGCAGCTTGCGTAGCTTCGTGAGTCCGTACATGCATACCACCGCCGTGATGGCGAAGCATGTAGCTGAGACGCCGCCGAAACCGATGTCGGACTCCTCGATGAAATTCTTCAAGTTCATGCCATAAAGAGCGGAGAAAAGTGTTCCCGTTGCGAGTCCGAGGGTACCAATACTGAACTTGAGGTCGAGCAGCATAAGGGAATTGCGGTTGGCATCGAGGATGGCTTTTACCCTGTGCAGATACTACATTAGTATTCTATGTGTAGATAACGATAGTGTGGAGGTCAAACTCACACTTCCTCCGTGTTCCGGATTCCAGTGACTAAATTCCCGCTGGCCTGGACAATTTCATCACAGACTTTATGGTATGATTCCAGGAGCATTTCAACCTCCTGATGGTCATGGTCCTCCCTTTCTATTCCATTCGCACTCTCCGACAAATACATCGAGGCCAAGTCATCGTCCGCCTCCAAAAGGTCGTCGATGGCGTCTCGTACGAGACGGGCTTTCTGTTCAAAGGTTCCGAGTCTCTTGGAGTAAATAAGGAGGTGTCTTAGTTTGTCACGATCGATGTCCTCCTCCAAAGCTCGCAAAACGCGCACCACCGGCTCCCTTACGCCGTTAAACTCTTCCTCCAGGCCCGTAGTAACACTGATCAAAACAGCCTCTAAGGCGCGGAACTCGTACGGTAGGGCACCGGCACCCTGGACCTGTTTCTGTCGTAGTTTTCCCTCCAAGTCGTAGACAAACATTGACTGCATGTAGGAATCCGTCGAGCCGTACGCATCAAACACCAAGACCCGATCGGCCTTGATCAACACGCGAAGGTGTAGCAGGTTGATGAGGATAGCGCTCGGTCGCACAAGGATATGAGGCAGCGTTGACGAGTCGATCTTGCGAAGGTCACGAGGAAGCAGGCCATACTAGGGATTTCTGTTAGCCTTATGTCACCGGTGCCTGCCTAGTAACTCGTCCATATATCTTCACTGACCTTGGCGATCAATTCACTCTTCCTGAACTCTCCATTGACAAGGGTCACATTTCCATTACTGTCAAACTCAGTACACCGCAGCCGTGGTTCATTGGAAGCCTTTGCTGCCAGCAGTCGTCCTCCGAAGTTTAAGCTTCCCTCCGTGCTCTCATCAATCAGCGCAGGGCTCAAGCTCCGGTTGAGCTTGGCCTCCGCCTGGCCCGGTCTCAGATCCAAAAGCCTGCGGAGTAGCGGACGACTCTTAGTGGAGGAGGTCCGGGTAGACGGCACTGTGAGGGAGGACCGAAGCCGTGAGCGTGGGCATTGGCACAGCGCCGCTCGAGATCGCGAAGGGCTCTTAGGGAATGTGGACAGCAGCCCGGCTTCCACGGTTGCTCGGCATCGCGCTGGATTGAGATGCGTCCAGTTCAAGGAAACTTGTAGCGCTGATATACCAGAGGTTCGGCTGTAGGTTTGCGATTTTCGTGGATGACCCTCACAGGTCAATGGATTCGCCGTGAAGTAGAGGAGCGAGTCGGTCTGCGAACGCAAGAAACGGAGGAGCGACGTGGATGGAGCAGTCGGTTTCAAAGACGACGGTGACAGCATATCGGTCTTGCATAAACAAGCCGCCGTCAGGAAGATGAGAAGTCTCGATCCGGTCTCTGTCTCTCTCTCTCTGTCTCTGTCTCTCTCTTTCCACCCGTGTCCTTTCGTCTGTATACAATCCTAAAAATCCCGCATGACCGCGGGCGGCTGTCCGTCTCGGGCCAACTTTGATCCGATAGTATACTTCGGCAGCTTTTCTACTACTACATAATTCATTCCTTCAAGGGATATGCTTGAAGGTATATATTGGTCCCAGATCGCTAGCATCTCACTTGGTCCAGTGAGTCTACATACATTGTCTCCCAGACCATTCCTTCTACGTCCCCCTCGCAAGATAACATGTGGAGGAGAACTCCGTCGCATCAGAAAAGAAAATATTAAGAAAAAGAGAAACGCTGGTGAAATGCAGGTATCAAACAAAATCACAAGTCTAACCCGCAGTCACAAGAGATGGAATTCCGAAAAAGGAAAAGAAAGATGCCTCCCGACTTCACCAATCATCGTCGTCTTCTTTTTCGTCATCTATAGCAAAAAGAATCCGGGTTAGAAGGCACACGCGCATCTTTGGGAGAAAATAAAGTATCAACTTACCACTCCCTCTAACTTTTCCCTTTCTCTTGTTCAACGCTTCTTGTAGAGCTCCAGCTAATCCTCCTTGAGGAGCGCCTCCGTTGCGGGGAGCCGCACTGGAAGATTCGTGGCCGCCGCCCGGAACTATGGCCGCACTCCGATCGTTCTTCTCCGAATCCTTGACCTTCCGCAAGCCTCCGCCTTGTTTGCCTCCGGATGCTCTAATGGCAGACAAAAGATCATCTCTTCCGCCACTAGGCTTTGGCAAAGGCGGTGCAGCTCCGCCAGGAGGTGGGGGAGGGGGTGCTCCGGCTCCAGGAGGAGGCGGTGGAGGTGGAGGTGCGCCAGCGCCAGGAGGGGGGGGAGGAGGGGGAGGAGCTCCAGATCCAGGAGGGGAAGGGGGGGGAGGAGGGGCTCCAGCGCCAGGAGGTGGAGGTGGAGGTGGAGGTGGAGGTGGTGGAGGAGCTGCAGATCGAGGAGGAGCCCCTGCTCCAGGTGGCCGCGGGGGAGGGCTGGTAGTTGTAGGTGGTGGAGGGGGCTGTCGAGCTGAGCTGGCTGGTGCTGGAGCAGGCGGCGGCGGGGGAGCGGGAGGACCTGTACTGGACGATGGTGGAGGCGGAACAGGACGGGAGGTAGCCGGTACAGGAGGTGGTTGTGACGCTGGGCTTCTCGGGGGCGGAGGTGGAGGAGCTGGCGCGGAGGGCTGGGCATGAGGGACCTTTGGGGGAAGCTGTGGTGGTGATGCAGGGCTCCGTGGAGGTGGCGGAGGAACGGAGGGCATGGGAGTTTTCCGGCTTGGGGGTGCTGGTGGTGCAGACACTTTCCGTTCCCCTGTAAATGGCGGGGGCACGCCAAACCGACCCGGTTGGTCGTCCATGGGCGTCTTCGGTGGTCGAGGAGGTGGAGGAGGGCCCGGGTTTGACCCGGACATTGCTCGTTGGCGATTGGGAACAGAGGGAGCAACCATATGGGCGAATTTACCTGCATCGGCAATCGGAGGTGGCGCACGAAACTTGGGTCTCGGCGGCGATGGTTCGCGGTTCGCTGCAGGGGATTCTTCCTCTGCGTCAGGACGCGCTCTTCGCGAGGGCGGGGGAGGCGGCGGGGCCCCTCGTCGACTGCCTGTGCTATTGCCCGTATTCTGTGGACTAATGGCTGTCGTCTTGGGGGGAGGGGGAGCAGAGGGGGGCGGTGGTGGAGGAGCCTTCCCCTTTCGCTGGTCATCGCCAGACGACGACGGTTCGGCTCCATTGCCTTGCTTCTGTTCGATATATGCCTTGATAAAATCCGAATTCTCTGCAATTTGGTCTTCCGTGATTCCCATCTGTAGAAGCTCCTCCAAAAGACCCTTTTGTGACGGATCACTGGTGTCGAACGGTAGTGACTTGCGTGGCGGGCTGCTCGAGGGAGGCGGAGCAACCTGAATCGAAGGTGCAGGGGGAAGCTCAGCAGGGATCGGAGGTGGATTGGACCCGGAGCTCGACCGATGGCCTAGCAAGCTGCCAAAGAGCGACCGTCCCACGCCAGACTTCCCATTTGTAACCGGAGCAGGACCTTGGCCTCTTGTCGACGCAAAGGGGGTCTGTCGGGTTTCTTTACTTGCACTCTTCTCCCGTTCCCATACTTTTTTGATAAACGTTCTGGCCTCTTTTTCGTCGACAAAGGAGAAACCAGCGGCGCAGTCCTCCAGCTCAAAGGTGTGGAAGAATGAACGGTCTTGGTTGTACTGGAAATTATCGTAGATTTCTTGGTCCCAGATGACACCTCTTCCAGCGGGCTATATAGAGTTTCACAACACCGTGTATATCAGCGACCCGTTGGATATGAGACTCAGTTGGAAGAGAGATCCAGCACTCACCGATACATCTACCAACTTCAACCAAAAGGTGCGCCCGACCAAGTCATTTGCCAGCACCGCCGCCCCCTGTAGACCAGTATAAGTCCATCGCTGGGGATCCGGATAGGCCACATATAGTCGCGCAACAGCTACTGCGAGGATCTTATTTGCGGGTTTGGGAACAATTCGCTTGACAGTCTCTTTGTCGGCATCATTGAGAATGGACGGCATGACGGACGAAAGTGCGATCGCTGTCCAAGGACCGCGTGCACAAATAGGTAGCAGTGATAGCGCCGATGGGTAGATGTGTGCTTAGGTGATCTCGCAGACACACATTGCAGGAGTGCCGTCGCTCGAGGCAGCAGGACGCAAATGCGCTCGTTTCCCCGGGGACAGAGAGCAGCTATGATATGGGGTGGTCGAGGAGGGTCGGGGAGTTGGTGGGCAAAGGAGCCGTTAGAGTTGGGAGAGAAGAAAGAGGCAGAGGTCAAGTTAGCAACAAGCCAACTTAAGCGCAGAACCACTCAGCATCACTAGGGTAAGTGGGGAACTCCAGGCTACGATATCTTATTCATTCCACTTCTTCTAGATACGGTATGAAATGAATTCATTCTCTGGTTTTATCTCTCGAGATAATTGATTTTTTCCTGTAGACTGTCCATCATTTTCTCCATTCTCCACGCCAGGATGCTTTGCTAGTTGACATGCATCCCGCGTGGCCAGACGGTCGCTTCAACGCCCAATCCTTTAATCGAGCGAAGGCTGCCAGATCTATTTAAATCGATCTGAACATTATTCCCATTTGTTGCACTGTATCCGATTCTGGCCAACCCGGATGAATCTCTACTGGCCCTGTCTCTCAGTTGGGAGCATGCCACCCCTTGGATAGGTACTCCGCAGTATACTGGGATCATGCAACTATGCCGCTTGGTCTACAATTCATAAAATCCTAGGTAACAGATCTGTTTTCATACAAATTCCTATCCCAAAAATGCCTCGAGAGAGAAAATTGAGGCGCAGAAAGGGGGGAAGAATAAATAATGATTTATGATTCTCTAAGAGTGACAGGTGTAGAGGCACAGTTGGCTAGTGATGATGTAGAAATATTCCACCAACAATGCTACTTGACGTCGTAATCCTTGACCTTACCAATCCCGTTGTATATTCTCTCCATCCAGTCTAATTCTTCAATATAATCCCGACAATTCCTGCCATGGTCGCCCTCGGTTGCCTGCTGTTGCGTCATATCACGTGACACCGTGTTCACTTCTCTGCCTTCGCGAAACGAGGCTTTCCAACTCGCGCCCAGAGACCCCTGATGCCACCGGAACGTTCAAATGTCCCGGTGAAGCTGTCCTTGCCCTTGGTACGTTGTGAGAATAGTGGTAGGATCGGGAAAACATGGATCGATTTGCTGATATACTTCCAGCAATACCAGCAGGACATCTTCACCGAACTGCGGAAGGAGGATGAGCTGGTCATTCTTGCCCGTGGCCTCGGGCTGTTGCGTCTCGTAACGAACCTACTCCACTTCTACGATGCTGCTGGGAACAATCTAGTGCTGGTAGTTGGCGCTGGTGATAGGGAAAATGAGTGGATCGGGGAGGGTATGCTATTCAATCCTACTTAGTTCGTCATATACAATCGGGAGCCAAGTCCCCTGACTTTGACTTCTACAGCTCTGGCGGAACACTATGCGATTAGCAAGACCCCTCTTGCTAGGGGTCTAAAAGTGATCAACACTGAAAGAGCCTCCGTTTCCATGCGGTCTGTTGTTTTGGGAGCTTTGGATGATGTGAATACTGGCTGACAACAACCCAGAGAAAAAATCTATGCGGGGGGCGGTATTCTGAGTGTGACATCCAGAATACTGGTTGTAGATCTCTTATCCAGTATGATAGTAACTCTACCTCTGGGACACAAAGTTACTAATCAGATCTTAGAGCTTCTCGACCCAGAAAAGATCACCGGGATGGTTGTACTTCATGCCGACAAGTAAATCCATTTCGTTCTAGAACTCTATCCATGTGTATGCTGAACGTATGACAGGGTCGTGGCAACTTCGACGGAGGCCTTCATCGTCAGGATTTTTCGGCAACTCAACAAGCAGGGCTTTCTCAGGGCCTTTTCGGACTCTCCAGAGCCTTTCACGACGGGATTCGCGCCGCTAGCTAATTCTATGCGCAATCTTTTCCTTCGAAAGGCTTCTCTATGGCCGCGTTTCCATGTCACAGTCGCAGAGTCCCTCGAGGGACACAGGAAAGCCGAAGTAATTGAGCTGGAAGTTCCCATGAGCGATAAGATGCGCGAAATCCAAAATGCCGTTCTTGAATGTGTAGAAATCTGTATTGGGGAATTGAAAAAGGCAAACACTGGACTTGACATGGAAGATTGGACGCTAGACAGTGCCCTGCACAAGAGCTTTGACATTGCGATTAGGCGTCAACTCGACCCTATATGGCATCGCGTGAGCTTTCGGACTAGACAAATTGTCAGTGATTTGTCTGACCTTCGGGCAATTCTCCAGTAAGTCTCACTTGACCTTTTTTTTTTTTTTTTTTTTTTAAAAAAAAAGGTAAATAAATAAAAAGAAAAGAACTTTAAAAAATCCTATTCATGTCAAGGCTTTCTAATTAGTTTCCAGTGCTTTGCTTACATACGATGCTGTCTCATTCATGAAGTATCTCGATACCATCATAACAGCACATTCACCACCACCTGGGTCATCAAAACACAGCTATTCGCCGTGGCTTTTTCTCGATGCAGCTCATGTTCTGTTCCAGACTGCAAAGTCTAGAGTTTACCAAGGGAAAATAAGCAACGACGTTGGCTTGTCGTCAACTTCGTTTCTTACCACACTGCAGCCTGTCCTGGAAGAGCAACCAAAATGGGAAGTTATGGCGGAAGTCCTAGAAGAGATAGAAAACGATGCATACATCAACCCGGTGAATGTGGACGAATCGGAGAGCACTGTACTGATAATGTGTTCCGATCAACGAACCTGCCGACAGCTTCGAGAGTACTTGGGTACGATGCATGCGAATGTGGAAACGACAAACTTGGGGGATGAGCATACTACCGACGACGCTGGAGGAAAGAAAGGCTCTGCAAGTGTAATGATGCGCAGAAGACTACGAGAGTACCTTGACTGGAAGAGTTCCTTATTGAACGTTAACAAGAATTTATCTTCACGACTAGCTAATGATGACTCACAAGCTGGCAAATCTCAAAATTCGTCTGGATCTTCAAACCAGCATCAAGGAAGAGTCCCTCCAAATAAACGGCGTCGTGTACGGGGTGGAGGGAAAGCCTCATCGGCTGCAGTGCGTGCACCGAATACCAGCGTACAAACCGACGTTGAACCGCCGATTCAAGTGTCAGTCCTACTAGACGAACTCCAGCCTACGGAGGTTGAGGAGACTCAGAAGGAGGAAGTCATCATTGATGACCTCGAGGACATGGAAGATTTCTATGAACTGTACGATATGAATGACCTCACTGTGATACATCCTTACGACGGCGACATGGATGAACATGTGCTGGAGGAAATTCGACCTCGGTACATCATTATGTACGAGCCCGACTCGGCCTTTATCCGACGAGTAGAGGTTTACCGCAGCTCTCATGTGGGGAGGAATGTGCGAGTATACTTTATGTACTACGGAGGGTCGGTTGAGGAACAGCGATATCTGAGTGCGGTCAGACGTGAGAAGGACTCGTTCGCGAAGCTGATCAAGGAGAAAAGCGTAAGGATTCATCTAGTCATTCCCGTATGAAGCGTGTTGCTAACTTTATATGTAAAAGAGCATGGCAGTCACCATCACTCATGATAGGAACCTTGACGACCCCCAAGAGCAATTCCTTCGAACCGTCAACACTCGTATTGCTGGAGGGGGACGGCTTGCTGCAACAGCATCTCCATCACGAGTCGTAGTTGATGTGCGAGAGTTCAGAAGTGCCCTCCCATCTTTGCTACATGGCAACAACATGATTATCGTTCCGTGTCAGTTGACAGTAGGTGACTATATCCTGACCCCAGACATATGCGTTGAACGCAAATCTATTCGCGACTTAATTACGTCCCTCCGAAACGGCCGTCTCTACAACCAAGCAGAGACAATGCTTCAACACTACAAAAACCCCCTACTCCTTATCGAATTCGATCAGAACAAATCATTCACATTCGATGCATTCGCATCCGCAACTACCCCTGGTACTTCCTTCTTATCTGACTTTGGCTTTTCCTCCTCCGGCACTGCAACCACCTCTTTGGCTACGAGTAGCTCCTTAGTGAATCCATCCAGTCCGAAATCCGCACAGCATCTCCTTGTTCTCCTCACCATTGCATTCCCTCGCTTGAAAGTCATCTGGTCGTCGTCCCCCTATCAGACCGCTGAGATCTTCACCGAACTCAAAAAGAACAATCCCGAGCCCGATCCAATTAGGGCCGTACAAATCGGATTGGATATGGACATAGGAGCAGCATCTTCTGGTTCGGGCGATATCATGGCTGCAGCCGGTATAGAGCATCGTACTTTCAATCTTCTCCCTCAGGATATGCTCCGTGCCGTTCCGGGCGTATCACCACAGGTCCTGGAGCGGCTCCTTCTCGAAACAGGGAATATCACGGAGATTGCGAATATGGATGTTGAACAGCTGGACCCACTCGTGGGGATAGAGACGGCACGGAAAATTGTTGGGTTCTTTCGAAAGAGTGTATTTGATGAGAAATAGCTTCGTTCCGGGTTTGCTGCATCGAGATGCGGAGACTACCAGCACGAGGGAACGGCTCGTGTCCAAATCTACAAGATGTGTGGATACTACAGTGTACATAAACTGATCGGAATATTTTTGCGTTTTCGTAACCTTCCCGTAATTCTATCATCCAGGCTTTCAGAAGAATAAAAGAACGAAATAGGAAGAATGAAATAGACAAAAGAATTGCCAGCAAGAAAAGATGCTGCATGCAGCCAATCTCTTATAATGCGTCGCAACCAATTCTCTGCGGAAACCTGAGGTCACCATTCATGATGAAAAAAAAAATACAAGATGGAGCCCGTATCTACCCTCATCATACGGGACCTCAAGAGTTCCCTAATGATTCATACCCTGAATATATTGGGAGCAGCCCTGGGCGCTGAAAGGAAAATCCCCGTGTGAAGTGGGGAAAGCCTCAGTAACCCTGATCCTCCGTTATCCTCCTAGGAAACGAGTGCCGAAAGCGCCCTACCGGCAACTTCATCCTGCCGCGGGAACCTTTGCAGAAGGAAGCCTGACGGGTTTCCCAGAGAAAGAAACTAGTTTGACATGGAGAGAAAAAGAGAGTGAAAGTGCAGGGTTGGCGAGAAGAACCCAGTAGCTCTTGCAGGGATGAATGCACAGGGATGGGGGGGATTTTAGAGCTCGTCGACATCGATCTCCTTCTCGTCTTCGCTCTCGCGGTCCTCGTCGAACTCGACGTTGTCCTCTAAGCCCTCGTGGCCGTAGGTATCGGTTTCGTTGATCTTGGCGTGTTCCGGCAGCTCACCGTAGGCCTTGAGACTTCTGGCCTCGTCGGCGGTGTACTTCATGATAACATCACCCTTTTCGTCTTGGTAATCACGCAGCGAGAGAAGGATGATGTCACCCTGGTTGATCCAGACCTTCTTCCTCAGCTTGCCTCGGATATGTGCCAGTCGTTTCTCGCCGTCGAAGCAAAGCGCTTCCAGACGGCCGTTGCCGAGCATCTTCACGACCTGCGCATACTCCTGGCCTTCTTCCTTGAAAACAAGTTCACGCTTCTCATTGTCGTTCTCGTTCTTTCCACGACGACGGTTCTTACCACCCTATTTTGTAGATGGTTAGCCTGTGGGCTGATAAAAATGTAGTGTCTGAATGATGGAAAGCCCCTTATAGCCAACAATAGAGGATCCGTGTTGTCAAACTGAGAGATTCTCTCTAGCATGTTTGTCTGTCTCTCTCTCCCCCTCATTTTTTTTTTATTTTTGTTTTTTCATTTTCGCCCTTTTTTCTATTTTTTCTCCTCTATAACGGGTACACGGCAAGAGCGTAGAAACAACCGAAAAAACCATGACACAAGCGTGGTTAACAAAAATCAAATTCTTCTTACCTTTCCTTTGTTCTTGGGCATGGTGAAAACTGGCTACCACGCTGACAGTGCACTCGATGCGATGTCAGTCCTAGGAAAGACCCGGAGAGATGGAAGTGGGGGAGTTGACGAGAAAGCGGCGGGAGAGCAATTTCGAGGCTTTTTCAACCGACGACAATTAATCCGTGGGTGGCGGAGTTTGGTGGCCTGAATGCTGCCTTAAGGCTCGCCACAAGGGGCGCGCCAATTGAATCCCGCAGAACTCACCGCCCTTGATCTGGCACTCGGTTCTTGCGGCAGAAAAGATATCGCCATTTATGGGAAGAGATGCTGCTCGATGAATGTTTTTCTCTTCTATCTATACTATATTGTCGTGGTCCTGCACCATATAACTCCTTTACTAGTCATAGCAGAGAACGTCTTTGTGGAAGAACTGGCGTTACGACTCCCCACCCCCCACCCGGCAATGAAAGAGTGGAATTCCTAAACGACCAGCTTTATGGTCAAGCAGTGCCAATACTATAATACATATCTGCCAGGGTTGAGAAGGCACTCGACTCCGCTCTTTTCGAAATGAAGCTCATTGCGTCCTCCAAGCTATTCAACCTACGATTTAGTCCAAAGAATTTCCCCCCTCCCGTCGCCAACCGATACATCGGATCCCGCACCCATCCCATTCGGCCTAAGATTCTTCACATGTACGAGAACCGAGATCCAAGATCATTATGGTGGTACTTGAGTAATCAGAGAACGATGCCGTACACGAAAGTGGTTCGGTCGTGGTGTATGCGAAGAACTCGGGAAGCGTTTCGACAAGCATTAAGAGAACGGGGATTTAATGCCGATGGGAGGAGGATAGCCACGGATCCTAGAGGAACTGGGACACCCGTTGATGGATATGATTACCTGCAAGGGTCTGTTGAACTTAGCATCTCTCCGGAGATCGTTCGGGAAAGCTATGCTACAGTTAAGGCGGAGATGGATTCGATTGTGGATGGCATGTTACAAAACTGGCATACAGAGTGGACGAAAGCGATGGTCAAGAGTCAGTCCATAAGAGGACATTCATAATTGTTATAGATGTACAATATTGATAGATAGAGTCTACTGTATATTATGGGCATTGGGAAAGGATGTATTGGATCTACTGTAACTATAACTATAGGTATCTAACTATATAACACGCTGCCTTTGGTACCAGGAAATAGCGTATTACAACCCAAAGACTCTATTTTCTTTTTTTTTTTATTATTCTTTGTTTCGTTTTTTCACCACATAGAACCGTCCCAGGAGAATCAGAGATGGACCATTTGGCATATGCGGATTTTAAGCCCAGAGAAGATTAAAGCCAGAGAGACATCCGGACCCGAAATCCACGCGGCCCTCCTTGGCATCTTCGCTACCTGCCGATCCTCAGGCTGGACGACGACAACACAAAATCAACAACAACAACGACCGACTGCGACGCAGCCTCTTCTTCTCCCAGACCGTGTCCTTCCATTCTAATCTCCTCTTGGATGCGCCCTGTTTGATTATTCCTCTTCTCTTCTCTCTTCTCCAGAATGTTAGTCTCCTTGACTGTTGGCAAGGTAGACGCAGGCGTCGCCGTGCTCTTGACCCAGGACAACCGACTTGTAAGCTCTCTCCCTTCCTGCCCTTGCAGCAATGGACACATGTGATGGTGTCATTCCTGCAAGACGCCCCTTCTTGATGCCATCTCCACATAAGGCATCATGGCCCAGATGATGACACGACCCCCGTGGGGTACTGCATTGGCTAAATCGCACGGTATACATGCAGATCGAATTCCCCTCCGTCCTACTCCCAAACAACATCACCTCCGGCAGCATCGTCGACATCACGGTGTCGCGCAACCATAATGCCGAAACAGCCAGTGCAGCTGGATTCCAGTCCCTCCAGAAACGTATCCTCAACACGTACGGGGTCAAGACCCCCTCTCCTCCCGTCTTACGGCTCAGGAACGCAACCCAGACTTCCTTGGTCCTAGAATGGGATCCGATCAACCTGGCCACGGCGTCACTGAAGTCCCTTTCCCTCTACCGCAATGGCTCCAAAGCCGGATCGATACCACGACCCCTCGAGACCCGGAGTACCAAGATCAGCGGCCTCGCGATCCATTCCGAATACACCTTCCATCTGGTCCTGCGCACCACCGCAGGCACCTACCAGTCAGAGAAGCTCACGTGTCGGACTCACAAAATGACCGACCTATCGGGAATTACAGTCACAGCCGGAGTGCTGCCCCCCCAGCAGAAAGATGCCCTTGCTACAGCGCTGGACCGCATTGGAGGCAAGCTAATCGACTCCGTCCGTATAGATACGACCCACTTCGTCTGCACGGAAGGGAGGGGCCCGCTGTGGGAGAAGGCAGTTGAGATGAACATCCCCGTTGTGGTGCCTGAATGGGTGGACGCTTGTGAGGCCGAGGGCACGATCGTGAGTGTCCGCGGCTACTATCTGAATGCCGACCCCAAGGCCAGGCAATTGGGCCTTATCCACGGATCAACGCAGCATCAGCGCACAACGTCCTCTGTCACGTCCACCAATCCGCAAACCCCGTCGCAATCGCGACCCAGTCTCCAACCCCAACGTTCACAAGAGAGTGGACAGCATACGATCGGTGAACCACCGGTAACTCCTTTTCCCGGAGCTGGCATGAGTGGTCAGCCGACAGCTGAAGAAGACGAAATCACGTCGGACGATGACCAGTCGCCGCCCCGTCCCCCTCCCAAGGATGACGAGCCAGAGGAAGCCCAAAAGCCGTCGTCCAATGGTGAACAGAACGGGGACATCGAACCTAGCGAGCCTGCCTCTCCTCCAGAGGAACAGGAGAAGGATGAAGAGGAAATGGAAAAGGGACTAAAAACGGTAAAAGGTAAAGAAAAGGCAGCAACGGTGGAATATGACCAAAAGGGGGATTCGACAAGTAACGAATCCAACCGGGACCAGGGAAAAGAGGGCGAAGGGGACTTCAATGAAGTCCCTCTTTAATGGGCCATGTAAGCGATGTCTTTTTTTCCTTCCCCTTCTTTCACTGCTTTTATTTATTTCCCATTCTCTTCTATACCTAAGGGTCATTGATCGGCGTTGGTGACGGTACACAATACGTAGTAGGCGGAAATCCTGTCGAGAAATTGGCATTTCTACCTACGCTTATTCAACTGTCACACTGTCGACGTGTCCCTCAGTTCATTATTTCTTGTGTCATTCCATCCATACGACCCTTGATTTTGGTCTTTTGGTCCTTCATCAGCTATTAGTGTGTACAGTAGACAGTTTAATGAGTCATTGTTGAAACAGTTTGTGCGAGTTACAGACAGAGAGGGATCTATATTAACCATTGCATTCCTAATATTTAATCCAAGCATAGAAGCTTAAAGCTAATCCTAGTCCCCGTTCTAATCATTCATCCGAAATTCTTCGGCATTGATCTATGTAATAATAACACATCCTGTTCCTTATGCAGTAAAGAATGTAATGTAATGCAGTGAGAATTGCGCTCATCTCTTCTCGTCACGTTGTCATATTCATCGTCTCGGTTCTTCTTGTATGATTAGTTGACGTTGCGCACAACGTCGTTGATAGCCCGGGCCACGTAGTTGACATTTTTCTCGCTCACTAGATGGCTCAATTAGCATTGACTTGATCCACAGAATTGAGGATTCGGTATAAAGAATGAACTTACACCCACTGATAGAGGCTCGGCCAGATTTGAGCAGGTAGATGTGATACTTGTCCTTCAGAGCGTATACTTGCGAGGGTGTTAACCCTGTGTAAGAGAACATTCCATTCTGCGAGACAATGCCAGTTAGTCGGGGGTATTCTAACTGTGAAACCACAGGTGGTGGTCAGAGAGGGGTATATACCTGTTCGACAATGTGCTTCCACGTTCCAGGAGTCTCGAGCCTTATAAGCTCATCGTAGAGCGCTTTTCGCATGGACCTGATACGGGAACTCATGACCATCAGGTCCTCGTGCCATTGAGCGGTTAGCTCATCGTCCGTCAGGATCTTCTTAACGATACCGCAGCCGGCAGTGGGGCCCATTGAATATTCGCCCCGGATCAAATGACAGAGATTATTGACGACAATGTCGCGGAGATTCTGGCCGCCGTCGTTCAAGACGTAGTGGTATGCGCCGACACGTTGGCCGTAGAGACCAAAGTTCTTGGAGAAACTCTGGGCCACGCACATTTCCATCGACGGCTTCTCGTTGAGGAAATAGCGAATAGCCCAGGCGTCTTCGTCCGCAGAACCGGAGGCAAAACCCTGGTAGGCGGAGTCAAAAAAAGGGAAGAGCTTCTTGCGCTCGCACAGATCAGCGATGATCTTCCACTGTTCCTTGGTGGGGTCGAGGCCGGTGGGATTGTGGGCACAGGCGTGTAGGAGAATGACGTCTCCCTCTTGTGCTTCCGATTCGAGGGTGGACATCATGCCGGTGAAATCGAAGGAGCGTGTCGCGGCGTTGTAGTAAGGATATGTCTTCCGGGGAACATCCACCAGTTCCCAGATGGTCAGGTGGTTGGCCCAGGAAGGGTTGGAGAGCCAGACATTTTTGGGCTTCATTTGAGTGGACAGGAAGAGCGCACCGAGATGGTTGGCACCCGTGCCTGCAACGGCCTGAACAGAGGCAATTCGGCCCTTGGTTTTCTTGAGCTGCTCCGAGGCGTCCTTCGCGTTAAAACCGAACATCAGGTCCCGGGCAAGCTCGACGAAACGCACGTCGCCCTGAATGGTAGTGTACTCATGACGGGATAGGTTGTCTTCGGCGAACAGGCGCTTCTCTGCCTCACGTACGACTGGAAGAGGCCATGGTTTGCCGTCGTCTGTGCGGTAGACACCCACTCCCAAACTGACCTTCTGTGGGTAGTCGTCTCTAGCAAATGCGCCGTTCAAAGCGAAAATTTCGTCGGCTGGCACCGGCGCCAAAGTGGTGAGAACAGTCATAGTGATAGTGATATAGCAGTATTGACACACCAACACACCACCACACAACCCAATCAATCTACCAGGCTCCTCGTGGTGTTGAACTTGCGATATTTGCTAGGAGGTAAAGCTACAGAGAAGGGCAAGGTGGAGTGACTAGTGGACTGTATTTAAATAAGATGCGCCGTGCAGGGTATGACAACAGAGGAATGTTCTATGTTACCTGGGTAAGAAGGGAGTGATGTGGTGGGATCTCTGCATGAATAACTGTCTTGTAGATGATAGCACTGGCCCGATATCGCCGCCGTGAGCGAGTAACTATTAGTTAAATAGGGACGTACTTTCCTTGGTCACCTGTTTGCCCTTTTTTCCCCTTTTTTTTTTTTTTTTTTTTTTTTTTTTGCCATCGACCCAGGATAGCCGTGGCGGAAAAGACCGCTTAGTGAAGGGTCCTGTTACAGTGGGTCGATCTAACTATGGGGACCAGGCAAATCATCCTAACTGGTGGAGAAGAGGAGCCATCGTAATGTCCAAATTAATCATGAAAATGTGACCAAAGCGACATTTGTCCCCCATGGAATATATCCATGTCTGGGGTATCTCCGAATAATCGCGGACTTGATTTTTGATGGCAGCTAGCTGGTTTGGACTAGCATGCCTCTCCAGGACCCTTGGTTCAATTGTCTCGAGCAGCTATGCAATGTCTTCCAATTGCCGCAGGTAGGGAGTAGAGTAATCAGTCATGACACTTCTCCCGCCTTTCTTTGCTTTCTTTTTTTGTCGCTTATCTTTCCAATTTTATTTGCCTCGTTTTTCTTTTTTGCTATTGGGGTTGTATTTGCCTTTTCGACCTAACCTTCCCCCAAAAGCGGGTAGCGTGGATCTTTGGACTGGCCACGGTGGATCTCTGTGATTCTTTTTGAATAGTCATTTATGTTCAAATGACTCCTAGTGTGCACATATTCAAGGAATAGACAAGAAGACAGTTCAATCATTCCCTACTTCGGTATTCCAGTGAGACGACTGATATAAATATATATATGCCCGCATGGTGCTGTAGGTTGAGAAAGCATGGCCGGCCTATATTGCTATACAAACACTATCAGTCTTCATATTCAACAGTAATGCAGATTCATGAAGTGGGCGAGACCTTGTCTAGCACAAGATGAGATACAGGCATCTGTAAGCATAGCAGCTGTGCAGAACAACTAGACAACAATACTGATCACAGACACAAAGAGTAGTGAAGAAATGGATACTACCGTACCAGAAATTGTGATTCAGCTATGGCTTGGAGAATAACGCCAAGTGCAGGTTCGAAAGGATTATAGCGAAGGAGGGGTTGTGAGGGGGAAGTCGGATTTCCTGACTAGTCGTGTCACCTGCTCAGGCTTTCAATAATTCCTCCCCAAAAATGAATACATTTCATTATTCTATTCGAATTACACCTGACCATGACTACAACTCAATCGTCTCAAGATGTAGCCGGGGATGGCAATAGTCTGCACTCGCTCCGTCCAACAACTTTGTTCAAGCGTTGCATAACAGCATCCCCCCGGAACTGCTTCCGCGCTTCGACCCCATCTACGTGGAGTATTACAATAAGTACAATGCGGGACGTTTGCACACACATGAGGTGCCCATTGAAGAATTCCGAAAGAATCCAGCTAAATACGTCACCGCATACGGCTGAGCTGTAGGCCCGGATATTTTCCGGATTACCCAACAGAAAATACCCGTCCAAGGCGGCGAAATAGCCGTTCGGATTTTTGATCCCAGAACAATCCTTGACGTACAAGGCAAGCCGAAAAAGAGAGCAGCGTACGTCAACTTCCATGGTAGTGGCTGGGTATTTGGAAACCTTTCTGTGGACCGTGATTTCTGTAACCAAGTTGTCCAAGGCCTAGATGGCAATCTGGTGGCTTCTGATGTCGATTATCGACTAGCACCGGAGCACAAATACCCTATTCCTGTTGACGATTGCTGGGCGGCATTCAACTGGGCTGATTAGAATCCCTAGAGTTGATTCTTGCAAACTACTCTACACCCAGGCTCGATCGCAGAAGGCAGAGGAGTTCAATATCGATCCGGATCGGATGGCAGTTGGTGGTGCTTCAGCAGGACATCTATCAGCCGTCATCAGCCATCTCTGTCGCAATGTCAATATTCCACTACGCTTGCAGCTTTTAACTGTCCCGGTCTGTGATATGCACAATGTTTTCACACCGAATGGCGATTTTGATTGGGACAACTGCCCATATGAGTCTTATCGGGAGATGGAGTTTACAGCAGCCCTTCCAACGGCATGGATGGCATACTTCCACAAACAGTTCCTGGGAGTGCCCAGGCCTGCTCCGTCACTGGAAGTAAGTGATCGGTATCGCAGTACAGTGAAATAGATTGCCCATGCCAATTGCTCACACGATTGATTAATAGGATTGGAAGATCTCCCCTATGCTAGCTCATAATTTTTCCAACCTTGCACCCGCCTTTGTATTTACTGCAGAGTTGGACCCTCTGAGGGATGAGGGAGAAGTCTATGCCGCGAAACTGAAGGCAGCTGGTTGTCGCGTGGATCTGATGCGTATGGAGGGAGTCACCCATACTTTCAGCGGTCTGGATGGCATCCTGGACGTAGGGAAAACATACAACAAGAAAGTCATCGAAGCCATGAAGAAGGAACTCGTAATCTAGGGAAGATGCGTTGCGTGTATAGTCTTAACCGGACTATCATTTATCCGTCGACGCACCTTACCATACCATACCTTACATCGCCTGTGTTGTAGATAATCCCCCCCTTTTTACCTGAAGAGTTGGTTATACCGATACCAAATCGGGAGTTTTCGGCAGCCCGCATCGGAAAAGACTTGACGTCCTCAACAGAATAATTAATTAGTTTCGTTGCGGGTGCGCTGGATGCCGATTTTATTTCTCTTCCTTTTCCCATGTCCCGCGAGGCTGATCCCATTGCCATTGAACTCTGTTCTTAATTTACTTCCTGTAATAGGCTGTATTTCCTAGAGCTTCTGGCACCCAATTGAGTTCACTGGAGCTAGAAAACGCTGCGGCATTTGAGACGTTATGTTGACATCGTCCAACTCCTCCCGGGCGGCGGTGCGCTCGATGGCTTCCTTCGCATCTCGAGCATCTGCCAGCTCTCCCGCAATCACCCGCAGTGCTCTGGCATTTACTGCCCGCTCCCCCGCTTCGCTCAGTTGCCGACGCACCTTGAGCTCCAATAACCGCCACCTTCAACACTTTCCTCGTCTTCAATCCCTCAACTTCATCTCCAACAAGAGAGCTTTTGGCACCACCGTCAGAATGGTACGTACGCCTGCCACGTTTTGTCGCGGGAAAGGAGGGCCAGCGGTAGAACAATGAGAAGAGTCCTATTAGCAAGATGGTGGACGCTACACTTAGACATGGCGCTGACAATGGTGTCTATTTTCACAGGCTTCGGCAACCCGTACCGAAAGCGATGCCTTTGGTGAAATCCAGGTCCCCGCGGACAAGTACTGGGGTGCGCAGACCCAACGGTAAGTTACCATTGCCAATCAGTCGGCGAACGAACATGTCATAATTACACAGATGCTAATGGAGGCGAGAACAGCTCCCTGGGCAACTTTGACATCAACCAGCCCCAGGATCGCATGCCTCCCGCTGTTGTGAAGGCTTTCGGTATTCTGAAGGGCGCTGCTGCTACTGTGAATATGAAGTTCGGTCTTGGTGCGTGACCTCTTATTTTGGATGATTCTATGATGATGGTGCTCATATCTACTCTAGACCCCAAGATTGGTGAGGCCATCCAGCAAGCCGCCGCGGAGGTGGCGGAGGGCAAGCTCATGGACCACTTCCCTCTTGTCGTTTGGCAGACCGGCTCCGGCACTCAGTCCAACATGAACTCCAACGAGGTCATCTCGAACCGTGCCATTGAGATTCTGGGAGGCCAGATGGGTACCAAGAAGCCCGTCCACCCCAATGACCACGTCAACATGTCCGCCTCCTCCAACGACTCGTTCCCTACCGCTATGCATATTGCCGCCGTTATGGAGCTGGAGAACACCCTGCTTCCTTCCTTGACGAGCCTGCGCAATGCCCTCCAGGTGAAGGTGGAGAAGTTTGAGAAGATCATTAAGATCGGCCGTACTCATCTGCAGGATGCTACTCCTCTGACGCTTGGTCAGGAATTCTCCGGCTATGTCGCTCAACTCGACCGCAACATTGAGCGCGTGCAGGCCTCCCTTCCCCACCTTCGCTATTTGGCCCAGGGTGGTACTGCAGTGGGCACTGGTCTGAACACTTTCAAGGGCTTTGATGTAGCCATTGCGGCCGAGGTTTCCAAGCTGGCTGGAACCGAGTTCAAAACCGCCCCCAACAAATTCGAGGTCCTGGCCGCTCATGACGCTATTGTTGAGGCTTCTGGCTCTTTGAACACTCTTGCTTGCTCCCTTTTTAAGATTGCCCAGGATATCCGTTACCTCGGATCGGGACCTCGCTGTGGTCTAGGGGAATTAGTCCTCCCCGAGAACGAGCCTGGCTCCTCGATCATGCCTGGAAAGGTGAATCCCACTCAGTGCGAGTCCCTCACCATGATCTGTTCCCAGGTTATGGGTAACCATGTCGCTGCCACCGTTGGTGGTATGAACGGCCAGTTCGAGCTTAACGTGTTTAAGCCTCTCATGATCCGCAACTTGCTGCACAGCGTGCGCATCCTTTCCGATGGCATGAGCAGTTTTGAGAAGCATCTGGTGCTCGGTCTTGAGGCCAACGAGCCCAGAATCAACAGTCTCCTCCACGAGAGGTATGTATCTTCTCCCATCACCCATCCTGTACTAGGAACGCCCTTGCAAATTATGGATCGATTCTAACTTAGTACTAGTTTGATGCTTGTTACCTGCCTTAATCCCGTCATTGGCTATGACATGGCCTCCAAGGTTGCCAAGAACGCCCACAAGAAGGGCATTACCCTGAAGGAGAGTGCTATGGAGCTGAAGGCCTTGAGCGAAGAGGATTTCGACAAGCACGTTCGGCCGGAGCTGATGTTGAGCCCGAAGGAGAAGAAATAGATATACTCAGCGACTACTGGGCGACAACCGGTAGAAGCCACCCTGAATTCATTTTAAATATATAGTGAAGACTGGCATTTTATGTATACTAAAGAAATATATTTTATATAATATTCACCTTAAAAAAATTATTTTAGGTCCTTTTTTGCTTTTATTTTCTTCTCCCGTCGGCTATTTTTGGAACCATTGATCGTGAGTAGAAAATAGTCCGCAGGATTAGAGGGGAAGTGATAGACTAGCTGGAAATAATCCTATTCTAGGTGCCAGGAACAATTTTTTTTTTTTTTTCTATATTTTTTTTTATATTGTTTTCTTTTAATTAATTTTTTATTTTGGATTTTACTAAGTCAATTGGCATATTAGTCGACATGGACAAGAAGCCCTGAAATATTACCATGGTATTGTTTCATGTCTCAGGTTGACATGACCATGGACCAGGCAGTGCCGTATTTTTCGGCCATGTTTATCGTCTAGTGAACTCTCCTTAGATGTTAACCTCTCACTTCCTCTCTCCCCACACCGGTTCTTGCACTGGGATTGCTGTCACTCGTTTAAAAGTATCCAGCTGTCTTGCTAGCTCTCTTCTTTTTATCCCTCCTATCTTTTTGTTTCTCTTATTGGACCACTCTAAATAGAGAGGACCCCACTGTCCAACTCCCTAGACAGCACGCTTGATTGCCTCGCATTATTCACCAACATATTTATCTTGAACTTTCCTGTCAATCCCTTCCAGCCTATTACAAGTGCGGAATTTCAACTGCAAATCCAAGATGACCAACATTACTGCTACTCCTACCCCCAATTCTATCCCTACAATCAAACCCATCATGAACTCCCACGCTGTCTCCACCGAAGATGTCCCCCTCTTCCCAGTCTCTCTCATTTCTCCTGAAGTGGCGGCACAACTTCCACAGGATTACACAATCCGTCCTATGCGACGTTCCGACTATAGGCGGGGCTATCTCGATGTCTTGCGCGTGTTGACCACCGTTGGAGATATTACAGAAGAACAGTGGAACGAGCGGTTTGACTGGATCTCCTCCCGCAATGACGAGTACTACCTTATTGTTATCACAGATGGAGAGGATCGAGTCGTTGGCACCGGCAGCTTGATTGTGGAGCGGAAATTCATTCACTCCCTTGGCATGGTTGGACACATTGAGGACATTGCCGTTGAAACGAACCAACAAGGGAAGAAACTGGGATTGAGAATTATCCAGGCATTGGACTACGTTGCCTGCAATGTCGGTTGCTACAAGGTAAGTCCGATATTCTGAAAGGGGTTCGGGATTCGCCTGACTGACGCCATTTTTTCCTTTTGCTGTAGACTATCCTCGACTGCTCGGAAGTCAACGAAGGTTTCTACATTAAATGCGGCTTTAAGCGTGCCGGCCTGGAGATGGCACACTACTACTGAATGTGAAATCATGTTAGTCGATTTATACTGGCGTTATCATAGTCGGTTCGGAATCTGTTTATTGGGGATATTCATAATTCGACCTTGAAGTTTTCAGCCTCGAATTCTCGGCTGGTGACTTGTAAAGTGAATATGCTCGGCGTTATGTATAGACTGTGTGCATGTTGGAGAAATATTGGACAGTTTCTTTCTGCATGAGACCTACAGACATCATTTTTCGACATCTGGATATGGGCGAGACCTCTGCAGTGTTGATTGCGCTTGCCAACATAATCATTACCCCGTGTTTGGGAGGGTATCGAATATGCTTTGTCCGAAGGCCTCATTGCGTTTCTGATTTGTTTGCCCATGTGTGCTTGCATGGTCTTTTTTTTTTTTCTCGATAGAGCTAGGATACATACTATGAGTTCCATACCTTTTACTAGGCTATAATAATAAAGCTAACCGTTTCTTTCTATTGTTCTAATGTTCCCTTTCTTTGTTTTAAACACTAGTTCACCTAGTTATCTAGAAGCTAGCCTTGGATGCGACTGGCTCATACATAAATAACTACATAGGACCCAGTGACCATTTCCAACTCCTAGTCCTTTTATTTGTTGACAAGACGTATTCTCTGCAATGTTGGTTTCAGACCAACTACTCCGTTATTAACTTACAATAGAGGACTGCTTAGTCAGACACCTAAGGTGGATTAGTGCAGGGCTGGGCCCTATTATTCGTCTCCTAGAGTATCATATATGGTAGTCATGTCATATCAACTCGTATGATGGCGGAGACGTGCAGTATAGGAATCCCACCGGGATAAATATCACACTCCAGGATTGGACACTTTGATCCTACCCAACTGGTGCATGCTGATTTCCATTCCCCTACGAGAATAAGTTCGGGTACTTATGACATTGTAAGTCACATTGCAAAGTCCAAATCCCGTGCAGGAATCTACAGGCCCAGAGCAACATAAAGGAAACGAAAAAGAAAAACAAACGGCCAATCATATCACATCCATTTTTCCATTTCCTGGTAAAATAACCTTGGGCGCGCAATGATAAAGCCTATCTGAAAGCCGTGTGGGGATTCTTATGCGCAAGAATCAATTGCTCATACGCCGATTGTTGTAAACATTTTGTGAAAGGGAAAACACAAATTCCAGCTCCGGAAAAACCTCCCAAATTCCAAATCCTCGAAGAATTTGTAACCTGTACCTACACTACTTTCCCCAGACCCCCCAAGCCAGACCGCTTCGATTTCGTTTTAACGCGACTTGGCGGCGACCTTGGGAGCAGCACCCTTGGCGCCCTGCTTGCTCTGGATGCGCTGAGCACCACCCTTGGAGGCGGCGAGCTTGGCCTTCTCGGTCTTCTTCTTGGTCTCGGCGGCGGCCTTCTTCTCCTTGGCCTCCTTGATGGCCTGCTGGCGAGCGGCAGCACGGGCCTCAGGGCGCTGGTTGCGGCGCTCCTTGATCACGTCGAGGGAGGCACCAACGATAGCACGCTGGCTCTTAACGACACGACGGGTACGCTTCTTGGCAACTTCCTGTTCGTGAAAAGAACTCCCGTCAGCATATTGTTCCTCCATGCTCCGTATAGCTTTGCTTGATTGCTGTTGCTCCCTTCTCTTCTTGAATAGTTTGCATGTCGATTATACATGTTCACCAACATATACATGTGCGTATATATATCCCGTGCCATCCTTTCATATATTCTCGCAAATTTCATACGGGAATACAAATTTCAATCCAGGGGAAATTGGCGGTACTGACTTCAGAGATACCCTTCCTGTGCTGGCGACGGAAAAGGACAGTCCAAGCTATCCGGCGAGGGTTCTTGCGCTGGAGGAAAAGAGACTCGGACTTTCCATTCTGGAAGCGGAAGATCTTGCTGTCACCGCGAACGTACAGCTTACCCTAAAATTTTTACAAAATCCAACATGTCAACAAAATTGGCCTTCTCAAGTTGTTGGGGGGTTTGCGGCATAGTGGCGACGATAGTGCGATAATTTCGAAACTGTTGCCAAAGGGATAAACGCACCTTTCCGGGGTAGATCTTCTGGCCGCTGAAAGAATCGTCGTAGGTACGCATCTTGAACGTCGGAGATGCGCAGCCGGGCGAGACGAGATGTTGTCGGTTGGCGTTGGGTGGTTGAGTCGAATCGGTCTCTGCGGCGAGCGGATAGTGAGGCTGGCACAATTGTCGTGCGGGCGCCTCGCTAAGCGGCCACGTGACCTCGGCTGCCCTTACCAACTACATCTACTCTGTGCATTGAGGATCTCGATCTCTCGCTCAACAGCTCGCAGGGTAATATGCGTCTGGGCTACGACGGTGGGATTACAAGCACTTGAAAATGCTCTCATTGTCTCATGCTGATCTTCTTCCATTTTTGTTGGATTTTCCCGTAGACTTTTGACTGATATCAACGGAAACAACTAAAACTCTCGCCCAAGACTCTGTCTAGAATCAGAAGAATTTGAGAAACTTTATCAGCTTTGCCTATTATGCCATTTCCCCTTGTATTCTTCACTCTTTTTGAATCACCATATCCCAACCAGAGTATTTAAGTAGTCTCGCAGACACATCCCACGTCACTCGTGCCAGTTACATGGTCCCCAAGGATTCGCTTTACATTCCTATGTAAGACATAATGTTAACAGTGATCATAGCAACTATATTGGACCCAGCAAGAAATGGTGCACATGAGAGATGAAGTACCTTGCACTGGATGTCGCGACAGATTTCATTATGGCAAACGCCACAGCACTTCGGACAGACATATCTTCCACAACCTCCAGGTGGACTGCACAGATGGAACTTATTCATCTCCTTGGCCTGTTGACTCATGCCATCGATCATCTTTACTATACGGCCTGCCTTTTCCAATTTGGTCGTGTCTGAATCCTCCTTGATAACTGTCCGACGTGCATTATCATATATGCAACATGATGCACCGCAAATCGGACAGTCCCCACGACAGTTAGTACACCTCAGGTTGATCGCGTCTTTAATTCTAGCATCGTGTGTCTTCTGCTTCAATTCTGAATCGCTGAGATTGCGAGTCTCTCCAACAGTATCAGTGACGCTGCGCACATAGTCGATCTGTCGGTTTTTTGTCAACAATAGCATGAGTGGAGCACAGGAGGGCATCCACTCACCAAGTCTTGACATTTTCTCCTTGCTTCGTTGAGTGCCTTTCCCTCCTGGGGTCTCATGCGCAAAGCGGTTTTATGATATTTAGCGGATGCTTTCGCGCCGGCTGATTGCTGGTTGCTTGACGCTTGCTCTGCCGCATCCTTCATTCGCGGAAGAAGCCCATCGTTGTTGTCGGCTGCTTTGTCTTTGTCTATGAGGCGGGGAGTCTCTGGAAATTCTAAGTCTATAATCAAGTAATCTTTTCGAGGACTTTGATTAGTCCGTTGTCTCAAACATGGAAGAAAGAGATAACCCTACCAGTTGGAGAGCAGTACTTCAACTTGAGAGGAGCAGGGGCTGTAACGGAACGTTTTCCGGTACTTTTTTTATGAGGACTCGAGGAATTACTAGACCCTCCTACACTGGTACCTGTTGTGTTTGTGTCATGGGTGGTGAGTGAATCAGACCGGATGGAGAGTGACGATTCTCCATGACTCGTTGACGAACGTGATTGCCAGCTGCATCTATCAGCACTGCCGGGAGATTTGGGTGAACCGCCTGTCATGATTCTAAAGCGTCTCTTGAAACGATTCTCCTTGGGTGATCTTTGTTCCTCTCCGGCGTTGTCGTTATTATTGTAATCTACTATGCTTTCTTCTGGTTCGTTCGTTTGCATGGTGGCCTGCGACAAAGTTAACTCGACGCGAAGGTCGTCTTTGATGTGGAAAGCAGTTTCTATCTGATTCGCAATTTCTTGAGAGAACCGGATGTTCTTCTCTAGGTCGGAGGGCTGACTTGGTGAGTTGTTGGTCCCGGACAAAAGGGACTATGGTTTGTTTGGATCACTTTTGTTTCCAGGTACTAGGAATAAAGAACTAACATAGGTTGAGTCAATGTGAAGGAAGTAAATAGTGAATCTCACTTATGCGGGTCCGTGTATGACTGCTTCGTTGTTATTGTTATTCTTCACTTTAGTTCTATTCTTCAGAACTGTGGACATGGTGGCTACTAGAGATACTTTAGACAATTTATTCTAGATTACTAAAATGGGTAAAATTGGAGAATGGAAATTTTAGAAATAGCTAGAATGTGCAAATTTATATAGAAATTTAAGTTATAATATTTTCTGTGATTGTTAGTGAATAAATTTAAATCTGTCTCCAATTATTGACTTGCTGTATTCACTACTCCCAGGCGAATATTCTAGGCACAGATATGTTTACTGTCGGTTCATTATTTACAGCCCAGTTCTAAATACCATCCATCCTTTCTTTCTTTCTATTTTTTTAAGAAAAGAGCCCACCATCTAAGGTGTGTCACTATTAACAGATCCTTCTAATCCTAGCCTCATCGCCCTTATTTAATGTACCTACGGTTCATACTCGACTCGTCGCAATCCAGAATAAAATCAGACGTGTTCAATATAATTCTATTCAGAAGAGGCTCTATAACGAATAGTCGAAATCGCCATTTAATGTGACACAAGGGAATGTTTAACCCAAAGCATGCTTTTGGAAATAAGCGGCGGGCTTCGTGCCGCAAAATAGCATGAATAGGGAAAACGAACCAATGTCGAGTCTCGATGTCTTCCAATGAAGAATGGATAGAGCACCTGCTCTTTCGCAAGAAATCAACGAGGAGCTCGAATGGTATAGATTGATCCAAGCATAAATGCCAGACAGGCTAAGGTTGCAGTACTTTTCTCTTCATGGTCACATCAAAGCGTGGTCGCTCACAATTCCATCAAAGTATGTTTAACTCGAGAGACCCCCCCAAGAAAATTTAAGTCATCGCATGCGTCCTGGTCCACTCCTTGGCGGTCTGTATCGCAGCGGGCTCATCCTCCTTCCAGCGCTGAGCAACATCGTTTGCAAGCGGGTCGTCCGGGTTCGGAGCCCCCAACAACGCTTGGATTGAGAGCAGTATCGTACGGATTTGGAGAGCAGGAGACCAGTTATCTAATACACATTAGTGGACTAAGGACAGAATAAGGCAAATGAGAGAAAAAAGTTAGAGAACGTACTCTTCAAGACATCCAGACAGATTCGCCCAAGACGGTCAATATTGGGGTGGTAGATCTTGGTCAAGAATCGGATCTTAGGGGGTGTCATAGGGTAATCTTCCGGCAAAAACAGCTCAAGGCGAAAGATGCCCCCTAGATCAAAGTTAGCAATTATGAGCAGTTTCATTCCCCTCCAGATGACCCGGGATAGTATACCTTCATACGGAGACTGCGCCGGTCCGTGAATCGAGACATCGAAATATCGTAAGTTCTCTTCGTGAGGCACCGCGTTGATACCGGGAACCCTAGAGTGAGCAGTCACTAATCAGTAACAGCATATGCCGGCAAAATCCATCTATCACATACGGTTCGGCCATAAGACGCTCAGTCTCCTTCACGATTCGCTTTGGCAACGCCATGTTGTATACTCGTGTCCCCGCGTTCGTTCGTTCGTATGTATGTATCCACAATGGAGTCTCTTATCTGCTGTAGAGTTTGTCTTTCCTTCTTGCCACTTCGAATTGACAACTACCTCAGTCCAAGGGGACAGGATGACGAGGAGATGATGCACGAGTAGAAGGCGCCTGCCGAAGCGTCCGAATCAGCGGGGAATCTTCTAGGGACAAGATCTTAGAGCGATTAGAGATTAGCACGACGTAACTAACCGACCGAGGGCATAAGGCACCCAAAGGCCGATAGTCACCGCCTTCCCTCCTGGATACGGCAACACTCAGGGACCTAAAATGCAGTTCAAGCGCTAGGCCTGATCTGGTCTACCCGACCTTACAATGGAAATCCCCACAGCATGACTTGGCAGTGCAGCAGCAACTGCACGACCTCCTAGTGAACTACTTGCCTTCTGCCTGTACCAAATGGTTAGTCGAGTTGCATATCCCTGCATATCATTCGGCATATTAATATGGAAGTCATTTGGTAGTGCTCCACGGAACCATTTAAAATCCTGCGCAATTGCTTCACGTTCAACCCAGTTGGCTGATCAACTTATAGGATGCGCATGCATCAGTTCGCAGACCTCTTCACCCTGGATGGTTGACCGGCCTTTGGAATATTTTGAAATGAAAACTCATGCAGTATAGCACATGTTCTCTCGCCAATGTATTGGATGACTCACAAGACCACCTATAAAAACTTCTTGAGTAGCATAGGGTAGCCACAAAAGGTTAAGAAGAAGCGCCCTGAAGTCGAACGACACAACGGGACAATGCCGGATTCTGAGTCAAGGCCCCTCACGTCAGCCTTCGAAAGCCCAACTTTCGGGGAGGACAGTTCCTTTCACGTGGAACAGCCTGTTGGTTCGATGTCGATATCACCATGTGGACGCGATGTTGTTTTAGCTTCTAAAGAAGGCCTGCATGTCATAGACCTCGATTCGCCATATTCACCCCCTCGGTATCTACCGCATCACACGCCATGGGAGGTCGCAGATGTTCAATGGTCACCATTTGCCGCCCGGGATTATTGGGTTGTGAGCACGTCCAACCAGAAGGCGTTGGTGTGGAACTTGGCCATGAAGGCCTGGCAGAATTCCATTGAACATGTGTTGCATGCCCATACACGGGCTATAACTGATATCAACTTTTCTGCACACCATGCGGATATCATAGCAACATGTGCCGTGGACAGTTTTGTCCATTGTTGGGACCTGCGGAACCCGTTGCGTCCAGCTATCTCCTTTTCCGACTGGTTTGCGGGGGCGACCCAGGTCAAATGGAACCGGCAAGATCCCAATGTCATTGCTAGCTCACATGACAAATTTCTGCGGATATGGGACAAGCGAATGGGCGCATCTCCGATCAAGTCTATTGAAGCTCACGATACAAAAATCTACGGCGTTGACTGGAACCGAGTTCGACCTGGGGCCGTTGTGACCTGTTCACTGGATAAGACGATCAAGTTCTGGGACTATACTGTTGAAGGTGAAGTGCCGGAGAAAGTCATTAGGGCTCCTTTTCCGGTTTGGCGAGCCAGGAATACCCCTTTCGGATGGGGTGTTTTGGCCATGCCACAAAGAGGCAATAGTGACCTTCATCTGTATAGCCGGAGAGCTGGAGAGGGTGCGAATCCGGCCGAAGACCTTCCGCTGGTGCATAGTTTCCCAGGACACAAGGGCCAGGTGAAGGAGTTTCTCTGGAGGGCGCGCGGAGGAGTATCGGATGGGATTGACCATAGAGAATTCCAACTAGTCTCTTGGGGAACAGATCGAGAACTCCGCTTACACAGGGTCGATCCTGACATTTTAGAGGCAGTCGGGTATGAAAAAGGAAAGTCGTTTATATCCAATTTGAACCTCACCCGCAAGGGTGCTGTTTATAAGAGCTTTCGGGATGATAGTGGAAGCCAGGAATATGATGATTTCGATTCTCTATCTACCTTCCAGGAGTCAGAATCTCATCCATCCCGGGGCTTAGGAATGAAGGTTATATCTCCATACGCTCGAGGGGCCAATGCAGATTCGCCGATTGGCATGCAAGGCAGGTCAAATGTCCGAGCCGATAATAACCCAATATCATGGATGCGAGGCGTGAAAATTTCAGGATGGGATATTGAAACTCTTGGGGATGAAATCACGCACGTGGGGGAGAAATTTACCAAGGTTGCTTTTGAATCTGTTGATGTCAGGCAGCGGAAGGCAACGATATCTCTTCACGGACCTTGGGCAGCAGATGGCACCTCTTTATTCCTAAAAGTGGACATCAAATTCCCAGTTGATTACCCTAAGAGTGCAATGCCAACGTTCCATGTGCAGAAGACCGCTGCTGTCACCGACCAACTTTCTGACAAGATTATTGCTGAGCTGCGTACCATCGCAGAAACTTACCTTTCACATAAAAGAAGCTGCCTTGAAGGTGTTGTCCGCTATCTTCTCGGAGAATGCGACCTCGAAGAGAGCATTGCATGGATCCTGGGCGAAACGGCCGAAACGGTTAAATCGCCTGTGAATGGTCAGCTAGAAGGCGAGTCAAGTGATGAGGATGAGGTCGGATTATCTCAGAGCCAAGAACTAGGCATGAGTTCTGAGTTACTTCGACCTGTTAATGCTAATGTAATGGTTCCTGTGGCAAAGGCATGCGGTATGCTCTGGGCCAACGATGGGCGGTTGGTATGCTTTTTCCCCGCAAAAAAGGGCGGATCCGCCTCTTTGCTGGAAAATCTAGGATTTAAAGAAATGACGAGATCAAGAGCGGACAAGGTCTTTGAGGGATTCGGCCGCCTACAGACAAATTCACCCGGTCCGCGGGTAAGTGGTGCGCTTGCAAGTACTGATGATGGGACTTCTGACTACTCGGATGATTCGGACGCCGAGACATCTAGCTCCTCGGGATCGTCTGGTATCTTGTCAGGCCTACAGCATCGCTTTCCAACCCCTCAGACATGGCGTAGTGCTGGTAGCCTTGGTTTGTATCGACCACGATCAGCAGACAATTCACAAAGGTCAACTGCTGGCGCGATGACGACAAAATCGCCCGGGCAAACCCAAAACATCATATCGATCTATGATTTTAGTGACTTACTACCAGCAAAACGTGATTTAGCAAGTGGGTATCGCATCTATGGCCAAGGTACAGACGTGTGTGCCCACAATGCTTCAGTAGCTCTCGATCACGGCTACCACGAGCTAGCACGGATCTGGGGACTTGTGAAACTTATATTGCACAACACCAATGGCACAGAGACCTCAATGGGATTATCTGCTGTTGAGAAAACCAGGAGTGTGCAAAGAAAAGATAGTGCTGTGGATCTGAGTTATGACACGAACTACCAAGATAGTGGGCATAAAGAGGCTGTAAGCAGCGTGATCCAATGGGGAGATCATCCTTTTGCCAGTCATTGGCTCATCCCTTCCCTCTTTGAGCATTTCGAACGGATCGGCGACGTACAGATGGTCGCAATGCTGTCTTGTGTGCTCGAAGAGTCGAAACACCAAAAAGAGCCCCTCAGCCAAGAGCGTCGCGGCAGGGCAGGGCCGAAGAAAACGGAGGACCGCTCTTTTTCATTGGACTTCTATACACACCATGGCACTCAGAACAAGTCTCAGACGACAACGCCATTGGCTTCTACCCCAAAGGATAGTCATACGACTCCTATCACGCATAGTTCTGGACGGTCATCTTCTGAAATCTGGCGGGCTGATTCCACCCCCCCTTATTCGACAGGAACTACTCCTCCCTTGGCGCCTCGTGCTTCGGGTTTGGTCGCGGAGAGGAGGACTATGGGTCACAATACCCCAGTGACTGCCTCTCCTGATCAGCAGTCCCAACCGCGCAGTGCATCAGGACTTGGCTCAGTTCTTGCTTCTTCCTTGTCCCGGTCATTCACGTTTGGACCTTCTTCAGCTTCACCACCAACTAGTGCCCTTAGCAAGAAGAAACAGAGTCCGAATGACAGCCCTAACCTTCTGACCGGCGGTGTATGGACTGCGAATGCTTTCACAGCGAAGCCCGTGTCAGCCGTTCCTGATTACCTAACCACCTCAACTGCCGTCACCTCTCGAACTCATTCTGACACCGAAAGTGAAAGGCCAGAAAGGACTTCGAAACCGCAAGTGAAAGTCCACGCGTCTCTGAAAAACACAGGCTCCTTTGAGAGTAGCGGGGGAAGGCAGAACTTATTTCTTGACCCTAGGAAAGACGGGTTGTATCGAGCATATCGTACTGCGTACGCCAACTTGTTATCAATATGGGGCCTGCCAATACAGCGCAGCGAAGTACTCAAGGTCGGCGGTGTCTCTGGACACTCCGGTGATATATACCTTCGCCGATGGGCATACAACAACTTTCAAAGCTCACACTCACTCACGGCCCTGCCCTGTAAAGACTCCATGGGTAGTACTGGTGATGAAGGCCACCAAGGGCTGGAAATTCAGCGTCACTGTATCCGGTGTGGCCGCCCTCTCCATTTGTCGATTTTTTCTACGCATATCATGGCCGAAGAAGCAACCAAACACAGCATGAAGTTATACACTCCATCCACCACATGCTCAATTTGCAATCCGCAGCAGCGGCTTCCTCTCAAACTCCCCTGCGTTGTCTGCGGAGAAGTCGTGGAAGGAATGCTCCTCCCCTGCTTTGGCTGCGGTCATGTCAGCTGTTTCGAGTGTCATCGGGGCTGGTTCACAGCAGGTTCATCGGATCTCCACCCTAGCCTCGCAGATGCACACGGCGGCAAGCAAGAATTCCAGTTCTGTCCCACCGGATGTGGCTGCAAATGCTCGGAGCACATCGTCACTGGCATCTTGCCTCCGCCGAATCCATCGTTCCCGATGAACGACTCTGAGAACAGCGCATTGGACAAAGCGCGTGATCACCTCACCGACAGAACTGTCAACCACGGTGACTTTTCGTCAAATGTTGGCCAGCATGAAGATGATCTCGACCACTGGCAGGCCTCCCCGTTTGCCTCCCTTGCCAGAGGTCTTGGGGGCGGTCTGAGTAGGGGACTACGTCCGAAGGAAGACAAACGGAAGACAAAAATATTGAATACTGCGTTTGTGCCGAAGAAGTCTTCCATGAATCAGGTGGAAAATCGATGGTACTGACCTTGAGTGATCCTTTTTTTTTTTTGGTATGAGTTGTGCTCGCTTTTTGTATACCCCATGGATTCAATTTTGCATTATATCCATAGCCTGAATGATACTTATAATAATGTCTCATGATCATTACATATGCTTAACTTCTAGATATCTTCTTGAGATAAGTAGCTCAAGTATGGTATGTCTTGAATACATATCCTCATAACATGCCCTACAACGATCCCATTCGCAAGAACCCAGAATCCAAATCCCAGCACGAAACCACACCTCACATCACATATAACTAAGATTAAACCATCATATAACAACCGCAACTTGATCATTCATACGATCCTTTATATTCCCCAAGAAATAAGCTGCCAGGATGGACACCCCACCAAACCCAATACTAGCATAATATACCCACTTAGAGCTTTCCGCATATGCAATCTGCCCCACTGCCACAACAGCGTTGTATGCGGCATCGTTGTCAGAAATACCAGGGAGACGACGCAACTTGTCCAGCAACGACGCACCGGTGAGTTCGATGGCCGTGGACATGGTCGTGGGGTGGGTTTGATGTTAAGCTTTGTGGTCATGACACCGCCGATGTAGTGCACTGCATTCGGGGTGAACCTGGAAATAAAGATGTTGTAGTATATTGTGTAGCCAATACTACCGCCGACGACGCGAATCGAGAGTGTAAGGGCGGATATGGTTGCGATTAGATTCTTTATGAAGATAGTGAGTATTCGCCGGGTTCAACAAATGGGGAGGGAAAAAACCTACATCCGGACATATGATGGTGGTGATGATTGAAGCTGGAACTACAATACCTCCGACGCCTAGGCATGCGACGATGAGAATACCCCAGAGCTAGTAGAGATTGTCGACTCGTCCGACTGCCATTGCGCCGCAGCCTGCCAGAGGGATAGTTGTTAGTTTTGGGAACTGTTGGATGTCCAATGCCTATTGGAGAATGGGTTTAACATACCTGCTGTCATGAGGATGCTACTCAGAATCAAAAGCTCCTTAATATTTCCTCGGAGAACATTCAGGAGCCAAAGAACGATGCAGGCCCCGCCCATAATCCCGAATCCGATAGGCAGACTTCGAATCCCAAAGCGGACGGCATCATGACCATAAACGTTGAACGATTGGGTGGGACAAAACATGATTATGGAGAAAAAATTGGCGCCAGAGATGAAGGTAATGACCAGCGTTAGGCCCAGAGTGCGTGGCTCTTGCTTCAACCGGCTAGGAAAGATAGGGTATTTGGCCCCGTATACCTCCCAAAATCCAAATACAATTAATATCACAGCGCCAAGGATCAGTGGGCAAGGACGTGAGCTGTTTTCCAGCCGTACTACGGTGTCGTTTGTTCAGTTTGTTTCCAGGGAATTAAAAGGGACCGACATACTTGATAGCCACCCCACCGACTATGCTGAGAAAACCTCCGACGTAGTTCACACGAGATATAATTTCCCGTCTACTCAGTCCGGTGGAATTGACCCTGGGTGGGGGAGAACAGAGTGGTGATGAGCAAACCAAAGGCATTCCATGCGCCGCAGAAAGCACCAATGTAGCACCAGCCGCCGTCGGATGAAATAAGCTGTGCCCACAAGACCGATGGGCAGAACAGTGCAATGGTAAAGATGAGTATGGCAACATATTTACCTCGTTGTCTGGTCGGTGCTATCTCGGAGGTAGCAGCCAACGCTATCAGTTCATTGACTCCGGCTCCTGCTCCAGCAATTGCCGTACCATCTAGGTAAAGTTGGTTAATACCCAATACAATAATGGGTACACATACAGAACTTGAGCCTTCATTGTACATACCAATAAATGTATTCATTGTATTTGCAGTACCGCTCACAATCATGCCAATGCAAGCAAGAGAGGCTCCGATAAGAGCGACATAACGACGGCCGATTTGATCTGACAAAGATCCAACAAAGGGGCAAACACCAGAAAGGACAAGCAAATTCGCAAGAACTTATATATAAGAGATGAAGATAGGTCAGTTCAGCTCCGTTAAATTCAATAGAAGGAAGAATCCAACCTACAAACCAAACCCATCGATCAGCTCCCCCGACACCTGCATATATGAAAGATGGAATGCCTCCTACACAGCCATCAAGCCCTGAATCAGAAACCAGAGAACAAGAAGACTATTTCAATTGAAAGCCCACCGAAAAGATAAACTGGAAGTTGGCCCCTGTCCATAAGAAAGCCATTGCTGTGAAGCCCATGAATCGACGGGAGGTCATCTGGTTGAGAAAGGGCCAATCCCCGGTCAGTCATTCAGTAATTCTATATACAGAAAGCACAAAGATATAATTTCTCTTACAGGAAGCGCATTGTCAGGCTTCCCAGCTGAATTTTCATAGGAGTCCAGCACAATATCCTCGTGATGGCTGAGCTTCTAATCCTCAGTTCCCACTGCAGTCTGCTTCTCAATAGCTTTTTCATCCACATAAGATTGACTGAATCGACCAGAGGACTCCATGCTTGCTGTAGCAGATGAGCAAAATCCAAATTGAGAGTAAAGAAGAAAGCTGCCTGTAGAGTTCCCAGTAAACCAGCACATACATTCAGCGACAAGACTAGAAAGGAGAGAAAGCACCCAGCTTCAGCCAAGCCCTTGCATTTTATACTCTAAAATCAAGTGAACTCTGACAGACAAGCCGCCTGATCTGTAGGCCAAACATGCTTGCCCATGCTCCTCCATTCGTGCTGCTGACGGGCGGGGTTTTGCCTCTTAGAGGTAATCTGAGCCTGAATATAATCAGACATAACCGAGGCGTTAGTAGAATCCCGGGACAGTCAATGTGCAACGCACGATAAATTGCCGAGATGGATGGACTCATGGAGAGCGTTGATATGTCCAGGGAAATTGCGGGGGAGAAAAACGTGGAGAGAAGCAAAACCCGAGTTGGGATGACGGATGCATTCGTGACTATCCCAAAGAGCATGGAATAGGAGCTGCTCCCTGATTCGGGCCAATTTGTTTGGTTCTTTATCACGTTCATACAATCTATTTGTCCGTCGATCTATGCCTCTTCTCTATGTACACGAATAAACATGTCTGTAGAGGGATGTGTATGCGGTAGAACATACACCCCGAAACCCAATGACCCAGAAGAAAGCTCTATGCAACTATTCCTGTTTTTTCTCATGATCAAATCCTCTAAGCACATGACTCTCCGACACTTCGTTGGAAGCACGTGGCGTTTATAGCGGCCAAGCCGACGCAGCTAATCGATGTCCTCATGAGTGCATGGCCATCGTGCATCGTACGTCAATCCTCAGTACTCAGTACCAACTTCTCGCAACTTATATTTCCTAGGAACGACAAAGAGTCCAGAAGCTTGGGCACATAATCTCCCAACCGGGTCACGCACCTCACCCGTCACGTACGCCTTGCGGCCATTGCTGCGTTCCTCGTCGATAGCCGCGTGGAAAGTATAGAAATTGCCCGAATACACCGGAGCACGATATTTGATCTCTAGGTTTGCAGTGACCCCTGTCCGCTCGGGAAGATGGCGGATAGCCACACGGCCAAGACTCTCATCGAGCACGGTGCCAAGAGCTCCGCCATGAACGACTGTTGGCCATCCCTCCAGGCCAGACCCCAGGAAGACCATGCTAATCGCCTTCTTTTCCTTCTCGTTCCAAAAAACTTTCTGTAGAGCCAACCAGTTAGCAGAAAAATAGGTAAATTCCGAGGCTCATCTGATTCTGCCTGCCGGCAGTCGGGACACCCGGTAACGCAGTAGCTCGGTAGGACAAGCGTCTGTAGTCTGCACTGGCCAAGATCCTCTCTCTTACGAAGAAAAGGGTCTGAAGCAGAGAACAGATAGCATCAGGCTGAAACAGGGGACAAACAAACCTGGAGCGCCAATCCCCGGCTTCCGCGCAAGGGTCCAGATGTCAGCCTCCCTATCTTGTCTTCCTCCGAATAGTTCCCATAGACATCGGACTCCACGTAATCAGGGTCACTGCGTAATTGTCTCACGATAGGTAGACCGTTCTCATATTCCCGGTAGATCCCTTCCAACCTCGCTATATCTTCATCTGTTCCGGGTTCTGCCGGCTCCGATATTTGTCCGTCAACCCATCTTCCTGTCGCAAACCCTAGGCCACTAAAGATTCCAGTGTATATCAGGCGTCGCGGCCACTTCGATGGTTGGGAGGTAGGTGCATTGGCAACGGTGCTGCTCTGCCTTGCCCGTCGGGGCCGGAATCGGGACAACTGTTGCACTTCGATCGCAAGGTTGCGCAGCCGGGGTTGTAAGACTCTACGAGAACCAAACATGGTTGATCACATCGCAGTGCTGCGCTGGAGATAGTAGTGGACGGAAGGTGACACAGAGGACGTTCATTGAACTGCATCCAGGTGGGAGACACTTGACCAGAATACCGAGGCAGACGGGAAACGTCACGTGGTGTGACTGTATGGAGGTAAGGAATCTACGGAATATGGATATGGATATAACTGGTCTATGTAAAACAGGACTAGAAGCAAGAAATGAAGGCACACTGTATCTCCTTTAAAGTCTAGAAAATACCTATCTTAAACCATATGCACATAATCTAGTAAAAGGTACCGATTTTGCAATCGTAAAATGCCTCGTCGAAAAGAACACTTAGTTGGCAGTCGGCAGGTCAATCGCACGGTAAAGGCAAATGAGGGCAGAATGAGATTCACCTGGTAAAAACAGGATTAGTAGGAGCTTCGTGCTATACATAGAAAGATATCCACATACCACCACCCGCAAGGGTTTCAATTTTTTCTGCTTCCACCTCAGTCACCTTGTCATCATTGAACCACCACCACTTTCCATTCTCTCCTTCCTTGCCACTGCTTTGTTTCTTCACGTACGCAGTGTAATGGCCACTGTCAGCGCTAGCACCTTGGTGCGTAATCACACCTCGTAGCTCATAGAGACCCGAACCGTTGGTGCCTACGTCAGAGGCAAGTTTGGGGTCCAAAAGTTCGGCAAGCTCTTTCTTCGCAGCGAGAATGGATGCATTCTTTTCTGCTTCGTATTCCGCATCGGTCTTAAAGACATCAGTCATTGCCGCATCTCCGTCTTTCTCAGCTGCCTTCCCCGCCTCCACGCTTTCTTCCACTGCCTTCTTCTGCATCGGCTCTATGGCAGCTTCGGATTCTGCTTCGCCCTTTTTCTCCTCCAACTGATGGGCAATCTTCTGGCGCTTCCTGGCACGCTCAACGTCTAATTCTTCTTTCCGAATCTCCCGGACCTTGTCTCGGACTGGTACGAGATGTTTCTTAAGTTCGTCTGTGCAGAAGTCGACAACATCCAACTCGGCAGGGAAAGTAACTTTCCGCATGATCTTCGCCTTTTTTTGGGTTTCGCGCTTCCAGAAGAATCGAACGAAGTGCACAGCTAAGTACTTGGGCAGTCGGGCTATGCGTGAGCGTTTGGTATATACCGCATCACGGTCCAGAGTAGGAGACCGCTTTTCAATTTTCTCCTCAAGGCCTGCCATTATGCCATCGTGTAGATGATTTGTCTCTTTGCCAATGTGACAGTCCAGCTTGTAGAAGACGTCAGAGCTCTCCGTTGGCTGCTCACCAACTTCCTTTGCAGCCGCCTCGTCGCATTCGGTAGTCGACTCGAACCTTCCGGCCATATACTTGTCAACAAAAGAAACCTGGGAGGCGGATTCGCCTTCGCCTTCCTTAATGATCAGCTTATTCCGCAGCTGTGTTACGATCTGGGACCAAGCCTCTTCGGCATCTTGCTGAGCATAGCCATGTCCATTTCGATCTTTCTGTGCAAATTGGGGGAATACACTTCTCAGTGCATTAAGGAACATCAAAGGAGGAAACCCTTCCTGTGTCTCAGACATTTGCTTGAACAGGTCCCGCAGAGATGCTGTAAGATCCATCGAAGCGCCGAGGCCGCCGAGACCAAGACTGCTCAATTCAGAGATACTGGAGCCTCCACTGCCGCTTGCAGAAGGCCGATACTTTTGAAGCTCCTGCTGGAGTTCTGGAACACTTCGCAACGTTTGAAGCGTAGAGTTCAGGTAGCAAGTATTTCCAAGGTTCTGCAAACCAGCAGGAGTAGCCCCTTCCGCCTTTGCAGCTTCGGCCTCGGTCATATCCTCTAAAAATTTCACTGCTTCCTTAGGTCGACCTAGGTCTCCGGCGCCTTGTCCTCCCGACGGTGTACCCATCATCATGAACGTCTGGCCGGGTTTGGCCTTGAGAGAGGATAAGGGAGTGTCATCCTTAAGCTGGCCCCCTTTGACCAGAATTTTCTGCCGCTCCGGTTCGACGCCGGTTAACGAGTACAGTTGATACTTAAGTGTTTCGCCGTTCGACGACGGGTCAAGCTCGACCTCATGACGTTTACCTTGGTGCTTTACGATGACTAAAGCCCAGGTTAGAAGTTGCTAGATCGACACTGGTAAACTTTCAGGCTAGTAATGCGGGCATACCTGGTATCGAAGCCATCCTACTCGTCTCTAAGAATAATCTCTTGATAAGACAGTGGGATTCTCAAGAGCTTGGGTGGCGGTATGCAATGCATAAACAGCAGCGTGGTCGGTCATCGCTTTCGGGAGGCGTCCTGGCGTGCCACCCAGTGACCGTGGGGCAGGTGCAAACGGAGCAAACACCAACAACAGGCGACATCAGCGGACCAGTGGGACATCGCTGCCTCCTGAAGCTGACCCAAGACACCTTCGTCGCCTGCTGGGTTTACGCTTTAGGCATATTATTCACAGCTAGTACCCGGATACTTTGGGTGTATTACCAGTGAAACGGTTTGTTTCTGCTACACGTGCAGTGAATGAGTCGGAGTTGACGGCATCACCAGCGGACTAACAGCATCAGCCCGCAGTATACGTCACATTTCTATTATGGTGAGCTACATATAGTGTAGATAAGATGACGGTGGGAGCTAACAACGTCAAGTCTCAATCATTGCGTCCTTATCTTCAATGCGTCCGGTCCTCGCTTACCGCCGCACTTGCGATTTCGAACTTCGCCTCCCAGACCTCCGAACGCCATAATGTCCCCGAGATCGAGGCCCAGAGTTCCCCCGAACTCCTCCTCAATCCCCTCACGGTTTCTCGTAACGAGAATGAAAGGGTACTGATTGAGCCCAGTGTGAACAGCGTCCGTGTTAGCATTCGAATTAAACAAGCCGATGAGATCGAACATATCCTAGTACACAAGTTCACCCGGTTCTTAACGCAGCGTGCAGAGTCATTCTTTATCCTACGAAGAAAGCCAGTTAAGGTCTGGGATTTGAATATTGTTGATAAAAACATTTCATAATGCTAACTGGATAGCAGGGATACGACATCTCGTTCCTGATTACAAACTTCCATACGGAAGCCATGCTGAAGCATAAGCTTGTGGACTTTATTATCCAGTTCATGGAAGAAGTGGATAAGGAGATTTCTGAAATGAAGCTTTTCGTATGTATTTTTCCTCCTTGCTACTGATTCCCAATCGTATTAACTATGTCGCAGTTGAATGCGCGCGCTCGGTTTGTTGCTGAATCATTCTTGACACCGGTAAGTATCACAATTCTCTGCCCTTAGCACTGGATTAGCTCTGACAAGCTGGTACAGTTCGACTAAGTTTTTCTTCTTTTTGAATGTTTCCTTTTCGGTCCACAATTGATACATGGCCTTGATTTTTTACCCGTTCAATAGCGACTACTGTACAGGCGATCTAGGCTGGTTCTGGAAATGGTTCATGCTATGATACGCTCGGCGCATTCTCGCCTTCCTGGGATTCTCAAACCCATATCAAATATGAAAATACACTAGTGAACTTGGTTTGCTTGTCCATTTCACCATTGACTCGAATCAAAATAGCTCCTTAGCAGCGATTCTATGTATGAGCCTACCGAATTTTATCTCAAATACGAGTAGAGGAAATGGTTCATATCACATGCTCCTATGTTCTAGACTCAGTATATGGCTATCATTTCCAGCCTCGGTCACCGAGATAGAAGTCCGCGAGCCACAGGATTCTCAATTTCTAGAAGTCTCTGTCGCTTCTATCAGACCATGACTGCGGCTGACAGAGCAAATGAGTTCCTTAATATGGGCCATCCTCATACATATGCTAGTACCAACTCCTTATATTCCTGTGCCATAAGAACAGGCACTCTACGGCAACGCGACATTTCACCAATAAAACAACGCTAGGGTGAATAATTCCTAGTTCTTTTAGGAATACCGATGCATTTTTCCTTATTTTGCATTGGACAATTAACATTATTTCCACAACTTCTCAACATTTAGCAGGTCATTTCTCCATTTCTTCCTATTGCATTCAGTTTGGTCAAGCTCAATACTGTATAAATAGCGTTCTATTAGATATATCCACCCAACAAAGCTCCCTGCCTCTCTCAGAATATTTCCTCATTGGATAGCACAAATTTTCCACCCTAAATATACTACAATAGTTTAATGAAGAGTGAATTAAGAAGCTGTCTGGACACGTAACCCCAGGATCTCACCTCAATAAGTTCTCACTGTTGAAAGCAGTAGACACTGCTCTCTGTCTCTTCTTACCCTCCATATTCCACCTTCCTTCGTCCGTATTTTAATTCATCCCAGCTTATCTCCAGAGCTTCGGATGGACTTCAGAGGTGATAGTCTTCTTTCTACAGGAGACGATTCTCCAAATCCATACCCGCGGCCAGAACAGGTTGGTATGGCTTCATTTGGCCAACCTTTCAGGGCCAGGATTTCTCAACAGCAAAAATACTTTCCTGGAAAGTCTCCCACTATCCCTCATTCTTTGCACTACGGGACTGTCCTGCCTGACCCTTTCTTCTGTCCGGCAGAGAGAACTATCGCTACCCCTACAAATCCTAATGAGCAGTGTCATTTTGGCCCAGGATCTCGTCCCAAGATGGCATCTTACGTTCCATCTGAGCCTCCACAGCCGGATATAATCTCGCCTATGTCTCGTCGTGCTGCACCGGCTTCGTTATATCAGCTGCTGCATAATGACGCTGAAAACCAATCGAGATCTCCACAACGTCTCTCTGAAGTAGCAAAGAGTTTTGAAAATGTTGCCTTGCCCAGTGAAATGCCAATTGGAAGCTACGTGCATCTCTGGGAACCGCCGAAATGGGGAGTAATCAAGATTTCAAATGTAAGCTGTTGGTATTCGTATTGGGAAGAAGTTCTGCTGACTATAATATAGATTCCATACTCTATTACCAAGCAAGAGATCGTTCAGTTCGTCGGTCGTCAGGCACGCCTGATCACCCCTGACAAGGGGTGTGCTATACATATCATCATGGAACGTTCTACTGCTAAAACTATGGACTGCTATGTTGAATTCGAGACAAAAACAAATGCACAGGAAACGGTCAACCGAATCAATCAGATCTATGAGACTGGTCGCCCTCCTCGTCTCGGTAATCGACATGTCGATGTGGAACTTAGCAGTCAAGATGCTCTTTTGAAGAACCTCTTTCCTCGTGCCAAGTGCGTCTCCTGGAAAGATGGAATCCCTTATGCGTTGCCAAATACAGACCCCTACTCTACTGGATTTGCAGGCCTTTTCACCAGTGAGGAGATAGTTGGTGCCATTCGACATGCGGAAATGCCGCATCGAGTAAGAATTCTTCTATCCTTCAACCCTCACAATGCAAAAGTAATAGCGTCGTTAACCTGCACTCTCAAGTCGCCTTTCTGTGCCAAATGCCCCCAGCGCACTTACGAGTCTACTATTAGTACACTCTACAAGGTAAGACAATTCCCTCTACACTTCGCTTCAGTTTGCTTTTGATGGATTGAGAGATTTTCTGGACAACTCTCACTTTCTATGTAGTTTCCTTGGTTTGCAACCAAGTTGTACACCGTTGATGAGCGCAATCAGTTGTTTGATATGACCAATCGCCACATCATGTCTCTTGTTTCTCGGATCAAAAGGTCGAATACAGTGGGCCTTGATCAGAGATTGCTTCGAGATCTTCTCTATGCTGGGTTGAATTGCCCGGCCTTCAATGAGCGCCAGAAATATACACTCTGCGTCAACTCCGAGGACATGAGAGAGATTCTTCGATTTTCAGATTTGGATAAGTGGTTTCCCTTTGACACTTTGGTCAAAATCCCGCAGCATAGTAGAACTACCCATCGTGTATGTTTCCCCCTCTCCTTCTGTTTGATCTATTCTCACCGGATTCTTGTTTAGTACTACGCGAGTTTGATTTCGAAGGTCGGCATTTCAGACTATGACGTCCCAGGTCTACCTAACAATTTCCCTACGGAAAATGTCGAACTATATTCTCCATACGGTCCTATCTGGTTTGAATGGGAGACAACTGTGGCCAAAGACATGATATGGGATGATGCAGTCCAACATGAGATGATCATTCTCTGCAATCTTGTTCTGAGCGGTTGGATTAATAGTGACAGGGAGTCTAAGGTTTCCGGAAGCTCTACTGAGTGCTCACCCTCTGACAGCGCCGCACAAAGCAACCTAGCTCTCTCGTCTACTGACAGCGGCAAGAGTCGAGCGTTCACCGATTCTGCGACCAAGATTGAGACATTCGTTACTCACGCACGTCGTGCGAGTATGGCTGTGACGTCGAGCGGCCCATTTGGTACTTCCAACGAGAGCACCTGGAATCAGAGGCTCCTTTTGTATCCCTCGGCCAAAGCCAGGAGCAGACCTTACGGTCATCGTATCACTCAGTCGTCCCCAACATGCTTTCCGTCTTCCGAGGAAAAGTAATATTTTGGTGAAAGATACCTCACTGTCTCCTATGTGTCTATCAGCAATTTTGTTGTTTTCATAAGTACAGTATCAGTGGCCGAGATACGAAAAGCAGCCCATTGGGTCGAAGTTGGTATTGCACAGACTACATCTGACCTGAATAGCGTGCGGAAGTTTGTTTAGGGAAGGTCTTGGATCGTGGCTATCTCTATTCTTTTCCTTATTTATCCATCGATGTATCTTTTTTTATTTCATGGTCATGGTAATAAGTTATCTTATTACACATACAATTATCGGGTTAGCACGTCAATAGTCATGACATCATTTTCAGCGAACCTTTTTTAGATTCTATCCAATTGGTATGCTCATTCCATAGCTATCACATCTCCTCACAAGCTTGTGGGTCATCCTGAGGGACGTGTAATTTCGCTTGATCCTCAAGGAGTTTCTTTCTCATCAGACCTTCTGCTCTCTTTCTCTCTCTTCGTTTCTCTGGATCTTCCCGGTCAGAAGATTTCGTCTTGCCCTTTGCTTTTGCGCCACAGGTATGACTTGAACAGAGTTCCAGCATACTTGAGCGAAATCTTTCTTTTCGCTCTGCATTTATAGAGAATCTTTCATTCGAGATTGCAATCAGCATCTGAAGGTACTCTTCAGTTACCAGGCTCCGAATGACCGGTTCAGTAATAGACAGACCATCATCGTCTTCGTTCTCTTCGCAGTATCCAATCACCGACTCCATTGATAGTCCTGCGGAGCGTACAGCGACAATGGGACTCGGGCCATCATCGGCCTCTAGACAACGTAGACTCTGCAAACCACTTTCGCGAAACCCAGAGGCCGACGCAGCAGACAGTACCGGGTGGGCGTGGTGGAGAGTGGCTGCCATAATGTGGAGAATCTACATAAAGAACACATATTAGCATACAAAGACCCTCTGTGCAATGTTAAGAAAGCAGATCAACCCCCCCCCCCCGATAGGACAAAACAAAGGGAGAACCAGTCAGAGACGGAAGCTCCACGGACCAGATTAAAGACAAAGAAAACGATAATGTAAGGAGTCAGTCAGGTGGAACGCACCATGGGCTCAAAATGGAAGCGCACGAGGCGCGGGGCTTGGCCACGTTTGTTCATCCCCGGAGGCTTTCCATCCCCTGGGACCATGCCAAACAGATCACACAACGATTTGGGCTCCTTGACTAGCTTTGTTTCTTCACGGTTGCAGCCAAATCCAGCCACATCCTCTTTCAAAGGTTCATGAGACACAAACAGCCATTTTCCGGCGCCTTTGCCTCCCGAGGGTGCGAATTGTCTTTTTGGTTCTCCTGACGAACCCCGTGAGTGCGGTTGTACGCTCTTCCTCCCCTCCAAGAACACGCTGATTCGTCCAGCACAGCTACTGGTGGTTACCAGACCTGACAGAGTATTAATGTCGTGGATGAGATCGCGGATACCCTCATCTACAGACCCCTTGGGCGAGAGGTCTGTATACTCTGCATCAGGGATAGAGAGATCTGAGAGAATTTTGCGCTTCCGAGACAAAAACGATTCTGGTATCGTCTCAGTTTCACTTTTATCCATGTCTCCTAGAGTATATTTCTATTTTTATGTCCACCGGAGTCTTTCTTTGGTAGAATTTGACAGAAAGCTAAAGTGGCGAAAGAAGTAGAGGATACAATATTCGCCTCTCTTCCTCGGAAATAAATGAGAAGAAGCTCACACAGTATTTCTCTGCAGGGAATTATTGCAAAAAAAAAGGGTTGTCGAGAATGAATCGAAACTTGAGATGCCGAAAGATAGTACTAGTTAAGAAAGGCAGCCGGATTTCAGCAGCTATACAAAGAAAAGGCCCGCTCTGATTCCGTCCCGCAAATCCTTCTCAAACGTTTCTGCCGAGCGAACGCACTAAGTTTAGTGGTGCGGAAGCAAAGAACTCGCCCGCTTTTCCACGCGAAAAGGCCCCAGAAGTTACCAGCCTCCTGGTCTCTTTCCCGGTCCCTTTGTCCGTGTGGAAAGTCTATCAGTCGCTAATGACCCGTAAACCGGTCAGGGAAGTTTACAAACAGCCACGACACGATTCATAAATGCCATACGTTTTCCCAACCCTCTCCCCCTGCAACTGATCTCCTTTCACTTAACGTAGCTACTTGTATCAGCTCCAACAGCCTTTCACCGGTTTTTTACTACGTCTAGTCACTCGGAGGGAAACGAAGCCCTCTTAAAGCTCCTTTGCTTGCCATGCCTCGTCGATCTTCTCGGGCCGCTCCGGCGTCAGCGGCTGCTCCAACGCCCGCACCAAAAAGGCGCGCGTCAGCGCCAGCATTCACCACCACAGCCTCCAAAAAACAGAAGTCGGATAGCACTACAGGCAAATTACCCATCAGGAAAACCACCAAGAAAAGCAAATATTTCCGAAAAGGAGCTGAGGAATCTAAATCAGAGGGCTCCGAAGGCAACACTACCGAACCCCCCGATTCAGAATCAGATACGCCGCCAAAAGGCAAAGCGGGAAAATCAACAAAACACAAGCAACAAGGACAGGAAGATAAACCACTGTGGAAAGAGGGTGTTAAAACCGGTTTAGGACCGGGAAAGGAGGTCTTCGTCAAAAAGCCCAAAGCAAGAGATGCGGGGAAGACACCATATGAGGATCACACTTTGCATCCCAACACCCTTCTGTTTCTGAAGGATTTGGCAAAGAACAATGAGAGATCCTGGTTCAAAGGTACCAATAAATCGCGACCGGCATATCTTTGTCTGAGGCGCATAGCTAACTGTAAGCCCTTTTTGATAGCACACGATGCAGACTATCAGGTCTCGAAGAAGGACTGGCAAAGCTTTGTCGAATGTCTCTCGGAGAAAATCTCAGGGGTCGATAGCACAATCCCTGAATTGCCCGCTAAGGACCTGGTGAGTGTCATATATTTGTTAAATGGGGCAGCAAATAGTACAAAAGAAAAATGTAACGTTGAGAGAGCCTTACTAATATTCGTTGTGCTATAGATATTCCGCATTCACAGAGACATGAGATTCAGCAGAAATCCTACACCATATAAGGTATGTACGGACTCGGAACTTGGGGACTCCACAATTGGTGGACATCTCGTTGTACCCGTCGGCTCTAACTATTGAAACGTTTGGACTGACACCATGATATCGAGTAGGATCACTTTTCGGCCGCTTGGTGGGTGAAACCCAACACTATGTGACGGTCAGCTATCTAAGTTTTAAAAGGTCTCGCACAGGCAAAAAGGGCTCTTACGCCGCTTACTATGTCCATTGCCAGCCTGGATCCTGCTTTGTCGGTGAGTCATGCTGGAAAAGCACCTCGGCCCTCGCTGTCAACATGTCCCCGGAGAAGTTGTCACATGGGATCTGTCCCGGTGTCCCAACACGTTATGCCTTTCTGCCTCCTCAAGGTATCATTTGCTGTGTGTTCCATATTCCAGATGCATCGAGAATAAAACATTCTGAGAAACAGCCCATTGACAACAGCCTCGGGATTTCCTATCCACCAGGATATAATGTCAGACAAGGGCGGTGCTAATGATAATTTCGGGGGCTCTAGGCGCGGGACTCTGGAATCCAGAAGCCGATAAACTAGCACGTATTCGAGAAGAAATCGATAGCAATTCGCATCAGCTGAAGGCTGTGTTGAACGCAGAAGGGATGCGTCGTGAGATTTTCGACGGAATACCCGATGATGAAGAAAAAGCTGTCGAGGCTTTTGTCAACCAAAACAAGGGAAGCGCTCTTAAGATCAAACCCAAGGTAGGTGTGCTATTTTATTTCCCTGTATCCCAGCTGTTTTCTTCCCAGCACCCATGAAGCACAACTCCCCTGGCCATGTCCTTCATTCCAGCATATTTCCGATCTGCTGTTTCCAAGTTGTTATTTCGTCCGAGTGCGAGCATTTGGAGGAGGATATCGGGTGCAGGCTGTCTTGTTTATCGTCGCGTTTTATCTCTTCTCCTCCAGAGTTTCTCTTGGTTAGAGAAAATTGGAGGGTAGGATACTCAGATTAGCCCTTGGATCGATGGTGAAAGATGGCAGGGTCGACTTCAACATGATGACCAGACCATCGCAGGATCTATCATCTAGGCAGTGACCACATCGCTGTCAACAAATCACCACCGAGCTCAGCATCACAACCCTAAAGGGAAAAGGCCCACAGTTGTTTCAATAACTGCGAAGAGCTCATGCCAATTCTTGATGGAGGCCTTATGGCCTCAACAAGACCCAGTTGATAACAAATCTGCTCTTTGTTGATGGTGCTAAAGCGCGGGAGGCTCCGACTGGGCGACCCGTGTCTGGGTCTGGGTCACACCCTTCCCACACACGCCAACCCCCTGGTAGTTTCCGGTTCAGGTTGTCATTCTGGGGCCTAGCTAGCACGGGAAGTCGCCTACTGTCCCACTGGGGGCTTTGGTCTAGAAGAGTTTTCTACACCGTCTCAAACGTTTCCATGGTTCAGTCTATGACTTTTCCCGGCGGACCGCTCCCTTGTCCAATTACAATGCTGACAACCTCTCTTTGCCTAGGGTTACGATGTGGACAATGAGAACATCCAATTGCTTCGTCTGCGCAGTTTCACCATTGGCAAGCCTCTTATGGATGGAGAGCTTCTGAGCCCCAACGCACAGGATAAAATCGTGGCTCTCATTGGTATCATGGAACCTTTTGTAAGGCCCCCATCCTAACCATCCTTGTTCAGCCGTCATTTTGCTTTTCCCCCCGCTTGTCCGCGTCTGCGTCTATTGGACCTTAGTGCCCGTATCAGTTACAACGCCCTTTTTCCCCTCTCATTTCCCTTTCTAGTCACTTCGGCGGTGTGGCTTCGGGCATAAAGATACCCACCACTAAAACCATTATACTCTGGAAGCGGCAGGGGTGTCTTGGAGGGGGGAGGAGAAAGACCACGCAATTGATGAGAAATGTTTCACTGACCAGCGAGCATTATCACTCAATAGGTTACGTATCTCAACAGCGTCGTCATGCCGGATTTAGTGGACCCCGGTAACATCTCTGCCTCTGAATCCGACGCTACAGACTAGAGTCGCTTGGTTTTTCGTGATGTCGAACATTCGGTCCCTTCAAAGGCGACCACGGTGTTTATCTTGCAATGTATGTGTTGAACTTTTCATAGTAGACCAGTCTCTTTTTTTTTTTTGTCTTATGAACTCTGTTTATGCTTTGCAGATTTGTAGCTGCCTTTTTTTTTTTTTTTTTTGCTGTTTGCCCTGCTGAGTTGGACATAACTGTCTTTGGTCTTTCCCTGTTTCGGGTTCTGCTGAGCCCTTGACATGAATTATTGTAACCGCCTTTCGAAAAGAGACTAAAAGGATGACGATGGTCCTTGCTAGCAAACAGGCTCTTGGTCTCTTTTCTCTGGAGGGGTTTGACTGAAAAGTGAACAATAGTATACAACCGCTTGTATTTTCTCTTTGGCTGGGCTCACTGTAGAATCGACACACGGTCTTTTCGTTTTCCATGCTGAGCTAAGGAAGTCGATGGCTCCGGGTTATCCTTACCGCCACTTCTGGCCCCCCCCCCCCCCCAAATATGGCGGTGATCGTGTCCCATTCCTGAGCAAGTTACCAGGGTTTTGAGTCTCAGGCCTTCACAATTGTGACGTGCATGTTATGGCCTGCTGTCCTCGCGCCGCAGCCGGGCCGTCGGGCGTGCGGCTAGCTCCACGGTGCTGCCTATTCTCCAGCAAAAAAGATATCCACATCTGCACGCGTGCGAATCCGTCCATAATAGTTGAGAATCTTTACCCTCTCGTCCCATCAAAAGAACTCCGATTCTGCATCAATGCCCAAATCCCCGACGCAGGAATTCCTGCTCCGTTCCACTGTCAAACCGGGGTGGTGGGGAAGGAGAGTTGTCACAAACCATGCGGTCATCAACGAAGCGAAGCCCATTCTCTCTTGGACTGTTGCTGCTTCCGCGGAGCACAACATGAATCCTGAAGACACTTATTAAAAGACGATGCATTGCTCTACGGTGGAGCGTTGACGCCTTGGAGAGTGTAATAAAAAAATGCCTTGGCTGCACGACCCTCCATCTCTGGCTAGAATCCATGCAAGCCATAAACTCTGTGTTTCTCGGTGATCAATTGTGGTTTGACTCGGCAAGATCCTAGTGGAACTCTCTGTTCAATAAGCGCACTCATTGATGCTTTTACCCAATTTCATTATTCAAGGTCCGAGACGATCTTTGTTTTCTTCCAATTAGCAGATCGAATATATATACCACCCAATTTAAAAGAAGCAAAAAAAGGCATAATCTACGGAGTAGAAAAAGAAATAATTTATGTATAGAATAGCACTAGATGGTAGGTTCAGGAACAAGAACATTGTATACATATGTCTGTGAGTAGTCAACTACCCGTTTTTGCTGTTAAAGTCTAATATATTTATGGTTCGGGGCTGCATAGCATATGATATCTATCCTCATCCTTCTAGGGCCCAACGAACTTTTTTTTGTAGAATGTTTATTAAATAATATTTTCTGAATTTTTCTCAAGACAGACTGAACAGTATACTAATCTAATTTCTATTTACCGTTCGATTCATCCCGAATCTTCAGTTGCGACGTCAAAGCCGACACATGTCCCATATACCAATGAAAAATTACTATTAAAAAATAAATAAATAAACCGACTCATCCAATTCAGGATAACTATACTTAATATAAATTGTAGATCCCTGAGGGACCGAAGATAGGGTTCCAATAGTCATGCACATCACAATTCATAATCCCACACTTTTGAATGTCGGTAGGACCCGTCATCGAGCCGGATGGGGGTCTATTTCTTCTGGAATACGAGATAATTAACTACCATTTTTTGCCACCTATGTATACAGTATATGTATACTCCGAGTTCACTGTATGGAGTATTCTGTACTACTATGCAAGTTGCACGCTGAGAGGGATTGACAAAGGTGTTTCAAATCAACTGCGTTGCGTTTGGCAATACTCCGTACAAAGAACATCTACCCAACTCAACCTCCCCTTACATGCCGGTGATCTGATGATATCTGAGGCCTTCTGTCCGGGAGATGCGGGGACGAGTTGATACGTCGATTGAGTCGAGTTGAGTACGTACGATACGATACGAGCGTAGCAAAATAAATCCGTAACGAGAGGATGACTGACTGTTCGGGCCAGAACAGATCACAACATACAAAATATAGAAAATAAATGGTACCCTAAGGATGGAATGAACGGCAATAGCATGGTTTTGGGCTACATTTTTCAATCCCCCCCCCCCGGGGGGGTTTTTTTTTTCTTCTTCTTTTCGTTTGTGCCTGCTTTCTTGAAGATGACTCAGTAGGCAATAGGTTATCTCTGGCTGATTGGAAGCTCAGCTATACGCCTGACTTGATTAGATATTTCTTTGTTCTTTGCATCTGGGCGAGCCGAAGGGGACGGCGGATTAGAGTTATTCATGTACCAAATTGCCCAGTAGTAGTTTGCAACGCAGATGTGGGGAGAAAAAATCTGACAGGGAGATAGAACAAACCTTGCAGGAAGATACGGGCTTACCCAAATGCTTCCCTGCCTAACTGATTTGCAGGTCTTGCGGGAAGCACGTATTCCTTAGTGTTGATGCACGCCGGATCAGTTGCCACCTCGTCTCCATGACTTGAAAGAGTAGAAGTTGGCAGTCAAGTGATGATGAAGCTATCCGTCTCCCACAGAGTCAGGCATCCATTCACCATCTCACGTCTGGGCCTAACCCATTAGACTGTCACGCGACGGGCGAACATGACGGCAAAGATACATGAATGTACAACCCAGGTACCTCGTACAGGGTGTCACATTCATGTGTTGGGTCAGCATACTATGGTTCTATGCACATCGTCAAGGTCATGCACGACTCGAACGACACAAGGCAGGAGAGCTACCCCAGCTTGAATCGTTGCTTGTCCTGCGGGTGGTGGGAACTCGACCGGGTCTGAATGAGGAAGTTGGGAAGGTGATCTGGTAATTGTTTGTTTCTCGTTCCGCCACGTCAGTTGAGGAAGATGGCGCTTGCGCACACTCACCTGTACCCGAGCGAGCACAGACAGTTGGGGGAAGATGGGGATAAGAATGTTGGTCAACTAAGATCGGGTTCGGGTCTTCTTTATCTGTTCGCGCCAACACCCCAAACCATCCAACCTGGAAGAAAAATTAATTATTGACCAATTCGACAAGTTGGCACAGGCAACTCCAAGCGACAGATAAAGTAGAGATAGTCTTCGAATCCTCTCGCCCTCATAGGCGGGCCAGTTATCACGTGACCGAAACCGTATGCGGGCGGATCGATGATCACAAGCAGCGAGCGAACGGAATGTTTCCTTTTTCTGCCTCCCCCCCGGTCAGCACTATGCCGCTTGCTGCTAACCGCTGTGGCTTGGTGATAACGGGTTGGGGCGCTTGCTTGCTGACGGGCCATACGCAGACAAGAAGCAACGCACGTTGTTCAGACGCCTCAGATTGGGCTGCGGGTAATTGTGTCCCGAGCCCTGCGCCAATTGCCATGGTCCAGTAGGTATAATGGGACCAAACGATCTCACCGAGAGGACAGCGTGACTCGATGTTGGATGCAGTGGAGCAAGGATTTCTGGAGATTTCGGGAGGCAGGAAAGGAGTTGAGGAAGCCCACAATGCTCGCGTTGTGGGTTCTGGCGGCAACGGAAAGACGCGGACGGCAATGCACCGCGCCGATTGGGATCGAAAAAAACGTGGCAAGGGAAGGGGCAAAAGAAATAATTTAAAAATAATCAAATGGAAAAAAAGAAAAAAAAAAAAGAAGGAAGGTAGAAAGGAAAAACGAAAAAGCTCAAAAAAAAGAAAAAAGATGAGTGGTGGAGTGTGTATTATACCGTTCCTGTAATACATTGTAAAATTCATAGGTCTTTGGTTTCTTTCTGTATGGTATGGAAAGATTCCTTCGGGATGCTGACCTTTGCCTCAATCCTTTCATGATATAAGTGAGGCTGGCTGTGATTGTCAATCCTGTGAGACGGCCTGTGTGAAAGGGAAGGCGCACTTGCAGCAAGCACCTATATGCACGTATGTTGCAGTAAAAGGTCAAGTCAATGTCGTCATTTTCGGGGTCTGTTTCAGATACGTTCATCATGGGGACGCCTTCATCCCTTGCGCATATGAAGAGGAGGGGTAGGGAATAGGAACTCGCTCACCAACATAGATGTAACTCACCAGAATGAAAAAGAGGGGAATGTCTAAGCGGGGGCATTGAAGACTGCTTAGTATGAGGCTCCCCAGGTCACGAGACACCAGTCTGAGCGATGACGATGAAAAAGTGGGCTTGAAATGGCGGGGCGCTAGGGTTATGAGTTACGATGGATAGATTTCACTCCTACCTACATAGTTCAGCATCTGGATAAGAAATTAGTCGACCCATGATGACGACGGTGCCTGTGATGAGGACTTTGATAGCATGTCACTTCACTAGGTCCTCCATACACTTCATGCATAAGATCGGCGGGAGTCGGGGCGGCCCGTCGTGGACATGTCCAGGAGACGGCTAGCCAGCGAGGATACGATTTGCGGTGGTTGCCCAAGCCCCCAAACATCCTTGACCACCTGCACCTGCGTCCGAATCACAACTCTATCCCTGTTGGTTGCCCGTTTGCGACCGTGGATTTCCGATGTTATCATCGGCGCTGAAGAGTATGATCTGATTCAGTTGCAAATGGGAAATAGGGCCTTTTCTGGGTTTCATGATAGGATTTATTTTGTCTAGAGGGGATCGTATTCCTTGAATAGTACCATAAAGGAGGCAACTATCGTGTACTTTATTAGAAGTACTCCGTAGGTACTCTGTAGTAGTTCATATGATTGTTGTAATTATTTAGAACACCACGTGAAACAAAAAATGGAATTTGAACATGGAATAATATAACAATATTAAAACAATAATAAATAAATGAAGACCGGAAAGCAACAGCGATTTTGCCCCCAGACAGCCAACAAGTCACACGATCTTTGTCATGCACCACTTAATCCTAGTAGTACCTGGAAATGGAATAATACAGAGGGAGTTACAGCAAAACTACTAACGGTGACCATCCTCGACAGCCATGATTGATTGAATGGAGGAATGAAGGAATCTTGGAGGGGTGGAGATGGAGAAAGTTCGCCGGCTCTTTGACAAATGTGATAAAGGTGCAGGAGTTTTGAACGAATCTTTTCGTCAGCGGGCGCTTGGATTATGGCTGTGATGGCTTTACAGCGAATCGCCATGGCTTGCTGGTTCCTCTAGACTCCCACTAAGCCGAACCCATCAAATGACTAGTTAACTAATGTCTAGCTTCCATGTCACTCCCATGTGCCAGTGGATATCTCATCTGACAAAGTGACTGGATATTACGCACTCGACAAGGATCTTGGCCAGCTTCGCAGTGGGGTGATTGGAGGACATGGCATCAGAACCCCGCAAACGATTCCGAGTTCTTGGACTCTTGCCAGTTTTCTTTCCGAGAGGCGTTGGTTGGCATTCCTCAGCCCTTAATTGCTTTTCCCCTCGTTCACCACCCTAAGTAACGCTAATGCAACTTTCCTTGAAGTGGCCCGATCAGACTGTGATGATGCCGTCCCAAGACTGTAGCCCCGGGAAACCTAAGGCTTTCCACTGAGGACTCTTTTCTTTGGCTTTTGGAATAGGATTTAGCTGTATTGTATGGTGCACCCAGTATGAAAAGCTCGTGTTAGGTGGTATGCCTAATATGGTGTCTATCTTGACCGGATGATACCAACGTTATGGCACAAGGGTCATGCGACCCGTTTGGTATAACTAGTTAGTTAAATGTCAGATTGATTATGTAATTATATAACAGCGGGATACTACGGAGTATATACACTTCCAGCTAGACAACATGAAACAAAAGAGGGAAGGAGGGGGAGAGGGAAATGGAGAAGGATGAAAAGGAGACCCAAAACTTGGTGGATAGTAATTGCATTTGCCGAATAATATTCCCCACATTAGTAGTATATTTGCAACATACATACAGAGTAGGTAGAGATCTAGTCTCCATATGGAAGTAGTGTGTGCCCGTTTCTAGCTGAACATTTTCTTGATCTAGATTAATACTTCTCCACTATGACGATGGGCGCCTTCGACTAAGTTCCTGATGGGCTTTTGGGTTACTCACCGCCTGATTCCCAATACCACAGATACCCTGTGGAGCCTATGCTGGAGGTTGCCCGTCTTTTATCCACTTGCAACCCACAATGAGAAACCCTTCTCTCGCCACCTTGATGTAAAGTAAAGTACCCGGGTGGATGACAATTTCATACCTTCCACATAGGTACTGCTATTCTTCCAGTTCCATGGAACTATCCACTGATGGGTCGCGCCGCTCCAATAACACATAAGAAAAGGGTATTACGGCTCACAGTGGTGTACCGTCGGCTCCAAACATCCACCAAACAAGGAAACTTCGAAGGAGGGCACTGCCTACCTACCATACTGTTCTTGAGAACTGAACTGGTTCCATGGATGTACAGGACGGTACCAATCAACTGCCGTGCGACTACGGTACGGAGCGCTCCTTTCCTTGCTGGACTAACCAGGATTGGAAGACATGATTTTTTAGGCGCCAATGGACGGCACTGCGGCTATCGCTTAACTTGAAGGTCCTGACTCGCAGCTTCCTCATCCACTTCCCCAAAACGAGGCAGTTCTGCGGGGTCCGTGTTTCCCAACATCCACCCAAGTGGTGCCATTGATCTTCCAACTAATAATGTACTATGTAGATGGCACGCATGTACGGGTCCGGTTCGACAAATTTTTGAGCCTTTTTAGATATTCCCTAGTACAATAAAGCAAGGAGGTGCAAGGCGGAAATTGGAAAATGGTCTTCCACGAGTGGAATTTGTATGCTCCTGATCCCGTGTCTGTTATGACGACATTACTATAGCCGACTATCATATGACTGGCCACTAACGAAGGCTTTATTCGACTTATGGAACCCTAGAACCCCCTACTCATACATGGTTTACCATGACCATGATTTGCGATCGATGAATCTCAGAAGTGGTTAATACCATTCCCAGGGAATATTTACCGCGCGCGTTCACCGCCTCGGGAACAACTTCTTCCATAAACAGATTCATCGGCATTAGACATACAGATAACCCCCATAGATTGAAGTTGCATTATGATTCCTCGAGTCCGTACCACTCCTACTGTCTCTGTTTTGGTGGTCTGTACAGTGCAGCGGACGAATTTTGATGATCAGGACGGGAGGAGAGGGCCTTGGAAAGCGAGCATTCTTCATCAGTTGAAACAAGGCGCATCTTGCATACCCCCGAGTTTGGCCGCTATCTACGTATCCCTTTCTGCGTAATATTTGAAATGCAGATGCCCATTGTGGCCTCTAGCCCATGCCCGACTGTTCCGTTGGGATCATGCGACTCCTCAAAAATTGGACTCCTTCGCACACGCCCATGTATGCCATATATGTACCTGTACGTACTTTTGCCCCCAAAAAACATCGTGAACACCCCCAGATAGGGCACACATGCCGGGGCCCGCCCTTGCAGCGTTTTTTAACGGGCTGGGCCGTTCGCCGCACAGATCTCGATGATCTGGCTGCAATGCAAGCAAGGAGACCGAGTAGTATGTACGGAGTACATACTATAAGTATTCCCCGGAAAGGGGTAGGCGGGAAAAGATCGAGATAGGATAGATGAGATCCTGAACAGTAGTGCAGAGGCATCATCTGGAACAGCATCCAAAAAACCAGTATACTTTGTGCTAATATATACACGTATAGGATGGGAGTGTTTGTGGGCGTTGTTGCTCGCCATCTAAAAGATCAAGTTTATTTTATTCTCATCTATATGACTGAATACCTCTCTAGGCTGTTCTACGAATTATACGCACCAGGGACATGACCGATTAATTCATCCGGCCACAGTACAGGAGCCGCTGCATGACGCGGGCGCTACTGCGAGGCGTACATGTTGTACCTGTACAGCCAGGCACAAGGCCTATACAAAGCACTCGTGGGATGACGAGCGATCAGGTGGTTGGTGGGGGAGGGGTTAAGTAAGGGTCCGAGAGTACGGAGGAGTTCCTCGCATGTTCGGATTAAAAGGAAGCATAATAAGGCTGGTGTTTCTTTTTCCGCCACCGTACCTACTACTCCCCTGGTCATCCGATCAAAGACATGTAAGGGAGTAAGCATAGCATCGACAAAGCAAACACCGTTTGATGATCACTTTTATTACTATTATGATTCCGTCGTCTAATATTCCTAGACCGGTTTGAAACGGCCCAGATTGGGTTTTCCCTTCCCCTTTCCCTTTCCCTTTTTTCTTTTTCTTTTTCTTTTTCTTTTTCTTTTTCCTTTTACTTAAAAAGGCCACATGCTTCGCTCCGAGGTTTGGCACACTAGTTGAGATATCAACCATGGTTCAACAATCCGTTCATGTACTCCGTACTCCGTACATCGTCCATAGGTCATAATTATTAGTTCGGACCGAGAGGCAAAAAAAAAAAAAAGAAATGTAATGAAAAATGGCTCAAAAGAGGCGAAGGATTTTCGTGCCATTGAACCATTTCATGATCATCCTTGGTACCCCTAGTTCCTAGTGTGTCTGGGTAGTAAGAAACACGAGACTGGTATATAGAAATGGGTAGGACAAAGGACACGAGCTAGAAAGTTGCGGGACGTCATTGGAGGGACTGGGACTTTCCATCCTTTATGGAAGTATTTGATCGTTCTTTGGTGTTGGGGAAGGAGGGTTTGCTTTTCTGTCAGTCGGCAGTGTAACTAGGAAGGATTCACTTATGAACTGCCGATACGAGCCATTCAGAAAAGGATATGCGAGGCAGATGATGATACTGATGATTAATCTTCGGCAGCTGCAAGTGAACTACCCAGTCCATAAGCACATACATGCAGACGAGTTTAGGTAGGGCTTTCAATGGTGTGGTCACCCACGGGCCGTCAGCCCCTCTCCCTTCTTGGACTCGGGGATTACCCGGGTGGGCCTAGGATGTATGTTGTTTCCCCGAACTGAACCTTGGTTCACCTTGATCGTACCTAGGTACCCAAGGAGGCTTATGCTTAGGCTGTATCCCTGTGTATCTTTTGTATCCAATCATTCTGAATTGCTGCTCCTCAAGGAATGGGCTGGCACTTTTCTAGAATATCCTCCTAGTTCGTACAGAAGAGGTGGAATCGTGGGAAAAGTTGTGCAGTGAACACTTGGTATACCTACTAGATGCATTACACGGCATACGTGGTAGTATCATACGTATGGGTGACTGGAAGAGGCAGTCGTACGGATGGTGTTTAAAAACATCACTCGAGCGATGGGATCACGGTCCTGCAACTGTTAGCCTACACGGAAAGCCAATGCATGTAGGTATGCTTGAAAATCGGCCAACTAGTAGTACTGCCGAGATTTCTCATCTGGTACTTAGTTACCAAGTCAAATCACCATACGGGCCTAAGTACTGAAACTCGATTTGTTCTTGTCCCATTAAGTCAGGATCAGGTGAGACCACCTTTCTACATTTCCAAAGGATTTGACTACGCTTCTCTTTGAATATGAATTTAGTCTCGAGTTTAATGTTCTTTACTGGTGGTATACACATAAGATTATAAATTAGGACAGAGAGAGGGCAGTTGTATACCTAACAGGACTGTCTGTGTACCATCCAATACCATAGTAATATTACCGATTTTAATAGAATACCAAACAACAAATACCTGTACGTACTCTGTAGGTACCTAATAATGCCCCACTAATTACCACTTTTTTTTTTTTACCTGGAAAAAAAAAAAAAAAAAATAGCTGGAGACGGAAGGAGTTGATGTGGTCGGTGGAGTTCCGTCACGGCGCCTTTACCCGTCCCGGCGTACCCTCCCTCCGTCATCAGTCGTCACTTGCGCCTTTTCGCAAACTTTTGCCCCTCGTCAGGCTCTAGACCCTACAGTAGTCGCGACTCGAGTGGCTGCGAATGCCTGCCATACGCCCAACCTGAAGGGCTCTCAGCGATTCAGGTGATCCCCATGGAACCATGAATGCTTTAGCTGCGTCTTAGGGAGTCCCCGTCCATGTCTATGGGTCGCTGGCGTGTCGGACAGGGTCCACTCCGCTTGCGGACCGTTCTTCTACTCCGTTTACTGCTAAGTTTCCATTTCATGACCGCTTTTTCTCTTCAACTGATTACTGTACCACTTGGTAATATTCTTTCATAGCATGAGAATGATTTTCCTGTCTGCCATATTTCCCACTATGTGGAAAATAGAGACCTAGTAGTACTAGGTGCGGCTGATGCCCACAATTCATCCCCCCCCCCCAAAATGATATTAATTCATCACCGCTCGGCCAACCATTGCATGCCGATGAAATCAGGATCCCTACTGCTATTTTAGGCCAGAATTAATTGCCCGCGTGGTGATTTTCCCACCGAAACCAATGATGAACCCTTATTCCATCTGAATAATGAGGACCGGTTCTTTGCCTTACTCCATCATTCTTTAACAGCTATAGAATCCATGGAACGAACCTTCCATTGGTACCCAGTAGACCCAAAGGATAAGGATTCCTTGAGATCTCCATCTGCGAATCTTCCCGTCTTTCCGCTTTCCGCCAGCCGTGGGACTCGTCCTGCGTCTCGTGTCTTGAAGCGCTTGACCCGACCGTTTTCCTTTCTTATTTTTTGCCTCTCGGACGGACCGGCGAGTTGGTGACCCAGCGAACCATAGTTGGGATGCGTTCTCATTGATATTAGTATTTCCTTAACCTAAGCAGGCAGTAGAGATGAAATGGCCCTTTTAACGGAAATAACGATTTTTTTTTTTTGTTATTTAAAAAAAAAATTAATTAAAAAAAAAAAAAAACAGAAGAGGTGGCATTTGAAGAGTAAATTAAAATAAAAATAAATAAAATTGGAAGATAGGGATAAACTTAACTGTAAGGTAGTGAACAAATAGATCCGTCTTCGTTTTTTTTTTTTTTCCCTTGACTGTTTCCGATCCTTCCAAGAAGTAGCAAATTTGTTTCTTCATCCTAATTACTCTCTGCCTTCCTCTCTCACGCACTCTTCCGTCCTCGTTCTGGAGACTTTATTCTTCATATCATCTGGATAGGAAGCATTCCGCGAATATTTTTTTTTTCCCTTACTCCATTTACTTTATCATCACCAGTTCTTACTTATCCTTCACTGATTCAGTTCATTCCTTGTGTAACCAGACCAAGCAAGTCCCCACCACTTCAAGGTACGATTCTATCTTATCACATATCCATGATCTCTTGCAGAAATCATTTGTTGTTTTGAAACCTCATTTGGAGCTTTTGATTTGATTCGATACTTTTTTTTTTCCCTTCCTTAAAAAAAGGAATTCAATTGCAAGATTACCCTGTATTGTGTCGCCGCTGACAATTTGACTGCTGTTGGCGGCGCCGGCTCATTTGGTGTTTGATCTATACTGAGACTTCGCATGCACTACTGCCAGGCCTTATTCCTTTTGCTTGCTGACTCCCACCACTTTAGTAACTAGTAGTACCTTCAGAGTACATCTCTTGCCTGACAAGGGCTTTTTCTCTTCTTTCTTTTTCTGATCCTGCCGTCTTCCTTTCTTCTGTTGGCTCGTCCAATCCACTCTACACCTATCATTATTCTACTATCATTCGTGCCACTGCCTTTGTTGCTTGCACGGAGTACTGTGTGCAAGGGCTATCGTTGGGAAGAGTGTCCAACGCTCACGTCATAAGTGAAATCCCCCGAGGCTCTTTTTTTTTTTTTTTTTTTGAACCATCCATTTTTCTCTTTGTCTTTTTTTTTTTCAGTTATTTTTATTATTTTGTTTTAATGCTTTGCCCCCTCCTTCGCTAGGTACCCTACCCTGACCCTTGCTAAATTGAACACCTCGACTTCTTCGCCTTACCCTCCACCGCCTCTCCTCCCCCTGGTCCTTTTTTCTCCTCTCCCACTATCCCGGCTTTTACCCTTCGGCCTCTCTTCCTCCTACGGACTAGATCCTGGTTTTCTTTTTTAGTTTTTCTTTTGTTCTTTTTTTTTTTTTTTTTTTTTTTTTTTTTCCTTTATTTTATTTCCTTTTTTTATTTTTTGAGTTTTAACTTCTCCCCCATTTTTTCCCCCTTTACACAACTCTCACCTTCCCCGTCCGGTTCAGCGTGACCACGAGGCTATGCTAGCCTTGCACATCACCCGACGGGAGCTGGAACTGTTTCTGATTTGGTCTACTTTCTGACCGGCTTGGACTCCGCATCAACAATCCTGGTCGCTTTACACGCGCACAGAGACACAGCACACACACTCTCCTCGTCTGCCTACATACTTACTTTACGTGCTTACCGATACCTAACATACATACGACCTCCCCATACATACAGCCATACATACATACAGCCATACATACGGCGGACTCACTGTCCATCTTTCAACCAACCAGGCTAGACACCAGCCTGCCATACATACGCATCGAGCGAACGTACATTGATCTATACATACACAGACACACCCCTGCCCTACTTGTTTCTTGGCCGACGACCCGCGGGACGTGACTCTCAACTCACATCATCCTGCATCCGTCCTTTCTCCCGTCTCGTTCCGCGTTATAAGCAGCCTCTTCGCCCTCTCGCCTACAAATGTCCAGCAACCCCCACGATTTCAACGACCCTAATCGGCAGGGACAGTATCCACCTCCTCAGTGGAACACTAGTCAACCTGAGGATAACGCTTCCGCTCACTATCCGCCGGCTTCTCAATACCCTGTAAGTCTTTTTCTCGTTCTCTGGCCCTTGTCGTGGACCTTTTCTTCCTGGTACCATGAAATGTCTTCTTTCAAGCACACTTTCCCAATGCTTGCCCCAAGCTCCCGCCATGTTTCGAACCTACCCTTAGTCTAATGTCTATTATCCGGAAACCTACTGACCTAGCGGGTTCACTTTAGTATCCTCCGGCGTCGTATCCTCCGGCCGCAGACCACCAATATCCTCCACCGCCCCAAGCGCAGTATCCGCCTTCGTCAAACATGGCTGCCATCCATCCTCATGTCCAGGGCCCGCAAGATCCGTACCGTCTTCCACCGCCTCCTGGAGCTTACCGCCCCCCAGACGTATATGCTCAACCTCCACCACCACAGGTTGTTTACCAAGCTGCTGCTCCGCGGCAGCGTACGGCTATCGCCTGTCGCTACTGCCGAAGGCGGAAGGTACGTTCATGGGGATTGGATATCTTACTATAGACCGTAAGGGCGTGGAGTGTGAAGGACTTCAGCTGATGATGGTCACCGGGACTTGGTAGATTCGATGCTCGGGATTCGAGAGTTCACAAGATGGTCGCTGCAGCAACTGTATCCGCTTCAACCAAGAGTGCATGTTTACGCCCGTCTCCTCCCAAGCGCAGGCATTTGTTCCAGCACATGCGGCTTATCCACACCTGAGAAACGCACAGAACCCGGGGCGTAGTACCCAGGGTGTACTGCTCTATGGTGCCCACGGCCAGCCTTTGCCACCCCAGCAGCAGCCGCAACCAGGCCCAGATGCTACCCTCCCACCACCGCAAGGAATGTATCAACATCCGTACGGCAGTGCACCTCCGCCCCTTGCATCCGTCTCTCAAGATCATGTAAGTAGCCAATTAACTATCCCTTTTCACGTCTGTGATTCTATTTGGTACTTATTACCCCCCTAATTAGAGGGCTAGTGGACGTCGCGGTTCGGGGTCTGGTTTCGAATACCCAGATCCCACAAATCTTGCACCAGTCACTCCAGTCACATCTACTCCTGGGTATCAGGCGCATACCACTCCTAGCCAATACTATCCCGCACAAAACGATCGTCGCCCTTCGCCGCAATCTGCTTATCCTTACGATGGTCGTCATTCCTCGTCTCCTCATAACTCTCCGTACCCTTCGATGCATCCTAGCCAAGGCGCTATGACCCCTCCTCCTACATCCACTCCTAGTGGTTCGCGCGGAGGATTGAATGTTCGCGATATGCTCAATCCGGGGGATAGCCAAGGCCGCTCCAGCACCGATAGCGATATGCTTAATGCCTTGAACCGAAGGGGCTTGAATCAGTAGCCCCGGAAACTCGTTATGCAAATTTTGGCTAGAAGCAGGACGGTGTATGAGGATAAGATATCAGTAAAACAAAAAAGGAAAAAGAGCAATGTCAAGTTCGGCTTCGTGAGTGGTTGATGATGTGGGCATTGTGTGCTGGTCACACGCGCTCTATGACGTTTTATACATCACCATTTCATGCTTTTGCGAGTATGGAACGATGATGTTTCTTGTCGTGAGAAAGGACTAAAAGGAAAAGTAAAAAAAAAAAAAAAAAAAGAGGAAAAAAGACATGAGAATCCCTGAAAGCTGCACTTTGATTCCAACAGCATGTCAGAAGATTGACCGACTAGAGAAAAGGTATCTGCAGTCTTGGCAACGACAGAAGATTGTAGCGGCCTTGCAGGTTTTGGCACTGAATTGAACGATAATCTCCCTACTATCGTAACCTCTACGTTGAGAGGGAAGGGGGGAGGAAACAAAAATGAGAAAGAAAAAAAAAGAAACAGAAGAAACCAACGCCATGTCGACCAATACGATGTCATGGGCACGAGGAGTAAGAATGTTATGAGCTGCACGATCTGGATATGGAATCACTTAATTTGGAATGCGAGTTGTTCCTTTCGCAGTCTTAGTCTGACGGACGTGCTTCGAAAGCTATGAACCTGCAATTCTACATTTCCTACCTTTCGGAAGTACAAAATCACGGCTATTATAAACTATCTGGGGCAACCCAATAATTTGATTTTCTTTTCGTCGTCTCTATTCTGTTATCTTATTGGTATGCGAACCGAATCATGAACACTTTTAACGCCATCTCAATGGCTGACGATCCGAGACTGAATGCTCTGGATCCGGGCCACATGGGTCTAGCAAATGTCTTCGTCATGTTGAGATGGATCCAAATGTATTATTGACGGTCCGGACGCCCGATGTGTTCAGCTGATATTTTTTTTGGGTGCACAGCGAAGACAAGTGGAATTATATGCATTGGAGAGGTGTGTGTTAGGTGTGTCTGTCTACGTTGGCCATCACGGGGTGGAATATGCTGTGGGAATCCGCTGCATTTGCTCTTTCTTTCCTTTGACAAAACATTTGCGAGGCATTTTCTATTGGTGGTGGGCTCGTCATTTTCAAAGTGTTTCAATACATTTCGGTGGCTCTCTCTGTTCTGCGTTTATGCCTTTTTTTTAAACACTCTTCGATTTTGGTCGAGTCATTTCCATGTTGCTGTTATCGGGGTATTCTGCCATTGCAAAAAAGGGAGGAATTTTCTCTTGCGGATTAGTTTTTCTCTTTTATATCTATTTCCTTTTTCTATACTGGGAGGCTGTCTGATCAAATTTTGTCCCTTCGTTATATGACCTGCAGCTTTAGCTTTTGTTTCCCCCTGCCTGTTGATTTTTGGTCATTTTACGTTGCATTGTGCATACTTGCCTGTTCAATGGTATGGTGTGACGAGTTATTCCTGTCCAGTTTCGAACTACAAGTGCCTATATAAGATAATGAGAATTATCCATGAGTCTTTGAAGCAAGCCGAGAGTTTGATTTGATATCTGGATTACGTATTAACCTGATAAATGGATGTATGAATGGGAATAAAATGTCTGCAAATTTGTTGAGTATCTAGTCTATGAAAAGATTTTTGTTTAGCCCTACGACGGGTAATCATATCCAATCTTATTGCACATCTTTCTACATTCCACGTACCTCTCGGAAACGGCATACAAAGGACAAGGAAGTATAATTAGAAAGGGAGCAAACAGTTGCATAAGCGGAAGAAATTTTCTGACTTCTGAAGATGAAAAAGAAAAAGCTGAGCTTAGCTAGATGCCTGGTTCCCTCTCTTCCTCGAATACAACTAACTATACTATCTAGCTAGGTAGGTACATTTAAGTCTTCAACGCTTCAATGAATACTGGAAAATGGGGGAAGAACTAGATAGTTGAGTGGAGGATGACTTTGATTTATTCTGCTCTCGAACCCAACTGGCATGTTCCAGGGATCGGTGGAGAGAGACGTATGTTTGGTTTTACAATGTTAGTTGTAGTGATAGTAAGTAGGTAGGGGAAGCAGACAAAGGAGATGACGGATGGGATATGCAAGGGAAGACAGTCAAAATCAGTTCAAAGAACGTAGTTTAAAAAAACAAACTCAAGAAAATAAGGGACGGTCCAGGATCAAGGAGCGATGAAACCAAAGAAGATTGATTGATTGGATTGGATTTTAAGATCCCGAAAGGAGGCCTTTATATGCAACTGAATGAATGACTGAATGAGATGCAAGAAAATTGAACAAAAATGCACATGAGTGTCGCTCCAAAGTGTGTACGTGTACGTATCCTATTAACCTGAGTTACGTTTAGGAATCTGGGAATGCGTCTAGAACCCGAGTCATCTTTTTGGCACGGGAAGAATCTTCCACAAGTATGCCACGCTGTTTCATCACCATGTACAGAGTGTCAACGACCTTGTTAAAGGATGAAACCGCTCCTTGTTCCTGTCTGAATCGGACAAGGCTGAGATTGGCCTGCCGACCATGTTCGAGTACGGTATAAAACTCCGCAGAGAACTTGACAGGTCGAAGACGAAGAACTAAGAGGTAGTTAGTTAAGAAGGAAAGAAACTCGACGGGATAAGGGCTTGCTATTCGTACAGTTTACTTCGCTAACCCGGCCATGAATCACGCTGTTGGCTTTGTCCAGGTATACATCCTCCATCCCGTATTGTTTCCACTCGCGGAGGATCTTGTATACGTCCTTGCGACCTTTTATCTTCGATGTATTCAAGGCTATTACTCTGGTGGCGGGCCTGAACTGAAACACACGTGCGAACCAGTTATGGCTTTTTCCCTCGCGCCGTGGTCTTCGTGGTAGAGGTCTCTGGGATTTGTCGGGCTCAAAGAATTCATCTTTGGCCTTGTTGAGTGGGGGACTACTCTCAACAGTACTTTCCGCTGGTGTTGGTACAGGTGCTGCAACTGGTTTTGGTGTGAGATTCTGGAGCCTGGAAAACATTCGAGATGTTACGAACCTGGTGATGTGGCGTCGGGGTCCTTGCTTGGTTTTCTTCTCATAAGCTTTCTTAAAAATCCACCTTTCTGCCTCACGTGTGACTGCTCTTCTACCTTGGAAGACTCTTCTTCCTCTTGGCCAGTGGGAGTCTCTGCGGGCTGGTTAAGCTCATGCACAATCACCGTGTCGGAACTTGGATGCAGTAGCTTAGCATCAACGGGCAGCTTTGCCGTGTCGCTGGAGGCCTGAGACCTATTGCGAAACCATGACCATTTCTTACTTTCGGAAGCCTGTGCACCACTGCGCCTTGGGGATTTTGGTGGGATTTCTGCAATGGGAGCCAATTCGCAAGGATTGCGAGAAGAACGAGAACCGAAAGAGGTATACCGACTGGTATCTGGTTTGACTTCACTGAATTCCTCGAGTAACCGCTCGGTGTCGCCAGAATCGGCTGGTCGGTTGCGATTTCTCTTCCGCAGGTTCAAAGGTTTGGCGTTATCGATTGACTGCATGGAACTCTGAGGCACCATTCGGATAGTCTTCTTACCCGAGTGAGTAGTGCTGCTTGAGGGACGATCAGAGCTTCGGTGCGCAGCTATCATCTTAGCCTGCTGTTCATTCACTGTGGCTTCATTGCCTGTGTGTATATTCAATTCTTCGGATATTATTGGCAGAGACGTAGGTTCGTTAGGCGATTTATGGAATGGGTCGGTCTGAGACGAAACGTCGAAATCATCAGTTTTGTTCGCCTTATCAGGGTGTCTCAGCTTATCTTGCAGGATTAATCGATCAAGATGACCAATAACAGCTGTAAGGTATGCTGGAACATCCCCAGACCCGTCCTGCGTAGAGTGTTCAATCAACTTGCGACGAGTTTCGGCCAACTCTGCAGCAGTGTACGACCCTGGCGAAGCGCCTGGGGTCGATGAACCTGATTTTCTCTTCGATTTTGTGGGGGCAAATTGACGATATGAATCCTCAGGAGTATTCATTGAGACTGAAGTTGCTGGAGTCTCTGAGTCCATGCATGTACTCGTGGTGCAACCCGTTGAGACAGAGCCACCGTTGAAAGCTTCTTCGCAGATTTGACTCAGTTCATGAGAAACTTTTCTTGCTTCATCTTTCCAAATGAAATCAGATTCTCTCACTTTCCTTGGATGAAGGCAGTTTTTGATGGTGACGCCGGCTCCTCGAACCACTGTGGGCTGAGTTGGTAGCAGTGGGCTGCTAAACCTGTCGGAGAAAGGACTAGTATCATCGTCTGATTCAAAACCAATATCTCTGTCTTCTTTCTTCGCAATTGGAGTATTCACATGAGCGTTGGTTGCTATAGCGGATATAGATCCTTGTGAGCGGTTCCGAGTATGACGGAAACATACATTTCGCTTGTAACTGGCGGAGCGTGGAGTTGGTGTACCGTTCAATGGTCGACGGGAGCCTGAATATGATGTCTTCGACTGGAAGGACTTCATAGAATTGACCTTCAACCGCTTATTGCGTACGAGTGCGAAAGGGGAGCTTGGAGGACAATCCTCTAAAATAGTCTTCGCATTGGGCATAGGACTGGACTCCTGTATCACTTCTGTAGGTCGTTGTTCGTGTGCACCCTTGGAGACTGTTCGATGAATGGTGATTTGAGCGAATCCAACCTCCGGTTCTGGAGCCTGATTCTTTGGGGACCGAAACGGGTCATAGCTCTCTACCGTTGCGCAGGATTTTGGCTCTCTAGTAGAACTGTTTAATTTTCTCTCTCGGATGGCTGCAACCTGGTTTCGCTTCCGAGAACCTTGGGCTCTTTTATTAGATATACGGGCCGACCCACGCGAGATGTGGTGGTAGTCGCTAGCAGAGTACTCAAGAGCTTGTCCTTGGTAGTTCTCTAGCTGTTCATTTCTAAATTTGACCAACGCATTGTAAAACATACGTTCCTGGGTTGGTCTAAAATATCTAATATCAGCATCAGAACAATTGGTAGAAACCCCAAAACCCCAAAGCCGGACATCGCTAAGCATAACTTACTCAGGCTCTAGGAGTCGCTGGATTAGCATCTCAGGCTTTACATCATGCCAGAGCGTTTGCAGGTTCCTCAAGAGGTCAAAATCAACATCGTGCCTGCTGTTCACGGGTGGGCCGCAGTCGTCTACGGATATTGGTGGCGCTGGACCTAGATAGTGGTTGGATCTTGCCTGGTGAAATTTTTCGTACTTCTGCAGTAGAGGATGCATGAAAATATTATCCATGGTGATACGGTCCTCGGGCTTTTTCTGGAGAATACGCTGGATCAGATCGGCAGCTTCGTAGCTGATCTCCCTTGGGATGAAGAACTCGGCCTTTTTGACCAACTGTAGTGTCTTAGGGAGATCACCCCCGTCAAATGGGAGGTATCCTGTCAACAGTGCGTATAGTATGATCCCACAACTCCATATATCTGCCTTATCTCCTCGATATCTCCGGCCGTATATGATTTCAGGCGCAGCATAATGTGGACTTCCACATGAAGTGTTCAACCAGTGGCCTATTGGCTGGAGCGCAGCCATGCCGAAATCAGCGAGCTTAACGTTGTGCCATGCATCCAGCAAAATGTTCTCCGGTTTCAGGTCTCGGTGGCAGATATTGAATCGATGACAATGTCCAAGGCCCGCAATAATCTGTCGAAATATCCGAACGGCTTCCTCCTCTGGAAGCGGGCCATGATTTGACACATAGTCAAACAATTCTCCGCCCTCGACGTACTCCAGTACGAGATACCTATGAAGTATAAGTTAGGGGGATCCAGAAGACACGTATGATAAATACCACTCACAGTTCGCCTCGATTCTCCCAGACATCGTATAGACTGATTACATTTGGATGTTCAATGAGCTTCATAATGACTACCTCTCTTTCAATGCCAGATGGCATTGGCCTTGCCCCTGTGCCACTGGAACCTCCAATATTTCTGTCCATCGCTGCAATGCTTTCGCTTTGAGCTATTGCCGCGGACTTCTTGGAGACAATCTTGATCGCGGCCGTCTGTCCTGTCAGCGCATGTTTTGCTAATCTCACACGACCTGTGGACCCTCTGCCGAGGGTTCTGCCCAATTGCCATGGTCCGATGTGAGTCTTCCTCTTTCCTTTGTTTGAGACTACCGAATGTGCAGAGAGGACCGAGTTGCGATGCGATCCTGCTTGCGAGTCTGTGACTGGCGAAAGGCAATTGATTTCCACATTTCCTTTGGGCGATCGTGGGCTTGTGGCGATAGACATTGGATCAGACAATAATTGTCGGGACGGTTCTTCTATATCCTCTTCCTCCTGTTCTGTTCTCGGGGCTGAACAGTTATTTAGTCTGCGGGTGGCATCTGTCAGAGGCGGACGCGTAGTCTGAGGATTGAAACTAGTAGTCCTATCGTCCATTGCCAGGAAGCCCCAAACAAACGATTCAATTGCTCAGGTCGTCGCAAGGCCACATATGGAGGCGTGTTTTATTTCTCAAGATAATGGCTTGGGTACTCAATGCTGCTTACAAGAGACGTCAATCGGAGAGGCTTGGCTATCAGCAGACAATCTTGAACTAACCTTTGAAGAGTCGAGATGTGCGGAACGCGATAGCGCCAAAAGAAGCTGAAGTATTGCCTATAGATTACTGCAAGGACTAATCAAGAGCTTCTCTGTGCTGTTTTGAAAGAGTCGAAATCCTTTCTATTATCGAATAGCGAATGACTAGCCAATTGCAAATTATCTTCCGGGGCTGTGGTTAGTAGTCTTCAAATTGTGAACAGCAAAATCATGAGACGAGAATGCAAAGAACATGTAGGATCAATGTCGACGTAAAATGTGGGCAGCAAAGTCAGGCTTCGAGCTCGTGCATTGGCAGAGAGGGTCGAGGAAGAGGTCGACCAAACAGGTCAACCCTCGATACCTAAGCTAATCTCCAGAAAGCATGCCTCTAAAAGACACGTGAGAGCGCAGAGATAGCAGAGATGGAAAGCTAGTAAGGATTCAGCATACCATGAAGAGGTCGAAACCCCTGGAATGAGTGTTTGGCTGTTTGTTGCTGCTGGATTCCTGAAGTCCCCCCGGACACCACCTCCTCCCTTCACCTGGAATTCCTCGTGTCTTGCGTATTCCACCTGAACTTCACAGTGTGCTTCACCAGTTTGGATAATCAAGGTTTGTTCAGTGCCTGCAACCTACCCCAACTTTCACATTACAGGTAGCCCAGTATTTGGGGGCTTATATTGACTTGGAATGCTGATGAAGTGTCTACACAGAATAGGTCAACGATGTCTCCTTCTCTCCCCAGTATTTTCTTCTAGCACCAAGGGCATTTACCTGGGTTTCCTGGTCCTAACCAAATTATCGTCTGCCAAGTTATTTGATCTAGCGTGACACGAGCCTGCTAGCATCTACCAATTCATCCCTATGAACTCCCACAAAGGGAGAACTTGTTAAACATTAGGCAAAAACCGACCCACTACAGATCACTGGAGCTTCTACCATTTTCGTTCCAATGATTTGGCCCTTCATAACCAGAAGGTCCTGCTAGAGTTTGGAAAAGAGGGATGAATATGATAATCGCCCCGAATCTAGGGAGGGCATTCAGCAGACAAGAACGAGCATTCTCACCCCACCTTTCTTTTCTTTTTTTCTCTTCTTGTTCTTTTTTTGCCAATGGTATGCTCCTCAAATATGTACATTTGAAGTGGAGCCATTAATTACCAAGGGAAATCCGGGGGGTTAATCCTATCATGCTGCATTTTGAAAATATAACTTGCTGCACAACGTGCAGGTCGAGTCGACAACGTGGAGATGGTCCCGGTCTCTGTCGGTCTAATGAGTGAAATGAAACGAGCTTTATTGACTCAGTAGTTGCATTGAACCATATTCAAAAGGGCAACTTATAGCTTGATGGCTCCATCATCAATGCGCATCCCGGATCGCCCATCGCCACATCACCGACATCAACTCCGTCCACAGACCACCTCCTTTCGCCATTCCCGTGGTATTCGATCAGCACATCAATACCGCTCATCATGCGTTTGTATATTTTGCCGGTTTCTCAATTGAAGGTCTAATCGAGTCCGTAACACCACATCCAGCGCATCCCATCCTCCGCACCCTGGAACTCATAGAATTGCACTGTAATACTATTATCAGTGAAGGGGAGTAGCTCTTTTCGAAGCCTGTAATTACGCTCATAATTCCATTTTGCGGCCAGAAAACAGAATATTCCCCTGCTCCAGCGAAGAATGAGGTGCGATGCGTCAATACAGGTCGGTGTGTAGGCCTGTGCTACTCGAAATGGGTCTTTGTTGAGGGGAATGTGATGAGCATAACGAACATCGGCATGGCAATAAGAACGTTAATTCTGAAGAATATATCCCATTTAGAGATATAAGAAGAGAAGTCAAAGCATGATTCGGGCTGTGTGCAGAATAGAGATGAGGCAATTACAAGCAAGGGATGAAACATTCATGCTTCCGCGCATCTCCTCATACCAGAATTTCATACGACCAGGAATCCGGTAGAAAGGGCACAGCAATCCAAAGAAAAAGGATTTATTAAACCGGTTAGTTTCCACTGATTCTGCGCTTACTGGGTATTCAGTAGGTTCTGCCCGAGTGGACTTTTCTGCATCTTCCTTACCAATTAACATGAACCTATCACGTGCCTAGCCTTTATCAGAACTTACTAAATAGTTATTAAGTATAGCTAACTATAAGGATCATATGGCCGTTAGTACCTAACAGGGAACTTTAACAATCATTCAATCATTTTGTCAAGTGCATGTGTACCAACTGGGGAAAGATCTTAGCATGGGTGCTGCCATGCTATTGATGTAATCGGCTGGCATATGGTATTTGCAATATGGAGCAGGAGTTACAGACTGAAACATGATATCAGTATCTTTGGTCTGCTGGCTCTCTTCTTATGTCCCCATTCTTCTTTTTTCACATAGGGATTCTTCCTGTACCTTGTTGAGTAGACCAGTTACCATATCACCTTAAGGACACAACAGAGATTCCTTCTAGAATCTCCAGGGTCTGTAATCGGAGTGGGGAAACACGTCTGATGTAATTCTTAATGGGGGAGACGAGGCTGGATCGCAGTGCATGAGAAGAGGCAGTTCAGAGGACCTGAATTCAAGTAATCTTATCAGATTCCTACCTAAAGTCCGGCGGTGTCCTCTTCGGCACTCAGCCCCGAATATCAGCTGCAAGTGCCAAGATAGCCCAATTGGCTTTTGTATCACCATTATTCATCTCCAGGGTCCAATGCCAACTGACGTGAGATGAGTCACGGAAGGGGAAGGGGAAGAGGGGTGATATACAGAATCGGAAGGCGGTACGGCCCACCAATCCTCTGCTCCGTGTCCGATACCTCCCTCTATGCCGAATTCCGATGCAACCACGGGAGGCACAATAGGGACTACGGAATTTCCACCCCGGCCCTCATGCAGGTGAAGACAGACTCTATCTTAGGCCCATATTATACACGTGTAGATCGTCGGCAACATCCAAAAGGTACTACTACTAACTCTTGGCGGCGGGCAAGCATCTGTTGTCGTGCCCTAGGCAACACGGCAGAACTATTAGATAAGAGAATGGCCCCTACCTGATCGGTAACTGCAGATGGATGCGATTGGTTTAGGATTTGCATACATGGTCCACTCCCCTCGTCATTGGAGTGATCACCGTAGAAGATGAAGGGATAATTGATAGACAACCCAACAGAAAGTAGTATAGCCTAGTAGTAGACTGGTCAGATAATTCCCCCAGACTGGCCATATGATTGAAATGGCGCTGTGTACTCCGTGGAGTTAGTTGACTGTAGGACGATTTGTCAACCCGGGCGGTCTAGATAGATAACCATGGTGGACGACCGACACGTGGTGGGGGCCTCTCAGTCTCGGGCGGTCTTCTTGATAATACTAACACCACCAAAGCCCGCTCTCTCCAATCGAAGAGTTTCGGTACCCTTCTGCATCGGATCACCTTATGGCGTTTCCTGCGGCCCGTCGCTACTTGTCCTGGAAAAGAGGAAAGAGTGGTATTACCGCCACATCCTCCCAGTCCCAGCCCACTCTCCCTCCCCCTTACCCACTCCACTAAAGATATATAACCAACCCACCTTCCCACCCACCCACTTTCCAGTTTACCAATCCCTTTCAAACTCATTATCTCTAACCAAATACCCTTCACTCCAACCAATTCCTTCAAAATGTCTGGACTCAAGGCCGGTGACAGCTTTCCCGCTGACGTTGTCTTCTCGTAAGTCCCCCCTTATGTAAATTTTTTTTCTCAGGGACCTCCTATCCTAACATTGGATCGTTGCACAGCTATATCCCCTGGACCGAGGAGAAGGGTGAGATCCAAGCTTGCGGTATACCCATTAACTACAACGCTTCCAAGGAGTGGGCCGACAAGAAGGTCATTCTCTTCGCCCTCCCCGGTGCTTTCACTCCCGTCTGCTCTGCTCGCCACGTCCCCGAGTACGTTGAGCGTCTCCCAGAGATCCGCGAGAAGGGTGTCGACGTCGTTGCTGTGCTCGCCTACAACGATGCCTACGTCATGAGCGCCTGGGGCAAGGCTAACAATGTAAAGGGTGATGACATTGTATGTTCCTTCTACCCTCCATTGCCGTTGAATTCCTTGATCAACTAACCCGGCAGTAGCTCTTCCTTTCTGACCCCGAGGCCAAGTTCTCCAAGAGCATCGGCTGGGCCGACGAGGAGGGTCGCACCAAGCGTTATGCCATCGTCCTTGACCACGGCAAGGTCACCTACGCTGCTCTTGAGCCCGCCAAGAACCACCTTGAGGTAAGTTGGATATCTTATATCTCCCCCATCTGTCTCCTACGTGGGCATTGGCTCATCATGTCTTTTAGTTCTCGAGCGCCGAGACCGTCATCAAGAACCTGTAAACGCACCAACTAAAACGATAGAGGGTCTAATAGAAGGCGTCGCTATTCTGGTGGGCTTAATGACCTGCAAAGGCAAACATTCATGTTAGAGTTAGACTGCCCACTCAAGAATACAACGCGATTACGAAGCAATGAGAAATATCTTCTTTGGATTTTTTTTTTTTTTTTTTTTGGACTCCCGTAAACGTGCTATGATGTCAGTGCCCATAACCTTAAAAGCTGCGTAGTACAAACTAGCTTCATTACCCCAGTTTCCAACGATCTTGGGCGTTTTTGTCCCCTCAGGCCTTTATTATTGGTTGCTGCATGTGTGCGTGTGTGGCTTTTTTTCGGCCGGGAAAGACGACGCGCTAAATAAAGCGCCTCTGGGCATAAAATTGATTCGAGGCCCGACCGAGCACTACGAGTGCGAACCACCAGAACACGAAACAGAATTTGGCTTTCCTCTTCGTCGTCGTTTTAACCCTCTACCCTTGGCCAAAATGGCCCTCAATCCTCCTTCGAAGCGCCCTGCTCAACCGGGCAGACATAATGGCTCCGCAGCAGCCCGGAAGCGCGCCAAAACCTACGACGCTCGCACTTTGGCCGTCCAGTCTGCAGACGCGGCTCTGTCTGCTTCAGGAGAGCTTGATGTCGCTGCGTACGTTGGATCTAGGGAATTTGAGATTCGCGCCTTGGAGGTGGGCATACAGCGGTCTAAGACTGCCTTGACCACTCGTGCGTTCCAGCAGGTGCCTAGGTCGATGAGAAGGAGGACGGCAAGTCATAATGTGAGGAGGGTGCCGAGCAGGCTGAAGGCACGCGCAAAAAGAGAGGTATATGGGTAGTTTTCTTTCGTATTGTTAAATAATCCTTGAATGAGTTGAATCTCGCTAATTTTCCCACCCTCGAACTAGATGATTGAGGATAATACGCCAACGGTAACAGCACGACGAAGGAGGCCAACAGAACTCATGCGAATTCGATTGGAGACCGCCAGACGTCTTCAGAATCTGAATTCCAAAACCAAAGCGAAACGCGCCGCTTCGAAAGCCAAACATTGTAAAGAAACGCAGAAGTCCTTGGAGGAGTCCGGCGCTCATGCCTTCAATATTGCCCCTCGTGTTCCTAAGATTAAGAAATATAAGCTCTCGCGCCCACCGCCGCCCGATTCCAAATATAAGAAGCGCCAACGACATAAGACTTGGCTTCCCACGCACATGTTCCATGCGAAACGAGCCCATATGACTACGACGAAAGATCCTCTCTGGCGATTTGCAATTCCGCTATCTCCAACGGAGAAGAGCTATAGGCCTTCACACCGGGCAAAAGGGGTTAGGGGGGCTGTGGCTTGGGATATGAGCTATATGTCTACGATTCAGCTGGAGGGAACAGAGCCGGCTTTGGAGAGTGTTTTAAGAGCTGTTGGTATCAATGGGGAAGATGCTTGGGGCCCGAGGGGCAGGAAATGGAGAGCAGGGACAAGAAGCTTGCCGGTCTGGACTTTCGAACGCGAACGTCTAGAAAGACCTATTGCACCAGTTACGTTGATACAGTGTGCTGAGGCCCGTTCGGAGGATGTGGAAATGCTAGACGCTGACAACACGGCTGCTCAAAATGAAGTGAAGAAGAAAATGAATAGAAAGAAGATATTCGTCCGAGTTCACCCGGCTGCATTTCTGCAGCTGTGGAACGAACTTCTCAAAGTTTCGAAGCAACAAAACCCACCGGTCATGATCGAAGACCTTCGGTTTGAAATTGGGAGCATCGATATTACCGGTCCGGGCTCGGCCGAAGCACTCATCTCGGCCTTAAAACCATTGACGGAGGATGGGAAGGAGGCACCGGAAAACAGCCCAGAGGCTACCTGGGGATCGTTGCTTGGGGTCTCGAATCCTTCTTCTCTGCCACAGAACGCGCTTATTGCCTTTTCAGCTTCCGATCCCCGTCTTCACTTCCCACCTACGAAGATGAAACCACGAACCTCCGATACCGAGATGCAAAATTTGGCCGTTCTGTTATCTACATGGCCTATTGATAAAACGCAAACACCACCAACACTTTTCGACCGTCGTGCGCGATTAGCCGCAGCGCGCCAACTACCTAGCCAAAAGGCTATAAATCGACGGCGTACAGAAGCTGGCCCAGGGGTATATGCGGCGCCTCTACCTTCGGATCCAAAGATCCCAATAATTGTCCTTGCGACCCGGTCGATTGCACAGTCTAGGAACAGCAATGCCCCGGGCACCTGGACTGTTCTGCTCCCGTGGAAATGCGTACTTCCTGTGTGGTACTCTTTGATGTACTGCCCGCTGTCCAGCGGCGGGAATCCGAGATTTGGTGGGCTGAAGGAACAGCAACAACTCGCGTTTGAAGCTGGGGAGCCTTGGTTCCCCGGTGATTTCCCTGGGACAAACGCCGGCTGGGAATGGGGCTTGCGCGAGCGAGAAAACTCCAAACAGGAATGGGAGCGGAGACCTAAGGGGCGGAGAGCGGAATTCGACAGTCTTGATTTGGGGAATGGCAAGACCGGAGAAATCGGACGAGGTTGGGCGTGCGACTGGGAGAAACTTGCTCAAATTGCATCAAACAGCGCCATGTCGGCTTCCAAGATCACGAAGAAGACGCAGAGTTCCAAAGCCCAGAGTGACACTGTCTCAAACGCAGAAGCCAATCCTCAGAACGACGTTACTACTGCTCCCCCACTTGGTATACACCAGTTACAACCGGCCAAGGCTTCTCGTGCAATAAACGGCCCCCCAACTACCAATGGAAGTGGAAATCCTGCTCTCGCCACGGTCCAAATATCATTATTTAAACGAGGCACTCCTACTCCTCGAGCTCGTATCTACCGTCTACCTACCACGAACCCAGAACTTCGACAAAAATGGCTCTCACTCGCCTCCAATAAAACAGCCGAATTAATAAACATCACACAGGAACGACTGCAGTCATCGTCCGTGAGTTGTGACCCTGCCGTAGGAAAAGAACATATCCAGCAGCGTCTCGCTGCGTCTCTGATCTCTCTCCCTGCCGTCGACGATCCTCGCCAGGAATATCTGCCTCTTCCGCTCGAAGAGGATCTCATTGGGTTCGTGACGACCGGAAATTATAATCTCTCCGAAGGAAAGGGAACCGGTATCGGGTCGATCATGGTGTCTAAAGTGATGAGTCAGTCCGGTCAGCAGAAAACTAAAGCTCGTGAACAAAATATGTGTATTGTTCGGGGGGCTGGTGAGAGGGTAGGAAGGTTGGGATATTGGAATCTTGTTTGAAATATAATGTGTCTTGCCCATTGTATGGAAACTCTGAAGTGTGTTTTGGGTTGAGGTACCCTGTCTTTTGTTTTTGCCTCGAAACAATGTAAAGTAATGATAAATCTATGATAGTAAGATTAGATTTGGACAGTCCTGCACGGTCTGGAAAGTGGCATGCAATGAGATATAGACCCAAGATAATAAGTAGATAGATAGCTATACAGATACACGACAACATAACGCGAAGGATCCCACGAATCTATTGTGTACGGAGCACAGCACATAGTCACTTTCTCCTTCCCCTACTCCTCCCAGACACACACCTACTCCCCTCCCAGAGCAGATCCTTAACCAACAACGCGATCCACAAACGCCTCCTCAAGTCGAGCCACTTCACGCTTAAACCCCTCAACCTCCTTCCAACAATCTAACGGCCGCCGATCATTCAACCGCAGACAACTCACAACGTCCGCCTTGGCCTTCTCCACGCCAGCGTCCAAATCTGCCAATTTCCTCCGACCCTCCAGTCTCGCTCGCAGCTCCTCGATCTCACTGTTCACCGAACCACTCGAGATATCCCGGTTGATCGGCTCCGCTACCGCCGGCGCAGGGGTATATTCATATTCACGGCCGGCGAACGGAATCCGCGGCGCGTCCAGGTCCAGTGATCCAGCCGGATAGCTGGCATTCGCTGCTGCGGCGGGGGAGTACGATGGCCCGCTGCTGGTGTCCTTGACTTCTGCAAGGCGTTTCTCGATCTCCGCGAGGGTTTGCTGTTCACGCTCGCGCAGGCGTTCCAGTTCCTGGGAGACGCGGGCTTGGATCTGGAGTTCGAGGGTTTTGGAGCGAGCAGAGTCCGTCTACGTGAGTGAGAAGAGGGAGTTAGATATTTGGGGGATGGTCCGTGGCTTGTGCAGGATATCGTCATACGCACCTCGGTGTTGGACTGAAGGGAATCGACGACATTAGAGGAGAATTGTATGGGGGAGCCGCTGGAGAGAAAATTATGTTAGTCAGTTGATCGGTATGGATGGTTGTGAAATGTGGACGTATGATTCCATCTTCTTTATTTGTCTCTCTCTGACAGTATTTTTTTTTTTTTTTTTTCCCTTTAATGCTCCGCTATATTGAAGATCTCCGCCAACAACAATGGGACAATGCTGCCCAGGTCTCCTCCCCAGACACTGCGCTTCACATCCAAAATCCCTCGCATAGACAGACTTATCCCTGGGCTAAAGGAATTGAGAACTGTGACCAATACATACCTCGAGAATATATGTTTGGAGCCCGCCGAAGACTCGGGCTTGGAGCTGCTGGAGCCCATGATGGTTATGGAGACGGGAAACGAGGGTTTGAGCTCCTTTGCTTTCCCGGGGAGATCAAGCGTCTTCCGGGGTCTTCAATTGATGGCTCAATCTCAGAAATCGGTGGTAGCAGGGCCGTGGGCAAGTCCAGCGTCGTTCAGAGGGATTCGCACCTGTTCATCGTTCCCAGCCGACTTCCGCCGGTGGTCACGTGCGTCATTGCTTAGTCATTTGACACTTTCCTGATCTAGCGTTATGTTGTTGGCTTTTTTGTTGGTCGACAATGCGAGGTCTTGCAATATCTTGGTTTATTTGTACTTATACGGATTGGATCACAGTGCGATGGAAAGACCTTTAGATATATCATTTATATCAAATCTAGAGGATATCAGGCCCTCCCCAGACGTACGAGATCAATATCTATAGTATTTATGAGGGGGCAGTATGCACTAGCAAAAGGATAACTATCTGTCCATTCACAGGCATTACTTGATCCCCAGGTACTAGGTGAATATTCTGCAGTTTAAGACGACTAAGCCGTCATCTCTTCCCCGCCTTCTTAGACAGACTCCAGACTACCTACTCCTTGAGTCCTTAGTACTCCGTGCTGCAAATCGGTACAACCTTCCATGCCATCTCCAGCCAGCAACTCAACATGATAAGATGATCAGAAATGCGACGAGGATGGGGTTCACCAATCGCTGAAGGTGCCACGGAATGGCAGGCTTTTCCACTCGCTTCCCTGGCCGTCCCTCCCTGCGATCCTAACCATTGTCTCTCACCGGAGGCTCCCCACACCGTTTCATGGCGTCATGGAAATACCCTGCCACGTACCAAGCATGTAGGTAAGTAAGTCAGGAATAGCAATACGATAAATTCGATTTCCCTGCATACAACTGCAAGCCCACCGGATAAAACAGGAGCAACGGAGCCCTGGAGGAATCGTGGGCTCCCCCATCTTCCGGCGAACCCGGTGATCCTGTTGGTCTGCTCTCCGACAAATGCCCACCACTGACCTCATCGACCCCTCCTGGATGTGGATGCCATTTTCTCTTGCTTGCACTTCATACCAGGGATTTATTTGATTCCACAGGGTCACGGTTTTTCTGGGCTCTTTTTTTTTTTTTTGGCCCGCGATTTTTTTGGGAATTGTTTTTTATTTCATTTTTGCTCCCACCTTATTCCCTCTTCCCCACTACGGACCATTCTTCTCTCCTGTACTTCCATCCAACCTTGGTCTCACTTCTTCCCTTACAATCTTTCTCTCATCGTTACCTTCCTTACAGCCATGTCATCTACCGTATTGGACGAGGCCACGCGGATTGCCCGCCAATTCGACTACCCCGCCGCCGAAGTCCAGCGCGGGGTGAAGGAATACATTCGCGAAATGGAAGAGGGGCTAAGTAAAGAGCATACCACCCTCAGTCAGATCCCGACCTTCGTCACGTCGGTTCCCAATGGCACTGAGAAGGTACCTGCTTGATCGGAAGAGATACGCTGCATTCCACCTGCCGGTCTAACTTTTTTGCCTAGGGACTCTACTTGGCCGTGGACCTCGGTGGCACCAACTTCCGCGTGTGCTCGATCGACCTACACGGCGATACCACCTTCTCTCTGACCCAGTCCAAAATCATGATCCCCCGGGAATTGATGGCGTCGGGCTCTTCTAAGGACCTTTTCCTCTTCCTCGCCCGACAGATCGAGGCGTTCTTGCGCATTCACCACAACGAACACTTCGAAGCTCACGCCCGACGCCGACGGGAGGGGAAGACTGAAGAGGAGCTCTTTGACCTGGGATTTACGTTTAGTTTCCCCGTGCGCCAGATGGGAATCAACAAGGGCACGCTGATTCGCTGGACGAAGGGTTTCAACATCCCCGATGCCGTTGGGCAGGACGTATGTGCGCTCCTGCAAAATGCCCTGGATGAGTTGGACCTTCCCGTGCGCGTAGCCGCCCTCGTTAACGATACAGTGGGGACGCTCATGGCTCGTTCATACACATCCCCCGGCGAAACGGGGACGTTCATTGGTGCGATCTTTGGCACGGGGACCAATGGTGCCTACGTGGAAAAACTCGGTCGAATCCCCAAGATGGAGACCATTGAACACTCCGACTACGATAAGTCGACAGGCGAGATGATCATCAACGCCGAATGGGGCAGTTTTGATAACCACCTTAGCGTTTTGCCCAACACTGTGTACGACCAACGGCTCGACGCTGACAGTAACAACCCGGGCGTCCAAATCTTCGAAAAACGAGTCTCGGGGATGTTCCTGGGGGAGATCCTGCGACGCGCTTTACTTGACATGTACCATAACGGCTCATTGGATCTCTTCAAGCCTAGCGAGTCGTCGGACGTTCTTGTCCCCGAGAACTCGACCCTGTTCAGGCAGTGGGGTCTCGACACCAGTCTTCTGAGCACCGTCGAAGGTGATAATACCCCGAACTTAGAACAGACCAGGACCGCGTTGAAAGACCACCTCAAGATTGAACGGGCGAGTATCACAGACTGCAAAGCGGTGCAGATCCTTGTACACGCCATTGGGAAGCGCGCCGCACGCCTTAGTGCAGTGCCACTGGCTGCCATGTTGATCGCCACGGGGAAGTTGCAAACCGAAGATCTAGTGGATGTTGGTGTCGACGGAAGCCTGGTCGAGTTCTACCCCAATTTTGAAGGATATATCCGCGACGCGCTGCGAGAGGTGCCGGAGGTGGGCCCTGGTGGTGATAAGAAAGTGCGTATTGGCATTTCTAAAGACGGGAGTGGAGTTGGAGCTGCCTTGATTGCCCTCGTTGCCAGCAAGGAGGAGGCCAGGAAGAAGAAAGCAAAATAAAAATGCCCCAGCATTCGGAAAAGCATCCGTGGATAAGAGTTTATTCTCTGTACCTTTCTTCGATGCGTTCTCTTCTCTTACGCCTTTGAACCGAATTTGTTGTCCGACCCCGTCTGGTCTACGGAGCGAAGGTTGATCTAGAATCAAAAAGGGTTGGTTTCTGAGCATGCGTCCGGTGTTAGTAAGAGTTCCTGGGAGGAAGGGTGGTGTACTGGTATAAAATATATCCTTTTTTTTTTTTTTTCCTTTTCTTTTTGGCGTTGCATGTAGTTGTCAAAGATATCCTATGGCAGGAACATCGAATTTCATTTTGCATACTTTCTTCTCTCCTTTCTTCCTTTCCTCTTTTTTTGTTTTCCCCTTGAGTTTGCCCCTTGCTTGACCTACTTTATCATTCCAAGCATGCTTCAGCCTCGCGAGCCTAGAAGACACGGCATAAATGGGCGATCTCGTCACACCGATCGGGGCTCGGGATCGGAAACAGCAGGATCCGTGCATGTTTGTGCCCGTTCTGCATCAGCCCTGCTGAATAGACAGTCTCGGAAGTAGTCAAGCTTTGTAGCCGAGTCTGTAAAATTCAAATTAAAATGTAAATTGGGGCTGGCTAATGTATGTCACATTTCAATAGTGGCGGGAGGGAGTCCAGATGATCCCATTGGGATCGGTAGCTGAAGAGCACTGTTACCGATGATGAAGATAAAGATGACCTGTTCGAAAAAGAAATATTTCTCGTAGGGTTTGCATATGTAATTGTTGTACGGAGTATGGAGTACAGAGTACAGAGTTCTTTAATAAGGGCTGCGTGAGTCCTAGAGTGCTTGTTCACTTGCGATCTAGTTAGGAATAATTAAAGTATTAGTTAAGTGCTTATTTACCATATGACTAATCACCGGTGGATGCCCCTACAGTAGATGTAATTCAAGATAGGCTCAGGATGAAATGCATAATTATAGAATTCTCTGGTGTCTTTTAAGGTCCATTTTCTGGCAATTTTCTTATTATTATACATAGTTCGACGGATAAGATTGCATCCTGAGCCGACATCTAATATTGGCTGGGAACATCGTGGACATCGGTGAATCTTCCATGCATCATATAAACCAAAGCAGTACGGACTATATTACCTAGGCTGTCGTCAGTCTAGTCTATTGTTTTCTTCTTTCCAAGACGTAAGCATGAGTGTGTCCAATCGGAGAAGGCTAGTGGTTCTACTCTGTGGTACCCTGATTATACAAGAATTCCCTCTCGAGTAGTAAAACTGTCAAAGGAATATTCAATCCGACGAATACCAAAGGCAGTCCAAGAGAACGATTGGAATCAGGTTACACAATTACGTGGGAATAAGTCAGACAGAAAGAATTCCAAGTTATGTATACACTTACAAAGTTATACATTACATTCTGTTTGCTCATCAAGTGAATACCTAATATCCCTGTCAATGCCGAGTATCGTTTCCTCTTGTGGAACATCCAACACACAAAATACCACTCGTTTTTCTCTCACCTAGCTGGTTCGATGTTCTCTTTGACCCCCCTTGCTAGTATTTCAAACCCTTTTATCTTCTTATGTTAAGCCAAAGCTGTTAATCACGTCCTATTTCGTGGCCCATTTCCCAATCTATACACCGTTCAAGTATCATGCAAAATACCCAGGGTGAGTTGGGCCCGCAACCTGTCGAGGCCGCTCCATCGTCATCGCAGACAGATTTGATCGAGAAGCAAGTTCACGACAGAAACCATTCGATTGACAAGGAGAGTACACTGGTTGAATCTATACGAAATGCAACTCCACCAAGAGTCCTAGATGAAGCAGAAGCGCAAGAGTCAAGAGATAGGGATATTAAAATGCAGATTCTAGGGGACAGAGAGATGAATGAGAGAGAGCTACAAGGGGAGGAAGAAAAAACAGAAGTGGAATACCCCGGTTTATGGAGACTGATACTGATTACTGTTGGCTTATGTCTCGCGATCCTTTGTTTGTCGTTGGTGAGTCCGCATCATGATCCCGTCATTCTGCGTCTCTCTAGCTTACAATATTGGCCAGGATAACACCATCATCACCACGGCAATCCCCAAAATAACAGAGCAGTTCAACTCCTTGGAAGATGTTGGCTGGTATGGAAGCGCTTACATGCTCACAACGTGTGTCTTTACGCTGTCATTCGGCAAGCTCTACACGTATTACTCCACCAAATTGGTCTTCCTGATCGGTCTATTTATCTTCGAGATAGGTTCCTTGATCTGTGGCATCGCCCCTAACTCGGTAGCGTTGATCATTGGACGTGCTGTGGCCGGTATGGGAGCCGCTGGGCTATACTCGGGAGCCATCTTGATCATCGCCCAGACAGTGCCACTGAACAAGCGACCACTGTACACAGGCGCACTCGGAGGTGTATTTGGTATCGCCAGCGTAGTTGGGCCCCTGATGGGCGGAGCCTTCACCGATCACCTCACCTGGCGATGGTGCTTCTACATCAACCTGCCCCTGGGTGGACTGACTTTTCTTTTCGTCCTTCTGTTGTTCAAGGCGCCCAAGCCGGTCAAGGCTCGATCGACTCTGAAAAACCAAATACTAGAGTTGGACTTGCTTAGCATGATATTCTTCTTCCCAGCTGTTGTCTGTCTACTACTCGCGCTGCAATGGGGAGGTAGCCAGTATGCCTGGTCCGATGGTCGTATCATCGCTCTGTTCGTTCTCTTCGGAGTACTCATCATTATGTTCATCGGCATGCAGGGGTGGCAGGGAGATAGGGCTACAGTCCCTCCTAGATTGCTGAAGAACCGCAATGTTTCGGGTGCCATAGTATTCAGCTTCTGCTTATTTGGAGCTTTCCTCGCGGCGATATACTACGTAGGTGATACCCGCCAAAAAGTAGTGGCTTAACTCGTCTTGCTAATAGACCTTGACCAGATCCCGATATGGTTCCAGGCCGTGAAAGGCGTTTCCGCAACCAAGTCCGGTATCATGAATCTCCCAATGGTTTTAGGTGTGACCATTATGTCGCTAATTGCGGGGGTTCTCACCACCGTATTCGGCTACTACACGCCGTTCATGCTTTTATCGCCCGTGATCGTCACCATCGGTGCCGGAATGCTCACCACCTTCAAAGTGGACTCGGGTTCCCCAGCCTGGATCGGATACCAGGCTTTATTCGGCCTTGGAGTGGGCATGGGATCACAACAGCCTATAATCCTCTACCAGACGGTGCTATCGCCGGTAGACGTGCCCACCGCGACGGCCATGGGGATGTTCACGCAGACCCTGGGCGGCGCCCTCTTTGTCTCCGTTGCGCAGAATATCTTCAATAACCAACTTCGGGGGAACATGGCGACCCTGGCGCCTCACGTGGACGTCGAGAAGGTGGTCCAAGCTGGAGCTACCATGCTGCGACATGTGGTCTCGGAGGTGGATCTCCCGGGGGTTTTGCAGGCATACAGCGAATCCATTACGCGGACATTCTTTATTGCCGTTGCAATGGGAGTGATGGCGCTCTTTGCGGCGCTTCCTATCCAGTGGGTTTCGGTGAGGGGCAAAAAGATCGAAATGGGTGCTGTTTAACACTTCGTGTTTCCAACGCTTATGTCCTGCACGCGAGAAACTTCATATTAGTATTTCTTTCGAGCTTCACGGTGGATAGTTATGGAGTCCGTGAAGTGATCCAGCGAGCCAAAAGAAATACAATTGGCCTACCTAGATAAGCGATTGGGTACTGATTTACTCTTTCTATTAAATGATATAATTTCTCTAATATTAATGTATTATCTAAATCCAAAGATAATGGACAAGGATATTCCAGTCCATAAACCCTGCCAATGGATTCTACACAGCCGCATATAGACTCAGATAAATACTCCAGACAACACCACACGCACTCCCAAACACCACCCTCCGTTCCACGGGAACAACCGTAAACAGCAGTGTCGACACAACAGGTCGATACTTGAGTCGAGCTATCATGATAGGTGTGAAGTCCTATAGATATCAGATCATCCTGAACGTCAACATCAACCCACCATCCCCCCAAAAAGAGAAGAGAAACAAACCTCCCAAACCAACTCCCAACTCCTCGTCCACCCCATCCCCTTCAACAGATTAATCAAAACCACAAACAAAACAATATTCACGACTGATCCCACCGTCTGATCTAGCAGAAACTTCATCGAGAAATTCCACAGGCCTGATCTCCTCGTCTTATTCCGCGCCGCCGGTTGCAACCACGCAGGCTTCTCCTTCACTGGTAGGAGATCAAGATCAATATCAGGGTCGAGATCGAGATTGAGATCGTCTCCATCGCGCTTCTCAGCATCAGAAGTAGTGCCTCGTTTCTTCTTCTTCTTCCACGAGGGAAACCCCGGATACCATGCCTCGAGGTAATTCTGCCATGAGAAGTTGATGGGGAGGATGAGGATGGCGTAGGTGACGAATTGGAGGAGAGCGAGGGTGTTGAGGGAGAAGGGTCTCTTTGATTTATTAGTATATTCTATGTATTTTTCTAAACCTTATTTCTGTTTGTGTTTATGCTTGTGTATTTGGGATTTGTCTTGGGTGGAATTGATTTACGGAAGAAAAAGAAATCTACGTACGTTCTTCTTGTGCTGGTCTATCACTTGAGCCAGGAGGTTGGAGATTGCGTTGAGGATGGTGGATTGGATTAGGGTGGCGGTGAAAGGGGAAGGGGGCATTTTGAGGATTTAGGTGGTTGTGAGAAACATGGCTGATCTTCAGGTTAGAGTAGGATATGGCAGATCTGCTCTGCTAATGTTGATGGAAGGTATAAGGTCTGTGGTTGAAGTTGGAAGTAAATAGTGGGTTCACGTGTGGGGGGCACGTGTCCTCTTCAGGAAATTTGATTGCGGTTTTCCTTTTTCAGCTCGTTCCCCTCTCTGGGTCTTCATGTCAACCAGTTCATGAAAATGCTTCGTTATTGAATCTACCAGAGATAAAAACAAAACAGCTATCTTAAAACTCTACACGCCTCGTGGATTCGGACTGCAGGATCTCCGGTAAACCAGCACATTTGGACCGTTCTTGGCGCTCGTGAAATGATCCACCAACGCCAAATGTCCTCCGGCGTCCTCTCCTGTTCGATCGGCATACTCAATATCAAACAGAAACATCAACCGTGCAATCGTGAGGCGCATCTCCATGAATGCCATTCCCTTGCCAATACACCCACGGGGCCCAATACTAAACGGACAGAATGCTTTCCGAGCTACCTCAACGTCATCCTTGCTAACAGTCCATTTTGTCTCGTCCGTCTGGCATGTCGCTCCCTCGATCCACCGCTCGGGCAGATATGCCTGTGGCTCCCGGTAGTACTGGGGCTGTCGGTGGATAGAGTAGGTTGGGGTTCCACAGTCGGTGCCGGCAGGCAAATAAACACCATCCACGGTGGCGCCGCCTTCCATGACTTCGCGCGGAATTGCTCCGGGCACCGCGGGCGCCAGACGGAGCGCCTCGTCAATGCATGATTTCAGGTACACCAGCTCATTCAGCTTGGCGCCAGTGACAATTTCTTCGACCGAATCAAAGGCCTCGCGGACCTCCTTCTTCAGCAGATCCATGGCTCGTTGGTTTCGTACCAGGTAGAAGATGGTGGCTGCCAGGGTGGTCGAGGTCGTGTCGCTGCCTGCGATCATGAGCACGTTGGATTCGCCCCAGAGTTCAGGCGTGGTGAGCCCTTTGCCGGTCTCGGGGTCCTTGGCGTTGAGCAGGTAGTAGAAGAAATCCTTTTTGGAGTCATGGCCAGCCTTGGTACGCTCTTTGGCTCGTTCATTGGCCTCAACACGAGAATTCATGATGAAATTCCATCGGTCGTTGGTCAATCGATGGATGACAATCTGGTCCAGATGCCAGCTATCCAACGGCATCCAGAGTCCGCACTGATTGAAATTAATGTCCAGTCAGACTATGCCTAATCCTGCAACGCAGACAAGGATCAAACTCACCACGTAGTGCCGATTCGCAGCCCGGTCAACCAGCTCGATCAGCTTGCGCCGGCCACTAGAAACTAACATATCAAAACTCTTCCCGAAGCACAATTCCCCCATCACGTCGTAGGTGAGGTAACTGAACCAATCACTCATATTGCGGACCACAGGCTTCTGCTCCCCGGACTTCTGGCCATCTCCGCCCAGAGCCGCGCAGAGCTGCCGCACATGCAGAAGCATGACGTCCTCCATGCTCTTCAGCGCCTGGTCCGAGAACGCCTGGCTCAGCACGCGTCTCTTCCGACCATGCATGGTCTTATCGATGGCATTGTGCGTGTTATACACGCCCTTGATGGCCGGGAAAGCGTTGTAGAAGTCGGCCTTCTTCAATCTCTTCCCATGCCCATAGATATCATGCAGTCCCTGCGTGGAATTGATGGAGACGAAATTAGGCGTCACGCGAACATGGGTCCCATACCGCTGATGCAACGCATGAAGCCACAGATGACGATCACCTTTCAACCCATGATATAACTGAACCCAAGGGGTAATACTGGCCAGAAACGGACCGGGAATGTTACGAAGGGGATGGAACAGACGATTATAGGTAATATAGACGAACGTCTACCACGATCAGCCAGCCCATTCACCCCAGCAACCATGAGAAAAAAGGGAGGAACAGAACATACTAACGCCCCCACCAGGACCAACGCCCCCCTCGCCACTACCCCAAGCGACAATACCTCACACAATGGCTCCAACAACATGATAGTCTAGGAATTCAAGAAAAAGCTTAGTCACAATGACGGAATGGACCCAACCGACACTAAGCGCCTCCAACCGAAACCGGACACTTTCCCCGCATAAATTCGTCTGCGATTTCTTCGACTGGTCAGTAGGATATCAGAGCCAAGTGATTGGCAGGTGGTTTTTGGATTGTGGGTAAAAGGATGTTTAACTTGGTAAGAAGAGCAATTCATTCCCCGGAGTCGAGGCTCAATATATATTGATTTCTGGGCTCGGTTAGATTCGGACTTAGACTTGCTTAGTTTTGGTATCTTTAGTAACTATCTGCGCAGGCGACAGTAAGGGATGACATATGCTACAAAATGCGACGTGGTCATCTGGATGGTAAGGGGATGAGATCGTACTTTCGTTGATTGGTAGGTTTGACGACTTGGATTTATTCTGAGGTTTAGGTTACTACTATCTATCCTGCGAACTTCCGGTATACCATTACTTACGTGCTGATGATTGACGGAATTCCACTGAGAAATAAGTGAAGTAATGAAGTAAAATCAAATAAAATGTTGGAAACCTTCCAAGCGTGCATTGCTGATGGCGGCAACTCTACGTAGGAGGAACGTCATTGAATGGGTCAATCCAATCATCTAACTACCTCACATATAACTTTCTAACTAACTAACTTACACCTACTTACCTAATTACCCACACTTAGTTACTTAAACACTTATGACGGATTATCTGATTGGTGTAGTCTATTCTCTATACCACAGATATACATATATACACGTGACAGTATCAGTTTTGTCTTGAAGTCCAGCGGATCCCAATGTATCCGATACGTAGAGTATGCTCACAGGTGGATGCGGCTGTTCGGCAGGGAGAGTTGAATTAGAATGTCTAGGCCAGATCTGCAGTCTCTCGAAAGTTGAAACGAGTATGTCGTACTTAAGGTAGGTAGCCGCACTAGTTTTTGAGTTTCGCATCAGTCGGACCTAACCTCTCCTGGCTTCTGACTGACTTGACGACCATACAATATCTCGTAAAAGATGTCTAGTTTGGTAATATCAGGGCATGTATTATTTCATGTCTGTACAAGCTTTAGTTAAGCGTATCCGTATGCTCCACCATCTAAGATCCATTGTTCATTATCATCGTTATCGTCCTGAACACGGCGCCACGTCTGTTGTCGCTCTTTGCGTGCCGTGTTTTCCGAGACTTTACCATCCGCCCCCTTCCATACCGGCCGTAAGAGTCCTCCGGCCGCTAGAAGGGGGTTACGACTGAACGCTTCGTCGTTGCTTGTTCTCCCCGTGTCATGACCAAGAGTCTCTTCCACTTGAGCCTGCTCTTCCTGCTCCTCTGCAGATGGGCTCGGCTCCGCCAGTCCAGCCGAGTGATAAACCCTGGTCAGCCGACCGCCTTTGATATCCAAACTCATGATGGTCTGCTTTTTCTCCCATTCGGGACGCGCTTTGTCTTCCATTTCGCGCAGGATGCGCTGCTGCTTCTTCAATGCAAGTGCCCGCTGCGCAGGGCTCATCCATAGCGTCGATGCAACATTCGGTGTCTCGAAGTCCGCCGCCTCATCCACGACCCGCGTTCGTTTGGCGTTCTGCGCCTGGAACTGAAGCAATCGGTCCCGATGCACCTTGGCTGCGTCCAGCTTGCTCGAGCCACCACTACCGCCGAGCCCCGGTCCCCCCCCATGGTGGATACCTTCGTTATGGGCGCGCATTTTCTCCTGTCCTCGCTCTGCTCGTAATTCCCGGATCATACTCTGTATATCGTCGCTCGATAGGAGCGGCGTCCCGCAGAATGAACACGGCTGTAGACCTTCCAGCGAGCAGATTATCTTCCCGCAATTGAGACAGTTAGGCGCAGGATCGAAGAGTGGGTGTAATGTAGCGTAGCAATTGCAATTTTGGCCTTCACCACTGAGTGTTGGGTTGGTGGACACCTCCAGGGCGGCGATCGCAGCCGTCAGATCCGAGATATTCGTCGTCGTTAGGGAGCCCTTCGATGCACCTGTGCCGCCGTGTCCATGTCCATGTCTCGAAGAAGACGACGATGACTTCGCCGTCTTCGACTTCACATTCGGGAGAAGATCCGAGATCACCGGTCCCGACGCGGATGGTGGGTTTTTACTTGTGTTAACTGACTTTGGGACAGGGGATGGCGCCGGTGACGAGGAGGCGGAGGAGTCCTCCCGAGATGAGGGTATAAGAAACTGGGTAGTAAGTCGCGCATCCGATCCTTTTTCTACGCCACCTGTCTGCTTCTCTTTCCCGATCCCTCGCGACGACGATGCAGACATGTAATGCTCCTCCTGATCTGCTTTCCTATATCCCCCGGTTACATTGCCGAAGTTCTCCGGTTGGCGGACAGGGCCAGCGATGTGAAGCGGGGGTTTCGTCTTCTTGCCCTTCTTTGACGGAGTACCCGCGGCTGGGCTCGAGGTTCTGGTGGAGGAAGCGGAGTCGACAGCTCGAGGGTGCGGTGCAGGAGATTCTCGTCGGGCACTGAATGAGGCGATGAATTCGAATGCGGCGGGGGAATCACCCAGGAGGTTTTTGAGATGCTCGGCGCCTTCGTCTTTGGATAGGCTGGCAGCGTAGCTGAGAATCTGCCTGAGGGATTCTTCGTCCAGGGGGAGGATCTGGGACAGACGGGGAACTCCCCATGCGAGAAGGTTCGTGTCAGCCATGGAGGGAATGGTAGGGGCAGTTCATTCATGAGGCAGAAGAGTGGGATGAAGTGAAGCTGTTCGATCTCCTTTCTGGACTAGCGCGGTGGAGGCCGTGTTTTTCAGGCCGCCATGACGGACACTGCAGCACGTAGAGCATCACGTTGGATTCTATCGGTAATAGATGTTGAGTAGACTATTCTATGTTCTGCGTTTGGCTACATCTGTGTGAATTAACCGCAAACTTTGGATCCTGGTACTTTGGCCAACTATTGTACAGTGCGTAATGCAGACTGCATCAGCGTCGTCATCTATCCCTAAATGAAACTAAAGCAAAGCAAAAATAGGAAAGCCAGGGCCGATCGAGTAATAACAGAACCGCGAAGCGAAGGGGGAAAAAAAAAAAAAAAAAAAGTAAAAGTAAAAGTAAAAAAACGACGCCTAGCATGTCCCAGACTTTTCGACATGATGTGCTAGAGAAGGTCCCCGGTGACGCCTTTGATGCCGTATGTACGTCAAGATCGTTAAAAAAGAAAAGAAATGGAGACTATGTCCAAATCCCGTCTCCGACACAGACACACCTGTATATCTGTAAAGAAGACAATGCAGACTCTGTAAAAGACGAGGAAAACAACTAAGGAAGGGAAAGAAGGAAGAAAGAAGAGAGAGCGACTGATATCCTAGGCAGGTCCTAGGCATTGTCCCCGTTCGCCTCGCCTTTGATGTCACCATCACCGGAAGCTGCAGCGTCGGCAGCCGCAGCCATGTCCGGCGTCAGGCCGTTCTTCAGCTTACTACTGGGTACAGGGGTTGGTTTTTGACCAGAGAGTTTCTTGGGGGCACCCAGCTTCTTCTTCTTGGGAATAGCGGATGGCGTATCTTCATCCAACGGACGTTTGGGAGGGGCGGAGGTAGGGGTGTTATTCCCATTCTCCATGGGCGTTTTGTTCCGGTTGATCTGTCGCCCCGATAGGCCCAGGCACCGATCAAGGTGTTGCGCAACCCGCGTCACGACGAAGTACCTCGGACAATTCGGACATTTGACCGTGGGGAATGAGACCTTCTCCGGCGCATTTTGTTTAAAGGAACCATCAGGGGTCGTAGGAGGACTCGAAGCTGGGGTATTAGACGTAGTGGTTTGTTTTTTCTTCTTCGGGTTCAATTTGTCGGTCGCGAACGGATTTCCGTGCACATCATAGCCGAGCTTGTTGATCACCGGCTGCTTCTGGCAGTACTCTCGATATGGATCAGGGGGCGGCCGGGCGCCGACCCCAGTGACAGGGTATAGAAGACGTGGTAGTCGGCATTCCGGACAGATGATTTCCTTGGTAGTGTGAAGCGGGTTCCCCTTGAGGAAGACCTTTCCATCTTCGAACATGGCCCCTTCGGTTTCCACGCGGAGATCTTTGAACTCTTCACAGTCGGGGTCACCCGAGTTCAGCGGGTTGGTTGCCTTATTGCCGGACTCTTCTCGTCGTCTGGTTGCCTCGTCTTCGGCCTTCTGTCGGGTCACAACGACGGCAGAGCGCATACGAGCGACCTTTTCGTCGCGGTGGACTTTGGCAACTATATCATGGATGATGTTGTAGAACGTGTTATTGAGGATGTCGCAGGTCTGACAATGTTAGCCCGCTGGATCTGAAAGCTCCACGACAGCCAGATGCCATGCAACCCGCCGTACAACGACGCGACGTGGAAACGAAGCCGGCAAAACATACCAGCTTTGCAATGGTCCCTGAAGGGAGTGAACTTTCCTGCCCTCCTGTTCCGTTGGAGTCACCCATTTTAGAGTATACGTTTCTGTAGAACGAGAGGGTATGGAGTCAGACATGTTCAAGAGTATCGAACAATGGAGGTGGTGGAAGTGGTGAGAATAGAACAGTGAATAAGCATAGGGGGTCAGCAACTAGGCCCGTAAATGGAAGAGCTGCCTATTGTCGCATACACAATAGAAAGCACGCAAGGAATTGGGAAATGCAAGTCCTCATGAGGTCCTACTATCCCCGTGCCTTACGATGCTCCATGTCATAAGACTAACCTTAATTATTCCCAATGTAGCCAGACCCAGTATCCAAGACAGTGCCCCAAAAGTACCGCGTTATACCGAAGTAAATGACCTTCAGCTCAACAATGAGACTCCATGTACTTCTGTGTTGTATAGGTCGACAACAGGAGTCAAGGACGCGGCGGAGCAGACCGATGAGTCGTGGTCGACGGATGGATCGGCGGAACAATCGATCGAGAGACCAACCAGAGTCAATAGAGTAACGAACAGAAAGAGCAGCTATTGAAGTCCATCTGTCGGCCAGCAGTGGTCAGTCAGGGAGGGATTGCTGCTGTCTGTGGCGAGTGGCACGGTAGGGAGAATCAGCCGACCGAGCGTTGGTCTCTCACGCAGGGAGGGCCCGCTCACCTCTGTTCACATCCGATAAAAACCGACCGTATATATAAAGTAAGGGGAGCCAACTCCACGACCTAGATGAGAGGCAGCATGCGACAGTCCCACCGCGGGGTTTGTCAGGGAAAGTCCTGGGGCGAGTCGCTGGGAGGACAGACAGGCGAGACGAGGCTTTGTGCTGGCCTTTTGCAGTGCATCTTATCTTATCTCATCTCCGCTTTTTCTCTCTCTTAGACAGTGTTGCCTCTTTGTTTCTCTTGTCTCTTGTCTCTGGTTCTTGTCTGGGACTTCCCTTGGATTCTGGACTATACGTTGACCATGGCATACCAGTTCTTTGCAAAAGCCCATCAGTCCAACAAGGCGTCCACTTCCCCCCCTCGACCCTCTCCTCTCCCTTCGTCCTCATCCTCCGCTCAGAATAACCAACACACCACGTCTCCTATTCAACCTCCATCACTCGTGGCTCTGCAGAACTCGTCCTCGTCGCATACCAATATCGCCGCCAAACTCAAACCCCCAGTGGGTGGAGACCCGATCTTCCAAACCGTGGCCTACCCTCATCCCATCGAGTCTGGCTATTCAACTCCGCATCCCCACGTCACCATCGAGCCCGTCAGCACCGCTCACATACCTTCCTTGACGCGAATCACCGGTCTTCTACTTCCCATCCGCTACCCAAACTCGTTCTACACTGCGACAATCACGGACCCCGTGATCGCGTCACTGTCGCGCGTATCCATCTACCATGATCACCCGGTAGCAGCAGCGGCGGCATCGCCGTCGACGCCCGCAGTCAATCTGGGAACGAGCACGGGAACAGACAAAGTCATTGGAGGCATCCGATGTCGACTGGAACATGTTCCTCCCATGATGGTTCAACAGCTCCCGGCTCAATGCCTCTCGCACCCCCGAGATCCGACAAATCTGTATATCCAAACGCTTCATCTCCTCTCTCCGTACCGAGGCTGCGGTATTGCTGCCTCTCTGCTTAATTCTTTACTCTTCTCAACTCCTCCATCTTCTTTTTCTTCCTCCTCCGGTCCCCGTCTGACCTACCGGGTCTCTCCGCTGGTGAAACATTACAACATTCGTACCATTACGGCCCACGTGCACGAAGCCAACGATGAGGGTCTGAAATGGTACATTGCGCGTGGGTTCAAAGTAGAGGATGGGGTTGTTGAGAACTATTATCGTCGTTTGAAGCCGTCCGGCGCGCGAATCGTGAAATTAACCCTTCAGTGGGACAATGACGATCCAGATGTATGTACCAGTCCCGAGTCCCGAGTTCCGAATCAACTTGAGCAGCCTGTGGACGATGGAAACCTCGCCTCCCGAGAAGAGGAAGATGATGACGATGACGATGACTGGGAAAAGGTCGAAGCGGACGATGACGATGACCTCGGCGTTCGGCCGTTCTCAGGCTCTAAACTGCTAGATGCAGACGATAGTATGCGTAGGAAGCGAAAGGCCAATGACGAACCGCAGCGATGATAGTTATTTGTTTGGGTATTGCTCTTGTTCGGCCTGCTCCAGTTTCGTATCATTTTCTATCCTTTCCTTCCTTCCCCCCCCCCTTATTAAGCCACCGAGGATACCCCTGAATAGTCGCTTACTCAAGATGTACAGTCCTTGCTGTGTTTGGTTGATTTTGTCCGCCTTTGTGTTTTACAGGTGAAGTACATAACTACGTGCATGTGGTTGACTCTTGGGGTTTGTTTTAGTTTATAGGTAGACAAACACCGTGATACTTGTATATCCAGTAAACCATGCACAGTAGGTCATAAAGTAGATTATTATCAAACAGATATATGCACAGTTAATTCAAAATTCCAAAAATATACAACCATTAGCTACATACATAAAGACTGAGAACAAGACCGAGATCAAGCCCGATCTAAACAAACAAGGAGGGTATCGACAAATAGGAACGTTTATAAAATCATCAACGCATGTCCATTAGGCAATCAAACCAAAACAATCAAATGCTATAATTCTCCGCATGCAGAAAGATCTCATCCCTGGATGAATCCGTTATAACGTGCTGCTGCAGTCGGGCCGTCGTGTGCGCCACCTCCACCCTCATACTGGGAGGACCACAGACAAACACGCAAGCCCGACGACCAAAATCCCGCGAATACTCGGTCAGTAGACGCGGTATATCCGGACGCATGTAATCAATGCGCCATCCATTGCGTCGGTGTAGTGGGAGGGATGCGAAGCGCGGAACACCCCTGGCCGTTGTCGTCGTCGGGGTCAAGGAGAAATCAAACGGAGAGTTCTTCTCGACGCTGTCAGGTGTCCCTGATCCTGACCCTGTACCTGTCCAGCTGTGGTATTGGGAATAGTGTCTGCTTGTGTTGATGGGGGGCAGGGTGCGCGCGGGGGCTGGGACTGGTAGTGCAGTTATTGCGTCTTCGTTCTCGCGACGAAGCTCATTTTCCATCTCCGGGTCGCCGGCAGCTTCTTCGCGGATGAATGCGGAGTCTCGTTTGTCGAAGCCCTGGAGTGTATGGTAGATTTTCTCTTGGACGAGGTCAGAGGAGGAGAGCCCGCGGCCCTCCGGATATAGAGGGGAGGTTCCAGTGGTGAGGAAGAAATGGAAGTGGACGGAGTTAAGTGGTGCAGAGTCTCGGCAGATTTGGAGTTCTTCTTTGAACCATTCGACTGATTCCGGGTTCCGGAAGGCCCAGACGACTCGGACGGACTTGGTCACTGCTTTGTGGTCGCGCATTTTTTTGATCAGATCGAGGAGGTGGCTCGCAATGGCAGTGATGCCGCTTCCACCAGCGAAAAAGGTCACGTCGTCGAACGCGGCCATGTCGCGGCGCATGCCTCCGTACGGACCTTCCAGGAAAGCGGTCCAGGTCTTGTACGGACCGTATTCAAAAGCCTTGAGGAAGACTTGGCGGGTGAAGCCGCCGAAGGGTCGGAAGACGAGGGCGAGATCCCGGTGCTCCTCCCCATACTCGGAAGGGAAGTCATCGCTGCAGAGAGAGGCGATGGTGAAAGGGTGCCGTCCAAAAACGGAGATGCCTGGCATGCGCAGGTACACGTACTGGCCCGGTTTCCATCGCATTCGGGTGGCAACAGTCACCTTGACAGCGTTCTGGGGAAGGATGGTAATTGCAGACTCCTCGCCAATCAAGAAGGAAAGCCGTAAAGGGTTGGTCCAGTTGAGATAGAGGACTCTCACAATGAGCGATGCCACCCAGATCGCAACAGTGGCCCAGAGATAGTCCCACGATGTCAAGAAGTTCTTGCAATGCCAGAAGAGCATGGCGAGAAAGAAAATGGACAGCGGCATATGTACCGTCACGAAGAGCTCATACATCCATGATCGGAGGATGGGCAGGGAATGGAGGCACAAGACTATCAGAGGCACGAGAGCAGCGAGGCCCGTTCCGTAGGTGTATATATTTCGTGGAAATAGTTGCTGATAGTATATGAAGGACTGGCTTTCCCAGACGGGTGCCACATAGAAGGGAATCATGTGAATTAAGCTCAGGAAAAGGCAGAGGTAGCCCGCCCATCGATGAAGCACATTCAATCTCTCATGACCGATACCGGTCAACATACTAATGAAGTTGGCTCGAGTGCTGAGCGCAATAATCCAGGGGATCATGGCCACGGCAATCATTCCCGCGCGGATGGCCAACGGAGGGGACCCAAGTGCAATGGAGGTGTAGTAGAGAGGCTGCGGAATGAACGAATAGAGCGTGACGAAGATCAGGGCCGCCAGAACAATAGCGGATGCCCCAAGTGATGGAAGCACAACCCGGAGCTTCCATACTCGTAGCACTGGCAATGGCCGATAGAAGATCCAGCGCACGAATGCGATGGTGTTGTTGATCGGCGCAAATGTAGACACCGAAGACTGTTCTTTCACGTTCTTACTGCCCGGCAAAGGACCTCGAGCTGGGAAAAACCGCGCAGTGGAACTGTCGGTGGCCGCACTTGGCAGCTCATACTCATTCTGAGAGCTACCAGAGCCGGGTGAAGCTGCCGTGGGATCCTCCTTGTACAGGGCGATTCGGATCTTGTCACCCCATGTATGGTAAAACCGCACCACCGTTGCGATGCCAAGTAGAATCACACAGAAATATACCCAACCCAGGCCGTATTTACCAGCCCGGGACCATGGGTCTCTTTGAAGCTCAGCGATTTGCGCTGGGGAGTAGGATGCAACTATGGGGATATTGATTCGCTTCGCAATCGAGACAGCCGAATGCCATAGAGTCGACATAATGCTTGCTTCTGGAGGCAGTCGGTCACGTCAACACACAAAGGGAACCATTAACACTGATCGACAATTACAGAGATTATTTGCTGGACCTCGACGCAATATTCTCCGTATGTACTCCGGGCATACAACCAGCTCAAGGCGAGGATCAGCCTAGGAGAGTAGGAAAAGACGGGAAAGACGAGCGAAGAAGAGGAGGGGATTAAGAACTGCAGTGAGCTTAACATGGTGTTGTCCAACGATGATTGAATGGAAAGACGATCGATCATTGCTCGAGGTATTGTCGAGCTGCAGGAGGAATCCCCGCTAATGCGAGAGCTGAGTCCGCCGTCACCTGTGCTCGCCCAGAGCGACACCAGATTGGCCGCTGCTTTCCAGGTCGGCGCCAATGCAGTTCTTGTCACTCGTTCCGGAGATTCGTCACCAACGGGGGGTAATGAATGGCTCCAGCTTCTTTAGACCACTAGGCTCCTTTGTTGGAGTACACGGTGGCCACTGGGTTGATGCAATAATTGCGGTTGGTTTCCTGCGATACGCCTTTGCTTTTGTTGGTCACTTACTTTATGCGTTGCTATACTTGGCAGGGTAATTTCGATCTACTGTTTTCTGAGTACCACAAGGAGTCAGTTATCAACGTGCTAGGACTGATAGAGGGACCTGGAAGGCAGTTAGTCGACCAAGGAACAGATGTGGGAAATATTAGGCAATGAGATACTCGTGATGATAGGATGTATGTACATACTCATACAGGAGAATGTAGATAGAATAGTCTAGAACAGGTCTTGAATCTTGGGCTAAAAAAAACAAAAAAAAAAAAAAAAAATATATTATGATGATCAAGACAGCCGCAACAGCAAGTGGAAATAGCATTCATGAAGGGAACAGTGAAGGGAGCAATCTCAACCAAGTGCTGCCAGTATTGTAAGTAAGATAATTTCTTATGATGGGTATTTTAAGACTCCGTTGCCAAAAGAACAGCTGAACGCAAAGAATGATTCGTTCAAGAGACAGACGTTAGGAACTAAGCGATATTCTCATTCACTGCGGGGATAGAATACATTCCGTGTCTCGATGTCCCCGGTGCCAACTGATGCCGCAGTCCCAGCACCATTCATGCCGACATACGCCGCCTAGAATACAACAGCGGTTAGCCATCTACTTTGTATTGATTGGGGCGCCACGAGAAACAGGGAGATGCATACATCGGATGTGTTTCCCCGACCTTTCCGTGGGGACACTGCAGGCTGGACAAGGCCAGGTCAGCTCCTCGATTGTCCGTATCCGCATGAGCTCGCTGTGTGAATCTTCTTCGCAGACATGAGTCCATTCGTGAGACTCAGAGGATACATCAGGGGTGTTTTCGGGATATGCCTCGATGCTATCATTGCTGACTCTGGGATTAATCATGTCTTCGTATTGTGCACATGTCAGACCCTCGTGCCAGGGAGTCTGCCGGTGGATAAAACATGTTCGAGTGCCGCATGAGCCGCATACAACGATTGGGTCTTCTAATCCACCGGCGTGTAGCTGCCCATACCCGCAGTCTGATCGGATGCACATGATGAACTCGGCGTCTTCCTCCAAAACCTGCCAAGTCCGCCTGCGATCATAGGCCTGGAAGGTCCGTCGACTAGCCCACCGGTGGACCTCCTCATCGGATAGCTGTTCGTGACAAAGAGGGCACTCCAGTTGGTTCGTGTCCGATGAAGAAAGCTGTACGTCTAAGCTGCGACGGAGACAGCCGAGACATATATGTGTGCCGGGCATGGACGCATGATCACAGCCGGCTGCGATCGGGGCATCAGGAAAGAAATCGTCCCTGAAAGTCTCAAAGCAGACAGTACAGGTTAGAAGTGACGTGTTTCGGGCACTTATTGGGTTGTACGTCACGGGGCAGGGCAGAGGGCTCAAGGGTTCTCTGTGAAGTAAAGAAAGGACTGCACTGGCCGTGAACTCATCACTCCAGCAGTTAGTCCCTTCACCCAACATGGCGTTGGAGGTCGCGCCATATCGGATGTTGTCGCCCGTCGACACACTAATCTGCCTGGTTCTAGCCAGGGAGCGGTTGTTTGGACGTGGATTGCGATATGGCTCCTGTGAAGAATACTGAGGGGGTGGAGAAACACTCCGAGTGTTTTGGGAAGAAGGTAGGGCTTCTGAAGAAGGTGTGTTCATGCTTTTTTCCCCGAGTTGTCAAGTTCAAGGTCCTTCTGTGCAAGTGATATCCACATGCCTTGGTTCGAAATCAAGTTTTCTTCGGCAGAAGGAAGTATCTCGATTAACATGTTGCCAGAAATATGGATATATGGCAGAACATATGTTCCTTGTTATGTAGAAGCTCTCTAATGCACAGAGTGCATGTTATCTGTATTTAGAAGAGGATCCACTCAACGCCTATACGACAGTACACAAATTCCTGGTACACTAGAGCCAAGAAGGCATCATCCTGAAATAAATACGAGTCCAAGATATCAAAAGCGCCACTTGCCCCAGGTTCAGCGATGGTTAAACGATCTTCGGAATTAGACAACATTCCGACGATAGAGGGCGCGGGCAGGGTCGTTGTTGGTTGGAGAACAGACAAAATTGGAAACTACATACATGGATAATACCAGCGATCCCACGGTTGCAGCAGATCAAAGCAATGTCACGAAGAGCCCAATCGACATGGAACCCTCACCTAGCTAGCAACCGTGTCGACACCAATCGACAGAACACCAACGTGGAAGCCCCAGACAGCTCTTGCCAAGGGCATAGTTCAATTTTCCAAACGTGCACACAACTTGCCTGATGCAGCACACTTTGTGTGTTATTTGTCAAATTCGGCTTTCCTAGTATCCATGAGCGGGCCAAACCCAGAATTTCGCGGTCCGAGGCCAATTAGATTGGCAGTATCTCGTATTTATATTTAGACGAAGCGACGATCCCGCAACAGCTAATTAAGGATATTGGAAATAGCTGACGGAGTATACTTCGGGACAGCCAGGTTGGGTGAATTGCGTTACCAACAAGGGCATTTGCATCAGGTAGTAGTGTGGGGCGTCGTTTATTTGGTTCTAAGAACCCACGCTTGTTTGTGCATCGGGAAATGAAACTCGGTACATCACGCCAGCTGGAGACAAGAGCGGATTTTAGTCATACTCATCAAATAACTACCTAGCTAAGAATCGACATAACCTTCTCTGGATATAGTAGGGGTTCCTTTGGAGGTTGTCACTGCTAAATAGCAGTCTAGCTGTGGCTCAACAGCAATAGCGTTCAGCCGCAAGTAGATTTGGTCAAAGGAACACAAAAGGATCTATAAAGGATAGTTCTCGTCCAACAGCGAAGAAATTTCTCGCACAGAGAACAACGCGGGGGAGTAGAGAGTCGGTCCGTCACTTGGCAGTCTCCAGAAGTGGCATTGTGCGTCCGATGGTACACTCACCGCTTTTGATAAACTATTCTGCCGCCGAAAAATAAGTTGCTGCATCTTTTCATCTCCAAATAAAACCGACAAGCCTTACTTTTAAATATTCGCGCTCTCAATATTCCCGCCAAAACGATATTGTGAGCCCCTGCCACGGGGGACCTTCTGGATCAATAATGGCCTCAACAGCAGGGACTGCTGCCCAATCTACCCCTCCATCTCTTTCTCTGCCGCCCTCACAGTTCGCCCGGCTCCAACCTCATGCCTACCTTCTTGCCCACTTATCACCACCCTCATCAAGCAATAACCCCTCCATTCGAGCCAATGGCCGTGCTCCTACTCAGTTCCGCGTGACCTCAGCAAATGCAGGCTCATTGACTCATACAAATGGCAGCGCGGTGGTGAGAGTCGGCGATACTACCGCCGTATGCGGCATTCGCGCAGAAGTACTGCACACAGAAGACATTGCCTCATGGAGCGTGTCGAGGTCGACACCATCAGCTTCTACCGTGGCGAATAAGCGTCGGAAATTAGAAGATGCAACCGGAAACTCCAATGAGGGCGATGGTAGTAGTGATAGCGACGACGATGAGTCGCAAATTCAAGATCACAATCTCCTGGTACCGAATGTCTCCCTGAGCACCGGCTGCGCACCCGGTTTTGTCCCGGGTGCGCCGCCTTCGTCGTTAGCGCAGTCATTATCTCACCAGATTCTCACTCTGTTGCATAGCACGCCACTCGTTCGTGCAGACGACCTGCGAATCTGGTATCAGCCGCCGAATCTAGGAGCCGAGGATCTAGAACGGCACAATGAGAATGAACAGATGGACATGGACGCTCCCCTGGCAGAATCAGATGGAAACAATGAAAAGAACAAAGAGATCAAAGCGTTCTGGGTTCTCTATATCGATGTCATGATTGTCTCATTGGCGGGAAATCCTTTCGATGCTGCTTGGGCCTCTGTCTTGGCGGCTCTGCGAGACACAAAGCTTCCGCGTGCGTGGTGGGATGTTGACAACGAGATAGTGGTATGCTCGGACGTTGTTTCGGAGGCCCGGAAGCTATCTCTACGGGGTATGCCCATCTCGAGCTCATTTTGTGTCTTTGAAGCCGATGCGGCTAGCGGTTGGAGAGCTGTCGCGATTCCTGACGCCGAGGAGGAGAGGAAAATTACGAAAAGTAGTAGACAGGGCATGCAGCGGAGGTGGATCCTGGCCGATCCCGATGGATACGAGGAAGGTCTGAGCCAGGAACGGGTGTGCATTGTGGTGGATAAGGAACGCGGCGGGAAAGGCAAGACGACTATATTGAAAATGGAAAAGAATGGTGGGTTGGCTGTGGACAGTAAGGAATTAAGAGAGCTTGTTGTTGTGTCTGCACAAAGATGGGAGGAGTTCAAACTAATCTTGGAGGGAATGTGTTGAGGAGTGACTCTTTTGATTAAAACACGGTAGTTACGATTATAGTTGATAATATCAACTACCAGGATTCCCCAAAATCTTCAGAGATGGGAGTTATGCTCGTAAAGTACAGTAGATGACGTCCAAATCCATATGACTGCAACATGAGAACAACAATAACATAGACTCCACCGAACTCCGCTATTCATATCCGGGCTTCTATTGATAGCACAGGAATGCAACCACGCTTTTAAGCCGTGGTGAATGCGTCTAATTGTCGATAGCCTTCGCTGCATGTCTGGGACTCTTCCGTTGCCTCTTAGCAGGGCGTTCTGTAAGTTGTTCTTGAGCGCCAATGACAGCCCAGTTCTCTTCATCGTCAGGAAATTGTGCACCATTAGATGAGCTCGTTGCATCATCAGTTGAATCTTCCGTCTTAGCAGGCTTGGAAGAGCTGGCTTTGCGGGGCAGATAAAGGGACACCGAAAACAAATCCAAGCCCCTTTCTTTTTTGCCATCTGTATCAGACTCCTTGTCGTTTGCTTCGTCGTTCTTCTCGTTACCAGTCACCTTAGAGGACTTTTCAGACTGTGGTTTCTTATTGCTGAATTTCTGGCCCCTCGTGAAGAACTGACGGAAGAGTCCGATGTTCTTGTTGTCGCCTTCATCCGATTTCTCCTCTTCCTTACCGGCGTCTGTTTCTTCTTCTTCTTTTTCTTCATCATCATCTTCTCCACCATCACTGAAATGCCACATATGCTTTATTTCCCCTTTGAAGGCAGCAGTTCCCCATAAGGAGATCAGAACTCCAGGCACAAGATACAAAAGAGCCGGCTGAGGATGATCAAAACACTGCATCACAACAAGTGTTGCGATCATTCCAGCTACGTACCCAATTATACTAGCTCTGAAGTATGTCTTAGGGAAGACGCGAGCATCATGGTATGGGGGTTCCAACTCTGGTTCCTTCGGTACAATGGATCGAGTCCAAAATCGGTCACCCCAGCCCCCTGTCGCGGATTGGTAGACAGGCTTGATGAATTCTTCCCTATTACCTTCTGCTCTCGCTTTCTGAAATCCTTTCCGCACATAGTAGAGGTGCAGATCAAATCGGAGTGCCAGTCCCACCATCATTCCGGGAATAACAACATCGCCCAAACCTAACATGGCTAAAGAAACAGTGTCCGGGGGTTCATCAGGACCTGACGGGCGTGGAAACAGAAGCTTGATCGGCATGTCCAACGATTTTGCAACTGTAACCATCAAGGGAGTAAAAAACACAAAATAGATATCATAGAAGAAAAGCGAGCCCAGGATGAGGGATCCTGTCACGAAGGTGGACGGTGACATGAATTGCAGAGCTCCATAAGAGAAACTAAAACCCAAGAAATTGGTCAACCACCAAGGTTTTGCAACAAACGTAAAATAGCCAACCGCGGGCAAGGCCAGCAGGAAACCGAAGAGGTCCAGCGCGTCCACGGAAGTTTCAGCTCTGCAGATTCGGTATATGTTGAGCCGAACTTTTGCTTTCCGGTAGGCAACATTACGAACAGCCCAGAGGGTCTTGAGAGCAGTGTCTGACAATGGGATTGAGCTGATGATGCCAGGGAAAGGGGAATGCCGGACGTCGGAAGTCTCTGGATTAGCACCTTCACAAGACACCTTGAAAACACGATCCGACTGTTTAACCTTCCAAAGTTTGTCTCCATATGTGTACGTCCGGGGGAAAACAAAGGACCTCAGTACTGAAAGAGCATCCTTTAAAAAGGCACAAGCAAAGAACATGCCCATTTGAGAGAAGTAGAAACCCAGTATCTTGTTCAGCAATTCGGCGCCCATATAGTTGATCACCAGGTACAGTCCTCCAAGTGTGAAACCCGCAGTCAAAGGAAACATCAACGCATCGCTTGGTTGAAGAGTTTCCATCTTTCCCTGGCCTTCGTCATCTTCGTTATTTGACTCGTCATCATCTTCTTTTTGAGGCTTCGCGGCGGATGATGGTTTCGAGAGTGATGCATGGGCGCCAATATAGATCGGAAACAGTGCTGAAACAAGAAGATGTGCATAAGTGGGCACCAGAGGCTTGATAGCTGTGAGGTGGTAGATGACCTGGCCCAAGAGCTCTGCGAAAGGGCTGACCTCGTCCATGTTGACAGGAGGGGCGAAATCGAGCGTTATTTAGAGAGAAGAGTCTTGGTAACCTCGAGTTCTCATATCAAAGTAGCCAAGAGAGTTTGTCGTCCTCCTGGTTTGGCTACTCCATGGCTGTGAGACTGTTGTTTACTTGTGGAAAACGAGCAGCAGGATTGCATCACTCACCAGTCACTGCAGTGGGCGCCAAGACCAACATTCTTCCCCGCCGCCTTACAAGAAGTTTCCGGTTACCTCGTGCACTCAGTATTCATTCACTTTCCCACCTTACTGAACAAACCTTCAATATTTTCAATCTCTACTTCCGTCATGGCGACTGACATAGGCTTTGACACGAGCATGGTAAGAACCAGTTCTTCCATCATTTGCCTCAATTGGTGGCTGATCTCATACAGGGCTCGTTCACAGTGGAGCTTTACAACGAGCATGCACCGAAGGTTAGTTTCGCGTTGGCCTTCTACAAAAGGCCTATGCGCTAACAGCTATATGATCTTCAGACTTGTAAAAACTTCGCCACACTTGCGCAGAGGGGTTACTACAACAACATCGTCTTCCACCGCATCATCCCGAATTTCATGGTACAAACCGGCGATCCTACCGGCACTGGCAGAGGAGGGAGTTCGATCTATGGAGAAAAGTTTGAGGATGAAATACATGCAGGCCTCAAACATACAGGTGCCGGGATATTGAGTATGGCAAATAGTGGACCCAATACCAACGGCAGTCAATTTTTCATCACTCTTGCGCCCACCCCATGGTTGGATGGAAAGCACACCATTTTCGGCCGTGTAAAGAGTGGAATGAGAGTAATACAGCGCATGGGCCTCGTGAAAACGAATGGTGAGGATAGGCCGGTGGATGAAGTCAAGATCCTTCGTGCGAGGGTGGTGGAAGAAGGAGGACAAGAGTGAGATATTGGGATCCGCGAACATATCAAACCAGCGTTCACGGCTTATACCCAAATCTTCTTCTCACATGCCGTCTCTCCCATCTCAAGGTGCAATGATCAGGTTCGGTATTCTGGTGTCGGGCAGAAGCCAGCGACTAGCTAGAGATCGCGCTTCGTTTCGCGCCATGAGGGAATACTTGACTACGGGAGTCAAACATGCAATTTTTCACGCATACCCTGAGTGGAGAGCCTCCGATAGAGGCTTCCCGTCTGGTTACAAGTTTGCCTGTCCAGTGTCGACAGACATTGAGGTTCTTATACACAAACAGGCAAGAATTAGATAATATAATGTATCACTACAAACGAACTGCTTCTATCAGATGTTACCATTCCAGAGCAGCAGATACAGAGTGACAAGAATCCTATCTACCACTCCTATAAATGACAAAACCAATGAAGGCTTGTGCAAATGAGACGAGACTGCCATAATCAAGTTGGCAGTATGTCTGTGCAGGGCACCAGGAGTGGAATGAAGAGAAAAGGAGAAGAGAAGGTTGTGGGAAATCTCCATCTCCTTAAGCGGTCCGCGATATGGTCTAACTTTATTCGGTATGGCGTCTTATCTTTCTGCCTTAGGCATGAATCACATATCAACAGAGCTTTTCGGAACTCTCAATGCTGCAAATGCGACCAGTAGGTATTTCATCCCTCATTAAGGTAAACGGTATCATCAAGTTGTGATAAACATATTTTAGCTCTCTTAATTTGCAAAAAATTTCATATTATTCAGCCTTCCGAGGCTGTGTCATGCATGGGGTAGAAGCTATATATCCAAGCTCTCAGTCCACCAGTTAGAGAGGAGAGTGTAAATCAAGTCAAAGACTTTCTTTCATCGTATTGCGCTCCTCTATTGCGCAGGCTTACTATGGCATAACATTGATATCCCCCTAACTAGTTACTTAACTACAATGTTCGTCTTACTAACTAGTATCGTGGAGCTTCGAAGCACGTGACGCACGCGAAGCGGGTCACGCAGTATTTCTGCTTGTGCCCTCCGTTTTCTTTTCTCTTCCCAAATACTTTCGTTCTGTGAACGAATGGTACCCAACACACCACTCATGGGCTGGAAGGTCCCGTTGCGGAGGTGTTCTACAACTTGCCATCCGACATGATACACGGGTACGCTTTTAGTAACTAGTATCATTGAAACTTTGAAATATCCAGCTTTATCTGCCTCCTAGCTGGCCAGGATGGAGTCGCTAGCAGAGACGCCATGGGATGTGACAATCTCTGGTACTGGACTCGCGCAGTCACTTCTAGCACTGTGAGTTCAATTTTCCAATCCAACTGAATTGCATGACGCTGACATTGTTCAAAAGAGCCCTTTCTCGCTCAGGGAAGAAGGTCATCCATGTTGACCGGAACCCATATTATGGAGGATCGGAGGCCGCGCTTAGTCTGCAAGAAGCACAGGAATGGGTTAGCAGGGTAAACCAAGGTGAATGTCTCCTGGAAGACGAGGAATTATATGCAACTTGCTAATATCTTTCTATAAGACAGAACCTGATAACTTCCCCTTTGAAGATGCAGCCATTCACTGCCCGGATGGAACTCGCTTGTCAGCTTCCCGGACGTATACGCTGTCACTCTCGCCGCAGCTCATCTATTCCCGCTCTCGGCTAGTTCCTACTTTGGTATCTTCCAAGGTTTACCGCCAGCTAGAGTTCCAGGCTGTTGGGAGCTGGTGGATTCACAGAGCTCCATCGAGCTTAGCCAAGAGCGAGGATACCGCTGGCGGTCGAGCCTTGTTCCGAGTACCAGGTAGTCGTGAGGATGTCTTCGCAGATGACACGATAACTGTCAAATCTAAAAGGACTTTAATGAGGTTTCTTCGTCATATTGGGAAGCCTCAGGAAGATGACGAAGCTGGCGTCGAGGAAGACGATCTATCTCTCCCAGAATACCTGAGCTCCAAGTTTCAGATGCCTTCTGAACTTCACGACCCCCTACTTTCTCTATCATTATCGCAGGCTGCCCTCCAGCAGACGTCGGTCGAGTATGCAGTCCCTCGCATCAAAAGACATTTGGCATCTATTGGCGTATTTGGTCCTGGGTTTGGAGCACTGTTAGCGAAATGGGGTGGTGGCGCCGAGGTTTCTCAAGTGGGTTGCCGAGCACTTGCTGTGGGAGGTGGCATCTATGTCTTGAATGCTGGCATCAATTCTATTACATCCATCACTGAGGCTAGGGACGATAACCAGGCGCTTGCCGAAGTGCATCTGTCGAACGGCGAGACAATCAAAACCAAATTTGTGGTTGGCTCTCATTGGGATCTTCCCAGTCAAAACCGCCCTTCTTGTGACAAAGTGGCTCGGTCGATCACGGTTGTCTCCTCCCCGCTTGAGAACCTTTTCCCGATCACAGTCGAAGGCAGCCCTGTTCCTGCAGGTGCTGTCGTGGTATTCCCAGGAGCCTCTTTGGGCCGGGGGGATGATTCGTCCCCGGTCTATATTCTGGCTCATTCTAGTGACACTGGCGAGTGCCCGTCGGGACAAAGTGAGTATATCTTTTATGTTCCCAAAAAGATCCTGATTTCCGTGTTGCTCATATGATGACTTTTTCAAAATTACTTATCTACATTGCCTGAAATTGCATGTTGAAAATTTGTTGAACTGATCATGAGCCTAATGCTTTGCTGTCACCACACTGCATTGTTTTGCATCATGCTAACTATTACGTGTTAGGTGTTCTGTATAGCAGTGTCAGCGTTGCTGGGGCTGAAGGGCAATCTTTAATCGAAGAAGCGATCAATAAACTTCTTGGGTCTAGTGATGCAGGTGCAACTGTCCTATGGTCTCTGCGTTACACACAATTAGGCAAAGCTAGTAATAGCTCTAGGACAGGGACCCCTTCGCTCAACCGCCTCTCTGAAAATGTCATTTGCTTTCCTCCCGGTAACCTCGATCTTGCTTTTGACGATGCTATGATCGACATGGTGAAGGAGGCGTGGAAGCTGGTCATGGGTGGAGAGGTTGACGAAGACACGTTTATGGAATTCGAAGATCGCGAAGGTGCCTATAATGAGGAATGATTGTAGCTTGGAATCATTACGATGATTAACAGCTTCCCTGTTTCCCTGTGCACCTACGGGTGCGTTTCATGTACATCAGAATACATATTAACTATTGTTTTGGAATACTAGAATTATAGTTCATTTTTTTAATCCATCTGACGCTTGGAAACTTGACGTTTTAAAACTCTTGCATAAATAAGGCTTCAGGAGACATGTGATTAATGTCAAGATACATCCATTTCCTTCTGCAGCTGACATAGTTTCAACTCGACGACCCCGAGAATGGCATCAACTGGAGAGCTGAATCAGATATTCATGCCAATGCATTGCAGCCTACGATTAATAGTCAGGTCCGAGAGTGATATTCCAGTCATATCAAACCCCACAAAGAGAACCGATGTCTCTCCTCATTAGTAGTGATATTTCTCACCGTCCACTCCCAGAGATCCTCCTGCTTTGTTCTCGTCATAGCTATCCACACTCGACTTCATCTGCTCTCGTCCTTCAAAATACACCCCACTGGGTCACAACCTCCGGAGCAATAGTCAACCAAGCCAATGAGGCACCCGACTCCTCAGGCGTATGCACATTCAACGCACCAGTTACAACACGCACCACAGGAAGCATCTTTGGCAAAACACGATGCCAAATAAACTGCTCCATCGAGTTCGTTTCCCGCGCCAGTCCCGTCCCTGGCATGAACCTGGGACAAGACGCAACAACCGTCCAGGATCTACCCGTTCCCGTCACTATACGCTGTCGTCGATGTAGCGCATACGTCCAGAGCACATTCGCCAACTTACTAGAGGTGTAGCGCTGACGGCCTGGATTCTGCACCGAATCCGACGATGGACGAGCCAGGTCCTCAGCGGCTGTGTATTCCGTGTCGGGAAGACAAGACTTGCGCGCTGGGTCGTAAGTACCGCTCGTGGTGACGACGATGCGGGATGTACCACAAAGCCAAGGACGTAGGATCGAGAAGAGTAATGCGTGGCCTCCATGATTAATCCCGAAGGTACGTTCGACCCCGTCGATGGTGTAGGTTACTTCTCTTGGAAGTTGCAGACCCGCGTTGTGGAGTAGGGCCGCCAGACGCGGAACTTTCTTTCTTCCCAGGTTTGGACGAACGATCGGACTTCAAGGAGACTGGACAGGCCAAGATAGTGGTAGCCGACGTGTTGCTGGTCGAGAGGATAGGACGATTTGATATTCTGGGTGAGCGCGTGCCAGGTAAATGGCACAATGATATCCTAGCCTGGGGGTGCCACCAGTAAGAGAATGCTACGTTCAGACATGTTGGATTGAGTTGTAAATGGTGATTGGAAGTAGAAACTTACTATCTTCCAGTTCCCTCGTCGGGGTTTATATACGTTGCTCGACGGCACTAAGCGGACTTAAGGCTTGTCTTGCAAGATGATCGAGAGCCGATTACTTCCCTTTAGCCGTTGGGATAGGGGCAGTGATAACTCGAAGCGATTTACAGCCACGTACAACTACATCAACGGGGATTAGACTCGGGAATCATTATCCGATGGATTCCTACCATGTCAGGGTCCCCGGAACGAGGCGCTGAGGTGTTATAAAATTAGATACTAAAGACGATGGGAAAGAGTTAGCCGGGCACGATATAGCAACACGGGGGGAATACTAGGTGCAATACTGGCTGCAACAGCTTAATAGAACTTTGGATTGAATCTAATTGAAGAAACTCCGGGAAGGCTGCATTATATTCACAAACATAAGGAATAAACAGAGCTGTATTACCATACTTAGGGTGAATTGAATGCTTAGGGAATTTAGAAAAGTACGTCTATAAATATTCTCCTCCCCTCTGGAATCTCAATTGTTTCAACTCCCATATCTCCTGTTGGATATCAAGGCGAGACCAGCTGCCAAGTAGTATTTTGGTCGAGTGGAAAATGCTGACGTATCCCACTCAGCTAAAGATGTCTGCATCCTGACGAGACAGTTTATCTTTGGTTTATTCCTCCCAAGCATCTTCAATAAACTGTAATAAGCATCTATTATATCCAACCCATGAATCGCTCAGCGGTTCTAAGGCAATTTTCCATATGTTAGTCACAACGGATCCAACGGATCGAAGAAGATTCTTATCCGCATAACAAGATGCATGGTCTATTGCCTCACCGAGATACCTCAGCACCAGTGACATTCCTCAAGTAATATTTCACTCCCAATTTCCAACCAACAAACCCACCATTCTGCTTGTAAGCTAACATAATATAGTAGTATAGCATGTTATTCTACGCATATTAGACCATTTCTGAAAACGTTAGTTGACGTCACGTCAACCGGCAGTACAGCCCGGATGCATTCTATGCATGCATCATCACGTCGCCCTCAGAATCAATAAAATCCGGGATTGGTTAGAAGAGTCAAGGAGGAAGAGTCACAAAAGCTCTCAGAGTCCTGAAATTCTTCGAACTTCTATTTACGTGACTTTTCATGCTAAGAAAGGTCTCGCACCTATAGAACCAACTCCAACATGCCATTCCCAAGCTCAAACATGATCAGGTCGACTTTGAGAATGGACTGATCTTTGGTCGACGTTGGAACGGGAATGGAAAGTACAGCGCGTTCAATCGAGCTGGAGAAGAGGGCTGTCGTACTTTCTCATTTGAATGTTTTGGTTCGTATATAGGACAGCCTCTGCTGTCTCAGGAGCTAGCCAACGGCTCTAGTGGAATTCAGGTGTCCCAACGCCTGAGCACACCTTTTATGGATAATCGAATCAGTTTAGAATATATGACTATGGGAATATGCGTTGTCCATCTAGAGTACTCTCGGTTCTATTCAAATTCAAGGAGCACAGCTTGCTTTCTAAGTGGGAGATACAAAAATATATTGGGATTCCCACTGTCCATCATGCCAACAAAGGCATGAGCAATTCATCTAAGGATTAATGAGTCCTGCATACCTTCACATATTGTCACCACACACAGCTACGTTATGTTTGCCAAATAACATTCGAGTATTCGATATCAGCCGTATCTATGGGCTCAGCGCAGAATGGATTACCGTTAGAAGGGGCTTCCCCAAGTTCCGAGAGCTAAAGTTTGAAGCCTGTCCAGCTTGGAGTTGAAAATGAAAATATTTAGGCCCAAAGTGACTATCGGTACAGCCTCTTGGTTCTGTCAATTGGCGACGATACACGCATAGCCCGGAAAGTGCGGCACTAAAGTTCTGCACATCGGTCTTTTACAGTATCCTAAGCAACGTCTAGACACTCAATCAGTCAGTCTTACCCTCCTCAGCTTTCGATGCCGCCAACCTTCCGCAGGGTTTTGAGAAGCCAGCGCATCTGTGCCAGTTTTCCTACTCGGCAGATGGCAAACTTACCGCCATCGAAGGGCAAGATTCACTCAGCAATCTTCAGGAATCGCCTAAGAACGGTACCGATCAGAAACCGACTAAGCACGAGACCACCTAATCTCAGCCAACCGATTTCTATGCCTATGATGCCAGAGAAAGACTCCCGTCCATATGGGGACTTGCCTGTTGATACTGTCATTCTGCGCAAATCCGCACAGAGAAGGGCACACATTGGGCCGCTGATTTTGACCAAACAGAAATATACGAGAAAAGGGCACACAACCAGGGTAAGTCCTGGGTCATTAAGCACTATGCGGAGAAGAGATTGGATGACACCATTCTTCTAGTAGATAAGCTTGCCCGGGAAGAATCAAAAGCGAAGACATCTGGTTATGCCAGCTCTAAGAGGATTGAAAGGTATTCTATTAATTAGACATTAATAGAATTGGATAGCTAGCCTGTGGTTTAAGACGCCTGTCCGGCATCTCTCCTACAGCGAGGGACGTATATAAGATAGTATCGGGATAAGGAACACTATTCAAAATGGTCAATGTACCTACCCTCTCAACCACAAATGAACCACGCAAATCTGCGGTCACTATTAGATACCGAAGAATAAGAGTCGGAGCGACCCAAGCCACATACGAAGGGATTGACGCTCCTATACCGGGACGTCCTACTGTACTGGTTCTGTGAAATATCGACAACAAACATCTGTTTGATAGCTCCGAAAGTAAGTAGATTTGAGTTAAGAATATCTGATCCTCTACCTCAGCAATATGATGTTTTTATGGGTGAAGAAATCTACTTACTCTGCTATCAAGTCCCTAGATGCAGAATAGCCTAGAATATTCAAAGACTATCCTCTAGTTACATTCATTTAGCCCATCTCTATCAACGAATCTCATCCCATCCATACACCCTTCAGTTCGAACAATCGCGTTCCTTTGTACCAATAGGAAGAAATTTGGAGAATTAGGGGTGGTAACCCCCGAGGCAACTGGTTCTCCGGCAGTTAGGGCAGGGATTTTCAACCATAATATTTCTAGTCAGATGGATTGTAGCAAATATCAAGTTCAGCCCTACCCCACAAGCAACATCCACAAGCAACAGCAGAGCCTATGTAACGTGCACGGTATCTTCTGGATGACCGTTGTACTAGCGATCTACTCCATACAGCTCGGATACTCTCCATAGCATCGGCAAGCGATATCCGGCGCCATGGCTTCCGAAACAAACTTCGTTGCAAGAATTTTCTCTATACAATGCCAAGGGCAGCTTGTCTCATCCAGCCCAGCCTTATGAGATGCGTTTCATTCCAGTATCAGAAATCCAGAAATTGAGCCGCCACGTGACAGACCTGTTACAGAGTATACTCAGGATATGGGGTATAAAGGTGGGTGACTGCTCCAGAGTAAAGACTTACTGTGGACGTTTCACGGGATCAAGCCGAGCATCAGATTCTGTGGGACCCTAGAGGAATCACCCTGCGATCCCCGCTTGATGTCTCTAAGTAGGTAATAGTAAGTATGTTGTTACATCGGCGGGTCGATCGTCCACGGGCGGATTTCTCCTTGGCGTGTTGGACGATAGTCTGTAGTAGACTCTGGGATGTGGACATCAAAATGGTTGATATCAAGGATATCCTGTGACGTACGACCAGCTGGGTTTCCAATGTATACTGTTCCACGAGTATTCACGTTTAGTTACCGGACTATAGGAAGGAGAATTGAGCCAAGCCTGTTGATCAGCACCGTTAATTTGCCCTTTTTGAATGAATGTAGAACTTGAATAATATTTACGGGTTATTTAGTAAGATCATCTGTCCATCATCATGAAGATTCTCGTATGTTCACCCAGATTAGTGTCAGTAAGCCTAATGTTGCCACGCGTCCCTTGTCTGCGGCATCGATAGAGGTGATTGGATTGATCTGATCGGATCCACTTGTACGAAGTAAGTATCTCGAGTGGAGAGTCCGCTCCTGGTACCTTCCAAGTCTCAGCTGTCGAGGGTCAATCAGTTATCAGACATGATCCGAGTCAGTCAAGAGATATGAGACCATCTTGCCACCAGCGTCGCTTCAGCTGGCCTTACCGCCGCCCTATATACTATAATCCAGTGAATGGAAGCAGTGGCGGTGCCACTTTTTAGTATCGATACCCCTGTCCAGTACCTACCGGTACGGTACCTTACATTTGCCGGCCCACAGAGCCCTGTCTAGTGAGGGAAATCCAAACCCAACCTCATCACAAGCACGGGCGACTTACGGAGTACTCCGTACGTCCTGTGTACTGTGTATGTTGGACCAAGCTTACGTATGTTTCTCGGGTGGTGTTGTACAGTAGTCTATTAGTTTCCCGAGCACAGCGGCCGACTCTAATACGACTGACTTGGCTTTGTGCTCCAGCTTGCGACACCACCAGCAATCGTCGGCAAAAGAATTAGGGAGAAATCGAAGCGGTTGGTGGCAGGGGACACGCGGCCCGTGGGGCTGCCGATGCAGCACCCCTGCTCGGCGTGTGCGGATTGGCTGGAATGGCGGGATACCGTGCTGATCAAAGGGCTGTCTTTGGTGCGATTTTGTAGTTCACAATTATACTATTCTGCTGACGATTCCATAGATATTCCTTATGATACTCTGCATACTACAGAGTACACTCTTCAAATGCTATGTAAACCGCGATATGAAGAGAATCGTACTCGGTAGGCAGTAGAACGCACAAAACCCAAAAATAGCACCTTGTCTCCAAAGATGAAAACCAGTGGCTGTAAATCCACTGGAACCGGTCAAACCGCCCAGATTGACTATTCCCGACGGAGAGTACAACAATACCAGTTTGTCCGCCCCGCCTGCGGATCCGCCACAAAAAAAACACCAGAAAAAAAAAAAAATAGAGCCGCTCCACTAACAAGAGGGTACTAACTACTTACTTCTCTAGTTTCTGTCTGACCCTAACAGGTAATCTGTAAGCCAGCCGTTCGTGATAATCAGATTGGTTATGACAGCGCAAACCGACGGAGTCCCATGTCTGGGTCTCTATTCTGTAACATCGATTCTCCGCGTGTACCGTTTGAGATTGATCACGAACAACGGCAATCGACTGTTTGGGAAAGGACAGTAAGAACCTGCGAAGAATCAACTCCCGATCAAGTGTGCAATCGGCATCACGCAAGACCGCCGATACGGGGCTGCTTGATATATTCCGCAGTACCTATAGTTATACATTATTTATAATTCCAAACAGAGCTGTACACGAACATATGTACTTATGAGTACGGAGTACATACAATCGAGATCGAGACTAGGGATGCATTCGGTGGCTTCCATGTGAGAGATATCTTTGTGTATGGACTCATGGAGAATGTCTCTTCCGCAAATACTCTGATAAATAAATGGATGATCACAAGGGTCCGTGAAAGTGCGAAATCCCGGGAAGTGGAGATAATTCCCTTCGGTCGGTGATCTACATCAAAAACATACGTAGTACTACGGAGGACCGAAGATACAAGGTTACAAGGAAGGAGGGGATGAATGGGAAGGAAGAGAGGAGAAGAGAAAAAACACCGGAAGTATCGAGGAAGTGTTCCATGCATGTTAAAACTCGGGTTTCCCCCTTCGTATACTTGTCTTTTGAATACTGTGATGAGACGCTTTCTTTTCTCTCAGTGAACTTTTTTGTCTCATCTCACTCCCAAAATTCAGTTCCTCTAGTTTTTTTTTTCACCTGGCAGTTTCAACGCCACCACCAACTGTAAATGAAACCAGTCTCTGAACCCTGAAGCATCGGGAATAATAATTTAAACCCAAAACAAAAAAAAAAAAAAAATTCATTCATCTGAAGGCCTGTGACTGGCGAGCTTAACAGAACGGTTTTACCAGTAGGAGGAGCTTAGGCCCCCCCAAGCCCAACCGTGGTCCATCATTCGGCATTCCCACTTTGGATTGCCTTCGGTCTCCTGTCTTCATCCTTCCCTCATCCACTTTCGCTGGACTGACTAACAATTACTTTCATCTCCTTTCCTGTTCATCTCTCCTCTTCCCTCCCCCTTCCTTCTTCTTCTCCCTCAAGTTCAACCTCGCTAAACCCCAACTCTCCTCCAGCCTGTTTCTCTTCCAAGGCCCTGGACGCAGCGTCCAGTTGTGCTTTTCTTCCCCTTTTCTCCAATTGGCCTGGGCTGTGTTGTCCTTTACTACATCTGCAGATTGGTTCCTTTTTTTCAGGCACAACCAACCCCCTTTTGTGACCGTGTCGCGGGCCTCGACGCTGCCAGCCTCTCGTTGACAGACCACTGCAATCAGATTCCTCTTCGGCTTCTCTCGATTGCCAGTTTCACTCACTCTTTTAATACACGTTCCTCGAATCTTCGGTGCTTCGCCGCAACGGTTGTGCGTTAGCAACTTCCCGTTCAACAGAAACCTCTCTATTCTCTTTTTATGTGCTTCTGATACAGCCGACTTGATTTAATATTTTCTCTATCCCCATATTGAAAGATAAAGACCTCTTACTATTTTTTACATGTGGAAACACGGCAAGATTGATCATACTCCAAAAATGCCGATGTTGCGCCTCAAAACAGCCTTCCCTCTCGTCGTCCTCTTTTCGATAGGCTTCTTTTTCTGGGCCATCGAACGATTTGATCGGGCTGCTTTTAATCGGTTTAAGCACCCCATCGATCGTTCTTCGAATTCCGGTGCCTCCCAGATCCAACTGGGATCTCCACCTGCTCCGGCACGGTGTGATGCGGATCCTGGTGCAGTGGCTCCTCTGCCCTTCGCAGAATGGCTTCCTCGCAAGAACTACACCCGTGCTTACTTCCGCCCTCGCCACGTTGACCCAAGGACTGAATTCAACTCATTGGAGAATATCGATGTCGACATCCCAGTTCTTCCACCCATGACGGTCATGGAGCGTGGTATGGTTGTGTCACCGGACAACAAGGGTTCCTTGGACGAGACCTGCCCCCCGATAATTGACGTCGATGTGGCTGCGGACGACGATATTGATGAGACGGAAAAGCTTCTGTTTGGATTGGCGACGAGCGCCGACCGCTTGGATCGCCTGCTTCCGTCCCTCCTATACTCGTACGGCAACACCAAGGCTAGTATTATCGTGCTTGTTCCCCAGTCAGACGACGACATTCCCAAGCAGGAGACCTACTTTCGGAACCGTGGATTGGATCTCACTCTGATCCAGTCTCCCCTGGACTTCACAGCACGTTACTTCGGTTTGGTGCGAGCGTTTGCCGAGCACATTAGAACGAAACGCCCTCAGACCACCTGGGTCAGCTTCATCGACGACGACACCTTTTTCTTGTCCCTTCCCACCATTGCCAAGGAACTGAAACTCTTTGATGTGAGCAAGAAGCACTACATTGGAGCTCTATCGGAGGCCAGCTGGCAGGTGGACACCTTTGGCCACATTGCCTTTGGTGGTGCCGGTGTCTTCGTCTCGAAACCGCTTCTGGACGTTCTGGACCAATTCTACGATGAGTGCCAGGCATGGGGTGAGCAGCCCGGTGACCAGAAGCTCGGCCAGTGTATCCAGAGATTCGCCGACACCCCTCTGACTCTCTGGCCCTCGTTGTACCAGATGGATATGAAGGGTGAGGTTGACGGTGTCTACGAGTCGGGTCGGAAGATCGAGTCTCTGCACCACTGGAACAGCTGGTACACCAAGGATGTTGTCAAGATGACCACCGTGGCAGCTGCTGCCGGTCGCAAGTCTGTTCTTCGTCGCTGGGTGTTCGATCAGGAGGAGTTCATCAACAACTCTACCGGGAAATCTACTCGAACTTTCTGGGTTTTCACGAACGGATATTCACTTGTCAAGTACACCTATGATGAAAACACTCCCGATGACGCTATTAACTTCGACCACGCCGAGAAGACGTGGGAAGAGGACCCTAACGGTTACGAGGCCCGTCTTGGACCCCTTCGCCTTCGGGATCAGGCTGGCATTCTCAAGGATCGCTGGCTATTACGAGAAGCGTTTGTCGTTGGCGACAACGTGCACCAGTGGTACGTACGTGAGGAAGATGAAGGCCACAGCGTCATTGAAATTGTATGGCTCGGCCCCAAGGGTGGTGGTGGTGCAGGCGTCCGGGATTTTCATGCTCGGCCTGTCCAAATTCATTAATTGTTAATCTACGGATGGGATGAGAAAAACCACATAACCGATACTTGAGGCTGGACCTTAGGATCTGTGACATGCTTTTATAGTTTATTTCTTTTCCCCCATTCAATTCTTGCACATTATTTTCATTCCTTATATTCTCTTCAAATTCTATCATCATATACCACCCTACCTATCACAAGAGAAGAACCTCCAGTACCCACGAAAGAAGGAAACAGAAAGGGGCGTGGGGGTCTCTCGACAATGGGATTGTTTGGCCGTCTATTTACCTGATTGTTCATGTGCCGGCGTTGCATTGGCGGAGTCACGAATGGCGCAGTCAGAGATCGGAAGTAGTGGTTTTCAGCAAAGACTAATTATGTCCCGATGGAGTTCTTGACCACTGGTCAGTGCTTTGGCCCAAAGACTTCGCGAGGTGATATGTTCATTTTCTTATTTGCTCTCGTCTGTCTTCATGTTTGCTTTGTGCATTTGTAAAAAATAGAATTCCAGGCCTGTGATGAGGCCCCTTTTGGAGATTAGCGCTCCTGCTATTATGCCAGAATATCATGAAGTTAAGTCTAGACAACATATCGATCGTCAGCTAATACTTCGTATGCTTTTGCCATCATGTACTCCCTATACTTCCTCTTGACGCCCGACTGTCATCCTTTTTATGACTAGTTGTTTTCATGATTTCCGAACTCGATCCGTGGAATGAACAATTAAATGCAACGCGATTCGACAACCATGGGTATGCCTCCGAATGGACCACCTGATCAGGCAATATGCTTCCATGACCTCACCACCAAACGATCCATGATATCATCATCTCTTGATTATTAAACAGAGGCAACTGGAGAGACAGGATTGGTGAATTTGAAATGGTGATCCCTATACTGATCCTACTGATAATATCTAGAAGAATACATGTTTCTGACCTCAGGTCTGTACTAGTATCTTGCGAGAGGGATGCGCGCATGGTACAAAAGAATGGTGACTAGACTGCTGGTAAGAGGGACGATTTTTCTGTCTTGCACCTGATACTTGAGATGGTTCAGGTGATCCCCTCGTATCTACTATTATCCATGTACGGAGTATATGTATATGACATTGTAAGTCGATATATATATATATATAGAACGATACAGAGTACTTCGTACACACTTGCAGGGTTCGTATGTCGCTGATCGACAGCACGAGGGAAATCTCGTGTGTATGTATTAAAATAGAACAGGACAGTATTGATTGGTCTAGCCATTACGAGTACGCTAGGTAGGGTCCCCTGTAGGAGATGCTACCTATTACTGATTATGATTATTGATTCTAAAGGCCCTTAGCCCGTCTCAGTATACCGAGTACATACATATAATATGTACATACAGGTTGGAGGTAGAAGACAGTTCTATTGTTCTGCCTACTGTCACATGTGATGTTTCGCTTTTCGAGTAGAGTTTGGGGGCCAAAGATATGTGATACCTAGATTATAGTAGGTAGTTTTCAGTGAGTAAAGTATCTTGGTAGGTCCCTAGCTTTATCGCGCTACTCTTCTATAGGCATCTGCATGTAATATACCTTGATATAGAGTGATTTATTATCATCCATGCATATGTATTATGTACAGGACTTTTGAGCATTCCGGTGGACATGTTTATGGATGGATGAAGGTTGACCACCTGGTATCGCGTAATATTACAGGTGGGGAATGTGAGTTGGCTTCGAATCATCCTAATGTCTGTAGGCGGTTGTACCAATCATATGAAATGCCAAGGCCCAGGATCTCCACTTGGAGGTCTGGACATACCGAGTGATACGGTATGGAGGATGTATGAAGGGAGAGGCTGGGCGAGAGGAACAGAGGAATTGAATCTTATTTAATGAAGATGTGGAGAGATAGGGCTAGGATATGGGAAATAACTGTGCAGTGTATATCTCAGGAAGTATCTTTCTTTCACCAGGTACATGGCAGTTCTACCGGTAGTGCTGGATAGACTACCTCTGTCTGTATGTAAATACGGTAATACGTTGAGTAATACTCCACGTGACTATCCCGTGACCAGCCCCATGACACACCGCCTACCCATCACAACCGGCACCTTGCCTTCTTCGACCTTCTCCTCCCCCGTTTCTCTTTCCTTCTCGTCCTGAACCCAAACCCTGCGAAGCAAACGCGTTACTCGATTTGGTCATTCTCCCTCCCCCTCAAAAGCATCATTCCTCTTTGGGCATTCGTGTTCACTTCCCTCCCCCATACTGGGATTCGACTCTCCTGTCCTCGAATCTAATTTCTTCCCCCTCCCTGTTCCATCATGGCCGACATCACCGCCGTCGGTGAGGAGAACCCTTCTCCTACCCAGGATGACCTGCAGCAAGTCGCCGGTAACGGCGCCGCTGACAACCGCGGCACCAAGCGTTCTCGCATGAGCGCCGACGACGACGACGATGACGACGATAAGCCCGGTCGCGAGCGCAGAAAGATTGAGATCAAGTTCATCCAGGATAAGTCGCGTCGCCACATAACCTTCTCCAAGCGGAAGGCGGGTATCATGAAGAAGGTACGTTCCTTTCGCGTCCCTCCCCCTTGGCGTTTTGCTCCCTTCATCTGTCGAGGAATCGCCTCGATAATTATCACTCCTCGGATGGATTGATATAGCCATTTCCTCGCCGTAATCAACTCACGTCAACTCACCTTCCCCCCCTTTTTTTGTCGGTTGACTCATCCCCCCGGTCGCGTACTATCAGTGTCTGTGCTAATAATTCAATCCGGTCGCAAACTAGGCTTATGAGCTTTCTGTCCTCACAGGCACTCAAGTACTGTTGCTCGTTGTATCGGAGACCGGTCTCGTTTACACTTTCACCACCCCTAAGCTTCAACCATTGGTGACCAAGGCTGAGGGCAAGAACCTCATCCAGGTGAGTTCCGTTTCCGTGGGAGTTTCCACGCCACTGGTAACTCGATCTGAATCCCCCGACTGACCTAGTTCGGTAACAGGCTTGTCTCAATGCCCCTGATCCCACCAGTGAGAACGGGGTCGATGCCCCTGACGTGCCCGCCGAGGCGCCCGAGGATGTGGCCCACCCCAATGTCAATCCTCAGCAGTCGAACATGCCTCGTCCCGCTGGGATGCATCCAGGCTACATGACCAACGAACAGCAGCAGCAGATGGCTTACTATCAAAATCTGCAGCAGCAACAGCAGGCGGGTGGGCAATATCCGGGTATGCCCGTGGGCAGCCGGATGCCCCCTCAGCACCAACCCACTGCGTAGATGTAGTGGCGATCTGCTTCTGCAGGGGGTTCTAGATAGTTGTGGTCGTACCTTTGTGCCATCTTCAGCAAGTTGCAGCTCAACTTGAGGGAGACCTCCTTTTTGATACCCCAAAACAAATCCATTACCAAACAAGTGATGCTCTTTGGAGCACGAAAGCTGTCTTAATCGTATATCACCGGGAACTACGAATGAGAACAAGAAAGAAAGTTATTTGATTTTCTTTCTTTTGTACCCGTGTATATCATGAGCCTTTGATTCGAGGAAAGCAAAACAAAAAGCCTAAAAATTTGAAAAAAAAGGGACGCAAAATACTTACCAGTGTCAGTCGATGGTCTTGGTGTCAACGAGTATCCTATACTATTTTTTTATTATTCGTCAATTTGCGAGTTCGATAGGGTAAGGAGAAAAGAGAAAAAGAAAACCCCCTTTAAAAAGAGGAAAATGAGGAAGTAGCTTCAATTGACGATGGAATATGAAGGATTGGAGCGCTTTTATTCTGGGCCCCAAGGCTATTAATCGTTTCCTTTCTGTTCATCATCTCATCTCCTAATCATCTCCTAGACGAACAGGGGAAGTGGCAGTGTTTCAGGTGCTTTTCATCTCTTCATTTCTGCTGGCGAAGTGGTTCTTTGTTAATTTCTTTTCCTCTTTATGCTTTATTCCACAATTTGTTTCTTATCCTGCGTTGACTAATTTCCTACCTAGTTCTATTTGATTTTGTCTGACCCCCTCCTAGTGTCTTCAACAGCAGCGCTGGCAATGAACAAAGGCAGCTATGAGAGTATACGATGATGGGTCATCGGAGTAACCAGTTGATATGCGTAACAGTTCTGCCATAGTCGGTAGGTGGTTGGGTTTGTGGGTGTACGGTATGGAGAATTGGTTTCTATTTCTTCTTTTCTGAAATCTCCTCTATTTTATTTCCTATGTCCATTTAACTGGCCTTGACTTGTCTTAGTTTGATGAATTAACCATTAGTTATCTACTAGATAACGTACCTGTAACACAGACACCATGGGTACGCCGACTATAGTAAAATATAGTAAACACTATTAATTGCCAGGCAGTGTCTGGTATACCACATCCTAGATAGAGGACTAGATAGTGAATAGTGAATGCTATCTAGCAAATTAGTTTTTCTTATTATAAAGTTGTATTGGACAGAAAGAATCTAGCGTAAGACCTGACTATTGTAAGTCATCTTGATTCTATCAGAAATTATCTAGAGTGAACATCTATACAAAAAGAAAGATGGCTGTCTGTTCGGCTGTCTGGCTGGCTGGATGCTGATCAATGCTTAGACACTTTCTAGCAATACGCCATGGCAAGCACAAAAAAAGATCGTAAAATCTGTATAAATGGAATGAATATATGTACTGTACATTCAATGGATAATATGATATACTAGGTAGGTTAGGTAGGTCACTCTATTTCACCGAGGTCAAAATAAGTCAATTCCCGTCCTCGGTGTTCGGGTCTGGGTATGGGCACTCGGGATCATCAGACGATTGATGTTGTCCTCGGCCTCGATATCCCGTCCAACGAGCCAGGTGGCGCAGACTGGTTGTCCAGGCTCCGCCTAGGGTGCTGTTCCAGTTCCTGTTCGTGCTCCTCGGGCCTGCGACAGGCCGGACGTGTGATGGACAAGTCGGGGACCGGCGGTGGGGAGTCCGATCCGAAGGGTCGACGACCTCTTGTGTACCGTATCCCTGTATCCGGGGACGAGTAGCCTCGGAATATGCGTGTCGTTTGTGTTGCGCCTTACGGGTATCCATGACTGGAATGGAGGATCTTCGTTGTTCGGATGGAGATAGCTTGCGAGAGTGCCAGGTGTGCTGAGTGGTAGGGGAATTTGGGGGATGGCGCGAGCCCCATAAAGCGTTGTCCCTCAGTGACAGGGTCTTGCTTCTTGGGCGGGGTTTGAATGGGTCGATGGAGGCGCGGTGGAGTAAAGGGGATTGGATGTCAGCATTAGTGTAGTCATAATCGGAATCGTCAAGCTCGGCCCAGATCGAAGCTGGGTCCAGGTCGGTGGAACTCCGTTGTTGTGATGCGGTAAGGAGAGGGAGGCTGGGGGTGCGTTGGTGAGGGATTCTGCGGTAAGGAGGTGTGGTTTGGAGGAGGGGTTCGCGTTCCCCGACTTGGGCGTCCTCCTCGTCAAGTTCTAGGTCAATAGGCAGGTGAGCATGCTCGTCGACGATAACCATCCCTGGTCCTAGTGCTGCCTGGGAGGGCGCAGGAACTGTGACGGATGCATGGCTGTCAATGACCTCCAAGCGCCATGAGAGACATAGTACCCCGCTCAGTAACACGATCGTGCCGAGGGCAATCAACCCAGCATGGAGGCCTGCCAGCTGGGACATTTGGCGGAAATAAATGAGACCGTCAAGAATGGCGATGATATTGTAGATGCAGAAGACGAACGGATAGAGAACACTGGTGCTACATAGTTTAAGACCCCGGTGGAGATAAAATAGCTGCGACAGAGCAAGTGTGATCATGGTGAGCAAAATGACCCAGGACTGCCACCGGTTAAATTGGTTCACACGGTCCACAATCGTCCGCACCAGTAGTTCAACGGCCGATTTGGCTAGCAGGAGAGAGTGTGCTGATAAAATCCCACTTATCAGGCCATAGCATAACCCTCGTATAAGCCGAATACGGCTTGGAGGCAGTTGAAGACACGGTTTACAGGGATGGCGGATACTCGAATGTTTCCCCCGATACACGGTTGTGAGATACTTCAATAGTTTGGAACCCAGTAAGATGGCCAGCACCATTACAGCAGTTCCCACCATCCACAGAATAAACCCTCGTCGTTGGAGTAGTTCGAGGAGTTGATCGAGTGAATGCGCGGGCTCTCCAATAGCCCCAAAGATGGCTATTAGGAGTGCGCCAATGCAGACGAGGACGGTGCCCACGAGGGAGTATCTGGTGAAGGGTTCACCCAAGATCAAGGTGGCGAAGATGGTATTGAAGACGAGTCCGGACTGGTGTTCAACTCCCTGATCAGCAGAGTCCGAAGCCTTCGGCTTGGGAAAGAGAGATAGATACTAACCGCTTGGAGAGTCGACAGAACCGGAAGCGGTAATGTGGTGATTTGGATAGTACTCCCTACGATATTCGAAATCACGAACATCAACATCCCCAGCTACCGGATGGTCAGCCCTGTTTCCTCCCACAACGACATGATGATTATAGATCCGGCGTACCTGCCATCTTCGACGCTTATATGGAGGCCTGCGTATGTCGTAGGGGTGTTTTTCGTCTTCGAGAATATGCGACTTGCGCTGTAGGGTCAGCCCAATGGCCTGGAAACTGGTCGAGATCAACCCGACAATCACTCCAACCTGTTGCTTAGTCAGTACGTGGCTCATGAAGCTGCAGAGAGTAAGAGATAGGAAAACATACCGCGACACTCCCTTGGGGCGACAGGTCACCAAGATTGCCCATTTCGGGTATCCTCGTGCATTGGCCGCAATGTATGGGACAAGGACCGGACACGGGAGGGCATTAGAGATGTTGAGAGAGAGGAGGAAGAGTAGTCGCCATATTCAATTCTGGGGGAGAAGGAAAAAAGAAGGGGGTGGGGGGTAAGAAGGAAGTGAAGACTTAAACTTGGACGAAGGGTGGGTTGTGACCCGATCGTCAGCAGATCCGATCCGTTTCGCTGGCGGCGTCACGCTTGATTGCTCTGCAACCTTCCCTCCCTCTTCCACCCTCTCCGACTTCCCCGAATTAACCCCCCGCGTCCCCCTTTGGAAGTGGTGAGCATTCCATCCGAAATATCTGTGCTCTTTATTCTTCCACTTGACCAACAGGTGGTAGTAGTACTTCGGGTCCCCTCCTGCCCAGCTATGCTGACCATGTCTGCTGTCATCTTCCCAGAACCCCAACTCCGCACCGGGGAAGCTTGACTTGCGCTTCGTCTCTTCCCACTCCCTACGGTTTATATCTCGCCAATTTAATTTCTATACTGTTTCACCCGTCAAGATGTCACAAAGTCATGCTCTTTCCGATGATCAGGTATGTTTGCTTGCCTAGTAGCTCCGTTCAGGGAAGTCGTCTCGGAAGCTCATCCCCGGTTTTACGAGCAGGTTGCGGGCGAGCTCCGCAAAATGACGGCCTTCATCCGGCAAGAAGCGCTTGAGAAGGCCCGTGAGATTCAATTGAAGGCCGATGAAGAGTTCGCAATTGAGAAGTCCAAGCTCGTCCGCCAGGAGACCGCCGCCATTGACAGCTTGTACGAGAAGAAGTTCAAACAGGCTGCCATGTCCCAACAGATCACCCGCTCTACCCTTGCGAATCGCACCCGTCTCCGTGTCCTCTCCGCTCGCCAGGATCTGTTGGATGCTCTGTTCCAGCAGGCACGCGACAAGATCTCCGGCGTTGCGGCTAAGGACGCCACGAAATACCAGTCGGTGCTTAAGGGCCTGATTCTCGAAGGTCTGTACGCGCTAAATGAGGACAAGGTGTCCATCTGTGCGAGGAAGAAGGATTTCGACGCCGTCAAGAAGGCAATCGAGGAGGCCGAGAAGGAATTCAAGGATACCGTGGGCAAGGATGTTGCTGCCGAGCTGGATGAAGCTGAGCCGTTGCCTGAGGGGCTGTATGCTACATCTCGTCTCCCTCCTTTTCTACTGTTCAATATTCTAACGTACGTCTCTTAGGGCTGGTGGTGTCGCTATTTATGGTGGACAGGGAAAGATTGAGATCAACAACACCTTTGAAGAGCGCCTACGGCTTCTTGAGATTGATGCACTCCCGGCTGTGAGAGAAACGCTATTCGGAAAGAACGTAAGCCGAAAATTCTACGACTAAATCAAGATACGTGCGCCTTGTGATTCCCTTTGTGCCGCCTCCTTCTTTGCGGCCTTGTGTGTATTTGCTCCACGGTTCTGAGTCTAGAACATAGCCATGTATACAGTTATCTTTTTCTTATTTTCAGTTTCCAATTCAAACCAAGCGATGGGATATAATCGATTTCGTACAAGAGAATTCCAATGACAAGAATAATTGGTACTTGTCGACAGTCTTTTGCCGGCCGCAATGGTCCTAGAGTGTCTTGATTCGCCAACACCAAGCCCCGTGCTAGTAGTAGCCGTACCGTAAACTGCCTGTTCCAGGACAAAATGGTTAGACAGATGTAGCTTGCACCTTGAATCCCAAGCAAATTCGTATCCAGAAGAAACAGGTGCCAAGAGCCTAGAGCGCAAAGCATACGCCATCAAGATGGATTATCATGGCTCCTGATGGGTATTTCTTTGTCCGTCTTGAAAAAATGAGAAAGTTGCGGCTGGTTTTGACGTTTTGTGTCTCCAAATATTGATTTTTTGGGCGGAGGCTTTGTTCTCACAGAATAAACAATGCGGTAATGTAAAGCCTCAAGGGCTTCCTTGGCCAAAGTGCGTTTGAGATGAGATGCGCCTGAGTCCTCGATCGAAGTGAAGATTTTTTTAATACGGTCGGCGAGTGTATCGATTTCGGAATTGAACTGTCGCTTGACTTCTTTGGTTGAGAAGTTCATTCCAGACCATCCGGAATCAACAATAGTATTAAGGAGAAAGGTTATGGCTCCAAGTTCCCCATAGTCATACTCCGCTTGGTTTTTCCCCTTGTACCGCTTGATATCAAACCGTCGGTCTTTAAGGAGATCGATTATACGTCTCAAATACAACATCGTATCGGGTGTTTCGGTTAATGGCGCTGGATCGCTAAGTACGAAGGACAGAGCGAGGCGGGATCGTAGTGATGCGATCCAGCTCGATGTGGGTAATATATGTCTCAGGAGTCGACTCTGTAATATAGGATCTTTGACAGTGTTGTAGATGGATGTGCAAATGCGCGGTTCCTGGACAATGTCAGCGAAGAATGTCTTGTAAGGCAGAGATATGTATCATACCATGTCATCGTCGGTGTCTTCTGGGATGCTCTCCAACGTCGCAGTAATGGTCCTTTCCAGTTCCGAGCAGATCATAGGGTTTCTGGTGAGGGAAATGTCAAGTGTCAGGCGGAAGAGTAGTAGCAGAATGTGCTCTCGAGTATCATCCGCGAATCTGTTTTACGTCAGTAGCTACTTGAGAGGAAGGTGAAGAGAAATTACAAATTCGCTGCTCCACGAAGCAGGTCGAAAACGGAAAGCAAGGCAGCTTGGTGCTGTGGGTGGTCCTTTGAGGAGTTATCTGCATTTTATCAGTTACCATGAGCAAGAAGAGAAACAACGGTTTAGTTGTACTTTTTGGGACCGTGCCAGGAACCACAGGCTCAGCTACTGCTAGTGCCTCTATTGTTGCTCCTAGTCTTTGAAAAATTAAATCGACGGTGTCTGGTCGTATGAGCAATTTCACACGTTCTGCATCAGAATGCTGGAAGGGCGTTAGTGCCGATGGCGAAGCAGATGCTCGGAGATCAATAACACCGACCTTAAATGCCCTGCAGTAAGCGTATCTTAAGCCTTCCTGAGGCTCCAAAGGTACTGTTCAAAAGTGAGTACATATTTCTCCCTCTTGTAACTTGGACAAACTAACTAGAATTGAAGATCCATAATAGCAAATCATCAGGAAGAAACCCCCTCGATAGTGCAAAATCGAGTATGCCGGAATGGAATGCTCGTTGTCGCGATTCGGGCTCTGCGAAAGAATTAGGAGATGGATTAACTTTCGACCGTGTCTCTCTAAACTAACCTCTCAAGACATCCATATATGTTCCTGGAGCAATGGAATCTCGTGGGAATTCCAGAGGTGAAGCTAAGCCACTCCCGTAGTCAAAGAAGGCCCAATACTTTTCCAAGTCAAAAGCCTCAGTCCTTCGAACAGCATCTAGTAGACGTCGCAGGCCCATCTCATCTTCCTGATCGCCGAAAGCCGATGTCAGGACACCTTCATCCAGATGGTTTATCTGATGAGAGCCAACAGAAGTCATACCATCTCCTCCAGCGTCTTCATTTTCGAATGCAGCTTTCAAGTCTGCGATGCTGGCTTCGATCTCGTTGTCATCAACTGCCTGGGTGACGAGACAGTCAAGCGTATTTTTGTATGCTCGAGTTGATTTTTGATACTTGGGGAATATCTCGACTTTGACTGCATCCCTGGAGGGTTGGGAACGCAGAATTCTCCCCACTCCAGACACATCATCCTCTGCTTCCTTGTTGAGCAGCATTAGTAGGCTTAGTCAATTTCAGAAAGAAAGAATCTGGAGCTTCCAGAGATTCTATCGAATCCGTGTCTTCGCCGTCGGAGCTAATGACAACTTCCTTTCCGTTTTTGAGGATACGTTGGGCCTGATTAAAACTTGCTCCCGGCGGCAGATCGATGAATAGGTCATCTGCAATTGGGGCGCTCAGTTCATACTTCCGTTCTTCCGATTCAGCCTCGACAGTACGCTGTAAAGATCGTTTCAGCTGGGATGCAGGACCATCTGGTGTTTGCGGGGAAGCGATGTTTTCCAAAAATGACGAAGATGGCTCCGCGAGTGGAGACGACTCAGGAGCAGACGGGAGTGGTTCTGATGGAGTTTCAGGGGAGGAATCTCGATTGTTCTGAGAGAGAGGGGGGGACGTTTAAAATATTGAGAGATGCTACGCATAGGAGGCATGCCGGGCATCCAGGCACCTTGGTAGGAGGTGTGTTTTGGCGCATGCATGCAGGGTCTCGAATGTGAGTATATCGTAGATTGTATGGCGCTAGGGTTTAGAGGACAATCCGTTCGCGCTAGGCCACTTAGTGTCATTTAGTCATCAACCACTAGCAGGGTGACGCTCTACACAGTATAATTTATCTATTTTGGCTGAGGTTGCAGTCTGCTCTACGGAGCAGACCTGCCTGGAATAGTAAATTATGAAGGAGCTTTCTGAATTCCATTGGCTCATATCGTTGCTGTCGTTTCCTCTACTGGGTATATAGAATCTAGGCCAATGGATTCAAATATATGTTGTTACACTTCGCTATGTTGGATTATAATCCCACAAGCTGTCTTACTATCAGTACAGCTCTTGCCCTGGTGTCGCATTAGGATGACTATTTCCATTTGATTTGGGTAGTGCCTTCGACTTTATTAGTGATTTTTATTGATATCCAAGTGAAGCGACTCGACTTCGGTGCGGGGTCTTGCACGGAGTAATCTGCCCGTCACCGCCGGAGTCCGAACAATAGCAGATGCATCTGCAATAAAAGAATATTGGAATACATGCACGGAGACACTGCGGGGCAAGGGGCAAAAAAAGAAATACCACAGAGCTACGTATGTGCATAGGGAGTGTAGAAACAATGATTTTAGGTGATTCGTTCTACAAACTGCAAGGCGTTGATGATGTCAGACAGTGCCAACTGGAAACTCTGTACCGTGGAACGTAATAGCGCAAACGTCCGACATTATACGGAGTATATGAGCTTTAAAGAGTTCTTCAGGTTTGTACATGGACTTCAATGTAGGTAGACAACTCGAAATAGTAGACAAGATTAATTTGAAAAAACTTAAATACTATATATAGCATCCGTATTCGTGCCGCTGTTTCTGAAGCCCACAGTCATTCTTACCTCTGCCGCGGGCACAAGGCTCCAGCTACCTTATCCATGAACTTTCCGATCTGAAAGGATACTTACTGCCCGAGAAGTTCGCATCGTCGAGTATCTCTGTCATCTGCTCTACTAATGTACATCAAGATTGTTCCTTTCAGATGTAAGAGTTTGCCTGGACTACTCTGCTGGCTTCACGGTAGTCTCGCTTTCGCATATGCACATATGAAGGCAGACATATTCCTCTTCCTACAGTGCCGTTTCCTCACTTTAACACAGGCCGGTATATCAAAAAGATTATAAGTTACGCAGAGTACATAGACTAGTTTCTGCTATCCTGCACACATCATCAGCTCCATCCTTGAAATATCTATTTGAGTCTGTATCAAGTATCTCTGTATCTATTACCCCTTGCCAATACAGTGACTGTTTAGGCTTGATATAATCATTCTGTCTTATTGTGTCCCATTTTGGCTCAGCCAAGGGGCTTGGAAACGCAGATCAAACTTTAGGCCTTTCACAGGTCCCCACAATAGTTCGCGGTCGATCTGCCTGCTATCACTATCCTGGCTATCCTGTCAATATGTGGAAAAGAACAGATCGTATGTGTCAGATATCTGTATATGGAATTGAATGTATCGTGCCAGTTCAAGTAGTAGATAAAAAATTTGCTAAGGAAGAAAAGATACAATGCACCATTGAAATTTAAATACAAAACTGTACGCAATTTACTCCATATTTACTGTTTTAGACATAACTAGGTAGATTGGAGCTTTGCTATTACTAGCAGTGTACAACATCTAGTTAGTTACTTAGGTGGTATTAGCTGGACTCGTTGCAGCTATTACCAGGGCAGAGTATAGAGATGCAGAGAAGGGTTTAAAAATCAACAGAAACAATTAAACGGCTCAGTATATTTTTTTTCAAATTATTTTTCTTGAGTTGTCGAGGAGGTAGTAAAATACGAGGCAGGAAAAGGGGAAAGTTAGCGGAAGACTAAGGAAGAAGGTGGAAAAGTCTTACTGTGCACTCACATAAATGTCACTCTACCAAAGACCACTCTGGCAACAAGCCAATAGATAGATGTGCTTAATATGCCTCATCGCAGCGTTCCAACACAACTGAGGTTATCAAGATGCACCGCTGGAGAAGATCACTTAGTCGGCCCCAATCAGGAGCAAATATACAGTACAGCTACAATCAAATGGGGCCCCGACCATACTGTATTTGGCGATCTAGCTGATCTGCCAAGAATTGAAAAGGAGAGGAATAATGCGAGAGGGGAGAAAAGGGGGCCTGGATATGAGAAAAGTGCTGCGTAAGACGAGGTAAAAAATTTCAATAAAAGCTCTATGGGTACTCCATAGTATATCGAGTTTAGTATACGGAGTACTCCGTACATCAAGGGTCCTTATAGGCACCTAAATATGGTGGTGATGTCTCTGAGTATCATAGTCCATAACCATTGGTGGGTTTATTAGTTACAGAGGAAACATGGTTCACCACTAGATACGACACCCATTCTGTTCATTGCTCCGCGATGGAGTTGGTCCGCCTTTGGCATAAGCATGTGCCGTCTCCGACAGCTTTTAGCCTGTTTCAGACTCCATTCTCCGATTCACGTAACTTCGTACATACAGTGATTGTATGATGGTGTCTTGGGGTTACGACAATGCATACTCTGTACATATTTTACCTTCTCTCTGCCACTTTCGACAATCGCCAGACCTCCTTTAGAATGTGGATGCAAAAGTAGGTAGGCAACATTCTCGTAAGTGTCCAATGGTGACACGGACATACCATGCTCCACGGTACATGCCGTGGCTTTCCGGAAGCCAATATTGAATATAATAAATCGATTGGTTGAGGACAAAACGAGAGCGAGATTAAGCTAAGGTATTTTTATTCCGATGACGATAGTGGCCGTTTTTATTTTTGGGGGGAAGCTGTCCAGTTCTAAATGACTGAATAGCGGCGTGAAATACCTACTCTGGCTCGGCTAGGTAGGATGCGGAGGCATAGGACCGGGGAGGAGGCTAATAATCTGCGGCTACCGTTAAGGTTCCGAAATGGATAGGGATCTCATAGGGACTCCGAAAGCCGGATCCTGTCAGTTCGTAGGCCAAGGTTTGCTCTTGCCACCATCCAGAAGATTTTTCGATGGGAACCAAACAATGATGTTAACTGCAGTCTGGGGCGAGGCTGGCAAGGCTGGACTCGTCCCTCGTGCTGGCCAGTACTGGACAGTAATGTAAATTACCATTATTCTGTCATTCCTGTACCGTGCAGACAGACTTAAAAAGTAAATCAATCTGACAGTGAGATCACCAACAGCGAATTGAGAGAGATTGGGGCAGGGAAAAGAAAAAGAAAAGAAAAAGTAGCCGCAGGAAGAGCATAAAAGATCTCAAGTTGGACTGAGCAGAGAGAATTAAGTCTAGCACTATTTTATGGAAATGAAACAATATGAAAATCATGTATTATTTATTAATCATCAATAAGATGACGATCTGTTTGGATTTCGAAATATGAATGGGAAACTTACGCGTTCCCTGGTTGATTTTTTACCATACCGGGCTGACACAACCCGTGGCCTCCGCCGCCAGTCCGTTAAACCCGCCCAATTACTTACTATTTTCTTGGTAATATACACTGCTCTCCTGGTGAGGGACTGTTGGCTGTCCGAGAATCGTTGTGCCTTTACCCTCACTCTCCGTTTTTCTCCCATACCCCCTCCCCTCCAGAGCGTCGTTCCTTTTCGTGCATGAGGTTTTGATTACTGGATCCTTCTGCCTTGCATGCCAATTCTTATATGATATACTAATTTTGTGCCTATCTCGACTTCCTACCCTTCACTCGTTTGCCATCCTAATCACGTTGCCATCGTGTTTGGAAGTACTTCAAGCTTTCCCCGTCTTGCTTCAGCACCCCGTCCCGACTTTCCACCACGACCGTTGACCGCGAGTATTGTATATATTCTCCCGCGCCGTTTCTCCGTCCTTTGCGACTTGACAACAAATATATTGAAGGAATATACAAGAACTGGCTGGCACTGTCGGGGTCCGGCTCGTCAGAGCGGATGCGCTCTCTCCACTGTCTGAACACAGCACGGTCGCCCATTACATGTCCCCTCGAGGGCCAAATCTGGCCTAAATGGCTTCGGTTAAATTCGGCGCAGAGAGCAATGAGCCGGGCATGGAGGCTAGAGAGATGGACAGCCATGTCTCCGTACCGACAAAGCGACAACGATGGGCAACTCAACGAGTCGCCGGGACCGGGGGTGTGCGGAAACGTGTCTCCATTATGGATCGCTTCCACAAACGATCGCAAACGAAGGATGAAAAGCGCAGGTCGTCCGTAGGGAATCTCCCTACCGCGGAAAACCCTAATGCTGAGGGTGATACTGGAGCTGCTAACCGACGAGTCTATTTCAACATCCCCCTCCCCGAGTCGGAAAGAGACGAAGATGGTCAGCCCAGGGCAGCCTATCCGCGGAACAAGATCAGGACTGCTAAGTATACCCCTTTGTCTTTCGTTCCGAAAAACATATGGTTGCAGTTCCATAACATTGCAAATATCTATTTCTTGTTCATCATTATCCTCGGTGTATGTTCCCTTTTCGGCTTGGATGTGAGATGGCGGGGCTAAATGAAATCGTCTAGTTTTTCTCGATCTTCGGTGTCGATAACCCGGCACTTAACGTTGTGCCTCTATCCGTCATCGTTGCTGTCACCGCTATTAAAGACGCCATTGAGGATTGGCGCCGTACAGTAGTCGACAACGAAGTCAATAATTCCCCGGTCTACCGTTTGATTGATTGGAACAATGTAAACTCAACTGAGGACAATGTGTCCCTCTGGCGTCGGATTAAGAAAGCAAGCACCCGAGCCACGATCTACACATATAGGTTTTTCAGGGACCTGAGTCGGAAGAAAAAGAATGGACAAAAACCAACCGAAAGTGACCGGCGCGCTTCTTTCATGACGACCATATCTCCACGAACGTCAATGTATTCCCAACGGGGCGACGATGGTCTTGAAGATGGCGCTATACAAATGACCCCCGTTTCATCCCCCACACCAGAGGCACGCCCAGATTGGCCACTTCCAAATGGGGATCACACCCAATTCCTTCACCCAGACAAGGCGAATCGAATCAGCATGGTAGAGCCCCCTCCTACTCCCACCACTCCTCCGAGGAAAGGAGGCAGTATAGTCGACAAGTCGAAGCAGACTCTTGGAAAGGCTAGATTTAAGCGCGACTTCTGGAAGAACATTCAAGTTGGAGACTTTGTTAGATTGTACAATGGGGACCCTGTTCCTGCCGATGTGGTCGTTTTGTCGACCTCGGATCCGGATGGTGCCTGCTACGTGGAAACGAAGAGTTTGGACGGTGAGACTAATCTAAAGGTACGACAAGCTCTCAACTGTGGACGCCAAGTACGACATGCTAGGGACTGCGAGAAATCCGAGTTCGTGATCGACAGCGAACCTCCACATCCTAACCTGTACGCTTATAACGGTGCGCTTCGATGGGATCAGCGTGATCCGGATTTTCCTGAAGCCCCCCGGAAGGAAATGGTGGAACCTATCAGTATTAGCAACATGCTTCTGCGTGGCTGCTCTCTCCGCAACACCGAATGGGTTCTTGGTGTTGTCATCTTCACTGGCGATGAAACCAAGATCATGCTCAACTCTGGTGTTACCCCTAGCAAGAGACCCCGACTCGCCAAGGATCTGAATTGGAACGTTATTTACAACTTCATCCTTCTGTTCATCATGTGTCTCATTTCTGGAGTCGTGAACGGTGTTGCATGGTCTTCGACAGATAAGTCGCTCAATTTTTTCGATATCAAAGCTTATGGAAGTACCCCTGCCGTCACGGGGATCATCACGTTCTGGGTTGCTCTTATCTTGTTCCAGAACTTGGTCCCAATTTCGCTCTATATTTCTCTCGAGATTGTCCGTACCATTCAGGCCGTCTTCATCCACAGCGATGTATTCATGTATTATGAGAAGCTTGACATCTCCTGCGTCCCAAAGACTTGGAATATTTCTGATGATGTCGGCCAAATCGAGTACATATTTTCTGACAAGACGGGTACCTTGACTCAAAATGTTATGGACTTCAAGAAATGCACTATTAACGGCGTCTCATACGGTGAAGCCTTTACAGAAGCGCAAGTCGGCATGGTACGGCGAGAAGGAGGGGACGCCGATGCTGTGGCTGCAAGTGCTCGGGAAAGGATAACTGCGGATAGGGCTAAAATGATCGAAATGCTTCGTCGTATCCATGATAACCCTTACCTACATGATGAAAGTTTGACTTTCGTGTCATCAAACTTCGTTGGGGATCTAGACGGTCAATCCGGCGAGGCTCAAAGCAAAGCGGCGGAGCACTTTATGCTCGCACTTGCAGTGTGCCACTCGGTGATCACTGAGCATACCCCCGGTGATCCACCACAGATCGAGTTTAAGGCTCAATCGCCTGATGAGGCTGCCTTGGTGGGAACAGCCCGTGACTGTGGATTCACACTCCTAGGGAGGTCAAACGATGACCTTATTGTGAACGTCTTGGGTGAAGAGCGGAAGTATACTGTGCTCAACACCCTGGAATTCAACTCGTCAAGAAAGCGAATGAGTGCAATTATCCGTATGCCCGACGGTACCATACGACTATTTTGCAAAGGTGCGGATAGTGTTATTTATTCGCGCCTGGCTCCGGGTACGCAGCAGGAGCTACGAAAGCGGACTGCGGAGCATTTGGAATTATTCGCTCGAGAAGGCCTGCGGACATTGTGTGTTGCAGATCGGAAGCTCAGCGAGGAGGAATATCGCTCATGGAGCAAGGAACACGACATTGCCGCGGCTTCGCTCACGGAACGTGAGGAGAAGCTGGAGCAAGTGGCAAGTGAGATAGAACAAGAGCTCATGCTTATAGGCGGCACCGCTATCGAAGACAGACTCCAGGATGGCGTCCCAGATACCATCTCCTTGCTAGCAGATGCTGGTATCAAACTTTGGGTCCTTACTGGTGATAGGGTCGAGACTGCTATCAACATTGGTTTCTCGTGTAACCTCCTAGACAACGATATGGAACTGATCATTTTCAATGTCCCAGAGAATGAGCCGCAAAGGGCAGCACAGGAGCTCGATAAGCAGCTTCAGAAGTTCGGGATGACCGGATCCGATGAAGAACTTGTTGCTGCCCGTGAAGATCACTCCCCACCAGCACCAACACATGCTGTCGTTATTGATGGCGAGACACTTAAGCTGATGCTTGATGATGAATTGAAACAAAAATTCCTTCTTTTGTGCAAACAGTGCAAGTCTGTTCTATGTTGCCGAGTCAGTCCTGCCCAGAAAGCTGCGGTTGTACGAATGGTGAAGAGCGGTCTCAACATTATGGCTCTTTCGATTGGTGATGGTGCCAACGATGTTGCCATGATTCAGGAGGCCGATGTCGGTGTTGGTATTATTGGAGAGGAAGGTAGACAAGCGGCTATGTCTTCTGACTATGCCATCGGGCAATTTCGGTTCCTTCAGCGACTTATTCTAGTTCATGGAAGATACTCTTACCGCCGTATGGCCGAGTGCATTGCAAATTTCTTCTACAAGGTAATATCTTATTTCGAATTTTAACTAATACCCCATTTATTTGCTTATTGATGGATTGCTGATGATATATAGAACTTGGTCTGGACAATTGCGCTGTTCTGGTATTCGATTTACAACGATTTCGACGGCTCGTATCTTTTCGACTATACCTATATTGTCTTGGTCAACGTCGCTTTCACGTCGCTGCCTGTTATTCTAATGGGGATATTTGATCAGGATGTTGATGACAAGGTTTCTCTAGCTGTCCCTCAGTTGTATATGCGAGGTATCGAGCGGAAGGAGTGGTCACAGCTCAAATTTTGGTAGGCAGTTTATTTTCGGTTTAATTTCATACGCACTAACATATCACAGGCTGTACATGGCCGATGGTTTTTATCAGTCGATCATATGCTTCTTCATGCCATACCTACTATATAGCCCGGCAAACTTTGTTCATGCCAACGGGAAGAATATCAATGATCGAACAAGAATGGGTGTCCTCGTCGCCACCAGTGCAGTTATTGCCAGCAACGTCTATATCTTGATGAACCAGTACCGGTGGGACTGGCTGACGGTGTTGATAAATATCATCAGTTCGCTACTGATATTCCTGTGGACTGGTATTTACTCTTCAGTCATTGCGTCAGCTCAGTTCTACAAGTCTGGTGAAGAGGTTTACGGTGCTCTGTCTTTTTGGGTCGTGCTACTTATCACCGTTGCGATATGCCTTCTTCCACGGTTTGCTGTCAAGTCTATCCAAAAAGTTTTCTTCCCCGGTGATGTCGATATCGTTCGTGAACAGATCACCCTTGGCCATTTCAAGTACTTGGACCAATATGAAGCATTTGTCCCACCTAAGAGTAAGGCTCCCTCCGGTGGATTTAGCGACGAATCGGCAGCGTCTTCAGATTTGGGTAAACCAATCCAACCAAGCATGAAACAGGATCCCTTCTCCGATGATCAGCAGATCTACGCGCCGTCCGTCGCCCCAACGTCGCACACTCATAATCCACGCAGTCAAAATGGCAGCAATGGAACGAATTACTATGCATCTAGCCTCGACACCACTCAACATCCTCATCCCCAAACAGTGGATTACATCAGAACCTCGGCCGATCGTACGCGGCATTCCTTTGATAGAGCCCGCCCTGATTACGAAACGACCCATGATCTAGCACGTGTGGAGTCGTCATTAACAGGTGCTCAAGAACCACAAAGCCCACACAGCCCACTCAGGGGCCCTCATGATCCCCCATCGCATGCCGTATAAATCCATTTGTTTGATATCATATACTAACTTGCATGTTTTTCTGTCCTTACGACTCCGTCTGTTTCTTTTCTTTCCTTTTTTTTTTTTTTTTTTGTCTCCTTCTTGTCTCAATTGCCCGTGCATTTGATCTGTTCTATTTTGTATGACGAGTAATCTCCTTGCTCTACTGAAGCCCCATTGTCTACTTATTCCCCGATAGAAGGCGTTCGGTATACAGATTTGGTCGGTGATTGGCGCAAATTTCTTTATATCCAAGTCTTACCTCCTCCATTTTTATTTTCTCTCCCTTACATTTTATACTCTGCGGCGGTCTGTCTCTTGTACAAAAGCATTCTTGTGAATGCGTATTCACTCCCATTTTCTTTCTTTTTCTTATTTAATAGTCTCGAGTTTCCCACAACCTATGGCTGAGATTCTCACTGTTCGAGTGCCACTCTACGAAATGAGGTTATGCGGGGAGGGGATTTACGGGTTTAACGTGTTCAGTTGGAAACCTCAATGAATTGACTGTTGATGTGGATGATATGCCAACGAGGATAGGCAGGCAAATAGGTTCCAGAGTAGCCCTTGTAGACCACTGGTACTGTATGTTGTCTAGGTAGATTGTCTAGGTACGTGAAGCAACATTGAAATGTAAGCGCGTCGCGCGTAAAGTGGTTGTTGCGACGTTCCTCACCGCCTTCGATGCAGGCCAATGAAAGTGGCCAGACGCCATTGTCGATTTACTTCTTGTACTTGCCGATGGCTCCCTCTTTAACCGACCAGGTGATTTTTGTTCCTCAGTGTCTCCTGCGTCCGTAGAGGCTGTAGGTGAACATTTTTCTTCTATCTGTTGCATTTCCTCTCCTTTCCTAATCCATTCTAGCCTTTTCTCGCCATTTCGCACACTATCTTTTACCCCGTGCATTAAAAACCGAGGCGTCAATATCTCACCTTCTACCCACTTTGCTACCATATGTGGCTATGGTCATATAGCCTTCGGTTGTCTAACTTGGTAGCTGGGCAGACTGAGGTTATTTTTCATGGATTCGTTGAGCTATACATTTGAGATTATAAATTATTCTTAGTTCGGTCGGAAGAGAAATGTTGTGATTTTCTGTTTGCACACAAACCACCAGAACAGGTTAAACCAAAGCCATGGAATTTATGGACATTATAGGGTGAGTTATTTTGACTCAGATATTTTTATCATTCTTCAATTTTTCCATTCTGGCGGCAGCAACTGAGTGACGGTCTACTCGCAGCGAGCTTCAGGCCCTCCCAGACAATGTCCACATTCTATGCCCACGACAACATGATGACGACCATGCACGATATGACGATCCCAATCAGGTAGATGAATCAGGGAGGAATATCGCGGAGGTTGTGACGGAGGCGACTAGTCGCAAGGAGAAGTTCTTGTCATGCATGCGCATATTGGCATATAACCAGGAAGGCGTCGAGGAGCTGCAGAATTGGATTTGGCACAAATTGGACGACTCGCTCGAAAAGTGTGATCTCTGTATCAAACAGTATTATATGGGGAAATTATGGCTCATGGAGCACCTGAAAGAGAACTACGATGACGAAGACATCGAACGGTTTTCTCGAATGCTAGACGAATGGGATATTAAACGCATAACAAGGAATTTGACAACGGCTACACAAAAGCTGAAAGAAGTTCCTCCCCAGGAAATCGGCCTTCATGTGCTGGACCGAGCGTCTTTACTGTCTATCTTTGAGACTTTAAGTTGTGACGCTATGCTCCGCAATGATGGTCTATTGCAGGAGTATTTCGACGAGCCCTTCAGGCTTATCCAGACAAAACGCAGCCTGAAGGTCTCGGATTACATCCCTGCGGTCACGCGTTTCCTTTTCGATTCCAACCAAAGCCGCAGCTTTTGGGCTATCCACTCTTGGATGCGGTACTCGCGGCCTCCTACTACTATGGAATTTGACTGGGCGGTCAAAGAAGGCCTCTTGGACGCGCTACGGACGGCTTCCCTACAACCTCCCCAGGTTGCTGTTATCCAGAGGCTTTGGCGTGGCATGCAGCTTGTAGTAAGGCGACTGGACAAAGACCAAATTACTCATCATCTGCGCGCTCTTGAAATCGATCCTTGCCGTCTTTCAGTAGATCATCTCGGAATCCAATCCCCGGGCCTACGGTTCCTGTTGAACACAATCCAGATATTCCTAGAAAAGGCTCCGGGGGATTTTTGGGACGCAATGCAAACAATATCACCTCAGGCGATTATTGAGCTTGTCTTCTACAACCCCCAGCTGGATGCCTTCCTAATGCAAACTACCGAAGGCGAAGCGTATGAAAAGTCTGCTACGAAAGATATGCTATCCTGGGTTAACCCTTTCATGTTGTCCCTGAAAGGTGCGCATCAACCATCGGCATGCAGATCTCTAGTGTACCAGCTTCTGGATCGTTTGCAAGGCTCACGCTTTCCAAATTTGGCCAGATATCATTGTTTCCACACCGGTTTGGTCAGTCTGCTCCATACGCTGCGCAGTTTCACCGACCATGAGTCTTCGAGAGGTTCTGTCGCTCGAATTGTCTTATCCGAGACCTTGGGGGTCGTGAGTGCGAACATTGTTACGATTCTTGAGCCTCCGCAATTTTCTGTGGAACAAGGGCGACAGCAGGAGATATCGATACTATGTATGGATGTTATCCGTAATACGCTGGCCCTTGAGTGTCAGTCCCTTAAAAGCGATTATGAGGTAATACTACGGCAGAACGCCCTACAGCATGGTGTTAGTACGTATTCCGCTACCATTTGGGACGCTGTCGTAAAACATCTCCATCAAGACAACTTGCCCCTTTCAACGTCGGCTCTTCTTGGTATACTGCCGTTAGTGGGTCTAGAGAAGTTTCCTACAAGGGGTGATGCCAATCCAGAAAAAAGCCACTTCAACTTGATTTATGGCCATCTAACACATCTATCTTGTCAAATAATTGAACGTCTTGCGGACTTCAAACCTGAGCACCTTGACGAACTGTTTAAAAGTCAAGACACAAGCAGCGCTTTAATTTCCGCTCTTTTCGCGGCTGACTTGAACACCTACCAAGCAGCCGTGGACCTCATAAAAAACGTCAGTGGACAATCTGCCAGAAGAGATGCAATGTCCCATTTGCTGCAGTCGTTCTTCACGACGACAATGTATGGCCTTAGTTGGTCTTTTCGGAGAATATCGAATATGAAAACATTTGCTTCTGCTCCCAGGATGATACATACGGGAACAGATATAGTGGATATTCTTTGTGACAGTCAAACGGGCATGCTCAGAACCCGAAAGCTCACTGATCGCAGGGAAATACTGTCCCTTCAGAAGCTCTGGGAATACTTGTGGCAAGCCTTGACCACTATATTTGATCAAACAGAGACATGGCATCTCAGGGGCAATGATAAATCTGTGATGTTAGAATTCTGCCGCGATAGCATCCAGTTCGCTGATCTTCTCTTCAGCCAGTACGGTGTGTTCTTGAGTGCTGCTGTTGACGCAGATCCTAGCCAGGAGACCTCCGCGCGTGAGAACTTCCTCAAGTCTCCAACAGCAACAATGAGTGCGATGGTCAAATGGCTCCGACTCAAGGATGAATATTTGGCCACTACACTGGTTGGTCTTGTCGCCAAAATTCTTCGGCGTTTAGGTGAACTCAGCGTGACCACAGTCAAAGATGACGCTCTTGGCTTCATCGAAGATGTTGCGGTTAAATCCGCCGTAAAAACCATATTGACATTGCGAGAGAAGGCCGAGCTCGTCCGGGCTTTAGAGGCCTACTACAGGAAGCCAGTAGTTACTGCATCGACAGCCAGCCTCAAGAAGCAGAGCATGATCACAGCATTTGCGAAACCGGCAGAGCTTTCAGCTACTCCGAGCCCCCCAAAGACAGCGGACGAGTATGACAATATATCAGACGATGTCCTCATGCAGTTGTCTCGATCCGTCGAGCTTAACAAGGAAAGGGTGGCTGCAGAGGCTAAGAAGAAAGCCGAAAAAGCGACCAAGTCACTTCCTGCGATTACCAAGCCAACTCCTACACCTGCAAGGCCCGATGTCACTGTTCAGGTATTTCGTGAAAGACGTGAGAGGGAACGAGAAGCTAAAAAGAAACGCGACTTGGCTGAGCTGGCACGCTTCAAGAAAAATCTCTCTGCGTCTGGCGTTGCTGAACAAACGGCCGAACAAGGCTCTGGGTTGGCCGGAATTGGTGTCAAGGGCAAGGATCACACGCCTGCAGATAGTATGATGGTCTCTTCTGGATCAGAATCCGAATCAGAAAGTGAAGATGAACTTGATAAAGAACTCTTTGGTGCAAAATCGGGCTCCAAGCCTGACGCGGTTAAGGCCTACGAAGAAAGCAAAAGATTGTCCCTTAAGCAACAAGGCCCAGTCAAAAAGGTTAAGCAAGTACGCTCCGCGAAAGACATGCGAGCGAGATTGGCTCCGGACCTGTCCTCATTGCATCGTACCATTCTTGCCTGGGATTTCTTTGCAAACGGCGACCTCCCTCCCAATTCAGGACGTACCGATTATAGTTTGGTTTCCAATGCATTTAGGGACCCTATCGAATACCAAAAGACATTTGAGCCCCTTCTGATCCTTGAAGCTTGGCAAGGGTTCCAGTCTTCAAAAGAAGAAGGCACATTCAAGCCATTTGAAATTAAAGTTGCCACACGCCTGTCTGTGGACTCGTTTGTCGAAGTCAGCACGATCTTACCAGCTCTTGAAGTCAAAGACTATGGTCTTGGCGAAGCAGATATCGTTCTTCTTTCCAAATCAGAGTCCCCGGCATCTAATTCATCGTCTCCTCATTGTCTTGCTAGAATTTCGGGTATCAACAAGAAGAAGGGCACTGTGGAGATTTCTTATAGGGTGAACCCCGGCAACCCCTTCATCAACTCCCTTTCTCCGGGGACAACAATTTGGGGTGCCAAGATAACGTCTTTAACTCCTCTTGAACGTGAATATGGTGCTCTTATGGCTCTTCAGTACTATGATCTCTG